TTGTGGGAAGGAAGGAAGAAAGTTATCTGAAAATCATGAAATTCAAGAAGGGAGCTGGAAATTCTAAATCTCCATCTGAAAATCAAAGTGAAACCCAATTTTCCCAGATTATCCTCAAATTTACCTGATTCTTCGCATCGGAATTATCCTTCTCCGCAGCCATCAATACTTTTTTCTAATCTTCACACCAACTTCAGGTTTTGGCGCCAATTCTAACAATCTTTTGCATGAAAAAACACAAGTTCTCATTTTAATCATCTTGAAGAATGTATTAATGTGAAATATGCAGCCAATTCGTCATTTTTTTTTTCAAATCCGCCGAAATTGCTTTTAGCGCATATTGTCAATGAATTTCCAAGAGCAAAGCTGCCAAATATTCTCGAATAATTTTAATAAGTTGTTCAGCTTCTGCTACTTTTTGTTTCGATGATACAATCAAAAGTGGAACAGATAGCAAGATGAGATTCTCGCAATTTTACAATCGCATCTCCGAATTTTCGAGAAGTTGTCAAATTATAAGACTTTTGCAATTTCTTTGCCAAAATTGACAATTTGACCGCAACAACTGATAATGGATTCTTCTCCTCTTGATAATTTCGAATCGAATGATGAATATAAATCGGTCCAACTGGTCCCAATCCTCCCCATCCACAATGTGATAATCTCGAAGTTCCATAAACTCGCGCAAAAACATATTTAGCCATTCGGAAGAAACTGTTGGAGCGGCATTTGGGACAACTTCTTCATCTTCTTCCTCGCCGTTTCCAATGCCATCTTCAGTGATATCAAGAATTGCCAAATCATCATCAACATCCCAACTGCCTTCTTCGTCATCCTCGCTAATTCCACCATTTCCACCTTCACCTTTATCAAATTCAGACTCTCCGTTTTCGCCAATCAAATACTAATCATCACCCCAAGCATCATCAGCCCCCACCATCAACATCCTGTAAAAATTGAAATTTTTGAGGTGAAATGTCAAGTGGAAGTTTGAAAAAATCTAGATTTTCATAATCACCCCAAGCATCATCAGGCCCACTTTTATCCAAAATGAAGAAAAATTTAACAAAATCATTATTTTATAGCACATATATTATTTTTTCGAGCGAAAATTTGAGCAAAACTAGAATTCGGCTTATATTTTCGATTATGTAACTTGAAAATCCTTGATTTTTCGCTTCAAACTGAGAATTAAAAATATTTTGAGCAGAAAATCAGAATTTTTTCGAAAATTACAGAAGCCAAAAAAAAAAAATGTTGTTGGAATATAATTCAAATGTCCTAAAAGTGTGAAAATGCATCGTTTCTGCTTATAATTCCAATTCCACACTTTGATCTTGTAATCATCACCACCACACACAAAAATCAGTTGTTCTTGATGGAAACAGATTCCTCGAACTGGTCCGTCATACTCATCAAACTTCTCGAGAAGTACACACATTCGATAATGCCACAATTGAATAACATCGCTGTGAAGAGATATTACAATCCATGGTCGAGACGGGTGGAATGAAATTCCTGGAAAAAAAACCAATTTTTGAAAAAAATATATGGTTTTTGAACACGCTTTTACAGAACAAATAAATTTTAACGAAAGTGGACGGGAGCCTAATATACAGGTATAGGCAGAGCGCAGAGAAACGCATCTTTCGTGTATATATCTGTTGTCTACCCATGCATGTATGCATGTATATTAGGCTCCGCCCATTTTCGTTAAAATTTATTTGTTATTTAACTTTTACTGTTTTTGATAGATTTTACACCGGGAAAATTGAAAAATCAGAGTGAATGTTCAAATGTTCCACTCGTTTTTTGAAATACAGTCATATTTACAACAAAAAAAATCAATTTCGCTGCAAAAAATCTAACAAACCTTTCACTATCGCGGATTTCGACTCACTATTGCATTTCCCCTTTTCAGTGCATTTGTGCGTCGTCGTGTTGAAACACTGCGACGCACAAATGCACTGAAAAGTGGAAAGAAAAAGGAAAATGGGAGAAGGAATACTGTATTTCGATATTGGCTAGTACTGGAAATAAAAAACTATTGATAGCTCACCAATTGGAACTGATAGAATATGAAATAAAAATATATGAAGAGTTTAAAAAATGTGAGAGAAAATATTTTTAAAACATTTAAGAGATCAAAAGACTAAAAAAAAAAGAGCCAAATTTTATTTTGGAAAAAGATTTCTCAAGTTTGAGAAATCTGAAAAAAAAACGGAATTTTTAGAAAATTACAGAAGAACAGAAAAATATAATTACAGAAGAAAAATCAATAATTTCAACAGAAAAATACAAAAAACAAAAAATACAGTACTAATGTATATTTGTTGGAAACCTTGAAATAAATTTCGGCTCTCAATCGTTTTTATTTTAGCTTGGAATTACTTTAATCGCCAGATTTTTTCCCAGTGTTTTGTTTTTTTTTGCTAAAGTGAAAATAATCCTACATTTTTAATAAAATAAAATAAAACAAATCACAACAGGAAAAATACAAAACGTGACATTTTATAAAAAACGTAGCAGTATAAAAACTGGAATTTTATCAGTTTTGGTCAGTTTTTAGAAAGGAAGATGGAGCATATCGCTAATAAATCTCAATTCGAAACAATCATTAAACTTATTAGAGGAACATACTATTGGTTAGTTAAGGAAAAATTTCTAAAATTATTCAAATCGGTTTTTCAGGGGAGAATGGACCATGGAGAATGATCAATTCCATTTGGTAAAGATGTCGTCTGAACAATTGGATTGTCAAGGATCGAAACTTATTGTCTTAATGGAAGAATCATTGAAAAATCTCATTGGAGTTATTAAAGTAAGTATTAAGAGTTATTTATTCTAGAAAAGAACTCATTATATTTCAGATTGATCCAAATATTTGTTATGAAGACAATTCAAAATTTGTCGATAAATGCATGCAAGTGTGCGATCATTATGAATTGATTATTGAAATGCACCAAGATACTGGATCAACATTATTCAATTCTGATGAAACGGTTCGAAATCCGGTACGTTTATACTTTCATCAAAATGTTTAATAGTGCATTTTTTGAAAAATCAAACCGTCATTAGAATTGAATTAAAAAATTATAATATTGCAACAAATTTCCAACTTTCTAATTTTCCAGTTCTCACTTTTCCAATACAGGTCGGATGTTTAAAAAAAAACATTTGAGACTAAAAATTCAAGATTTTCAATGAAATTGACATTTGAAAATTTGGAACATTTGAAAATTTGGAATAAAACTACAATTATGAAAAAGAGCAATGTTCCGTTTCCCATCCGCCAACAAAATCATTCATTTTCCAGACATTGTTATCTGCAATCGAAAGACGTGAAACCGTCCAGCCAATTGAACAACAAATAGGACAAATTGACAAAGAAGAATTTTATATGTCACTTGTTGATCGAACTATGAGTGTTGAACAAAAATTGGAGCAGAAATTGAATCAAAACTCGGAAATGGATAGATTGAAAAAATTATTCAACCAAAAAGCAACAATAGCGGAAAAAGTGAGTTTACTTTCGAATAACTATGGCCATTTTTTGAATTGGTCTGAAGAAATTGGGCCAGGTTTAATTAAGTGAATCCGATTTAGAAGGATTTTTGAAACGAACCATGGTGAAATATTTTCAATACATTTTTTTCGCACCTGGCCCGATTCAAAATTTATTTTGCCAATTAAAAACAAACATTTTCAGATGGATATTGTTCGGATGCTGAAAAAAGCGGATTGGACTCTAGAGGACATGGTTTATGTCGACCTCAAACCTCGATTAGGAAATAACATTTACGACGTGAGTGTACAATATTTCGAAAAATATTCGAAATATTTATGTTTTTCAGAGATTGTGGTATGTATGGCGGTTTGAGTCGGATGAGACATTTCGCAGAAAACTGATTGATTTGTCGACAGACTATATTATTTCAGTTGATTTGCTGAAAATAATTGCGCCCATGTACAACGAACAATTGTACGATGACGTCAATTTTTGGTTGGACAAGTTGAGTTCGGAGACAAATTCGTCTAAAATTGTTGATGTGAGTTTAAAAATTACCTTTTTATAATTTTGATCAAAACTTGTTTTTTTTTAAAGGAAATTCGGGCTTTACGAAGAGAGAAAAGAGAGGAGAAGCAGAAAAATGAGAAAAAGCCGAAAAAGGAGAAAAGAAAGTGAGTGAAATCACTTCCACTATTCAATCGTCTTTGAGCCATGATCAATTTATTTGCTCTTTAATATTTTTTTCGTGTTTTTAATAAAACTTGGTCGCTTTTCAAAAAAGATTTAAAAATTAATTATATATTTTGCAATTAAAAAAAACTTACACTTTTCCATTACAAAAAAACAAAGAATTCGATGTTCAAACATAGTTAACTCGAAATCGATCGAATTCCGCATCACAGTCCTCAAAATTATTCAAGAACTTGGAATTTTCATATTTTTCTTCAAAATCTCCATCGTCTCCTTCATAAGTGTCCATTTTAATCTATCTGCAACAGAAAATAAAACTTAGAAAAAGCTATTTCTCGAAAAAAAAACAGAAAAAAACACTTCTCGAAAGAAAAATAAAAAATAAATTCTTGTTCGAGAGAAATACAAATGTGTGGTTTCCTAGGCCACGACCACGTTTGTGTGAAGTGACACCATGGCTTATTACGATCCTGTCGTTTTGCGGCTATTTGCGGCCCTCAAGCCAGCTTTTATCAGTTTTCCCTGCAAAAGTCAAAATTTTTCATGAAATAGCAAATGCTCCCCACTGAAATATCGGTTTTTCAATGAGGTAGGAAAATATTGATTTTTTTGACTGAAAAAATCAATAATTTTTGCAGCTGTCCACAATTCTTCACAAATGTTCGATTTCATCAATAATAACGAGAATCCGGCCAAAAAAATCGAGAAAATCTGAAACTTTGATGGATTTGGCTGCTGTAAATGATGAAAGCCCCGAAATTCTGACTGAAAAATCAAAAAAATTGCGAAAAGCTGAAATTGCAGCCAAGAAATCGAAAAAGGCTGAAAATATTGATGAAAAACCGGAAATTGATGAATGGCCTGTGATTCCACCGGAAAGTCCGCGAAGATCTTCAAGAATTGCTGGAAGTTCGGTGAAATCTGCACAAGAAGCTGAAATTGATGATCAGAAGCCTGAAGTTCCACCTGAAAGATCTTCTACAAGAATTTCGATAAAATTATCTGAAAAACATGGTCAGAAAGCTGAAAAATCGAAAAATTCATCAAAATCTGCTTCAGAAGCTGAAATTCAAGCTGAAAAAGCTGAAAATTCATCAAATTCTGCTCCAGCGCCTGAAATTCAACCTAGAAATGCTGAAAATCCTCGCACATCTGCTCCGGGAGCTGAAATTGTGGTCAAAAAGGTTGGAAGAGCAAGATCGAACTCTGTTAGAGCTCCAGAATCTGCTCCAGAGCCTGAAATTGCTCCAGAAGCTAGAAATTGTGAAGTCAAACTCGAAATATCTGAAAATCCACAAAAATTGACTGAAAATGTTGTAGAAGTGAAACTGGAAATTGAGGAAGCGGAATATTCGAATTTTGAAGTCAAAATGGAAATTGAGGAAAATGAAGAAGCTGAATATCCGGGAATTTTGAAAAAAGTGAGTTTTTTGAGCTGAAAATTCGTGATTTTCAGATTTTTTGGGTCTAGAAAATGTAAAATTATCTGAAAATTTTAGATTTTCAGCTCAAAATTCAAAATTTTTATTTAAAAATTTAAAAATTTCAAATTTTTTGGATCTAGAAAATGTAAAATTATCCGGAAATTTAAAAATTTCCAAATTTTTACACAAAAAATCATAAAAAATGTTCCATCTGCTGACTATTGACTTCAAAAATTCCACCAAAAATCTTCAATTTTTTCTAGTTCCTCTACGACGAGAATAATCCATTCGTAATCTGCTCTCGCAATTTTGTCCCATTATATCGTGGTCAACCATTGTACAAATGCTCATTCTGCAGAGCATCGTATTCCGAAGGTTTGGAAAGCGAATTGTGCGTGCGATGTTTGTCAGATATCCAAAATTGGCAAAAATGTATTGGGATTGAGAATTTCAACATTAAACAATTAAATTCCTTTCAATTCAAATGTGTGATGATAATTAATTAAAGCACTTTGTTTCAACCATGTGTTGTGTTGAACAAATAGAGAATACACGACGCAGACACAAAAAACCCCCGAAATTTAAAAAAAAATCAGAATTCTTGGACTATCGCTGCAGGACCCAACAGTTGGCTGGTTGCCAGCCTTATTTAATTTCGCGGGTTTTTTTTCTCGAATACTAAAATCTTCGAAATTTGGCTCGATAATGATGCAATTGTAAAACTAGAAGAGCTTCCATATTTTTATAAAATTTTGACTTTTGCATGGAAAATTGATATTTCAATAGGGCGCAATTGCTATTTTTCGGTTTTTTATAAAAAAATGGAAAAGTGTAAGTTTTTTATTGCACCAAAATATATCTCACATCCACATATTCCTCCCAATTCAATCGTTCAAACTTCTCATTCCTCGCCGCAATTTTCCTGAATTTTCTCTGATTCGACACAATCAATGCCAACATTTCAATAGTTTTTCCAAGTCCAATTTCATCCACCAAAACTCCACCTTTTTGCCATTAATTCGATTGGTATTTTATCGATTTTTTTGCGCGAAAACATTCCAAATGATGGATAATAGAATAATTGAATATCATCAATCGGAACCCGCTGATTTCTCATTTCCGACTTCAAATATTTCGAAAAATGCGACGAAAAACGATTTGTTTCGAAATTTGCCAAAATTGGAAAACTCCAAAATGTTTTGAGAAGTTGTTTTGGTTTTCCGGTAAATGTTTCGATGAAGATTTTGTTGAGGATTTGAGCATTTTTTTGCACGATTTTTCGAGTTGTTCAAAATCGAAAATGTTATCAATTATGAAATTGGGATTCAAGTAAAAATCGAGTTGAATATGATCGTTTTTCGAAGTCCAGAAGATTGAAATGCCAGCATTTTTCAATGTTCTGTAATTTTTAAAGATTTTAAGGTTTTTTTAGCATACACATTTTTGGTGTCAAATCGAACGCAATTTGATGTTTAAAAACTCACTGTGAATTTTGAGCACAAATCTTGAGCATAAAATCAATCGGAGCAATCCCAATAATCTTCGCATTCATCCCATTTTCATCAGAAGTTCCTTCAAAATCCGTCAAAATCTGAACTTCCTTCTTAGCTTTGATTTTCTCATCGAACATCAAATACAATTTTGAATCTCCAATTATTTCGATTTCTTTTTCAAAAATTCGAGTAAATAAGTGAATAAAGTTATTTGTTTCAAGTAGACTAATTGGAAAAATTGACAAAATTTGATTTTTATCAATTTTTAAATATTCGCTAGTAGTTGCCATTATAAAAATATCGAGAACTGATTTTTTTTGGGTTTTATTTTGTTTTTATTTTTTTTTGCCGCGTGTTCAAAAAAAATAGATCACGTAAATTGAGTTAAAAAATTGAATATCGGAAAACTTTTTAGTCTCAGAATTCTGAAATTCAGCTCAAAAATATATTTTCCATCTGAAAATCATTAAAAATATCGAATTTCAAGTGTTATTCTGAATTTTAGAATTTTTTTTTTAAATGAAAACAACAATCAAGAAAAATTTCCCGAAAATTCAGTTCAAAAAATTTTTTAGTCTAAAAATTCTTCATAAATCTCACCGAAATTTCGAAATCATCAAAAATTTTGAATTTTTTCCGGAAAATATCCCAAAAATGCATTTTTTTCCAGAGAACTGTCAAATTGTCGATCTATGGAATGTGTACAGGGTTTTTTGACAGAAACATAGCCGAAAAAGCTGAAAAGCATGAAATTTGAGCCAACAAGTTTTTCGGGTAAAAATAAGTAATAAAAATTTGGGAATTTTTAAATTTCCGGATAATTTTACATTTTCTAGATCCAAAAAATTTGAAAATTTCAAATTTTTAAATCCTGATTTTTTACGTTTCAGAAAAACGTTAAATAATTGATCGATGTTGTTTCATGCATTCCTTTAGTTTTCAAATGCCACAAATAATCATCAATAATTTTTTGATCGAAATCTTCACAATCGAAATTTTCGCGCATTTCCAAGGGTAAATCGCAGAAAGATAGACTAAAGGCGTAATTTGAATATGTTTGCCGCCGGACATGACAACGGAATGGTTGTTTTCAAAATTCAAACAGAACATCCAGCTTATTTTGTCAATGAGAATCTCGTTTTTTATGTCAAAGATAAACAATTGAGAAAACTCGATTTCACCACAAACTTAGTTTTGAAGAAATATTGGTAGTTTTTGCTCCGCTGATCATTATTTCTCATATTCAAAGTTTATTGATAAGATGTTCTTGATTCTCCACCAGTTTGTAAATTGGAGGAAAATTGACGATTGTTGGCGTCGGTTCGTGAAGCATTTGATGCGCAATTATTGGAACTTGAAGGAGGAGTTGATAGAGAAGCTGCAGCGAAAACTGGAGGTGTTAAACTGGCTTCTGATGTAAGTTTAGGGGGAAAATCTAACATTTCCTTGAAATTTCAGATTTTTAGCTAGTTTCTAAATGACTTTCTAAATGGCTTCTGTAATTTTCGAAAAAATTCTGATTTTCTGCTCAAAATATTTTGAATTCTCAGTTTGAAGCGAAAAATCAAGGATTTTCAAGTTACATATAACAAACTATCAATTTGAATAGTAGCGAGCAAACTTTCTTTCAAGAAAAAAATAGGGAATTATAACATACATTTTTGAGAAAAATACACTTTCAGAATATTCCTTTTTTTATGTTACATTGTGATTGAATGTATGTTGAAAGCTTGATCAGTGTCGAGGGTGATAATTTCCAATGCATGTTTATTTATTGCCGATAAAATAGAAATGTAAAGAAAAATCTGGATGTTTTTTCTCTACAATTTTTTAAATGTATAGGATTTCTTGACGGTATTTTGTCTACATTTCATTTTTTATCACACGTGTTTTTCTATTGCCCAACCATATTGTTTTCCGAATATGTGAAAAATTGAGAGCATATTTTCTTTCATTTTCCATACACTTGCTTTTTCTAGTGATTTTTCAGATAAAAAGCTGGTTTTCTTTTGAAAAACGAAAAACAGAACAAATACAATGTTTTTCTCGAAAATACAAAAAAGTTGAGTTTGATAATGCAATTGCCTCATCAATTTAATTGTTCTGAACAAAATTGGCAATAGGAGATGCAATGTGACAGCATTTTACCCGAAAAAACACCAAAAAAAGCAAGCGAAAAAAAAAGAAAAATCATCGTGTCTGCATTTTTGCGTACACTTGTGTGTGTGGTGACGCACAAATGCACAATGATGATTTTTATTTTCTTTTTTTTCTTTTCGGTTGCTTTTTTGGTGTTTTTTCGGGTAAAATGCTGTCACATTACAATTCCTATCGCCAATTTTGTTCAGAACGATTTAATTGATGAGGGCAATTGCATTATCAAACTCAACTTTTTTGTATTTTTGAGAAAAACATTGTATTTGTTCTGTTTTTCGTTTTTCAAAAGAAAAGTAGCTTTTTATCCGAAAAATCACTAGAAAAAGCAAGTGAATGGAAAATGTAAGAAAATACGCTGATTTGAGGAAAGAATAAAAACATTTCCATAAAACTTTACATTTTTGTGTTTTTGCAAAAAAATGTGCGTTACGCCTTTAGTATATCTTTCTGCGTTTTGCGTTACGCCTTTAGTCTATCTTTCTGCGTTTTGCGTAACGCCTTTAGTCTATCCTTCTGCGTTTTGCGTAACGCCTTTAGTCTATCCTTCTGCGTTTTGCGTAACGCCTTTAGTCTATCCTTCTGCGTTTTGCGTAACGCCTTTAGTCTATCCTTCTGCGTTTTGCGTAACGCCTTTAGTCTATCTTTCTGCGTTTTGCGTAACGCCTTTAGTCTATCCTTCTGCGTTTTGCGTAACGCCTTTAGTCTATCTTTCTGCGTTTTGCGTAACGCCTTTAGTCTATCTTTCTGCGTTTTGCGTAACGCCTTTAGTCTATCCTTCTGCGTTTTGCGTAACGCCTTTAGTCTATCTTTCTGCGTTTTGCGTAACGCCTTTAGTCTATCCTTCTGCGTTTTGCGTAACGCCTTTAGTCTATCTTTCTGCGTTTTGCGTTACGCCTTTAGTCTATCTTTCTGCGTTTTACCCTTGGAAATGCGCGATCAAAAAATTATTGATGATTATTATTTAACGTTTTTCTGAAACGTAAAAAATCAGGGTTTTTTGTTGCGTGACCCATAAAAAATCCCGCTATTTAAAGCCAAAAATCATCAAATCTGGTCATTTTAGATTTCATCTGAGCCACCTTCGGTTCCAGAATCCAAATCAAAAGAACAAGAAGAGCCGCACAAAGAGCACAGTGGAACAAAAATCAAAGAGAAAATATCGGATTTGAGTGTGAAGACACCAACAGCGGTGACTGCGACCAATTCGAAAACATCGACAACGACTGAGAGTACGATTACTCTGGATGTTAAACAGGATGCGTTTGGAACACTTGATGTAAGATTCGGTTGAAAATTGAAGCTCAAAAAAGAATATATATATGTGGCCGAACAATTTCGGTGGCCGAGAAATGTCGGGAATTCGGCCACATATATTTTTTGTTTGAATTTTTTGAAAAGTTTCAAAAAAATGCTCATAATCTCTGGGTGAAAACGAATGAGTCATAATTTTACAGGATGAAGAATTTGAAAAAGCCGCCGCAAACATTCCAAATCAACTCAACGATGAAGACGAAAAGGATATCCTCCGCCTTGCTCCAAAAAATCCTAAAAATCGCCAAACGCCACAAGGCAATGGAGAAATGTCGAAGACAGCCGAAGAGAACGAAACGCTCGCCAAATTCTTTTCGGGCAAAAAGTCGTTGACTCCCGAAGTTTTGGCGACACTCGATGTTGGTCTCGATAAAATCATTGATCATCTTCATAAGAATAATTTGGCGATTGATGAGGAGACGAAACGAATTATTAAACATCGCGATAAATTGAAGGCGGCGATGATGAAGGAGTTTTTGGTGTCTCCACAGTATTTGCCGAAGAGTTGGACAGCTAAATTTAATCGTAAGTTTTGCAAACGTGCAAAATTTCCTTGCTAGAAAGATAATTTTCAGAATGGAAAAGTGAGGCTGAAAATCAGAAAAATGGTGTAAACTGGTTCCGAATTCTATTCGCCTATCCAAAACATAAATCATTTGATGATGGACCAGAAGACATATTTGGAAATTTTAATAAAAGAGATCGAGGGCTTTTGATTGGCCTTATTCTTGGACCTGGAGATGTCAAATCATTTGAGGAAACTAAACGGGAAGACGATTGTCAGGGAATGTTCCTTGATACAAAATTGATTGAGCACGCTGGAAATGAGCCGGATTTGACGAGTGCAACGAAGACTTATGTGAATTTGGAGAAAATGGAGAAGTAAGCGTCGGAGCCGAAAATATCGGCGAATTTGAATAATAATAAGGAGAAAGCGGAGAATGAGAAGAAAAAAGAGGATATGAAGGATAAAGCCAAATAAAAAGTTTGTGGTTTTTAATTTTTTGTATGTATTTTCTCCGCATTTATCCTGTTTTCTTAACATGTTAAGAAAATACATGATAATGAAGAAAAATTTGGGCGTATCAAAAATTGCTGACAAGGGAAGTGCATAAGGTTAGGTGTTGAACTTTTTTTGCAATTTAGTACACAATTGAAGCGATTTGAAGCAAAAATCACTTCAAAATCACTAATTTATCAATAAAACTCCTCCTGTTTTTTTCTCCTCCTGTTTTTTTGGTTGAGAAATTAATCCGAATAGCCCCATAACTAAATCGAATATGAAGAAGTCTTGTAGAATTTCAAATATTCTAGCAATTGTCGAATTTTGTTCACCTCGCATTCAATGATTCGAAATGGTTTGAATTTGAATTATGCAATAATTAAGTCATTTTTAACCAAAATGGAACCCCGATTTTTTACAAAAAACCCTGATTTTTTACGTTTCAGAAAAACGTTAAATAATTGGCGCCTTCAACATTTTTGCTACTTTCCTCAATTCAGTGATACTGAAAAACCTTGAAATGTTTATTGTAAAATCAATCAGATAAACAATGCTGACATTTCAATTTCCATCTCAATTTCAATTTCAACTAAAAAATGCCATCATCCGTTTTGCCAACCACAGATCCACCACCCAACAAATCATCAAAAACATTTTCAAAATTACCGATTTATTTGGTTTCTGCCATCATCATTGTATTGGTGATCGCTGTTTTTTCGACATTTTGGCTAAGTTGAAATGGCGTGATCGAGTTCCACATTCTTTTTTATCTTTTCCAGGGCGGCTAAAATGAATAGAAATTTTTGTAATAAAAAAATACGCTGAAAATACATACCTCGAATCTCGAACAAATGATATAAAAGCAATTGTCAAATTGTCTATATAAAGCATTAATTGCGAGCAAAACGTGGCTCTGACAGATTGTTCCATTGGTAAAAGATCCATTCTTTTTACAAATGTATCTACACATTCCATAGATCGACAATTTGACAATTCTCTGGAAAAAAAAATGCATTTTTTGGATATTTTCCGGAAAAAATTCAAAATTTTTGATGATTTCGAAATTTCGGTGAGATTTATGAAGAATTTTTAGACTAAAAAATTTTTGAACTGAATTTTCGGGAAATTTTCTTGATTGTTGTTTTCATTTAAAAAAAATTCTAAAATTCAGAATAACACTTGAAATTCGATATTTTTAATGATTTTCAGATGGAAAATATATTTTTGAGCTGAATTTCAGAATTCTGAGACTAAAAAGTTTTCCGATATTCAATTTTTTAACTCAATTTACGTGATCTATTTTTTTTTTGAACACGCGGCAAAAAAAAATAAAAACAAAATAAAACCCAAAAAAAAATCAGTTCTCGATCTACTATATACTAATTGAAAACTGCTTTTTAAGAAGTGCGTATGTCAGATGGACCAACTTTTTTTCTACTTCATGAAAAGTTTTGGTTAAAAAAAAGAAAAGTTTCCAAATAGTTGCAGCATGATGCAGAACATTATGAAATTTCAAAGTTTTTTGTTGTAGTGCGCAGGGAAACTTTTAACTGAAAAAACTCCTGAAATTCAATGTATTTTTGAAAATAAAAATGTGTAGCCGACCGTAACTCAATTTCTAGAAGACCGTTTTGAATGAGACTTGGACCAACGTGTTCCAAATTTTTCGTAGATGATGCACGATATTCGAAATATTTCAAAAGTGCGCAAGTTTTCACGTGAAAAATAAAAACTTTTTCCGTGTAGAAAAGAATGAACACGTTTTTAATCGGAAAAAAATGGCTAGGTCACGTTTCTTATCTGATCTTTCTATTTCATTCATAGAGGGGGGACATTTTTAATCATTTCTCGCTATTACTCTACTCCTAATCGGTTTGGAAAATGAATGGAAATTAAGTGAGTCAAATTACTGTAGATAAATTTATATACTGTTCGAACTTTCAGATATTGGATAATTTCTTTTACAAGAAGAAAAACAAATACTTTAATGTGAATGTTTGATAGTGAGTTTTGATGTGTTTGGGAATCCCAATATAGTTAAGCCCAAATTATTTCAGTTCCGTTTTTTTCTATGATTATTTACAATTTTCTGTGAAAATCGAATTCATTCAAAATTTCTTTTTTGATCAAAAATAGACTCGTGGCAAAAAAATCGGCCCGAGGTTTTTCGTTGGATAAAAAAATCGGCTCTGAACGGAAAAAGAGGGGTTTAGAATAAAAAGAGGGGTTTTCAAAAACTTCATTTTTCAAAAGCTTCAAACGATTTTCAAAAGTTAGTTTCAGAAGTTGCTTTTGTTCAGAATTTCGAGCTTAATCTGATCCTTGCGCTTAAATTTTATGAGAAGTGAAAATATTCCCACATTTGGGAGAATAAAGTTTTCAAAACCCCTCTTTTCCGTCAAATCCCCTATTTCTTTCAAAAACCCCTCTTTTTTTCCTAAAACCCTCTTTTTCCGTTTAGAGCCAAAACATCGGCCCGAGTTTTTTTTCAAAAAAATTGGGCTCGAGTTTTTTCAAAAAAAATCGGTTTTCGTTGGATAAAAAAAATCGGCGCGAGTTTTTTTCAAAAAAAAATCGGCTCGAGTTTTTTTCAAAAAAAAATCGGCTCGAGTTTTTTCAAAAAAAAATCGGCCCGGCTTTTTTCAAAAAAAATCGGTTTTCGTTGGATGAAAAAAAAATCGGGCCGAGTTTTTAAAAAAAAATCGGCCGATAAAAAAATCGGCCCGAGTTTTTTCAAAAAAAAATCGGCCCGGCTATTTTCAAAAAAAAATCGGTTTTCGTTGGATGAAAAAAAATCGGGCCGAGTTTTTTCAAAAAAAAAATCGGTTTTCGTTGGATGAAAAAATCGGGCCGAGTTTTTAAAAAAAAATCGGCCGATAAAAAAATCGGCCCGAGTTTTTTCAAAAAAAAAAATCGGCCCGGCTATTTTCAAAAAAAAATCGGTTTTCGTTGGATGAAAAAAAATCGGGCCGAGTTTTTTCAAAAAAAAAATCGGTTTTCGTTGGATGAAAAAAAATCGGGCCGAGTTTTTAAAAAAAAATCGGCCGATAAAAAAAATCGGCCCGAGTTTTTTCAAAAAAAAAATCGGCCCGGCTATTTTCAAAAAAAAATCGGTTTTCGTTGGATGAAAAAAAATCGGGCCGAGTTTTTTCAAAAAAAAAATCGGGCGGAGTTTTTTCAAAAAAAAAATCGGCCGATAAAAAAAATCGGGCCGAGTTTTTTCAAAAAATCGGCCCGGCTTTTTTCAAAAAAAAAATCGGTTTTCGTTGGATGAAAAAAATCGGGCCGAGTTTTTTCAAAAAAAAATCGGCCCGGCTATTTTCAAAAAAAAAATCGGTTTTCGTTGGATGAAAAAAAATCGGGCCGAGTTTTTAAAAAAAAAAAATCGGCCGATAAAAAAAATCGGCCCGAGTTTTTTCAAAAAAAAAAAAAATCGGCCCGGCTATTTTCAAAAAAAAAATCGGTTTTCGTTGGATGAAAAAAAAATCAGCCCGAATGAATCAATGAAAATAATCAAAGGGCGGCGGAGTTTACTGTTCTTTGGTTTTATCTTCCACGGCTCTGAAAATTTCAGATGGAACATAGAAGCTTATACTCAGAAAATAAGGCAGCATTTCTTTTCGCTCTGGATATAGATTTTTTGGATATAGATTTTAGATTTTCGGAACAGTTTCGCCAAATGTTGTGCTTTAGTTTTTGAGACGTAGAAAATTTGGATTAACCTCTTTATAAAATCAAGAAATTTTTTCGCACATTTTTTAAAACCATTTTCGTCAATTTTCTTTAGAAATTTTAAAAATCATACCTAGCGGAGAACGGAGAAAGAATTCAACGAAAATCAAAATTTCGGTTTTTGTTTAAAGAATCTTTTCCAACTTTTCAAAAACTACAACTCTGTCGTATTTTAAGACGAAACATGTTTCTGTTTACACCTAAAGAAAACTACGCGCGAAGCCGGGACAATCCAGAAGGAGGAGCCGGCGTTAGCCGGCGGAGCCCTTCTGGTATTTTTATAATGGCAACTACTAGCGAATATTTAAAAATTGATAAAAATCAAATTTTGTCAATTTTTCCAATTAGTCTACTTGAAACAAATAACTTTATTCACTTATTTACTCGAATTTTTGAAAAAGAAATCGAAATAATTGGAGATTCAAAATTGTATTTGATGTTCGATGAGAAAATCAAAGCTAAGAAGGAAGTTCAGATTTTGACGGATTTTGAAGGAACTTCTGATGAAAATGGGATGAATGCGAAGATTATTGGGATTGCTCCGATTGATTTTATGCTCAAGATTTGTGCTCAAAATTCACAGTGAGTTTTTAAACATCAAATTGCGTTCGATTTGACACCAAAAATGTGTATGCTAAAAAAAAACCTTAAAATCTTTAAAAATTACAGAACATTGAAAAATGCTGGCATTTCAATCTTCTGGACTTCGAAAAACGATCATATTCAACTCGATTTTTACTTGAATCCCAATTTCATAATTGATAACATTTTCGATTTTGAACAACTCGAAAAATCGTGCAAAAATGCTCAAATCCTCAACAAAATCTTCATCGAAACATTTACCGGAAAACCAAAACAACTTCTCAAAACATTTTTGGAGTTTTCCAATTTCGGCAAATTTCGAAACAAATCGTTTTTCGTCGCATTTTTCGAAATATTTGAAGTCGGAAATGAGAAATCAGCGGGTTCCGATTGATGATATTCAATTATTCTATTATCCATCATTTGGAATGTTTTCGCGCAAAAAAATCGATAAAATACCAATCGAATTAATGGCAAAAGGTGGAGTTTTGGTGGATGAAATTGGACTTGGAAAAACTATTGAAATGTTGGCATTGATTGTGTCGAATCAGAGAAAATTCAGGAAAATTGCGGCGAGGAATGAGAAGTTTGAACGATTGAATTGGGAGGAATATGTGGATGTGAGATATATTTTGGTGCAATAAAAAACTTACACTTTTCCATTTTTTTATAAAAAACCGAAAAATAGCAATTGCGCCCTATTGAAATATCAATTTTCCATGCAAAAGTCAAAATTTTATAAAAATATGGAAGCTCTTCTAGTTTTACAATTGCATCATTATCGAGCCAAATTTCGAAGATTTTAGTATTCGAGAAAAAAAAACCCGCGAAATTAAATAAGGCTGGCAACCAGCCAACTGTTGGGTCCTGCAGCGATAGTCCAAGAATTCTGATTTTTTTTTAAATTTCGGGGGTTTTTTGTGTCTGCGTCGTGTATTCTCTATTTGTTCAACACAACACATGGTTGAAACAAAGTGCTTTAATTAATTATCATCACACATTTGAATTGAAAGGAATTTAATTGTTTAATGTTGAAATTCTCAATCCCAATACATTTTTGCCAATTTTGGATATCTGACAAACATCGCACGCACAATTCGCTTTCCAAACCTTCGGAATACGATGCTCTGCAGAATGAGCATTTGTACAATGGTTGACCACGATATAATGGGACAAAATTGCGAGAGCAGATTACGAATGGATTATTCTCGTCGTAGAGGAACTAGAAAAAATTGAAGATTTTTGGTGGAATTTTTTGAAGTCAATAGTCAGCAGATGGAACATTTTTTATGATTTTTTGTGTAAAAATTTGGAAATTTTTAAATTTCCGGATAATTTTACATTTTCTAGATCCAAAAAATTTGAAATTTTTAAATTTTTAAATAAAAATTTTGAATTTTGAGCTGAAAATCTAAAATTTTCGAATTTTCAGATAATTTTACATTTTCTAGACCCAAAAAATCTGAAAATCACGAATTTTCAGCTCAAAAAACTCACTTTTTTCAAAATTCCCGGATATTCAGCTTCTTCATTTTCCTCAATTTCCATTTTGACTTCAAAATTCGAATATTCCGCTTCCTCAATTTCCAGTTTCACTTCTACAACATTTTCAGTCAATTTTTGTGGATTTTCAGATATTTCGAGTTTGACTTCACAATTTCCAGCTTCTGGAGCAATTTCAGGCTCTGGAGCAGATTCTGGAGCTCTTACAGATTTCGATCTTGGTCTTCCAACCTTTTTGACCATAATTTCAGCTCCCGGAGCAGATGTGCGAGGATTTTCAGCATTTCTAGGTTGAATTTCAGGCGCTGGAGCAGAATTTGATGAATTTTCTGCTTTTCCAGATGAAATTTGACTATCTTCAGCGATTTCAGGCTTCGCCTCATTTTCAGCACATTTTTGAGCTCTAACAGTTTTCGATCTTGGTCTTCCAACAGGTTTTCGAGCTTTTTCAGCTTCTGGAGCAGGTTTTCGTGAAATTTTCAAATTTCCAGATGAATTTCGACGATTCTCAACAGATTTTTGAGCTTTTATAGATGTGGATCTTGATCTTCCATCCTTTTTGGTCACAATTTCAGGCTTTTTTTCATCATTCTCAGCTTCTGGAGCATATTTTCGACGATTTCCAGCTTTTTCAGCTTGAATTTCAGCTTCTGAAGCAGATTTTGATGAATTTTTCGATTTTTCAGCTTTCTGACCATGTTTTTCAGATAATTTTATCGAAATTCTTGTAGAAGATCTTTCAGGTGGAACTTCAGGCTTCTGATCATCAATTTCATAAGCTGGACGTTCTGTTTGAATTTTGAAAACAACCATTCCGTTGTCATGTCCGGCGGCAAACATATTCAAACTTGGATAAGCAGCAACGACCCACAACAGGCGTGTTCATTTTGCCTGCCTGCTTTTCGCCCAGCGACGTTTTGTGCAGGCGAGGCACGCCTCGCCTGTTTTTCGAAAAAAAATAAAAAGCACGCCTCGCCTTCGCCTGCCTTCGCCGCGGCGAGAAAACGCGTGTGTGTTGTCTGTTTCATAAAGAAACGTAATTTATTTGCATGAAAAACGATTAATTGTGATAATTTCACTCATATTTTAACGTTATGTGCTAAGATTTCTTCTGAAACACATTATTAAGGTCAAAGAAGTGAAGAAAAGAGTCATTTTCACTGAAAACCTAGTTTTTTCACCCAATTTGTGAAAAACTGTATTTATAAACATTCAATTTCAGCAAAATGTTTTTGTAAGCTTAGAAATAAAAATATATCGCCTTACAGTTACATGAAAACATTTGAACGATATGTTTTCCATCTAAAAATAGCTGTTTCTTTTCCAAATATACTTTTTAGTGAAAACTAAAGCAAAATCTTGATTGAAAATGTTGCTAATAGGTAGCTGAAACCCCGCCGACAACCGAATTTATGAAAAAATCGAAGAAAATTTAATCTATTCTCACTTGCAAAATGCAACTCGCCCGGCGAATCGCCGGGCGACGCCTCGCTTCGCCTTGTGCGTTGAAAAATAAAAAGAGGCACGCCTCGCCTTCGCCTCAATAAAAAAGGCGACGCCCGGCGTTCGCCGGCGAAATGAACATGCCTGACCCACAAGCGTTCGTTCTCGTGTCTGAAAATTTGAAAAGTTGGATTTTGCTCGAAAAATCACAAAATTCTGACGATCTGAAGACTCGAGCTTATGAAACTTCAGCTCGACGTCACATTTTTTCCAGAAATATATATATATATATATAAGTAGATTTTCTTTCTCGAATTTGAGATATACATATTTCTGCACAAAATCTCAAAATTACCTGAAAACATGAAGTCTTGTGCGTTTTTGCATATCCCAAACTCGAATACGTTTATCCACAAAATCAACTCTGGATTTGGATAGAATAATACGAATAGATGATATATATATATATAATATGTATTATAATATTATCCTCGATAAATATCAACTTCTCAAGCTTTTTGTCTCATTATATGTTCACATTTTATAACTTGTCTGAACCAGAAACAACAATTATCATTTGATGATGGAATACAACCCAATTTACATCACCAACATGTCCTTCGAGAACTTGTTTGTTTCACAACACCATCACAAAAATCAGTTGTTCTTGATGGAAACAGATTCCTCGAACTGGTCCGTCATACTCATCAAACTTCTCGAGAAGTACACACATTCGATAATGTCACAATTGAATAACATCGCTGTGAAGAGATATTACAATCCATGGTCGAGACGGGTGGAATGAAATTCCTGGAAAAAAACCAATTTTTGAAAAAAATATATGGTTTTTGATAGATTTTTCACCGGGAAAATTGAAAAATCAGAGTGAATGTTCAAATGTTCCACTCGTTTTGATATTTACAACAACAAAAAATCAATTTCGCTGCAAAAAATCTAACAAACCTTTCACTATCGCGGATTTCGACTCAAATTTGCATTTCCCATTTTCAGTGCATTTGTGCGTCGTCGTGTTGAAACACTGCGACGCACAAATGCACTGAAAAGTGGAAAGAAAAAGGAAAATGGGAGAAGGAATACTGTATTTCGATATTGGCTAGTACTGGAAATAAAAACTATTGATAGCTCACCAATTGGAACTGATAGAATATGAAATAAAAATATATGAAGAGTTTAAAAAATGTGAGAGAAAATATTTTAAAACATTTAAGAGATCAAAAGACTAAAAAAAAAAAGAGCCAAATTTTATTTTGGAAAAAGATTTCTCAAGTTTGAGAAATCTGAAAAAAAACGGAATTTTTAGAAAATTACAGAAGAACAGAAAAATATAATTACAGAAGAAAAATCAATAATTTCAACAGAAAAATTAAAAAAAACAAAAAATACAGTACTAATGTATATTTGTTGGAAACCTTGAAATAAATTTCGGCTCTCAATCGTTTTTATTTTAGCTTGGAATTACTTTAATCGCCAGATTTTTTCCCAGTGTTTTGTTTTTTTGCTAAAGTGAAAATAATCCTACATTTTTAATAAAATAAAATAAAACAAATCACAACAGGAAAAATACAAAACGTGACATTTTATAAAAAACGTAGCAGTATAAAAACTGGAATTTTATCAGTTTTGGTCAGTTTTTAGAAAGGAAGATGGAGCATATCGCTAATAAATCTCAATTTGAAACAATCATTAAACTTATTAGAGGAACATACTATTGGTTAGTTTAGGAAAAATTTCTAAAATTATTCAAATCGGTTTTTCAGGGGAGAATGGACCATGGAGAATGATCAATTCCATTTGGTAAAGATGTCGTCTGAACAATTGGATTGTCAAGGATCCAAACTTATTGTCTTAATGGAAGAATCATTGAAAAATCTCATTGGAGTTATTAAAGTAAGTATTAAGAGTTATTTATTCTAGAAAAGAACTCATTATATTTCAGATTGATCCAAATATTTGTTATGAAGACAATTCAAAATTTGTCGATAAATGCATGCAAGTGTGCGATCATTATGAATTGATTATTGAAATGCACCAAGATACTGGATCAACATTATTCAATTCTGATGAAACGGTTCGAAATCCGGTACGTTTATACTTTCATCAAAATGTTTAATAGTGCATTTTTTGAAAAATCAAACCGTCATTAGAATTGAATAAAAAAATTATATTATTGCAACAAATTTCCAACTTTCTCATTTTCCAGTTCTCACTTTTCCAATACAGGTCGGATCTTAAAACAAAAAACATTTGAGACTAAAAATTCAAGATTTTCAATGAAATTGACATTTTAAAATTTGGAACATTTGAAAATTTGGAATAAAACTACAATTATGAAAAAGAGCAATGTTCCGTTTCCCATCCGCCAACAAAATCATTTATTTTCCAGACATTGTTATCTGCAATCGAAAGACGTGAAACCGTCCAGCCAATTGAACAACAAATTGGACAAATTGACAAAGAAGAATTTTATATGTCACTTGTTGATCGAACTATGAGTGTTGAACAAAAATTGGAGCAGAAATTGAATCAAAACTCGGAAATGGATAGATTGAAAAAATTATTCAACCAAAAAGCAACAATAGCGGAAAAAGTGAGTTTACTTTCGAATAACTATGGCCATTTTTTGAATTGGTCTGAAGAAATTGGGCCAGGTTTAATTAAGTGAATCCGATTTAGAAGGATTTTTAAAACGAACCATGGTGAAATATTTTCAATACATTTTTTTCGCACCTGGCCCGATTCAAAATTTATTTTGCCAATTAAAAAACAAACATTTTCAGATGGATATTGTTCGGATGTTGAAGAAAGCGGATTGGACTCTAGAGGACATGGTTTATGTCGACCTCAAACCTCGATTGGGAAATAATATTTTCGACGTGAGTGTACAATATTTCGAAAAATATTCTCAATTATTATGTTTTTCAGAAATTGTGGTATGTGTGGCGGTTTGAGTCGGATGAAACATTTCGCAGAAAACTCATCGATTTGTCGACAGATTATATTATTTCAGTTGATTTGCTGAAAATAATTGCGCCCATGTACAATGAACAATTGTACGATGACGTCAATTTTTGGTTGGACAAGTTGAGTTCGGAGACTAATTCGTCTAAAATTGTTGATGTGAGTTTAAAAATTACCTTTTTATAATTTTGATCAAAACTTGTTTTTTTTTAAGGAAATTCGGGCTTTACGAAGAGAGAAAAGAGAGGAGAAGCAGAAAAATGAGAAAAAGCCGAAAAAGGAGAAAAGAAAGTGAGTGAAATCACTTCCACTATTCAATCGTCTTTGGGCCATGATCAATTTATTTGCTCTTTAATATTTTTTTCGTCTTTTTAATAAAACTTGGTCGCTTTTCAAAAAAGATTTAAAAATTAATTATTTTGCAATAAAAAAAACTTACACTTTTCCACTACAAAAAAAAACAAAGAATTCGATGTTCAAACATAGTTAACTCGAAATCGATCGAATTCCGCATCACAGTCCTCAAGAACTTGAAATTTTCATATTTTTCTTCAAAATCTCCATCGTCTCCTTCATAAGAATTCTGATCACCGCGATTTCCAACATAATTTTCGCAAAAATAAAACAACACAATATTTTGTCATCGTTTCACCATCACAAAATGATGCAAGTGTCCATTTTAATCTATCTGCAACAGAAAATAAACTTAGAAAGCTATTTCTCGAAAAAAAACAGAAAAAAAAAACTGGCCAGTTTCCGCAAAAACCACAAAAAAAAAGCATTTTCAAACCTCCCCCTTTGCACAACAAATACGCCAGCGCGCACAACACTGACGCGCACCACAAACACGCCAACACACATTTTGCATTTTTATTTCGCGTTTTGCAGTTTTTGCAGCGAAAAACCCGATTTCCAGCCAAAAATTTCAAATTTTCAGCAAAATGCCGACTGTGGGAATCAAAAAGCTCCTTTTGGACAAACATTTCAACCGAATTTATTGTAGGTTTTGAGGGAAAACAAATATTTTCTCAAAAAACAATTTTTTTCAGCTGAAAAGGAATTCGATGAGTTGTGCTTTGAATATGGTTTAGAGTTGGACGAAATCGTGAGTTTCCTGGGCCTTTGTGAAGAAAAATATGTTTTTAAAACAATTTCAGACCTCGGAAAAGGCTGCGGTTGAAAAAGAGCGGGGAACAAACGCTGCCACGGATCTCAACGACCAAGAAGTCTATAAAATCGATATCCCCGCAAATCGCTATGATTTGCTAAGTGTAGAAGGGTTATCCCGAGCGATTCGTATCTTCAAGCAAGAAATCCCACCTCCAAAATACACTTTCGCGCCAATTCCAAAATCTGGCTTGCAAAAAATCATTGTGAAAAAGGAGACAGCAACAATTCGCTCATTTGTAGTTGGCGCAGTTTTGCGAAATATTCAATTTGACGCGGATAATTTTGCGAGTTTCATCGATTTGCAAGACAAACTTCATCAAAATATTTGCCGAAAACGAACATTGGTTGCGATTGGAACGCATGATTTGGATACTATTCAAGGACCTTTTGAATATCGCGCGGAAGCTCCGAAAGATATCAAATTCAGGCCTTTGAATCAAACAAAAGGATATACAGCTGAAGAATTAATGACACTTTATTCAAGTGATTCACATTTGAAGGCGTATCTTCCAATCATTCAAAATCATCCGAAATATCCAGTTATTTATGATTCAAAAGGAATTGTTTGTTCGATGCCACCAATTATTAATGGAGAACACTCGAAAATCACTTTGAATACCAAAAATGTTTTAATTGAGGCCACCGCCACTGATAAACAGAAGGCATTTGTTGTTTTGGACACGATTGTTACACTTTTCTCGCAATATTGTGCGAAACCTTTTGAAGTTGAACAAGTTGAAGTTGTTTATGAGGAAAGTGGGGAAAAGGAATTGTATCCGGTGAGTTTTCAAAGGGTTTTTCTGCTTAGAAAGTGTATTTATTGGCTGAAAATGTGAAAATTTAGTTGAAAAATGAAGAAAATATGAAATTTCTATGTGCCTTCAAATTTTTAAAACTGTTTCTACTGCCGAAAATTTGAAATTTAAAATTTTTGGGGCGAAATTTGAATGTTTCAAATTATTAATTTTGCCACCAAAATCTGGATTTTCATCGCGAAATGTGAGGGCTGATTCACGAAGGAAAAAATGTTGAAAAATGGTTTTTTAAAAGATCAATTCACGAAAAGTCAAAAAATATCGAAAAAACAACTAGTATTTCGAGTTTTTCAGCCAAAAATGATGAAAAATCGATATTTTCAAGCTTCTGGAATGATTTCTGATGAAAATAAGCTTCGAGAATCCTATTTTGCTTTATTTTTTTATTTTTTTTTCGAAATTCATCACGAAAATTCAGCAAAACCTTCTGGAAAGTGAATTCCAAGGTCAATTTTCATCAAAAACTACTCCAGAAGCTTGAAAAATATCGATTTGTCATCATTTTTGGCTGAAAAACTCGAAAAACTAATTTTGACCTACGACTTTTCGTGAAGATTCAAATTTCGCGCTGAAAATCCAGATTTTGGTGGCAAAATTAATAATTTGAAACATTCAAATTTTGCGCCAAAAATTTTAAATTCCTGATGAAAATTCATCTATCTTTCCGAATTTCAATAATTTCTAAATTTCCATCATACATCAGTTTCTTCCGGTCAGGGCCTCAAAATTAGCCACCCCCGAAATGTGAAAATACAAAAATTAGCCACATCCCCTCAAAAATAGAGAGAAAAACTTGGTTTTTGGGGTGTAATTTGTTATTTTTTCAAAAAGTTACCCGGTCCCCACCCCTTTTTACCAAAGTTAGCCAGACCCCCTCCGGACGAAAATCCGGGGATACTGATGTATGATTTCCATTTTTGCAGCTCCTCTCCTACCGCGAAATGACCGTAACCACTCCAGAAATCAACACAAAAATCGGAATAAATTTGGACGATCAAACAATGGCATAACTTCTCAACAAAATGTCGCTCGAAGCTCAAGTCGTCTCACCAAAAACGCTCAAAATCGTAGTTCCCCCAACTCGCCACGATATTCTACACGCTTGCGATTTTGCGGAAGATGTTGGAGTGGCTTACGGTTATAATAATCTAGTTTTGAGATTACCTGAAAGTAATACGGTGGCTGTCGCATTTCCAATCAATAAATTATGCGATAATTTGAGAATTGAAATTGCGGCGGCTGGATGGACTGAGGCTTTGAATTTTGCACTTTGTAGTCGAGATGATATTTCGGCGAAATTGAGACAACCGAAAGCTTTGGAACACGCGGTTCATATTGGAAATCCGAAGACTTTGGAATTCCAGGTAACTATTTTTGGGGGGAGTTAAAAATTGTGAAATTTTTTCCTAAAAATTTCGATTTTCTGTGCTTTTCCTAGCATTAGAAATTCGAATTTTCTAATAAAATTCTTTGAAACAGTGAAATTTTCCAATATCAAAATTCCCATTCATACATGTTTTACCCCTGGATTTATCCAGGGTTGCGGTCTTACTAACTCCGAAAAAAATTTGAGGTCCTACTAACTTTTTTTTGAAAATCGATTTTTTTGAAAATTTTTTTAATTAGTTATCATCATAAAGTTTTGAACATGAAATAATTTTTCGATTTCAAAATTGCTCTAGATTATGTCACAAGGTACACTCTTACTCATTATCCAAAATAAATGCTTTTTCTGAAAGATCTAGTGAGACCGCCGAACCAAAAACTCTCAAAAATCTACTTTTTTCATCAATACACCACTTTTATCATCATAAAGTGTTGAACGAAATTTGGTTTTTGTATCTGAAAATCATTCTAGGTTATGTTACAAGGTCCCCTTTTAGGTATTATGCAAAATAAAACCCCTTTCTAAGAAGTCTACTGAGACCGCCGGCCCAAAAACTATCGAAAATCTACTTTTTTCATCAATACACCACTTTTATCATCATAAAGTGTTGAACCAAAATTGATTTTAGCATCTGAAAATCGTTCTAGGTTATGCCACAAGGTCTATTCTTAATTATTATCCAGAATAAATGCCCTTTCTGAAAGGTCTACTGAGACCGCCGGCCCAAAAACTATCAAAAATCTACTTTTTTCATCAATACACCACTTCTATCATCATAAAGTGTTAAACCAAAATTGATTTTAGCATCTGAAAATCGTTCTAGGTTATGCCACAAGGTCTATTCTTAATTATTATCCAGAATAAATGCCCTTTCTGAAAGGTCTACTGAGACCGCCGGCCCAAAAACTATCAAAAATCTACTTTTTCATCAATACACCACTTCTATCATCATAAAGTGTTAAACCAAAATTGATTTTAGCATCTGAAAATCGTTCTAGGTTATGCCACAAGGTCTATTCTTAATTATTATCCAGAATAAATGCCCTTTCTGAAAGGTCTACTGAGACCGCCGGCCCAAAAACTATCAAAAATCTACTTTTTTCATCAATACACCACTTCTATCATCATAAAGTGTTAAACCAAAATTGATTTTAGCATCTGAAAATCGTTCTAGGTTATGCCACAAGGTCTATTCTTAATTATTATCCAGAATAAATGCCCTTTCTGAAAGGTCTACTGAGACCGCCGGGCACTTATATAAAATTCTGGATAAAATCCAGGGTAACCCTGGATAAAATCCAGTGGTCTCAACTATTTTCCCCATGCAGCATTATTTATCAATTTCATAGTTCAATATACCTCAATAGGACCTTTAGACACACTTTGCAAATTTTCAAGCGAAAATATTAATTTTGACATACTTTTCTAGGTTTTGAGTTTTCTGGTTATAACCAATTTTCAACATTTTCGAATGGAAAAAAGTATTTTATCGTATTTATTCATTGAAGATAAGCTTTTATATTGTTGTATAAGGTCTAAAGAATTCGTCATTCAATTTACAATTCAATCCATGATTTTCTTCTATATTTTTTTGAATAATTGAATGTAAAATACAAAAATGTAATTTACTGTTTGTGTTTTTTCTATCTCTCAAACGCATCCTATTCAAATGAGAAAAACAGCATGCGGGTTATGTGGGCACACATAGCGCAGTGGTAGAGCGCTGAGTTAGGGACCCAATGGTAGCTACGTAACCATAGGGTTCGAGTTCACATACTGGAAACGTGTTGCAAAATTTTTCAATTTTTTTCGAAAAAAAAAATAAAAAATTTTTTTAGTGTGGGAGGCTTTTGCCCCCACACTAACGGTCTTACTAACTTTGAAAATTTTTATTTGAGGTCTCGCTAACTGTAGGGATCGATCCAGGGAGAAAAACATGTATGTTCCCATTTTATTTTTTTTGACTACAGCTATATCAAGACTGATAATGGTAATCTAACGTCTATTTTTCAAGATTAAAATTATTTGAAACAGTGAGATTTTTTTTAGAAACATAGGAAGTATGAAAAAAAATAAAATTTTCTGAAAATTTTGAAACAGTCAGATTTTTTTTTAGAATTATATTTCTATTTAAAATTATTCCAATAAAAATGTTTGAAACAGTGAAAAATTTTGTAGTAATTTTTTTTTGAATTTTTTTGTTTCAATCGTATTTTTAAAGTCTGTATTGCACAAAGTATGTTTCAAAAAATGCATAAAAATTCCCAATTTCCACAAATTTTGAAACAGTGAGATTTTCTATAGTTTTTTTACAATTGAAAATCAAAGTTTTCTTTTTTTTTTTTTTTTTGAAATGAAAAAAAAACAATTCAAAATTTCCACAAATTTTGAAACAGTGAATTTTTCTTTCAATCAAAGTGTGGATTATTATTGAAATTTGTCGAAACAGTGAAATTTTCTCCTACAAAAAAATTAATTAAAAATTCCCGAATTTTCCAGGTCGCCCGAACCTCACTTCTCCCAGGATTATTGAAAACGCTGGCTTCAAACCGAGATATGCCACTTCCATTGAAACTTTTTGAATTGCAAGATGTTATTGTCAAAGATTCGACAACAGGTGAGGGATTTTTGAGGAGGGAATTTTGAGTTTTGAAAATCGAAACCCGGAAAACGGAAAGTCGGAAAATTTCCGGATTTTTTGAGCCGGAAATTTCGATTTTCAGCCTTAAGTTGACACTAAAACTTAACTATTTGAGACGTTTTACGATCAAAAAAATAGTAAAATTTGAAAAAGTGAAAAAAAATTCAAAAATTTCCCTAAATTTAGGCAATATTAAAAATATTACTACTAAAGATCATTTTCCGAGCACATTTTTTTTATTTTTGAGCTGAATATTCATGAAAATTCTTTTTTTTTTGCTCATTCTTTTTTTCAAGATCAAAATTTTTTCCGAAAATTCAATTTATTTATGCTTTTTGAGTAAATCGACCACGCTGATCATCATCTGCAACTCAGTTTTTTCATAAAATGCCCAAGGTACGCAGTCAAATTGAATTTTTCTAGTGCTCAAAAATCGTATTTTTGATACCAAAATTTATCTGCGTACCTAAATTTCTATTGGCCGAGTATCAAATGCCCAAGGTACGCAGTCAAATTCAATTTTTCTAGTTTGCTGTTCTGCTCAAAACATACATAAAATGGGTCCCCTGAATCGGGGTGAGGGGCTTAACTTTTTTTCAAAAATTTGAAGAGAAGGGTGCCTAACTTGGCCAATTTTCTGCTGATAATTTACCAAAATTCGCTCAAAAATGTGAGGCAGGTGTTTAACTTTGGAAAATTTTCAAGAAGGGACCCTAACTTTAAAAACTGACTCGGGGGACCTATTTTATGTATGGCTCAAAAATCGTGATTTTTGATACCAAAATTTGGCTGCGTACCTGACATTCTATTGGCTGAGTATCTAATGCCAAAGGTACGCAGCCAAATTGAATTTTTCTAGTTTGCTGTTATGCTCAAAAATCGTGTTTTTGATACCAAAATTTGGCTGCGTACCTGAAATTTTATTGGCTGAGTATCAAATGCCAAAGGTACGCAGCCAAATTGAATTTTTCTAGTTTGCTGTTATGCTCAAAAATCGTGTTTTTGATACCAAAATTTGGCTGCGTACCTGAAATTCTATTGGCTGAGTATCAAATGCTCAAGGTACGCAGCCAAATTCAATTTTTCTAGTTTGCTGTTCTGCTCCAAAATCGTGATTTTTGATACCAAAATTTGGCTGCGTACCTGATATTCTATTAGTAACGCCTTTAGTCTATCCTTCTGCGTTTTGCGTAACGCCTTTAGTCTATCCTTCTGCGTTTTGCGTTACGCCTTTAGTCTATCCTTCTGCGTTTTGCGTAACGCCTTTAGTCTATCCTTCTGCGTTTTGCGTAACGCCTTTAGTCTATCCTTCTGCGTTTTGCGTTACGCCTTTAGTCTATCCTTCTGCGTTTTGCGTAACGCCTTTAGTCTATCCTTCTGCGTTTTGCGTAACGCCTTTAGTCTATCTTTCTGCGTTTTGCGTAACGCCTTTAGTCTATTCTTCTGCGTTTTGCGTAACGCCTTTAGTCTATCCTTCTGCGTTTTGCGTTACGCCTTTAGTCTATCCTTCTGCGTTTTGCGTAACGCCTTTAGTCTATCCTTCTGCGTTTTGCGTTACGCCTTTAGTCTATCTTTCTGCGTTTTGCGTAACGCCTTTAGTCTATCTTTCTGCGTTTTGCGTAACGCCTTTAGTCTATCCTTCTGCGTTTTGCGTAACGCCTTTAGTCTATCCTTCTGCGTTTTGCGTTACGCCTTTAGTCTATCCTTCTGCGTTTTGCGTAACGCCTTTAGTCTATCTTTCTGCGTTTTGCGTAACGCCTTTAGTCTATCCTTCTGCGTTTTGCGTAACGCCTTTAGTCTATCCTTCTGCGTTTTGCGTAACGCCTTTAGTCTATCTTTCTGCGTTTTGCGTTACGCCTTTAGTCTATCTTTCTGCGTTTTGCGTTACGCCTTTAGTCTATCTTTCTGCGTTTTACCCTTGGAAATGCGCGATCAAAAAATTATTGATGATTATTATTTAACGTTTTTCTGAAACGTAAAAAATCAGGGTTTTTTGTTGCGTGACCCATAAAAAATCCCGCTATTTAAAGCCAAAAATCATCAAATCTGGTCATTTTAGATTTCATCTGAGCCACCTTCGGTTCCAGAATCCAAATCAAAAGAACAAGAAGAGCCGCACAAAGAGCACAGTGGAACAAAAATCAAAGAGAAAATATCGGATTTGAGTGTGAAGACACCAACAGCGGTGACTGCGATCAATTCGAAAACATCGACAACGACTGAGAGTACGATTACTCTGGATGTTAAACAGGATGCGTTTGGAACACTTGATGTAAGATTCGGTTGAAAATTGAAGCTCAAAAAAGAATATATATATGTGGCCGAGAAATGTCGGGAATTCGGCCACATATATTTTTTGTTTGAATTTTTTGAAAAGTTTCAAAAAAATGCTCATAATCTCTGGGTGAAAACGAATGAGTCATAATTTTACAGGATGAAGAATTTGAAAAAGCCGCCGCAAACATTCCAAATCAACTCAACGATGAAGACGAAAAGGATATCCTCCGCCTTGCTCCAAAAATCCTAAAAATCGCCAAACGCCACAAGGCAATGGAGAAATGTCGAAGACAGCCGAAGAGAACGAAACGCTCGCCAAATTCTTTTCGGGCAAAAAGTCGTTGACTCCCGAAGTTTTGGCGACACTCGATGTTGGTCTCGATAAAATCATTGATCATCTTCATAAGAATAATTTGGCGATTGATGAGGAGACGAAACGAATTATTAAACATCGCGATAAATTGAAGGCGGCGATGATGAAGGAGTTTTTGGTGTCTCCACAGTATTTGCCGAAGAGTTGGACAGCTAAATTTAATCGTAAGTTTTGCAAACGTGCAAAATTTCCTTGCTAGAAAGATAATTTTCAGAATGGAAAAGTGAGGCTGAAAATCAGAAAAATGGTGTAAACTGGTTCCGAATTCTATTCGCCTATCCAAAACATAAATCATTTGATGATGGACCAGAAGACATATTTGGAAATTTTAATAAAAGAGATCGAGGGCTTTTGATTGGCCTTATTCTTGGACCTGGAGATGTCAAATCATTTGAGGAAACTAAACGGGAAGACGATTGTCAGGGAATGTTCCTTGATACAAAATTGATTGAGCACGCTGGAAATGAGCCGGATTTGACGAGTGCAACGAAGACTTATGTGAATTTGGAGAAAATGGAGAAGCAAGCGTCGGAGCCGAAAATATCGGCGAATTTGAATAATAATAAGGAGAAAGCGGAGAATGAGAAGAAAAAAAGAGGATATGAAGGATAAAGCCAAATAAAAAGTTTGTGGTTTCTAATTTTTTGTATGTATTTTCTCCGTATTTCTCCTGTTTTCTTAACATGTTAAGAAAATACATGATAATGAAGAAAAATTTGGGCGTATCAAAAATTGCTGACAAGGGAAGTGCATAAGGTTAGGTTTTGAACTTTTTTTGCAATTTAGTACACAATTGAAGCGATTTGAAGCACAAATCACTTCAAAATCACTAATTTATCAATAAAACTCCTCCTGTTTTTTTCTCCTCCTGTTTTTTTGGTTGAGAAATTAATCTGAATAGCCCCATAACTAAATCGAATATGAAGAAGTCTTGTAGAATTTCAAATATTCTAGCAATTGTCGAATTTTGTTCACCTCGCATTCAATGATTCGAAATGGTTTGAATTTGAATTATGCAATAATTATGAAACAACATCGATCAATTATTTAACGTTTTTCTGAAACGTAAAAAATCAGGATTTAAAATCAGGATTTAATTTGAAATTTTCAAATTTTTTGGATCTAGAAAATGTAAAATTATCCGGAAATTTAAAAATTCCCAAATTTTTATTACTTATTTTTACCCGAAAAACTTGTTGGCTCAATCTTGTCATAACCACGTTCGGCTATGTTTCTGTCAAAAAAAATTGAGTTTTGATCTTTTGCCTTTCCCGGGGTGGACTGTGCAAGTTGTAACACTATTTATGAGACACCCTGTACACATTCCATAGATCGACAATTTGACAGTTCTCTGGAAAAAATGCATTTTTTGGATATTTTCCGGAAAAAATTCAAAATTTTTGATGATTTCGAAATTTCGGTGAGATTTATGAAGAATTTTTAGACTAAACAATTTTTGAACTGAATTTTCGGGAAATTTTCTTGATTTTTGTTTTCATTTTAAAAAATTCTAAAATTCAGAATAACACTTGAAATTCGACATTTTTAATGATTTTCAGATGGAAAATATATTTTTGAGCTGAATTTCAGAATTCTGAGACTAAAAAAGTTTTCCGATATTCAATTTTTTAACTCAATTTACGTGATCTATTTTTTTTTGAGCACGCGGCAAAAAAAAAAAATAAAAACAAAATAAAACCCAAAAAAATCAGTTCTCGATATTTTTATAATGGCAACTACTAGCGAATATTTAAAAATTGATAAAAATCAAATTTTGTCAATTTTTCCAATTAGTCTACTTGAAACAAATAACTTTATTCACTTGTTTACTAGAATTTTTGAAAAAGAATTCGAAATAATTGGTGGAGATTCGAAATTGTATTTGATTTTCGAGGAAAAGAACAGATCGAACAAGGAAGTTCAGATTTTGACGGATTTTGAAGGAACTTCTGATGAAAATGGGATGAATGCGAAGATTATTAGGATTGCTCCGATTGATTTGATGCTCAAGATTTGTGCTCAAAATTCACAGTGAGTTTTCAAACATCAAATTGCGTTCGATTTGACACCAAAAATGTGTATGCTAAAAAAAAACCTTAAAATCTTTAAAAATTACAGAACATTGAAAAATGCTGGCATTTCAATCTTCTGGACTTCGAAAAACGATCATATTCAACTCGATTTTTACTTGAATCCCAATTTCATAATTGATAACATTTTCGATTTTGAACAACTCGAAAAATCGTGCAAAAATGCTCAAATCCTCAACAAAATCTTCATCGAAACATTTACCGGAAAACCAAAACAACTTCTCAAAACATTTTGGAGTTTTCCAATTTTGGCAAATTTCGAAACAAATCGTTTTTCGTCGCATTTTTCGAAATATTTGAAGTCGGAAATGAGAAATCAGCGGGTTCCGATTGATGATATTCAATTATTCTATTATCCATCATTTGGAATGTTTTCGCGCAAAAAAATCGATAAAATACCAATCGAATTAATGGCAAAAGGTGGAATTTTGGCGGATGAAATTGGACTTGGAAAAACTATTGAAATGTTGGCATTGATTGTGTCGAATCAGAGAAAATTCAGGAAAATTGCGGCGAGGAATGAGAAGTTTGAACGATTGAATTGGGAGGAATATGTGGATGTGAGATATATTTTGGTGCAATAAAAAACTTACACTTTTCCATTTTTTTATCAAAAACCGAAAAATAGCAATTGCGCCCTATTGAAATATCAATTTTCCATGCAAAAGTCAAAATTTTATAAAAATATGGAAGCTCTTCTAGTTTTACAATTGCATCATTATCGAGCCAAATTTCGAAGATTTTAGTATTCGAGAAAAAAAACCCGCGAAATTAAATAAGGCTGGCAACCAGCCAACTGTTGGGTCCTGCAGCGATAGTCCAAGAATTCTGATTTTTTTAAATTTCGGGGGTTTTTTGTGTCTGCGTCGTGTATTCTCTATTTGTTCAACACAACACATGGTTGAAACAAAGTGCTTTAATTAATTATCATCACACATTTGAATTGAAAGGAATTTAATTGTTTAATGTTGAAATTCTCAATCCCAATACATTTTTGCCAATTTTGGATATCTGACAAACATCGCACGCACAATTCGCTTTCCAAACCTTCGGAATACGATGCTCTGCAGAATGAGCATTTGTACAATGGTTGACCACGATATAATGGGACAAAATTGCGAGAGCAGATTACGAATGGATTATTCTCGTCGTAGAGGAACTAGAAAAAATTGAAGATTTTTGGTGGAATTTTTTGAAGTCAATAGTCAGCAGATGGAACATTTTTTATGATTTTTTGTGTAAAAATTTGGAAATTCGGTTTTTTTTTGATGAATTGTTCCATTTCAAAATTTCACTATAATCAATAAATTTGGAAATTTTCAAATAAGAATTCCGTACAAATTTCCGTCTGAAAATTCAGGAAAAATCCGACTTTTTTCTCAAAAAAAGTCTGATTTTTCAGAAAAAATGAATGAAATTTGAGCCAACAAATGAATGAAATTTGAGCCAAAAATTTGAAATTTTCAAATTTTTAAATAAAAATTTTGAATTTTGAGCTAAAAATCTAAAATTTTCGAATTTTCAGATAATTTTACATTTTCTAGACCCAAAAAATCTGAAAATCACGAATTTTCAGCTCAAAAAAACTCACTTTTTTTCAAAATTCCCGGATATTCAGCTTCTTCATTTTCCTCAATTTCCAATTTGACTTCAAAATTCGAATATTCCGCTTCCTCAATTTCCAGTTTCACTTCTACAACATTTTCAGTCAATTTTTGTGGATTTTCAGATATTTCGAGTTTGACTTCACAATTTCCAGCTTCTGGAGCAATTTCAGGCTCTGGAGCAGATTCTGGAGCTCTAACAGAGTTCGATCTTGCTCTTCCAACCTTTTTGACCACAATTTCAGCTCCCGGAGCAGATGTGCGAGGATTTTCAGCATTTCTAGGTTGAATTTCAGGCGCTGGAGCAGAATTTGATGAATTTTCAGCTTTTTCAGCTTGAATTTCAGCTTCTGAAGCAGATTTTGATGAATTCTTCGATTTTTCAGCTTTCTGACCATGTTTTTCAGATAATTTTGTCGAAATTCTTGTAGAAGATCTTTCAGGTGGAACTTCAGGCTTCTGATCATCAATTTCAGCTTCTTGTGCAGATTTCGCCGAACTTCCAGCAATTCTTGAAGATCTTCGCGGACTTTCCGGTGGAATCACAGGCCATTCATCAATTTCCGGTTTTTCATCAATATTTTCAGCCTTTTTCGATTTCTTGGCTGCAATTTCAGCTTTTCGCAATTTTTTTGATTTTTCAGTCGGAATTTCGGGTTTTTCATCATTTACAGCAGCCAAATCCATCAAAGTTTCAGATTTTCTCGATTTTTTTGGCCGGATTCTCGTTATTATTGATGAAATCTAACATTTGTGAAGAATTGTGGACAGCTGCAAAAATTATTGATTTTTCAGTCAAAAAATCAATATTTTCCTACCTCATTGAAAAACCGATATTTCAGTGGGGAGCATTTGCTATTTCATGAAAAATTTTGACTTTTGCAGGGAAAACTGATAAAAGCTGGCTTGAGGGCCGCAAATAGCCGCAAAACGACAGGATCGTAATAAGCCATGGTGTCACTTCACACAAACGTGGTCGTGGCCTAGGAAACCACACATTTGTATTTCTCTCGAACAAGAATTTATTTTTTATTTTTCTTTCGAGAAGTGTTTTTTTCTGTACTAGTGGACCCAGGGCGCTATGCCTAAACTTGTTCAATCACCACCTGGCCATAATCATCTGCTCATTTAGTGAACAGATCAATTTTTTATTGATTAGAAAGATTGGGTCATGTCGTTTTAAGACAAAGCCCAAGCCTTGAGACCTCATTAGAAATGTTTTTTAGACAACGACTGGACCGAAAGGTCTTTTTAGAAAGCTTACTCGCCCGGGAACTCAAATTAGCTCGAGAAATATTCTTCAATTTAAAAATCAAAAAAAGCGCAAAAGCTGCAAAGACCGTAATGCAATCGTGCACATAAATATTTTTGTCAGCTTTCCAATTTTCCAACCAGATTCTGTAGAATCCCTCCGTTGAAAAATTATGTTCATTTTTTTTTCTTGGGAATGCGGAAAGAGAAATTTCGGGGATCCGGATTGCTGAGGAACCACATTATGAAGGAATTCATCTTATTTTTATAATATTTATTGACAAAAAAAAAACAACATAAAGTTAAAATTACCAATATACAGTAGCGGCAAAAAAGAAATGCACTTACCTCCTCTAATAGATAAAGTTTTCAATACAACCAGAGGGTGTTTGAAACTTTTGTACTAATACAAATTGTGTGAATCAGCGTGAAAATAACCCTAGAAATATTTCAAACAATTTCTGGATGTTTTGGAGACATTATCTGTGTCTATCAGAAGCAGTTAGTGCATTTCTTTTTTGCCGCTACTGTATTGCATGGTCCAGTCGAAAATGGAGGCGATTGAGTTGGCATCTAAATAATTTGGAATGTTAATATGGAAACATGCAAGTTATCCGCGTCAGCGCGAAATTTTATGAATAATTTGTAAGGATGCGATTCGTGAATTTGCAAATTCGAAATATGGCGGTTTTACCTTGGAAAGGTTCTCTTTTTACCCTTGTGCCACCCCCCCCCCCTCCACTCTCCCAGAAAAGTTACTCACCTCTTTATCAAAAAGTGACTCATCAATTTCGACCTCATCCTGTGCTCCAATCAACGTCATATCCGACAAATTCAAAGTGGCACCCTTCAAGAACAATTGTCTTCCCGTCCGTCAACCTGCCATCCAACGCAGCCAATCGCTCCTTCTCCGCACTCTCATTTGCCGCCTTCCGCTCCGCATCGAATTTCTCCTTCCAAGCGCGTAAACTCTTCGGCGTCACAACATTTCCCTACTTTTTGCTCGATTTCGAGCAATCTCCGCCTTTTCACATTTAATAATTCCTCCATTTCTTCTTGCATTGCTGAAACTATCGCAAATACCATAACCATACACAAATTCTCTTCAGCAACCGCTTTCATTTTCTCAATTGCCTCGAAAATCCGAGTAACCTCAAATTTCTCATCAATTCCATCAATTGTTGTTTCAGGAATCCCTTCCGGATAATTCTCAGTGAATTTTATACTTAATTCAACTGTAAAATCATCATTTCCAGGTTCACCAAACTGCAAAAAGTTTATATGATTTCAATTTAACAAATAAATTGAAGCAAAAACTTACTTGATTTGATTTCAGTGTTATTTGTAGGCTGATTTCTGGATGTTCTCGATTCAGAATTCCCCTTCTGTATAAATTGCTTCGAGCTCTTCCAATTCTCGCTCATGCTGTTCTGAAGCTGAGTTGAACGGCAGCCTCCAGATCGCAACCTCGGCGAAAAAAGAGAAAAAACGAAAAAAAAAAGAGAAAATGAAAAACATTCGAGCAGCGCGTCACATCGCGACGAGACCCAAACGAACAATTCGTCCTCCCTTTAATCTACGCTCTGTTGAGAAAAATTGGCAAGCTGCCCAAAAAAAATGTGTGCAAGTTTGCGTCATGGTGTTCATTGCGGACAGCGAAGATTCATTTTTTCTGACCGTTTTTTATAGGGAAGATTTTTTTCGAGAAATAGCTTTTTCTAAGTTTATTTTCTGTTGCAGATAGATTAAAATGGACACTTGCATCATTTTGTGATGGTGAAACGATGACAAAATATTGTGTTGTTTTATTTTTGCGAAAATTATGTTGGAAATCGCGGTGATCAGAATTCTTATGAAGGAGACGATGGAGATTTTGAAGAAAAATATGAAAATTTCAAGTTCTTGAGGACTGTGATGCGGAATTCGATCGATTTCGAGTTAACTATGTTTGAACATCGAATTCTTTGTTTTTTTTTGTAATGGAAAAGTGTAAGTTTTTTTTAATTGCAAAATATATAATTAATTTTTAAATCTTTTTTGAAAAGCGACCAAGTTTTATTAAAAACACGAAAAATAATATTAAAGAGCAAATAAATTGATCATGGCCCAAAGACGATTGAATAGTGGAAGTGATTTCACTCACTTTCTTTTCTCCTTTTTCGGCTTTTTCTCATTTTTCTGCTTCTCCTCTCTTTTCTCTCTTCGTAAAGCCCGAATTTCCTTTAAAAAAAACAAGTTTTGATCAAAATTATAAAAGGGTAATTTTTAAACTCACATCAACAATTTTAGACGAATTTGTCTCCGAACTCAACTTGTCCAACCAAAAATTGACGTCATCGTACAATTGTTCATTGTACATGGGCGCAATTATTTTCAGCAAATCAACTGAAATAATATAATCTGTCGACAAATCGATGAGTTTTCTGCGAAATGTTTCATCCGACTCAAACCGCCACACATACCACAATTTCTGAAAAACATAATAATTGAGAATATTTTTCGAAATATTGTACACTCACGTCGAAAATATTATTTCCCAATCGAGGTTTGAGGTCGACATAAACCATGTCCTCTAGAGTCCAATCCGCTTTCTTCAACATCCGAACAATATCCATCTGAAAATGTTTGTTTTTTAATTGGCAAAATAAATTTTGAATCGGGCCAGGTGCGAAAAAAATGTATTGAAAATATTTCACCATGGTTCGTTTCAAAAATCCTTCTAAATCGGATTCACTTAATTAAACCTGGCCCAATTTCTTCAGACCAATTCAAAAAATGGCCATAGTTATTCGAAAGTAAACTCACTTTTTCCGCTATTGTTGCTTTTTGGTTGAATAATTTTTTCAATCTATCCATTTCCGAGTTTTGATTCAATTTCTGCTCCAATTTTTGTTCAACACTCATAGTTCGATCAACAAGTGACATATAAAATTCTTCTTTGTCAATTTGTCCAATTTGTTGTTCAATTGGCTCGACGGTTTCACGTCTTTCGATTGCAGATAACAATGTCTGGAAAATGAATGAATTTGTTGGCGGATGGGAAACGGAACATTGCTCTTTTTCATAATTGTAGTTTTATTCCAAATTTTCAAATGTTCCAAATTTTAAAATGTCAATTTCATTGAAAATCTTGAATTTTTAGTCTCAAATGTTTTTTTAAACATCCGACCTGTATTGGAAAAGTGAGAACTGGAAAATTAGAAAGTTGGAAATTTGTTGCAATATTATAATTTTTTTATTCAATTCTAATGACGGTTTGATTTTTCAAAAAATGCACTATTAAACATTTTGATGAAAGTATAAACGTACCGGATTTCGAACCGTTTCATCAGAATTGAATAATGTTGATCCAGTATCTTGGTGCAATATAATACTCAATTCATAATGATCGCACACTTGCATGCATTTATCGACAAATTTTGAATTGTCTTCATAACAAATATTTGGATCAATCTGAAATATAATGAGTTCTTTTCTAGAATAAATAACTCTTAATACTTACTTTAATAAATCCAATGAGATTTTTCAATGATTCTTCCATTAAGACAATAAGTTTGGATCCTTGACAATCCAATTGTTCAGACGACATCTTTACCAAATGGAATTGATCATTCTCCATGCTCCATTCTCCCCTGAAAAACCGATTTGAATAATTTTAGAAATTTTTCCTAAACTAACCAATAGTATGTTCCTCTAATAAGTTTAATGATTGTTTCGAATTGAGATTTATTAGCGATATGCTCCATCTTCCTTTCTAAAAACTGACCAAAACTGATAAAATTCCAGTTTTTATACTGCTACGTTTTTTATAAAATGTCACGTTTTGTATTTTTCCTGTTGTGATTTGTTTTATTTTATTTTATTAAAAATGTAGGATTATTTTCACTTTAGCAAAAAAAACAAAACACTGGGAAAAAATCTGGCGATTAAAGTAATTCCAAGCTAAAATAAAAACGATTGAGAGCCGAAATTTATTTCAAGGTTTCCAACAAATATACATTAGTACTGTATTTTTTGTTTTTTGTATTTTTCTGTTGAAATTATTGATTTTTCTTCTGTAATTATATTTTTCTGTTCTTCTGTAATTTTCTAAAAATTCCGTTTTTTTCAGATTTCTCAAACTTGAGAAATCTTTTTCCAAAATAAAATTTGGCTCTTTTTTTTTTTTAGTCTTTTGATCTCTTAAATGTTTTAAAATATTTTCTCTCACATTTTTTAAACTCTTCATATATTTTTATTTCATATTCTATCAGTTCCAATTGGTGAGCTATCAATAGTTTTTATTTCCAGTACTAGCCAATATCGAAATACAGTATTCCTTCTCCCATTTTCCTTTTTCTTTCCACTTTTCAGTGCATTTGTGCGTCGCAGTGTTTCAACACGACGACGCACAAATGCACTGAAAATGGGAAATGCAAATTTGAGTCGAAATCCGCGATAGTGAAAGGTTTGTTAGATTTTTTGCAGCGAAATTGATTTTTTGTTGTTGTAAATATCAAAACGAGTGAAACATTTGAACATTCACTCTGATTTTTCAATTTTCCCGGTGTAAAATCTATCAAAAACCATATATTTTTTTTCAAAAATTGGTTTTTTTTCCAGGAATTTCATTCCACCCGTCTCGACCATGGATTGTAATATCTCTTCACAGCGATGTTATTCAATTGTGGCATTATCGAATGTGTGTACTTCTCGAGAAGTTTGATGAGTATGACGGACCAGTTCGAGGAATCTGTTTCCATCAAGAACAACTGATTTTTGTGATGGTGTTGTGAAACAAACAAGTTCTCGAAGGACATGTTGGTGATGTAAATTGGGTTGTATTCCATCATCAAATGATAATTGTTGTTTCTGGTTCAGACAAGTTATAAAATGTGAACATATAATGAGACAAAAGCTTGAGAAGTTGATATTTATCGAGGATAATATTATAATACATATTATATATATATATATATAATCTATTCGTATTATTCTATCCAAATCCAGAGTTGATTTTGTGGATAAACGTATTCGAGTTTGGGATATGCAAAAACGCACAAGACTTCATGTTTTCAGGTAATTTTGAGATTTTGTGCAGAAATATGTATATCTCAAATTCGAGAAAGAAAATCTACTTATATATATACAAGAATGATACACCGGCTATCGCCGGTGTTCATTCTTGTTTTGCTACGCAGCCTTCGGCTGCGGTTATGGAAAAATTAATTTATGTATATCTGCAAGGTTTTCTGAAAGTAATCTCCTTCCTAGTTTGCAGACCAAATTCAGAAGTAAAAACCAAAAAGATATTTCCAAACTTTTGAGCCACTCAATTTTTTTTTCTGAAAATAAGGCGATTTCGAAGAATTCTAATTTTCCAATTAACTTTACTTGAAAGTTCCGGAAAATACGGAAAGTTTTCGGCACAGGCTTTAATTATAACAAATGTTTTATGAAAATTTTCTATACATAAAATTGGTCCTTAGAATCAAGGTGAGAGGCTTAATTTTTCTCAAGAATCTAAAGAAAATGGTACCTAACTTGGCCACTCTTTCTGCTAACAATTCACAGAGTTTCCATGAATACAAAAAAAATCTGTAGTTGTCGAACAATGATTCACAAACTTGTATTTTTCATTGAAAAGTGCATTAAATTTCTGAAATAGCGAACACAGGCTCCGGAAAAATAGCTGATCTTCATATTTTTCTTTTAAGAACAACATCTTTTCATAAACTTTTCAGATAGCTTTTGTTTGCATTCTCTTTTTCAAAATATGAAGAGCACCTACTTTTCCATGGTCCATTTTCACACACTTTCCGAAAATCCAACTATGTAGGAGATGTTTCACTTTTTTATGAAAATTACGTCGCTTTTAGTCCCATCCCTGATGGGGTGATTCAAGTCGAAAAAAAATTAGTAAAAAAATTTTTTTGACAAAAATTTCGATTCAGCAAATGTCAAAAAACTATATTTTTTCCTATTTTTGACATTTTTTTTACATTGCAATATTTTCGCTTTGAGATATTTTTCATTTTTGTGTGGAAAAAATGTCAAAAAATAGAAAAAAAAACATTTTTTTTGACATTGCTGAATAGAAACTTTTTTGTCTAAAAATGTTTTTTATTATTTTTTTTCAACCTGAATCACTCCATTAGTTTGTGTCAGGTCTCAAAAAACTCGAAATTTTTCGGTCGTAAATTACAAACTGTGAAAATGAAATTTTCGTAAAAATTCTTTGTAAACTTATCTTTTGGAGTCAGATCAAAAACATTAACTTAATAGCTCTGCCCAAAAAATACGACACTTTTATGATGACACTTTTATGAGAATCAGGCAGATAATTATGACTTCACTTCATAATTCAGGTAAAAGAGTAACACTCAAGCGAGTTTGATAGTTTAGTTCAATTTCTTATGATCTCTTCTTCCGAAACTTATCAAAATTGAAGTGGAATAAGATCATTATGTGAATTCTTTTCGGAATCTTGAAATGAAAAAAGATTAAAAGATTTTCACGTCTGAATTAAAAATTCGAAAGTGGGGCATTTATATAGGTCAAACGGGACATAAGCCCAATAATATATAAGTATGATAATATATAAGTATGATATGTGAATTCTTTTCGGAATCTTCTCAGAGAATAAGAACGGAAATCCAGTGGACAAAGTCCTCCGCTGGAGTTCCGAAATAGCGAATTTCGGAATCCCGTCGGAGAGATCTCTCCGGCGGACTTCCAGATATGTTTTTTCGCCAGAACGACAAAAACGGACTCCAAAACTTGGAAAACCAGTGGAGAACATTGTCCGCTGGAGTTCCGGAATGAGTTTTGGCTTTCTTTTGGAATTCCAGCGGAGAATTCTCTCCGGCGGAGTTACCAATTGTGTCCAGAAAGACTACGGCGGAGAGAAGAAATGAATTTTTGACTTATGAGTTGAAACTTCAATTTTCATGTTTTTTCCATAAGGTTTTCGGTTAGACGTTGAGGAACAAACTTTTTGATTAGACTATCAAATTGTGAACGGAAAAATGAATTTTTGAAAAGTTTTAGTTCGTGAATTTCATGAAGTTCCTCCCAACTTCAAAGACTGGAAAACAGTTGCCTCATTATGAATTTATGGACTAAACTTACTCGTTTCTGACAGAAAAAAGTTGTACTGTAATTTCAATTTTTTGAATGTCTCACATTAAAGCTATTGATAAAAATTAGATCCTGAATTCAACGAAACTATTTTTTCTGGTTAAAATCTGGTATAATTTCAAGGATTACCTGTTCAGGAAGTATTATCATCTCTTTTCTTAAAAGTATTCATGAATTAGAAAATTTAAATCAGCCTGAGAAAATTTTTCGTTACTTTTCAAGTGAAAATTATAAACACATGCTTCGAAAATTGAAATTTCAGCACTCTTCTACGAACATTTTTAAATCAAAAAACTTAAGATTAAAATGTTGAATGTTGACTCTCTGGAGTTAAAAACATCATTTTTGTATGTTTTTCAAGAAATATTTGGAAAACTAGATAAATCTCATATGAAACAGCTTTCAAATAATTAATTTTAATCCTTAAATAGCTAATTTGTGTTTCAAAAGTATGAACATATACAAATTCGGGTGATACAAAATATATAAAGACCAATCACCGCCGCTGTTTCTATGCGCGTGGATGGTGTATTTGGGTGAATGGCTGCCTATTGATCCACCCACAATAGCCAGGTTCGACCCCCCGCTAGTGGCAGATCAAAATAGACTACTTCGAAATCAAACCGACTTATCATAAATCAGTTTCAGATGCTTCAAATAGGTTCCAGATGACAAAAACAGCTTCAGATAGAAGCCCCATCAACCTCATATTTTCCTTTTTAATTTTGAAAATTTTGCCTCCCGGAGTTCCGGCGGAGAGTTTTCGGACTTCCAGCGGTGGTAGAATGGAATTCCGGTTTCTCTCCGCCGGAACTCCGAAAACTCTCCACTGGTCTTCCGTTCTTATTCTCTGAGTTGAAATGAAAAAAGATTAAAAGATTTTCACGTCTGAATTAAAAATTCGAAAGTGGGGCATTTATATAGGTCAAACGGGACATAAGCCCAATAATATATAAGTATGATATATTTCTGGAAAAAATGTGACGTCGAGCTGAAGTTTCATAAGCTCGAGTCTTCAGATCGTCAGAATTTTGTGATTTTTCGAGCAAAATCCAACTTTTCAAATTTTCAGACACAAGAACGAACGCTTGTGGGTCGTTGCTGCTTATCCAAGTTTGAATATGTTTGCCGCCGGACATGACAACGGAATGGTTGTTTTCAAAATTCAAACAGAACATCCAGCTTATTTTGTCAATGAGAATCTCGTTTTTTATGTCAAAGATAAACAATTGAGAAAACTCGATTTCACCACAAACTTAGTTTTGAAGAAATATTGGTAGTTTTTGCTCCGCTGATCATGATTTCTCATATTCAAAGTTGATTGATAAGATGTTCTTGATTCTCCACCAGTTTGTAAATTGGAGGAAAATTGACGATTGTTGGCGTCGGTTCGTGAAGCATTTGATGCGCAATTATTGGAACTTGAAGGAGGAGTTGATAGAGAAGCTGCAGCGAAAACTGGAGGTGTTAAACTGGCTTCTGATGTAAGTTTAGGGGGAAAATCTAACATTTCCTTGAAATTTCAGATTTTTAGCTAGTTTCTAAATGACTTTCTAAATGGCTTCTGTAATTTTCGAAAAAATTCTGATTTTCTGCTCAAAATATTTTTAATTCTCAGTTTGAAGCGAAAAATCAAGGATTTTCAAGTTACATAATCGAAAATATAAGCCGAATTCTAGTTTTGCTCAAATTTTCGCTCGAAAAAATAATATATGTGCTATAAAATAATGATTTTGTTAAATTTTTCTTCATTTTGGATAAAAGTGGGCCTGATGGTGCTTGGGGTGATGATGAAAATCTAGATTTTTTCAAACTTCCACTTGACATTTCACCTCAAAAATTTCAATTTTTACAGGATGTTGATGGTGGGGGCTGATGATGCTTGGGGTGATGATTAGTATTTGATTGGCGAAAACGGAGAGTCTGAATTTGATAAAGGTGAAGGTGGAAATGGTGGAATTAGCGAGGATGACGAAGAAGGCAGTTGGGATGTTGATGATGATTTGGCAATTCTTGATATCACTGAAGATGGCATTGGAAACGGCGAGGAAGAAGATGAAGAAGTTGTCCCAAATGCCGCTCCAACAGTTTCTTCCGAATGGCTAAATATGTTTTTGCGCGAGTTTATGGAACTTCGAGATTATCACATTGTGGATGGGGAGGATTGGGACCAGTTGGACCGATTTATATTCATCATTCGATTCGAAATTATCAAGAGGAGAAGAATCCATTATCAGTTGTTGCGATCAAATTGTCAATTTTGGCAAAGAAATTGCAAAAGTCTTATAATTTGACAACTTCTCGAAAATTCGGAGATGCGATTGTAAAATTGCGAGAATCTCATCTTGCTATCTGTTCCACTTTTGAGCCCTGCCCATATTATATGCATATTCCGACGCAGGTGAGTTTTAATTGATAGTTAATTATTAGTTTATCGAATTTTATTTCAGTTTTCTCATTTGTCAAATGTTCTACCGGAAGAGCAAGAAGAGATGGTTTTCACCGAGTTGAAGCTTTTCCTTCTCGGAGATCCTCTCGAGAAGAATTTTTCTTGGAAAAAAAGAGTAAAATAAGCAAATCTCTGAAGAAAATTAAATGTTAAATTTAAGGAAAAACATTTAAAATCAATTTTCAAAATAAAAATTTTTTAAATGTTGCTTTTTCAGAGAAAATTCGATTTTTGAAAATCAAAACTCTATTAAATTTTTTTCGAAAGAACCTGAAATAATGTTTTAGCTCTAAAAATACTCAGAAACTGGAAAGAGTGGGTGTCAAAAAATTCCTAAATTCGCAAATAATCCAAAAATAAAAATATTCAAATCTATTTATCACGTGAACTTTCCAACACTATAAAAACCCACAGTTTCTTCAGAAATGCTCAGTTTTCAATCAGAAAAAAACAGAAACAAGAACGAAAATAAATGCCTGCAGCACCGAAAGAAGATTCATGGGCGTTTCAGGTAGAGTTAGATAAAGGCGCATACCGTAATTTGAGGAGAAAATATTGAATTTTTTCAGCCAATCGGTTCTCCATTTCCCGATGCACCAGTTCGTGCACCAAACCAAAACAATCAATATGTTGCACTTTGGTATAAACATGGAAAACCAATTCATGGAAGAGCTTGGAATAATGACGGAGTTGTTGAATGTTCATTTCCATATAACAAATCGGAGTTGAAAGGAAAACAAGATTTGGGTGGACAAATTCAGATTTTGCAATATAAGGGAGATTATAATTCATTGGGTTAGTTGGAAAATAATGTGATTTTTAGGGAGAAAGAAGTAACTGTCCTCTAATGTTGAATTCTTCAATTCGTTTGAAGTGACCAGTTCATGTGCGCTCCTTTGATATCTAGGAGTCAACTAGTTCAAAACAGTCTATTTTCCTCTTTTCCAGGATACTGGTACGAATGGCTTCCACTCAAACAACGTCACGAAAACAACGAAGGAATCCGTGAACTTGTTCGCTGCGGAAACTCTGTTCCAGTTTTGGCAAAACTCAAAGATGGTTCGGACAAAATGGGATATCTCGATCTCAATTCCGAAGTCGCCCTATTTTCCACAAATGGAACAACCGAAAAATATGAGGGTGGAGCCACTGCCAATTTTTTGACAATTTTCCGTAATTTGAAACCACCTCCAACTGGAATCAAAGTCTACGATGATTTGTGGTTCGATTTACGCTACAATGATAATTTCCCGGCGAATGCTGTTCCAGCAGATGGACGTCCTTTGAATACCGAAACTGGACCACATACTCAATATGTTGCACTTTGGTATAAACACGGTGAACCGGTATTTGGAAGAGCTTATCCAAGTGGAGCCGGTAAAACAATGGCGCATTTCGGAAAGAATAATCAGGTGAGGATTTGTGGTGAACAAAAAAATAAAACAATAGCGCTCTAAACGTACGCTCCCATTATGGTCTAAAAAATGAAGCTCACTTTAAAAATTGTTTTTAGGAAAACGCGGGTCCCGAAATTGGATCAATGCAATTATTGACAGTTCCTGAAGCCTCTTGCATTGGTTTGGAATATAAATGGATGCCTTTGGCCGAAGGAAAAGCTGGAGGATGGGAAACTGTTCATATCGGCGATTCGGCTCCGTGTATTTTGAAAGATGACAAAGGACTCGAGGTTTTGGGAAATTTGGCATTATCCATTGAAAAAGCATCGGCTGGTTATGGTGGAAAAGAAAAGATTATTAGTGGAGGACCGGCTGTTGGAAAATTGAAAGTGCTTTTCAAGAGAAGAATTAATTGATATTCTTAATTTTTGGGTCTAAAATGATGAATTGATACTATGAATGAAACGTTTTTAAAGAATTTGGTGGGTTTTTTGAAGAATTTTTGTTGAAAAGAGAAGAATTTTACCTTAGATTTCTACTTCAATTTTTCCCTGAAGTAAATTCTGACCGGAACTTTTTTTTCCAAAAATCTTAAAATTCTTAAAAACTATTTTATTTAAATGTTTCTGGGATATAACTTATCAATCGATTATCATTCAGATATTTCTTCAGAAATAAGTGAATTTTCCACTTTTCCTGCAATTTTTCAAACCCGTCTCTGAAATTGACCCGAAATTTTCCGGATTTTCCAAAAGCGCCTTCGATTGTCCCAGAAATCTCCGGGATTTTCAGCGATCAAAATTTGCATATTTTGAAAAATCGAAAAATTTGTCTCGCCTTTGAACATTCCTGCACAAATTGCTGAGTTGGAATTCTGCTCGAGCCGATCGATGAAGCCCTGAAAAATTGGATTTTTCTAGAAAAATCTGGATTAATTTTTGCGAAAACGTACAGTTCTATGCTTCCTGGTGAATCTTATCAATTTTCCATTTGGTTCCAAAATTTTTCGGACAAATCCGCGAAATGCAAATCGACATCCCTTTCCGTTTTGGTCCAATCTGGAGGCCATTAGAAAATCGGAATTCACAAAAACTGGTTTTTCGAAAATAAGCCAAACTTGACACGGCATTTCCATTTTGTCGAGCTGCTGAAATTCGTCCTCTCCGCTATTAGAAATCCCAGATTTTCTCAAAAATTGACATTCAGCCATAACAGTCTCATATCCAATAGAAATATGCATCTTTGTCCGCGAGCTCAAAGAAGATCGAAAAAATTGAATCGGTTCCACATCACACAAACACTCCTTCATCGGTTTTAGATATCCTGGAACGGCAACAATTGCTCGCGAAAATCGCGCCGCCTCAAAATTGGTGACAAGAATCGCGGCACGTTCCCCAGTTTCAATTTTATCGCGCGATGTTTTCCAGGATTCGATACTTTTCACTTTTCGAACTTCTTTGAGATTGGCGAATTCGATTTCTTCGCCGATTTTCAGGGTTCCTTGTGTTATTGTTCCGGTTAGAACTGTTCCTTTTCCTTTGATTGAAAAACAGTGATCAACAGCGATCAGAAGGGGATCTTTTGTGTTTCTGGGCGGTTCGAAGTTTTCTATTAACATCTCTATGGTTTTTCGAAGATTTTCCATGTATTCTTCGCAAAAATGCTGATCATCCAGTGACATTTCAAGAATTGGAGAGCTTTCCAAGATTCCCATAAGCTTCAAACTTTTTCTAACAGATTTTTTGGTTTTCTCAAGTGAAACTTCTTTCTCCTCAAGAAGATCCACCTTGTTCAGAATTACTATAACTTTCTCGGGGCAGAAAATCTTGCAAAGTAGCATATGTTCGGCGGTTTGAGCCTGAATTCCATTTCTGGCATCGATTAGCAGAATAGCCATATCAAAAACAGTGCTGGCAGCGAGGACTGCGCGAATCAATGCAGCATGACCGGGACAATCTACAAGAGCTAGTCTTCGACCAGAAATCATCACCGATGAAAACCTAAAGAATTACTATGAATTTAAATTCATAAAATGATAAGATTTACCCCAAGTCTAAAGTGTTTCTTCTTCCACCGCCATCCGAATGTTTGTCAAAAGCGGAAGTTGATGCAATTTCCGCGAATCTCTTTGTAAATGTTGTCTTCCCACAATCCACATGTCCCAAAATCCCAACATTCAGCGAGCACATCACATTTGCCTTTCCATGGAAATTTTTGAAAATAAATAAAAAATATGTGCGGTGGGGCGCGTTTGCGTGTCTTAGAGAGCGTGCGAAATGGGGAGGAGGAGAGAAATAGACAGCAAAAATTATTTCATTTTCTATTTTTTGGACGGTATTTCTTTTTCTTCGAAAAGTAGCTGGATGATAGCAAAGCGAGCATTTTCGTTGTGTAGAAGTTTGTTAGCCAAGGAGAAGAAGGGTGGGAAATCAAAATCTGCTGCAAATATTCCACAAGCAGATCTTGGAGATGATGGATTGCCGAAAGATTATAAAATGAAGGTTTTGCGAGCTGGAAGTCGTAGATTGGACACATTTGTAAATCGAGCTACTGGGCAAAGCAGCAGGTAAATTTTTCAACTAAAAAATGTATTTTTTCAACATAAAATTACTTCAGCGAGGTGCTAACAAAAACTGATTTTGCAAGGAAAAGTTCGAGTAAACGATGAAGTTTACACCAAAAAAGCCTACAATGTTTGTCAAGAGGATGTTGTTGAAGTTTGGAAAAATGCGTATGCTGAAAATTCGTCACTTGCTCAAGTTGAACGCACCGAAATTGTTAGCTATGAGGTCACCGAACAGGGATACAATTTCGAGGTGAAAAGTTGGAAATCTTTTTTGTCGGATAATTGGAGAAGTTCTCAATGAGGTTTGAATATTTTTTTGTTAAAATTATAGATTTTCATAAAAGTTCTTTGCCCTCTCTTTGAAAACCAGTAGAGCATTTATTTTTCCTTTTTTATTCCATTCCAGGGAGAGAAAGTACAATTTCATCTTCAATAACATTTTTAAATGTAGTTTTAAGAACTTTACGAAATATAATTTTTTCTATTCTTCTGCGTTTTGCGTAACGCCTTTAGTCTATTCTTCTGCGTTTTGCGTAACGCCTTTAGTCTATTCTTCTGCGTTTTGCGTAACGCCTTTAGTCTATTCTTCTGCGTTTTGCGTAACGCCTTTAGTCTATTCTTCTGCGTTTTGCGTAACGCCTTTAGTCTATTCTTCTGCGTTTTGCGTAACGCCTTTAGTCTATTCTTCTGCGTTTTGCGTAACGCCTTTAGTCTATTCTTCTGCGTTTTGCGTAACGCCTTTAGTCTATCTTTCTGCGTTTTGCGTAACGCCTTTAGTCTATCCTTCTGCGTTTTGCGTAACGCCTTTAGTCTATCCTTCTGAGTTTTTGCGTTACGCCTTTAGTCTATCTTTCTGCGTTTTGCGTAACGCCTTTAGTCTATCCTTCTGCGTTTTGCGTAACGCCTTTAGTCTATCTTTCTGCGTTTTGCGTAACGCCTTTAGTCTATCCTTCTGCGATTTGCAGAACGATAGAATAAAGGCGTAACGCAAGGAAATAATCCCGCGTTTTTTTTAAATTGCGTGTTCCAATTTTTTTTGAAAAATAAATCCCACGAGATCTTCATTTTTTATTTTTAGCATCTACGAATTGCTCGTTTTTTACTAAAAAATATCAGTTTCAAAGCAATGGATCAATATATTTATGTAAGTCATTTTGATTCACTTTTTCTGTGTTACACAATCTTTCAATTTTTCAGCCCTACAACACTTCATGGTTCGATTTACCCTTGGAAATGCGCGAAAATTTCGATTGTGAAGATTTCGATCAAAAAATTATTGATGATTATTTGTGGCATTTGAAAACTAAAGGAATGCATGAAACAACATCGATCAGAGTATCATTTCTCACAAGACGTATTTTCACAATTGATATTCAAGAATTGGCGCCAATCACCATTTGGGAAGAACAACATCATTTTTATCGAAAACAAAAAGTGCAAAAATGTTATTATTGTAACAGAATGTGGCGATCAAAAAATTCACATAAGTTATAAGGATAGATTCATATAAATGAAAGTCAAGAGAGAATAAATTCATGGATGAATTACAGTACTTGTCAATAAATTATTCAAACACATTCTGAAACAGTTGTCATAAAAAACCTAAACTTTTGGTTGATCAAACTATATTCATTCGGCCAAAAACTCAATTTCCAAATTTTCAGCCAATGTTTTTTCCCTGAAACAGAGAACCTCTTTTCAGAGCTCTCAGCTCGCTTTCTTGCTCCAAAAAAACGAACATCTCGGGGTGCTGTCGGCGGCGCTCTGCAACGTTGCCTCCAAGAGCGGCGAGAATAGGCAAGGTGTGGCAGTGCATGAAAAAGTGGGAAAATTGGGCAGGCGGGGATCGGCGACAGCCTCAGCAACAAGCGAGCAGCTCGCGGCAGCGAGAGGCGGCGTCAGTGTATTTCTCCCGATTTGACTCAATTTTATATATATGTTCTTCGATAGTAACATGGTTTTATAATTACAACATATTTATTCGGAAAATGATTATCAAATCAAATCACATAACATAATAATTGAATACATGAAATAAATTTTAAATTAATTGAGCTTCAAAAAGGTAGAATCTGATTGGCTTGATATTTTTGGAGTTGTTGTTTTTGAAACATAATTGACGATAAGATTGATGCATGGGCGATTGACATGACTTTGTTCACCTGAAAAAGAACAACATCATTATAAAATACTCTAGCCTGATTTTTCATTAGGAACCTTAACTTATATATTATCCCAAATTTTTGAATTGAATTTTGAATTTTTCCCAAATGTTATTTTCGAACTAAATTGCTGACAAACTTATTGGAAAACGGTTCTTTTTTGACAAACTAAAATTTGGAACTTGGGAAATGTAGAAACTTGAGAATTAAGCTTAAGAATTAAGTGGTCGGGCTCCTGAATACACTAGTTTTGTGTGCATTTTCCTTGTGAAAGTGTATTCGGTCAAATACAGGAAATTTCTCAAAACTTTTTGTTCAAGATTTATTCTTGGAAAAGTATCCAAGGAAAAGTGGATTTAGTTTCAAAGTTATATTTTTTCAAGTTTCAAAGTAAAATTAAAGAAAACAACTCACTTTTCAACAAAGTTTCTTAATCCTAGTCTCCTCCAATAGTCTTGAGCAATTGAGTAGTCATCGATGATTTTCAAATCACTCGTTGAATGGCACAAACTGAAATGTTTAAAGTTAATACTTTCAAAAATAGTAAATAAGAAATTGTATAGTCAACTAACCTTTTCAATCAGTTTTCCTATTTTTTTTTCGAATTCTTCAATTTTCTACGATGAAATCCAACGAAACCATCAATCCCTTGCTTGATACATGCTGATTAACTCACTGAAAATAGCAGAAAAACACAATTTAGGCCAGAAAGAAAAAAAAAAACAAAAATTTCGAAACTTCTTGATTGTGCAGAATTGCGTCGCAGTGTTTTACATTTTGGCAACGTTGCCTTCTGTCGCCGGGAGCAAGAATTGAAATTAAACATCTGGCGACAAAAAGCAACGTTGCTGCTTCTTGCGGCAACGTCGCCAGGTGTTGCTGCTTTTTTGGCAACGTCGCCTTGATGTTGCCAAACGTGGCAACACCGCCGAATCGCCGCCGGCAGCATCCCGAGATTTCTGCTCTTTCTTGCAGTGCAATCATGTCTGTCGTCTCTCATTTTCACACGCAAATCGCACAATTCTATTAACAACACATAATAGAAAATATTTTTGGTTCTTCTGGCAATTTCCGCTAACTTTCGAGCTTTTTCTCGACCTTGGTCATTTTATATTCCAATTTTAGATCGATCAAAATGGAATTTTCTCGATAACAAATTGTGTCTTAATGATTCGCAATGTAAAGAAGATTGGATTTGTTACGATGGTCCCAAAGATAAAAAATGGTCTGTCGAAAGTAAAGGAGAAATAACTAGATATTGGTTTTGTGGAGAACCATTGCGTGGTTAATCGAAGGGAGAGAATAAAGATTTGCATTTGGAAATCTGGCTAGTTTCAGCATTTTTCTTGGTGATTTTCAGATTCCTCGTGAAATTTGCAGTTTTTAGACACCAGTTCCAATAAAAATCGCGCAAAAACAAAAAAAACGAAATTGTCCGAGAGAAATACACGAAAAGGCAAGCGGGATTGCGGAGTATCGTTGTTTTACTTTTATTTTTTCGCAATTTTTTCTTTTTTTCGTTGTGAAAATGAAAATTCCCGTTTTTGCAGGACATCGAGCCTTGCGCAGCCGTTGAAAAAGAAAAATCGCCCCAGAATTTGTCTAGACAAAATGAACCATGAGAACTCCAGCACGGCATTCTACATGTTCATGTTGATTTTCATTTTCAAATCCGAAAATAAATCATGAAGCCCCTTTTGTTTTTCCTAGTTCTGCTAACTCCTCAAATCGTTTTCTCCACATCCGAAGAAGAATCGCACAATTTCACCAAAATTTTCCTCGAGCAAAAAATCCCGAAATATATTCGAGAAAAATCGCGCGCGAAATTGACGAATTCAATTTTTTCGTCTTCTTTTTATCTCCATTTCAATTTCTACGATTGCGAAGGAAATCGATACAATCCGGATGATTTTGTGGACAATTATCTGTTGGCCGGAAAATTGGGAGATGATTTGAGGATTTCCGAGGAAATCGGGAAATTTAATACGATTTTGGGAGGTAACATGAGATATCGAAGTTTTAAAACGACATTTTCAACGAGTTTGAGGAATTATTCAATTGGTGTGACTGTTGGGAATTCACAAACAGGTTCGGATTTGAAAATTTATGGGATTTCTCCGGTTTGTAATTGATTTGGGTAATAAAATTTATCATTTTCAAGTCAACTTTGATAGAAGTTAGGGTAACTTTGTGGAATCTTGCGGATTAAACTCCGCAAACACGCTGAAAAACTGAATGCACTAAACACCGAACTCTACGCGCAAACCCTGATTTTAAATTAAAATTCATAAATCCTAGACCCACAAAAAAATATATAGTGTAAGTAGATCACGCGGGATTTTTTGAAAAATCCCGCTTTTTTCGTTTTATATCGATTTTCAGCCCAAAAATATTTTTGAAATAGGGCTGATTCACGAACGAAAAAAATGTTTTTTTAACATTGAAAGATCAATTCACGAAAAGTCAAAAAATGTCGAAAAAACATTGTAGGTCAAAATTAGTTTTTCAGGTTTTTCACCCAAAAATGATGACAAATGATATTTTTTAAGCTTCTGAAGGTATTTCTGATTGAAATTGACCTTGGAATTAACTTTCCAAAAGGTTTTGCTGGTTTTTTGTAAAATAAAAAAATTTTAAATTTTGATGAATTTCGAGAAAATTCATAAAATAAAGCATAAAAAGGGTTCTCGAAGCTTATTTTCATCAGAAATTACTCCAGAAACTTGAAAAATATCGATTTGTCATCATTTTTGGCTGAAAAACTCGAAAAACTAATTTTGACCTAAAATGTTTTTTCGACAATTTTTGACTTTTCGTGAATTGATCTTTCAATGTTAAAAAAACATTTTTTAACATTTTTTTCGTTCGTGAATCAGCCCTAATGAATTTTTTGCTCAATTTATTTTGCTTTCTAAATATGAAATTCCAGAGAAATTTTTCAGATCGCCGTCCAAATTCAACAAAAGTGCGGATTGATGGAGATTTGGTTCTACACACAACTTCAACTCATGTCAGGTCAGTTTAATTGGGTTTTGGGGTTCTGGGAGAGAAAACACAGTGATTTGTGTTACCTGGGGGTTCAGATTTTTCGGATTTTTCTTTTTCAACGGCTGCGCAAGGCTCGATGTCTTGCGAAAACGGGAATTTTCACAAAAAAAAAGAAAAAATTGCGAAAAAATAAAAGTAAAACAACGATACTCCGCAATCCCGTTGCATTTTCGTGTATTTCTCTCGGACAATTTCGTTTTTTTTCTGTTTTTTTTTGTTTTTTCGCGGTTTTTAGGAAGAAACAAAGCTTTATAGCCCTCAATTATCACAATTTCCATTTTGTTTTTTGCCCGAAATACTCGAACAATCGGGAACAATCGAATAAATCTGCAAATCAGCCGAATCCGTCGAAGCCTTCACCGAAATCTGATACGTATTCAGACTCGTCCTCAAAGTTGTCACATAGATCGGAACAGTCCAACTCAATTTCGCACGACGTTTCAAATAATCGGGCATATTCTCGAATTTTCCACCGGCGCCGATCAATTTTCCCTGATCTTTCGGCGCGATTTTCAAATCCACTCCCAATTTTCCAGCCAACAAATATTTGTCGACGAAATCTTGGCCATTATAAAATGTGCCATCACAATCGGTGAAATTGAAATTGTTGACAATAAAAGTGTCCATGACTGAATTGATCAATTTTTCTCGAAGTTTCACTCGAATATACATTGCCACGTGTTTTTCGAGAAAAATTTTGGCGAATTCGAAAGCCAATTCTTGCTTTTTTTCGAACGGCATTTCGTAGTCATGCGTTTCTTGAGCCAAGATTTGAGGAGTTAGAAGAACTAGCAACAAGATCAGGATCATTAGAAGTTCTGTGAGATTGTAGAGGTTGGGGAGGGGGTTTTTGAAGTGAAAATAAAATAAATGTCGTGTTGGAATTCACACGTTTTATTTTGTCTAGACTCAAGAAAGCATCAGGAATCAAAAAAAAACGACGACACTCCGCAAGTGACGCTTACGAGCAATTGATTCGAATTAACATGAGCAATGCTTCAGAAAGATTTTTACTACGACACTCCGCCGATGACGCTCAACTTTCTATGGAATTCTTCAAGCGATTTCACCAAAAAAAATTCCAAAATCAGATACGTTTCAAAATTTATTCACCAAAAAGCACATTTATCAATCGGATTCATTTTCGTCGAATTCCCACATTTGAAAACTTCGGAGAACTTCTCGAAATTCTGAAGTGGAACATTGACTCGGATCTTGTGTGGAGCATGTGAACTATATTTCACCGATTCTCGCATTCCGTCAAGTTTCCAATTCTCGCAATAAGCCTGGAAAGGTGAAGCTAAGTTAGGGGAACTTTAACTTTCAAACTCAAACCCACATTCGCAAACGCAATGAAGAATATTTTCTTGTCTGGAATATTCTGAAGCCCTGGAAGATTCTCCACTTTCTTCTTCTTCTTATTCTTATTCTCCACCAACCTCTTTTCAAAAGCCTCAAAAGCAATTTGTAATCCAATATTATCGGCCATATTCTCCCGAAGTGTATATTTCCCATCAATTTTCAATTTTGTCAGCGGCTCAACTTGTCTACCATACTGATCTACTAGACATTTCTTGTGCTTCTCGAACTTCTTCAGATCTTCAGGTGTCCACCAATTTTTGAGATTTCCGAATTCATCATATTTTGCACCCGACACATCGTATCCGTGACTGATTTCATGCGCAATTATACTTCCGATTGCTCCGAAATGTGTGGAAAATGGAGCGGATTCGACGAAAAATGGAAAACTGAGAATGAGAATTGGAATTGCGAGCTCATTTATTTCTGGATATGCTAATGCGGTGGCGTCGAGAATTTGAGAATCTTCCCATTGAATTGACGGCTTTTTTTGCATTTTCAGAAATATTGATCTGCAAAAAAAAAGTTTTTTTTCTATTTTTTGCAGTCCGAGTTACTGTACATAGTTTTTGTTTATTAAAATCCTATAAAATTTCTAGAGAATCTTGAAATTTATTATGTTTTTGCAGTCCGGGTTACTGTATTTCTTATTTTGTTCAAAATTATGGGAAAATACGGTACCCCGAACTGCAAAAAATGCAATTTTCTTAGATTTTGCAGTTCGGGTAACGTTGGTTCTCATTTCATTTAGATTTGGGGAACTACAGTAACCCGAACTGCAAAAATACTCAATTGACTCAGAGTTTGCAGTCCGGGTAACTGTGGTTCTTAATTCATTCAGATTCGGGGAACTACAGTACCCCAAACTGCAAAAAATTCAATTTCTCAGACTTTGCAGTCCGGGTTACTGTATACTTACTTCTGATAAACTTTCCTAATACTCATCAAATTCTCAAAAGTATTATCAGAAGATAGTGTAATATTCTCATATGATTTCATAACATCATTTTGATTAAAACCCTCATCCGGATATCCAAGATGTACTATCATATTCTCAATTTTCTTCATCGCTCCTTCTTTCGTTTTCATCTCAAACCAATCACTATTATTCAGCTTTTCCTGAGTGGCATCTAATAGATCTTCGGTAACTTTTTTAATTGTTTTAATTGTAGCATTTCTCTCACTGCTCATAATATTTTCAACAAATTCAAGAGCAAGAGGAATGTGTAGTTTTGTCACTACTAAATCCAAACATCTTTTCGAAATCAATTCCGAACTAATATTTTTATATTTCCAAATTGCTTCTCTAAATATTTTTGGCAAATATCGATCATAATTCTGCATCATTCTCCATCTCGCATATTTTTTAATTATATCTTTATCCACTGTTTTTATATAATTATTGAGATCTTCGTAGAATTTCGGATATCTTACATTAACTTCAGTCGAATCGCTGATATTCCCAATTAATTTTCGAATTTCATCAGTGAAAAAATCGTCGAATTTTATATTTGTGTATGTTTTTTTGAGTTCACCATAGGTTACAATGTTCATAATTTCTTGATGTTCTTCTCGCTTTTCGGGGAGTATTTCAGTCAAATTTGCCTCGAGGTCCAAAATCGCATCGTGAACGTAATCAGGCATAAATCCATCTGAATTGATTGAGCAAAAAAAATTGGATAAAAGAAGATTTGGGGGAACTTACAAATATAATGGTGGAATGTTTTGTAATACATAATATAATTATAGGTTTTATTGTCATTATTCCATTCAGTGAAATACACATTTCCAGATGAAAACTGAAATTTTTTGGTTTCGATTTTATATGCGACATTTTTGACAGCAGAAAAAAAGAGCCGCGTGGCCGAGTGGTTAGCGCGTTTGCCTTTCTTTTTGCGAAACCTGGGTTCGACCCCCGCTGCTGCCCAATTTTTTTTTTGATAATTCGGCGAGAATCACATACTTACAGTCAAAATGTGCTTCGAACTATTTCTCCTATAAACTTCTGGAGTAACATCAATAATCGGAAAAACCCCGTGAAGCGCAATATTTCCAACAACTTGTTCCCAAGAGATTTTCAGAAAATCCAAAGTTCCAGCAACTTCTCTCATTATAGTTTCACGAAGTTCAGCGGCGCTTAAATTGTAGCCATCGACTTGACTCTTCAAACAGGAATCGTAGAAGGTTTTGATGAATTTTCGAGATTTGCTTGCATTCTTTTTCAGCGGGGATTTTAGGAATTTTTGGAGGTTTTCTTCAAATTTTTTTAGGATTTGAGAAGATGGAGTAACTTTTTTTGCATCTTCAGCAATTAGATTTTCCGAATTGAATCGTCCACAGGCATATTCATAGAAATCATCACATGGATTCACATCCACATTCATATTATTCAAATATCTCGCAGCTAGTTGAACACATTCTGCAGTTTGGCAAACTTTTTGATCAGCTAGAGCTGAAACGAGGTTGAATAATAGGAAAATTAGAATCATTTTGTGATTTTTTCCCATTGAAAGCTATAGTTTTATAGGCGACTTTGCTGACGTTGCAGAAATTTGCAAGATTCCCAGATGTCTAGGAGAAATAATGCAAGCGGAATTGCGGAGTATCGTTGTTTTACTTTTTTTTGCATGCAAGTTTTTACATAAAGTCTAGTGGCCTAGAATTTCAATTTTCATGGCCTAGAACTCCAATTTTCATGGCCTAGAATTCCAATTTTCATGGCCTAGAATTCGAGGTTTCATGGCCTAGAATTCCAATTTTCATGGCCTAAAATGGCGAATCAATATTCTCACGATCAAAAATCGAATTTTTACGATGTCTAGACTCGATTTTTTTGCCAAACTTCAGAATTTTCTCCAATTTCCAATACAAAATGTTCCACATCATTCTCCCAATTTTTTTAATTTTCCCCCAAATTTTGGCCCAAAAAATCTGCCTAGCTGACCAAGAATGTGGCCCAAATCAAATGTGCCGTCTAAATCTTCGACTAGGCTTCGGAATCTGTCAGCCAGGCTCTCGCCAACTTCGGCTAACTCAATGTTTATCCGAAGATTGTGTGAAGATTGCGGCGAGATATTTGATGAATATGAATAGAAATGTGAGACCTTGCGATGATTTTTATGGATTTGTTTGTGGAAATTATGAGAATCACATTCCTGAAGGTCGCAGTCGATTTGAAGTTTTAGGTGAGATGAAGATCAGGCAGAATAAGATTATCAAAAGAATTCTGGAGCACGAAAATCCCAAAAACCGGGGGTTAAAATTGGTGCAGACTTACCTCAAGTCCTGCCTGAATTTCAATGGAACCTTGGACCTGGTGAAGATTGAGTTATCCGAACTCCTCTTGGATTTAGGCCAGACCTGGGAGGTTCTAGCGGCCCAGATTTCTAGCTATGGAATTCATCCGATGCTCGAAGTCTACGTTGAATCTGATTTTGACAATTCGGAAATTATGATTTTGAAATTCTCACCGGCTGGACATTTTCAGAATTCCTATGACTTCAAGACGAGGATTTTTGAAATCTCCAAGATCTTCCCGGAACATCTGAACATCAGCGAACCTGAAATTCAAGAAATCTGCGATTTTCTAGATCGGATAGTTAATCTAACTTCAGTAAATCAAGAATCCAACCAAATGATCAATAAATTAACCTATGGAGATCTAAAGAATCGCTACAAAAATATCGATTTCACAAAATTCGTGAATCCGATAAAAATCGATAATTCTACAGTAGTCAACATTGATGATCCCAAATTTTTCAAAAATTTCGATAATTTTATCAAAAATGTTTCAGCTGAAGTTATCCAAAATTATCAGATTTTTTGGTTTTTGCATAAATTATGGGAACATTTTGAATCGAAATTTGATTGTTTTGAGGAGACGAGAGAAAAGTTTCGAATGATTTTGGGAGCGGAATTTGTGAGAAAATATTTGCCGAAGAAAAATAAGGATGAGGTGGGTTAGGACGTGGCAAAAAAATTTGAAATTTAAAAATTCGCGCCAAAAAATTCTGAACAAAATTTTTAAAAATCAAAATTACTACATCTAGAACTGCAAGGTGTACTGTAGTCTTGGGGATTTTTTGGACTGCAAGGAGTACTGTAACTAGAACTGCAAGCGGTACTGTATTTTGAAATTGACTGTATTTCAAACTGCAAGATCAATGTTCACATATATTCCAAACTGCAAGGGTTACTGTAGCCCGGCGGACTGCAATCTAGGCTGTATCATTATTGTATGGGATTTTCCGGACTGCAAAGATTACTGTAGCCTCTGAGAAACACCGGACTGCAAAGATTACTGTACCTACAACTGCAAGGTGTACTGTAGCCTCGGGGATTTTTAGGACTGCAAGGAGTACTGTAACTAGAACTGCAAGCGGTACTGTAGCCTTAGACATATTTCGAACTACAAAGTTCAATGTAGCCTTTGATAGTGTAGCCGCCGGACTGCAAGGATTACTGTAGCCTCTGAGAAATACCGGACTGCAAGGATTACTGTAGCCTTGGATTAACTGTATTTAGAACTGCAAAGTCTACTGTACCTACAACTGCAGGAATTACTGTAGCTGTAGCTGGAAATTAGACTAGAAATGTTTCAAACTGCAAAGAGTACTGTATCATGTGTTACTGTAGTCCTCGAATTAGAAGGGCTACTGTAGCTTCAGGAATTTTTCGAACTGCAATGATTACTGTAGCCTGACGTCCATTGTACCTGAAACTGCAAATTATTAGGATTACTGTAGCCTCGGGATTACTGTAACTCCTGGACTACAGAGGAAAATTTTAGATTTTTTTTCAAAAAGCTACCGAACTGCAAGGGTTACTGTATCTAGAAAAAAATATTTTTCAGGTGCAAAAAATGGTGTTCGAATTCAAATCCGAAATGAAATCCATAATTTCGACGGCAAAATGGCTGGATGTCTCAACCAGAAACGAAGCTCTAAAAAAACTCGAAAAAATCAATACTTTCGTCGGACATCCAGATTTTCTGCTCAACGAAACTCGGATTCTCGAACCCTATCAACATCTGAATTCGAAGCTAGACCCTCAGAACTATATCAAGAATCTGATAAATTACAAAATATCCCAACGAAGTTATAGCTTCTCTGAAAATGAGCTGAAAAAACGGGGAGTTGAGGCAACTCTCGAATGGCCCACTGTGATTCTCGAATCGGATGCTTTCAATTACTATGCGGGAAATGCTATCATTTTTCCCGCGGGAATTATTCAATTCCCATTTTTCGTCCCCAATTCCCCAAGCTTTATTAATTATGGAAGTTTGGGTTTTGGAATCGGCCATGAAATTTCACACGGCTACGATAATCGAGGTGCAAAATTCGATGGTTTTGGTAGAGAAATCATGTGGTGGGGGAATGAGACTTATGATAAGTTCAACGAGGGAAAAACATGTTTTCAAGAGCAGTATCGAAATGCTGTGATGAAGATTATGAGCAATTTTAATTCGGAATTCAAATATGAAGCTGGAGTTACGATTCAGGAAGATATAGCTGATAATGGAGGAGTTCGGATAGCTTTCGAAGCTTATAAAAAACATTTGAGGAATGAAAGAAGAAAAACTTCAGGGATCAGGAATGTTTTACCGGGTTTGACACAATTTACGGATGAACAAATGTTCTTTATAGCCTTGGGAAATGTGAGTTAGGCTAAGTTTTTTGAGCGAAGCGACTGTAAACCGAAAACTGTTTTGTTCAGAGTGTCTGCGAATCGTACAATCCTTTAAAACTCTCCGAAATCATCAATAATTCATCGGATCCGCACAGTTTGAGTCAATTTCGCCTGAATATCCCCCTTCAAAATTATCCGGAATTTTCGAGAGTTTGGGGATGTTCGACACAAGAGAAAATGTGTAGAATTTGGTGAAATAAATGCATTTTTTGGGGATTCAGCGTGAAAATTTGGGCAGGGGAAACAAAAAAAAAAGAAAAAAAAAGTTAGCGGGCACCGGGGATCGAACCTGCGCCTTCTGAACACTAGCAAAACGGCTTACCACTGAACTAAATGCGCACTTGTTTCCTGACGGAAAATGTTGGTGAAAAGGAAACGAATGATTTTTTTTTCGAAAAACATTTATTTGCTGAATCCCTCACCAAACCCTAAATGTATCTAAAAATCAACAGATCAATAATTATGTTGTTTGATTTTTTGATCTTCTGAACTCCCCATAAACCATGAGAACCCCCAAAAATCCTCATAAAAACCCCGCCAACAAATCAGAATTCAAAAAAAAAACAAATGAATTTCTATATTTTCGTGATTTTTGCGGTTTTTGTGGCTGGTATCAATGCGAAAGATGAATATCTACGATTTGGAAGAAAATAATTGAGATTTTTTTGGGATTTTTTCAAAAATGAATATTGAATTGGTTTTCTGAACACCCCATAAACCATGAGAACCCCAAAAATCCCTATAAAAACCCCGCCAACAAACCAGAATTCAAATATTTTTAAATGAATTTCTATATTTTCTGGGTTTTCGCTATTTTGTTCGCCGGTCTCAATGCTTGCCAAATCTTCGTGAGATTGGGCAAAAAATAATTGAAATTTTTGAATAAAAGTTGCATGCGCTCCACCGAAATAAACACGCAACGCAGACCGCGTCGCGTCACAACACACACAAATAAAGGAACGATTCAATTTGTGTGTGTTGTGGCGCGGCGCGATCTGCGTTGCGTGTTCAGGAAATCAAAAATGTTTTGCCACGTTTCAAATTCAAACGTGACATTCTCCATGCCACGTGACATAGAAAAAATTGCGAAAAAACCCCAGAAAACTCAATTATTTCTTACCGTGATGCTGATATCAATTGAACAATTCCTATTCGTTTTTTATAACTTTATCATAGCTATTTGCATTTCAACACAATGTTCGGTGAGAAAACGCGCTAAGATTTTTTGCAAACGCGCTCCAATGATAATTTTTTTGCAGAAATCTTCGACAACCGACGAAAAAGCTGCACCGGACAGCGAAAGTCCACGTCGCCGTAAAAAACCTCCACCAATCGCCACCTTCCCGTGCGTCTCCTCAAACTCGGCAAGAACCAAATCAGTGGAATTTCCCACAGCTTCGTGTCATCGAGTTGCGCGAAATCCCGAAACAAGTCAAAAATCGATGCGACTCGGTGTGAAATCATCGAAAACGATCAGAAAGATGCGGGGAGAACAGGAGGTGGAGGAGGAAAAACGGGCGGCAAATCAATTGGAAAAGTATTTGGGTGGTGATTGTTTTGAGACGACTGGAGTCGAAAAATCGAAATCTGTCAAGAAGACGCGTAAAGTGAAGAATGATAATAACGATGATATTGATCAAACGCTTTTTGAAAATGAATGATTTCTCAAAATATATTGTCAATTTTCCATCGCTTTCCCCGTCCTCCCATGTGGTCTAGTGGTTAGGATTCGTGGTTTTCACCCACGCGGCCCGGGTTCGATTCCCGGCATGGGAAGCTAATTTTTTTTTGTTTTTGCTTTAAACAAAAATTTATGCGCATTTACAAATAAGACCTATTTGACACGTTTTTTCAAATCGATATAAGCTTCAGCTGCTTTTTTTTGTTGGGTGACATCAGCATGCAAATATTGGCTTATTTTATCAACAATTTCTAAATTGTGATAACTTTTGGTAGAGTCGATTTGATATTGATCGTCTTCGTCAAACCCATTTCGTGCTAAAGTCTGAAAAAATTAGATATTATCTACTTAGTTTGAAGTTTCCGCAAAAACCACAAAAAAAACATTTTCAAACCACCCCCTTTGCACAACAAACACGCCAGCGCGCACAACACTGACACGCACCGAAAACACGCCAACACACATTTTGCATTTTTATTTCGCGTTTTGCAGTTTTTGCAGCGAAAAACCCAATTTCCAGCTAAAAATTTCAAATTTTCAGCAAAATGCCGACTGTGGGAATCAAAAAGCTCCTTTTGGACAAACATTTCAATCGAATTTATTGTAGGTTTTGGGGGTTTAGGAGAGAAAACAAATATTTTCTTTAAAAAAAACAATTTTTTTCAGCGGAAAAAGAGTTCGATGAGTTGTGCTTTGAATATGGTTTAGAGTTGGACGAAATCGTGAGTTTCCTGGGCCTTTGTGAAGAAAAATATGTTTTTAAAACAATTTCAGACCTCGGAAAAAGGCTGCGGTTGAAAAAGAGCGGGGAACAAACGCTGCCACGAATCTCAACGACCAAGAAGTCTATAAAATCGATATCCCCGCAAATCGCTATGATTTGCTAAGTGTAGAAGGGTTATCCCGAGCGATTCGTATCTTCAAGCAAGAAATCCCAGCTCCAAAATACACTTTCGCGCCAATCCCAAAATCTGGCCTGCAAAAAATCATTGTGAAAAAGGAGACAGCAGCAATTCGCCCGTTTGTAGTTGGCGCAGTTTTGCGAAATATTCAATTTGACGCGGATAATTATGCGAGTTTCATCGATTTGCAAGACAAACTTCATCAAAATATTTGCCGAAAACGAACATTGGTTGCGATTGGAACGCATGATTTGGATACTATTCAGGGACCTTTTGAATATCGAGCGGAAGCTCCGAAAGATATTAAATTCAGGCCTTTGAATCAAACAAAAGAATATACAGCTGAAGAATTAATGACACTTTATTCAAGTGATTCACATTTGAAGGCGTATCTTCCAATCATTCAAAACCATCCGAAATATCCAGTTATTTATGATTCAAAAGGTGTTGTTTGTTCGATGCCACCAATTATTAATGGAGAACACTCGAAAATCACTTTGAATACCAAAAATGTTTTAATTGAGGCCACCGCCACTGATAAACAGAAGGCATTTGTTGTTTTGGACACGATTGTTACACTTTTCTCGCAATATTGTGCGAAACCTTTTGAAGTTGAACAAGTTGAAGTTGTTTATGAAGAAAGTGGGGAAAAAGAGTTGTATCCGGTGAGTTTTCAGAGGGGTTTTCAGCTCAGAAAGTAAATTTAATGTCTGAAAATGTGAAAATTTAGTTGAAAAATGAAGAAAATTTGAAATTTCTATGTGCAAAATTAGTTTTTCGAGTTTTTCAGCCAAAAATGATGACAAATCGATATTTTTCAAGATTCTGGAGTAATTTCTGATGAAAATTGACATTGGAATTCACTTTCCAGAGGTTTTTGCTGATTTTTCGTAAAAAATTTATGAAATAAAGCGAAATAGGGTTCTCAAAGCTTATTTTCATCAGAAATTACTCCAGAAGCTTGAAAAATACCGATTTGTCATCATTTTTGGCTGAAAATCAATATTTTTCAAGTTTTTGGAGTAATTTCTGATTAAAATAAGATTTGAGAACCCTATTTGGCTTTATTTTATGAATTTTTTACGAAAAATCAGCAAAACCTTCTGGAAAGTGAATTCCAAGGTCAATTTTCATCAGAAATTACTCCAGAAGCTTAAAAAATATCGATTTGTCATCATTTTTGGCTGAAAAACTCGAAAAACTAATTTTGACCTACGACTTTTCGTGAATTGATCTTTCAATGTTAAAAAACATTTTTAAACATTTTTTTATCGAAAATTTGAAAATTCACATTTCGCTCTGAAAATTCAGATTTTGGCGCCAATTTGAAACATTCAAATTTCGCGCCAAAATTTAAAATTCTTGATGAAAATTCCTCTAATTTTCCACATCATACCCAAAATTCAAAACAAAAATAAATTTTTTGCAGCTCCTCTCCTACCGCGAAATGACCGTAACCACTCCCGAAATCAACACAAAAATCGGAATAAATTTGGACGATCAAACAATGGCGACACTTCTCAACAAAATGTCGCTCGAAGCTCAAGTCGTCTCACCGAAAACCCTCAAAATCGTAGTTCCACCAACTCGCCACGATATTCTACACGCTTGCGATATTGCTGAAGATGTTGGAGTCGCCTACGGTTATAATAATCTAGTTTTGAGATTACCTGAAAGTAATACGGTGGCTGTCGCATTTCCAATCAATAAATTATGCGATAATTTGAGAATTGAAATTGCTGCTGCTGGATGGACTGAGGCTTTGAATTTTGCACTTTGTAGTCGAGATGATATTTCGGCGAAATTGAGACAACCAAAAGCTTTGGAACACGCGGTTCATATTGGAAATCCAAAGACTTTGGAATTCCAGGTAAGGATTTTTGGGGGGAGTTAAAAATTGTGGAATTTTTTCCTAAAAATTTTGATTTTCTGTGCTTTTCTTAGCATTAGAAATTCGAATTTTCTTAATTTTTTGAAACAGTGAAATATTTTCAATATAAAAATTTCCATTTCATTTTTTTTGAAACAGTGAGATTTTCTAGAAAGAACTTAAAAAAATTTTTGAAAATTTTGAAACAGTCAGATTTTTTTAGAATTATATTTCTATTTAAAATTGTTTCAAGAAAAATGTTTGAAACAGTGAAAAATTTTTCTAGTATTTTTTTTTTGAAATTTAGTTTTTATCGTATTTTTAAAGTCAGTATTGAACAATAGAAACATATCAAAAATTGCACAAAAACTTCCAATTTCCACAAATTTTTGAAACAGTGAGATTTTTTTGAAACATAGGAAGTATGAAAAAATTAAAATAGAATTTTCTGCAAATTTTGAAACAGTCAGATTTTTTTTTAGAATTATTTTTCTATTGATTTAAAAATGTTTGAAACAGTGAAAAATATTCTAGAATTTTTTTTTTTGAATTTTTTTGTTTCAAACGAATTTTTAAAGTTTGTATTGCACAATAGAAATATATCAAAAATTGCACAAAAACTTCCAATTTCCACAAATTTTAGAAACAGTGAGATTTTCTAGAAAGAATTATTCGTATTAAAATTTCAATTTCACCTTTTGAAAAATTTCTTAAAATTTTGAAACAGTCAGATTTTTTTAATAAATTATATTTCTATTGATTTAAAAATGTTTGAAACAGTGAAAAATTTTCTAGTATTTTTTTTTAAATTTTTTGTTTCAATCGTATTTTTAAAGTCTGTATCGCACAATAGAAATGTATCAAAAATTGCATAAAAATTCCCATTTTTCACGAATTTTTGAAACAGTGAAATTTAAAAAAAAGTTGATTTTTTGAATTGAAATGTAAATTGTTATTGAAATTTGTTTCTTAGTAAATCAGTTCTGTATTTTTTGAAACAGTGACATTTTCTCCTACAAAAAAATGTTTTAATCAAATAATTCTAAATTTGCACAAATTTTGGAACAGAATTTTTTTGAAATAAATTTTCAATTGTTATTGAAATTTGTTTCTTAGTCAATCAATTCTGTATTTTTTGAAACAGTGACATTTTCTCCTACAAAAAAATGTTTTTCCCGAATTTTCCAGGTCGCCCGAACCTCACTTCTCCCAGGATTATTGAAAACGCTGGCTTCAAACCGAGATATGCCACTTCCATTGAAACTTTTTGAATTGCAAGATGTTATTGTCAAAGATTCGACAACAGGTGAGGGATTTTTGAGGCGGGAATTTTGAATTTTGAAAATCGAAATTTGGCGGGAAAACGGAAAACGGAAAAAAAGAAAATTTTTCAAGGTCTGAAATTTCGATTTTCAGCCTTAAGTTGACACTAAATTTGAGACGTTTTACGTTCAAAAAATGGTAAAATTTGAAAAATTGAAAAAAATCCCAAAATTTAAGAAATACTGAAAATATTACTACCGGAAAATTGATTTTTCCTTGAAAAACCGAGAAATTCGGAAAATTTCCAGCAAAAGCCGGGAATTTGTTCTATTCAAACACCTATTTTCTTTCAACAGAATATATTTTTAAAGTTCAAAAAACCGCTAGAAATTCACGAAATTCATTCATTTACTCGGCGTTTTCAGCCCTCTTTTTCGACCAATAAAAAATATTTTTTCAAAAAATTTTGAAGTTTTTTATTTTTCGGCTGAAAATTCATTGAGTTATGACGTGTTTTATGAACCAAATTTGGCAATTTTTGAACTTTTTGAGAGCCCAGAACTTGGCTCAGAGGTCCATTATTCAAAAAACCGCTCGAAATTCACAAAATTTATTCATTTACTCGGCGTTTTTATTCCTCTTTTCGATGCTCTTTTCGATATTTTATCCTTACTATTAGTCATTCTCAACGATAATTTATCCTTACTTTGTGCCAATCTCAACGAAATCGTCTTTGATTTCTCCGTAGTTCCTCCAAGTGTTGTTTTCGATGCTCTCTGAGCCACATGAACCGAACTCGTCTTCTTCTCCTTTCTTCCCGATTTCTCTTTTCGATCCGATTTTTGAGTTGCCGTGTTGTTTCCCGTCGCTTTTCTCTTCGATTGTTGTTGTCCCTTCTTCCATTTTTCCACATTTTTCGCCAATTCCACTAGTAATGCACGGAAGGTTGGACGATTTTCGGGTTTTGATCTGATGCAACTCTCGAATGTTGAGAGGATTTCCTTAGGTGGTCCGGTGCCTTTGGGGAATTTGTGAGGCTTGTCGATTTCTGCAAAAAAACATGTGCATCTGAAAATTTGCCATTTTGCTTATTTTGGAGCAAAATTTGGAGCATTTTGATATTCCATAAGCCTAGGGAAGATTACTGTAGGTTTTGGCGCGAAAAAAATATCGAAAAATATTGTAGGTCAAAATTAGTTTTTCAAGTTTTTCAGCCAAAAATGATGAAAAATCGATATTCTTCAAGCTTCTGGAGTAATTTCTGATGAAAATAAGCTTTTCTCGAAATTCATCAAAATTTAACAATTTTTCATTTTACGAAATATCAGCAAAAAGTTCTGGAAAGTGAATTTTGATCAGAAATCACTCCAGAAGCTTGAAAAATATCGATTTGTCATCATTTTTGGCTGAAAAACTCGAAAAACTAATTTTTCGATGGTAAAAAAAACATTTTTTCGTTCTGGACTCAGGCTTCTCGGGCCCAAATTATACACCTTCCGGTTTCAGGCCTGAAATCTAGGCTTTTCCTAGGCTTCAGGCCTGAAATCTAGGCTTTTCCTAGGCTTCAGGCCTGAAACCCACCTTTAATATCAACTTGTGCATCTTTAATACTCTTGGGATACAACGGATGATGTGCACATGCCGTGAAAATCTCCCAAATCACAACACCATACGACCAAACATCAGTCTTCTCATTGAAAATCCCTTTGGTCAGCGTTTCGGGTGCCAACCATCTAATCGGTGCCTGCTTCAATGATTTGATCTTGACCTCTTCGCCCACCACCGACAATCCGAAATCCGATATTTTCACCCATTAGATTGTCGCCGATTAGACAATTTCGAGCGGCGAGATCGCGATGAATCACGCGTTTTGATGAAATGTGTTCCATTCCGCGAGCGATGCACACTGTGAAATGGACCAGGTTTTCGATTGGCGTGGTTTTTTTGCTGCGGAGAAGTCCCTGGAAGTTTGGGAAGAATTCTTGCTGTCTATCAAGACCTATAGCCAAATTTTTTCTAAATTATCAGGCTTAAAATTTAGGACCTTAAGGCCCCTATTCAAGTCCTTAGAATCAGCCTTAGTGAAGTCTAGATTTTTGACGTGAGATAAAAGATCCAAATTCAGGCTGGCCTTAGTTCGGAGCCTTACTTAGGCCTTATTTCGGGCCCTATTCAAGTCTTTAGAATCAGCCTGAGTGAAGCCTAGATTTTTGAGAGAAGGACTGAATTTAGGCTCTGAATTTAGAGCCTAAAATCACGGCCTTATGTGGCCGAACTATTTTGGTGGCCGAAAAGTGTCGGGAATTCGGCCAAAGCAACAAAGTCTTATTGTTGGAGCGATTTTGTTGCTTTGGCCGAATTCCCGACACTTTTCGCCCACCAAAATAGTTCGGCCACATATAGCCTTAATGGCCTTAAGGCTTTATGGCCTTAAGGCCCTAAATATGATTCTAATAAAAACCATAAGGCTCTGATTTGAGGCTCTAAATCCAGAGCTTGAATTCAGTCCTTCTCTCAAAAATCTAGGCTTCACTCAGGCCGATTCTAAAGACTTGAATAGGGCCCGAAATAAGGCCAGCCTGAATTCGGATAATAATCTCCGTTGCCGGGCCATTTAATTTGGGGCCTTAATAAGTCTTTTTGCTTTGGCCCGGATTTTGACCAGAATTTCGACATTGCCACGTCACTTTGGCATTTTTTTTCCGCAAGCTTCCGCAAGACAATTCTGAAAGCTCACTAACCCGAACAGTTCCACCGGAAGCCAATTCCATAACAGCCATCAACGGCGAAATCAACGTACACTGCCCATAATACTTGACAATACATTCATGATCAAACTTCGACATAATCTTTGCCTCATGAAAAAACGCATCAGTCTCGGCTCTCTTGACTTGTCCCTTGATCTTCTTGACGGCACAATCCTTGAGAATCCCATCGATCTTCAAAGTTCCCTTCCACACTTCACCGAATGCTCCTTCGCCCAATTTTTTCGTCATTGTAATGTCGTCGTGGTAGATTATCAGGTTTTTTCGGGGGACTGGCTGCAAATTTTGTAGAATTGGATTCTGTTAAGAACATCTAGGTGACTTACCACAACTCCGTCCACTTTATTACTCCAATCTTCCAATAGCAAATGAATATGTGCGAATTTTTGCGGAACTTCGTTATTTGGTAGTGGAAGTTTTGGACAGGTCCATCCGCCGTCCTCATTTCGAAATGCGTAGTGATAGATGCGATTGTTGATGCGAACCGAGAGACAGAAGAACTCTTCGCCTTGACCACCTTCGCCACTTCGACGAACTACGAATGACAGATCCCACTGGAAGAATCAGGTTCCGAAGAAGTTTCTGAACTTTTTTGTACGAATTTTTCTAGTCTAAACATGGTCAGGATCTTACATTAGATCTAGACATTCGATTAATCTCAAATTCCACTAGAACTCTGAACTTCAGAGTTCTATTGAACTTTGAGGTTCAGAAGCTTGGAAGATCAGGTTCTGAATTCAAAGAGAATTTGAAATTAATCCAGAAGTTTCTGAACTCATTTTCTAAATTCGGAATTTTGAATTTGGAAGTTCAAATCGTCCGAAACATGGTCAGGATCTTACATTAGATCTAGACTTTCGATTAATCTGAAGTTCCACTAGAACTCTGAAGCTAAATTTCGTCCTATCGATTCTGAAAGTTCAGAATTCGGAGTTTGGAAGATTAGGCTCCGAATTCAATTCTTGTAGAATTTTGAATCCAAAAAGAAGTTTTTGAACTTGTTTTCGGAATTCTGAATTTTGAATTTGGAAGTTCTAATCGTCCGAAACATGGTCAGGATCTTACATTAGATCTAGACTTTCGATTAATCTGAAGTTCAATAGAACTCTGAAGCTGAAGTTCAATAGAACTCTGAACTTCAGAGTTCTATTGAACTTTGAGGTTCAGAAGCTTGGAAGATCAGGTTCTGAATTCAAAGAGAATTTGAAATCAATTCAGAAGTTTCTGAACTTATTTTTTGAATTCGGAATTTTGAATTTGGAAGTTCTAATCGTGCGAAACATGGTCAGGATCTCAGATTAGATCTGAAATTTGGATTCATCAGAATTCAATAGAACTCTGAAGCTGTAGTATCACCTAAATCCGGTTCTATCAGATTTTGTGTTGGATTTTGAAACTTCAGAAACTTGTAGTTTGGAAGATCAGGCTCCGAATTCAATTCTTGTAGAATTTTGAATTCAATCAGAAGTTTCTGAACTTATTTTCCACATTCGGAATCTTGAATTTGAAAGTTCTAATCGTCCGAAACTTCAGGATCTTAGATCTAGACTTTTGATTAATCTGAAGCTCAATAAAACTCTGAAGCTTCTATCACACCGATTCTGAAAGTTCAGAATTCGAAGGTTGGAGGTTCAGAATTTTGTTTCTGAACCTATTTTCCACATTCTGAATTTGGAAGTTCTAACCTTCAAAACATCAGCAACATGTGATTTCAAAACCATTCCATGATACCACGGATAAAACCTCAAAGTATTCTGAATATATGCCAAATCCTCTTTATTCGCCTTACATACTCCTTCATCACTTATTTCAATCATTGTCTTCATTTCCTCCTCATTTTTCCCTCCACCTCCTGTTCCTCCAATTTCCAATTCATGTTTATCCGAATTTTGTTGATGATGAAGTTCTTTGCTTTGTTGCTCATTGAGCCCAACTCCTCCAGCCATCATCATATTTTGATCGCAATATTGTGATTGCACTTTTTTACCGCTTCTCTTCTTGTTAATATTCATGACACTCTTTGTCTTTTTGTAATTTTTCTGCGAAAATTTGAAATTGACTGCGTACTTTGGTTGGATTCGCGCCAAAATTTGCATTTTTTTGATACCGAAATCGATTTCGTACCTTATAGGGTTCACTGAGTATCTAATGCCCAAGGTACGCAGCCAAATTGAATTTTTTGGTACCGAAATTTGGCTGCGTACCTGAAATTCTATTGGCTGAGTATCTAATGCCCAAGGTACGCAGCCAAATTGAATTTTTCTAGTGCTCAAAAATCGTAGTTTTTGATACCAAAATTTGGCTGCGTACCTGAAATTCTATTGGCTGAGTATCAAATGCCCAAGGTACGCAGCCAAATTGAATTTTTCTAGTTTGCTGTTGTGCTCAAAAATCGTGATTTTTGATACCAAAATTTGGCTGAGTATCTAATGCCCAAGGTACGCAGTCAAATTCCCAAAACTCACTGCTTATTTTTCCAAAGTCCTTAAAAAATGAGTGATTTTCCGTGATTTTTTCTATTCTTTTTTTTTTTTTTTTTTAGTTTTTTTGGGTCACGTGAAAAATTGCCCTGAAAATTGGGTTTGAAATTTATTTTTGAGAGAATTTTCGTCTGAAATTGTGAGATAAGTCTAGAATTTTGTCTGAAAATTCGTAAATTTATAACTTTTTTCTCTCCGAAAAACAATTCAAAATTTCTTGAAACAGTGAATTTAAAAAAAATTTGAATTTTATTACCCAAAAATCTTCAAATTTGTATGAAACAGTGAATTTTTTGAATTTTTTTTTCGAATAAAAAATTTATTTTTCAAATTAACCCTGATAAATTCGAATTTTTGCAAAATCTTCAATTTTCCCTGAAACAGTGAATTTTTTAAAAGAATTTGAATTTTTTTACCCAAAAATCTTCAAATTTGTATGAAACAGTGAATTTTTTGAATTTATTTTCAAATTTTTCAAATACACAAAATTTTGGTATCAAAAAGTGAGAAATTTGGCAAAATCTTCAAATTTCTCTGAAACAGTCAATTTTTTTTCTTCAGACGTCGGTGCTCGTAACGAACGTCGTTTGGCTGCAGTTTACTACAACAAAGCGGCCGGTTTCGAAATAATTCAAGGATTTTTGGATCGAATGATGAGAATGTTGAATGTGAATCCGGCAAGAGATGGAACCGGTTATTATATTGAAGGCGATGAGAATCCGACGTATTTCCCTGGAAGATGTGCCAAAATTATTGGACCAAAAGGAGTGGTTTTGGGACATATTGGTGAGTTTTTGGGGAATTATTTGGGAAATACAAATTTAATTTTTTTCTGGGCACAGAGAGTATTTTGATATCAGAAAATTGAAATGTGTACGATTTTCCACTTTTTTTGAAACAGTATTTTTTTCACAATATACAAAGGGCTATTAACAAAGTTAGGAACACGCCAAAGTGTTTGAGATTTTTCTGAAACAGTGAAAATTTTGAAAAAAACATTTTTTTGCTGATTTGAGAATTTTTTGCGTTGTTGAAAAATTGCCACTTTTTTATGGTCCAGATTTTTTTTTTGAATAAAAATCTAATAAAAATTTTGAAACAGTGGAATTTTTGGATTTTTTTCATGTTGAATTTTTGTTTGGAAAATAACACTAACATTAAAAATCGCTAACCAAAAAACAATTTCTTTATTTTTTGAAACAGTGAAATTTTTTTTTGAGAAAATTCATCCAACACAGGGAAATCTTGACTGATCCATAATGGATATAAAAAAATATTGCATACTAATAGCAAACAATTTGTATCCCTTAAAATTAAACGCGAGAAAAAATGCATCCTTTATGAGAATAAAAATGCATCCATTATTTTTCTTTGAGAATTTTGAGAAGTAACCATAATGCATCCATTATTAGATGGCCGTGGAAGAGAAATCCACATGGGCGTCTTCTTCCAATTAATTTTTCATTTTCGAAATTATTGTGTTTTTTCGGCGTTTTTCTATGTTTTTCATGTTTTATTTTGTTTTTTTGTGCCTCAGAGATTCGCTGGCCAGCTGGCTACTAGGTGGGATCGACTACCAATCTAAAATTGACATGGACAACCACATGGCCCGGGTTTTTTTGCAAGACGACGTGGCCGTAAGTTCGGACAGTTCATACAGCCCACATCGCCCAGGTTGTCCACCTCGAGCCGACCTCGCGTGAGAGAAAAAATTCCGAAAAGCTTGTGATTTGGAGCATTTTTTAAAATATGACTTATTTTCTGTTTTTCATGAGTATTTGAAACCATTAGATGAGAAAAAACAGAAAAAATGATTGTTGTGAATTCAAACAGCCTTTCTGGGTGACAAAGATTTGAGACCACGTCGCCTGAAAATGCAAGGCGATCTGGTTGCCGAATCGATTTGATCAATCAAATTCAGTCCTTTTTGAACTTTCTGGCCACGTGGTCTTGATCTAGTGGTGAGCTGGCCAGCGAATCTCTGAGGCATGATAAAACTGCGTAATATTGAGAGTTTTGATTTCAGCTGTAGATATTGGTTCACTCCGCTTTCGTTTTTTCTTGTTTTGACCTTTCTCTCTAGTAATCTATTTTTGTTGTGAATGTCTGTCCAGGTGGAGGGAGATTGCCCAATCTTTGGTCAAACTCGTACCAATCGGGGTTTTGGTCAAAAATTGACCAATTTCTAAACAAAAATTATTCAAGTTTGGGCCAAATTTTGACCAAAAACCTCTCTCCACCTGTGGGTGTGTTCAATTGAGTTTTCGAGATTGTGTGATTTGTTCATTGTTGCGTTCTTATTTTCTTTCGCTTTCTTCACTATATTTCTACGATCCCTTCAGCTCTGCTACGCTATTAATTTTGATTTTTCAGCATCAGGTTTGAACATAAATGCCTCCAAAAACTCGTGGGTCTGCCGCGAAGCAACGTATTGATGGTACATTTTTTTCAAAAAAGCGGTTCGTTTCAAAATCTAAACCCAATTTCAATTTATTCGATTTCAGTCTTCTCGAAATCCTGAACCCCCGCCGCATGACTTACTGGATGTCAGTCATCAGAATGGTGAGCCACTACCAAGGAAGCCACGGACGAAGCCAATCAATGTGCGCACTTACTAGAGTGAGTTTTTTGCTCCCTGGAGGTTTTCAATTATACATATATTGTCGTTCCGAAAAAAAAGAACCTTGGAAGAGAACCGAAATGGCCTAGGAAACCAAGACCACAGTAGACTTCGCAAAATTTTGGAGTCCATTTGAAAAATAAAATGCGAAATTTACACGCTGGCTATTTGCCAACCAGTTTGATGTGCATGTGTCACGTCATTTTTAGTCTACTGTACGTGAGCGCCAATTCAAACGGGGGTTCTTTTATTTTCGGATTGACAATATGTTGCTGTACAGTTTTTGTTTTTGCTGCGGGACTCTCCAAAGAGCTTTTTCAGAAATTCTCAAATTTGGCTCATTTTTGTACTGTCAGAATGTCCTGCAGCAAAGACTTAAAACGGAATCTTTCTCAGTGTGAAAAACTCTGGAGACTGCTCACACATCCCCCTGTGAGAAATTGAAAATTTTAAATAAAAAAAATTGAAACCTGTAGTGTATCATTTTTTATTTACAGGGATCAAAAAAAGAGGACAAGTCCAAAATGAGCCAGGAGGCCATGCGCTTTTGGAATCAAGGAAACAGCGATTTCATGCAATGGTTTTCCGGAAACTCCCAATCTACAAGTTGGTTTTTCAAAGTCCCCTTGCTCAAAAATTCTACCTCAACAATCTAATTGGACCCCACCCTGCAACTTCACGAGCAATTTGTTTTTTTTTCATTTTTGTTTTTTGAAAATAAATGAATTAATCGCAGCTTTCCACCAATTCAAACGAAAAAAAAAACTACGCAAAAATGATTCATTTTGCATACTTATTTTTAGAAAAATGTATGCTTTTTGAATTCAAAAAGGATCCATTTTTACCCCATAGAATTTATGGATCCATTATGGATCCTTTTTGTTATGGTTTTGAGGTACATAATGGCTCCCATTTTTCTGAAGTTAATGGATGCATTATTATACCATTTTGGATCACTTTTGATTCGTGTGTGCAAAAAGGCTCCCAGAAAACATCCTAATCAGAGAAAATTAGAAATAAATCAAAAATCCAATTTTTTGTTTGAAACAGAGAAATATTTTGAATTAATGCCCGATTCGAAGAAATGATCAGAAAATTGAAAATTGTACGATTTTCCACTTTTTTTTGAAACAGTAATTTTTTTTGGATTATTTGTGGAAAAATTAAAAGCAAGAAAAAATTAGTTTTTTTTGAAACAGTGAAAAATTTGGATTTAACATTGTTTTTGAAATAGTTTCTCTCGAAAAATCCATCACAAATCCAGAAATTTTTTTTTTCAAAAAATTTTGAAACAGTAGAATTTTTTGGATTTTTTTCATGTTGAATTTTTGTCACGACATTAAAAATCACCAACCAAAAAATAATTACTTCATTTTTGAAACAGTGAAATTTTTGTGCCTCTTATTATTAAAATTTGAAGCAAGCAAAAAATTGCTATTTTTGTTTGAAACAGTGAAAAAAATTAATAACTTATCAAAAAATTTAGATTTAACATTATTTTTAAATATAGGTTCTCTCGAAAAATCCAGAAATTTTTTTTCAAAAAATTTTGAAACAGTAGAATTTTTCATGTTGAATTTTTGTTGGAAAAATAAAATTAACATTAAAAATCACTAATGGGGTGAGTCAATTTTATTTTTTGTCAATTAATTGACACAAAATGTGAGTCATTTTTGTGCGATTTTTTCACGTTTTTGTCGATTAATTCCATCTTTTTTTGCAATTAATTACATTCAAAAATGAGGAATTTCAATACGAAATAGAATTTATTTGACCTCTTTTTTGAAACGTGTCCCAAATTCACTGCTTATTTTTTGGATTCATTTTGAAATGAAAGAAAATTGAGGGAAATTGATTTTTTGTTGATAATTCCAACTCATATAGGTCACGTTTTAAAATATAGGTCAAATAAATTCTATTTTTTATGCAATTAATTGCATTTTTTTGCCAAGAAATGAAAGCGATGAATTGACAAAAACGTGAAATTAATCGCCCTAAAAGACTCACTTTTTTTGTCAATTAATCGCAAAAAACACGTCGATTAATTCGATTAACTCACCCCATAAAAAAAAGTCATTTCTTTTATTTTTTGAAACAGTGAAAATTTTTTTTGAGAAAATTCATCCAAAAAATCCTTGTATTTTTCTAGGCGCCCTTCATCCAGAAGTCATCACCGCATTCGGTTTGACTTTACCATGTGGAGCTGTCGAATTCAACGTCGAACCATTCTTATAAACTTCTTCCCTGGTTTTTCTCTTTTTTTCAGTTTTTTCCCGGTTTTCATGCTTGTTTTCTTGTTGTCGTTCTTTTTTTTTTAAATAATATATGGAATTTTTTCGGAATTTTTCTTTTTTTTTCGTGGAAAAACGGGTCATTTTACCCTTACATATCTCTGTGGAAAAATTAATTTCACAAATTTTTTTCACCTGAAAAATAGTTTCAGGAAATGTTGGCTGATTGTTTGTTGATTATCGCAATCGCTTTTGGAACAGCTTTGGCTGGAGAAGGAATCACTTGGTTGTTGGTTTATCGATCGGATCAATATAAGAGACTTAAGGTAGGGGTTTTTGGAGGGAAAAAATTGGGAAATTTATGAAAAATGAATTATTTTGATATAAAATTCATCAGAAATCGTGGATTTTGGTATAAAAAATCGAATTTTCAAGTGAAAATTTGATAAAAAATATCATGAAAAATAGACAAAATTTGCATTTTATTTTGAATTTTGAATTCATTAAAATTTCAGATGATTTCTAATAGTATAGGCTCAAAATTGACCAGATTTTGAAGAAAAAAAACTTATAAAAAACAAAATTTTCTCCCAAAAATATTTATGTATATACATTTTTTGGTTAGAAATTGAAAAATAATTAAAAAAAAAGTGAGAAACTTTTAAAAATTTCAAAAATGATTTCTCTTTAACAAAATCCCGTAATTAATATTTAATCAAAGTTTGTCTAACATGAGTAATCGAATTTTTTTTGAGAAATTCTGTATTAAACTTTTATTCGGGGCTTTTTCCCATTCAACCATTTAATTTGGCTCCTCTCAAAATTCCACGATAATATTTCAAAAATTGTTTTTGCGTATGTCTTTTTGTTGTTGGTGGTTGAGTTGTTGTATAGTATTTGTCGAATATTTCGGGTTCCCAAGAATTAAATCCCTTATTCCCGGATCGATGTTGATTTCCTAATAAATCGACGCATTTTAAAATTGAGAAAATAGTCAGAATTTCGAGAATTTTCATTGAAAATGAATATTTTGAAAGTGTTTCTCAGGGATTTATTGCTTGGATCATAAAGACTGGGAAAACGAACGAAAAAATGTTTTTTTAACATCGAAAGATCAATTCACGAAAAGTCAAAAAATATCGAAAAAAATTTAGTTTTTCAGCCAAAAATGATGGCAAATCGATATTTTTCAAGCTTCTGGAGGGATTTCTGATGAAAATTGACCTTGGAATTCACTTTCCAGAAGGTTTTGCTTTGAATTTCGAAAAAATTCATAAATTAAAGCAAAATAGGGTTCTCGGTGCTTATTTTCATCAGAAATTACTCCAGAAGCTTGAAAAATATCGATTTGTCATCATTTTTGGCTGAAAAACTCGAAAAATTTATTTTTTGACGAAGAAATTAGGAGATCTGTTATTTTGTAGGCTTAAAAAATCAGTTTTTTTCTTGCAAAACTTTATTTTTCATCATCAAAAGCCTCAAAATTGCCCGTCTCTTGACATTTTTTCCAATTGATATCTAAAAAATTCTTCAATATTCAAAGTTGTCGGAACTGGCGGTGGAGTTGTTGTATATCTCTCAGGAAACATTTGAAGTTCCCAAGCACGCGGTTCATTCATACCAGGCCGATATTGATTTCCCATTGATTTGATCGGTTGAAGAATTGTGAAAATTGTTAGAATAGTTTGAAAATTGAACATTTTCTGTTAATGGGCGAATCGAAAATTGATGAAGTAGCCGAATTTTTTCACATTCATCATAAAATTCTATGGGAAAAGTTCTATTTTTAGAATCTAAAAAATCAATACTTTATTATCTGAGTTGTTGTGTGAGGTTCGGTCAAAAGTGGTCCCAAATCAAAATATCGTGTTGTTGTAGGCTGTGGAATCCAACCAAGTGAAATTACACTTTTAAATAGGAAAAGTGTGAAAATAGAGAGAAAATTGGATATTTTCATGATTTTTTTGAAGTTGGAATGAAATTGGGCAGCCTTTTTGTATTGCTGGTTTTTCTCATGAAAAATTTGCCACGTTTCATTTCAAAGTTTTAGTTCAAAAAATCGTTGAAAACCAGGATTTTTGAAAAGGGCTGATTCACGAACGAAAAAATCTTTTAAAATGTTTTTTTTTAACATTGAAAGATCAATTCACAAAAAGTCGTAGGTCAAAATTAGTTTTTCGAGTTTTTCAGCCAAAAATGATGACAAATCGATATTTTTCAAGCTTCTGGAGTAATTTCTGATGAAAATAAGCTTCGGGAACCCTATTTTGCTTTATTTTATGAATTTTTTCGAAATTCATCACGAAAAATCAGCAAAACCTTCTGGAAAGTGAATTCCAAGGTCAATTTTCATCAGAAATTACTCCAGAAGCTTGAAAAATATCGATTTGTCATAATTTTTGGCTGAAAAACTCGAAAAAACTAATTTTGACCTACGACTTTTCGTGAATTGATCTTCCAGTATTAAAAAACATTTTTTTTTGTTTTTTTTCGTTCGTGAATCAGCCCTAAAGTTTTAGTTCAAAAAATCGTTTGCAAAATGCCAGAATAAAACTTTATTCAAACCCAAAACAAAATCAATATCTCGGTTTTCCTCCTGTACTCCATAGCCATGAGGAAAGTGTCCCTCTGAGCTCAATTTGGAGATTCCTTTGATCTTTGACCTTTGAACTGTTGAACCTCTTGGCCAAATGTTCAGCAATAAATTGTCTATGTGAACAATTTCTCAATATAAAATGCCCCGAGAGTTCACCGCCTTTCAAAAATAAGAACCATGAATATTCTCTCAATCTTCGTCTTTGCCATTTTCGCCGTTTCAACTAGTTTTGGAATGACACCTAAGCCTAGTCTACCAAATATTGCATATACCAATAAACCAAGAGAGGATCAATCAATATTTCCATTTTGATAATAAAGTTTCTTGATTGCAAGGCATACTTTGAAAGAGCTGAAAGTTAGAAGATGTGATTTTTGGCGCGAAAAAAATTTATTTTCAATTTTTTGCCACGTGGATTTTTAGCGCGAAAATTCGAATTTCAAAATTTTGGTTTGAATATTCGCCACTTTTCCGAATTTCATGAAAAACCGGAATTTTCAGCTGAAATTCCAGATTTTCAGCTAGAAAATCAATAAATCATATAAAATTGTCCAAAACATGTTTCTGGTCCAAGATATCATGAAAAACCGGAATTTTCAGCTGAAGTTCCAGATTTTCAGTCAAAAAATCAATTATTCACATGAAAATGGTCCAAAACATGTTTTAGGTCCAAAATTTCATGAAAATCTCAAATTTTTCGAATGATTGAATGAAACTTTATTGAATTATTAATTTAATGGTTCTCCTCCGTCAGCTGAATTGTATTTACCATTTGGGTTATCGGCCAAAGTTGCACCAATGAGAATAAAGACGATTGCAGTGAAAGTTGAGAGAATATTCATTTTTTGATGATGATTCTAAGCTTTCAGCTCACCCCCTTTTTGTATTGAGCATTTTTCACATGGTATTTTATTTGTCTGGAAATTGGTTATATTTTTTTCAAGCTTTCGGCTTGGTTTTATGGATTTTTTTGTGGGAAAATTTTGATTAGGATTTTTGAAACAGTGAATTTTTGGAAGGAAAATTCCTGGTTGATCCGGGGAAAATTACGTTTCAAAATTCTTGAAACTAGCGATTTTTGCTCAACCTCTTGGTGCAAAATCGAGGCAAATTTGAGGCTCAAAATTGCGATTCTGGAATTTATCCTGATGTTGTTTGAAATGTTTGAATTCTAAAATTTCTCGGAAAAAAAATTCTTCAAAATTTTTACTGTTTCAAGATTTTGTGAATAAAATAACAGAAAGCGAAAAATTCCGTTCGTCGCAATATTTTCGAATTTTTTGAATTAATTCAAATTCCCGGATTTCAATTAATCCATGTTTCCAAAATCTATCCAAATTTTAGTTCAAAAATTCAATGTTCAAACGTCAATTCCAAATCTGAAAAATAAATGTCTGTGAGAAAAATAGAGAAAAATCCTTCCATATAAAAAAAAATCCCTTTGGAATATCCCAAAAATCAAATCAAAATTTCAAATTCTTACTCAAAAAATGAACATTTTCTCAACTGTCATCTTCGTCTCTTTGGTTATTTTTGCAATTTTTGCCAATGCTGAAGTTGAAAAGAAAAATATTGGTCAATTTGCCATAAATTCTCGAATTGAATAATTTTTTGTGATAATAAAAGTTGAATTTTTGAGCTCTTAAAATAGCTGAAAATTTAGAATTTCCAGAAAAAATCAACCTAAATCTATGATTTTTCAGGCCGAAATGGACAAAAAGACAAAGAAATTGGAGAAAAAGAAGCAGGAAGTGGGAGATTCGGCGGACAAAAACACAAAAAAAAAGTTGGAACGAGAAGAGGAACGATTGAAGGCCACAAATCGAGATATGAGCATGTTCAAAATGAAATCGATGTTTGCAATTGGTAAGCAACCTTTTTGGGAAGAAAAAAAACCCGGAAAAATACGTTTCAAAATTTATGTTATTGTTGAAAATCAATAGTTTTCTTGCATTTAAAAACAAGAAGATCACCAGGAAAATCTTTATTTTCTCTACAAAATTCGACACTTTTTCAATTTTCCGGCTTATTTTTCACCTTTCGTCAATAAAAGTACCAAAATAATTGCGATAAGCATCAAAACGATCCATTTGTTGTCCTCCTCTTTTTTATTCGGTTTTTTCTCCGAACCCGAGTCTTCTGGAGTCGGAGATGGACGAGTTTGGAGTTTTGAGTCGGCGCTGTAGAAAATTCACGGGTTTTTGAGGTTTCTGATGGATTTTGAGTGTGATATCTCTCTGCTTCGGATGTGAGTTATGACGTGGCAAAATAGGTGATTTTATATTGTTTTGCCACGTCATAACTCATTTCCAGACGGGAGAAAAGTTGAAAAATTTCACTGTTTCATGGGTTTTATGAGGTTTATTCTCTAATCTTTCAAAAAATGATATTGATTTAACGGCCTATGTAGAATAATATTTTGTAATAAGAAAACATAAAAAATATTTTTCCTATGCAGAAAAATGCCGAAAAAACAAAATATACAGTTTATTATTTTTGAGTAGAGACAATGTGAAATTGAGAGAGTGCAGGCAGTTTTTTGTATTTTTTGTGCTAGAAATCAATTTTTGCTGTCTGCACTCTCTCAATTTCATATTATCTCTACTCAAAAATAATAAACTGTATATTCTGATTTTTCGGCGTTTTTCTGCATAGGAAAAATGTTTTTTATTACAAAATATTATTCTGCATAGGCCCATTAATTTTTCTCATGCTTTCTTTGAAATTAGCTATTTTCACAATTATTTGAGCATGTAGAATTTTTTTTTTTTGAAAAATTCAACTGTTTCAAGCGTTTTATAAGATTTTTGATTCTTCCCAATATTTTTCCAATTTCTCAAATTTAACCAGATCTAGTTATGACGTGGCAAATTGTACATTTTTTTTGTATGTTTTGCCACGTCATAATTTGAGATAATTCATAATAAAGTCTAGAAAAATCCACTGTTTCATGGGTTTTATAATGCTCATTTTCAGTATTTTTTTGAATTGGCCATTTTTACATGAGCAAAATTTTTTCTATAATTTTTGATGGCTTTTTTTTCGTGGTTTCTTTTTTGTCCCCATTAAATTCGGTCAAAAATTAAAATTTCTTGGAATTTTTCACTGTTTCAAAATTTCTATGAGGTTTCTGATGGGTTTTAAGGGAGATATCTCTGATTACTGCTTTGCCACGTCATAACTCATTTTCAGACGTGAGAAAAAATTTAAAAAATTTCACTGTTTCATGGGACTTTTCAAAAATAATAATGTGCTTTCTTTGAAATCTCATGCTTTCTTTGAAATTAGCTATTTTCACAATTTTTTTGAGCTGAATTTTCTTGAAAAAATTTTTTCGAATCTCATATTTTTCCAATTTCTCAAATTAAACCAGATCTAGTTATGACGTGGCAAATTGGACATTTTTTGGTATGTTTTGCCATGTCACAATTTGAGATAATTCATAATAAATTCAATAAAAATCCACTGTTTCATGGGTTTTATGAGATTTTTCTGGTGGGTTTTGTCGTGGTTTATTTGTTTTTCGTATCTTAAATAGAAAATGTGTGGCAAAATTCCCAGTTTTTTCAAAAAATGCTCATTTTTTATTTTTTGGCCAAAATTGTTTTTGAAAAATTTCACTGTTTCAAGGTTTTTATATAATTTTTGATGGCTTTTTTCGATCAATAATAAAAATTTCTTGGAATTTTTCACTGTTTCAGGATTTCTTTAAGTTTTCTGTTTGGTGTTATCGTAGTTCTAAATAAAAATCACAGGAAAAATAGTGTTTCAGAATTTCAGTAGTTTCTTGGCTCAAAATTCTTGAAAATTAATTTTCGATTCATTTTTTGAAGAGAAAATTTTTTATGAATTTTGAGCTCAAACTTTTGGCAGCTGAATTTTTTGAAAGATTTTGAAAAACTCTAATTTTTGAGATTCAAAAAATTCCTAAATTTTCAGGAAATCTAAATTTTTGAACTGTAAAAACTGAAAAATAAAACTCACTGTAGGTCAAAATTAGTTTTTCGAGTTTTTCAGCCAAAAATGATGACAAATCGATATTTTTCAAGCTTCTGGAGTGATTTCTGATTAAAATTGACCTTGGAATTCACTTTCCAGAAGGTTTTGCTGATTTTTCGTGATGAATTTCGAAAAAAATCATAAAATAAAGCAAAATAGGGTTCTCGAAGCTTATTTTCATCAGAAATTACTCCAGAACCTTGAAAAATATTGATTTGTCATCATTTTTGGCTGAAAAAATCGAAAAACTAATTTTGACCTACGATTTTTCGTGAATTGATCTTTCGATGTTAAAAAAACATTTTTTTCGTTCGTGAATCAGCCCTATATATCAAAAATCAAACTCACTTCGTCTCACTGGTATCTTTTCCAACGGCATCCAACAAAAAGTTGTTCAATGGGTGGATCAGAAGCATCGCAAGTCTTTGTCGAACTCACTCTCGCCACCAATCTCGTATTCGTCGGCGCCTCATCCGTCTGTTTTTGTCCATTGTGCAAAAAATAGGTGCTCAACAAGATTTTGGGCAACGCCACATCTTCCCACTGATCCTTATTATCCGGCATTTTCCAATTCAACATTATACGCATCTGAGATTTCGCTGAAATGTGTCCTGAACTTGCTGGCAATGCTGACACGTTGGATTTGGTGTTGCAGCGAAGTTTGGCGAAAATATCGCGATCTGAGATGTTGCAGAGGAGAAGTTGGACACGGGCGACACGTGGATTTGTGGAGAGCGGTTGGAATGTGAGAACGGTGGCGTTGAGATGATTGAGAGAGGCGGAACCGGTTAGAGAACGACGGATTGAGAGAGTTGTACGGTTGCGACTACGGTCTGAAATTCGAGCCCACTTAGTGAGGTTTTGGCGCGAAATTTGGAGCATTTTGATATCCCATGAGCCTAGGGAAGATTACTGTAGGTTTTGGAGCAAAATTTGGAGCATTTTGATATCCCATGAGTCTAGGGAAGATTACTGTAGGTTTTGGAGCAAAATTTGGAGCATTTTGATATCCCATGAGTCTAGGGAAGATTACTGTAGGTTTTGGAGCAAAATTTAGTCAAAAAATGTCGAAAAAACATTAGTTTTTCAAGTTTTTCAGCCAAAAATGATGACAAATCGATATTTTTCAAGCTTCTGGAGTAATTTCTGATGAAAATAAGCTTCGAGAACCCTATTTTGCTGAATTTTATGAATTTTTTCATCAAAATCAGCAAAACCTTCTGGAAAGTGAATTCCAAGGTCAATTTTCATCAGAAATTACTCCAGAAGCTTGAAAAATATCGATTTGTTATCATTTTTGGCTGAAAAACTCGAGAAACTAATTTTGACCTACGTTTTTTCGTGAATTGATTTTTCGATGTTAAAAAAAAATTTTTTTTCGTTTCCTTTTGAAACTATAAGCTTGTTCACTGGATTTTTGAAATTTTTGAAATTTTCACCAGGATTTCTGGAGTTTCTGGAGTTTTAGACTTGGATTTACAAAGTTCTCGAAGTCTTGAAACCTTTTCGAACTATTTTTGAATTTTTGATTTTCGAATCAGATCTTAGATCTTCTGAAGATGTTCCGATTATGATCAAATTTCTGAGGAAATCTGAATTTTTATACAAAATTCCATGAACTTCAAGGTTTCCAATGAAAAATTCAAGATTTTCCACCTAGAAATGTTCCTGGCTCATAAATTCCTGGATCTTCTCCGAAATCCTCTTCACAACTCACTTTTCTTCGGTTTTGTCCCGGTATTCGCTGTCGAAACCGACGATGTTGCTGTATTCGAATGCAAAGTATCGCTGAACTCTGATTTCGGCATCGGAAGTGTTTCTTTTGTTGTAGCTTCTCCTTTTTTCTCGTCAGATTTATTGCTATCACTAGAAGATTTGTTACATAGTGTATTTATTAGCCAAAGAAGAATTGTTACCGTACCTTTTTAATAAGTTAGTTTTGGATGACATTCTCTAGAATTCGAATTAGGTAAAGCAAGCTGCAGCGTAAAATGAGGGGATTTTGAAAGAGGCGGGGAATTTTATAGGCGGGAAAGTGGGACACGTGAAAAAAAAGAAAAAAAAAATTAATTTTGGAGGTTTTCACGTTTTGAAATTTGTTTGTGAAAGGATTTTTGTGAAGGCAAAAAAAATTCTCGAAAAAAAAATTAAAAAAAAAAAATTCTCGAAATTTACTGTTTCTGGAAAATCCACTGTTGAAAATTAGAAATTTCACTGTTTCTAGAAAAATCAAAAAACAATTTTTTACGTTTCAAAAATTTATTATATGTAATTTGTCTATTGCAAAGATAGTGGTTTTTCTCTTTTTTCTAATTAAAAATAATTTCAACATTTTTTTGGCATAAAATCTTCATGTGAAGAAGCATAAGGGCTGAAAAAAATGTTTTTTTAACATCGAAAGATCAATTCACGAAAAGTCGTAGGTCAAAATTAGTTTTCCAAGTTTTTCAGCCAAAAATGATGACAAATCGATATTTTTCAAGCTTCTGGAGTGATTTCTGATGAAAATAAGCTTCGAGAACCCTATTTTGCTTTATTTTATGAATTTTTTTCGAAATTCAAAGCAAAACCTTCTGGAAAATGAATCCAAGGTCAATTTTCATCAGAAATTACTCCAGAAGCTTGAAAAATATCGATTTGTCATCATTTTTGGCTGAAAAACTTGGAAAACTAATTTTTCGATGTTAAAAAACATTTTTTTCGTTCGTGAATCATCACAAAATAAAAAATGCATACATTCTTCTCTTAGGTCTTGCATTCACTGCTCTTCTCTCAACTTTCAACTCGATTTTCGAAGGTCGAGTCGTCGCAAAATTGCCATTTCATCCGATTGGATTCATTCAAGGATTGTCGCACAGAAATTTGGTGAGTTCTGGAAATTTTCAGATTTTCCCCTTAAAAACCGAATTTTCAGATTGGCGATGATATGACCGATTGCTCATTTATTTTCCTCTACATTTTGTGCACAATGACTGTTAGACAAAATTTGCAAAAGGTGGGGAGTTTTTCACTGTTTTAAAATTAAAAAAAAATTATTTGAAAAATTTTACTGTTTCAGAAATATTTTGAAGTCTTGTTCCTGAATTTGAATTGAAATTTCTAAAACTTATTTTTGAACAATTTTTATCCTGAAATTAATTCTAGAATCTTAAAAATTCACTGTTTCAAATATTTTCTAAATTTCCTGGACAAACATTTTAACTTTAGAATTTTCTACAAAATTTTCAAAATCAGCTTCTTTTTTTTGGATAAAATTTCACTGTTTCAATATTTTCTTATTTTATGGAAAACATGTTTTTTTCAATGAACTGTTCCCACGCACTTCGAAAAAATTGTTTGAAGAATTTTACTGTTTCAGAAATATTTGAAAATTTCGAGCATGTTCCTGAATTTAATGCTTTTTGGAAATTTCTGAAACTTATTTTTAAACAATTAAAAAAAAACTGAAATTAATTCTAGAACCTTAAAAATTCACTGTTTCAAATAATTTCTGAATATTCTAAACAAACATTTTTATCGATTTAGAATTCTCTACAAAAATTTTAAAATCAGTTTTTTTTGGATAAAATTTCACTGTTTCAATATTTTTATGGGAAATTGGTTTTTTCTTTCTTCTCACTTCCAGAAAATTTTTTTGAAAAATGTTACTGTTTCAGAAATATTTTGAAGTTTCGATCTTGTTCATGAATTTGGTGTTTTTTGAAATTTCTCAAACTTTCTTTTAAACAAAAAAAACATCTGAAATTAATTTTCAGAATCTTAAAAATTCACTGTTTCAAATATTTTTTTGAATTTTCTAGACAAACATTTTTATCGATAAATATCTTTAACCAAGCCAAACTCATCAAATAAAATTAAAGGCTCAAATGATTTCTTTTGTAGAAAAATCTCACTGTTTCAAAAATTATTCAATTTTATGGAAACTATTTTTTAACACTACGTGAACAGAACAGTGAACAGTTGTCCGCCAAGATTTTGTTTTCAACCCTAAAATTAATTCCAGATTCTCGGATTTGCTCCATCTCGCGCAATGGCTCGTCAACAATCAAACAATCCATGGGCTCCACAACAATCTCAAATGAACTATTTGAGATAACTCTTGAAAATCTCAAAAAAATCCGTTTTTTCTCGATCTTTCCATGCTCCAAAAATACTTGTTTCGCAAATTTTTCCTTAGATTTTTGTTCAGTTTTATCTATCTATAAATTCATGTATTTTTAATTTTTATTGATTTTTTTTTCAGAAGAAGACATTTTGAGTTGTCCCTTTAATACAGTACCTTCCTTTCCTTTCCTTTCCTTTGTTTTTTCTAACGAAAAAAAATTTCAGCAATTTTTTTCAGATAAAAAATGAGCGATAAAGAGGATGAGAGAGTGGAGGAAAATAAGAGGAATCCGAGAAAAAGACAAGGATCTCAAGCGATTGAAATATCTGCATCTTCGTCATCTTCATCTTCGAATTCGAATTCGAATTTACCACCATGGGTGGCTGGTGAGATTTTTTGGGGCGAGGAAAATTTAATTTTTGAAAAAAATACTCGGAAAAATTTACTGTTTCAAAATTTTAATGAAAAAACTTGAGAAAAGTTAAAATTTGATTATGGATAATAACCTTTTGAAAATTCTTATTCGAAAAAACATTAATTTTGGGCTCTAGAAATTTTCAAATCTGAAATTTTAATGAAAAAAATATGAGCACAAAAATTTCAGCAGCAGAGAAATTTTTGAAAAAAATTACTGTTTCAAAAATTTCAGGAAAAAAATTGAGAACATTTCAATTTTGAAGCATAGAAAAATTTTTCGCTCTAAAAAATTTTCAAATCTGAAATTTTAATTTAAAAAATATGAGCACAAAAATTTAGTTTTGCAACAGAAAATTTTTTGAAAAAATTTACTGTTTCAAAATTTTTATGAAAAAAATTGAAAAAAAAAACATTTTTCGCTCTAAAAATCTGAAATATTGATTTTAAAAAACTATGAGCACAAAAATTCAGAGAATTTTTTTAAAATTTACTGTTTCAAAATTTTTATGAAAAAATATCGAAAAAAAATTTGTTTGTATTGAAATATTTTTCCGGGAAAATATACGTTTCAGATTTTTCTGAAAATTCTTGAAATGAAGATTTTTCTGATTTCACGTTCAAAAGAATGTTAAACCATAGTTTCTGAATATTTTCCTACTTCAGAATTTCGCTGTTTCAAAAATACTTGAATTTCAGGCGGTTCCCCGGCAAAATTCATAAGCCACGATGAAATTCTCAAAATGTCCACAGAATTGGAGAATTTGGAGCTGGTTCATGAAATTGCAATTGATCCCAATTTTTCGATACCCGATAAACCGAAAAATCCAATTGAGGCTTGTGTAAGGTTAGTTGGGTGACAAAAATTCACTGTTTCAAGGAAATTTGAAATTATGGAAGTTTTTATTGATTTTTGATGGGTTTTCCTAACAATCCAGTATTTTACGAAACAGAGCTAATTAGCCAAAATTTGAAGATTTTCGAAATTATTCAGGTAAATCAGTATTACTAGAAGTTTTCTCTGGAAAAATCAGGATATTTATGATTTTCAAAAAATCACTGTTTCAAAAAAAAAAAAAAACAAAAAAAAACTTTTCACGATTTTTAAAAATTTTAAAAAATTCTGACGATTCTATGTTCAAACTAACAAAAATCTCAAAAATTCAGAATTTTTTAGAAATTCAGAAATTTTTAGAAATTCAGAAAATTCAAAAATTTAACAATGAACATTCAGAAATTTAACAATGAAAATTCAAAAAATTCAAAAATTTTACAATGAAAATTCAGAAATTTTTAGAAATTTTTGGAAAATTCAGAAATTTAACAATGAAAATTCAGAATTTTTTTAGAAATTCGGAAAATTAAGAAATTTAGAATTTTTTTAGAAATTCAGAAATTTCAGAAATTTTTGGAAAATCAGAAATTTTTAGAAAATCAGAAAATTCAGAAATTTAACAATAAAAATTCAGAATTTTTTTTAGAAATTCAGAAATTTTCAAAAATTTTTAGAAATTCAGAAATTTAACAATGAAAAAATTCACTGTTTCAAAATTTTTCCAAAATTCCAGAATTTCTATTGAATTTTGGTAGTCAGAATTCTGAAAATCATCAAAAAAATCAAAATATTTTTTTTTGCAGAGAAAACATGCACAAAGCGTATTTCGAACTTTTGCGCAAAGATTTATCCAAAAATCCGCCCGAATACGAATATTGTTTTGGATTTTTGATGGAAATTAAGACGGTGAGAAAATTTTCTGAAAAATTTATTCAAAAATAAATTTTTTGCAGATGATTTTTGGATGATATTTTGACTGCACAACATGTTAGATTGAGGGAACAGGTTAATGCGATTTTGGATGAATGTGGGTTTTTTTGGGGGAACATTTTTTGGAAATTTTTTAAAATTTGATGTCAATTGTGCTGGAATTTGGAAATTTTCAAAAAAAATTTCACTGTTTCAAAAAATTGCAAAAAAATGAGATCCTAGATTAATTTTTCAATTGAAAAATCATTTTCAAAATTTTTGGTCCCGAAAAAAAATTTCGAAAAATTAATCCAAAAATTTACTGTTTCAAAAAATAGTTGAATACAATTTTTCTGGCGTTATTTGTTCCTTTATGCATTCAAAAGAATTTCAAAAAAAAAATCCAGGAAAAATATCAAAAAAAGTCACTGTTTCAAATTTTTATTGAAAAACTAACAATTAATTTTTCAAAAAAAAGTTTACCAAAATTTCACTGTTTCAAAAGTTTTTCAAATTTTCTTGAAAAACTACTCTTTGATATATAAGGAATTCAAAAAACATGAAATTTTTCAGGAAAAAATACCAAAAAAAAGTCACTGTTTCAAAATTTCTTTTTTTTGTGAATTCATTTTTTGACAGCAATTAAGCTTGTTTGCCAAAAATTTACTGTTTCAAAAGTTTTTCAAACTTTCTTGCAAAACTACTCTTTGTGAATTTATACGGAATTCGAAAACCATGAAATTTTTCAAGAAAAAATACCAAAAAAAGTCACTGTTTCAAAATTTCCTTGAATCTTTGAATTTTTTTTTTGACAGCAATAATGCGTTTTTGCAATTTACAAAATTGACTGTTTCAAAATTCTCATAAATTTCCCAATATTTTTGAAAACCTAATGTTATCAAGCTATCCAATTTTAAATAATTGATAATCACTGTTTCAAAAATTGTTTTGATGAATAAAAAATTTGATATTACCAATTATGGCATAGTTTTTGAAAAAAAAATGAGATCCTAGGAAAATCATTTTCAAAATTTTTGGTCCCGAAAAAAAATTGCGAAAAAAATTAATTCAAAAATTCACTGTTTCAAAAAATAATTGAATACAATTTTTCTGGCTATATTTGTTCTCTTAAGTTTCCGAATTAATTTTTAAAAAAATTCCAGGAAAAAAATACCAAAAAAAATGTCACTGTTTCAAAATTTTATTGAAAAACTAAAAATTAATTTTTGAAAAAAAAGTTTGCCAAAAATTCACTGTTTCAAAAATTCATTGAATCTTTGAATTTATTTTTGGAAAACTAATATGCAGCTAATAAATATCAAAAATTCACTGTTTCAAAATATTTTCAAATTCTCTTGAAAATCTACTCTTTGTGAATTTATACGGGATTCAAAAGAATTAAAATTTTCAGGAAAAAATACCAAAAAAAAGTCACTGTTTCAAAAAAATTAAAAAATTTTGAAATTTTCCATGTTCGACAGTTTTTTGGCTTACAAAAAAATTTAAAAAATATATTTTTGAAAAATTTTTGAGAAAAAAATAAATTGACTGTTTCAAAGTATTTTTTAAATTTTAAATTTTGATTTTTCATAATTTTTAAAAATATAAAAATTGACAAATTTACTCATGGAAAAATTCACTGTTTCAATTTTTTCTTAATTAAAAATCGACCATTTTCCCCTGAAAAATTGACTGTTTCAAAATTCTCATAAATTTCCCAATATTTTTCGAAACCTAATGCTTTCCTGCTATATAATTTAAAATTATTGATAATCTTTTTTTTTGCAGCCACACTTCGAAATAAAATGGAACAAGAAGCATTGAATATCAATCAAATAATGAATTATGTCATCGAATTATTATCTCGATTATGTTGTCCAGAAAGAGATCAATTAATTGAAGAATTGAAGAAAAAATCGGATATTATCGATTTATTCAAGTAGGTTTTGTTTTTCTATATTTGCCACGTCATAACTCTTTCCAGAGGAACTATGGAACTATTGGAACTCATGAAAAACGACTTGACAAATTATCAAATTTCACAAAATCGCACGGCCATCGAAGAATACAGTGCGAAACATGAGTATGAGAAATTTCAGCAATTTTTGGCTGAAAATCCGAGTGGATGTGATTTGACGAGAAAATGGTTGAGTATTGCGTATGATGAATTATTTGTGAAAAAAAATGAAAAAAATGATAAGAAACGGGAGAAAAAGGAGAATGAGGATATTGAGAAATCGGATGGATTATTGGTGGATACGACGAGTCGAGCTTATGTTAAGTGCGTTTTTTTGGGGGACCAAAATTTGAATTGGGAATTTTTTGCTCACTGTGACTGAACAGAAATTTCAAAAGTTATCCAAGAATTTTGAAGCAGTAGATTTTGGTGAGAAATTTGGAATTTTTTGAGACCAAATTTTTAAAATCATGAAAAAATTCACTGTTTCAATTTTTTCAAAATTTATCAAAGATTTTTACCCAGAAAATGTACGTTTCAAAATTCTCTAATAGTTTTTTCCAAATTTTTAAATTTTGCTAAGGTCGATAATTACTGCCAAAAATTCACTGTTTCAAAAATTTTTGAAATTTTCCAGGTTTGACAGTTTTTTGACTTACAAAAAATTTAAACAAAATATTTTTGAAAAATTTTTGAGAAAAAATTAATTGACTGTTTCAAAGTATTTTTTTTAATTTTAAATTTTGATTTTTCATAATTTTTCAAAATATAAAAATTGCCAAGTTTTTTCTCATGGAAAAATTCACTGTTTCAATTTTTTCTTGATTAAAAATCGACCAAATTCGATAATTACCGCCAAAAATTCACTGTTTCAGAAAATTTTGAAATTTTCCATTTTCCAAAATAATTCCAATGATTCCAAATAATTTCAAAATTTTTTTGAATTCCCGGTTTTTTTTGGATTTTTCCAAATTTCTCATTCCAGACTCGTTCAATCCGAAAACCCATCTCCATTCCCCGAAACTATGAAAATCGACAAAATTCGAATTCAAGCACTCGCCGAAAAATTCTCCCAAATCGTAATTTGTGCCTCGGCTGTTTTTGTGACGTGTAATGTGGCTGGAAAAGAGGTTTCCGAAAAATTGGGATTCAAAAAAGAGTTGAAAGATCATTTGATTGCGATTACGAATAATGTGGATGAAGAGTGAGGGTTTTTGAGGGGAAAATTGGTATTTTTGAAAATTTCACAATTTTTGGAGATTGATTCATTTTCAGCTCAAAGTTTTTTTTTCCCGGAAATTTTAGGTCTTGAAAAATTGATTTCACTAATTTTAAGAAAAAAAATAATTTTTGAATATTTGAAAAATTTACTGTTTCAAAATAAGGTTATTCAGTTTTTTAGATTTTTGAAAATTAATACAGAAGACGCACTTTTTTAATGTGAAAAATCTCACTGTTTCAAAATTTTTATGAATTTATTTTCAAAAAAAAATTTTCAATGTTAGTTTTTCCAAAACTATACCAGTTCTGAGAAATGCGAAAAATTTACTATTTCAAAAAATTTTGAGAAAAATAAATTATGAGGAATTAAAATAATATTTGAACTGTAACGTTTGAAAAGTTTTAAAAAATTAAAAAAAAATGTTTTTTGAAAATTTACTGTTTCAAAATTAATTTAATGATTTCTCAGGGTTTTTAAAAACTGAAAAAAGCTAGAAGTTAGATAAGTTTCTGTAAAAATCTCACCGTTTTAAATAATTTAAAAAAAATTCATGTTTTTTTTTTAATTTTGAAAAAAAATTTATTTTTTTTAAATTTGAAAAAAAATTTATTTTCTTTTTAATTTAATTAGTAAATAATTTAATTATTTCTCGGGGTTTTTAAAAGCTAGAAATTAGCTTTCTAACAAGTTAATTAACAAATTTCTGTAAAAAAAATCTCACTGTTTCAAAATTTTGGGAAAAACTAGTGGTTTCCGGGCGTGTTGTTCAAATTTGTCCATTAACCACCCTGGCGTAATACTTGGCGCAAAATTAATTAAAAAAAAACATACGTTCAAACTAATGTTCACTGATTAGACATAGTCTGGGCCTTCGGCCCATACTTAGCTAAGTCTAAACGTGATCAAAGTCTGGCCAGAAGGCCCATACTAAGACTAAAAGGCTAAATCCCTCACAGTTCAAACAAGCGGATGAAACGTGAAAACAAATTATCAACGATGGCGATTTCGCAATATTTATTGAAAATAAAACAAATTATACCAATAATTATACCAATAAGTTGAATTTCCGATTGTCGATGTCCTTGTTGATGTCGACATCTGAAAATTGTTGAATTATGATTGATATGAGAAAATGATAATTTCATCGAAATTTTTTGATAATTTAGAGTTTAGGTCAATAATAATTGTTTGTTTCTGAAAGTGTATATTATTGGAAAAACAATTTGGCAAAAAAGCGAGGACAGAAAGAAATATCATTCAATTTCGGATTTGAGTAGTTTTTCAACTTCTAAACTGGATCATAAATCGATGCTTATTCTGAATGTTACAACTAAAATTCTCATTAATATCAGTATTTTTCATTTTTCTGATTTTCTAATCTTGGCCGTAAAATTTTCAATTTTTCTTGAACTTGAAACTTGAATTTTTTCGAAACACCGCCAAATTCATTTTTTTGAGTTCAAAAACCATTGGAAACTTACAATTTTTGAATTAAAAAATTTAGAGATTTTTAAAAAGTTGAATTATATTTTAAAATATTTAGTGTTTGAATTCGACACTTGAAATGAATTGCGAATTGTTTTAAATTAATCTTAAATTTGGAGTTAAATGTTTTTTTTTCAAATTAAAAATTAAGTTTATTGGTTTTGAAATTGAATGAGAAATTACGATGAAATTCATAGGAAACTGTTTTTTCGACGATGAAATGAGCACTTTTTGTTAGAAATTTATTGTCGTCTGTTTTTGTTTTTTTTTCTTTACATTTTGAGATTCAGAAATGAAGCTAGGATTTTTGTTAGAAAAAACCCAGGTGTTTATTACCGAAGAAGGTTTTTGGTATGGGAATTATCTTAAATTTTTATTTTGATTTCAAAGCAATTTTTATTGTTGAAAAATTATTTTACAAAAAGAAAAAAACTCACATGAGGTTTCCGCGTGACGAGTTCCCGGTTCATCAGCGCAATTGTTTTTTGACCTGTAAGAATGTTTTTATTAAATATGATTTCACATTAAGAAAAAGTAAATTTCTCATTTTATATTTCTATGCTGGTTGTAAGATGAATATATAAAATGCGATGTTGTGAAAAATTCAGATTTCTGTAAATTGCTTATAATCTCTGACCGCTGCTGAAAAACCTGAGAAAAATTGCGATCATGGGCCATGTTCTAATTTTCATTAGAAAAGTTCGAACCAAGTTGTATTTTTCACTCCAATTCGACCTTTTCAGTATTTGGCCGCATCCTATAATTTATTCCATCTAAAAATAACAAAGTGCTCGAAATCGACCAAAAATTGGAATCGATTCGAAATGGATGAATAAAAAAGACATGGCTGATAATATTTCAGCTCATCTGGAAAAAGGAACTTAGAAGAAATCAGCTCCGTTCTAGGAATTCACAAGGAACGCCCTAGAGAAACTTAGCAGCGTTCAATGTTCAATTTTCTTCAAAGTATGAACCGAAGATTTCTAGAAAACCACTGTTTTCCTAATAACTGATAGAAGCGCATGTTTCTCAAATAGAGCAGTTTGTCTCTTGAGAGTGAATAACTCACTTCTTTCCCTTGTTGACCATATCCATGTGGTTTCAAGTGCAGCGCCTGGAAAAGAAACGTTTTTTTTTAATATCAAATAGAAAGTTGAGTTTGACTTACGCATTGAAACCTCCAAAAAAGGCGATAAAAAATGAATGAAAAACGAAGAAAAAGAAGAAAAATGAAAAAATGCACACGCCACTCGAGTGTTACAGTACTCTCGCGCGACAAGACCCAAAATTTCAACAAATGGCTGTCCCTTTTTTCGACGAAACCAGCCGTTTTTGGTTTTCTTTTTTTTATGTAAAGAAGATAAATTATGAGGAAATAAAATATTCGAACTCTGTCGTTTTCGAAGTTATTTTCTATGAAAAAATCCACTGTTTCAAAATTGAAATATTTTTTGAAGTTGAGGGTTTCAATTTGATTCTCGGTGCTTTTCGTCAATTTTGTGAAAATAATCTTTGACACTAAAATTTCTTTAAAATTCTGAGATTTTTTGTAGCAAAATTTACTGTTTCAAAATTAATTTAATAATTGCTCAGGGTTTTTAAAAGCTGGAAAAAGCTAGAAATTAGACAATTTCCTGTAAAAATCTCAAAATTTCCAGATCGCTCTCCTCAGATCTCGAAAAAATGGCAGAACAATGTGTAAAAGAGGCAAAACGCACATCAGAAGATCTAAAAATCGAATTCAGCGATGAAAAATCGAATTTAATTCGAAATCAAATAAAAGTGTTGACAAATCTAGAGAATCCAATTCGAAGTTTGGTCATAAATCGAGTTTCAACTTTTGTCGAAGAAATGTTGAGAAGTCCAACTACAGTACCACATCGATTATTACCTGGATTATCTGTGGTTCAATCGGAATTGTGTGCTTTTACTGCGAGGTGAGTTTTGAAAAAAAAAATTTAAAAAAATGTTTGAAAATCGCATTCAAACTTCATTTTAAAACATATAAACATTCAATTTTCAATTAAATTTTTGTCTGGAATTCATACGATTTTTTTTCCCGCGAATTTTACGTTTCGAAAAATTTTGATTGAAAAAAATTGATTGAAAATTTTGATTTGAAGGCTGCTTTTGCTAGAAAAAATTCCTAAAATTGAAATTTTCAAGTTGAATTTCAGGCTTTTTCTGAAATTTTCCAATAATTTTCACTGTTTCAAAATTCTTGTGAATATTTTGTCAAATCAAAATTTTCTATTGGTTCTTTTTCTACCTCTAGAAAATTATACGTTTCAAAAAAATTTTGAAAACAAAAATTCGGAAAATTTTCCTTGACTGAAAATTACTACGAATCCGAAATTATATAGCAAATATTTTTTTTTCTGAATTTTCCAATAATTTTTCACTGTTTCAAAAAATTTTGAAAAGAAAATTTCGACTAAAAATTTTTATAATTCTTTTTAAAGTCCTAATTTTCTGAATTTTCCAATAATTTTTTCACTGTTTCAAAATTCTTGTGAATATTTTGATAAATCAAAATTTTCCTATTGATTTTTTGATAACCTCTAGAAAATTATACGTTTCAAAAAATTTTGAAAATAAAAATTCTGGAAATTTTTCTTGACTGAAAATTTCTGAAATTTTCCCATAATTTTTCACTGTTTCAAAATTGTGGGAATATTTTGACAAATCAAAATTTTCGGAAAATTTCTTTTTCGGGTCCACAAAATTAACGGTTTCAAAAAATTTTGAAAATGGAAATTTTCTTGATTTTTCAGCTGATAATAAGAATCCGAAAATATATTCAGCTAAAATTTTCGCAGCAAATTTTTTTTCTGAATATTTTAATAATTTTTCACTGATTCAAAAAATTTTGAAAAGAAAATTTCGACTGGAAATATTAATAAATTTTTCATTCAGAATCGAAATTTTCTGAATTTCTCCCATATTTTTTCACTGTTTCAAAATTCTTGTGAATATTTTGACAAATCAAAATTTTCTAATAATACTTTTATTGATTTTCATCATACCCTCTAGAAAATTATACGTTTCAAAAAATTTTGAAAATAAAAATTCTGGAAATTTTCCGTGATTGTTCGAAATTTTCTGAATTTTCCAATAATTTTTTCACTGTTTCAAAATAGCATGACAAGTTTTCTCCCTTCCAGATTTCTCCGCCTCTGTGTTCACAATCGAAAAACCTTCTACGAACTCTATCAAAGTCTAATTCTCGAATTTCAAGTCGACAAAGGCGAAATCGAATTAGATCGAACATTTTGCAAAGAAGCAAGTCCTTCACAAAAACCTGGAACAAGTTCCGAATGAAAATTGTTGTATTTTGTAATTATTTTTCAATTAAATTATTTATTTTCAACAAGTTTTGCAACTTTTTCGACAGAAATTCTTTCGCTCATCTATTGTATAGTAGGTTTGGTGACAGAAACCGTTTCGAGACCAGCTGGAACAGCTAAAAAAAATTTTTTTCACAAAAAATTAGGCCTAGAATTAATTTCGGGCTTTACAGGAAAACTCACAACATTCGCGAACACGAATAAATCGAGAAAGGTACCTTTTGAAAGCGTCGCGGCATCGCGCGCGACGCGGAAGTCGCGCGAATTCATCGCAAGCGTCGCAGGTTTTGGCGCAGTTTTTGACCATTATCTGGAAGATTTTTCACTGTTTCAAAAATTTTTGGGGTTTTTTTCGGATTTTTAGTTTTTTGTTGTTTCTTTCCAAGTTTTGGGGATCAAATTTTGGGGAAAAATAGAGAAAACTAAATATTTTATTTGAAAAAAATTCACTGTTTCAAAATTTGTACAATAATTTTTTGAACCAGAAAAATTTGACTGTTTCAAAAATTTTATGAAAATTTTTCCACATTTTTAAAATTTGATGCTTCTTTTCGAAAATCAGGAATTTTAGCTTGAAAAAATTCACTGTTTCAAAATTTCTTGATAATTTTGAGAATTTTTTTATTTCGATTTCCTGGCTCATTTTCAGCAGTTAAAAAAAATTGCAAAAAATAGAGAAAAAAAAATATTTTATAAAAAAAAATTCACTGTTTCAAATTTTGTACAAAAGTTTTTTGAACCAGAAAAATCTGACTGTTTCAAAAATTTCATGAAAAATTTTTCCACATTTTCAAAATTTGATTTTTTTTTTTTGAAAAGAAAAAATTGAGTTTCAAAAATCAGGAATTTCAGTTTGAAAAAATTCACTGTTTCAAAATTTGTTGATAATTTCTGAAAATTTATTTTATTTCGATTTTCTTACCTTTTTCAAAACATGTAGTTAAAAAAAAAGAGAAAAAAAATATTTTATAAAAAAAAATTCACTGTTTCAAAATTTGTACAATAATTTTTTGAACGGGAAAAAATCTGACTGTTTCAAAAATTTCATTAAAATTTTTCCACATTTTCAAAATTTCAGGAATTTCAGCTTGAAAAAATTCACTGTTTCAAAATTTGTTGATAATTTTGAGAATTTTAAAAAAATTCTAAAAAATTAATTTTTTCTAAAAATTTAATTTTTTTTCTCAAAATCCAAAAAAAAACTCACAAATCGATAAACTTTTTGCCAGACACAAATGTTTGATTTTCGAACATTTTGGAGATAAATCATAGCAAATTCGAGGATTTTCAGAAGTCGTCAGAATTTCGTCTGAAAATTTTTTTCTCACGCGAAATTCAAAAAAACCCACCTCCATCTCCAGATCCATCAAAATTCTGCTCTTGAACTGCGATTTTCAGAAATTCCTCATTTTCTTGCGAAAAAATGAGATTTGAAAATTGAAAAATTGAAAAAAAAATTAGGAAGAATTTCATATTTTTTTGAAAAATTTTTTTTGAAAAAAAAAAGATTTTATACCAAATTATTATTGTTTGTTTGTTGATCTGGTCAAAAAACAAATATTTTTGTTTTTTTTTTTGGATTTTTGAGATCAAAAATAATTTTTAATAAAGAATTTCTTCCCAAATACAAAATTTATTAATAAAAAAATTAGCCCAAAAATTCTTAAAATTTGAATTTTTCACAGTCTGCCAAAATTAGTTGGCCCGAAATTTTCAAAATTTCTCTGAAAATCTGAAAATCCACGATTCCGAAAGCGTCTAGGATGAGCTTGGCTGAAAATTTCAGAATTTTTCTGAAAATCTTGAGCTGGACGTCTTGCAACAAATCTTTGGCGGCTGAAAATTCCAGATTTTCAGATTTTTTTAGGCCAGAAAAAATTACCCAACAGTTCCACCTTGAAGTCTTCTTCTTCTTGGAAAGCTTGGGCTGAAAAAATTGATTTGGTAAGGGTTTGCTGCTTGACGCAAGGTTTGGAGGTTAAGGAGAGGCGCCTTGAGAAGCTATTGTGATGTCAAGCAGCCACTCCTTGTCACCTATTTCTCTCTCAAGCAACCATCTCTTGGCACCTACTCTGGTTGTCAAGCAGCCACCCCTTGACACTCCACATCTTCTCCCAAGCATCCACCCCTTGACACCTACTATTGCTGTCAAGCATCCACCCCCTTGACACCTATGTTTTCTCTCAAGCAGCCACCCCTTGTCACCTATTTTTCCTCTCAAGCAGCCACCCCTTGTCACCTCTTCCTCCACGTCAAGCAGCCACCCCTTGTCACCTATGTTTTCTCTCAAGCAGCCACCCCTTGTCACTTATTTTTTCTCTCAAGCAGCCACCCCTTGTCCCTCAAGCAATCTCACCTTGAATGCAATCTTCTGCGATCGGAAACGGAATCGGAAAACAATTTTCTCGCAAAGAAATCATCCTGCAAAATATTCTATGCAAACGATGCTCCGCATTTACAGCTAGGCTAAAAATCGTTTGAAGATAGAGCTCACAACGACACTCCACCTTTACACTGCTAGCTAGAAGCCGTATTAAACGACACTCCACCTTTCCGACTCACCAACAATCCAGCAGCTGCAAATCCCACCAAAACACTTGCCACCATCAAAAAAACTCTCATTTTCGTCTTTTTTTTTTTGAAAAACTGCGAGCATTGCTCATTTTATACCAATTATTTTTTGATTAATGTTATGAGAACAATTATTTTTATGTGAAAAAATTTTTTTCGAAGAAAAATTTTATGTTGATCTACAAAAAATACGGCGATGGCGGGAAAATTACAAGTTTTTCTAATTAATTAATTAATTAATTAATTAATTAATTAATCAATAATTTTCAATACAGGATGCCAAATCATTCAAAACTGGCAATTGATATTCAGATTCTGTTGGTTGGTGAATTGGTGCAAATGCTCCAGAATTTGGTGAATCTTGTTGTTGTTGTTGTTGGTAGACACGTTCGACGACAATTTGGGTGTTTGATTGGCGGGTTGGTGTAGACGCGTTCTGGAAGAATTTGAATTTGAAATGAGATTTTTCGCGCCAAAATTTGAATTTTTTTCGCGCCAAAATTTGAATTTTTTGCACAAAGTTTCCCAGAAAAATTTCCCAGAAAAATTTCACTGTTTCAGAAAATTTGAAAAATAATTTTTTCTAATTCATGTTTCGATTTTAATATGTTCTCGAATTTTCAGAACTTTTAAAATTATTTTATAGTTTTTTTTTTTGAGAAAAAAAATTCACTGTTTCAGAAAAATGCATTTTTTTAAAATTAATTTTTTTCAAAATTACTTGCCACGACCTTCAATCTCTCCAGAAAATTTGAAGTTTGAAAATTATTGTATAGTTTTTTTTTCAAAAAAAATTTCACTGTTTCAAAAAGTTTTGAAATTGAAAAGTTCAAAATTCAAAATGATGTTCTTATTCCATAATGTAAAAAAAGAAAATTATGTGCTGTATTCAATAACAGAAAAATTCACTGTTTCAAAAAAATTAGAATTGAAAACTTCAAAATTCAAAATGATGCTGTTCCAAAAAATCAATAAAATTCTGATTCATTTAAAATTTCAATTCAAAAAATTTTTCACTGTTTCAAAAAATTATTATAATTGAAAATATAAATATTTTTGATCTATCTACTAATTTTTGACAAGGAAAAATTTTTGAAACAGTAAATTTTGTTCTAAAAAAAACTATCAAATAATTTTCAAAGTTCTGAAAATTCTAGAGAGACAAATAGCAAACAATAATCGAAACATGAATTAGAAAAAAAATATTTTTCAATTTTCTGAAACAGTGAATTTTTTTGGGAAACTTTTGAATTTTTTGAAAATCATGTTCAAGAGAAAAAAATTGAATTCCATGAAAATTAAAAATTATTAAAGTAAAAATTTTTCACTGTTTCAAAAGAAATTAAATTGAAAAATTCACAATAAAATTCTGATTCATTGAAATTTTGGTTCTAAAATTTTTCACTGTTTCAAAAAATTTTAATTTTCAAATTTTTCAAATTTCAAACCTTGCCGGCAAAAAATTTAGAAGAAAAATTTGAATTTTCAAAATTTTTCAAATTTGGCGCCAAAAAATTTAGAAGAAAAATTTGAATTTTCAAATTTTTGGCGCCAAAACCTCTCACTCACCCTAATCAATCCCCTAAATCTCGATTGTGTCATCGGTGATTCTCCAGGTTTTTGTGTCAAATCTTCCGTAGTAGTCATGGCACTCGAAAATTCTTGCGCTAATTTTGGTGGCGGTGCGGAATAAATTGGTGCACCATAACTGGGCGGAGCAGATTGTCGAGCATCATAAATAAATCGATTATCATTCGACATTCCAATATATTCTGATGGTCCCAAATTTTTAGAAGGTGTGTAATTTTGGGCGGGAAAATTTTGAGCTGGTGGAGCTTGCGTGTAAACTTGTTGATGATAAGCAGTCGGTGTTTTCTGGCCAGATTCTTCCACAAAAATCTCCTGATCTTCGTCTGGCTGTCCTCCCAAATCCTGATTCGATTTTTGTTGACGATTGAAACAGTATCCAGATTCATCTTGGCCATACTGAAAAATTCAAAAATTTCATGGGAAATGAGGGATTTGCAATGGAGCGCACTTGCTTTTTTTGTTTTGTGACAAAAAAAAAACATTGTGCGGGCACCGGGGATCGATCCTACCTATCTAAAAATTTGAATTCTCTTGAAAAACGCGAGATTTGCATTAGAGCGCGCTTGCTATTTTTCAATGAAAAATCAAGATTTCGCTATGAAAAATAGTGTAAAATGCTGGAAATTTTTCGCTGATTCTAAATCTGTCCAAATTTTTCAGCAAAAAAAATTAAAAATTCTCGCGGGCACCCGGGATCGATCCTACCTAGCTAAAAATTTGAATTCTCTCGAAAAACGCGAGATTTGCATTGGAGCGCGCTTGCTATTTTTCAATGAAAAATCAAGATTTCGCTATGAAACATAGTGCAAAATGCTCCAAATTTCGCGGGGAATCCGAATTTACCGCAACTCACAATATTCTGCGCGATTTTCGGCTCCTGAATTTGCAAATTCTCCAATTTTTGCATCAATTGCTCGGCATGTTGTTGCTCTTCTTCGAATTTTGGAGTTTGAGATCTCGGTTTTTGATTCAAATAGGATTGTGGAATTCCAGTGGATCCACCGCCATAATAATTCGAATGAACCTCTTGATTTTGTTGTTGTTGACGAGTTGGGCGAACTGGAGATGATGGAGCTGAATTCGAGAGCACATTTCTGTAGAGTCGAATTGCTTCTTGAATTTGAGATGGTGATAAAACATCATCAGCTATTGGAGTTGAGAGATTCGGAATCGCAGCTTCGAAGGCTGCAAAATTTATTTTAGCATGCGTTGCGGTCATGCGTCGCGTGTATTTCTACAGTACCCACCCTGTTGCTCCTGATGTTGTTGTTGGTCTTGGCCATTTCTAGATTTTCCAGCTTGATCGGCATAAAAACTTGGAGCATACGACATTTTTCGAGCTCAAGATTTTCTTGATTAATGGCTCCGAATCTCTGGATTCGCTCTTTTATACGTGGATATTTTTTGGGACACGTTTTTTTGGGTCACGCGGATTTTTTTTGAAATTTTTGAAATTAAAAATTTTTTTTTTTTTATTGGAAAATGGCAAGTGCGCTCTATTGCTAACACGCCGTTTTTTGAGGAAATTCAAATTTTCAGCGAGGTAGGATCAATCCCGGGTGCCTGCAGAAGTTTTTTATTTATTTTTCAAAGCGAAATCTCGATTTTTAGTCACGCAATAGCAAATGCGCCCCATCGCAAATTGAGCGATTTCCAAGAAAATTCAAATTTTCAGCTGCGAGCAAATCATTTATATATTCTTTTACCAAACTTTACACCTGTGTTTCGGATTCATTTTCGAATTTTCCGAACATTTGAAAGCTTCGGAAAACTCTGGAAGATTCTGAAGTGGAAGATTTACACGAATGGATTGGGGAGCATGCGGAGATATTTGCAAGTATTGCTCCATTTCGGGTTTTGATTTGATTTCTTCACACCAGGTCTGAAAATTTGACTTCTTTTGATTCTGGGCTCTAAAACTTACATTAGCATAGGCTATGAAAAACATCTGATCTTGAGAAAATTTTTTGAATTTCAATTTCTCGTTTTGTTGTGAATTTTTGAACGCATCATAAGCAATTCGTAATCCACCATTATCCGCAATATTTTCCGAAAGTGTTTTCATTCCATCCACGTTTTTTCCAGTTAATGGCTCAATGCTCCGATTATATTGCTCCACAAAACACTGTGTTTTATTTTTGAACACTTTTTTGGTGTGCTCATCCCACCAATTTCGAATATTCCCAAATTCATCAAATTGTGAGCCATAATCATCAAAAGCATGAGTTATTTCATGACCAATAATATTCCCCAGTGATCCATAATTTATAAAATCTTGCCCTTCATTTTTATAAAACGGTGGTTGTAATTCGGTGACTGGAATTGATATCTGATTATATTCTGGTGAATACGAGGCGTATTTGAAGATGTATGGTTTTGCCTTTGGTTTTTGATTGATTTCAGAAAAGCTATGTTTAGTGAGAGCTTTTCGAAGTTTCACCGCGTTTTCGAAATAATTTTCCGGATTCCATTCAATGTTTTCAAAGGGTTCCATAACTATAGTCTCATTTTCAACGTATTTTGGATAGGCGATTTCGGATTTGAGGAATTCCAATTTTCTCATCGCAGATCTTCTGGTCCTCTCATCCAACCAATCTACCTGCATTATTCTATAATTCATAGCTTTTTCAATATTTCCCACGATTTTCTCAATGTCAATTCTATAATCTTGATCAATATAATCACTGAATGCAGTAGCCAAAGGAATCGATAAATATTCTCGAACTTCCATATTACACCGCGTTTTCGTGTCCAAACTTGCTTCATTAAATATTCCCTCACGCATTTTATTTCTTGGTTTTCGATATTTTTCAGGAAGATATTCATTGTAGAATTGCAACAAGTACCAAATCAAATATTTTTTAATCGTGTTTTTCGATGTGTTTTCAATGAGCTTGTCAATGTTCGAAAAAGTTTGTATTTTGAAAATATTGATTGGAAGAGTTTCGGGAAGTCCAGTTTTGCCCAGGTATTTTTTGATGCCCTGTTCGAAAAATAGGTCCCATTTGATTTTGGTTTTCAAAGATTTGTATGTGGTTTGTGAATAATCATCAATCTTATTTGCTGATTTTGCAGTTAAAGTTGCCCCCAATTTTTTTCTCGAATTCTATAATCTCATCAAAATCAGCTTGTTGAATTGGAACTTCTGTGAAATTCAGAATCTTCAAGTATTCCTTCATGTATTGTTTGTAAATTTTCAAATTCCGCGGGGAATAATACGAGGGGTAATCTAGAATCAAATGTGGGCCAGCGAACTGAAAATGTTTTTTGGAAAATCTTAAGATTTTGAATTTGCGCTTACCATCAACATATTCTTACTACGATCTTTATAACTTCCGCTAACTTTCACTTCAAAAATTGGAAACATCCCGTGAAGCGCCAGTTTTCCAGCGAGAACTTCCCAATTTTCAGTGGATGATGATGAAATCATTGAATTCACTAATTTTAGAAGAGAATTTGAATTTCCCACGTATTTTTCTTGATTTACACAAGAATCGTGATAATTTAAAACAAATTTCAAAGGTTTTGCGTGTTTTCGATGTGGATTCAGTTGAAGTAATTCTGAAAATTTCTGGAAATTTAGAATTTTAAATCTAGTTTACCCTCAATTCTTTGATCTACACTCATTTTCCCGCTCAATTGTTTATTGACTTCCTTGAAGTTACCACAAGCAAATTCATAAAAATCATGACAAGGATTGATTGATGTTTTCATGTTGGCAAAATAGATTTTCTTGTGGGAGGCTTCAATTGGAATTATTTTCAGTATGATTGTTATGATCAGCAGAAAAATCGAAAAGGGGATCATGTTTTCTTCTCGAAAAAGAAAATGACAAAGTTTTGTGGTTTCCAGACAGAAAACTTGAATGTGAGAAATTTTTTTTGGATGATGAAGAAAACAAAAAAAAACGAAATTTGTTTGCTTTTTCTAATATTGTGAATTCCGAAGAGAATTTCTTTAAGAAGTTATCTTAAATCTGGTTTATAATACATTTTTTTCTTACTCTCAAATATCAAATGAAGAAACTTTTATTCATAAGATCCCAAGTTATATCCAACCCTCCTTCCATCTCTGACACTCTTCATCTTTCAACATTTTCCCAATCGGTGACTCTCCATTTTTCGTAGTCATATTCATATATTTTTTCATCTCACCAAATCTCGGCCATTTCGGCCAATAACCTTCCAATTTCTCCGGCCAATTCGGATCTCCAGATTTGGCGAAATTCGCAAAATTCCTCATAAATCTTCTGCTCAAATGTTTCTCTTCTTCAGTGTAATTGAACTTGGGATTCAAAGGTTCGCCAAAAATAAAATTAATCTCATATCCGTGCAAAACTCCCATCCATTCCGGCCAAGTTTGTGTGCTTGCGCGATGCGAAAAATGATAGTACCAAGTTTGATTGGTTTTTTCGGGACCACGCAATTTGGTATGCGAGATGACCATCTCATTTACACTGCATGTGAAATGATAATCACCCATCATTTTGTCGAGAGCTACTAGATATTCTTGAGGTGTTGGATGTGCACTTTTTGGCTCATAATGTGCGATAACTGCGTTCTTTGGAGCTTCGTTGGAAGAAATATGAGATGGTAGAAGGGAATTCACAGCGTCTAGCCAAATGGTTCGATTTGAGATGAAATCGGAGGCGTTGAAGAATTTATTCTTGTGGAAAATGTGCTGAAAATTGCAGTTTCCCTCTGGGTGTCTAACTGTCTCATGTTCTCTACCCGTCTCTGTTGAATCTCTAGCTTTCTCTAACCACCTATATTATCGAAAATCTCATCGGTACCACGCGCTCCACCGAAATAAACACGCAACGCAGACCGCGTCGCGCCACAACACACACGAACGATTCAAATTCCCTCCCTTTTTCGTGTGTGTTGTGGCGCGACGCGGTCTGCGTTGCGTGTTTATTTCGGTGGAGCGCGTGGGTTCCTCGTGTTCTCTAACCTCCCCTATTTCTCTAACAACTCACCCCCAACTGATAAATAATAAAATAAATACTCTCATCCTGATTGCCGCCCACAAGCAACGGAATATCCTTGTAGATTCCTCGTTTGAACGAATCATCTGCGATTTCCGGAACAATCATTCGATCGATAACCGGAGTCCAAGGAAAATCGACAAACGAACCATCCGAAACCCACTCATTTGCTCTGGAAAAATTTCCAAAAGATTTTAGGGAAATGTTCTATGTTAAAACCATACCACGCCCAGCTTCATGCAAATTAACTTTAAAAATTGGCGGTGTGGGTTTTGAAATTTTTTGGCGAGGTGAAAACAACCTTTTCGACTGAAAAACCACTTTTTAACGGAAAAACAAGCAAAAATTTGCTGTTTTTCAAGAAAATCTCAAATTGGCGAGGTGAATTTCGGTAAATTTTTATTGGAGCCGTGCAAATGCCTCACCCTGGACGTGGTATGTTTCAAAAAATATTAGAATTAAAAAGTTCAAAATTCAAAATGATGTTCTTGTTCCATAATGTAAAAAAGAAAATTATGTGCTGTATTCAATAAAAAAAATTCACTGTGGTTAAAACTCACAGTAAATCCTCCACACTTGTATTTCTCAAACATTTTGCGATCTCTCTTGCATTAACATCTAGAGCTGTAGAATTTCCACAGCCAACCAGGTTATAGAGTTTGTGTGCGCGATTCAAAGCGGTTTCTGTTGTCTCAAATGCCCAGGGTGATGTTGCAGATCCGGATTGCAGAATTGCTTTCTGAAAAAAAAAACATCCATGAGAGCTATGACGTGGCAAACTCAAACTCAAACTCACACTAAACAAATTCTTGCTATACAAATTCAACATATGAATCGATACCGAAACCGCGCCTGAACTTTCACCAAACAATGTCACCTTATCCTTATCACCCCCAAAATGATGAATATAGTCTTGTATCCACTTTAGAGCAATTTCCTGGTCCCACAATCCCATATTTCCCGGTGCATCAGAAGTATTCAAATATAAAAAGCCGAACATTGAAGTTCGATAATTCATCGAAACAACAATCACATTTTCAGTGCTCGCTAGAATTCCACCATCATAAACATCTAGAGTAGATGTTCCTGAATAGAATCCACCTCCATAAATCCAAACCATCACTGGTAACAATTCCTTTTTTTGATTTTTAGGTGTCCAAATATTTAAATATAAACAATCTTCAGACATTGGTGTATTTGCATTCCACATTGTTGATCCGTGGAAATCTCCGAAATATGTGTCGAGATTTTGATGACAACTATTTGGCAGAATTGTCGCGTTTAACTCATTCAACCATGCTTTTTTTTCTTCTCGGGAGCTTTGAATCGTAAATTTCCGATTGGTGGTTCAGCAAATGGGATTCCAAGATATCTTGAGATTGGTTTTCCATTGGCGGCAAATGTTTCTTCTCCAAATAATGGTGAACTTTCGGTTTTATTTGTGAGGTGAATTGTGGAAGTGTATTTTTTATCAGAAAAAATTGAGGGTATTAGGAAAATTAGAATGAAAATTAAGATTTTCATTTTGGAAATTCAACAAAAAATTTTCTGAATTTTTTGAGGGTGGAAGATGTTTTATTGAAGTTCTAGAAAATCTCACAGACATCATAAAAATGTTAAAAATTTCGGGAAAATCAAATTTTTTTCTGAAAAAATTCTAGAGTAAGGGCTGATTCACGAACGAAAAAAATGCTTTAAAATTTTTTTTTTCAACATCGAAAAATCAATTCACGAAAAGTCGTAGGTCAAAATTAGTTTTTGCGAGTTTTTCAGCAAAAATGATGACAAATCGATATTTTTCAAGCTTCTGGAGTAATTTCTGATGAAAATAAGCTTCGAGAACCCTATTTTGCTGTATTTTATGATTTTTTTTTCGAAATTCATTACGAAAAATCAGCAAAACCTTCTGGAAAGTGAATTCCAAGGTCAATTTTCATCAGAAATCACTCCAGAAGCTTAAAAAATATTGATTTGTCATCATTTTTAGCTGAAAAACTCGAAAAACTAATTTTGACCTACGACTTTTCGTGAATTGATCTTTCGATGTTAAAAAACATTTTTTTCGTTCGTAAATCAGCCCTATAGCAAAAATATGCTACGTGGAATCGAAAACTTCAAAACATTTTTTTTCCAGAAACAAGTTGACCTAACTTACTTATCATACAAAAAGTACAAGAAATATTACACAATGTTCTCTATAAAACCTTCTCAATTTTTCAAATATTTCGAGATAAGGAATTTCTCCAGAAAAGTGCTAATGTTCTATTATTGGGATTGTTTATCATCTGATTTACGAAAAAAAATTCTGGCCAAATTGGATTTTGCGGGTTTATTGAGATATGGAGCAGTTTCAACTGGATGTTTTCATGAAATTTTATACATTTTTGATAATTTGAAAAGTGTTAATTTATCACATATTCATGCAAATTCGACTTATCGAATTTATTTGGAAGAAAAAATCAGATTCAGGAAAATCAGAAACATCAAAAATTCATGATTGATTTTATAAATACCGGATGGCAAAGTTGTAAAATCAATTTTCGAATCAAAAATCAGATTTTATCAAGTTCTTTGGAGAATCAACATTATGCAGCGGTTGCGATTCGATTTTTTGAATTCAATTTTTAGAATTTGCGCAAAATCAATTTCAAATCTAGAATTATATCTTCTACATTGTCGAGCTTTTAATATTCAGAATTTGGAGAATCTCAAAGAAATTCGGATTCATTCAAATCATGAGGATCTTTTACAATGTGGATTTTTGAATGTTACACAGGTAAGGTCTTCGAGATTTTTTTTGAAATTCTAAATTTCAGTGTTTTTCTAGATTCTCTCCGCTTGGTTTGTCCGAATCTACCGTACCAAATTAACCTTCTCAGAGATCTGTCAAATTCCAAGTTTAGAAATTGATCAGATGAATCTGACAGAGGAGGATGTTCTAGAATACATTGTATTTTTGCTGAATTCACCGCGTCAAATGTGTCGAAGTCTACGGATAAATATTGATACAATTCATGTGGATATAATTAAATGGAGAATTTCGAAAAATGTTGAATTCGACTTCTTCAAAATCAGGATTTCGATTTGATTTTCATGTTCAACATCATTATGATTGTTGTATTATTTATACAAGGAATCAGTTTAATAATATTTGTATTCGATTGATTCCTCGATGTAATATTCATATCTGGACTGAATAATAAAATTTTAAAAAAGTAATTCTTAACTTGGTGATTACGATTCTGAAGTTCAATTCCAATTTGACTGGACAAATTTCAGAAATTTTGGAAACATTTCAGGAAGTGATAAGATTATTTCTTCATTTTTTTCATCCAAAAAAATTGATAAGAAAAAATGTTCTCACATTCAAAATGTTTGTCTGCAAACCACAAAACATGTTCATTTTCTTATATTGTTCCTTGAACTGTTTTTGATTTTCAAGAATATGCCATTTTATCAAAAACTCCAATGAAAATTTGGGGAGACAAAAGTTCAGATTTTTGGCGTCAAGTTCAAATTTTTCCACGTCGGTTTTTGGCGCCTCAAAATTTTTTTTTTCGCATTTTTTTTCGCATTTACGACTACAGTAATGTTCAAAATGTATCCAACGCGAATCCTGGTAACCATGACAAATGATCAAGAACAACTCGATTACTACTAGTATTTTAGAAACAAAAATGTTGTGTCTTGTTTTCTTGGTGTTTCCTTCAATTCTAACTATGTATGTTTCGATTTCCGGAAACCCGTTTAGAGGTTTTGGCGCAAGTTTCAGTGTTATCAATTATGATTTCGATAGTTGCAATAAGATCTGTGATGATTCTACAGATTGTCAGGTAATTCAAATTATGATATTGTGAAATTTATAGAAAAAACTATTTTTCAGGCATTTTACTTCAACAATTCGACAATGAATTGTACCACCTATAATTATCAACAATTGGCATCATTCACACAACAATATGTCAGCCCCGTGACTGAAATATTTAGTTTCAAGGTTCCCTCAAAAATCTCATCACAATCGGAAACCTTTTGTTTTGCAGGTGGACATCACAAATTGTTCAGATCCTTTGGCTCTGGTTTACTATAAGACTCTTTCAGAGTTAACCTACAGTTATAATAAAACTGGGGATAATTGGGTCATCTATACCATTAATATCATAGCTCCGTAAAATAATTTTTGCTTTTCTGAATAAAATTTTGTTGATTGAATACTGAAGTAAACGTAGATCAGAAATTTATCATGTTCACCAAATTCTACAAATCTCATCCTCGTTCAATCTCATCGGCGCATCCATCGGACATCCAAAAGTGTCAGCAAACGCTTCGAAATTCTTGAGTGGAATGTTAATTCGAGAACCTCCTGGAGTATGAGGATTCGTTTTCAGATAATGTTCAACACCAATTTTTGTGTTAACTTGGCAGAAGTTCTGCAAAGGAACACTAACGATTATAAGGAAAAACGAAAAATAACTCACATTCGCATAAGCAATGAAGAATAATTGATCACTTGTATAATCTTCCATCCCTTTCAAATTCGGTCGATTTTGCGATGTTTTCAGCTTCTCCTTATATGCCATCCACGCAATCCGCAATGCTCCATTATCCGCAATATTCTCCCCAAGTGTCAATGTCCCATCAACATTTTTTCCGCTCAAAACTTCCGTCTCATTCCCATACTGTTCAACAAAACAATTGGTTCGATTCGCATATTTCGTCGCTGTCAAATTATCCCACCATTTCTTCGGAACTCCATATTCATTAAAACCTTTTCCTTGATGATCGTAACCATGTGTCATCTCATGTCCAATTGCTGAACCATACGATCCATAATTCGTGGCATCTGGGGCATCTCTGACTAGAAGTGGAAAATGAGAAATTGCGGCTGGAAGGATCACTGTGTTTGTGTAGAGGTCGTAGAAGGCATTGACTTCGACTGAATAACGAGCCCAAGGTAGTTCTCGGTTGTCTTTGATTCGATAGAGGTCCTCTCTGGAAAACACTAGATTTCAAGAAGGCGCGCCTTGAGAACCTAATTTTCTAGAGTCCGCATCGAGACTCCCACTCTATGTAACAAGAAGCCGCGCCTTGAGAGCTTCTGTGTCAAGTAGCCAAACCGACGACGTCGCCTAGGTGTCTAGTAGCCTAACCTTAAGAGCCTTATTGTCTAGGCGACACATCGAGATTCCAACCCTGGCAAGCAGCCGCGTCTTGAGAGACCATATGGCAAGTATCTGAACCTAGAAAGTTCAATTGGCAAGGATCGGCGCCTAGATATCCCAGGTCTCTAGTAGCCTCACCTTAACAGCCTAATTGCCTAGGAGACGCATCGAGATTTCAACCAAGGATCACTGCCTACTAGAACTCTTAGGTCTCAAGAAGCCGCGCCTTCAAAACCTAATTTTCTAGGACTCGTATCGAGAGCTTCTAGGCCAAATCCAAGCCAACAATCCAAATAAAAAACTCACAAAAACACCATTTTGTGAACTCTCATCGCATTAATCAAAAAAATCCTCCGAAATGCTCATATTCTCAAAAGGTCTATTGATCTCATTCTTATCCTTAATCTTATCCGGATATCCAATATTACTCTTCATTTTCTCCAATTTCTCCAATGCCAATTGCGTTGTTTCCAAATCAAGCCATTCCGCATCACTAATTTCAAACTGCAACGCGACTTTCAGATGTTCTCTCATCTCTTCAACAAGTTTTCGATCTTCTTCGGTGAAGTAGGTTTTCAAGAATTCATGGGCCAAAGGAAGCCACAGTTTTTCCCGAACAAAAAGCATACACGTCACATTTGTTGATGACTGAAAAATATATATTTCTAGCGATAAATAATTCCCAAAACTCACCATTCCTTCATCTGATCCATACAATTCTTTATACATCTCACTCATCGGATCTCTCCATTTCTTACTCATATATTTCACCATACTCGCCACATATCGCCACATCATATAATTCTTAATTATCTCCACTGAAGTCACATTCAATAGATCTTCCAACCCCATCAAATAATCTGGATTTACCACTTGAATTTTGAGTGAATCATTGAATTCTCCTCGCAAACCATCTCGCATAATCTGATTGAAATATAAATCAAATTTTATTGTTGGATAGCGATCCTTGAGTTCAGCAAAAGTGATTTCAATTCCATCATCAGTGAAGTTACCAGTTGTATTTGTATTTGTATTTGAACTTAATGCAACTAATTCAGTTTCAAAGTTGATTATATCATCAACAACTTTCTTATCTTGAATTCCAAGAACCTCCAAAGTTCCCATAATAAATTTTCGATAAATTGGAAGAGCTGTTGAATTCTCTCGTTTCGTAAACTCTTCCTTATCTTCAAGTGAACTTTGAAATGTATCAATCATCAAACTATTAGCAGGACTTCCATCGATTTTTGTCCAAAGAAACGGTTTAATAATCGTATGAATATCATAATTCGATAAATTTCCAGCTAGAATTTCCCATGTATCAATTTCATTTTGGCTCTCATTTTTCTTCTTCAACAAATTCCAATCGCCAAATTTCGTTCTGATCATTTTTCCCAATGTCATTTTGTCTAGCTCTTTTTTATGTTGCTCATTCAAACAAGATCTATAAACTTTCTGAACATAATCAAAAGCTTTTGTTGGACCCGTTCCATTTTTCTTGGATTCCAGTAATTTAATCAATTCTTCATCAATTTTATTCTGCATTTCTTGCATTGTTGATTGATATCTTTGATATTCGGGAACCTTCTTTTTGTTATCATAATTTCCACATGCAAATTCATAGAAATCATCGCAAGGTTTCACTGAAGTATTCCGATTTTCTTTGAATTTTTTGACCAATTCATTACAAGGTTTTGTGCCACATGTTGTTTTACAAGTTTTGTTTTGACAAAGAGCAAAAGGAATGAGCAGAAATATGAAAATATGATAAAAAATCATAGTTTTATGAGGAATTGGGTGGTCGAGATGGTTTTTATGCAGAAAAATTCTGAGAATTCAACGTCGACAATCACACAGACAATTCGAGAAAGTCTAGAGATCATAAAAATGCAACAAAAAAAACTGGAATGAAAAAAGTTTTGGGTGGATTAGTTGCAGCTCGAAGAAAATTGGAAAAAAAGGAAACATAATTTTTTTCATGGAAATTTTTTAGAATTTTCAATTTAGGCTGAAAATTTCGAAAAAAAAATATTTTTGAATATTTTTTGGAAGCCCACAAAAATAAAAATAAAAAATGAATAAGCGCGCTGCCGTCAACGCGGAGTCTCGTTGTTTTTTTTAAATTTTGTATATTTCTGTTTTTGTTCAATCCCAAGTCCCTTTCCAATCTTTAAAATTTTCAAATCAAAAATCAAATTTTCACATTCCCACCAATTAAACACGTCTACATATTTTTCGCTAAATATCTCCAAACCAATTTTCAATAACTTTCTCCAAAATGTTAACATTTTTTCTCTATATAACCCTATTAATCTTCCCAAATTCCATAAATCCACGTGTAATTAATGGAAGTGATTATTCCACATGTAATACTCAAGAATGTGTCGAACTTTCCAAATATTTTCTATCAAATATGAATGATTCAGTCGATCCTTGTGATGATTTCTATGAATTTGCTTGTGGAAATCATAAAGGTCTTCCAATTCTCCATGAAATGCAATATTTTCTAATTAAAGATCTAGTAGATGTTCTGACTGGAAAAACTTCGAGCGAAAATGCATCGCATGCTTTTCAAATAGCAATTAATTATACAAAATCATGTTTGAATGAAAAAACGAAAGCTGAATTTACAGAAAAAGATTTCAGAAATCAAATAAATGCGAAATTTGGAGGATGGCATTTGCTTGATAACACGAGTTTTAAAAAAGATTCTGAAGATTGGGAAATTTTGGTTGGAAATCTGAGTCTTTATGGAATTGTGAACCTGCTTCAAATCGAGGTGGTTCAATCGCCAATCAATATCGAGAAATATATTTTGAAAATTGGGACAAATTATTTACAAGATGAGGAATATTTTAACACTACATGGACATATTTTCCTGATTTTATGAGAAAATTTCTCAAAAATTTTGGAATTGATATCTCGGACGAAGTGATCAATAATTTGAAAGAATTCGACAGGAAGATTATGCGAGCAACAGAAAAAATTTCTGGGCAACCCGAAGCTATAAGTTATACAGATTTCAAGAACAAATACCCAAAAATCAAATGGGATTCAATTTTCAATAAACAAATTCGACTTGGCGAATCAACTTTGATTCTAAACGAGGCTCCAGAATTCTTTGAAGAACTTCAGAATGTTCTCGAAAAAACATCGGAAGAGACAATCAAGAATTTCCTTATGTGGCGAATTGTTGTGTTCTCGAATTTGTAATTATCCGAAGATTTTCGAAAACCAGGATTAGAATTAGTCAAAAACGTTTCTGAACGTGACATTGATATTGGAACTGTTAGAGTTTGTTATGATCAAACTGTCATGAAATTTGAAAAACCTCTCGCCGCTTATTTTGTGAGCAAAGTGTTTGATGAAAAAGCGAAAGTGATCGTTGAAGATATGATTTACACGTTGAAAAAGGAATTTAACCTATCTTTGACGTTGTTAGATATGGATTGGCTGGAGAATTCGACAATATCAAAGTTACAAGAGAGATTATTGAGAATGACAAATCTAACGGGGTATGTTCAAAAAATATTTAACAAAAAAATGTTTTTTAAAGGTATCCGGAAGTTCTAAACAATGCATCAGAAATTAATCGACCTTTTGCTAACATCAAATTTGATCCTGGAAGATATTTGGCCAATCAGATGAAGCTTAATAAAATTGAGAAAGCGTAAGTGGTCCCTTAAATACTCTACGGGAAAATTGGTAAATAATGAATGGGACCCCAAAAGGGACCCCGAATGACTGAATGGGACCCCGGTGTTTAAAAATCGTCGTGATGAATCGGACCCCAAAATAATAAAGTGGGACCACAGCATTTTTTTGAATTGTCTGAATGGGACCTCGCAAAAAAAGGGACCCCGTTGAATTTTTGGTATTAGTACGAACCCCGCGGGGTCCCATTCAAACAATTCAAAAAAATGTTGTGGTCCCTTTTTATTATTTTGGGGTCCCATTCATCACGACGATTTTTAAACACCGGGGTCCCATTCAATCATTCGGGGTCCCTTTTGGGGTCCCATTCAGTCATTCGGGGTCCCTTTTGGGGTCCCATTCAGTCATTCGGGGTCCCTTTTTGGGGTCCCATTCATTATTTTCCGGAAAACTTCCAACAAAAAAAGTTTTTTTTAGTGAAAATCTACGGTTACTCAAGCGAAATGTCGACAAAAATTACGATTGGACATTCAAAGTTCTAGATGTGAATGCTAACTACGATATGCAGAAGCATGAAATCATTGTCCCAATATCAATCTCCAGATTCCCGTTGCTTGTTTCAAGTGCTCCTGTCGCTGTAAACTATGGTGCTCTTGGTCTACTCATTGCTCATGAAATAATCCATGGTTTCGATCGAACTGGCATCTACAAAGAATTGGATGGAATTGAGGGATTATGGACAAATCCAGCATTCATTGATCATTTCCATAATAGAACTCAATGTTTAGTTGAGCAGTATAATCGAGAAATTGAACCGGAAACTGGGAGAAATTTTGATGGAAAGAAAACGATTGATGAAAATATTTCGGATAATGGGGGAATTCGAATTGCGTGGAAAGGTTATCAAAGAAAAGTTGTGACGAAATTTGATCAGCGAGTTTTGCCGAACATGGAAGAGTATAACAGCAATCAATTGTTCTTCATCGCTTTTGCGAATTCAATGTGCCAGAAAATGAGCAAAGAGCAGAAGGAGTATAAATTAGCCAATTCTGAGCATACTTTTGGAGCAACACGGGTTAATGTGGCGTTGAGGAATTTTTATGATTTTCAATATGCTTGGAATTGTCCGGTTGGGTCGAAAATGCGACCGGAAGAGGAGGATATTTGTAGGGTTTGGTAAAAGGATTTTTATCGGTCTCTAAACAATAAATATGTTATTATTGCTCACCAAATTTGACACATTTCTGACAGAGAGCGCACACATCGAGGAGACGCAGAGAAATCACATACACGGCGACGCACAATCACACAACTTTTCACCCATCGTATTACTTTTTTTTCACGTTATTCGCTCGCAAATTTTAATAAGTTAGTCTAACTTTTTCCTCAATTTTTAAAGATATTTCTCATAATTTTTATATATTTTACAATTTTTGTCGATTTTTTCAATTTTTCCCGAAATCCCTCCCCAAAAAACTCACCAATCGCTTCTATTTCTCAAATCGCACGAAAATTCGCTTCTTCTCAATCAAAATCCTTATTTTTGCCCCTGAAAACTCAAAAATTTCAATCGAAACAGTGTTTCTTTGAAAAAAACCCCACCATTCTTCGATAATCCTCAGATTTTCTGTTGGAAGCGATGATTCCAGCCTCGTTGAACATCTGAAAATTCAATTTTTGACTAAAATCCACTGATTTTCCCCGGAAACCCGAAAACGCAGCGAAAAAAAACGAAAAATGAAAAAAATGTGTTGCGCTAAACAGCGGGCAAGCCGGAGTGTCGTTGTAACAATAAATTTTTTTTTTTGAATTCGAATTCAATTAATTTTCTATTTTTGCGCTGATATTTGGAGAGAATCTAATTTTTTAACATTACAGGAAAATCTTCAGCGAAATGGTGGAGCGAATTTGTGTTGGAAGAGAGGAAAACTGGAGAAAATGTGAGTTTTTTTGGGGATTTTGAGGAAATTTGAGTTAGTTATGCAAATTACACGAATATATAAAACACCGTGTCGTTTTTTTGAAAAGAAACTTTTCTGTCTTAAAACAATAGAAAACAATTTTATTCACCAAATTTGACACGTTTCATTTGGCATCATTCCCGATCCAATTTTACAACTGAAAACTTCCCCAAATTTTGGGAAATTTCGAAGAGGAACATTTAGTCGAGTTGCACCAAATGTATGCACAGAATCCAGCAAAGACTCTCGAACTTCTCTAGTAGCACTGGTGCAGTGAACCTTAAAAAATTATAGGAATGTTTTGAAATTAACATAACAAACTAACATTTGCCAAAGAGATGAAATATAATTGATCACTTGTGTATTTCTCAAGTTTTGGTAACTTCCGAGTATCCAAAGTTTTCTGAGCTTGAAGTTTATAAGCGAGCCATGCAATTTTGACTCCAACATTATCCGCAATATTTTCATCAAGTGTCAATTTCCCATCGAAATTCAAATTTGTCACTTTCTCAACTTCCAAATCATTGTCAAATCATCCCACCAATCAAATTGTTCTCCATAATCATCATAAAATCTGCCCTTCCCATCAAACCCATGTATCATCTCATGCGCCACAGTCACACCAATTCCTCCATAATTAATTGATAGCGGTGAATTTTCATTGAGAAATGGAAAGGTTAGAATTGCAGCAGGGATAATCATCTCATTTCGACGAGAAGCATAAAAGGCATTTATACGTGTAACAAAATAACCCCATTCAGACATTGAACTATATTCCAATTGTGCGAAAACATCCCTAAATTATAGATATAGATTTTCGCTAACATAAGTATTTACATTTGATTAATTTTCTTGATCTTCAAATAATTCCCTAAATAATCGCCCGGATTTAATTCAATTGGCTTGCCCAGAATTCCATAAATCGTTCCGATATTCAAATCATCCAACCAACTTGGATGACCAATTTTCCTATGCATTTTTCTAACTTTTTCAATCGCTCCCTCTTTTGATTTTCTACTCATCCACGTGGAATTCTTGATCTCATCAATCATAACTTTTTTCAAATTCGCTAAAATCTCCTCTACTTTCACAGTTTCATTTTCAGTGTGATGAATTTTAACATATTCTCCAGCAACTATGAGTGGAAACATTCTTTTCGTTTCTTCCGCGCAATATTGATTGTTATAATCCTTTTCGTAAATATTTGAAAACTTTTCAAATGGTTCTCGATATTTTTTCGACATGTGAAGGAAGAACTTTGATACCAATTCAAAAAATAAATAGTTCTTGATAGTTTCTTTTGATGTATCTTTGAGTAAATGATTAAGAGCATTGAAAAAATTTGGGTTCTCATTTTGAATCATTTCTTGAGAAGTTAGCAAATGAGGCATAGCATCTCTTAATTCCCTCGTAAAATATGCTGTCCAATTGATGTTATTGTGCTGGTTTTTGAATTCAGCGACAGTTTGAATTTCGAAGTGAGAATTATTGTTATATTGGAGAAGCTACAACTTTAAAGTTCGTAGAATAAGATAGAAGTTCACTCACATCATTCAAATTCAGATCAAAATCAATAATATCTTCCACAATTTTCGGGTCATAATCTGTGATATTAAGTAACTCAAAAATATCATCAATCAAAAATGTTTTCTTCATTCTAAAATACATTTTCTCATAGTATTTCAATTGTGTTTTCATCACCAGAACATTCTGTAAACCATTCTCCCAACTCATTTTAACATGCGGTTTGATAAAAGTGTGAAAACCATAAAGCGACAATGTTCCAGCTAACACTTCCCAATCAAAGTGTTCTGTTTTGTTATCTAGAAGATGCCATCCACCAAATTTTGAATCAATTATTTCTCGAACATCTTTTGAGTCTAGAGCTATTTTACTATTTTCATCCACACATGATTTTGTGTAATTTTTCACAAGTTCCATGAGAAAACTCCAGTTTTGTTGCAAGTCATAATTTGTTAGATGTTCTACAAATATTATGATTCCTTGTAAATAACTAATCCTATTTACCTTCCCACCAAATAGTCAAATTTCTAGTCATTTCCTGCGGTAGAGTGTTGTAATCTAATTCTGGGACTTTATAATTGTTTTCATAATTTCCACATGCAAATTCATAAAAATCTTCGCAAGGATCAGCTTCAGGGTTCATTTTCAATAGATATAAATCGGATAATTTTTGACATTCTTCAGAATCACAGACTAAATCATCAGAATTTTTCGATTCTTCTCCAAAAACTATTCTCGAAGAAATTTATCAAAAAAATAAATATGCCAATCATTTGTCTGATTTGATGAAATGTATTTTTTAACTAAAACTTTTCTGTCTCAAAATCATACAATGTGAGAAAATATTTTTATTGATCACCAAATTCGACACGTTTCATTTTCATTTGGCATCATTCCCGATCCAATTTTACATTTGAAAACTTCCCCAAATTTCGGAAAATTTCGAAGAGGAACATTTAGTCGAGTTGCACCAAATGTGTGAGCATTTTGCATTGCGTCTTTTCGAGAAACTGCATCCGCAGAAAGACAAGTCGCCTGAAATTTCGGAAAAAAATTAAATAAAGATTCAGGAGAAAATCTGAATCTCACATCAGCATAAGAAATGAAAAATAGTTGATCACTTGTGTATTTCTCAAGTTTAGGTAACTTCCGATTATCCAAGGTTTTTTGAGATTTATAAGCGAGCCATGCAATTTTGACTCCAACATTATCCGCAATATTTTCATCAAGTGTCAAAGTTCCATCAAAATTCAGCCCAGTTTTATTTTCAACTTCCAAATCATATTGTTCAATAAAACACTGTGATCTAATATCATATTCTTTACTTGTCAATTCATCCCACCAATCAAATTTCTCTCCATAATCATCATAAAATCTTCCCTGACTATCGAATCCGTGTGTCATTTCATGCGCCAAACTCGACGCAATTCCACCATAATTTATGGCGATTGGTGAATTTTGAACGAATTGTGGAAAGGCTATGAATGCGGCTGGCACTATTATTGTGTTTCTTTGGTAGGCATAATGTGCATTCACCTGAGTCACCAAAGCATCCCAATTTGAAAGTGAATGATATTCGAGGTCCGCAAGATATTGTCTTAATTTTTTTTTTCAATATATTTCGGATTCCCCGCAAAATTTGGAGCATTTTGCACTACTTTTCAAAGCGAAAGCTTGAAATTTTTGTTGAAAAATTGCAAGTGCGCTCTAATGCAAATATCGCGTTTTTCTAGCAAATTCAAATTTTTAGCTATATAGGATCAAACCCGGGTGCCTGTGAGAGTTTTTTTTTTTTTTTCCAGCATTTTGCACTATTTCTTGAAATTTTTGTCGAAAAATTGCAAGTGCGCTCTACTGCACATTCCGCATTTTGTAAAGAAATTCAAATTTTTAGCTGTGTAGGATCGATCCCGGGTGCCTGCGAGAGTTTTTTCCACCATTTCGCACTATTTCTTGAATTTTTTGTCGAAAAATGGCAAGTGCGCTCTACTGCACATTCCGCAATTTGTAAAGAAATTCAAATTTTTAGCTATGGGTGCCTCCGGAAAATTTTTAGGTTAGGTAAATTCGGAATCAGCACAAGATTTCCAGCATTTGGCACTACTTTTCAAAGCGAAATCTTGAAATTTTTGTTAAAAAATGGCAAGTGCGCTCTACTGAGAATCCTGCGTTTTTCTAGCAAATTCAAATTTTTAGCTGTGTAGGATCGATCCCGGGTGCCTGTGGAGAATTTTTTTGATCATGGTAAATTCGGAATTAGCGTAAGATTTCCAGCATTATGCACTATTTATTGAAATTTTTGTTGAAAAATGGCAAGTGCGCTCTATTGAGAATCCTGCATTTTTTGAAGAAATTCAAATTTTTAGCTGTGTAGGATCAATCCCGGGTGCCTGCGAGTTTTTTCCACCATTTTGCACTATTTCTTGAATTTTTTGTTTAAAAATGGCAAGTGCGCTCTATTGCAAATTCAGCGCTTATCTAGAAAATTCAAATTTTTAGCTGTGTAGGATCAATCCCGGGTGCCTGCGAGAATTTTTAGGTTAGGTAAATTCGGAATCAGCGCAAAATTTCCAGCATTTTGCACCATTTCTTGAAATTTTTGTCGAAAAATGGCAAGTGCGCTCTACTGCACATCCCGCATTTTTCAAAGAAATTCAAATTTTTAGCTGCGGAAAACTAACTCACTTCTGATTAATCTTGCTAATCTTCAAAAAGTTTTTCAAAAACGCATTCGGATTCAGATTCTTTTTCCCATAAGGTTTCTCCACTTCCAACTCATAATCAAATAAATAAGGATATCCAATATAAGCTGTCATTTTCTCAATTTTTGCAATTGCTCCCTCTTTCGATTTTCTTTGCATCCATGTCGAATTCTTGATCTTATCAATCATAACTTTCTTCAAATTCCCGAAAATCTTCTCAATTTCCATGGTGTCGTTTTTTGTATAATGTTTTTTGATATATTCTCTTCCGACTGGAATTGGAAACATTTTCAGCGCTTGTTCTGCGCAAGACTTAAAATCCATTTTCAGCCAATCACTTTGCTCATTTATTGATGTTAAATACAAACTCAATGAATATCGATATTCAACAGACATATATTCCAATGATTTTTCCACAAGTTTCCACATCAAATAATTTTTAATTGTCTCATTTGCACTGCCACTTATAAACTCATCAAATTTCTTGAAAAAATCTGGATTGATATTTTGAATCGTCGTGTTATCCAGAAGAAAATTTGGGATTGATTTGTTCAAACCTGTCACAAAATATGCGTCAAAATTGATGTTTGGGTATAGTTCTTTAAATTCTCCAAAACTTGTCTGAAATCCCTCATTCGTGTAATTTCCAGATGTGTAGGAGAGAAGCTGAAAATTTTTGAAAAAATGTTTTTTTTGCTGAAAAATAAAATCAACTGACACTACATATACTAGCAGTTTTCCATTTTTTTCAAAAACATGTGTTTTTTTGAAACAGTACATTTTTTCAGAAAAAAAAATGTTGAAAAATTAAAATTTCAATTTTTTCATTAGGCTTAGGCTTAGTAAACCCCCTAGAAAGGTGAAATTTCTCATTCAAAAAAAAAATAAGCAGTCCCAAATGTCTTTTGTGCCTGCAAATTATTTATTGACCATTTTGTGGTCTGCAAATAAAAAGACGAATAGTTAAGTGGTAAAGCGCTGGATTTTGAATCTGAGGGTGGCGGGTTCGATCCCGCATACAAACTGTTTTTTTTTTTTTGCTTTTTCGGATGGATTTTTCTGATTTTAAAGCTCAAAGACGTTGTCAAAATTCGTAACTACTCACATCAGTCACATTTCTGTCAAAATCCACTAAATCATCAATAACTTTCGTATCATTCACATCAATTCCAATCATCTCAAAAACATCTCGAATAAAATAAAATCGAATTTCCCTTTTCATTTCTCGCTCCTCTTCAGTTTCATCATCATCAACAGTTTTCAAGTTAGTTGAAATCCCCAAAACCATTCGATAAATATTATTCGGATTTAATGCAACTACAGGTTTGATGAAAGTGTGAATCCCAAAAAGTGATAAATTTCCCGCTAAAATTTCCCAATTGTTGTTGAATTCATTGTTAAAAGTTTTGTTGTCAAGAAGATGCCATCTTCCAAATTTCAAATCAATAATTTCCTTCAAATCTTTATGATTTTTCGCAGCTTTTCGTTTTTCATTAATACAAGATCTTGTATAATTAATCACTAATTCATATGGATAATTGAGATCTTCATGCATCCAACTTTCCAAATAATTTTCCAACCATTTCTCAACATTTCTCCTCATTTCATCGATCATTGAAGTTTGCCATTCGCCAATTGGAACTTCATGATTCTTCTCATAATTTCCACAGGCAAATTCGTAGAAATCTTCGCAAGGATCAGCTTTCAAATTCATATTCATCAAATATCTTTCTGATAGTTTTTTACATTCTGTAGAATCGCAAACATCTCCAAAAAATAGAATGTATCAGAAGGAACAGAAAAATAATCATTTGTTCAAAAATTGTTTATTGAAAAAATATTCCATGTTTCCAATGAGAAAAAATTGTCTATAACTAATAAAATATTGGCAGAAATGTTTCTCACAGACAGATCATAATGTTATTTTTTTTTCAATTCACTAATGTTTCCTTTGATCTTCCTAGCTCTCCTCCTGATTTCCATAAAATCTTCAACATCTTGCCCGGAATGCGTCTACCTTTCAACTCGCTATCAAGAACATATGAACCCAGATGTTAAACCTTGCGATAACTTCTATGAATTTGCATGCGGCAACTATAAAACCAAACATCAAATTCGAAAATATGAGCAATATCGGACTATTTTGGAAGAGATTCAAAGTCATATTCATGATCAGATCAAGCGCATTTTCCAAGAAGATGCTCTAAGTCCAACAGTTGCGAAAGCTAAAAAATATTATGAAAATTGTCTCGATGAGGCGAGCAAAAAAGAGCACAATGATGAACTTCTACGGAAACAAATTGAGAATTTTAGAGGGTGGAAGATGTTGAATAATAGAACAGAAGATTTGGGGTCTTGGGAAATTTTTGGCGAGGAATTTTACATTACATGGGTTTCATTATTTGTTCACCCCAAAGATCACTAAGGGGATAATTAAGGTGAGTATTTAAGGAGCAATCCCTAAATCATCAACCACAGTTTAGCTCGAAGGTCCCACATTTTCAATCGGAAATCATTGGACATATTATTCCGCTCTTGCAACCAATCAAAATCTTCAAAACAGTTATAAAAATATGGTTTCGGAAATTTTTAAGCTTCTTGGAATACCAGTTGAAAATAAAAGCTTCCTTGATGATCTGATCAAATTCGAACTTCGCCTTGGTTTTCATCGAATTATGCCTATAGTCATGACTTTTGAAGAATTAAAGACTAATTATAGTTTCATTAATTGGGATGAATATTTCAATGAGGAATTGCGAAATGATTTGGGAAAAAGTTTCGATAAAATTGAAGTGACTGTGAAATTGGATTTGATCAAAGATCTAGTGGAAAATGTGAATACAACATTGAAGATTAGAGATTTTTTGATGTGGAGGTTTACAAAGGATATGTTAAGCTTCATGTCTGAAAAATATCAAAAACCGGGGATTGAATTCAGCGAAAAGGAATTTGGCAAACATTCAAATGTAGGCCACTTGAATTATAAGGTTTCGAATTTCTTAATTTTTCTTTACATACAGTTTTCAACAAATGACTCCTGCTTGATAGAAACCCGCCAGAAATTCGATGTTCCATTGGCCGCTGAAATTTTGACCAAAAATTTCAAGAAAACTACAATCGAAAAAATGATTGAAAATATCAAAAATGCTATGAAAACTCAATTAGAAAATGTAGTCTGGATGAATGAGGAAACCAAGAAAAAGGCTTTGAAAAAGCTGGAAAAAATGAAGCAGCAAGTAGGATATCCCGAATATTTGAAGGAGAATTTGACGGCGTATTTCAAAGGTTTTAAGTTAGTTGACGGCGAGTTTTTGACAAATGCTATTGAGTTATCAAAACTCAAAAGAAAAGAGGATCTAAAGAAACAATCAAATTGGAAAACATTGTTGGAAGTTGATGCATTTTATGATCCCTTTATAAATACTTTCATAATTGGATCGGTTATTTCAATGTACCCAATGTTTATTGAAAATGCACCGATTCCAATTAATTATGGATCTTTTGGACATACAATTGGACATGAGATAACTCATGGTTTTGATAAACTTGGCATGCAATTTGATGAAAATGGGGAATTTCAAAGTTGGGATATGGGTTCTTTGAGTAATTTTACAAATTGTTTATCGGAGCAATATTTTGAAGAGCACACAGGAATCAATAAATTTATGTTCAAAATGTTGAAAGATGGTGAAGCTTTTGCAGATAACAGTGGATTGCGTATAGCGTTTAAGGCTTTTAGAAAAATAGCTGATGGTCAACATGATTTTCCAAATATGACTGAATATTCGAATGATCAATTATTCTTTATAGCGTTTGCGAATGTGCGTTTATTTTTCTTTTTTTTTATTGAAACAAAAACATTTTCAATTTTTTTCAGAACTTATGCATGGCCCAGAAAGATTCCTCAAAGGCACATCTTCTAACCACAGATCCACATACAATCGGATCTGCCAGAGTTAACATTCCACTGCAGAATTTCGACAAATTTGCGGAAGCTTTCAAATGTGACTCTGGAAGTGCAATGAATCGCAAAGATAAATGTGTGATTTGGTGATCTGGATCTTGAAAACCTTGAAACTAAATATTTCGGTATTGAAACTTCATAAAAAATTTTAAACAAAAAACTCTAGATACATTTTTTCTTTTTCTTGCCCTTTTCCAAATTTTCTGTGCAAAAATTTCCGTGGGCGAACCAAAATCAATTCCCATAAAAATAATTGAAAATAATGGGGCCCCTAATGTATTTTTTGGTGTATATAAACTCTCGATGTTTGTATCGGAAATTCAAGATCAATATGAATATGAGAATTCTACTTTTGGGTGCCACGATTTTGGTGGGATTTGTAGCGACTTCGAGTTTGTTGGTGAGTCAGTGGTGTAAATGCGGAGTGTTGTTTGAGCGTCCAGAATCCAGGGTGTAAAGGCGGAGCATCGTTGAATACATATTTTTCAGGAAGATTCCATCAGGAGTTTGATCGATGACGTCAGCTCTGAGAGCTCGAGAAGAATTGCTCCAAGGTCAATTTCCCTTCACATAAAAAATTTTTTTTTTCTAATTTTTTAAAATTTTTCCAGAAGAAATCTTCGTTATTCAATTCCACGTGAAATCCGCCCGGAATTTCCAAGGTACAGTAATTTTTTTTTTTTTTTTTTTTTTTTTTTGAAAAATTTTTTTTCAGACGCCATCTCTCATCTTCACAATCAGATTCATCTTCAAGGTTCAATTTTTTTTCAGATTTGATTTTCAGACAAATTTTTTGATTTTTTTTTAGAAATTACGTTCTCGATTCTTTGAACGCTGTGTCGTCTTTGTTGTAAGTTTGTTTAAGAATTTTCAGATTCATAATTTTATTCTGGAAATTTTTGCAGTGATTCTGTGAAGGATTCTGGAAATAGTGGAAGAAGGTTTGGGATTTTCAGATAATTTTGAAGAGTTTCAGATGAGATTTTCAGGGATTTTGGAGATTTTTTACCAACTAGAAGACTTGGAGGAAGAGGATTTGAAAGGTAAAGTTAATTTCGCGAAAATTCTGAAAATTTTGAGTTTGAGAAAAAATTCACTGTTTCAAAAATGTTCATTAAATTTTCTTATTTTCGTATATTTCGAAATGCTTATTGAAAAATTTAAACATTTTTAATGACTTTTGGAAAATTATGTTTTTGAAAAAAAAATTCACTGTTTCAAAGTTATAAGAAAAATTCAGCAAAATTTTGAAATTTCAATTAATAGCATTTTCGAGATGAAAAATTCACTGTTTCAAAAAAAATAATTGCTCATAGTTCGGGACCTAACTCAAAAATCCAATATAAAATTTTCCAGAAGAAATCTTCGCCACTCAATTCCACGTGGCATCCGCCCACAAGTTCCAAGGTAAAATTATATTTTTTTTTTGTAGCTGAAAAAAAAAATTTTCAATTTTCAGAAGAAATCTCTTCTCTCCTCAAGAACCAAGAAATGATTTCGAAATAGAATTTCCAAGGTAACCCTAGAAAAACCAAAAAAAAAACGAGAGAAAAAATTCACTGTTTCAAAAAAATCACTTCAGAAATTCTCAGAAAATTTTCACAGTTCCAGAGACAAAAAAAATATTCTCAAAAAATTTTCGGAAAATTTCACTGTTTCAAAATTTTTAGAAAATTTTTATTTGTTTTTTTTCTGCAGTTTTTCTGCAGTAAAGCTGGAAAAGCTGGAAAATACTGAAAATGTGATCTAGAAATTTTTCATTAAAAAAATAACCTTTAAAAAATTCACTGTTTCAAAATTTATATAATTTTTTCTCAATAAATTTTATAGTGTTCACATCTCAGCAATTTTTTTTTAAAAAAAAATTCACTGTTTCAAAAAAATTCCAAAAATTTCCAGAAGAAATCTTCAAAACTCAATAATGCCACGTGGACTCGGCTCACAAGTTCCAAGGTAACCCCAGAAAAAACTCTCAAAAATTTTTCTGAAATTTTTTTTTGCAGCTCGAGATTCTCTGGATTCTTCTAAAAATAATCAATAATCAATAATTAATTTTGGGGATTTTTAATTTTTGTTGAAAAAATTTAAAAAAAAAATAAATTCATTTCGGGAAAACAATTTTTTTTGCTCAATGATCAAAAATCCCGCAATTTTCTTCTTCTTCTTCAATTTTTCAAACATTTTTTGTGTGATTTTTGATTTTCCTCCCAACACCTGAAATCAATCAAAAAGGTCAAAAGTTTGCCTCAAAAATTTTATTTTTGAGAAAAAATATTGATTTTTTCTCATTTTAAAACTGAAAAATAATTTTCACACTTTCACCAGAAATTTTTGTTTGAAATTTGAGATTTTTGCAAGAAAATGAGAGAGTCTAAAGATTTTTTCGAAGAAAAAAAAATAATAAAAAATTTTTCACTGTTTCAAAATTTTTTAAAATTAAATTTTTGAAAAGATTCGAAATTCTTGTTTATCAGTGTGACTGAAAAAAATTTTGAAATTTTTTTTCACTGTTTCAAAATTTTTTCAAGATTTTGGAGATTTTTGAAAATTAAAAAAATTAGCTAAAGTCTGAATCATTTTTTCAAAAATTCACTGTTTCAAAGATTTTTTAAATAAATTTTTTTTAATTTCGAAATTATCAACTTGTTACTCATCACCCATTATTACAACTTTTAAAAAATTGTGAAATTTTTTTCACTGTTTCAAAAATTCTTCAAGATTTTTTTTATTCATTTACTAGACGCTCGATCAATTTTAAAAAAAAAATCTGCTCTAATTCATTTTCAGAAAAAAATCACATTTTTTCACTGTTTCAAAGATTTTTTATATAAGTTTTTGAAAAATTTCTGAATTCTTTCACTTTTGTTTAACACATTTACAAAATTTTAAATTTTTTTCACTGTTTCAAAAATTCTTCAAGATTTTGGAGGCTTTTGAAAATTTGTTGGGTCTATTGAATATTTTCCAGGCTTAAAATTTTTTTTTAAAAAAGAAAATCAATAATTTTTCCACAAATTTTGGCTGAAAAATTATCTATAATAATTGTTCTACAGAAAAATTCACTGTTTCAAAATTTTTCGAAATTAAATTTTTGAAAAGTTTCGAAATTTTGAAGTATGTGTTCAGTGTGAGTCATCATTACACCTTCAAAAAAAATCCAAAAAAAAATTTAATTTTTTTCACTGTTTCAAAAAATAGCTTAAGGTTTCTGAGGATTTTTAGAGGTTATTTAACGAATGAAAAATTACTGTTTCAAAAAAATGTGGAAATAAAATCTGAATTTTGAAATTTTGATTTGTCGAAATTAAATTTCTATCCTCAAAATTTTTTTTCGATCTACAGTACCTCGCAATTTTTGATCTACCCGCTTTTTTTCTGATAATTTTCTGTCTCATTGTCAAAAATATAATATCCGTTCCATTTTTCTTCTTTGTTTTGTTTTTTTTTTTGTTTCTCCTCTCAATTTTTACTTTACACCACAGTTTATTTTTTTAAAGCTTTTTTTTTTTGCTTTTTTTTTGCTTTCAAGCATTTTTTGTGTGCACAAAACTAAATATCTAGTATATCAGAATTTTTCCGGGGAAATTTTGATTTTTTTTTATTTCTTCTCGTCCATTCCAGCTGTGTTTTTACATCGTTAAATTTTAATTACACATTCATATTTTGCAAGTGTGTAACAAAAATTTTGGTTGGCGGTAAAAAAATCATTAATTTTTCAAAAAGTTGGCTTCGCCGGGAAAATTTGTGCAAAATAGCATGAAAAATTGAATTTTGGCAGAAAATGACGAGGTTTTCTTGTTGTTTTTGCATTTTTTCGGGAGGATTTTTTTTCACTGTTTCAAAATTTCTAAAAAAAAATTCAAAAAATTTCAACATTTTTTGAAACAGTGAATTTTTTTACTTAAAAAAAATCTTTTTTTTTCAAATTTTTCACTGTTTCAATGAAAATTCACATAATTTTTCAATATTTTTGATGACAAAAAAACGACCAGGTCAAACTAGAGTGTAGTTAGTCACCCCCCCCCTTCCCTATCCATGTTTTTTTTGAATACCACACTGTTTTTCTCTCTTTCTCTCGCTCACTCTCTCTCTTTTCTCCACTCTCTCTCTCTCACAGCTCACTGTTTTTTTTGCGGAAAAAAAAACAAGGTGTTTTTATATTTTCTCGTTTTTTTTCTAAATTTTATCAGAAATTTTTGAAACAGTGAAATTTTTTACTGTTTTTTAAGAAAAATATTTTCGTAAAAAATCTAGTGATACTTCATTTTTTCAAGAATTTTTTTGACTGTTTCAAAATTTTGTTAAATGTTTTTTGATAGTTGAATTATTGCTGAATAAATTTATATCAGCGGGAAAATAATTTTGAACTATCTACAAAAAATTCACTGTTTCAAAAAATTTATTAGGGCTGATTCGCGAACGAAAAAAATATTTTAAAATGTTTTTTTAACATCGAAAGATCAATTCACGAAAAGTCATAGGTCAAAATTAGTTTTTCGAGTTTTTCAGCCAAAAATGATGAAAAATCGATATTTTTCAAGCTTCTGGAGTAATTTCTGATGAAAATTGACCTTAGAATTCATTTTCCAGAAGGTTTTGCTGATTTTTCGTAATGAATTTCGAAAAAATTCATAAAATAAAACAAAATAGGGTTCTCGAAGCTTAATTTTCATCAGAAATTACTCCAGAAGCCACACTATGTCAGCCCAATGAAAATTGGCAATCGGTGAGAGTGAAGGAGACTTAGAGAAAAAATAGATCAAAGGTACATTAAAAATTGTGGGTCTGAAAATCCATAATTTTTGAAATAGCGTTTGGTGAGCATATTTTGTTTCGAAAAAATTGAGAATGACTTTTATTCGCTTGGCAAAGTGAAATTTCAAAAATCAATTCTCAGAAATCAAGCTGAAGCCTATTTCTAGATTCAACAAATCCTAGACCCGCAAATTCAACTCGCTGTAGATCACGCGGGATTTCAATATCTTTTCCCTCTCTTTCACTCTCACCGATTGCTTTTTGACATGTTGTGAAGCTTGAAAAATATCGATTTGTCATCATTTTTGGCTGAAAAACTTGGAAAACTAATTTTGACCTACGACTTTTCGTGAATTGATCTTTCGATGTTAAAAAACATTTTAAAACTTTTTTTTTCGTTCGTGAATCAGTCCTTTTTGATAAATTTAACATGATTTCTTAACAGAAAATTTAACATTGAAAAAATTCACTGTTTCAGAAATTTTTTTTCATGAAAAATTTTCAATTTTTGACTGTTTCAAAATTTTCTTATGTGTTTTTTACATCGCTGATATTTTGATTTTCAACTACAAAAAATTCGAAAAAAATTCACTGTTTCAAAAAATCTAGATCTATTTAATAATTTTGAAAAATTTGTTGGTGATTCGTTCTTCTGATAATAATTTTCTTTGAAATTTTTCACTGTTTCAAAAAATTTCAAAATTTTCCAGATCCATCCAGCCACAATTATCAAACTTGCTTGCTCCTCCCGAAAAATGCGTGAAAAATTTCAATTTTTCAAAAATCACCACACGAAAAACAAAAAAGATGCCGTGCTCTTCTCATTGGACGAAAATGAAGGTATTTGCTCACCTGACCTTTTTCCCCAAAAAAAAAAAAAAAAAAAAAAAAAAAAATTTTTTTTTTTTTATTTAACACAAAAAAATTGTCAAGGACCATCAAAAGGGTACTTCATAGAGACATTTTTATTTTATTTTATTTTATTTTTTTTCCCTGAGCTCCCCATCAAAATTGATATAAATATTTTGAAATAGAAATTTGTTGTCTGCGTCTCTCAGCTCTCCAAAGTACTGTACTTTTCCCGCCGAATTTTTCAAGAGCTTGAATAATATTTGTGCTCTTCTTTTTCTTCTTGTTGAGAAAAAGAAAAAAGATGAGCGCATCACTTTTTTTTTGTCACAAAGAGGAACTTTTTGAAACTGTGCAGACTTTTTTTTTTTGAATTTTCTAGGCTCTTGGAAAATTTTTAAAATTTTTGTAAAAAAAAATTCACTGTTTCAAAATTTGATAAAAATTTTTTGTAGGCTAATTTTCGATTCTTGTTGGACTTTATTGATTTTTTTTTGAATTTTCTAGAATTTTGGGAAATTTTTGAAAATTTTGTAAAAAAAAAATTCACTGTTTCAAATTTTGGACAATTTTTTCTCGAAACTTTCATTTGTAATCCGTGGCAATTACTGTTAAGGAAAAAATGTACCGTTTTTTTTGAAGTTTCGAAAATTTCTTTATACATTTTTTGAAACAGTGAATTGTTTTTTTTTCTACGATTGTTTTGGACCTCAGACTTATTCTAATGTGGACCTTCTAGATATACTCATCAAAATTTCCACCTTTGAAAAATTATCTATCAAATTTTTGAAACGTATTTCTCCAAGATTTTTTTATCTGAAAATATTCGAGAATTTTTTTTTAATTTTTTGGATTTTATACTGTAAAAAATCACTGTTTCAAAATTTCTCCAAAATATTTTCCATTTCATTTTTTTCAGACATGACTTCAGTCTCAATCCGCGTCCGAAACGATGATGGAAATGATGTTGTGGTTTCACCCACCGATGGTGTAGAAAACACCAATGTGAGTTTTTTGACTTATTTCAAACGACACTCCGCAATTACGCATTTATCTATTTTTTTTGCAGAATTTATCTCGTCGGAACAGTCGACGAGATTCTTCCACACCTGGTTCATCAATTCGAAGATCTCGACCTTCTTCTACGTTTTTCAATGACACTTGTGATGTTAATGATATGGTTCCGATTACTAGGGTTAGTTTTGAGTTGGGGGGAAATTTGGGAAATTTTTTAAAAAAATTTGAAACAGTGAAAAAATTTGAGCCAAAAATTTACTGTTTCAAGGTTTTTTTTTGAATAAAAACCTCACACGTTTTTATTTCCAGTTAAAAAATCCAAAAAATTATACGTTTCAAAAATTGCGTGAATATTTTAAGAAGAAAAAATCTGTAATTTTCTTTTTTTTAAGTAATTCTTGAAAAAATATTGAAGTTCTTGTGAAACAGTGAAAAATTGTAAAGTTTTTTGTAAAAATAGAAATTTTGAGCAAAAAAAAAAATTCACTGTTTCAAAAATTTTATATACTTTTTTTCAAGTTTTAGAAAAAATTCAAAATTCTTCAGAAGTTTTTATTTTTTGTTTGAAACAGTGAAAAAATTTGAGCCAAAAATTTAAGATTTTTTTAAACAAAAACCCTTTTTTTCATTTCCAGTTAAAAAATCCAAAAAATTATACGTTTCAAAAATTTTATGAATATTTTAAGAAGAAAAATCTGTAATTCTCTTTTCTCTAATATATCGCTTGAAAAAATATCAAAATTCTTGTGAAACAGTGAAAAATTTAAAATTTTTTTGTCAAATCAGAAATTTTGAGCAAAAAAAATTCACTGTTTCAAAAATTTTCTATACTTTTTTTCAAGTTGTAGAAAAAATTATAAAAATTTCTTCAGAAGTTTTTTTTTTTTGTTTGAAACAGTGAAAAAATGTGTGCCAAAAATTTACTGTTTCAAGATTTTTTTAAACAAAAAACCTCACACGTTTTTATTTCCGGAAAAAATCCAAGAAATTATACGTTTCAAAAATTTCATGAAGATTTTGAGAAGAAAAATTTGTAATTCTCTTTGGTTTAATACATCGCTTGAAAAAATATTGAAAATTTTGTGAAACAGTGAAAAATTTAAAATTTTTTTGTCAAATCAGAAATTTTAAGCAAAAAAAAATTCACTGTTTCAAAAATTTTATATACTTTTTTTGAGTTTTAGAAAAAATTATAAAAATTTCTTCAGAAGTTGTTATTTTTTTTTTTGAAACAGTGAAAAAAAATTGTGCCAAAAAATTTACTGTTTCAATGTTTTTTTAAACAAAAACCTTTTCAAAAAAAAAACCTTGAAACAGTAAATTTTTGACACAAATTTTTCACTGTTTCAAACAAAAATAAAAACTTCTGAAGAAATTTTTATAAATTTTTCTAAAACTCGAAAAAAAATATATAAAATTTTTGAAACAGTGCATTTTTTTTCGCTCAAAATTTCTGATTTGACAAAAAACTTTTCAATTTTTCACTGTTTCACAAGAATTTCGATATTTTTCCAGTATTAATAGAACCAAAAGAGAATTACAGATTTTTCTTCTCAAAATATTCATGCAAATTTTGAAACGTATAATTTTTTGGATTTTTATCAATAAAGTGAATGAGGTTTTTTGTTCAAAAAAAATTTTTTTTTGAAAAAAAGCATATAAAATTTTTGAAACAGTGAATTTTTTGCTCAAGTTGTAGAAAAAATTATAAAAAAATTTCTGCCCCAAAATTTTCATTTTTTCCCACAAAATCCAAATCCCAATCAAATATAATTAGTAATAGTGGGTTTCTTTCCGCACGCGTATCCGCGTAGACACCAATACGCTTGCTTGTTGAACGTTGCGGAACCCAACGCATCTTCCAATTCTCCGCTTTTAAATCCACGTTTTCCGATTTTCCCATCAACAATTCCCATGTAAATGCGATCTTGGTGGCTGGAAAATTTTTCCAAATTTTTTTTTTTTTTTTTTTTTTTTTTTTTGGCGGCCCCCCAAAATCCCACTCACTTCCAATAATTCGGTTGCCGCGGTCGGAATTGGAACATTTTGCGCCCCGTCGTGAAACCGTCGGTCCACTCATAGGCGTTTGGAACCCACGGCACGCAGCCGGTGGCATTTGTGTTCGGGTGGAGGCAGGCGGTTCGGCGACGGGCGCCCAACCAGATTGCACCTTCGGTTTGGTTGACGGAGCGCAGGATTTTGACACCGGCCGCTGGAAATAGCCAGGGGGGTTTTTTGGTTGTTGTCTGGATTCTGCCCTAGATGTGGTTAGAGACGCAGAGTTTTGACTCTCTAGCTGTCTGCACTCTGACCTTGCGAGAACTCTTTTTCGGGGTCAGAGACGCAGAGTTGTTTATTATGTTGTGGAACTCTAGCTGCCTGCACTCTGACCTTGCAAGCCTTTGGTCAGAGACGCTGAATTCTAGCTTCCTATAAATTAACTACACTCTAGTCTCGGATGGTTAGAGACGCAGAGTTTTGTACGACTCTCGCTGTCTGAACTCTAACTTTGGTTAGAGGCGCAGGCTCTAACTCTAGATGTCTGGACTCTGACCTTGCGAGAACTCTTGTTGGGGTCAGAGACGCAGAGTTGTTTATTATGTTGTGACACTCTAGCACTCTGCACTCTGACCTTGCAAGCCTTCGGTCTTGTCTGATTTCTAGCTTCCTATAATTCAACTACACTCTAGTTTGTGATGGTTAGAGACGCATAGACAATTATTTCTAGCTGCCTGGACTCTAGCCTGATTGCGTTTTATCAGAGCTTGGTTTAACTAGACTCTAGTTGTCTGGACTCTAGCTGATTATACTGGCTCTAACTAGACTATAGTTTGCATCTCTGAGGTTAGAGAAGCAGACATGAACTCTCTGCGTCTCTGACAAGAGAGAATAGACCTATTCCTCTGCGTCCCTTCCAACTCTAGTTGTCTGTACTCTAACAATTGATTAGTGAAGGTTAGAGACGCAGAGATTCAATTCACTTTGGTTAGAGAAATAGACTCTGGTTGTCTGTGCTCTAACAATTGATTAGAGACTAACTAAAATATTGTAACTCTGCTCGTCTGCGCACTTTAGACTATACTCTAGTTATCGGTGGTTAGAGACGCAGACATTTCTCTAGATGTCTGCGTCTCTAACTAAACATCTGAATCTCTAGGTTGTCTGAACTAGACTTTAGTTGACTAATGGTTGGAGACGCAGAGTTTTCTAGTTATGTATGGTTAGAGTTCAGACAACCAGAGAGAACTCTGCGTCTCTAACCAGAGAGCCCTACCATGAATCAATTGTCTCTCGGCCTCATTTTCGACGCCCGTCAAAACTGCTCCTAGCTCCCGGCATTTTTGATCAGCCTGCTTCACATTGATAGTTCCCGGCAGCACTTGAATACACCAATTTCCCATCTCTCTTTTCACCATTGTCCAGCCAGAAGCACAATTTTCAGTGGCCATTGTGGCTAGAACAGGGGGAGTTAGAAGAAGTAGAGCCACGTAGATTTTCATGGCTTTTTTTCTGATTTTTTAGTACGATGAGCGGCATGGTTTTATAGTAGAGAATTTTCAGATTTTTGATTTTTTTTTTGAAAATTTATGCGTGCGAAGAGTCGTAAATTTTGGGAAAACGGGAAATCGTTTTATGATTTTTTAGGCCTAGTTTTGGCCTGGTTTTAGGCTCAGGCCCGGAAGATTATGGGCCCAAGAAATTATACGTTTCAAAAATTGCATGAATTTTTTGAACAAAAATAATTTGCGATAATTTTGTACCCAAAATTTCACTGTTTCAAAAAATGTTTAAATTTTTCAGCTGTAGAAAAATTTTGGTAAAATTTTTAGTTTTGTTCATTGAAAATCCACGTGGCAAAATTTAACAAAAAAAAATTTTGAATTTTTGCAAAAAAAAATTTCACTGTTTCAAAAATTTGACAAAAATCAAAGGTTTTGGGTGAAAAATAATCAAAATTGACTTTTCGGTTTCAAAATTGAAAATTCCTGAAACAGTGAAAAAAATGTTCAAAAAATCGATTTTTTTGTAAAAAATAATTTCACTGTTTCAGAAATCTCATAATTTTTCAGCTGTGAAATAATATTCGTTCTACATCCTTGAATTTTGGGAAAAAATCTGAAAACTTGAAAAATATAAAAATTATATTTTTTAAATTTTTTTCAAATTAAAAAAAAAATTCACCTGAAAAATCCTATCAGAAAATTTCACTGTTTCAAAAATTTGACAAAAATCAAATATTTTGCTTGAAAAATAATCGAATTTCATTTTTTAAATGAAAAATTGAATTTTTTAAATTTGCATTTTGACATCAAAAATCCAATTTTCAATTTTTAAACAAAAAATTTCACTGTTTCAAAAATTTTATAATTTTTTTTTTGAAAACATTTGAAAACTTGAAAAATATAAAAATGCCTTTTTTTCACTGTTTCAAATTTTTTAGATAAAAAATAAAAAATTTAACCCGAAAAATCCTATCAGAAAATTTTCACTGTTTCAAAAATTTGACAAAATCAAACATTTTGGGTGAAAAATAATCGAATTTCATTTTTTAGTGAAAAATTTAATTTTGCAATTTTTAAACAAAATTTTTCACTGTTTCAAATTTTTCAATAAAAAATAAAAAATTTAACCTGAAAAATCCTATCACAATTTTTCACTGTTTCAAAAATTTGCGAAATTAAAAAATCTCGTAAACGTGACCCAAAAAATATGCCACGTCATATCATTTTTTTTTTGAAAAAACCAGAAAAAAAAAGAAAAAAAATCGGGGTAGATCTTATTCATTTTAGCCGCCAAAAAAGGTGCGAAGTATGGATCAAGTTATGCGATATTTCTTCAGTCCAAGCAAGGTGACCCCAGAAAAAAATTTTGCTTTTTTTCGTGTCTTACTGTACAACTTTCACTAACTCTCTATGTTGTTTGGTTCAAAAAAAATCAATAAATTTTTCAATCAATAATTTTTGCAGGCCCGAAAATCGAAAAGCGTCCGCGAGGAAGCCGGTCCTGGACTCAGATCAATGCTTTATGGCCTGGATCAGAAACAGTGAGTTAGCCCAACTCAAAAACCCCTGGAAATGTCTGAAATTTTCAGACAAAAAGAAGAAGCTGAGGCGAAGAAGTTGGCGAAGAAAATGATTCGTTAGTTTATTTTTATGGGCAATTTGAGCGGGGAGAAAATAGAGCGCAAACAGCCGAGTGGTCTAAGGCGCGCGCGTGAATCGGGGGCTTTTTGGTTCGATTCCTCATGCCCGCAAAAATTTTTTTTTTTTTTTGGTTTTTGCTCTTGAAAAATGTACAGTGATACTTGTTTCACTGATATGTGCTCTTCAAAAACAATAACTAAACAAATATTCGTGTGAAAATGGTGAAAAATCGCAGTAAAGTTGAAAAAGCTTCGGGTACAACCGAGACCCAATGATCAGATGTTGGTGTTAAACAACATACTTGACAACCCCAACTTTTTTTTCTTTTTTTGCGTTGAGTTAAAGAACAGAACACTTTAGTTTCGTTTTCTCGACACAAAAAATGAAACAGTTTGGTTACACGTAGGATTTTTTTTTGATTGTGTAAAATAAAATTGATTTTGCTCTGCGTCTCTGACAAATTCAGCTCTCTGCGTCTCTCTTGCGATAGAAATCTCTGATGCATCTGGTTTCTCTGCGTCTCTAGAGGGTCTTGTGCTCTCTAACCTACACTTCTTCTCTGCGTCTCTCATTTTCTTAGTGATCTCTAGCCTCTCTGCGTCTCTAGAGTGTCTTCTGCTCTCTAACCTACGCTTCTTCTCTTTGTCTCTCATAATTCTAGTGTTCTCTAACTTCTCTAGCCTCTCTGCGTCTCTAGAAGGCCTTGTGCTCTCTAACTTCTCTAGCCTCTCTGCGTCTCTAGAGTGTCTTGTGCTCTCTAACTTCTCTAGCCTCTCTGCGTCTCTAGAGTGTCTAGTGATCTCTAATCGTCCTTACTTCTCTGTGTCTCTCATAGTTCTAGTGTTCTCTAACTTCTCTAATCTCTCTGCGTCTCTATAGTGTCTTGTGTTCTCTAACCTACGCTGCTTCTCTGCGTCTCTCACAATTCTAGCGGACTCTAACTTCTCTATCCTCTCTGCGTCTCTATTGTTTCTCCATCCCCTCTTGATCTCTAGCCTCCCTTATTACTCTGCCTCTCTGCCTCTCTCACCCTCTCTCAATATTTCTCTACAGTCTCTACATGTCTACCCTCTTCTCCTGCTGCTGTTTTCCTGGCTCAAAACTGGAAGAAGCTGAAAATCAAGATTTGCTTCTGAAAATTCAACTTCAACTCAAACCCCAGAAGCCCGACAAAAAACCCAAGAAGCAGAAAAACGTGTTTCAAAATGTCCGGCGCCGAATTTTTTTGTCAATTTTGGGCGGCGTCTCAAAATGGCTCGCCAGGAATGTCAATGAGAATGACGTGTCGAGATCTACACAGCAGTTTGTCGACATTTTGAATGATGGTGGGTGGTGGTTAGAGACGCAGACACTCTCTCGCTGTCTGGACTCTTACTTTGGTTAGAGTCGCAGGCTCTAACTCTGGCTGCCTGCACTCTGACCTTTCGAGAACTCTTGTTGGGGTCAGAGACGCAGATTATGTTGTGAAACTCTAGCTACCTGCACTCTGACCTTGTAAGCCTTTGGTCAGAGACTATAAATTAACTACACTCTAGTCTTTGATGGTTAGAGACGCATAGACAACGTTGTCTGTAGTTGCCTGGACTCTAGCTGACCTTGTTTTAACTAGACTCTAGTTGTCTGGACTCTAGCTGATGATACTGGCTCTAACTAGACTATAGTCTGCATCTCTAAGGTTAGAGAAGCAGACATGAAAACATCGAATTCTCTCACAATTTCTGGTTAGACATAGAACTCTGCGTCTCTACCACCATCAAAAACTCTGGGTGTCTGTGCTCTAACAATTGATTAGTGAAGGTTAGAGACGCAGAGATTCAATTCACTTTGGTTAGAGAAATCGACTCTGGTTGTCTGTGCTCTAACAATCAATTAGAGACGCAGACGTCGGTTAATTTTGTCTCTAACTCAAATATTGTGACTCTGGTCGTCTGGACTCTAGTTATCGGTGGTTAGAGACGCAGACAACTCTCAACTTCTCTGAGTCTAGATGTCTGCGTCTCTAACTAAACATCTGAATCTCTGGTTGTCTGAACTCTAGCTTGAATTTCTTATTAACTAGACTTTAGTTGGCAGTGATTCCTAGATGGTTAGAGACGCAGAGTTCTCCAGTTATGTATGGTTAGAGTTCAGACAACCAGAGAGAACTCTGCGTCTCTAACAAGAAAATTCTCTATGGTTAGAGAAGCAGAGTTTGAACAGCTCTAATTGTCTGCACTCTGCCCCGGAAATTTTACGTTTCAAAAATGTGGTTTACCCCAAAAAAAAGTACAATCATTAATCTAACCTTGTCACCCCCAAAAAAACCTAGTTACATTTGTCATTTGCGCCAAAATGACTTCCTTCTCTAGTATTTTTCTGACTTCTCTGCGTCTCTAACTCTCTCTCTCTCTCTCTCTCTCTAGATATAGATATTTTTCTGTACAAAAAAAAAGTTTTTTTTTCTGGGATTTTTTGGCTGGTTAAACAATGTTGTATTGTTCAGCATTTTGGTATTTGTATAGTTTCTGATTTCACCAAAAAAAAAAAAATTTGAAATTTGATGTGAAAAAAGTTTTGTTTGAACACTTTAGTTTATGAATTATTTGGAGCATTTTTTGGAAATTTTGAATTGATCAAAATTCATTTTTATGGAAATTGATTTATGAAAATTTTGAAACAGTGAAATTTTTCGAAAAATTTTTTTTTCCGAATTTTTAATTCATAAAATTTTGAAACAGTGAATTTTTTTGTAGAATATTATTTCAGCTTTCGAAATTCTTACATTGGATTTTTTTCTGAAAATTTTGAAACAGTTGGAAAATTTTGGAGTCCAATTTTCAAAAAATCAAATTTTTCCTGGAAAATTTTGGTTTAGGGAAATTTTGAAACAGTGAAGTTTTTTTCAAATTTTTTGGAATTTCTCGGATTTTTTTTTTCGGAAAATTTTGAAACAGTGAAAAATTTCATTAATTTCAAAAATTTATTTTCCAAATTTTTTTAAACAGTGAAAAATTTATAAACCTAATTTTTTGGATAATTTTTTTTGGTTGTTAAAATTTTTGTAACTAAAATTTTTATCAAAAAATTTTAATTTCAAAAATTTCTGAAACGCTGAATTTTTCATCAAAAAAAATTCTTCCAAAATTTATTTTCCAAATTTTTTGAAACAGTGAAAAAATTTATAAACCTAATTTTTGAGATGATTTTTCAGTCTGTTTAATTTTTGATGAGTTATTGATCACTTCATTGAAAATTTTTACCGAAAAATTTTAATTTCAAAATTTTTGAAACAGTGAATTTTTCTGAAGCCGGAATTATCATTTAAAACAATTTTTAACCTAGAATCAAACAAATTCTCCCAAAAATTTATTTTCTAAATTTTTTGAAACAGTGAAAAAATGTCTTGCTACGTCACAAAAAAAGTTTTGCAACACCGCAAAAAAACACTACTATAAATCAAAAAAGTCCTTTTGGGACCAATTTTCCTTGTTGTCTTCTTGGTTTTTCTTCCAAATTTACCGCCACTTTTTCTATCTATTTTTAGAAAATTTTTTTGGGCCTCAAAATTTTCAAAAAAAAAATCCTCGTTTTTTTTTGCTGGTGTTAACTATGTCTCATTCATTCTTACATATAAAAATTTTTACTATGCATTTTTCCATTTTTCTTCTTTTTCTGGGCTTTTTTTCTCCCCAATGGACATTTTTTGGGGTGTTGTACTAGAAAAAAAAAATGTTTTTTTTTGCCGCCAAAAAAAAAACACCAAAAAAAGTTTTTGTTTATTTTTAGCTGGCGAATTTTTGACGCACAGAAATTCACTGTTTCAAAAAATATGTCTGAATTTTCAGCTGAAAATCTGAAGCTGAAAATTAAAAATTCACTGTTTCAAAATTTTCATAAGAGAAAATGTTGAATTTTATTTTTGATTGGTTGAAAAATTTGTTTTTTTTCGGAAAAAAATTCACTGTTTCAAAATTTTGATGAATAAAAATTTTGAAATTTATTTTCGATATGTCAGATTTTCGACATACGATATACTAAAAAATTATCTGAATTTTAAGCTGAAAATTTTAAATTTAATTTTTTTTTTCATTTTTCTTGAAACTAGAAAAATTCCTGATTCTTTCAAAAATTCTAGAAATGTTGAAATTCGTGTTTTTTCCCGAAAAAAATTCACTGTTTCAAAATTTTGATAAGTCAAAATTAGTGCATTTTATTTTTGATAGCATATCGCAAATTGCCATAAAGATTTCAGAATTTTCAGCTATGAGAATCTCGAGCTGAAATTTGTCCAAATATTCCCAAGACTAGAAAAATTCCTGATTCTTTCAAAAATTCCATAATTTTTTTTTTTTTTTGTAAAAATTCACTGTTTCAAAATTTTTATGTTTGAAAATTTTGAATTTTATTTTTAGTAGATTACAGTGACTGTCCCTTGATAAATTAACTACTCGAAAAAAATGTCAGAATTTTAAGCTGAAAATCTCAAGCTGAAATTTTTCAAATTTTCGCAAGCCTAAAAAAAATTCCTGATTCTTTCAAAATTTTTAGAAATGTTGAATTTCGTGTTTTTTTTTCGGAAAAAAATTCACTGTTTCAAAATTTTGATGAATAAAAATTTTGAATTTTATTTTTATTAGGTTACCATGAATATCCCCTACTCCAAAAACATATTTGAATTTTGAACTGAAAATTTTAAATTAAAATTTTTTCTTGAAACTAGAAAAATTCCTCACTTCGTTCAAAAATTCCATGAATTTTGAAAAATGTATTTTTCCCGAAAATTCACTGTTTCAAAATTTTCATAAGAAAAAATGTTGAATTTTATTTTTGATAGCATATCGCGCATTGCCATAAAGATTTCAGAATTTTCAGCAATGAAAATCTGGAGCTGAAATTTTTCCAAATTTTCCCAAGACTAGAAAAATTCCTCAATTTTTCAGAAATTCCATGAATCTTGAAAAAAAAAATTTTAAGAAAAAATTCACTGTTTCAAAATTTTCATTAAAAAAATTTTGAATTTTATTTTTGATAGCTTATCGGTGTTTATTGGTTGTTTTAAAAAGTTTTCAGAATTTTCAGCTATGAAAATCTCGAGCTGAAATTTGTCCAAATGTTCCCAAGACTAGAAAAATTCCTCATTTTTTCCAAAATTCCATGAATTTTTTTCCCGAAAATTCACTGTTTCAAAATTTTGATATGTGAAAAATATTGAATTCATTCATATTCCATTTGAAAATTGTTTCAAAAAGCAAAATTTCCAACGAATTTCTCCCAAGACTAGAAAAATTCTATGAATTTTGAAACAGTCAACATTTTATTTTTTCCCCAAAAATGAATGATCAACGATATTTTCACACACATTTTTGGCTTTTTAAAAATAGGAATAGCAAAAAAGTAATCTTATAATACTAAATTCAAATTTCCGGCCTTCGTTTTCTTGCTCTTTTCCTTATTTTTTTTTTATTTTTATTTGTATTCCTCGTATTTTTTTCACATCACAAAGATGTCAGACATTTTATGTATGTTCTTTGATTTTTTTCTTGAAACAGGGAGATTTTTTTGGAATTTTGTTATGTTTGAGAGATTTATCAAGTTGAAAAATAAGTGAAAATATTCATCAAATTTTTGAAACAGTAGATTTTTCAAGGAATTTTTTAAAAATAAAATTAGGTTTTCTATGTTTTCGAGGAAATTTTTTTCGCAAAATTCAGATTCCATGTATTTTTTGAAACAGTGAAAAATTTGTGGTCTAGAATTTTTTGAAAATTCTATTTTTTTCGGAAATTTTTTGAAAATTGCTTTTTTTGGCTTTTGGGCCCAATTTATGAACCCATTGATTATTTTTTCCAAAATTTTCAAAAATTTTGAAACAGTAGATTTTTCAAAAAAAAATAAAATAAAATTCGTTTTTTTTCTGATGAAGTCTAGTCGTTTAGCAGTTTTTTGCAAAATTTTTTGAATTTTCAAAATTTTTTTGAAACAGTAGATTTTTCAAAAAAAAAAATTTTTTTTTGTAGAAAAACTTTCTTTCCACTACCTTAGCAATTTTCAAAAATTCTTTCTGAATCTCATAATTTTCTGAAACAGTGAATTTTTTCAGAAAAAAAATTTTTTTTTTTTTGTAAAAAAATGTACATTGCCTTAGCAATTTTCTAAAATGCCTTTCAAATCTCATAATTTTTTGAAACAGTGAATTTTTTCCCAAAAAAATTCCACTGATCTTTCCCATACATATTTTTTCCCCATTTTTTGTTGTGTCGAGCAACAATAATAGTTCATGGCTCATTTCACATAAATATCATCATCATCTTTTTTTTCTTTTTTTTTTCTGTGTTTTTTTTTGGAACAATTCCCTCTTTGTGCAAAAATTGTGCTCTTCCGGATTTGAATTTGAATTTTTGAACGAAATTTTGGAACTGGGAAACAATTTTTATGAATGTTATCGATTTGAAGAATTTTTGAAACAGTGAGATTTTGAGGAACAAAAAATTTTTTTTTGAAAATAGCTTGATTTGGAACTAGAAAAATTGGCGCGAAAATTCCAGAATTCAAAAATTCAAATTTCCCGCTCAAATTCCAAGGCGCGAAATTCAAATTTCCCGCTCAATTTTCCAAGGCGCGAAATTCAAAAATTCAAATTTCCCGCTCAAATTTTCAAGGCGCGAAATTCAAAAATTTAAATATTCGAACTTCCCGCGCAATTTCCCAAAGCGCGAAATTTGAAAAATTCAAAATTCCCGTTCAGTTTTTCAGCCGCGAAATTCAAAAATTCAAAAATTCAAATTTTCTACTCAATTTTCCAAGGCGCGAAATTCAAAAATTCAAATTTCCCCCTCAATTTTCCGAGGCGAAATTTGAAAATTCAAATTTCCCGCTCAATTTTCCGAGGCGCGAAATTCAAATATTCAAATATTCAAATTTCCCGCCCTATTTTCCAAGGCGCGAAATTCGAAAATTCAAATTTTCTGCTAAATTTTCCAAGGCGCGAAATTCGAAAATTCAAATTTCCCGCTCAAATTTTCACCCGCGAAATTCAAAAATTCAAATTTTCAGCCGCGAAATTCAAAAATTCAAATTTTCTACTCAATTTTCCGAGGCGCGAAATTCAAAAATTCAAATATTCAAATTTCCCGCCCTATTTTCCAAGGCGCGAAATTCAAAAATTCAAATTTCCCGCTCAAATTCCAAGGCGCGAAATTCAAAAGTTCAAAATTCCCGCTCAAATTCTAAGGCGCGAAATTCAAAAATTCAAATTCTCCCCCACTTTTTCCAATTCTAACCCCGTAACTTTTCTCATTTTCCCCATTTTTTCCCCAATTTTTTCTCCTTTTCTCTTCTTTTTTTGACTAATTGAATTATGTTTCCCGAAAAAATGAGCAAAAACAAAAAAAAACTAACCAAATTCAGGGTTTTTGCTCTAACAAAAATGCTCAAAACTCCGCCTTCTTCCGAAAAACCAAAACGAAAATTGGAAAAAGCACAATCTATCGAAACTTCTTCGTCGAATCGCCGAATTTCGGGATCGATTTCGATCTCACCGATTTGTTTTCGACGACGCCGCAACAAATTTCGACAATGTCAATCGGTTGAGCAAAGTTGCTCCAACTCTAGCTCCAGAAAATCGCGCATCGAAAATTTGCGAATATTTTTTGCGCAGCGAAGCTCTTCCAGTCCACTCAAGAAATCGACTGAAACTATGAATTCGCTGCATAATTTGGCTGTAGCTGCTGTGGAACCGGGAGTTTTGAGGAAGAGTATCAGCGAATTTGTTATTGGGTGTGAGTTTTTGAAATTGAAATTCATATTTGACTGCGTACCTGGGTTTCTTTAGCTGAGTATCAAACGTAGCCACATTTTTCTATCCGAAGAAATTCACTGTTTCAAAAATTTTATGAGGTTTTGAATTTCTGGTAGTTTTTTAGTGCTGATTATTCTCGCGAGTTTCTCCAATTTGACTGCGTACATGGTTTTTTTTAGCTGAGTATCTAATGTGATAACATTTTTCCATCCCAAAAAATTCACTGTTTCAAAAATTTTATGAGATTTTTGGGTTTTCGGGAAATTTTGATTCATCTCCTGAATTTTCCTATGAAAAATAATTCACTGTTTCAAAAATTTTATGAGATTTTTGGGTTTTCGGGAAATTTTGATTGGGCGTTTTCTATAATTTTCTCAAAATTGTCTGATTTTCTGATAATTTTCAGTAATTTTCAGTTCTTCAACTCCTAATTTGACTGCGTACGTGATTTCTTTAGCTGAGTATCAAATGTGACAATTTTCCAACATTTTTCTGATTTTCTAAAAAAATTCACTGTTTCAAAAATTTTATGAGATTTTAGGGTTTTTGGGAAATTTTGATTCATCTCATGAATTTTCTTATGAAAAATAATTCACTGTTTCAAAATTTTTATAATAAATTCCTGGTTTTTTTGTATTTTTAGTGTTTCTCAAAAAATTGACTGCGTATTTTATTTTGTTGGCTGAGTATCAAATGTTAAAATTTTTAATTTGACATTTAAGTAATTTTTCATAAGCTGACATTATATTTTTCTTCCCTGGAGGTTTTTTTTTGGAAAAATCATGATTTTTTTCGACACAGGCAAATTCATATGGATACATAATTGATACATTATGGATCCATCATCCATAATCGACCCATTTCGGATACATCACCGGTCCATATAAGATCCATCTGACATCAATCAGTAGTGATGTACCCATGATGGGTCTCAGATTGATACTCAGCTGGTCGATGGGTAGCTGATTGATTCAAAATGGACCGATGATGGATCCATAATGTATCAATTATTGATAAATCATCAAGTCCTTCTTCACAGTATAGTTTTTTTGAACATGTTTTCTCTTCCATCCATTCTATTTAAGGATAAAAATGATAAATCGTCGTTTCGTAGTCACCACGAATTCCCGATTTTCAAATCTAGCTCGATTTTATGGATAAAAATAATGAACCGTGGTTTCGGAGTCATTGCGAACTTCCGATTTTCAAATAAAGCTCATTTTTATCAATAAAAATGATGAATCTCACGATACCTTTTTAAATCAACTCACATTCTTTGCTACATTTCAAAAAATAGTGCATAAATTAAATGCTGCAATCCAAACGCGTTTTGTAAAATCAGAAATGAGCAAAACAATTCACGTGAAATTATTTAAACTTAAATCTACCGTTTAATATATAAGAAAGATTTATACAATCTTCTCATGAGATATCATGTATGCACATTCTTTTGTTTAGAAGCTTCTGATAAAGCGAAAAAAACATTTGCTCAATTTCGGGCTAAATTTTGAGCTTTTACGAGTCGTTCAGCAAACACTGATAACTGGATATTTCTTAGCAGGAAGAACTCTATCGAATGATATAGTGTAACTGAGTGAAGTTCACTATAAACATTTACATTTCTCAAAAACCGAAAAATTGAAAATCGACCGAAACAAGGGATGAATTTATAATCATTTTGTTCAGCTTGAAATTCTGAGTCGAATGGTGTATATCATTTTCACTCAAGTGCTCTTAATTGGTGCGGAAAAGTGTAACATTAAAGGCGCAGACATTTCAATGAATTTATCCTGCAGCGAAATGTGTGTGTGTGTACTTCTCTCGGACGATTTGCACGCCACATTTTTTTTTCTTTTTTTTCGTTTTTTTTTGTGTGTTTCCCGTTTCATAGAGAAATTGAGTGTTAAAAACTGCGGAAAACATATAGAATATGTTCCTCGACTAGGATCTAGCAGCAAATGTCATCAGAACTTTGAAATTCGCATATTGAACATGAATTTAGGCCAGAAACTTTGAAAAATTGGTTTTTTTCGATTTTAGGTAGTGAAACGAGACATTTTTTCAGTTTCAGCTGAAAATTGAAATACCCTATATCGTACTTACTTGAATTTCGCACACATTGATTTACTACTTTTGTCAACTGGTTTTTTTCAGACATCGCTCTCATTCAAACATCGAAATCGACATCAACTATCTGCCAAACAGCGGTAAATTGATTATTCAAAGAACTTCGTGAATAAAAACAACTTTTCAGGTCACTACAGTGTGTACAAGAAGGTTATCGAACTGACTGCCTAATGCATCAGTTTGGCTAGAAAGACACTTGGTTCGTAATATTGGAATGAAGTTCAATGGCGAGAAGAAACTGTTTTCAAATATCTCAGGAAGTATTGCTCACCAATCCATGTTATCGCTCACACTCAGGTTGGTTAACTTGAATGAGAACATTTTTTCAAATGGTTCTTTCTTTTCAGGCTAAGGTTCTCTATCGTCGTGCCAAATAAATGAATATTGATTTGGTCGAAATCCAAATCAACTGAGGATCCGTCGCTCAAAAGGACAAGCTTGTGAGCACCGAGAAGCAACTTCTGATTGGCTCCGTCTTCTCCCAAATATGAAATGATCGACAACATCGGGTGTTGCCAAGGGTTGCGGATTCAAGGAAGCTACCAAGAGATGGAAGGTCAAGAAACTTCCACGTTAGTCTCCGCAAAGCGGGCTCTGCTCGAGCTAGGAAATCAACCTTCGCCGTTGCTCGTGATGACCACAAAACCTGCTCCAACTGCCATCTTCCTCGTGAATCCAATTAAGATGACCGAAAAGATGCGCCCACACCATGAAAAACAAGTTCTTCTAACTTCTAATTTTGTTATATTTCAATTTTTACTATGAATAAACTTTAATTTTAACTGTCTACTTGAAAAAGAGTTAAAAAGAGAAAATGGATACATCAAGCGTCCATCAAGTATCAATCAAACGAGTTCAGATGGATCCATTATGTGTACCCGATGTATACATCTGAACTGGGGACATGATGTATCAATAATGGATCAATTATGTATCCATCTGAATTTGCCTGTGGAAATTCTCATTATTTTTCATGAGTTTGAGTTTAAGTGACATTGATTTTTTGGTTTGGGGAAAATATTTTTGGATTGAAAAAATTTACTGTTTCAAAATTTTTTGATAATTTTTTGGTTTTTTAAAAATTTGCTACGATCAAAGTAATTTCGAAAAATCAAAAATTTAGTTTTTCTAATTTTTTCCAAATTTTGGATTCGCAAAATTTCACTGTTTCAAAAATTTCAGTTAATTTTTCGATTTTTTGAAATTTTGCTCATTTTAACGATTCAAAATCATTTTTGAAAAATCAAAAAAATTCACTGTTTCAAAATTTTTTGATAATTTTTCGGTTTTTTTGAAAATTTGATCTGTTGAAGCTGAAAAATCTTATAGTTCCCCAGTCAAAAAAAAATCGATATCTGATAAATCATCCCTTTTTTTGCCCTCAAAAAGCCGACAAAAAAAACGTGAGAAAAATGAGATGTTCTCTCATCTCATTCATTTTATTTATTTATTTTTTACTATTATTTTTGCTGCTTCAAAAATTCTTCTTCTCTTCTGAAAATATTTTTTTTTTTTGAAATATGTACTTTTTAAGACTTTTAGGAGGATTAGTTTTACGAGTTCTTTGGGAAAAGTTTTTTTTTTTGAGAAAAATTTGAATTTTTGAATTTAGCGCTCAATTGTTCGTGGCGGGAAATTCGAAAATTTGAATTTTTGAACTTCGCGCTCAATTTTCGTGGCGGGAAATTCAAAAATTCAAATTTCCCTCCTAATTTTCGAGGCGGGAAATTCCAAAAATTCAAATTTCTTTTTTTCCCGCTCAATTTTTCGTGGCGGGAAATTCAAAAAATCGAATTTCCTCCTAATTTTCGAGGCGCGAAATTCAAAAATTTGAATTTTTAAATTTAGCGCTCAATTTGTCGTGGCGGGAAATTCAAAAATTCAAATGTCTTTTTTTCCCGCTCAATTTGTCGTGGCGGGAAATTCAAAAATTCAAATGTCTTTTTTTCCCGCTCAATTTTCACGCGCGAAATTCAAAAATTCAAATTTGTTCCCCGGAAAATTTCCAAGAAACTTTTTTTGCAAAAAAAGTATGTTTCTTAAAAAATATGATGAAAAAAGGTTTCAAATTACCTAAAGATAAATTTTTCTTTCAAATTTCGCCGGATTTTTTTTCACTGTTTCAAAAAACCCACATTTTCATCATCCCGCTTTACGACCTTTTTTCAAATATTTATTTTTTTTTGGCGCCAAAATTGGAATTCAAAAAATTCAAAAAATGCCACGTCATAGCTCATTTTTGATGTCAAAAAAGACCATTTCCTCTTTTTTTTGCGCGCGCGAATTTCAAAAAATATCAAATTTCAGACTTTGCTGAAAATTGAGAATTTTTAATGGATGAGAAATTCGAATTTTCAAATTTCCCGCCATTTTTCCGTCAATATTTTTGGCGCCAAATTTATTTTTTCAAAAATTTTCCAGATGACTTCTTTATTAACCGCCTCTTATCACTCGCTTTGCGCCAAAACTGCAGATTTTGGAGCAATTTTCCCGAGTTGCTCCACGGCTTTTGGTATGTGTACCTTTGAATACAGTACCCCCACCCCCGGGAAACTAGAGTGTAGTTTGTGGTCGAATTAGTTTATGCAAATTTTTGAGGGGGAGAAAATGCAATTGATACTCAGTCAAGAAATGTACGCAGCGAAATTTGAGGTTGTGTCAAAAATCACAGCGGAATTTGACTACTCTGCTTTTGGTGTCTGAAATGTTATCGTATTTTGCCTACCCTTTGATTTCTTGTGTTAAAAATCATACCGAAATTTGCCTACTCTGAAATTTTTGTTGAAAATTCAAGGCTGTCAAAAATCACACCATATTTTACCTACTCTGAAATTTGAGGTTGTCAAAAATCGCACCATATTTTCCCTACTCGGAAATTTTGCTGGGATTCTGAGGCTGTCAAAAATCACACGGTTTTTTCCTACTTTGGGGCTGTCAAAAATCGCACCATACTTCACCTACCCTGAGATTTGAGGCTGTCAAAAATATCATCGGATTTATCCTGCTTCAATTTTGAAGGCTGTCAGAAATCCTGTCATATTTTCCCTACTCGAAAATTTTGGTAGGTAAATGAGGATGTCAAAAATCCTGTCCTACTTTTCTTATCCTGAAATTTGAGGCTGTCAAAAATCGCACCATATTTTACCTACTCGAAAATTTTGCCGGGATTCTGAGGCTGTCAAAAATCGCACCATATTTCTACTACCTCAAAGTTTATCCAAGTTTCTGAGGTTGCCAGAAATCACACTGTTTTTTTCCTACTTTGAGGCTGTCAAAAATCCTGTCCTACTTTTCCTATCCTGAAACTAGAGGTTGTACAAAATACTAACAAGAACTACCTACCCAAATATTTGAGGCTGTCAAAAATCCTATCATATTTTCCCTACTCGGAAATTTTGCCAGGATTCTGAGGCTGTCAAAAATCCTATCATATTTTACCTACTCGGAAATTTTGCTAGATTGTTGAGGATGTCAAAAATCCTGTCCTACTTTTCCTATCCTGAAATTTGAGGTTGTCAAAAATCGCACCATATTTTCCCTACTTTTCCGATTTCAAATGACATCAACAAATTTGCGAAAAATAATAATAAATTGTGTGTGTGTGTGGCGAGAAAAGTTTACAACTCAAAATCCCAAAGAGTTCCTCTATCTTTCTGCTGCCACCGAAAGAATTCTGAAGAAAAGCAGAGAAATGAGCAAGTGTTTCTTGTGCTCCCACATGCCGGCCAGCTGCCCGCTGCTCTCCTCAAATCCCACACTCTCTCACCCGGTCCGGAAAAAAAAAGAGAGAAAGCCGAAGGTAAACCACATTTCGCTTCCTATTGATTACTATAACTCGAGTGTATTTTTTTTCACTGTTTCAAATATGAACTGAAAAATCTCAAGAAGCATCTCATGGATCTTTTGAAAGTTCCCGAATCGCCGCAAACTTCGCGCCGTCAAGATCTGACCGCAAAATTCGATGATTTCCGACGCAAATCGATATCTGAACTCAGCTTGGTGATGGATGTTTTGAGAGGAAGTCCAGGTGGAAGTTCGCAATATATACATCCGGAAAGGGCGTGTCAATCCACAGGGAATCTGACGGCACAGCCTTCGAAAAAGGGGAGGAGAAGGCGACGGGTGCAGAAGACGTGGCAGGCGATGTCGCCGGCGAATTTTGCCAAGACGCTGCAGATGGGTGAGGGATTTTTGCAGTAGGGAAAGTTTGGTGGGATTTTTGACAGCCTCTGGAAATTAGTAGTGAAATTCCGATGGTATTTCGGACAGCTAGAGTAGTGAAAGTTTGGTAGGATTTTTGACAGCTTCTGGAATTTGAGTAGGAAAATTCCATTGGTATTTCCGACAGCTAGAGTAGGGAAAGTTTGATGGGATTTTTGACAGCCTCAAATTCTTCCAAGAAAATTTTGAGTTCTCCCAAAACTTTGGGAATTTTCTGAAGTAGGAGAAAATTAGTGGGATTTTTGACAGCCTCTGGAATTTAAGTAGGAAAATTCCGATGGTATTTCGGACAGCTAGAGTAGTGAAATTTTGGTGTGATTTTTGACAGCCTCAAATTTTTGTAAGAAAATTTTGAGTCCTCCAAAAACATTGGGAATTTTCTAAAGTAGGAGAAAATTGGTGGGATTTTTGACAGCCTTTGGAAATTGAGTAGGGAAAGTTTGGTGGGATTTTTGACAGCCTCAAATTTTTTGTAAGAACATTTTGAGTCCTCCCAAAAGTTTGGGAATTTTCTGAAGTAGGAAAAGTTTGGTGCGATTTTTGACAGCCTTTGGAATTTGAGTAGGAAAAGTTTGGTGCGATTTTTGACAGCCTCAAATTTTTGTATATGAAAATTTTAGGTCCTCTCAAAACTTTGGGAATTTTCTGAAGTAGGAGAAAATTAGTGGGATTTTTGACAGCCTCAAATTCTTGCTAGAAAATTTTGAGTCCAACCAAAACTTTGGGAATTTTCTGAAGTAGGAGAAAATTAGTGGGATTTTTGACAGCCTCTGGAAATGGAGTAGGGAAATTTTGGTGCGATTTTTGACAGTCTCTATAATTTGAGTAGGGAAAGTTGGGTGGGATTTTTGACAGCCTCAAATCTTTTGTATATGAAAATTTTGAATCCTCCCAAAACTTTAGGAATTTTCTAAAGTAGGAGAAAATTAGTGGGATTTTTGACAGCCTTTGGAAATTGAGTAGGAAGTAGGGAAAGTTTGGTGCGATTTTTGACAGCCTTAATTTTCCTGGGCTTCAGGCCCAAGCTAAGCCTAAGCTTTGTTCTTAGGCCTCAGATTTGGGCTCAGATCTTTGACCGAATTTTGCTCAGATTCTGAATTTTTAAAAAAAAATTAGTGATGAGCTCTCAGAATTTTTTTAGTGAATCTTTTTTTTCTGAAAATCTCTAGAAGCTAGAAATTTTGCTGAAATTAATTTTGTGACATACCAATTTTCAGCGTTTAAAAAATAACCAAAATTTTATGATCCCCAGGTTCAATATTACTTTATGAACATTTTTGTAACTAAAAGTTGGCTCCAATTTTGCCACGTGGCAGAATTTTGCATTTTTCAATTAAACAATTCGGTCTACAAACATAATTTCATGCCCCACATTTTTTTAATGAAGATTTTGAAACAGTGGATTTTTTTTTAATCAAAAAAGCTATACTAATCAATCTAACTAATTTTTTTGAAAATTCATGAAATTTTTGAAACAGTGAATTTTTATTTTGTAAAAAAATCACTGTTTCAAAAATTCCTCAAATTTTTTTCAGGGAAAAAAATGTTGATTCTGCATTTTTTTTTATTTGTTGGAAAAATTCACTGTTTCAAAAATTCTTCAAATTTTTTCTCGAAAAAGAAAAATTTGATTCTGCTTCCTTTACTCCCTGGAAAAATCACTGTTTCAAAAATTCTTCTAATTTTTTTCTCGAAAAAGAAAAATCGCATGTCAACTAGAAATTAGCCAATATTTTCTGTTCCTAGTAAATTTTACTATGTATTTCTTTTTCCCAAATATTTGTTCAGCTCTTCTCCTCAAAATTTTTTTTTTCAAAAAAAAAAAAAAACATTCGGCTTTTCCTTCACACAATCAAAAACAATACTAGAATATTCAATTTTCATTTTCATTTTTTTGCCAAAATTTTTTCAGGTAAATCCATTTTTTTGTCCAAAAAATCTGCAATTTTTGTGTGTTATTTTTTGAAAAAAAAATATTTATTGCTCGCCGAGCAAAAAAAAACTTTTTTTTGATTTTTTTTTTCCAAAGAACAACTGTTTTTTGAGCAAATGTGTGAGAAAAAGCAAAAATTTTGAGCGGTGCATAGAAATGTGGGCGTGGCTTAATTTTGGGCGATAAAAAAATATGGAAACAGGGTGCGCAGGGAAAAATGGGCGGGGCTTGAGCACAAAAATATGAGGCTGAAAATAAATCTGAAAGTGTCTGCGTCTCTCAAAATTCAGCTATATCTAATTGTCTAGATGTCTGCGTCTCTCTCTCTCCCTCAATATCCCACGCTCTCTAACTGTCTGACTTCTCTGCGTCTCTCAATTTTCATACTCTCTTAATTTTCGAAAAATTAAAAAAAAATTTCACGTGACCCCAATTTTTCTACGTGTAAAAATTTTCATTTTCAAATTTTTCGAACATGGAAAATGACAGAAAATCGATAATTTTGTGAGTTTTCGGGGATTTTCTCTGCGTCTCTAAAAATGGCATACTCTCTAGTTGTCTGGCTTCTCTGCGTCTCTTCAAATCCTATGCTCTCTAACTATCTTTGTCTCTCTCACAATCGCATACTCTCTAACTGTCTGATTTCTCTGCGTCTCTCACACTCGTATGGTATCTCTAACCTCTCTCTAACTCCTCTGCTTCTCTGCGTCTCTAACAATTCCACTCGCTCTCTGCTTCTCTAATTCCTCTGCGTCTCTCACTTTCTTATGCTATTTTCAGTAAGGGCTTCTCTGCGTCTCTTCAAATCCTATGCTCTCTAACTGTCTTTGTCTCTCTGCGTCTCTAGAGTTCCCCGTGCTCTCTAACCTACGCTTCTTATCTGCGCCTCTCATAATTCTAGTGCTCTCTAACATCTCTAGCCTCTCTGCGTCTCTAGAGTTCCCCTTGCTCTCTAACCCACGCGTCTTCTCTGTGTCCTATAATTTCCTAGTGCTCTCTAACAAACTCTGGTTTCTCTGCGCCTCTATTGTTTCTCATACTCTCTCAATTCTCTCGTCTCTCTTTCTATCTCTTTCTCCTCTTGATCTCTAGCCTCCCTTATTACTCTGCGTCTCTCACAATCGCATACTCTCTAGTTGTATGATTTCTCTGCGTCTCTAGTATCTCTAACATCTCTCTAACTCCTCTGTCTCTCTCGAAATTATGTCGCTTCTCTGCGTCTCTAACAATTCCACACGCTCTCTGCTTCTCTAACCTGCTCATGAATCATCTTATGACCCCCAAAAAATTCGCCCGCTCTTCTCGATTTCAATTTCGAATTTTTCCACCAAAAAAAAAATGCATTATTTATAAGCTCCGCCCATTTCCGGCCAAAAATACAAACAAAAAAAAAGTTGATTTTTTTCCACATTTTTTTTCATGAAAAAAAATGTTTATATTATTTTGAAGAAGCCGAAAAATTTATTTTTTTTTGATCTACGCTTGAAAATGCGCGCTATAAATTACTATCAAAATCGGCATCGGACCAGGAAGCAGCGGAAAATTGGATGTAGGGAATTCCAGGGGGCCTAGGCCTGATATCAGGCTTGGTCCTAAGCCTGAAAATCTGAAATTTTTTGCAGTGCAAGAAGAGAAAGCGATGCAGGCGGTGCCGACTGCACCAATTGATTCATCGAAATTTGTCGCCTATGTTCAGGAGAGAAAAAAGAAGAGGATTCTGTTCAAAGGAGAATATTTGGTGGGTTTTGCGGGGGGGGGGGATTTTTCACTGTTTCAAAATTTTAAGGAAATTTTTCAGATGAAATTTGAGCTTTTGATGTTGCTAATGTTCTAGTTTTATGAACCTTTATAAATCCGAATTTTGATTTTTTCACTGTTTCAAAATTTTTATGAAATTTCAGAGATTTCTTTTGAGTCCAAATACCACTAATTTTATGAACCCGAATTCACAATTTTTCACTGTTTCAAAATTTTTTCAAATTTTTCAGATGAAATTTGAGCTTTTGATGTTGCTAATGTTCTAGTTTTATGAACCTTTATGAACCCGAATTTCAATTTTTCACTGTTTCAAAATTTTTATGAAATTTTTGATATTAATTTTTAAATTTAGTAGTAGTGCGAATTGGAAACTCTGAAAATTTGAAAAAAATTACTGGATTTTTTCACTGTTTCAAAAATTTATCAAATTTCTTGGATTAAGTTGGAATTTTTGATATGAAAATGGACCTTTTTGATTTTTTCACTGTTTCAAAATTTTTATAAGATTTTTTATATTAATTTTGAAATTTAATAATAGTAAACATATGGAAGCCCTGAAAATTTGTAAAAAAAAATTTTACTGGATTTTTTCACTGTTTCAAAATTTTTGAAATTTTTCAGATGAAATTTGAGCGTTTGATATTGCTAATGTTCAATTTTACACTGTTTCAAAATTTTATGAAATTTTTTGTATTAATTTTGAAATTTAGTTGTAATCTTTTGAAGTTTAGTAGTAAAAAAAAAAATTACTGGATTTTTTCACTGTTTCAAAAATTTCTTGAAGTAAGTTGGAATTTTTGATTTTGTAATCGGCCTCAAACTTCGAATTCGTGAGCCTGAATTTTGAATTTTTCACTGTTTCAAAAATTTTCTAAAGTTTTTATTTGAAATTTTTGGGTTATAAAAGCTACCAAAAACACGAAGCTTCAAAAAAAAATTCACTGTTTCAAAAAATCGATAAATTTTTTGATAGTAACATTTTTTATTACGTCGTTTGAACAACATCAATTTACCAACAAAAAAAACCCAAAAAAAATTCCAACCCCAATTTTTCATTATTTTTTCTATTTTTTCAACCTCATCAATCTCAAAAAACAGATTCATCAAATTTTTTTTCGTCCGGGGGCCTTCTTGTTTTTGAAAAATTTCTGGAAAAAATTTTCCGGGGGGAATTTTAAGAAAAATTTGAATTTTTTTTTGCAGATTGTGAATCGATCAATCGATAATAACAAATGTCGATGTGATGTTGGAAGTACAATGATGGATAGAAATCCATATCCGGTTGGTTTCGGGAGAAGGGAGTACTGTAGGTTGGAGGGGTACTGTAGATGGAATTTTAGCTGTGAATTTAGCTAGAAAAATTCACTGTTTCAAAAAAAATTTTAATTTTTCTTGAAAATTTTTGAGTTTGACAAAAATGTTTGAACTTGAAAAAAAGTGGATTTTGAGCTATTTTTCATCTAGAAAAATTCGCTGTTTCAAAAAATTTATGAATTTCTGAAGGTGTTTTTGGTGTTGATATGTTGGTGATAATGTATAGATTTAAAAAAAATTCACAGTAAATTTTTTTTAATTAGATTTTTCACTGTTTCAAATAATTTTTGCGAATTTCTGTAAATTCGTACTTTTTTTCTTGATTTCCAGTTAAAAAATTCACTGTTTCAAAATTATTTTTGGATTATTTTCCAAAAAATGATTAGGTTATAATTTTGATTTGAAAAAAATCCACTGTTTCAAAAATTTTTCTGAAAATTTGTACATTTTTTCATGATTTCCAGTTAAAAAATTCATTGTTTCAAAAATTTTTTGAAATTTTTCGAATATTTTTGAAAAATTGGTAATACATCTAATTTTTCATCTAATTTTTTTGTATCTAATTTTTCAACGAAAAATTCACTGTTTCAAAAATTTCACAAATTTCCAAAGCTCAAATATATTTTTAATCCAAAATTCAATAGCTATAGTACCCCCGAGTATTTTTGGCGCCAAAAATCCTGAACATCTGGTGTTGGGCAAAAAAATTGCGATAATAAAAATCAAAATCACACACGACAAATTTTTATGGGATTTTTTTTAGAATTGAGGGGATTTGAAAAAAAAATTTCAAAAAAAAAATTTCAAAAAAAAAAAAATTTTTTTCAAAAAAAAAAAAAATCAAAATTTTTTTCGAAAAATTTAAAATTTAATTTCAGGACACTCTACCGTATGATTATAATCGTGTATTGTTGCCGAGAATTGATGATGATGAAAATTCGCATTATATCAATGCGAGTTATGTTAATGTGAGTCTTCTGAAAATTGAGTTTCAGCCAAAAAAAAAAATTTTGGATTTTTTCAGAGTTGGGTTCGTGAAAAAGCGTATGTTGTGACACAGGCTGTTCGAACAAAACCAATGAATGCCGAATTTTGGAGAATGGTTTGGGAATTGAATTCGAATTGTATTGTGATGTTGACCAAGGTTTTTGATTTTATGAGAGTGAGTTTTTTGAAGCCAGGAAAATTTACTGTTTCAAAAATTTGAGAAATAATTTTTAAAAATTTTTTTTTGATTCATTCTTCACAAAGCCTAATCCCAATTTTACAATGAAAAATTCACTGTTTCAAAAAATTGTGAAGTTTTTGCTGGATTTCTCGATTTTTTGATTTGTCATTTTCAACCAAAAATTCCTGAAAAAAATACGTTTCAAAAAGTTGAGAAATAATTTTTTCAATTTTGATGACTAGATTTATTTTTGTAATCCGTGCAAAAAAGTTTGATTGAAAATTTTTCACTGTTTCAAAAATTTTGAGAAATTTCTGATTTTTCAATAAAAAATTCACTGTTTCAAAAAATTGTGAAGTTTTCGCTGGATTTCTCGATTTTTTTGATTTTTCATTTTCAGCCAAAAATTCCTGAAAAAAATAGGTTTCAAAAATTTGAGAAATAATTTTTTCAATTTTTGATGACTTGATTTATTCTTGTAATCCGTGCAAAAAAGTTTGATTGAAAATTTTTCACTGTTTCAAAAATTTGTAAAATTTTTGCTGGATTTCTCGATTTTTTGAAAAATTCCTGAAAAAAATACGTTTCTAAAATTTGAGAAATTTCAGATTTTTCAATTGTTTTTTTGATTTTTGATTTTACAATTACATTTATTTTTCAATGTTTTCCAGGTAATGTGTCTTCAATATTGGCCGCTCACAAAATTTCAATTTCGTGAAATCGAAGTCGAAACGGTTGAAGTCAAAACTTATTCGCATTTTGTGAGTTTTTTCCAGCTTTCAAATGGTTTTCGAATTTTTGAAATTGCTTCATTTTGAGCCAAGTTATGATAATTTAAGAGACGTTTTTTGTAATATGGGAAATTTTAGAATAAGGAGCTGCGCAAGCAAAAAAGTTTTTCTGAAAACTTGTGTAATGATAGCCCCATGGGTGGGCATCAATTTGCGCACAATATTATTGCTCAAATCAGCTTCACCATTGTGGTGTGATGGGTGAAAGCTGTATGAGCGGTCACTGAAACTTTCCTCTCCGTTGATATTTTTTGATGATCTCAACGCCAAAATACTTCTCTGGCTTAGAAATGATTATTATGTTCTCGCCATGAAAATTGCACCATTTCTAATGGTGAAAATACACCACTTTGGCGAAAAACACCAATTTTATGGTGTTGCGGTTGAATTTCGCACTCTCGCGCTGCTTTTATCGGATTCCTCGTCATTTTTTACATACCCTACAAAAATATGAGAAAAATAAACCTTACCCCTTTTTGGCAATTTTGACGCAAAGTTAGTCACCCAAGGTGTGCACCACAGCATTTTTTGTCAAAATCACTTAAATTTTCGATATTTATGGTCAAAAAAGTTATTTTATGGCTTAGAGTTACTTATATGTGAAAATTAGAAAGTTTTCGAGACGAAAACGTGTTATTTCACGCATTTCACGTGAAAAATCACGTGAATTTTTTTCGAAAAATAAGTTTAAAAACGTGTTTTCTGGGGTTTTTGACTATGAGAATCAACGTGGTAACATTTATTTTTCTCGAAATTCCCATTTACAATGAGTTTGACAACACTCTAAAAACTTCACTTGCTAAAGTTGATTTTTATGATATTTCTGAAAATTGCTAAATTTATAATTTTCATGAAAAATAAATATTACCACGTTGATTCTCATAGTCAAAAACCCCAGAAAACACGTTTTTAAACTTATTTTTCGAAAAAAATTCACGTGATTTTTCACGTGAAATGCGTGAAATAACACGTTTTCGTCTCGAAAACTTTCTAATTTTCAGATAAAAGTAACTTTGAACCATAAAATAACAGTTTTAAACATAAATATCAAAGATTTGGGTGATTTTGAGAAAAATGCTGTGGTGCACACCTTGGGTGACTAACTTTGCGTCAAAATTGCCAAAAAGGGGTAAGGTTTATTTTTCTCATATTTTCGTAGGGTATGTAAAAAATGACGAGGAATCCGATAAAAGCAGCGCGAGAGTGCGAAATTCAACCGCAACACCATAAAATTGGTGTTTTTCGCCAAAGTGGTGTATTTTCACCATTAGAAATGGTGCAATTTTCATGGCGAGAACATAATAATCATTTCTAAGCCAGAGAAGTATTTTGGCGTTGAGATCATCAAAAAATATCAACGGAGAGGAAAGTTTCAGTGACCGCTCATACAGCTTTCACCCATCACACCACAATGGTGAAGCTGATTTGAGCAATAATATTGTGCGCAAATTGATGCCCACCCATGGGGCTATCATTACACAAGTTTTCAGAAAAACTTTTTTTGCTTGCGCAGGCTGTTTTCCGGTATTACAAAAAACGTCTCTTAAAGTCCCGCGTTCCCTTTTCATTCAAAAAAAAATAAAAAACCCTCTCTCTCTTTCTCTGCGTCTCTTCACACCGCGCCACTCGTCGCAGTCCCGTTTGAATGTCGGCGAGTGAAATTGTTGAAAAGGGGGAAGGTGTTGGCGCTAGCTTTTTTTGCAAGAAAAAAAGGAATTTTAGGAAAAATCGATTTTTACAGGTGATCCGGACATTTAATCTAACTCGCACCACTTCGGAATCCATCGAAACTCGAACTGTCAAACATTTTCACTTTACCGAATGGGAATTGGACTCATTTCCATATATTTCCGCATTTATCGAGTTGAGACGAAGAGTTCGACAATTTACGGAGAAAAATCCGGTTGATGCGCCGCTTATTGTGCATTGCAGGTTAGTTTTTTGGGGGATTTTGGGGTGAAAAATTTTTGAAATTCGATTTTATTCAACAGATTTTATCGATGAATAAAAAAAAATTCAGAAAAATATTTTCATAATTTTTGAAACAGTATATTTTTTCATCAAAATTGCAAAAATAAAGGGAATGTTTTTCGAAACTTTGAATTTTCAATTGAAAAATTTTTGAAACAGTAAATTTTAAATTCAAAAAAGCTTTTAAAAAATTATCGGAATTTTTTTTTTGGAATTTGATTTGAAACATTTTTGAAACGTATTTTTTTCGGGAAAATTGAAAATTTAATTTTTGCATGGAATTTCGAGTTTCATCGAAAATTGAATTTAGAAAGTTATTTTCATAAAATTTTTGAAACAGTATATTTTTTTCATCAAAGTTACAAAAAAGTGAATGTTTTTTGAAACAGTAAATTTTAGATTCAGAAAATCTTTTAAAAATTATCGGAAATTTTTTTGGAATTTGATTTGAAAAATTTTTGAAACGTATTTTTTTCGGGAAAATTGAAAATTCTATTTCTGCATGAAATTTTGAGCACACTCTCGAAAACTGAATTTACAATTAGAACTTTTTTTCATATAATTTTTGAAACAGTATATTTTTTTCATCAAAACTACAAAAAAAAGTGAATTTTGTTCGGAACTTTAAATTTTTGATTAAAATTTTTTGAAACCGTAAATTTTTTTTTGAAATTTCACTTGAAAAATTTTTGAAACGTATTTTTCCGGGGGAAATTGAAAATTCTCATTTTTGCATGGTATTTTGAGCACGCTCTTGAAAATTGAAATTTAGAACTTTTTTTTCATATAATTTTTGAAACAGTGAATTTTTTCATCAAATTTACAAAAAATATTATCAGAAATTTTTTTTTGGAATTTGATTTGAAAACATTTTGAAACGTATTTTTCCGGGAAAATTGAAAATTTTATTTTTGCATGAAATTTTGAGCACGCTCTTGAAAATTGAATTTTAATTTTTTTTTTCATATAATTTTTGAAACAGTGATTTTTTTTGGGAAACAACTAATTAAATGTTTTTCGGAACTTTGAATTTTCATTTGAAAAATTTTTGAAACAGTAATTTTTTTTGGACTTTGATTTGAAAAATATTTGAAACGTATTTTTCCGGGAAATTTTTAAAAATAAATTTTGAAACAGTCAAAAAAATTTTTATTAAAAAAACCCGTAAATATGTATTTTTTCAATTAAATTCAAAAAAGAATGCTCTAAATTCTCATTTCTCACTGCAAAAACCCTCTATTCTCATCATTATTATGCACCAATTTCTTGAATCTTCGCCTTTTTTTCATCTCATTTTGACACTTGAAATTGTCGCATTGCAACTTTTCGCAACTCGCCGGAATCCGCAAATTTCTACCGGTTTTCAAAAAATCCTTCATCCAGTAGTCGACTTGGAGCCGAGTGAATTCGAGCAAATAATCGGCGGCTTTTTCGCCTTTTTCTTCCGGGCAAACCTGGAAAAGTGGGCGGAGCTTAAGAAATCGATGGCGTGGATTCTGAGAATCTAGGGATCATTTTGAGACCAAACAAGCCCTGCGGCATGGAAAAGTGGGCGGAGCTTAATAAGCCCCGCCCATTTTGCTGTGCCCTACGAAAATTATGAGGTTACCTTTTTCAAAATAAATGAAGTACACGTGTGATCGCAGAGTAATTGCCGACATCTGAAATTTTTAATTTCAGCCCAATTTTTTCCATGGCTGAAAATTTCCCTACCTCGATGAATATCCCTCTTGCGAATGCGTCAGCGGTTTGTAGACACCGCAACGCGGACGGCAGTATTTTTTGAGCACCGGCGCGGATTTAGCGTAACATGGAAGGTTTTGGAGCATCTGGAAGTCAGGCAGGGTTTTGTGGGCGGAGCCTAAGCTTGTGGGGACTCATTTTGATCCTCACAATTTTCTACAGAAATTTTCCTAAAATTTTCAACGCCGCACAGTTTTGTGGGCGGAGCCTAGGCTTGTGGGGACTCATTTTGATCCTCACAATTTTCTTCAGGAATTTTTCAACGCCGCACAGTTTTGTGGGCGGAGCCTAGGCTTGTGCGGACTCATTTTGATCCTCACAATTTTCTTCAGAAATTTCCTAAAATTTTTGACGCCGCACAGTTTTGTGGGCGGAGCCTAAGCTTGTGCGGACTCATTTTGATCCTCACAATTTTCTTCAGGAATTTCCTAGAATTTTTAACGCCGCACAGTTTTGTGGGCGGAGCCTAGGCTTGTGGGGACTCTTTTTGATCCTCACAATTTTCTTCAGGAATTTCCTGAAATTTTTAACGCCGCACAGTTTTGTGGGCGGAGCCTAGGCTTGTGGGGACTCATTTTGATCCTCACAATTTTCTTCAGGATTTTTAACGCCGCACAGTTTTGTGGGCGGAGCCTAGGCTTGTGCGGACTCATTTTGATTCTCACAATTTTCTTCAGAAATTTCCTAAAATTTTTAACGCCGCACAGTTTTGTGGGCGGAGCCTAGGCTTGTGGGGACTCATTTTGATCCTCACAATTTTCTTCAGGAATTTCCTAAAATTTTTAACGCCGCACAGTTTTGTGGGCGGAGCCTAGGCTTGTGGGGACTCTTTTTGATCCTCACAATTTTCTTCAAAATTTTTAACGCCGCACAGTTTTGTGGGCGGAGCCTAGGCTTGTGGGGACTCATTTTGATCCTCACAATTTTCTTCAGGAATTTCCTAAAATTTTTAACGCCGCACAGTTTTGTGGGCGGAGCCTAGGCTTGTGGGGACTCTTTTTGATCCTCACAATTTTCTTCAAAATTTTTAACCCCGCACAGTTTTGTGGGCGGAGCCTAGGCTTGTGGGGACTCATTTTGATCCTCACAATTTTCTTCAGAAATTTCCTAAAATTTTCAACGCCGCACAGTTTTGTGGGCGGAGCCTAAGCTTGTGCGGACTCATTTTGATGCTCACAATTTTCTTCAGAAATTTCCTAAAATTTTTAACGCCGCACAGTTTTGTGGGCGGAGCCTAGGCTTGTGGGGACTCGTTTTGATCCTCTCGATCTTCTTGATCAGAATTTCCCGAACCTCACCTCTGGAAATCGATTCCTACACACATATTCTCGCAAATTGAACTGTACCGAATATCCACATTCATCAATACATTGACTATGCTCATAATCTAACATACAAAATAATTCTAAATCCCGTTTTTCTACAACACTTGGCACATCTATACTACCAAATGCCATGTGAGCCTGGAAAAATTGAGGTTTGGCTGAAAAAGCTGAAATTCTGAATTTTTCGCTCACATTAACCATGTCCATGCCAATGTTCAGACGATTATTGCATTTTTGAAGACATTTTGCGTCGTTGACGACTTCGTCGCGACGACGAGCACTATCTACTGGAAAATGGGAAAAATTTCACTGTTTCAAAAAATTTTTTGGAGATTTTTTTCTAGAGCTTGATGTGATATCTTCGTGGAATTTTTTTGGAAAACAAAAATTTTTGAAATTTTTTTTTGGAAAAAATTTACTGTTTCAAAAATTCTTTAGAATTTCCTTGTTTTTGAGAATTTTCTGATGTTGCATCTGAAATTTTCACAGGAAAAAATTTACTGTTTCAAAAATTCTTTAGAATTTTTTGGAGAATTTTTTGATGTTGTTAACTTTTCTTATCCTAACAATAAGTTTGCATCTGAAATTTTCACAGGAAAAAATTCACTGTTTCAAAAATTTTTTAAACATTTTTTTTTCGAGCTTGATGTGATACCGTTTTGATGACATTGTTTCGAAAACAAAAAAAAAATTTTTTTTTTGAAAAAAATTTACTGTTTCAAAAATTCCTCAAAATTTTCTTGGTTTTATACATTTCTAATTTCTGTAGGAAAAACCATGTTCCCAAAAAATTCACTGTTTCAATGAAAAATTTATAACATTTCAGAGCGTCTAGGGTTTTAGTTATCGATAATTCTTGTTTTATTTCATTAGAAAAATACTGAAGAAATTGTGAAAAGTTTTAAGGGTACAATTATATTTGCTCGAAAAATTTAGAAGCCAATATGTGAAAATTTTACTTCAGTTTCCTCACTGAAAAATTAGAAAAATAATATTTTTCCAAAAAAAATTCACTGTTTCAAGAATTTTGTATACAATTTTTCACAATTCTAACATATTATTAAAATGGAAGGAAATTCTCACTGTTTCAAAGAAAATCGTCAATTTCTCAGAATTTTTCAAAAATGTTTTTCTTATCGAATGAAAAAGGTGATAACATTTGTGAAAAAAAACTCACTGTTTCAAAAATTTGGTATATTTTTGCACGATTCTACAAACCTTTGTTCGGTTGGTTCCATCCAGCATAATTTTTTGTTCAAAAAATTTACAGTTTAAAAAAATCTTTATATTTTTTTCACAATTCTACAATTTGGTTCGGTTCCTAGTTCCATCAGAAACAATTTTCCTGTGTGTTTTTCTCCAAAAAAAGCACCCAACTCCCTCATTTCCCTATTTCGCCCTTTTCCCCACTAACAATAAGGTTTCTGCTGCTTTTTTTGAAGATTTTATCTCTTTCCGACGAAAAAAAGTGCGAACATTTGTTTTTTTTTTGTCGAGATAACAAATCTCATTTCATTTCATTTCACTTTCTTTCGAAAACCTCAAAGGTTAAGCTGAGAAAAAACCGTACCCGCTGATTTTTGAAAATGTTGAGAATCATCATCGGAATCGTAGTCATCATCGAATTTTTGTTGAATTCGGGCAAGAGAAAAACCGCTGGGTTTTGTTGAGATAATTGTGCGTTTTCGGGGACGAGCTGGAAGGAAAATGGGAGATTTTTGGATTGACAAAGCTCAGGGATTTTTGAGATGTTTTTTGAAATGGATATGAATCGTTTTCTCCAAAATTCACTGATATTTCATGAATATTTTGAAACAGTGAATAATTTTTTGAAAATGATTTTTCACGAAAATCTGTAGAATAAAGTCGAGGCATCGTGATTTTTTGAACCCACAGATACTTCATGAGATTTTTGAAACAGTTAGAAAATCTTGTCAATTTTTTGAAACAGTGAAATAATTTTTGCGAATTAATTAAAAAAAATAATTTTTGTGGATTTTTCTCTGAAATTCAAATTCTTCAAATTTTTTGAAACAGTGAATTTTATTTTCCATAAAAAAATCTCCAGAATAAATTTTTTGATGTTAGAAACACCTTGAAAATTTTTTGAAACAGTGATTTTTTTTGAGGGGATAAAGAACAACAGATATTGAAAATTTCAAAAATTTCAAAAATTTGTGATTTTTTTGAAACAGTGAAAATTTGTGGACATACAAAATCAAACAAGTAATCAAAATCAAAAAATTTCAGAAATTCCCAAAATTTTTGAAAATTTTTGAAACAGTGAAAATGTTATCAAAATATTAGTGAATTTTTCTCTGAACATTAAATTCTTCAAATATTTTTGAAACAGTGAATTTTATTTTCCATAAAAAAATCGACAGAATACATTTTTTGATATTAAAAAATTATTTTTTTTTTGAAACAGTGAAAATTTTTTTTGTATGTGAAATAGAACAACACATATTGAAAATTTCAAAAATTTTGAAAATTTGTGATTTTTTTGAAACAGTGAAAATGTTTCCAACTAAATTTTCATGTTATTGTCTAGTCCAATAAAATTGAAAATTTTTTCTGAAATCAAAAATTTCCGCTATTTTTGAAACAGTGAAATTTTTTGGACTTACAGTATCAAAAAAGTAATCAAAACATTTGAGAAATTCCAAAAATTTGTAATTTTTTTGAAACAGTGAAATAATATTTTCAATTAATATCTTGAATTATATTTTAGTGAAATTTTCTCTGAAATTCAAATTCTTCAAATATTTTTGAAACAGTGAATTTTATCTTGTATAGAAAAATCTCCAGAATAAATTTTTTGATATTTGAAACAGTGAAAAATTTTTTTTTTTCAAAATTCAATTTTTTTTTAAATTTTTTTTCCTCACCTCTCTGAATCCTCGAAACACTTTGATCCACTACAAAACACACCAAAAACCAAAAAACCAGCCAATTTTGATTTCGTCTTCCCAACATTTTTCTTTCTTCCTGAATAAAATGAAAGATTTGGGCGCGAAAAAAAATTGAAAAGAAAATATTTTTGTGAATTTTTTGTGGGCGGAAGGAAAGCGGGACACTTGAGATTTGATCATTTAATTTTTGCCGGGAAAAAAATTTCTGAATTTGAAATTTCAGCTGATTTTCAGACAAATTCGGTCTGACCGGAAAGAAATTTTGTGAAGTATTGGCAGAAAAAAATAGAAAAAATAATTGGAAGTTGATTTTTGCTAATTATAGGGGTCTTTTTGGACACTTTTCCAAAGAACCTTGAAATTTTTTTTGAAGAGAACACATTTTTCTACTTTGGGGAATTTTGGAACAAAAAATTTACTGTTTCAAAGATTTTTTGAAATTTTTTGAATTTTGTTCAAGGTGCCGGAATTATTCAAATTTTCAAATCTAGTTTTTTTACTTAAAAAATCTTAAGAAAAATTCACTGTTTCAGACAAAAATGTAAAAAGTTCAGAAAATCAATTCAAATTCTGATCGCAAAAAATTTTTTTTAGAAAATTTTACTGTTTCAAAATTTGTTGAAGAATTTTGAAACGTTATTTAGAACGCTCCAATTTTCAAAAAAAGTTTAAAAAAAAATTTACTGTTTCAAAAAATTTTGAAAATTTCTAAAATTCAAATTTTAGTTGATTCCTTTAGAATAAACGAGAAATCAAAATTTTCTTATTTTTTCCAAAGCAAAAAATCACTGTTTCAAAATTTTTTGAAAAATTTTGAAATTTTATTTGAAACGCTACCACAAAGATTCGACAACTCAAAAAAATTTAGAAAAAATTCACTATTTCAAATTTTTCCCAAACCCAAAAATCTCGGTCATTGGCCGGAATAATTAGCAGAACTTTTCACTTTTCATCACCGCCCAAAATTTTTTTTCAAAAAAAAAAAAAAAAAATGAAGGCCACACTCAATTTTCTCTCGACCGACCAATAATTAGAAAATTAATTTATTTTCAGCCGAAATTTTTTTTTCAAAAAAAAAAATGAAAAATGACTTTTATGTTGGGTCGCAGAAGACAAAAAATGCAAGAATTTAGGCAAAAGTTTTGGCCAAGATTTTATCTAGCAAAAAAAAAATGAAAGAAAAGCGAGATTTTATCCGGGGAAAATGCGAGAATTTTTGTTTTTGGCGGGAAAAACAAATTAAATTTTTTTCTGAAAAATTTCAGAAAACCTGTTGAAAAATGCTGAATTTTGAAGCGAAGTACTTAAGTTTTTTGGGGAAAAATAAGATAAAATTTGAAAAAAACTAGATTAATTATCTGATTTATGTGGAAAATGTTTATGGTTTTTGGGGGGAGGAAAATTTTTTGCGGTTTCAAATTTTGTTGGAAATTTTTCAAGGATTTTTGAAATATTATTCAGTAGACTTTGACTTTATCAAAAATTATATACATTTTTTCACTGTTTCAAACAATTTTGAAGTTCCAAATATTTATTTTCTCAAATTTTTCACAAAAAAATATACTGTTTCAAAATTTTCATTTAATTTTCGAGGGATTTTTTTGTTCGGTTAATCAACATTTTATTTATTTTCCAAAAAATTCACTGTTTCAAAATTCACAGATTTATTTTAAACAAATTTTATTGTTCAGTAGGATGTTATTTTTTATCCGAAAAATTCACTGTTTCAAAAATTTTTCAAAAATTGGAAAATTTTAATTTTATTGATTACTAAATTATGAAATTTAGAATTTTAATTCGAAAAAAAATTCACTGTTTCAAAATTCACAGATTTAATTTTAAACAAATTTTATTGTTCAGTTAGGATGTTATGTTATTTTTATCCGAAAAATTCACTGTTTCAAAAATTTTTCAAAAATTGGAAAATTTTAATTTTATTGATTACTAAATTATGAAATTTAGAATTTTTATTTGAAAAAAAATTTACTGTTTCAAATTTTTATCATAATTTTTTAACTTTTAAAACTAGAACAAATAACCGGATGAGACGAATAGAAAAAATTATTTTAAAAATTCACTGTTTCAAAAATTCTACTAATTTTTAGAAAGAAGTTTTGGGAGTTGCTGTCTGCTGAAAAATTTTTTCAAAAATTCTTTTTGTGAAAATTGGTCTAATATTCCAGTTCAAAAATTCACTGTTTCAAAAAAAATCTAAATTTTTGCAGCAATGGCGCTGGTCGAAGTGGTGCATTTCTAGCACTCGACGCCAATTTGGAGCTCATGAAAAAGACGGGTCAATTGGATTTTTTCGAGTACGCTAAGACTTTGGTAAACGCTCGGCCGCATTTAATTGACAGTGTTGAACAATACATGTTTATTTATGATGTTTTGGCGGAGGTTTGTGCATAATTAATTAGCTAATTAGTTAATTAATTAATTAATTAATTAATTACAGGCCGTGTTGTGCAATGTTCAACCAATTGAAATGAATCAATTGAAAGAGCGCTCAAGTATGTATAAAGCGAAAAAGAATCGGGAATTGTTGGAGAGCCAGGAGACGCATGAGAATAAGGTATGAACTACAACACTCCGCGATTACGCTGCGGGAAAAAATTCAAAAAATTCTTATTTTCCTCAGCAGGAAAGGAAAGAAGGAAATTAAAATCAAATAAAATTCCTCACTTCAATTTCCCACCCGAAATAGGCTAAAAGTGACAGTTTAATGGGTTTCTCCACAAAAAAAACGAAAAAACGAGGCTTCCCTCTTTATCTTGACAATTTCCCCCTCTCTCCACAAAAGTAGGCGTGGCCTAGTGGTAGCGCGTTGGTTTTTTGCCCAAGAGGTCAGGGTTCGAGGTCGCATCGAGGCGAAGTTTTTTTTTTTTTTTTAATAGCCCTCATAAAAATCCGGTTTTGTCTTATTACAGCTTCTGATGTCGTTAACACCAACACTTCGAATCGGTGATTGTGCAGGTGGACATCGATTGGAGAATCGGGGAAAGAATCGAGATGTGATGGTGGTGCCACGTGGGTTTTTTGGCGCCAAAAAAAAATTTGAATTTGAATTTCAAAAAAAAATCAATCAATAAAATTTCAGCTGATCATGCTCGACCGTACCTTCAAACTTTACACGGTGAATCGAAAGATTACACATATATAAATGCGGTTGAAGTTGATGGTTTCACACGAAAAGCTGAATTTATTGTAACTGAGTGGCCGAAGCAGAGTACTGTAGACTCGTTTTGGACACTGGTTTACGATCACGCTTGTCATACTGTGGTTAATCTGAGCAATCAGGGAAATCAGAGGGTTGGTTTTGGTCTCGCAGCGAATACCGTATTCTTCCATTTTTTAAAACAGTCAAAATGTACTATCAGCGATAATAAACTGAAAAAATAGGCCTGAAAATTTGTGAATTTTTTGAAACGTATTATTTTTGGGAAATTTTTGAGGGGATTTTTTTTGAATTTTTTGAAACAGTAAAAAAATTTGGGGAATTTTAAGCCAAATTTCTAGAAAATCTCAAAAATTTGGAGCATTTTCAGCCAAATTTCTAGAAAATCTCGAAAATTTGAAGCATTTTAAGCCAAATTTTTAGAAAATCTCAAAAAATTGAAGCATTTTCAGCCAAATTTCTAGAAAATCTCAAAAATTTGGAGCATTTTAGGCCAAAAATCTCAAATTTCCCGCCAAATTTCTAGAAAATCTCAAAAATTTGGAGCATTTTCAGCCAAATTTCTAGAGAATCTCAAAAATTTGAAGCATTTTAAGCCAAATTTCTAGAAAATCTCAAAAATTTGGAGCATTTTCAGCCAAATTTCTAGAAAATCTCGAAAATTTGGAGCATTTTCAGCCAAATTTTTAGAAAATCTCAAAAATTTGAAGCATTTTAAGCCAAATTTCTAGAAAATCTCAAAAATTTGATGCATTTTAAGCCAAATTTCTAGAAAATCTCAAAAAATTGGAGCATTTTTACCCAAATTTCTAGAAAATCTCGAAAATTTGGAGCATTTTCAGCCAAATTTCTAGAAAATCTCAAAAATTTGAAGCATTTTCAGCCAAATTTCTAGAAAATCTCAAAAATTTGGAGCATTTTAAGCCAAATTTCTAGAAAATCTCGAAAATTTGATGCATTTTAAGCCAAATTTCTAGAAAATCTCAAAAAATTGGAGCATTTTTACCCAAATTTCTAGAAAATCTCGAAAATTTGGAGCATTTTTACCCAAATTTCTAGAAAATCTCAAAAATTTGGAGCATTTTCAGCCAAATTTCTAGAAAATCTCAAAAATTTGAAGCATTTTAAGCCAAATTTCTAGAAAATCTCAAAAATTTGGAGCATTTTCAGCCAAATTTCCAGAAAATCTCAAAAAATTGGAGCATTTTCAGCCAAATTTCTAGAAAATCTCAAAAAATTGGTGCATTTTCAGCCAAATTTCTAGAAAATCTCAAAAAATTGGAGCATTTTCAGCCAAATTTCCAGAATATCTCGAAAATTTGAAGCATTTTCAGCCAAATTTCTAGAAAATCTCTAAAAATTGGAGCATTTTAAGCCAAAAATTCAAATTTCCCGTCAAAAATCGACCTACAGTACTCCAAAAAATTTCCAGCACTTCCCAACTTTCATTCACAACAAAGGAAAAGCAAATTATGGTCCCTTCATAGTCGAAGTCATGAATTATCATCAATATCCAGCTATGACGTCACATATGGTGAAAGTTATGAAACGGGTTAGTTCTCTGCACTCTCTTCATTTTATATTGTCTCTCTTCTGGAATTTTTTTTTACTGTTTCAAAATGTAAGAGACAACCAAAACCGATGGCCATCTTTTCACCGATATTTTCTCCTCCTCCAAAAAAGCGCGCATGGCTCAGTGACAGGTGGCTGCGCCGGCAGTCGCGGCACCCGGGTTCGAGTTTTGGTGCGGGCGAACTTTTTTATTTTTTTTCATCGGTTTTGGTTGTCGACGTGGCTGGTAAAAATAACGCTTTTTATGTGTTAAAAAAATTCGAGTGCAGATTGATCCGCCAAACGCGCGTTCACCATCATCTTCGGCCAAAATTCCGAGCCTGGCCGGTGTTCCCGGATATCAGGAACGTCCCGATGTGGCGCCCGGTCAATCGTTCCGCTTCAAACCGCAATATCGCGGCAAGTTTGCGCGCGAAAAAGAGGGTGCGGAAGCGGAAGGAGGCGGAGACGCGGAAAATGAGGAGGATTTCGAAGAGGAAACACCGATCTTGTATATTTCGGATGGAAAAGATCCGACGACGAGAAAATCGAATTTGAAGCGAAGAAAATCGGTGGATCCATATCGAGAGGTTCTTTGAAGATGTGTTTTGGAACAAACCTTTGTCAAATTTTCCCGGAAATGATTTTTTTTTTTTTTTTGGCTTGATTCTTTCTTGGTTATGTGGCGTTTTTGAGAGGGGTACTGTAGTTTTAATGGCGCCAAAAATTTGGATTTGAATTTTTGCCATGTGTTTTTTTTTTTTGAAACAGTGAAAAATTTCTGACAATTTTTTTTTAGAAAAATCTGTAAATTCCAATTTTTAATGAGAAGAATATGAAAGCAATATTAAAAAATTTGAAATTTTTTTAAATTATCGATTTTTTGAAACAGTGAAAAATTTGAAATTTTCAGAAATTTTTCAAAAAAAATTTTGACAAAATGAAATTTTTGAAACAGTGAAAAATTTCTGAAATTTTTTTTTTAGAAAAATCTGTAAATTCCAATTTTTGATGAAATTTTGAAAAATTCCAACATTTTCAAGGTCATCCAATTTTTGAAACAGTGAAAAATTTGAAATTTTCAGAAATTTTTCAAAAAAAATTTAGGGAAAAATTGAAATCGTGGATTTAAAAAAAAATTTTGAAACAGTGAAAAATTTCTGAAATTTTTTTTTTCTAGAAAAATCTGTAAATTCAAATTTTTAATGAGAATCAATATATCGATTTTTTGAAACAGTGAAAAATTTGAAATGTTCAGAAATTTTTCAAAAAAAATTTTGACAAATCGTGGATTTTTTAATGAAATTTTTGAAACAGTGAATTTTTTTTTCGCAAAACGAAATAATTTTTTGCTCCAAAAAATTATCGAATTTTTGAAACAGTGAGATTTTTCTAATATTTTTTACTTTGGAAAAAAAATTCAAAATTTTCAAGGTTGTCCAATTTTCGAAACAGTGAAAAGTTTGAAATTTTCAGAAATTTTTCAAAAAAAATTTTGACAAATCGTGGATTTTTTAATCAATTTTTTGAAACAGTGAAATTTTTCTAATTTTTTTTACTTTGAAATTTGAAACTTTTTATTTTCCAGCAAAAATTTCAGAATTTTCAAGGTTATTCAATTTTTGAAACAGTGAAAAATTGAAATTTTCAGAAATTTTTCAAAAAAAAATTTTTTCAAAGATTGAAATCGTGGATTTTTTAATCAATTTTTTGAAACAGTAAATTTTTTTTTAAAAAAAAAATCAAAATTCAAAAAAATAAACTACAGTACCTCTCTCAAGTCCAAAAAAATATTTCTTTCTGGAAAACTTGTTCAAAACTTTTCTGTGTCCAAAATCTACAGTAGTCCAATTTATTGATTGATTTATTGACTATGTTCCTTTAATTGCAGCCCCACCAGGTTCCACCAATGAAAGTCGATCCAAAGGGTGAGGGGGTGTCGAAATTAGTGAGTTGAATCTCTGTAAGAATCTGTGAAACATTTTTGAAAAAATAACCCGCGTCTAGATTTCATATTTGGTTGGTTTTTTGGTGGTTTTTTCATTTCTTCTTTCTTCTCTCAACTTTTTTTGTGAGCTTTTTCTTGAGTTGGATTATTAGGGTTTTTTTTTGGTGGGGGGAATTTGGGGAGGAATTTTTCACTGTTTCAAAAATTTATGAAAAAAAAATTTGAAACCAAGAATTTTCAGTAAAAATATTCATTTATATTGCCTAAAAAATTTCGAACCTTGGAATTTGAAAATAAATTACTGTTTCAAAATTTAATTTAATGCATTTTTAATATTTTTTTCCTGTTCAATAATATAATTTCCAAAATTTTCACTGTTTCAAAATTTGGTTGTAAAAATTTTCTATGAAATTTTTTTTATTGAATGGTCCATATTAAAAACAAAAAAAAGTTGACTGTTTCAAAAATGTGTAATAAAATTGTTTTCATTCGATATTTCCTGAAAATGTGGTTTTTTACTGTTTCAAAATTTCATCATAAAAAATTCCATAGATTTTTTGTCAATCCTTCTTATGCTTCCTGGAGTTTTAAAAATTCAGAACCAAATTTTATTCCCAAAATTTTCACTGTTTCAAAATTTTATTTTATTTAATTTTTTTTTTGAAACTTTAGTGCGTATATTTCAAAAATAATTTTAAAAAATTCACTGTTTCAAAATTTTATTTTTAAAAATTTTTAATATTTTTTTCCTGTTCAACAAAATTATTTCCAAAATTTTCACTGTTTCAAAATTTCATCATAAAAAATTCCATACATTTTTTGTCAATTCTTCTTATGCTTCCCACAATTTTAAAAATTCCGAACCAAATTTTATTCCCAAAAATTCACTGTTTCAAAATTTTATTTAATTTTTATTTTTATTTTTTTGAAACTTTAGTGCGTATATTTCAAGAATAATTTTCAGAAATTCACTGTTTCAAAATTTGATTTTAAAAATTTCCAATTTTTTTTCCTGATCGTTCAAAAATTCAAAAAAATGCCCAAAAATTTTCACTGTTTCAAAAAATGCCCAAATTCCCCCCCCCCCCCCAAAAAAAACCAAAAATCCAAAAAGCTTGCAGTGTTGAACCTGGTGGGGTAATGTAATCAATAAAATCATCTCTCTCTCTCTAATTTTTGCTGGCGGAAAAATTATTTTTCAAAAAGTCAATGTGTGTAGTTTGGTCCTTGTCAGGAAAATTGTCTCTAGTTTGGTCCCGTCCACGTGTTTTGTTTTTTTTTGTGTATTTTCAGAAAGGCGCGGCTGACATCAAACGACTTTTGAATATTCGTCGAGAAAAAGCGGATTTGCAAAAAGAAACGACTAAACAAATTCAAAAATTGGTACAATTCCTGAACTTGTGTTAGCCTAACTTAACTTAACTTATCCTAACTCACTTTCTTTTCCTTCTGAATCTCTCTGTCTCTTAAAATGTCCAAGCTAACTGTTTTCAAAATTTTTCATAAAATTTCGAGAGAAAATTTGATTTTTTTTGCAGACTTTCATGATCAGCGATATAATGGCAAGTGGCTCACAAAATCAACAAATTGATGCGGAAGTTCGGATATGTTGTGTTATTCAGGTGGGGAAATTTTGGGCGGGAAATATTTTTTTTGAAAATTTAAAATTCACTGTTTCAAAATTGTTATTAGAAAATTTTCAGCTATTCTATGAAATTTTTAAACTAAATTTTTTTTCCAAGAAAAAAATTCACTGTTTCAAAATTTCTTTATGATTTTTGAAGGTCTCCGGGAGTCTAATAAGAAATCAAATCATTTCAGAATTACAAGGAAAAAAATTCACTGTTTCAAAAATTTCATTAAAATTTTCAAGTCTTCAGGAAAATTCGATTATTTTCTCTCTCTCGACGATGAAAAAATCACTGTTTCAAAATTTTCTTTGGTTTTTTTTCATTTAAAAATTAATATCATGCTAAAATGTTGGAAAATCAAAAAAAAATCGGAAATTTTCTCAACAAGAAAAATTTACTGTTTCAAAAATTTCATTAAAATTTTCAGATTTTTACGTAATTTGATAGGCTATCCATAAATACCATGAAAAATTTCAACAAAAAAAAGTTAGAAATTTTTTTTTCGAGAAATCACTGTTTCAAAATTTTCTTTAATTTTTGGGATTTTCACGTAATTTGATTCGGTTCCGCATTCCATTAAATAGAAAATTTCAACAAAAAAAGTTAGAAACTTTTTTTCGAAAAATTTGCTGTTTCAAAATTTCTTTAAATTCTTTGAAGGCTTCCAGATATTTGTTAGATGATCTGAAAAATTCCAAAAAAAAAAAAAATGAAAAACTTTAAGTTTTCTCAAATCCAAAAATTCACTGTTTCAAAATTTCTTTATGATTTTTGAAGGTTCCGGGAATTTGATGAACCAAGGAAAAAAAATTCAAGGAAAAAATTCACTGTTTCAAAAAATTGAGAAATTGTTTCATTTTCTTGAAATTTTCAGTGCAACGGAGTCAAGGCCAAAAATTCACTGTTTCAAAAATTTCATTAAATTTTTTAAAGCTTCAGGAAAATTCTACAAATAAAAATTCACTGTTTCAAAATTTTTTATGGTTTTTTTTCAAGTTCTGAGCTAATTTGATATGCTTACACTCCAAGGAAAAAAATTTAAAATTTAATTTCACGCTCAAAAAAATTTACTGTTTCAAAATTTTTTTAATGATTTTTGAAGGTTCGGGAAAATTCGATTATGCTCTCCACGCTGAAAAATTCACTGTTTCAAAAATTTCATTAAAATTTTCAGATTTTCACGTAATTTGATTCGGCTTTCATAAAAAATTTAAGAAAAAACAAAAAAAAAAATTTTTTTTTCGAAAAATTTGCTGTTTCAAAATTTTTTTGAAGATTTTTGAGATCTTCATGCTATTTGATAATTTACAAAATGAATCAAATAGAAGCTTAAATTTTAAAAATTTCATCTTCCGAAAATCAATTTGTCAAAAAACAAGTCACAAATTTAAAAATTTAAAAATTCACTGTTTCAAAATTTTCTGTGGTTTTTTTTCATTTAAAAATTAATTTCACGCTCAAATTTTGATAAAGCAAAAAAAATCGAAAATTTTCTAAACAAAAAAATTTACTGTTTCAAAATTCCTTTAAATTCTTTGAAAGCTTCCAGCTAAAATTCCGAAAAAAAATTTGCACAAAAAATTCACTGTTTCAAAATTTTCATTAAAATTCTCAGATTTTCACGTAATTTGATTCGGCTCCTCATTCAATGAAAAATATCAACAAAGAAACGATAAAATTTTTTTTTTCAAAAAATCACTGTTTCAAAATTTTCTTTAATTCTCGAGATGTTTACGCAATTTGATAAGCATCCCCATACCATACAAAATTTCAACAAAAAAAAACGATAAAAATATTTTTTTCACAAAAAAATCACTGTTTCAAAAATTTCATTAAAATTTTCAGATTTTTACGTAATTTGATACGGCTACCCATAAATACCATTAGAAAATTTCAACAAAAAAAAAACGAAAAAAAATTTTCGCTCTAAAAAATCACTGTTTCAAAATTTCCACTAATTATTTCAAGTCTCCAAAAAACTTGATAATGGGAAAAAATTCAAAAATTAAAAATTTTCAGGTTCGAATGTGGCCAATCGAAAACAAAGTTCCACTTTCAACAACCGGTCTAATCGATGTCATAAAAATGGCAAGAAGTTGGCGAAAAAGGGCGCCAGATCGTCCAGAAACCAAGCCAACTATTGTTATGTCACAGTAAGTTATCTCTCTCTCTCTCTTAAAATTCCTCTGAAAATCCCCGATTTTTTTTTCCAGCAATGGTGTTTCTCGTGTTGGTGTCTATATTGGTGCAAATATTTGCATCGATCAAATGAACATTGATCACGAAGTTGATGTATTTCACGCGGTTAAAATGATGCGAATCAATCGGCCACAATTAATCGATATGAAGGTAGGATTAGACCTTTCAAATGGTTTTCGAATTTTTGAAATTGCTTCATTTTAAGCCAAGTTATGATAAATCAAAGTTTCCCTTGCAAAAAAATTTTTTTTTGAAAATAAAAAAAAACCCTCTCTCTCTTTCTCTGCGTCTCTTCACACCGCGCCACTCGCCGCAGTCCCGTTTGAATGTCGGCGATAAAATTTATTGAAAAGGGGGAAGGTGTTGGGATTTCTTTGGTTTACACCCTATTACTCAAGGTAATTTGAGGTTTCGACCATTTGAAAGAATGTGTTGAAAGGAGATTCAATTTTTGGATCATATCTAGCTTCTTCGGGGTATCCGGAGGGGTAAAAAAAAGGCAAAAATTCGTGATTTTGCAGGACGAATATAAATATTTGTATGATGTGATGTTACATTGGTACATGTGCAATCCAGAATATCGCATTTATGACAAAAAGAGGATAGCGAAGAGGCGGAATCCATCAAAACATCACGTCCTTCTTCAAATCGACATTCACTCAAAGAAAAATCATCTTTCAAGGTAGATTTTGAGCTAAAATTCGAGATTTTTGCTGAATTTTGAGCCTAAATGGGTTGTTTTTCCAGAGCAAATTCTCATTCCGTCGAAAAAACACCACCAAATCTCCACCGCTTCCAATTGGCGCCAATTCAAATCATCAAGAAATCAACAATCATCACAACAAATCCTAGGAATTTTCCCCAAATTCAAATTTCCCGCGGGTTTTTCTCATCGGGTTTTTTCCAGTTTTTTGAAAACATTGCTCAGTTTACATATCACTGAAAATTTTAATAATGTGCCTTTAAATTTTTTTCTCTCTCAATTTTCATCCAAAACTGCCCAATAATTTCTCGATTTTTCACTTTTTCCTCGTTTTGATTTTCAGCATTTTCAGCATTCTCTGTGATTTTTATGATAAATTACATTTATTTTGAAATTAATTGGCTAATTAATTAATTAATTAATTAAAATTGGTCGAGATTTTGCGTAGAAATTGTCTCGTGATAAATAGCAGCCACACATTCGTCGATAGCCCTGAAAAAATGGGAAGATGGCCTAGAATTTGAGGGGAGGTGGCCTAGGATCCGACAAGATGGTTTTCTAGGCCATGGAATCTTATTCGCGTGGCTTTTGGGCGAAATCCGGGTGAATTTTGGAGAAAAATTTGAAGGTGGCCTAGGATCCGACAAGATGGTTTTCTAGGCCATGAAACCTTATTCGCTAGGCTTTTTGGCGAAATCCGGGTGAATTTTGAATAAAATTGATGGTGGCCTAGGATCCGACAATCGGTTTTCTAGGCCATGGATTTTGTCAGAGGGAAAATGATAGATTTCAGGTAAAAACTAGGTTTTTTGTGAAAAATTTGAATTTTTGTGAGAAATTTTAGCGTGGCCTAGGATCCGACAAGCGGTTTTCTAGGCCATGGAATCTTATTCGCTTGGCTTTTAGGCGAAATCCGGGTGAATTTTGGAGAAAAATTGTTGGTGGCCTAGGATCCGACAGGATGATTTTCTAGGCCATGGATTTTGTCAGAGGGAAAATGATAGGTTTCAGGTGAAAACTAGATTTTATTGGAAAAATTTGGAGGTGGCCTAGAAACCGACAGATGGTTTTCTAGGCCATCGATTTATTTTGAGCTGGAAAATCAGGGAATTCAGGCGAAATCTAGATTTTTTGTGAAAAATTTGAATTTTGAAAAAATTTTGAAGGTGGCCTAGAATCCGACAAGATGATTTTCTAGGCCACCAGTTTATTTTGAGCTGGAAAATCAGGGAATTCAGGCGAAATCTAGATTTTTTGTAAAAAATTTGAATTTTTGGGAAAAATTTGGAGGTGGCCTAGAAACCGACAGATGGTTTTCTAGGCCATGGATTTTGTCAGAGGGAAAATGATAGATTTCAGGTGAAAACTAGGTTTTTAGTGAGAAATTTTAGCGTGGCCTAGAAACCCACAAGCGGTTTTCTAGGCCATGGATTTTGTCAGAGGGAATTTCTAACAAAAACCTTAAGGTTCACAAAAACCTTAAGGTTGTTGTGAAAAATTTGAATTTTTGGGAAAAATTTTAGCGTGGCCTAGAATCCGACAAGTGGTTTTCTAGGCCATGGACTTTGTCAGAGGGAAAATGATAGGATTCAGGCGAAATTCAGAAAAAAGGTTTTTCGTTGGAAATTTGAATTTTGGAGAAAAATTGTTGGTGGCCTAGGATCCGACAGGGTGATTTTCTAGGCCATCGATTTATTTTGAGCGGTGCCAAATTTTGAACAAAGTTATCCTAATATATGGTCAAAACTTCCATTAAAAATTTAAAAAATTGAAAATTTTTATGAAAATTTTGAAACAGTGAATTTTTGAAAATTCAATTTTTTTTAGTTTTTCAGCTCAAAATTTCAAAATTTCTCCCAAAATCCTCCAAAATCACCTCAAATCCAGTTCTCGAATGCAAAACTCGAAAATTGTCGATGAAAATCACCATTCCAGGTTGCAATTTGATACTAATCGAATATTTCGAATCATGGCATAATCTCGAAAATGCTTCATAAGCTTCGTAGAATTTGAGCACCGAAATCGCGTCTTTTTTCGATGAGGAGAGCATTTTTAAAGGTGCACGGTCATATGGATTGAATCTGGAAGAAGAAAATATTGATTTTTATGAAGGGGAGGTTTTTTTGAGATTCGGACACGGGCTTATTTTTGAACTATTTTCAAGAACGAGAAAAATTTTCATGGATTTTTTGAAACAGTGAAAAATTTTATTGAGATTCAATGAATTATGGATTCTTTATTCGACTAATTTTCAAAAAAGAAACAAATTTTATTTTAAAAATATTTGAAACAGTGAATTTTTTTAGATCTGAATTTCAGAATTTCTAAAGGATTTCTACATTTTTCTGGAAAATTTCATTTGAAAATTCATCAAATTATGTAAGCAACAATTTTTAAAAACGAACACAATTTCATGATTTTTTTGAAACAGTGAAAATTATTGAGATTTGCAGATTTTTCTAGAAATTTTGAAGAAATATTGAAAACCAATATCAATTTTCAAAATTAAGACAATATTTCAATGAATTTTTGAAACAGTGAAAAATTTTGTAAAATTCAGACCTCAAGTTTTTTCTCTGAAATTTTTGATGCCAACAATTTAAAAAAAAACAAAAAATTTCCCATTGAATTTTTGAAACAGTGAAAAATTTTGTAAACAAATTTTCGGATAATAAAAATCTCACAATCAAATTGAATCAATGATAAAATTTTTAATGAAAATTTTGAAACAGTGAGATTCTGAACAAAATTTCATATTATTTTTTCTAGGTTTCTTCTCTGAAAATTCTGATTTTCTGGAAACTTATCAGTTTTCAATCAATTTCTATGATTATATGTCCAATTATCCTACCATCATTTTTCAAAATTAAGAAAATATTTCATTGAATTTTTGAATTTTTAAAGGATTTCTACATTTTCCGGAAATTTTCATTTGAAGAATCATCAAATTATATAAGCAACAATTTTTCAAAATTAAGAAAATATCTTATTAAATTTTTGAAACAGTGAAAAATTTGTGCAAAATTTCAGAATATTTTTAGGTTTCTTGTCTGAAAATTCTGATTTTCTGGAAATTTATCAGTTTTTGTCCAATCATAGCCCAATTCCTTCGAAATTAAGACAATAATTCATTGAATTTTTGAAACAGTGAAAAATTTTGTAAAATTCAGAACCAAAGAAAGGTTTTTTCTCTGAAATTTTTGATGCCAACAATTTAAAAAAAACAAAAAATTTTCCATTGAATTTTTGAAACAGTGAAAAATTATGTCAACAAATTTCGGATTAAAAAAATCGTACTATGATTAAATAAAATTTTTAATCAAGAATTTTAATGAACATTTTGAAACAGTGAGATTCTGAGTGATTAAAAAAAAGAAATTTGTGCAAAATTTCATATTATTTTTAAATTTCTTGTCTGAAAATTTTTGATTTTCTGGAAATTTATCAGTTTTCAATTAGTTCCTATAAATAGATGTAAAAAAATTATCATACCGGAAATTTTCAAAATTAAGAAAATATTTCATTAAATTTTTGAAACAGTGAAAAATTATGTGAAATTTAGAACCAAAAGGTTTTTTCTCTGAAAATTCTGATTTTCTGGAAATTTATCAGCTTTCAATCAATTTCTATGAATATATGTCCAATTATCCTACAATCATTTTTCAAAATTAAGAAAATATTTCATTGAATTTTTGAAACAGTGAATTTTTTTAGATCTGAATTTCTGAATTTTTAAAGAATTTCTACATTTTTCCGGAAAATTTTATTTGAAGATTCATCATTTTTTTTGAAACAGTGAAAATTAATTTTGTATGGATTTTTATTGAGATTTACAGATTTTTCTAGAAAATTTGAATATTTATCGAAAAATAAAAATTTTAAAATTTTTAATCAAGATTTTTAATGAAAATTTTGAAACAGTGAGATTCTTAGGTTTTTTCTCTGAAAATTCTGATTTTCTGGAAATTTATGATTTTTTGTCCAATAATTTTTTCAAAATTAAGAAAATATTTCAATGAATTTTTGAAACAGTGAAAAAATATGTCAACAAATTTCGGATAAAAAAATCGTACAGTGAATAATAAATTTTTTATTCAAGATTTTTAATGAAAATTTTGAAACAGTGAGATTCTTGATTATTTTTAGGTTTTTTCTCTGAAAATTCTGATTTTCTGGAAATTTATCAGTTTTCAATCAATTTCTATGAATATATGTCCAATTATCCTACAATCATTTTTCAAAATTCAGAAAATATTTCATTGAATTTTTGAATTTTTAAAGGATTTCTACATTTTCCGGAAATTTTCATTCGAAGAATCATCAAATTATATAAGCAACAATTTTTCAAAATTAAGACAATATTTCATTAAATTTTTGAAACAGTGAAAAATTATTTCAACAAATTTTCGGATTACAATCAACATCTCACAATCAATGATAAAATTTTTAATGAAAATTTTGAAACAGTGAGATTCTTGTGCAAAATTTCATATTATTTTTAAATTTCTTGTCTGAAAATTCTGATTTTCTGGAAATTTATCAGTTTTTGTCCAACAATTTCCAAGCTAGAATTTACAAGCTGCAAAACACCGTGCAAAAACTGTGTCGTAAAAATCACCATAATCAAATCAAAACATCTATTTTGCACAGAACATCGTGCAAAATCAAATTATCGTGCAAATTAAAAATCCAGTATAAAAGCCTCCCTGGAGACCCCAAAAATCATCGAAAAATGAAATTTCTAATCCTTCTTCTTCTAGCAATTGTTGCAGTAAATGCCTCAATTTTCGATGATGAGTAGGTTTTGAATTTTAGGCTACGACACTCCACGTTTACGTGTAAATGCGGAGTGTTGTACATAGTTTCTATTGATGTTTTATAGGTCATCTTCGTCGGAATCTTCCGAAATAAATCGAAAATCTGCGTTTGGACCAGGAAATCTACGAACAAGGCGACCAAGACCTCCAACAAGACCTCCAACAAGAACAACAAGAAGAACAACAAGAAGAACAACAAGAGGATGGCCAGATTTCCCACCAGTTACAATCAATTTCCCACCCCCAGAATATATACCACCCCCAGAGTATATACCACCACAATATCCACCACCCCAAAATCCAGATGGTTATCCATTTCCACCTGTAGATCCAAATGGAAATCCGTATCCATATGGAAAATAATTTTGGAATTTTTTTTATTTGGGTCGGCCTGGGTTTTTTGTTTTTAGAATAAAATTTTATTTGGATTATTTTTGAGCAAAAAAAATGTTTTTTTAACATCGAAAGATCAATTCACGAGTTTTTCAGCCAAAAATGATGACAAATCGATATTTTTCAAGCTTCTGGAGTAATTTCTGATGAAAATTGACATTGGAATTCACTTTCCAGAAGGTTTTGCTGATTTTTCGTGAAATAAAGCGAAATAGCGTTCTCGAAGCTTATTTTCATCAGAAATTACTCCAGAAGCTTGAAAAATATTGATTTTCAGCCAAAAATGATGACAAATCGATATTTTTCAAGGTTCTGGAGGAATTTCTTATGAAAATTGACCTTGGAATTCACTTTCCAGAAGGGTTTTGCTTTGAATTTCGAAAAAATACAGCAAAATCGGGTTCGCAAAGCACATTTTCATCAGAAATTACTCCAGAAGTTTGAAAAATATTGATTTTCAGCTAAAAATGATGACAAATCGATATTTTTCAAGCTTCTGGAGTGATTTTTGATGAAAATGAGCTCCGAGAACCATATTTCGCTTTATTTTATGCATTTTTTTACGAAAAATCAGCAAAACCTTCTGGAAAATGAATTCCAAGGTCAATTTTCATCAGAAATTACTCCAGAAGCTTGAAAAATATCGATTTTTCATCATTTTTGGCTGAAAAACTCGCAAAAACTAATTTTGACCTACGACTTTTGATCTTTCAATGTTAAAAAAAACATTTTTCAACATTTTTCCCCAAAACTCACCTAATCTGCTTGATATTTCCACTCGAATCCACCTCAATCACCGGTTTTTCCTCACTCAAACTATAAATCGATGAACCAGCCGGTGTTCCCTCCAAATAATGATGACCGATTTTGACATGGCTCAAAATCTCGAAATGCTCTTTTTTGAGATCGTTGGCACAGCGCCAAGAATCGACTAACACAGTTTTTCCGCCATTTTCAGCTGGTTGTAGACAGTGAAACACTTGAATTCCTGGAGTTTGGTCGAAATATGTGCCGTCTGTGTGTGGACCAATTCCATCATTTCCATAGGCGGTGTCTTCGTAGGCTGGTTCGTCCTGAAATATTTTTTTTTTGGAAATTTTGAAACAGTGAAAAATGAAGTGAAATTGAAATTAAACCCTTGAAAATTTTATTATGATAATTTTGAAACAGTGAATTTTTCAAGAAAAATTTTGAAACTTTCAGAATTTGTTTGAAAGTACCTCAAAATTTCTTTTGAAAATTATATAATTTTTTTGAAACAGTGAATTTTTGATACTCAAAACGACAATGCAATATTTTGAAAATTTTAAAAATCATTTTATCAAATTTTTGAAACAGCAAATTTTTGTTGAACAAAAAATACTGACAAAATTAGAGTATTTTAAGATTTCAAGAAAATTGAAGCCGAGAAATTCTGCAAATTTTTTTTTCAGTTCGAAAATTTGGATAAATTTCTTGAATAAAATACAAATATATATTTTGAAACAGTGAATTTTCTCGCTTTTTACAACAATTTTATTTTTTGTGAGAACATTTATTGTTAGTATCATTGAAAATAATATTTTCTTAAATTTTATTATGAAAACTTTGAAACAGTGAATTTTTCAAGGACATTAAAAATTTAAAAATCATAAATATTTCGTTCTGCAAGCTTATCAATCTCAAAATTTCTTTTGAAAATTATATAATTTTTTTGAAACAGTGAATTTTTAATTCGTGAACCGACATAGCAATATTTTGAAAATTAAAAGAAATCTTCTATCAATTTTTTGAAACAGCAAATTTTTGTTGAACAAAAAGACACTTTTTAATGAAAATTAAAGCCGAGAAATTCTGCAAATTTGTTTTCAGTTTGAAAATTTGGATGAGCTTGTTCCATCTAATTAGCAAAAATTTCTTGAATAAAATACAAATATTTTTTTTGAAACAGTGAATTTTCTCGCTTTTCCAAATAAAACAAGAACAGAAATTGAAAACTTTGGCAGAATAACAATTTTAATGATTGAAAATACAATTTTTTTAAAAATTGTAAATGGAAACTTTGAAACAGTGAATTTTTCAAGGACATAAAAAAATTCGAAAATCATAAATATTGAAAACTGCGAGAGGTTTTGATCTCAAAATTGCTTTTAAAAATTATATTTTTTTTTTGAAACAGGGAATTTTTGATACTCAAAACGACAATGCAATATTTTGAAAATTTTAAAAATCATTTTATCAAATTTTTGAAACAGCAAATTTTTGTTGAACAAAAAGACACTTTTTAATGAAAATTAAATTGAAGCCGAGAAATTCTGCAAATTTGTTTTCAGTTTGAAAATTTGGATGAGCTTGTTCCATCTAATTAGCAAAAATTTCTTGAATAAAATACAAATATTTTTTTGAAACAGTGAATTTTCTCGCTTTTTTACAACAATTTTATTTTTTTGTAAAGAGAACAATAAAATAAAATTTTCTTAAATTCTTTATGAAAACTTTGAAACAGTGAATTTTTCAAGAAAAATTTTGAAACTTTCAGAATTTGTTTTGCAAGTATCTCAAAATTTCTTTTAAAAATTATATTATTTTTTGAAACAGGGAATTTTTGATTCTTAAAACGAAAATGCAATATTTTGAAAATTAAAAAGAAATCTTCTATCAAATTTTTGAAACAGCATATTTTTTGTTGAACAAAAGACACTTTTTTTAATGACAAAATTAGAGAATTTCAAGATTTCAAGAAAATTGAAGCCGAGAAATTCTGCAAATGTGTTTTCAGTTTGAAAATTTGCTCCATCTAATTAGCAAAAAAATTCTTGAATAAAATACAAATATTTTTTGAAACAGTGAATTTTTGATACTCAAAACGACAATGCAATATTTTGAAAATTTTAAAAATCCTTCTATCAAATTTTTTGAAACAGCAAATTTTTGTTGAACAAAAGACACTTTTTAATGAAAATTGAAGCCTAGAAATTCTGCAAATTTTTTTTCAGTTTGAAAATTTGGATAAATTTCTTGAATAAAATACAAATATTTTTTGAAACAGTGAATTTTTCTCGCTTTTTACAACAATTTTATTTTTTGTGAGAAAAAAATATGGTGTATGATTGAAAATAAAATTTTCTTAAATTTTATTATGATAATTTTGAAACAGTGAATTTTTCAAGGACATAAAAAATTTAAAAATCATCTCAAAATTTTTTTTAAAATTACATTATTTTTTGAAACAGGGAATTTTTGATTCGTGATTCGACCTTGCAATATTTTAAAAATTTAAAAAATCCTTCTATCAAATTTTTGAAACAGCAAATTTTTGTTGAACAAAAGTCACTTTTCAATGAAAATTGAAGCCGAGAAATTCTGCAAATTTTTTTTCAGTTTGAAAATTTGGATGAACTTGTTCCATCTAATTAGCAAAAATTTCTTGAATAAAACACAAATATATTTTGAAACAATTTTTCTCGCTTTTTACAACAATTTTATTTTTTGTAAAGAGAACAATAAAATAAAATTTTCTTAAATTCTTTATGAAAACTTTGAAACAGTGAATTTTTCAAGAAAAAATTTGAAACTTTCAGAATTTGTTTGAAAGTACCTCAAAATTTCTTTTGAAAATTATATAATTTTTTTGAAACAGTGAATTTTTAATTCGTGAACCTACATTTCAATATTTTGTAAATTTTTAAAATCCTTCTATCAAATTTTTGAAACAGTAAATTTTTTGTTGAACAAAAAAACATAATTTCATTTTAGAGTACAGGGTGACCAGAAATTATCCGTGCAAACTAAACGGGTCATAAAAACTTCAAAATTGGATATTTTTCAAAGAAATTTTTTGTTAACAATAATAAATGCATAATAATTCCAAAATTATCACGAATGTTGATTTTAGGATTTTTTCAGGGCTTTCTGGGCCTTAAACCAGATTTCTAAAATAGTGAGAAAGGCCGCGTGGAGTTTTGACTTTGTTTAGTACGTGGAAAACTCCAATTGTATTTTGACAACTATGAAATGAGTAAGATAACTTCTAATGATGTTATTTTTCAAAAATTACCACTCCAAGTAACCTTGCGGCCTGAGATTCGATGAGCTTCAGAGGCCCAAATAAATTGAAAAAAAAAGAAAAATTTTTTTTCGCGAAAGTAAATTTTTGGTTTTGGTCCAAATGTTAGGTCTTCATCAGCTTTAATGGTCTTATGAATATTTTTAAGTTAAATCAGACTGAGAAAACATGAAAATGTTCAAATATGATTGTTTGTTGTGAATCGTTGTTGGTTTTGACACTTTTATCAGTAAAAAACAAGGGGCCGAGGGAGTCATGACCGCCCAAACCATCCCCAAAGTCGGAAAATTTAATTTCATTTTGGCAAAGGCAGAAGAAGTCGTCTAAGATCCTTTTAGGAACAAGTGAAAATAGTTTTGAGAATGTACACAGTTGTTGAAGCGAAAAATGGGGCAACATTGTTAACACCACTAGCCGCGGCTCTTTGCCCAATTTTTGACACATCAACATCAGACGCTCAAGGTCCAAGTAAGATTTCAATTTGATCACGATTTTTTGTGATAATTTTAAAATAGTTATCTATTGATTGGTGCTCAATCAAAAAATTTGTGGAAAATATCATGTTTTTAAATATTTTACGGCCGGTTGAGTTTGCACGGATAATTTCTGGTCACCCTGTATTTTGAGATTTCAAGAAAATTGAAGCCCAGAAATTCTGCAAATTTTTTTTAAGTTTGAAAATTTGGATAAATTTCTTGAATAAAATACAAATATTTTTTTTGAAACAGTGAATTTTTCTCGCTTTTTACAACAATTTTATTTTGTTTGAGAAAAAAATATGGTGTATGATTGAAAATAAAATTTTCTTAAATTGTATATGAAATTTTTGAAACAGTGAATTTTTCAAGGACATAAAACATTTAAAAATCATCTCAAAATTTCTTTCAAAAATTATATAATTTTTTTGAAACAGGGAATTTTTGATTCGTGATTCGACCTTGCAATATCTTAAAAATTAAAAAAAAATCTTCTATTAAATTTTTTGAAACAGCAAATTTTTGTTGAAAAAAAAAATACTGACAAAATTAGAGAAGTTCAAGATTTCAAGAAAATTGAAGCCGAGAAATTCTGCAAATTTTTTTTTCAGTTTGAAACTTCTCCATCTGATTAGCAATAATTTCTTGAATAAAATACAAATATTTTTTTTGAAACAGTGAATTTTCTCAATTTTCCAGATAAAATAAGAACAGAAAATGCAAACTTTTGGAGAACAACAATTTTATTTTTTGTGAACAAATTGTGAAGAGATTGAAAATAAAATTTTCTTAAATTGTATATGAAAATTTTGAAACAGTGAATTGTTCAAGAAAAATTTTGAAACTTTCAGAATTTGTTTTGCAAGTATCTCAAAATTTCTTTTAAAAATTATATAATTTTTTCTTGAAACAGGGAATTTTTAATTGGTAAAATGACAGTGAAATATTTTGAAAATTAAAAGAAATCTTCTATGAAATTTTTGAAACAGCATATTTTTTGTTGAACAAAAGACACAGACAAAATTAGATTATTTTGAGATTTCAAGCCGAGAAATTCTGCAAAATTGATTTTTTTTTCAGTTTGAAAATTTGGATAAATTTCTTGAATAAAATACAAATATTTTTTGAAACAGTGATTTTTTTCAATTTTCCAAATAAAATAAGAATAGAAAATGCAAACTTTGGAAGAACAACAATTTTATTTTTTGTGAAAAATGTGAAGTTAAATTGAAATTAAAATCTTGAAAATTGTATATGAAAATTTTGAAACAGTGAATTTTTCAAGGATATAAAAAATTTAAAAATCATAAATATTGAAAACTGCGAGAAGTTTTGATCTCAAAATTTCTTTTAAAAATTATATAATTTTTTTGAAACGTTGAATTTTTAATTCGTGAACCGACATAGCAATAATTTGAAAATTTAAAAAATCCTTCTATCAAATTTTTGAAACAGCATATTTTTTATTGAACAAAAGACACAGAAAATTGAAGCCGAGAAATTCTGCAATTTTTTTTCAGCTTGAAAATTTGAATAAAATACAAATATTTTTTAAAACACAAAATTTTCCCTCTAAAATCTAACTCACTTTAGTCGCACTGTTACTAAACGTCCAAAACTGCCCAAAAAACGTGTCATGAACCGGAACAAGACTTTTACAAAGTTCCTCCGTTGCTTCAGCCGTCTCTTTCACATTTTCCACAATAACCACTCCAAATCTAGCCAAATTTCTCGCAAAATCCCTAAACTCCAGACCGATTTTTGAGATTTTCGGTATATTTTTCAGAGTTTTCGAATCCCAAAGTTCTACATATCCAGAAGATTGCGGTTTAGTTCCCTTTAAAGCTCTCTCGATCAAATTATCAACTTCAAAAATCGATTCATGTCCATCTTTCCATTTGACAGTTATCGAATCCTGCGAATTTTTCACATTTTCCACCGCACTCTTCGAAAATATCTGCGTCCCGTTGGCTTTTCGTTGATGAGTTGGCAAATTGTAGCATTTCTCCGATTGACAATGATCCCTGAGCCAAACGAGCGGAAGAATCAGCGATTTTTGACGAGGTCCGCAAGAGCCCAGCGGAATTGCGGATTTTGGATGATAACTCAGCTCGATTGCATCATTTTTATTCAAGATTGTGCGAAATTCGATGGTGGTGATGAATGTTGAAGCGTAGCGACGGGAAAACATTCTGGAAAATGGAGAAAATTGGGTAAAATTAGTGGAATGATAAGAAAATCGTTTTTTTATTGATAAGAAACATATTTTTTGCATCATACATACATACATAAACAAAAAAGATCAAGGAACGTGAAATTGTCAAAACTTACGTGAAATCTGTTCATTTTCGCTTATTTTCAGCTTCAAATTGATGTACACGTGTCGAAAACAAAAAAAAAGAAAAAAATTTCATCGCCACACAAAAGTATACGGTATGTAAAGGCGCAGCATGTTTTGTTTCAGGGTCTCGCAGCGATTTCAGTGATTTTCAGCACTTCCCGATGTTTTTCAAAAAAATGAGCTGAAATTCGAATTCACCAGTTTTTTCTTGATTTTTAGAGCCCAAGAAACTCCCCAAAAGCGATATTTTCTTACGGTACTCTTGAAGGCGCACAACTCTATACACCTGGGTCTCGCAGCGATCCACATTTTTACTTTTATTTTTTCGCAAAATTTTTCCATTTTTTTCATTTTCAACACAGTTTTTCCACTCTAAAAGCCTAGCAAAGATGAAATTATCTCTGCAAACATCAAACATCCACAAATGTCATCATTTTGTGTACGTGCAAAATGTAAAAATATTCAAGAGACATGCGCTTACGTGACTTCTAGCAAGTTCAAAATTTCCTCCTCCCCTCAAAAAAATGCTACTATAAAAGTGTCATTTTCTTACAAAATAAAAAAAATCGTTTATCTTTCAAACAACACTCTAGTCTAGTCAAGTTCAAAAAAACAATTTTCTCTCTCACTCTCTTTCTCTGCGTCTCTCACCTCTCCTTTTCTCTTTTTCTGTTTCTCTACGGGCGGTTTTCGTCGTTTTTGCACTTTTTCATGTAATTTTTGCGGATTTTCAGAAATGATTGGATGCGCGAGAAAAGCTGGAAGTTCGGGCAAGTCACTTTATCGGATAACTGTCAGAAATTTCGACCCGTTGGAGGCTAAAATGGCTCAAAAACGTGTGAGTTCTTTTGGGGGAGGTTTGGGAGAAAAATATAAAAAATGCTTGAAAATATCGATTTCCTGAGGAAATTCTGGTGAAAATCCTGTGAAATAACTGAAAATCAACACATTTTTGTCAAAAATGATGCAATTTTCATGAAAAATTCGTGAAAGTGAGAAAAGTCACGTAAAATACCGGGCTACAAAGAAATCTTATGAATTTCGCTTTTTTTGTGATTTTTCTTCTCACTGTTTCACGAAAATAATTTTATTTTCAAAGATTTTAAATTTTCAGTAAAGTACAAAATATAGAAATTTCACTGTTTCGTAATTTAAAGAAAGTAAAATCTGAATTTTTCATGCAATGATTTAAGATTATTGATATTTCAAGTAAATTTTCGAGGAACCCTTTTTCACAATAAAAAAACTGTATATTTGTATCAAAAAAATATACGTTTCAAAATGTTCTCATAAATAAAATTTTCAAAGAAATTCGTTTTAACATTTTTTCCTTCTAAAAAAAATTACTGTTTCAAAAACATGAATTCAATTGTTGAATTGTTGAATTTCCGATTTTTTGACCAATTTATATACAAAAATCAAAAAAATCTGAGGAAAAACTAAGGAAAAACTGAATATTTCAATTTTCTCATACCAAAAAAATCTACTGTTTCAAAATTTTCCCAAATTTTTTTCGAAGTATTGGTTTGATGTTATACTTCTCAAAATTGTTAGGAAAAACCAAATATTTCAATTTTTCTCGTACCAAAAAAAATCCACTGTTTCAAAATTTTCATAAATAAAATTATGGAAAATTTGCTTTCATTATGTTTCATAACTTTTACTTCCGAATAAATCTCTATGTTCTAAAAAAACTGAGTTTAAAATTTGAGTTGGTTATTTTTTCGTGTAAGTTCTTTTGGGGGTAATTTGAGGAAAAATGCTTGAAAATATCGATTTCGCAAGGAAATTCTGATGAAAAACCTGTGAAATAACTGAAAATAAACAAATTTTGGCCAAAAATGATGCAATTTTCATGAAAAATTCACTAAAAGTGAGAAAAGTCACGTAAAATACCTGGCTACAAAGAAATCTTATGAATTTCGCTTTTATTTGTGATTTTTCTTCTCACTGTTTAACGAAAATAATTTTATTTTCAAAACTTTTGAATTTTCAGTAAAAGTACAAAATATAGAAATTTCACTGTTTCGTAATTTAGAGAAAGTAAAATCTTCATTTTTCATGCAATGATTTAAGATTGTTGATATTTGAAGAATTTCAAGGAACCTTTTTTCACAATAAAAAACTGTATATTTTTGTCGAAAAATATACGTTTCAAAATGTTCTCATAAATAAAATTTTCAAAGAGTTTCGTTTTCAATATTTTTTTCAACTTTAAAAAATTTCACTGTTTCTAAAAATAAATAAAATTATTGAGTTTACTAGTTTTTCTAGTGTCCAGTTTTTCGCTATTTCCTGAAGAAAATCTACTGTTTCAAAATTTTCCCAAATTGTTTTTTTCGAAATATTAGTTTGATGTTTTTGATGTTTGTGATTCTCAAAAATCTCGTGAAAAACTAAATATTCAAATTTTTCTCATCCCTAAAAAATCCACTGTTTCAAAATTTTCATAAATAAAATTCAGGAAAACTTGGCTTGATCGATGTTTTCTACAATTAATGTTCACTGTTTCAAAAACATGAATTTCCGATTTTTAACCAAATTAACATACAAAAATCATGAAAATGTTCCAAAAATCTGAGGAAAAACTGAATGTTTCAATTTTCTCATACCAAAAAAATCTACTGTTTCAAAATGTTCTCATAAATAAAATTTTCAAAGATTTTCGTTTTGGCATCTTTTTCCTTTTGAAAAATTTCACTGTTTCAAAAAATCAATGAAATCATTGAGAGTTGAATAGTTTTTCTAGTGTGAAGTTTTGAGGTATTCCCTTAAGAAAATCTACTGTTTCAAAATTTTCATAAATAAAATCCAGAAAAACTTGGTTTGATCTGCCATCGTTACTTTTTCTAAAATAAAATTTCACTGTTTCAAAAACATGAATTCAATTGTTAAATTGTTGAATTTCCGATTTTTTGACCAATTTATATACAAAAATCAAAAAATCTGAGGAAAAACTGAATGTTTCAATTTTCTCATCCCTAAAAAATCTACTGTTTCAAAATTTTGATAAATAAAATTATGGAAAATTTGATTTGATAATTCTTCGCTAAATTTTACTTCCGAATAAATCTCTATGTTCTAAAAAAACTGAGTTTAAAATTTGGGTTGGTTATTTTTTCTAGTGTCAAGTTTTGAAGTATTTCCTGAAGAAAATCTACTGTTTCAAAATTTTCCCAAATTTTTTTCGAAATATTGGTTTGATGTTTGTGATTCTCAAAAATGTCGTGAAAAACGAAATATTTCAATTTTTCTTATACCAAAAAAATCTACTGTTTCAAAATTTTCATAAATAAAATTCAGGAAAACTTGGCTCGATCGATGTTTTCTAAAACGAAATTTTACTGTTTCAAAAACATGAATTTCCGATTTTTTGACCAATTTATATACAAAAATCAAAAAAATCTAAAAAAAAAACTAAATTTTTCAATTTTCTCATCGATAAAAAATCTACTGTTTCAAAATTTTCATAACATTTTGAAATTGCTAAGTTTGAAAAAAATCCAAAAATTTTGCAGGCCGAAGTCCAACGTGCCCAACAACAACAACTCGAACAATCCGACGGTCAAATCGGCACCGATCCAAATTCCTCTCCACAAAAATCCACAACATATTCCACAAAATCCGACTTCCAACAATCAGTTTTCGACACCAGATTTCAAGGATCCGACGCAGAATCCGGACAAAAACCGACGAAAATGCAGCGAAAATTTTTGGTGCTCACAAAATTGTATCCACATCAAGATGCTATTCCCGAATATGTACAGTTAGTTGATTTGTTTTTTTGGGAGGGAGGGAAAATTTTATTTTTCAAAGATCATCTAATTTGATTAACGTAATTTTAAAAGCAAAACAAAATTTTTTTCGAAAAAAAAAGGTTAATTTTTGTCACATTTTTTCACTGTTTCAAATAATTTCAAGATTGAAATTTTTCAAAATTAAATTTTTTCACTGTTTCAAATTTTTCATTAAACAAAATTTTTGTTTCAAAAATTCATTCCCAAAAAACTATATTTTTTACGTTTCAAAAATTTCCTATATTTTGGAATTCAAAATTCCTGAGCTTCTTTAATTTTTATTTTCTTGGCAATCAATTAAAATTCCTCATTTTTTCACTGTTTCAGAAATCTTATGATTTTTTTTTTTAATTTATGAGATTTCTGAAGCTGTTTCTTATGATAGAAATTATTCTAACAAAATTTTCAAAAAAATTAATTTTTTACTGTTTCAAAAAATTCCATGAATCCTGAAATTCCAAATTTCTGAGCTCGTCGATGATCCTGGTTAAAAATCAATCAAAATTCCTCAATTTTTCACTGTTTCAAAAATCTCATAAATTTTTTTTAAATTTGAGTTTCGTTAATCTCATTTTTGAAAGCAGTTGTCCATGATAAAAATTATTCTAACAAAATTTTCAAAAAATTTAATTTTTCACTGTTTCAAAAATTTAATTTTCAAATTCTAAATTTCTGAGCTAAGTTAATGTTCCTGGTTTGAAATCAATTAAAATTCCTCAATTTTTCACTGTTTCAAAAATCTTATGATTTTTTTAATTCAAATTTTCAAAGATTTTATTTTGTGACTCTTCAACAGTAAAAAAACTAACAAAAACAACTGAATTTTTTACTGTTTCAAAAATCTCATAAATTTTTCTAAATTTGAATTTCGTTAATTTGAATTTCGTAAGCTGTTGTCTATGATAAAAATTATTCTAAAAAAATTTTCAAAAAAATTAATTTTTCACTGTTTCAAAAATTCCATGAATCCTGAAATTCAAAATTTCTGAGCTAAGTTAATGTTCCTGGTTTGAAATCAACTAAAATTCCTTAATTTTTCACTGTTTCAAAAATCTTATGATTTTTTAAATTCAAATTTTCAAAGATTTCATTTTGTGATTTTGCAGCAGTAAAAAAACCCAACAAAAACAACTGAATTTTTTACTGTTTCAAAAATTCAATATATTTTTTTAAATTTGAATTTCGTTAATTTGAATTTCGTAAGCTGTTGTCTATGATAAAAATTATTCTAACAAAATTTTCAAAAAAAAAAATTAATTTTCACTGTTTCAAAAATTTCCTATATTTTGGAATTCAAAATTTCTGAGCTCATGTTGATGTTCCTGGTTTAAAATCAATTAAAATTCCTCAATTTTTCACTGTTTCAAAAATCTCATAATTTTTTTTTAAATTTGAATTTCGTAAGCTGTTATCTATGATAAAAATTATTCTAACAAAATTTTCGAAAAATTTAATTTTTCACTGTTTCAAAAATTCCATGAATCCTGAAATTCAAAATTTCTGAGCTAAGTTAATGTTCCTAGTTTGAAATCAATTAAAATTCCTCAATTTTTCACTGTTTCAAAAATCTTATGATTTTTTAAATTCAAATTTTTAAAGATTTCATTTTGTGACTTTGCAACAATAAAAAAAACTAACAAAAACAACTGAATTTTTCACTGTTTCAAAAAATTCATAATTTTTTTAAATTTTGAATTTCGTTAATTAGATTTTTGTAATCTGTTGTCTATGATAAAAATTATTCTAAAAAAATTTTCAAAAAAATTAATTTTTCACTGTTTCAAAAATTCCATGAATCCTGAAATTCAAAATTTCTGAGCTAAGTTAATGTTCCTAGTTTGAAATCAATTAAAATTCCTCAATTTTTCACTGTTTCAAAAATCTTATGATTTTTTTAATTCAAATTTTCAAAGATTTTATTTTGTGACTCTTCAACAGTAAAAAAACAAATAAAAACAACTGAATTTTTTACGTTTCAAAAATCTCATAATTTTTTTTAATTTTGAATTTCGTTAATTAGATTTTTTGTAATCTGTTGTCTATGATAAAAATTATTCTAAAAAAATTTTCAAAAAAATTAATTTTTCACTGTTTCAAAAATTCAATATATTTTCACATTCAAGTTTTCTAAGCTCACTTTAATGTTCCTGGTTGAAAATAAATTAAAATTCCTCAAATTTTCACTGTTTCTTATGATTTCTTCTTATGAGAAATCTTATGATTTTTGAAATCCAAATTTTCAAAGATTTTATTGTCTGACTCTTCATCAGTAAAAAAAACCAACAAAAACAACTGAATTTTTTACGTTTCAAAAATCTCATAAATTTTTTTAAATTTGAATTTCGTTAATTTGATTTTTGTAAACCGTTGTCTATGATAAAAATTATTCTAACAAAATTATCAAAAAAAAAATTTTTTTTTTCACTGTTTCAAAAATTCCATGAATCCTGAAATTTAAAATTTCTGAGCTCATGTTAATGATCCTGGTTAAAAATCCCAAATTTTCCTACAGTAACGGAACAATGAATCGAATGCACGATCGAATGCGAGTCGTCTACATCATAACCGCCTCGATCTTCTTCTTCTCCACATTTTACATTGCCGAAAAATCGATGGCCGCTAAAATCAGCCGCGATCGAGATGCTGGAGTTGTTGTAACTAAAATGTAGAGAATTTTTTAGTCATTTATTTTTAAGGCCTTAAAAATTGTGTGTTTTTTAATCTTAAGTACGGTTATTATAGGGTTTTTTCTTTTTTTCTGATACAAAAATTAAAAGTTTTTTTTTTTGGAAAATTTTCCGAGCATCCGTTCAATCGGTCTTGTTATTCCTTTGAATTTTTCCGATTTTTTTTGAAATTTTTTTTTCAAATTCCAAAAATTTTTTTCCAGATGGGAATCTTCAGAAAAGCTTTGATGAATGTCGCTGGAGTCAAAGAAGAGGAGCCGAAAAAAGGAACTTATGAGTGGAAAAAGGAGAATTTGAGCCCGGAGCAGATGGCAAGAACTATGGATAATAAGGAGAAATATAGTGGTGTGAGTGATTTTTGGGGGGTACTGTAGGCGAAAATTTGGAATTTTTTGAATATAAATATGATAGGGGAATTTCTCAAAGCGAAAATTCAGCTTTTGGGTACTGTAGGAGGGTCCTGAAGCGAAAATTCAGCAATTTCTGATTTTTCAAAGCTTTTGGTTACTGTAGGAGGGTCCTGAAGCGAAAATTCAGCAATTTCTGATTTTTCAAAGCTTTTGGTTACTGTAGGAGGGTCCTGAAGCGAAAATTGAGCAATTTCTGATTTTTCAAAGCTTTTGGGTACTGTAGGAGGGTCTTGAAGCGAAAATTTAGCAATTTCTGATTTTTTGAAGGTTTTGGTTACTGTAGGAGGGTTCCTGAAGCGAAAAAAAGTGATTTTTTTTCGCAGATCCCAGCAATTCCAGTCGACATTGGTTTTCACGGCGGAAAAAATACGAGCGGCGCAAAAAGCACCGGATTCTTCTCGAATGCCGCCTCAAATCCTGGAGTTATTGTTGGAATGGCGGCGACTACTGTAGCTTTGCTTGGAATGTTTAGGTAGGGTTTTGTAAGGGGGTTTTATCAGAAATTTCATTGAAACGGGGAGTTTTTCGAAAAAATTTATTTTGAAACAGTAAAAAAATTAATTTCTGAAGATGTCAAAAATTTTGTCATTGAATATCGAAAATTAAAAAAAAAATTTGGAATCATATTGAAACAGTGAAATTTTTGATAAATAAAAAATGAACCCTATAATAGATGTCAATACTTATTACATATAAATCGCAAAAATTTTTGCTCGAAAAAATTTAAAATTTTTTGAAACGTATTTTTTCCTGAAACATTATAGACGGGTTTATTAAAAAATTTAAAAATTCAAATTTTTAATGAAAAATTTTTGAAACAGTAAAATTTATCTACAAAAAATTTAAAAAAAGCATTTTATTTCCAACCCAAATTTTTCAAGAGAAACTTTTGAAACAGTAAATTTTTTCTCGAAAAAAATCCCGATGTAAAATTTAAAAATTCAAATTTCTGGTGAAAAATTTTTGAAACAGTAAAAAATGTTTCCTACAGATCCTTTTTCTGAACATTTTGACTATCATTTTATTCCCGTTTAACATTAAATTCAAAAACTCAAATTTTTCAAGAGAAAATTTTGAAACAGTGAAATTTTTGATAAATAAAAAATCCCGATGTAAAATTTAAAAATTCAAATTTCTGGTGAAAAAATTCTTGAAACAGTAAATTTTTTCTCGAAAAAAAATCCGATGTAAAATTTGAAAATTCAAATTTCTGGTGAAAAAATTTTTGAAACAGTAATTTTTATCTACTAATTGTAAGAATTTGAAAGAACATTTTATTACCAACCCAAATTTTCAAATAAAAATTTTGAAACAGTAAATTTTTTTCAAAAAAAAATCCCGAAGTAAAATTTAAAAAATTTTTGAAACAGTAATTTTTATTTATGAAAAATTCGAAAATAACATTTTATTTCCAACAAAAATTTTCAAATAAAAATTTTGAAACAGTAAATTTTTGATAAATAAAAAATGAACCCTATAATAGATGTCAATACTTATTTCATATAAATCGCAAAAATTTTGGCTCAAAAAAATTTAAGATTTTTTGAAACGTAATTTTTTCCTGAAACATTATAGACGTGTTTATTAAAAATTTGAAAATGCTGATTTTTCAATTGAAAATTTTTGAAACAGTGAAATTTATCACTTATAACTTGAAGCTAGCATTTTATTCTCAGCAAAAATTTTCAAATAAAAATTTTGAAACAGTAAATTTTTTCTCGAAAAAAAATCCGATATAAAATTTAAAAAATTCAAATTTCTGATGAAAAATTTTTGAAACGTATTTTTTTTTCGAAAAAAAAATCTGAACAGTATTCCCGTTTAAAATTAAATTTAAAAATTCAAATTTTTAATGAAAAATGTTTGAAACAGTAGAATTTTTTAACAATAATTCGCATGCATCATTTTATTTCCAACCCAAATTTTCAAATAAAAATTTTGAAACAGTAAATTTTTTCTCGAAAAAAATCCCGATGTAAAATTTAAAAATTCAGATTTCTGGTGAAAAAATTTTGAAACAGTAAAAAATTGTTCTACAGATCCTCATTCATCGGCGACAAAGTTGGCGCGCAAAAAATGATGCAATACCGTATAATGGCACAATTCTTCACTGTCACCGCTTTAGTTGCCGGTGTCACCATTTTTGGTGCAACTTATGAAGATGACGAACACAGTACCCAGAAGCAATGAAGGATTACTGTAGTTTTTCTACAGTAATTTTTTTAGAAGAACACTTATTCGGGTCTTATTTTTTTTTTGAAAAAATATTTTTTTTCGACAAAATAAAATTCTATTTGAATTTTTTAAAATTATTGATACTACAGTACCCCTGAACTACAGTACTCCTCAAGCTACAGTACCCTCCCAAATATTTTTTTTGTACTAGATCTTTGCCCTATTTCTTTTTCACGGTGTTTTCTTCTTCTCCTCGTCATTTATATGTTCTTTTGATCTTTTCCCTCTCCATTTTCTAGTGTCTTGTGGAATATTCGCGACGAAATAGTGTGAGAGACAAAGAGAGTGCAGAGAGAAGTGAAGACGCGAAACACAGTGTAGTATAAAAGTCTTTTATTTATTTTTTGTTGGCCGGGTTTTTCAGCGAAAATTGAACAGCGTTCTGCAGACCCCCGTGTGGTGCAGTGGCAGCGCGCTGCGCTGGCGATCTGGAGGCGCGAGTTCGAGTTTTGCCCAGGGCGAAATTTTTTTTTTTTTTTTGCTGTGTACTACTCTTGGACAATTTTATCAATATGTTTTGTTTTTGTGCTGCTCAAAAAAATGTTGTGTAGTTCTTTTGGACGATTTTTTGGTGGGCGGATATTTTAGATCTAAAAATAATTGGCTTGAGACAAGAAAACATCTGTCATTTTTGACGCCTGGTCATTTATTTTCTGATGGTTTTTGACCTTGTGCACTTTTCTTTGAGCATTTTTTAATTTCAGGTTTCCAGGAAAAAATGGCGGGTATATGGGAAAGAATAAAAAAAGTGATATTTACCGTTTTTCTGGCCGCAGCTTTTCAGAGTATTTCGTGGAGGTAAGAAAAATTTTCAGTCAAAAAAAAATCTGAAATAAATTTTCATTTTCAGACCCAGGTTTGTGAGAGAATATGTTCATGTTGGTGGAAACGTTGAAAATGGCTGGGATATGGTCAGAGATGCTTTTTGAGTGAGTTTTTTTTTGAAACAGTGGATTTTTCTAAGAAAAAAAAAAATTTTGAGTTGAAAAAAAAATCTACTGTTTCAAAATTATGTTAAAATTTTCTTTGAAAATTCAGAATTAATTTTGACAATTCATGTGAAGTAGAAATTTTAATTCAAAAAAAAGCCAAATTTTTTATCAAAAATTTTTGAAAATGTGTTTTTCTAGATAAAATTTGAAATTCAAAAAATTCTGAAACAGTGGAATTTTCAAAAAAAAAAACAATTATATACTTTTTCTCTACAAATATCCATATAGCACTTTTCAATAAACTTCATTCAGTTTAATTTTTTTTGAAACAGTGAAAATTTTTTTCAAAATTTTTCTTGAAAATAATTTTTTCTAACATAAGAAGGATTCAAAATCTCAAAATTTGCAGAATTCCAAACCTTAACATTTTTTGAAACAGTAATTTTTTTCAGACAAAATCTGCAAGATAATTGGGAACGTTCGGGTGCGGCATTTGTAGTCTATTCAAAAGGCAAAAAAGTGGTCGATTTATGGGGTGGATATTCGGATAAAGAAAGTGGAAGATTGTGGAAAAATGACACGTTGAGTGTGGCTTTTTCGTGCTCGAAGGTGGGTTTTTTGGTGAATTTAAAATTTTTGAAACAGTGAAAAATTAAATAAGGAGTATATCAGGCCTGTGCCGGAAATTTTCCGAATTTTCCGAATTTCCGGATTTTCCGGTTTTTTCACGGAAAAATCAATTTTCCGGTTTTCCGGAAAATGTGCTCGGAAAATCCGGAAATGATCTCTAGTAGTAATATTTTCAAAATTGCCTAAATTTTGGAAAATTTTCTCAGTTTATGATAGAAAAAAATGAAATTTTCGGAATTTTTTTTTCTATTTTTCAGCTTTTACTTTTAATTTTTTCAAGCTTTTAATTTTTCAGCTTTTTTTAAACGTAAGACGTCTCAAATAGTTACTAAATTACCTGTGAATAGAAGAATTGTAGATAAAAATAAGTTTTAGTGCCAACTTAAGGCTGGAAATCAAAATTTCAGACTTTGAAAAATTTTCCGAATTTTCCGGATTTCCGGTTCAAAAATCCGGAAATTTTCTTTCTGTTTTCCGTTTTCCGGGTTTTGATTTTCCGGCACAGGCCTGGAGTATATAAAGAAACGGCTAAAAAATCCAAGAAATTCAAATGAAAAAATTTTGAAACAGTGAAAAATTTGAAATTTTTTCAATAATAAATAAGTTTATGAAATAAATATGAAAATTTTGAAACAGTAAAAAATACAAAATAATTTTTTTTGGGAATTTTTTGTAACGAAAAATCAATTTAAAAATTTCAAAAAAAATTAATCAACCAATTTTGAAACAGTGAAAAAATTGGAAAAATTATTTTTTATTTGAAATTTTTTCAATAATTTTTGAATTTTTTTTAATGAAAAGTTTAAGTTAATGTAATTATCACAAAAATATCAATTTGAAAATTTCAACCAATTTTGAAACAGTGAAAAATTCAAAAACTGTGAAGAAAGTTTTCATTCAAACAAACGAAAACTTTAATTCCAAAATTAAGATCATAAAATCTTTGAAACAGTGAAAAATTTGGAAATTTTATTTTCTTTTGAAATTTGAAAATTTTTTAATAATTTTTTTTTGTGATTTTTTTAAATGAAAATCAATTTAAAAATTACAAAAAAATTTAATCAACCAATTTTGAAACAGTGAAGAATTTTCCTATGAATAAAACAAAATTAATTCTAATTAAAACAGTGAATTTTCCAGGCGATTGGCTCTCTTGTAATTGCAAAACTAATGGATTCGGGAAAATTGAATTACAACGACTTGGTTTCCAAATATTGGCCAGAATTTTCCAAAAACGGCAAAGAAAATGTGACAATTTCATGGCTTCTAACACATAAAGCCGGTTTAGCCTATACAGATCATCCAATAAGCATTGAAGACGCAAAAAATCCCTCGAAAATCGATGAGATTTTCGAAAATCAGGTGCCGAATTGGCCACCTGGAACTGAAATTGGTTATCATGCTATAACTCATGGTTGGCTTGTTGATGCATTGGTCAGAAAAATTGATGGAAGAACTGTGGGACAGTATTTTAAGCAGGAAATTGCTGAGAAATTTGGTAAGGTTTTACAGATTTTCTAACACAGAAACGCAAAATTTTGAGAAAAAATGATGGATTTTGAGGTTGAATTGAGTAAAACAAGCAAATGCGCCCCATTGTACATTTTTTGTTTTTTTGAAAAATTAAAATTAAAATTTTCATTTTTTTTTTTCGTAATTTGCAATTTGTAGCGAATTTCGACTCAGAAAACCGGAAATGCATTATTTTTCAAAAAATTTCCTTTTTCAATCAAAAATCTCAAAAAAAATCTAGAAAAAAATAACCCATAAAATATACGTTTCAAAAATTTCCTAAAATTTTCAAAAATATTCAATTCACTAATTTATTTTTTTTTATTCAGTATTAATCTTTAAAAAATCGAATCGAAAATCATTTTTGAAGCCAAAAATCACAGGATTTTTCTCACAATTCAAATTTTTAAAATTTTGAGAAAAATGATGGATTTTGAGCTTGAATTGAGTAAAAATAGCAAATGCGCCCCATTGAACATTTTCTGTTTTTTTGAAAAATTCAAATTTTCATTTTTTTTCGTAAATTTGCAATTTGTAGCGAATTTCGACTCAGAAAACCGGAAATGCATTATTTTCCAAAAATTTTTCAAAAATTTCCTTTTTCAATCAAAAATCTCAAAAAAATCTAGAAAAAATAACCCACAAAGTTTACGTTTCAAAAATATTCAATTCACTAATTTATTTTTTTTTAATTCAGTATTAATTTTAAAAAAAATCGAATCCAAGCCAAAAGTCAAAGGGTTTTACTCACAATTCAAATTTTCCCATTTTTCTCTGAAAAATTCGCGTCGCCAACAAGCGCCTGTTATATGTTTTCCGAGTGGCCGACGGTTGACGGGTTTTGCGAGGCGGCGAGAAATGTGTGCGGAGTGGGCGGGGCTTATTTTTGAATGCGCGCGTTTTTGAGGATTTTTTGTAATTTTGAGTTGAAAATGAAAGCAATTCTAATTTTTCACGTAAATAAACGTGACCTACATTCAAAACTCATTTCCAAATTGAAAAATTTGTGAGGCAGGTCAAATTTTGGGCGGGAAAGCTCGTTTTTTCGAGAAAAAAAAATAGAATAAAATACGTTTCGGCCGAGAAAAGTGGCTGAATTTGAATTTTAAAAAATTTGCAGACCTCGATTTCCACGTGTCACTACCGATTTCCGAACAATTTCGAGTGGCTCGCCTTCAAAATCCGTCAATTTTCAATGTTTTGGAGGAAATCGCCTATTCTCCATGGGATTTCAATTTGAAACGATTTGCGTGGGATAAATTGAAGAATGGAACTTGGAGCAAAGTTGCGCAAACTACGCCGTGGATTCGGTTTGTTGAGGTGAATTTTGGGCGTGAATTTTTTTTTTTTTTTTTCAAAAAAAAAAATTCACTGTTTCAAAATTTTCTTATCAAAAATTGAATGTTTCTAGGGTTAATCACTGAATTCCTTCATAACCTCCAAATTCCCCTTGCAGGCAATGTCTCTAAACGATCCCGATCTTCATCGCCTCGAACAATCTGCAGTTCTTGGAATCGGAACTGCACGAGACCTCGCAAAAATCTTCGAGCTTCACCAGAACCGCCAAAATCATCTCGGAATCGAGTTTGACGAAAATATTTGATGTTTCCAGTTATGAGAGTTGGCCTGATGTTGTGACTGGAGCTGTGGCTCCGAGAGCATTTGGATTTATGATGAAGGAGTATGAATATAGAGAAGGGGTTGGTTTGGGGGGATATTTTCACTGTTTCAAAAAATCTTGGAATTTTTTGGAGAATTTTTGAAAATTGATGTGATATTACCTAAGCAATTGGAAAAGATTTTGAATAGAAAAATTTGTGAAAAAAATTCACTGTTTCAAAATTAATTCAAATTTTCTCACAAGAAATACAATTTTGATAAATTTTCTAATGATACAATAATCAAAAAATTCACTGTTTCAAAAATAATTGATATTTTTTTGGAAATTCAAAAGTTATTTAAAAACTTAAAAAAAAACTTAAAAAAAAACAATAAGTAAATTTTCGAAAAAAAATCTCAAATTGAAATAAAAAGGAGAAAATTTTTCCAAAAAAAAATTCTTCTGAAAATTCACTGTTTCAAAAAATCTTGAAATTTTTTCTCGAATTTTTGAAATTTGATAGTCGTTTTTTCTTGCTGAGAATCAACTTCAAATAAACTTGAAACAAAAATTGAAATTTGGAAAATTTTTTTGAAAAAAATTCACTGTTTCAAAAATAATTTATCTGATTTTCTGGATTTTTAATTTGTTGATTTTTAAAAATCGGAAAATTTTTTGAAAAAAAAAATATTTTCACTGTTTCAAAATTTAATAATAGGTTTTCAAAATTTGAAAAAATATTGTTGATATGATAGTTTTTGAAAAAAATTCACTGTTTCAAAATTAATTCAAATTTTCTCACAAGAAATACAATTTTGATAAATTTTCTAATGATACAATAATCAAAAAAAATGCACTGTTTCAAAGATAATTTATATTTTTTTTGTGAAAAGAAGTGAATTTTCGGAAAAAAAAATCTCAAATTGAAATAAAAAGAAGAAAATTTTTCCAAAAAAAATTCTTCTGAAAATTCACTGTTTCAAAAAAACTTGGAATTTTTTCTCGAATTTTTGAAATTTGATAATCCCAGATCAATCGATGTTCAACAAAAATTGAAATTCGGAAAAATTTATTTGAAAAAATTCACTGTTTCAAAATTAATTCAAATTTTCTCACAAGAAATACAATTTTGATAGATTTTAAAATGACAGAATAATCAAAAAAATTCACTGTTTCAAAAAATCTTGGAATTTTTTATCGAATTTTTGAAAATTGATGTGATATTTGCTAATTTTAGAAATTTGAAAAGATTTTGAATAGAAAAATTTGTGAAAAAAAATTCACTGTTTCAAAAATTATTTATCTGATTTTCTGGATTTTTAATTTTTGTTCCATCCGTTTTTGTTAAAAAATATTTTCCACTGTTTCAAAATTTAATAATAGGTTTTCAATATTTGAAAAAAAATGTTGATGATGTAAAATAGTTTTTGAACAAAATTCACTGTTTCAAAAATAATTCAAATTTTCTCACAAGAAATACAATTTTGATAGATTTTAAAATGACAGAATAATCAAGAAAATTCACTGTTTCAAAAATAATTGATATTTTTTTGGAAATTCAAAAATTATTAATCAAAAACTTTTGTGGCAAACTAGATACACGGACCGACGAACTGTACGCTCCTCCCACTTTTCTTGGTCGATGGGGGGTCGGGTCCGAAAAAAAGCGAGCCGCACTTGCCAGAAGGCAATAGCTCAGTAGGGAGAGCGTGCGCCTTCTAAACCATAGTTGCTGGTTCGAACCCCGCTACTGCCGAACAGTTTTTTCATTTTTTTTTGTTGCGCGCATGGCTGATGAAAATTTTAAAATTCATATTTGACATAAATAAAAATATGTTTTTTCTGACATATATTTTTTGAAAACATACCTGATTTGTCGAAAACATAATCTGGAGAATTTCCTAAACCTTTTCAAGACTGTTAATTGAGAAAGTATACGACAAAGTAGATTTTTCAAAAACATGAACATTTATTGAGAAGCATAATAGATTTTATTAAATATTTATTGAAAAATTTTCATCCGATGATGGTCTGAGACAGCCGATTGTCGCAAATAGAGGTGGTTGTCAGGTTCTCCGGTGAAATAATGTCCTATAAAAATATGTTGAAATACATTCTCATGCAAAAAAGATAAAGATATATTTCAAGATTTTTCAACTTATAAGTAATAACTGTAAATAATCGAAACATAACTAATTTGATATTGATTATATCAGGCTATTTCCAAATCATTATGAAAAGCTAAGAAAAAAAATCAGATGTTTTCAAACTTCTACATATTTTACTTCCACAAGACATAATAAAACTTTCTCCTAGTCCAGCGTGGAAATTTTCAGAAAATTGAGTCATAACCATCTAAAAGAAAATATAGTTGACAAAATTTCAAAAATTCCATCGAAAATTGGAGGAAATGAATGAAAAAAAAAAGAAAATTTCAGGTTTTTTCTTCAAAAATTATCAAAATCCCAAATTTCATAACTCAAGGGTAGAAAATGCATAGAATCGAAACATAATTAGTTAGAAAAGGCTTTATTAATGCTAAATACAAAGTTTCATCGAAAATTGTGAAGTGCGAGTTAAGGAAATAGAAAATTTCTGCTTTTCCACGATTTTTTCCTCCAAAATCAACAAAAATCGAAATTTCAACGTCGGAAGTGAAAATTTTCGAAAAAACGAAACATAACTAGTTTAATCAGGCTCTATTAATGCTAAATACAAAGTTTCATCGAAAATTGTGAAGTACGAGTTAAGGAAATAGAAAATTTCTGCTTTTCACCAGGTTTCCACCTCTGAAATCAACAAAAATCGAAATTTCAACGTCGGAAGTGAAAATTTTCGAAAAAACGAAACATAGCTAGTTTAATCAGGCTCTATTAATGCTAAATACAAAGTTTCATCGAAAATTGTGAAGTACGAGTTAAGGAAATAGAAAATTTCTGCTTTTCCACGATTTTTTCCTCCAAAATCATCAAAAACCAAAATTTTTCATTTCAACAGCGAAATTTCCCAAAAAACGAAACATAACTAGTTTGATAATGGTATGCTCAAGCTATTTACAAAGTTTCATCGAAAATTATGAAGTACGAGCCAGGAAAATAGAAATTTTCTGACCTCACTCATCAGTTTCAAAGAAAAGTGCTTCGATTTTCAATTTATGCGCTATTTTCAGACAAAAATCAATATTATTCGGATGCAATAACATCCTCCGATACTAGCCTTACAGTCTTCGAGTGAAATGTAACATAATTAGGGCAAAAAACAAGTGAAGAAAACAAAAACAAAACGAAAAAAAGAAAGTAAAAAATTAAAAAATTTTGTGTGGCGCGTGCAATCCTGGCACACATTTTTTTCAGGGGGCGGGGCGTACAGTTCGTCGGTCCGTGAGATAAGTGAATTTTCCAAAAAAATTTTTTCTGAAAATTCACTGTTTCAAAAAATATTTGGAAGTTTACAGCTTTTCGAAAATTGTTAGTATTCTGTTTTCAGACAATAAAATGTTTTTTTTAAATTCTGGTGATGTGAAAATTCACTGTTTCAATGAAAATTCCCACAATCTCAATATTTTTTCCAGAAAACCGTCAAACTTTTCGGTCATTCCGGTTACGGCGGTCAAAACATTCGATTCGATTTCGAAAATCAAATCGTAATTGCCTATCTCAGCAATGGTCTAAAAGTTGGTTTCGGTGACACAGCAAGAACATGGAAAAGGTTGTTGAAAAGTGTTTATGACACAATTCCATAAGCTCCTCTCCATGCCTCACGGAAAAGTGATGCCATAAATATTTTTTTCTGTTATCGCTCAATACTTTTTTGTTGAACAAAATATACTCTTCTTCTTTTTTTTCCATTATTTTATCATTCATTGATTCTTCAAATAATAATAAAATAAATACGTTTTTTCTGTTTCGCAATTATTTTTCATTAGAAACCCAGTTTTTGGTGAAAAAATCGCGTCGCCAAAAACTCGCGCTTATACGTTTTCCGAGTGGCCGACGGTTGACGGGTTTTGCGAGGCGACGAGAAATGTGTGCGGAGTGGGCGGGGCTTAGTTTTGAGAACGCGTTTTTGATTTGAAATCGGATTTTTTGGCGGCAAAATGTAATTTAGGGAATTAAAAAATTGATGAGTCACTTTTTTGAGGAGGAAATTTTGAAATTTCAAAGTTTTGACGCTAAAAATTTAGGGCAAAATTAGAAATTTCAAAAAATTCGCGCGAAAATTGCCGAAATTATTGATTTTTTGCTGAGATTTGAAATTTTTTTTTGAAATCTAAAATTTTCGCGCAAAATTTTTGAAAAATTCAAAATTTTCATTTTTCGCGCCAAAAATGTTTCCCCAAATTATGTTTGTGTCAAAAGCCACTCAAAACTCCCACAAATTTTTCCCGGAAAACCCAAAACCAGCCCAAATTCTCCATATTTGCCCAACAGAAATCGCGAAAATAGTGTTAACAAATGAGAGAATGCAGACAGCAAAACTATAGTATTTGCACAAAATAAGAACATACAGAAGGCACAAATCGCTTTTGAAACAAAATTTTTTATCGATTTTTCTTCGTTCAGGCAATTTTTTATTATTCAAGGTCTTTTTGGCTGGTTGCCAGGTGAAAAACGAAAAAAAATGTTTTTTTTCGCAAAATAATCCTCTTTTCCTTGTTTTTTCGTATTTTTCCATGAAAATATCGATTTTTTCAGAGAAATGACATCTGAAATTAGTGAATCTGATAGGAAATTATTGGAAGAATTGCGCGGGAAAATATCTAGAGAACTGGAATTGGTTCCAGCTTATAATGATGATTTTTCGTTGATGAGATGGCTTATTGGATGGGATCGGAAAGTTGGTTAGTTCTCTGGAATTTTCAGCGAAAAATTTTGAGAAAAATGATGGATTTTGAGGTAGAATTGAGTGAAAATAGCAGATGCGCCCCATTGAACATTTTCTGTTTTTTTGAAAAATTCAAATTTTCATTTTTTTTTCGTAAATTTTGCAATTTGTAGCGAATTTCGACCCAGAAAACCGGAAATTCATTATTTTCCAAAAATTTTTCAAAAATTTCCTTTTTCAATGTAAAACTAGCAAAAAATAACCCATAAAATATACGTTTCAAAAATTTCCTAAAATTTTCAAATATATTCACTAATTTATTTTTTTTATTCAGTATTAATACAAAAAAAATCGAATCCAAGCCAAAAATCTAAGGATTTTTCTCACAATTCAAATTTTCCCACTTTTCTGTGAAAAAATTCGGAGTGGCCGACGGTTGACGGGTTTTGCGAGGCGACGAGAAATGTGTGCGGAGTGGGCGGGGCTTAGTTTTGAGAGCGCGTTTTTTGAGGATTTTTTGAAATTTTGAGTTGAAAATCAAAGAAATTTTGAATTTTCACGCATTTTTCAGACATCGTGGTGCCAAAAATAAAATTCTCACTTCGCGCAATCCACGCCTTAGGCCTAGATTCCGAAGATTTATCAACATTGGAAAAAGTCACGGCAAAATGCGATGATTGTAGTGTTCCTTTAAGATACCTCCCTGGATCTCTAATAGGTTTGGATAAGGAAAATAATGTATTATCACTTCAAATGATCGGACATTTGGATGCAGCTGGTCTGATGCCAGCAACAAGAAATTCGGATTTATACAAAATGCGAATCGCTGAATCGGAAGGAGTTATGCAAATTATTCGAGCAATGGAAAAAGAGCACAAAAAACCGTTTGGAACATCGGTGATTTTTGATTTGGATGGTCTTTCGATGGCTCAAATTGATATGTCGGCTTTGAAGGTTGTTACAACAATGTTGACACAGTTACAGGAGATGTTTCCGGATGTTATTCGGAAGATTTTTGTGATCAATACACCCACTTTCATACAAGTTTTGTGGGGAATGATTTCACCGTGTTTGGCGAAACAAACACAACAGAAAGTCAAGATTTTGGGAAATGATTGGAAACAACATTTGAAGGTAGGAAATGGGCTGATCGAAAGAACAATTCACGAAAAGTCGTAGGTCAAAATTAGTTTTTGCGAGTTTTTCAGCCAAAAATGATGACAAATCGATATTTTTCAAGCTTCTGGAGTAATTTCTGATGAAAATTGACCTTGGAATTCACTTTCCAGATGGTTTTGCTGATTTTTCGAAAAAAAAATCATAAAATAAAGCGAAATAGGGTTCTCGAAGCTTATTTTCATCAGAAATTACTCTAGAAGCTTCGATTTGTGCTTCGAGAACCCTATTTTGCTATATTTTATGAATTTTTTTGAAATTCATCAGCAAAACCTTCTGGAAAGTGAATTCCAAGGTCAATTTTCATCAAAAATTACTCCAGAAGCTTGAAAAATATCGATTTGTCATCATTTTTGGCTGAAAAACTTGGAAAACTAATGTTTTTTCAACATTTTTTGACTTTTCGTGAATTGATCTTTCGATGTTAAAAAAAACATTTTTGAACATTTTTTTCGTTTGTGAATCAGCCCTAAAAGATTTTGAATAACAAACTTTCAGAAATTTTTAGACTGATTAATTTACAGTAAAGGAGGCCGAATAGGAAAATGCTAATTTGTATAGAACTATTACGAAAATTTTGAAACAGTGATAAATTCAGCGAATCCCAGAATATTCTGATATTGTCGAAATTAAAAAATGTGGCCGCCGTGAAAAATGAAAACCAGTGCAGAACTGAATGAATGAAAACAACTGAACTTCGTCAGTCGCGTGCGGCTGTGCGGCGCGGTCGAAAATAAATAGAAAAAATTTTCGACCGCGCCGCACAGCCGCACGCGACTGACGAAGTCCAGTTGTTTTCATTCATTCAGTTGTGCGCTGGTTTTCATTTTTACGGCGACCACATTTTTCAATTTCGACAATAGCAAATTATCACGTTATCAAAAAGAAAATTCAGGAATTTTACTTATTCACATAGAAAAAAATAAAACATTTTTTGCTGCTGTCCGGTGTTTGCAGACTCGAAAAAAGCCCGTTTCGTTTTCACGTTTTTCCACGTGTCAAAGAAAATTCGTTCTTTTTTCCATTGAAATGTGGAGAGTGCGCCGCAAAATTGCAAATTTTGAAAATAAAAAGAGGGCGGAGTCGTGTGTCTTCACGCGGTCAGAACAATGAGTCCGCAATTTCACGTGAAAAAGAAAAATGTTTTATTTTTTTCCATGTGCTTATTGAAATTTTGAAACAGTGATTCTTTTCATTGAAAAATATACTCAAACCCAAAAAAAAAAACCCCAATCACTTTTTTCTAGGAAAACATTGGTGAAGAAGTTCTATTCGAACGTTGGGGTGGAACGCGTCAAGCCGAAACCGAATACGGTTTCGTTCGAATGGGCGGAAAAATCCCGGCAGAACTTCGCTACGACCCAACAAACGATCTGCCCGCCGAAAAACTGACGAAACTCTCAATCTCCGCCAGATCAACATCTTTCGTACCAATCACGCTGGAAGGCCAAAAACCCGGTCGAAAATTGTATTGGTGGTGGCGAATCGAGTCGAATGATATTAATTTTGCGATTTATCGATCGGCTGAAGGACAAGAGAAAGTGGCTGAACATGATGATGATTTTATGGTTTTCCCGAAATTTAAATTGCAGACCGAATTTGTGCCCGAAGATGGAGAGGTTTGTGCAATTTTTCATGAGCTCTGAATATAGTTGGACATCGACTAAACGACATTTCCAGGTTTTTTAAGCAAATGAGTTAAAATATTGGGTTGTAATGTTATTCATATGATAGAATGTTCTAAGACGAACAGAATGATATAAATTTTGATGACTTTACGTTATCCATAAGTGATTTAGCGGCTTATCGACCAAATATCAACTAAACCTCGCTAAATCACTTATGGATAGCGTAAAGTCATCAAAATTGATATCATTCTGTTCGTCTTCGACCATTCTATCATATGAATAACATTACAACCCAATATTTTAACTCATTTGCTTAAAAAACATAAAAATGTCGTTTAGTCGATCTCCAACTATAGCTCCGAATATAAGTAATGACGTGGCAAATTTTGAAAATGTGTGATTTTACAAATTTGCCACGTCATAAGCTCGAAACGGTCAGAATCTACTAGAAACCTAGGTCCAATCCAAAAAATTTCCAGATCTCCGCCTCCGAGCCCGGTGTCTACAAATTCGTCTTCGACAACACCCACTCAAAACTTCGCTCAAAATCCGTCAAATATTTCATAGAAGTCAGAGAACCATAAAAAAAACGCCCTTTAAATTTAATTTATTTTTTCTGTGAATGTGAATAAAAACGTGACCTAATAAAGGAAAAATGTGAGAAAAACGGGCTGGGTGGGGCATTTTTAGAAACGAATTTAGTCAAAAGTGGTTGCTTAATGTGAGTCTCGGAAAAGAGAAATAGTGGTTATGACGTGGCAAAACAATTGCAGACAATAATAAAAAAGAAATGGCAGATGGATATGATTTAATAGGACCACCCGAAGTACAACACATTGCACCACCACCATGTCCAGTGGTTCATGCGGTTGGTGCACCATCAATTGTTCCGCCAGCACCGTGCAAGGTTGCCCCACCGCCGCCCCGTCAACCAGTTGTTCCAGTTGCTCCGCCGGTTCTTGCTCATGGTCATGTTCCGCCGACACGAAAAACACGAGTCAAAGAGTCGAATCGAGAAGCGGAATCGGAAGCGACGACGACGAAAATGAGTAAGAAAGAAAAAGAATCGGAGATGGAGACGGAAAAATCGACGAGTTCGACGATTTCGACTTTGAAGAAGGAGAAGAAGAAGCAAAAGAAGCGGAGGGTAGGTTTTAGCGGAGGAAAACTGAAGATTCGCCATGTTTTTTGCGCAAATGCGTGGAAATCTTGGTTTGTAATCGTTTTTATAGAATAGACAGGGCTAAGACAATTCGAATCATATAATTTTTGATGAATTTACGTTACCTTCAGCGATAGACTTGGCTTATCGACGTAAAATCGTTAAATCCCTTATGGGTAACGTGAATTTACGTTACCCATAAGTGATTTAACGACTTTACGTCGATACCATAAGTGATTTACGTAAATTTATGTTACCCATAAATGATTTAACGACTTTACGTCGATACCATAAGTGATTTACGTAAATTTACATTACCCATAAGTGATTTAACGACTTTACATCGATATAATAAGTGATTTAGGTAAATTTACGCTACCCATAAGTGATTTAACGACCTTACATCGATACCATAAGTGATTTACGTAAATTTACGTTACCCATAAGTGATTTAACAACTTTACATCGATACCATAAGTGATTAAACGACTTTACATCGATACCACAAGTGATTTACGTAAATTTACGTTACCCAGAAGTGATTTACGTAAATTTACGTTATCCATAAGTGATTTAACGACTTTACATCGATACCATAAGTGATTTACGTTACCAATAAGTGATTTAACGACTTTAAGTCGATAAGCCAAGTGAAGGTAGCGTAAAGCCATCAAAAATTATATGATTCGAATCCTCTTAGCTCTGTCTATTCTATAAAAACGATTACAAACCAAGATTTCGATGAACTTGCGCAAAAAACATAAGAAAAAACATCTAGAAAACTTTCAGCTAATCGGAAATGGCAACGAAGCCCATCAACGTCCAAATTCCTACGATACCTTGATTATATCATTTATGTGTGTAATTCTGATCATAGCAATAGCTATTTCTATTCCGATTCTGCTAACTGCTTTTGAAGTCGCCGAAATTGATTCGATCAAAATTTTGTTGGAAGGAATCAAGGAGACGAAGATGGAATCTGATTAATGAAATTTGAAAAAAAATAAATATTTGTTTCACGTGACCCAGTTTTTAAGTCTAGTAGGCTAGAAAAAAAGAAAAGCTTTTTTATTTTACTCTTTGAAACCTCAACAAACTGGTTAGCTTTTTTTATTTATTTATTTGATGTAAGTTAGGCAAAAAAACATTTTGCACTACAGTTGGACATCGACTAAATGACATTTTCAGGTTTTTTAAGAAAATGAGATGAGATATTGGATTTTAATGTTATTCATATGATAGAATGGTCTAAGACGAACAGAATGATATAACTTTTGATGAGTTTACGTTATCCATAAGTGATTTAGCGACGTTTAATCGATAAGGTCAACTAAACCTCGCTAAATCACCTATGGATAACGTAAAATCATCAAAATTTATATCATTCTGTTCGTCTTAGACCATTCTATCATATGAATAACATTAAAATCCAATATTTCAACTCATTTTCTTAAAAAACCTGAAAATGTCATTTAGTCGATGTCCAACTATATTTTGCACTCACAGTTTCTTTCAGAAAAACGAGGACAATAAGCTGAAATAAAAATGGAAGACGGATATGAAGTAATGGGACCAGGAGGAAATGCGAATAAACCGCTTATTCCACCACCGCCATGTCCAGCAGTAAAAACGAAAAAAGATGTGAATAAGGAGAAGGACAAAACACAAGAATCATCAGCGATGACAGTTTCAACGAAAAAGGATAAGAAAGGCAAGAAAGGGAATAAGAATAAGAAGAATAATCAAGAAAGTGCTGAAACTGGAGGCGGGGGAACTGCGATTAATCAACGTCCCTCGTCGGTAGATACTGTTTTATTGGCGTGTGTTTGTGTGGTTTTTATTATCACAATTTGCGGCGTCGATTCCGATTTTATTGACGGCTTTTGGATCGGCTGAGATCGATTCGCTTAATGCTTTGCTTGAAAATCGTGAATAAATCGTTTTATTTCGCATTTTTACATGAATGTTCCTTATAGACTATAGCATACCTACCCTATTTATTGCTCACAAATATTTTTATCACTCATTTTATCGATTAAAACCCCAAAAACCCCGAAAACCCCGAAAAACCTCGAAAAAAAATAAAAAATTTGAAAATTGTTGTGTTCATCAGAGCGCATTTGCTAAATTGGCCTAGGAATTCGTCGGGTTTCTAGGTCATTTTATTTTTTTCCCGCATTTTTTTTGGCGTTCCCACGTTTTCCATCAGTTCCACGTTGCAGATGACACTAATTTGCGAAACAGAACGTTCTGCCACATGGATCGATTTTGCCGATGGTGTCCCCTGTGTTTTGGGAATCGATGAAGCCGGAAGAGGTCCGGTTTTGGGGCCGATGGTCTACGCGGCCGCAATTTCGCCGCTAGACAATGCGGAAGAACTTAAAGCACTTGGAGTGGCAGATTCGAAAGCGTTGAATGAAGCGAAACGAGATGAGATTTTCGAGAAAATGGAGAATGACGAAAAAACGCGGGAATTTGTCGCATACGCTGTTCGCGCATTATCACCTGAACTTATCTCAACTTCCATGCTCAAACGACACAAATATTCGTTGAATGAGGTTTCACATGAGGCGGCGATTACACTTATTCGTGATGCATTGGAAAATCGTGTAAATGTTGTGGAAATCAAGGTTGATACAGTTGGACCGAAGGCGACTTATCAGGCGAAATTGGAGAAATTGTTTCCGGGAATCGCGATTTGTGTCACTGAAAAAGCTGATTCGTTGTTTCCAATTGTTAGTGCAGCATCTATCGCGGCTAAGGTTACAAGAGATTCGAGATTGAGAAATTGGCAGTTCAAAGAGCAAAATGTGAAAGTTCCTGAAGCTGGATTTGGAAGCGGGTATCCAGGAGGCAAGTTTATCCTGGTTATTAGAAATCATCCTCTTATTGTTAAAAATATTGTTTTTTTAGATCCCAACACAAAAAAGTTCCTGCAACTCAGTGTTGATCCAATTTTCGGGTTTTGCTCATTGGTCCGACATTCTTGGAAAACTGCCAGTTCGATTGTTGAAAAACGATGTGTAGCTGAAAGTTGGTGAGTTATTTTTGGGAGAAAATTAAAATTTTTTATTCGAAAAATCACTGTTTCAAAAATTTTATCAAGAAGAAATATCGCGCCGCCAAAATTCCTTGAAAGTTCAAAATTCAAATTTTTAGCGTAAAAAATTCGAAAATTAAAAAAAAAACCTAAAATTATAATTTTTATCCGAAAAAAATCACTGTTTCAAAAATTTGATGAATGAATTTTCAAGTTTTTAAAATTTAATAGATGACATCGAAAATCCTTTAAAGTTCAAAATTCCAATTTTTGGCGCATACATCAGTATCCCCGGATTTTCGTCCGGAGGGTCTGGCTAACTTTGGAAAAAAGGGGTGGGGACCGGCTAACTTTTTGAAAAAATAACAATTTACCCCCAAAAACCAAGTTTTTTCTCTTTTTTTGAGGGGGTCTGGCTAATTTTTGTATTTTCACATTCCGGGGTGGCTAATTTTGAGACCCTGACTGGGAGAAACCGATGTATGTTTTGGCGTAAAAAAAATATTCGAAAACTAGAAAAAAAAACAGAAAGAAAATTGAAATTAAACCTGAATTTAAATTTTTTATCCGAAAAAAATTCACTGTTTCAAAAATTTGATGAAGGAATTTTCAAGTTTTCCAAATTTAATCGCAAAAAATCCTGATGACAAAAATCCTTGAAAATACTAAATTTAAAGGGGTTGTCTTTCTACGCGAGAAAGCAAGTCTGCAATTGTGCGTCACTATTTTCAACTAACTATAAACTGGCATTAAATTGACTTGGAACACCCCAAACGACTTAATAAATGTTTGGGTGTGAACTCCGAGAGAAGTACACACAAATAAATAATGTGTGCGATAGAGCGCACTTTCTTTCCTAGTTTTAAGGTTTTAGCGGCTTGTGTTTTTCACCAAAAGATCAGTATTTGCGCACCAAGAAAATTTTCTGAACACGGAACGTTCAAGAAGCACCTTAGCCCAAGCGATTTAGCATATCTTGCCTTGTGGAAAGACAACCCCTTTAAAAAAAAGTAAAAAATTATTCGAAAATTTAAAAAAAACAGGAAGAAAATTGAAATTAAACCTGAAATTAAATTTTTGTCCGAAAAAAATCACTGTTTCAAAAATTTGATGAATAAATTTTCAAGGTTTCCAAATTTAATTGTACAATAAATCCTAATTTTAATTTGTTACACCAGAAAAAAATATTCAAAAAATCACTGTTTCAAAAATTTTATGAATTTTTTTGTGAAATGTTTTCTTCAGTTTGACGCCCATCGCTGTCCATGAATTTTGGCTGAATTTTTTTTTCTGCAATCACTAGATTTCAAACAAATATGAACAGAAAATTCAGCATAAAATATTCACTGTTTCAAAAATTTGATAAATGACTTTTCAAGGTTTCCAAATTTGATGATAGCAATTAGTATATAGTAGATTAAATCCTGGTGACAAAAATCCTTGAAACTTCAAAATTCAAATTTTTTACGTAAAAAAATTCGAAAATTTAAAAAAAACAAAAAGAAAATTAAAATTAAACCTGAAATTAACATTTTTATTCGAAAAAATTCACTGTTTCAAAAATTTAATGAATAAATTTTCAAGTTTTCCAAATTTAATCAAATCCCTACTCCGAAAATCCTAGAAAATACAAAATTCAAATTTTTGGCGTAAAAAAATATTCGAGAATTAAAAAAAATTGAAATTAAACCTGAAATTAAAACTTTTATCCGAAAAAAAATCACTGTTTCAAAAATTTGATGAATGAATTTTCAACGTTTCCAATTTTATTAGGAAGTGTCACTTGTGTGATCCTGCGGTCAAAAATCCTTGAAAGTTTCAAAATTCCAATTTATATGTAGTGTAAAAAAATTATTCGAAAATTAGAAAAAAACAGGAAGAAAATTGAAATTAAACCTGAAATTAAAATTTTTTATTTGAAAAAAAATCACTGTTTCAAAAATTTGATAATGAATTTTCAAGTTTTCCAAATTTAATTAAATAATAAATCCTGATTGAATCGAAAATCCTTGACAGTTCAAAATTAAAATTTTTAACGTAAAAAAATTATTCGAAAATTAAAAAAAATTGAAATTAAACCTAAAATTAAAATTTTTATCCAAAAAAAATCACTGTTTCAAAAATTTGATGAATAAATTTTCAAGGTTTCCAATTTTATTACGGAAAATATAAAATTCAAATTTTTAGCGTAAAAAAATCGAAAATTAAAAAAACAAAAAGAAAATTAAAATTAAACCTGAAATTAAAATTTTTATCCGAAAAAATTCACTGTTTCAAAAATTTGATGAATAAATTTTCAAGTTTTTCAAATTTAATCGTATTAAATCCTGATTGAATCGAAAATCCTAGAAAGTTCAAAATTCAAATTTTTAACATAAAAAATATTCGAAAATTTAAAAAAACAAAAAAGAAAATTAAAATTGAACCTGAAATTAAAATTTTTATCCGAAAAAAATTCACTGTTTCAAAAATTTGATGAATAAATTTTCATGTTTCTTATTTTATTACGAAAAATATAAAATGCCAATTTTCGGCGTAAAAAAATATTCGAAAATTAAAAAAAAAGAGGAAAGGTGGTTTTTTTTTGAAAAAGAAAATTGAAATTAAATTTTTTATCTAAAAAAATTCACTGTTTCAAAAATTTGATAAATGAATTTTCAAGGTTTCCAAATTTATTAACAATTACTATCGTGCCGGCAAAAATCCTTGAAAGTTCAAAATTCAAATTTATATGTAGTGTCAAAAAAATTATTCGAAAATTAAAAAAAATAACAGGAAGAAAATTAAATCTAAACTTGAAATTAAATTTTTTTTGTCCCAAAAAATTCACTGTTTCAAAAAATTTGATGAATGAATTTTCAAGGTTTCAATTTTATTAACACAATCGTGCCGCCGAAAATTCTTGAAAATACAAAATTTTAATAGTTGGTGTCAGAAAAAATATTCGAAAATTAAAAAAAACAAAAAGAAAATCGAAATTGAAACGGAAATTAAAATTTTCATCCAAAAAATTCACTGTTTCAAAAAATTTGATGAATGAATTTTCAAGGTTTCAATTTTATTAACACAATCGTGCCGCCGAAAATTCTTGAAAATACAAAATTTTAATAGTTGGTGTCAGAAAAAATATTCGAAAATTAAAAAAAAACAAAAAAGAAAATCGAAATTGAAACGGAAATTAAAATTTTCATCCAAAAAATTCACTGTTTCAAAAATTTGATGAATGAATTTTCAAGGTTTCAATTTTATTAACACAATCGTGCCGCCGAAAATTCTTGAAAATACAAAATTTTAATAGTTGGTGTCAGAAAAAATATTCGAAAATTAAAAAAAACAAAAAGAAAATCGAAATTGAAACGGAAATTAAAATTTTCATCCAAAAAATTCACTGTTTCAAAAATTCCATTAATAAATTTTCAAGTTTCCAATTTTACTAAAAATATCGAAATTCCAATTTTTGGCGTTAAAAAATTATTCGAAAATTAAAAAAAATTGAAATTAAACCTAAAATTAAAATTTTTATCCGAAAAAATTCACTGTTTCAAAAATTTGATGAATAAATTTTCAAGGTTTCCAAATTTAATTGTATGAAAAATCCTAATTCTAATTTTTTACACCAGAAAAATCATTCAAAAAATCACTGTTTCAAAAAATCCTATGAATTTTTTTGTGAAATGTTTTCTTCAGTGAATCTTCATTTCCTACTGCATGAATGGCTCACTAATTTTCAAACAAAAATGTACAGAAAAGTTATCATAAATAAAATTTTTACTGTTTCAAAATTTAATTTTGGCTTTGTTCAGAATTTCAGTAAACATTCACAGATTCAAAAATGTTGAAAAAAAATCAACTAAAAATTCACTGTTTCAGAAATTTTATGAATTTTGGGTGAATATTTTTCTGCAGTAAAGTACAAATTTATTTTTTAAAAAATTACTGTTTCAAAATTTTCCATTTTTCACTAAATTCTTCAAAATTTCAACAAAAAACTCATTTTTTCCAGGGAAGACGACGAAGAAGAAGGAAAACCAGCAGCGAAAAAAGCCTTGAGCTCATGGCTCCAAAATAAGGAAAATTCTGAAAATATCCCCAAAAGACATGCCTATTTCGAGGAAAAATGTATGAAAAATGTGCTCAATTTTTGAAAATTTTAATTTGAAAATTTTTAAATTTCAAATTTCACCGGTTTTTTCAAGATACTCACTATAAAAATTCACTTTTTTTTCTATTTTTTTGACTATTTTTGAAAAATTCACTGTTTCAAGCAGTTTTAAAATATTTTTCAGTAGATTTTAATGATCAATTCTTTAATTTTGAATTCCTCCAGATGATTTTTGGGCTGAGTTTCACCAAAATCGCCAGTGTTTTATTTTTTGGCCTATATGTTTAACAATTTCTGGCAACTTTATAAGCTATTTACACCGGAGTTGTGTGCGGAAAATTTGGAGAATGAAGAATTGCTCAGAAATTGCTATTTGGTGAGTTTTCCGCGCAAGCTCCGGAAAAGTTAGCCGAACTTATTTTTTTGCAGCCAAGTCACTTGCCGAATTCTGATGGAAAATTCGAGAAACTTCAACTTCGAATCTATATTTCACAGAAAAACGATTATTTGGGAGAATTGGCGATGAAATTTGAGGATTTGCAAATTAGTGAAGAGAGGAGGAAAAGTGTGAGTTTTTGAGGGGAAAATTTGAATTTGAGAAAAAAATTTGAAATTTTTTTGAAACAGTGATGTTTTTTAATGTTTCAAAAAATATCTATTATATTTGAAAGAAATGCCATAAGCGACTGACCAAAAAATCAAAACTCAGAAATTTTATTCAAAAAAATTTGAAACAGTAAAAAATTGTTTTGAAGATCATATATATGTGGACTGATCAATTTTCCAAGTTTTCAGATTTCTCGTGAAAATTTTTTGAAACAGTGAGAAATTTTCGAATTTTAAACACGAGGCACAAAAAGTAGCAGCAAGTTTATATCAGAAAATTTACGATAATTTTGAAACAGTAATTTTTTTCGTGAATAATTCGGAAGTTGTCGAGACTATTTTCCCGAGTCCAGAATATTTTCTTTACAATTTTTTGAAACAGTAAAATTTTTTGTTTAATTTTTTTTCTGTTTAGAAAAATGTTTCATGAAAATTTCTTGAAACAGTAAAAATTTAGAATTTTTTTCTCAAAACAAAATTATGACCAAAATGTTCCCCCATAAATTAAATTTTTGGAAATTTCAAGCGTGATTTGTCTAAATTTTGAAACAGTGAATTATTTTTCTTAGTTTTCAGAATAATTTAGAAATAGAAGTTTCTGTTGAATTATCTTTGCCCGAAAACAATCAATTTTCCAAAATCTCGAATTTTTCATTAAAATTTTTTGAAACAGTGAGAAATTTTTGAATTTTATTTGAAGTAGATCATTTTTACGAGTTCAGAAAATTTTCTATACAAATTTTTTTGAAACAGTGTTTTTTTCTTCAAAATTTCGATAGAAGAAAATTAATTAATTTTTACTGTTTCAGAAAATTTTCATGATAATTTTTGAACCATTAAAAAATCGATAGTTTTTAAAAAATTTCTATACAAAATTTCCCAAAAAAATTTTATTTTTGAAAATTTCAACGTGCCCCGTTTTTTCTCCCCCAGAAAATCCAATTTCTTCTACAGATCAACATCACAATTCCAAAATCAGTATCTTCAAATGGATTCCTGTATGCTCATGTTATACTTCTTCCCCAAAATTATGAAGGAACAAATCCGATGACTGTAAGAATCTAAAAAATCTAAAAATTTCAGAAAATCTTTGAATTTTTCAGGCTCCCTGGAAAGTTCACGCCGGCTCTCAAATGATTGTTTTCCAAGAACCTGTCGCCAAAACTTTCAATCTTCTGCAAACTGAAAAAATTGTGGAAAATGAGAAGAAACCGAAGAGAAAAACAGTTACTGTAAGTTGGAATTGAAGGCTGAAAATCTGAAAAATTTTCAGATTTCTGCGCATTTTCGAAGTGTTCTACCGATCAGAATTGCTACGGATTCCACGAATTTTTTGATGGAAAAAGCGACACCAGAGTTACGGTAAGTTTTTTGAGATTTTGAAAATTGCAGCAATGACGTGGCAAATTTTGAAAATTTTGAAACAGTGAATATTTTTTGATGACAAAAATAGTTAAAAAATATTGCTGTTTCAGATTTTCCAAAAAACAGCCATGAAAAATTAAAATTTCTGTTAAAAAAAAAGAATATGAGTTATGACGTGGCAAATTTTCAAAAAAGGACGAAATGAATATATCAAAAACGATTTTACAAGAAAAAATATATGAAAATTTTGAAACAGTGAATATTTTTCGAAGATAAAAATTCACTGTTTCAAAAATAATTGTAATACAATTTTTGAATTTGTCAAAATAATAATAAATATAATCATTTTAATTATTAAAAATTAAAAAGTTTCCATTAAAAATCTTCAGTGATTCTGGATTTTGGTAAATAATTTTAAATTTGATAGTTAGAAACTGCTAAATTACATTATTAATCTATCAAATACACATTTTTCGTTAAAAAATATATGAAAATTTTGAAACAGTGAACATTTTTGAAAATCTTTTCAAAAAAAAACTAATAATTTTCTCCAAAAAATTCACTGTTTCACTGAAAGAGTTCAACGTTTTTTGATTTATTATCATTTCATTAAATGCTCTATTCTTACAAGGGAAGTGCATAGGGTTAGGTGTTGAACTTTTGATGAAACGTTCAAAATAAACCAAATCGACCATGCTGATCACGAATCCGAAGTCAAAAATTGCCACAAATGCCTGTGAGCACTTTTCTGGAGCTCCAAAGTTGAAATCGAGTTTTGGTTTTCGTCCATTTTCACCATGTTCCTGGGTGGAAAATCAATTTTTATAACACGAATAAGGTTGTTCTTCACATTCGAAAACCTATCAGCTTTTCAGTTTATCAAAAAATATTAAAAACCAGGTCAAAACTGTAATTTTCGAAAATGCACGAAAAACTTTGAAAAACGTGTGTATTTACGTGTGATTGTGTGTATTTTCAGGAAATTCTTGAAAGTTGCAGTTTTCAGCTGGTTTTTCATATTTTTCGAAGAACTGAAAAGCGGATATGTTTTCGAATGTGGTGAGCAACCTTATTCATGTTATAAAAATTTATTTTCCACCCAGGAACATGGTGAAAATGGACGAAAACCAAAACTCAATTCTAACTTTGGAGCTCCAGAAAAGTGCTCACAGGCATTTGTGGCAATTTTTGACTTCGGATTCGTGATCAGCATGGTCGATTTGATTTATTTTGAACGTTTCATCAAAAGTTCAACACCTAACCCTATGCACTTCCCTTGTTAGTCATGAAAATTACCGGAATTTTTAAAGGAAAAAATCTGAAATTCAAGTTTACCAAGCTGAAAATGTCCTCAAAATAACATTTTCAGCCAAAAAAACCAAACTTATTATCAAAAAAAAATTCACTGTTTCAAAATTTTTATTTAAAGAAAATATAGATTTTTCAAATTTTTTGCAGAGATTTCCTAACAATTCGAGAAATCGAAAAACGCCACGAATATTTGCCAATGTTATTCATCGATGAAATGTCGATGAGAAGTCGAGATTTGGTGGAAATTGAGAATTTCAGCGAGAAAATGAACTTGACAATCGATTATCAACCAACATCGGTTGCAAAATTATTGTTGTTGACAACTTCGGCCAGAACTGTTTATCAATTGACAAAACATGGATTTAAGGATAAGGATATTGATGAGGTAATTGGGAAAAAATTGGGAGAAAATTCGGGAAAAAATCTCACTGTTTCAAAATTTTGTGAAATATATGTTAGGAAACATGTTTGGTATTCCAGATTTTTTTTTAAAATCTAATTAAAACTTTGAATTTTGAAATGGCTAAAAAAATTTAAATAAAGTTCTAGGATTATTCAGGAAATTTTTGAATTCATCCAATTTTTAGAACTGAAAAAAATTTTGAAACTGTCAAAAATTTCGCAAACAAAATTCAAAAATTTTCACTGTTTCAAAATTTCAATAATTTTTTTTAAGAGATACATTTATTTGATTCGCCTGCCAAAAATTGAACTTCAAACATAAAAATTCTCAGAATTTCAGATATTTTCTTGAATTCACAGTACTATTTTGCACAAATCCCGAATTTTTGAAACAGTGAATTTTCTGGCATTTTTTACGTTTCAAAAAATGTTGGTTAATTGTAAAAATTATAATTATTCAATTGTTGTACTTTTTCAAACTTAACAAAAAGAGCGAATCAATTTTTTTGTTCAAGAAATAATTTTCACTGTTTCAAAAATCCCCATAATTCCCATATGTTTTCCAGCTTCGCGGATTGTTCACCGAAACTTCTTTGCTCCTTCTAATGCTCACATTTTTCGTCTCAACACTTCATTTGCTTTTCGATGCGTTGGCTTTCAAAAATGATATTTCGTTTTGGAGAGGAAGAGATTCGATGGTTGGATTGTCGTCGAAGTTGGTTTTTTTGGGGATTTTTTAGGGTAAAAATTATATTTTAAGCATAAAATCAGAATTTCCTAGCTCCTGAAATATTCAAGATAATTTTGAAACAGTAGAAATTTTCATAATCGAAAAATCGATAATTTTTTGATTAAAAGTCTGTAATTAGCTAATTTCATTTGAAAATTAACAATTTTTCATTGTAAAATCTCACTGTTTCAGAATTTTCATGAATAATTTAGAAATTTAGACAAATCTAGTCTGATTTATGGATGAATTGTGTAAAAATTAAGATTATTTTGAAACAGTGATATTTGAAAAAACTTTTTTAATGAAATCAGATTTGAGATACTGGATTTCTTTAGGAATTTTTGAAACAGTGAGATTTTTTGGGATATATAAATTAAGGATTGAACAGAATTTCCAAAATTCAGAATTTTATATAAAAATTTTGAAACAGTGAACATTTTTAGAGGATTTTTGACTGAAAAATGCTTGTATTTATTATTGGTAATCTAATTTTAATTTAAAAATTTGAAATAATTTTGAAACAGTAAATTTTAAACCAGAAAAAATCGAGTATTTTGTTACAGAACCCTCCTTTGGCGTTGTTTTTCGCAAACAATAATATTTTTCTATTTACACGATCAAAAAACATCATTATTAGTGCTAATCCCAGCCGGAATTTCAACAATAATCGAATATTGGAAAATCACAATCGCCTACAAAATTCGAATCTCATTTCAAAATGGAATTTCATTTGGAAAACATTCGAAAGAAGAAACAGAAACCGAATCGATTGATTCAGAAGCAATGAAATATTTATCGATTATTTTGGTACCTTTGATTATTTGTGGAAGTGTTTATAGTTTGATGTATATTCCACAAACTTCGTGGAAATCTTGGATTTTACAAATGCTTTCGAATGGTGTTTATGCTTTTGGATTCCTTTTTATGCTACCACAATTGTTTGTTAATTATAAATTGAAAAGTGTTGCGCATTTACCGTGGAGAGCTTTTATGTATAAGGTAGGGGAAAATTCACTGTTTCACAAAATTAATGTGAAAAAGTTCTTGGAATTTTTATGCTATATAGAAATTTTCACAAAATATTGCTGGAGCCTGAGAAATAGTTCAGAAAACTCTTAAAAATTTGAATTTTGAATTAATTTTGAAGCCAAAAAATTCACTGTTTCAAAAATAATGTTTTATTTTTTTGTTGAATTTTATGAATTTCGATGAAACTTCTAATTTTGAAGCAAAAAAAAATCACTGTTTCAAGATTATTTTATCTGAATTTTCGAATTTTTAAAAGCAATTTCGAAAATTTTTTTGGATAAAAATTTGGTGTTCTAAAGTCGTCCTAAAGTCCTCAATATTTTCACTGTTTCAAAAATAATTTTTAATTTTTTGCTGAATTTTATGAATTTCGATAAAGCTTTCAGTGACAATACAAGAATTCATTTGAAAATCGAATTTTTCTGTTCAAAATTTTTTACTGTTTCAAAAATTTGATGTAAAAATTTTCAAATTTTAAGAGATGTTAATAAGATCGCAAATTATAAAATTTGTACCAAAATCTAGAGAAATTTTGAAAAATTCTGAAAATTTCAAATGTTTGCAGGCTTTCAACACATTTATCGACGATCTTTTTGCATTTATTATAACAATGCCAACTGCTCACAGAATGGCGTGTTTCAGGTATTTTTTATCGATTTTTGGGCTCAAAATTGGCTCAGGGCCCAAAATAGATGCTCCTGGGCTCAATTTCCACGTTTTTTGCTCAAAACCTGCTCAATTCCTATTTTTTCCAGGGATGACATTGTTTTTGTGATTTATTTGTATCAAAGATGGTTATATCCAGTCGATTATTCAAGACCAAATGAATATGGAGAAATTAAAAAAGAAGAAGAAGAAAAATTGAAAAAAGAGAATTAGGATTTGGGATACTGTAGATAATACAGTACTCTTTTGGTTTTTAAATTATCGATTTTTTACTTGTTTTCAATTTTTGTCTGGTTATTTTTTAATGGGTAATTTTTATGGAATAAAATTAAAATTAATTTTTGATTTGAAAAATTTTCGCTGTTTCAAAAAATTTGGAAAATTTTATTCAAAAATTTAAAAAAAGATGAAAAATAACAAAATAAAAACGTGAAAAAAAATTCTGAAACAGTAAATTTTTAAAAAATTTTTTTTCCAAAATTTGAGAAGAAGAGCAAAATTTGAAACAGTATTTTTTTGAGAAATGAAATTTTTCGAAAAATTGATTTTTTGAGAAAATTTTACAAATAAAATTTGAAACAGTGAATTTTTTGTGACGTTTTTTGTTAAATCAAAAATTTCTGCTCAAATGAGCAACTCAACTTCCAAAATCACATTTTTTCAAATTTTTTTATTTCAAAAAAAAAATGAACAACTACGCTCCTTTTGTTCCAATTTTCAAAATCTACACAATTCTAAGCTTCTGCGAAGTTGTGCTAACTCTTCCAATTTACATCTACACAATATTCTACATGTGCTCAAAACGCGGTGCTCAAAAACAAAAACACATCAAATCCACGAATCGCCTCGTTTTGCTCTCAAAAATCGCGTGGAATTTTGTTTTTGAGCAATTTTCATCGGGTCTCGCCACGATTTGGTTTTCTCCCATACAAGTTTCATGTCCTTCCGGGTACCTACAGTACCTCCAACTACCTACAGTACTCTGGCAAAGTATTTCGATGTGTCTGAATCACGCCCTACCAATTTCCATAACACATTTGTATTTTTATCGATTGAAATTGGCGATTCGCCCGAATTCCACGTGGTTTGCAGTTTTGGAGCGTGGCGGGACCATTTATATTGGGGTACTGTATTTTGGCGGGTTTTTGGTGTATCCTTATCAATTAATGCATAGTGGAACGGATTTTGATAGAATTGAGTATGCTGAGGTGAGTTAGGATAAGTCTGGGCCAAATTCTTGAATTTTCAGATTTTTAAAGCAGCTGTCTTAAAAATATCGAAAAAAAAATTCAGAAATTTTGAAACAGTATTTTTTTCAGAAAATAAAAATTTCAGAAAAATTAGAGATTTTTAATTTTCTGGACTAAAAAATCATGAAAAATCATAATTTTAAGTTAGAATTCTTGAATTTTCAGCCAAAAATTAAATCGAAAAAAAAATTCTGAATTTTTTATTCAAAAAATTTTGAAACAGTATTTTTTCAGGAAAATGAAATTTCTGAAAAATTCGAGATTTTTAATTTTCTGGACTAAAAAATCATGAAAAACCCAATTTTAAACGTAGAATTCTTGAATTTTCAGCCAAAATTCCAGAAATTCAAGATTTTTGAAAACATGGTTAAAAATTTAAATCGAAAAAAAATTTCTGAATTTTTTATTCCAAAAATTTTGAAACAGTAATTTTTCAACAAATGAAAATTTTTGAAAAATTAGAGATTTTTAATTTTCTGGACTAAAAAATCATGAAAAATCCAATTTTGAAGGTAGAATTCTCAAATTTTCAGCCAAAATTTAAGAATTCTGAGATTTTTTGAAAAATGGTTAAAAAAGACATCGAAAAAAAAATTTCAGAATTTTTTATTCAAAAAATTTTGAAACAGTATTTTTTTCTGAACTAAAAAATCATGAAACCTCCAATTTTAAAGGTGAAATTCTCGAATTTTCAGCCAAAATTCCAGAATTTCTTCCAGAACTCCATCAATCTCCCAAACCTCTTCTGGTCTCCAAATTGCTACATCTCCTCTCCCACCCCATTATTCTCCCATGCCTATCTACCCGCCCTCTGCGTCTCTACCCTCTCAACTCTCTCCGTCTGGCTCATCCCAATCTCATCAATCTATCTCATTTTGAAATTCGAAAATTCACGCCAAAATTTTTTTTCACGTCACACCAAAATCCACCAAAAATTGGTGCTCAAAAGTTTGGTGCTCCAAACTTTGGTGTTTTTTTGCATGTACATGTTGCCGAGTGGAGTTGCGACAAGTTCGATTGGTGGATTTTGGTTTAATCCGGCGGTGGTGCAGATTTGCTTGTTCTTGATTCAGGTTCACGGTGTTTTGGTGGTGCTGGTGATTTTTTGGACGCAAAAGGGATTTGCTGAGGATTTGGGGAAGGATTTCAAGAGTTTTTGTAAATTTTTTCGATTTTTTTAAATAAATAAAATTTTGGGTAGTTCTGAGATTCAAAAAAAATTTGAGCCAAAATTCTACTGTTTCAAAATTTTTGTAATGTTTTCGCATATGTCTGAGATTTGTTGATTCGATCACCTGAAAAAGTTGAATTTTTTGAATTTTCTTCCAGTTTTTGCAATTTTTACCCGAAAAAAAAATCCGAAAAATTCACTGTTTCAAAAATTTGTAATAATTTTGAATGGGATTTTTTGGTTGGTATTCTTATGGTTGGTAAAACGTTTTTTTCTATATTTCAATACTGAAATTTTTCAAAAAAAAAATAATATTTTGAGAATCAACAAAATGTGGGAATTTCTGAGATTCAAAAAAAAATTTGAGCCAAAAATTCACTGTTTCAAAATTTAAAAAAATTTTCGCAAATGAAATTTCAACAATTTTTTTTGCGTTTTTTTTTAATTAAATTCAAAAACAAAGTCTTAAAAAATACTACTGTTTCAAAATTTTCAAAAAATTTTGAGTAAAAAAATTTCACTGTTTCAAAAAATTTGTTTTTGTTTTTGAATCCAGAAAATTCCCACATTTTGTAGATTCTCAAAGTCATATTTTTATTTAAAAATTTTTTTTTGAAATGTAGAAAACCACTTTCAAAAAAAATTTTCTTCCAAAATTTGTCCAATTTTTGAAACAGTGAATTTTTTTAAAGATTTTTGAGCTCCAAAGTAAACCTATCATATTTAGACTCAAAATGCTCTTCTTTTGGTCTCGAAGCGAAATACAGTACCTTCCTTCTAAAAATTTCATCAAATCAATCAATAATGTGAATATTTGTTTGGTGGAACATCTCGACGATTGTCCAATTTGAATGTCAAACCGGTGAAATTTGCAGACTGTGCAGAAATTGGGACAGCTTTGAAACTTCGAACAATGTTACCCCAACTTCCTGGAGTGTCCATACAATTGTGATAGATTACCAAAAGTGGCTCGTATTCGGTGTCCTGGGAATTTTCAAGTGATTTCAGCATTTTCAGCACAAAATTCTGAATTTTCTAGGGCAAGTGGGGTCTCAAAATGCTCCAAATTCCCCAGAAAATCTAAATTTCTCTACAAAAACTTACAAAAAGCCCATCTCCTCCTTCAAATGTCCCTTTAATACTGAAATTATGCGAAACATGTGATGCTTTTTCTCCCAATTCTTTCAATTTTATCGAATCTGATGTCGAATAAATTAGATCTTTTTCTAGAAGTTGAAGCTTGGCTTGGAAATTCGAATTCAAATTGCATTTCATTGAACCTTGGATGTAGATTTCAGTTGAAATTACTTCAGAAATCAGGAAAAATACAAGGAAAATCATGATTCTCTTTGATTTTTATTTTTTCGCATTTGAAAAATCACTTTTTATGCAGGGAAAATTAGGGCATTGTTATGTAAATTTGTGAGAAAATTCAAATTTTTCGAATATTTTTGATTAGAAATCAATAACAACACGAAAGAGCTCACATAGATTGCTCAGATTAGTCTCAAACTATCCAGGAAATCATTTTGACACAAAAAATGACCAATGAATTTCTCGAAACAGTGAATTTTTCTCAATTTTTCAAGTTGCTCGAATAAATTTCCAAAATTGATTTTACTCATAAAATTAACATTGAATACAATGCAGCATCACAGAAATTTCCAATTCAAAAGATTCATTAAAATTTTGAAACAGTGAATTTTTGGGGAGTATTATCGATAATTTTTTTTTTTCGAAATATTTTGTCACCACTATAATCGCAGAAAATTTCCATCCCAAATTTTTAAAAATTTTTGAAACAGTTAATTTTTTCTCAAGTTTTCAAATTGCGAAGACATAATCATTTCCAAAGCTCAGAAAATTCCAATTCAAAAACTTTGAATAATTTTGAAACAGTTAATTTTTTTCACAACTTTTCAATTTTTTCAAACACTCTTTAGTTCAGAAAATTCCAATTCAAAAGCTTCATTAAAACTTTGAAACAGTGAATTTTTGGGGAGTAGTACAGCTCTTTTTTTTAAATTTTTATTCCGTAAGAAACTATGAACACCAGAAAAAATCCTAATTTAAAAAATTAAAAAAAAAATTGAAACAGTGAATTTTTTTTCCTAAATTTTGATGATTTTATTCATCAGCTAGGAAATTCTCATTCCGAAATTTTGACAAATTTTTGAAAAAGTGATTTTTTCTCTATTTTTCAAGTTGCTCAAATAAATCTCCAATATTGAATTTTATTAAACTCCGATCACTATCTCCAATCTCATCAGCCTAGAAAACTTTAACCCAGAATAAACAAATTTTGAAACAGTGATTTTTTTCTCAATTTTTCAAATTTACCGACGGTTATCAAAGCTCAGAAAATTCCCATCGCAAATTTTTTAAAAAAATTTTGAAACAATGAATTTTTGGGAACTACTATCGACATTTTTTTTCTAATTTTTCAAAAATTTTGTCACTACTATCATCGCAGAAAATTCCCATCCCAAATTTTTAAAAAATTTTTGAAACAGTGATTTTTTTCTCAATTTTTCAAATTGTTCAAACATCCTGTAGCTGTACAATCTGTAGCTCGGAAAATTCGCATCACAAAATTTGACAAATTTTTGAAACAGTGAATTTTTGGGGAATATTATGAGCTCATTTTCGAATTAAAAAATCAAACAATTTTGAAAAAAACAAACAAAAAATGAAGTTGTTAACCCAGCCCAGATAATTGTCACCCTAAAAACATTGAGTAATTTTGAAACCGTGAATTTTTTCTCAATTTTTCAAATTGCGCAGACATAATTATTTTCAAAGCTCAGAAAATTCCAATTCAAAAGCTTCATTAAAACTTTGAAACAGTGAATTTTTGGGGGAATATTATGAGCTCATTTTTGAATTTAAAATCACAAAATTAAAAAAAAACAAACAAGAAATCAACACTTTTCATATATAATTAAAGTCATCCTACAAATTTTGAGTAATTTTGAAACAGTGAATTTTTTTCCTAGATAATTTCCCTCCTCAAAATTAAATGTTGTGGGGCTTCTGTAAATTAGTTTTGAAAATTCGCATCCGAAAATTTGACAAATTTTTAAAACAGTGAATTTTCATCATAGTATACCTCTATCTTCGCAGAAAATTCCCATCCCAAATAAAAAAAAAATTTTGAAACAGTTAATTTTTTCTCAATTTTTCAAATTTTTCAAACAAGCTCAGAAAATTCCCATCCCAAATTTTTTAAAAATCTTGAAACAGTGAATTTTTGGGGAGTATTATCGATATTTTTTTTAATTTTCATTCCGTCAAGAAACTATCATATTTTGTCACCATACCGCAGAAAAATCCTATTTCAAAATTGAAAAAAAATTTTGAAACAGTGAATTTTTTTTCCTAATTTCCCTCTTCAAAATTAAAATAATCCCACTATTTAACATTATAGAAAATTCGCATCCCAAATTTTTCAAAAAAATTTTGAAACAGTGAAAGTTTGATTCTCAATTCCTTTTCAAATCAAAAGTCCATTAACAATTTCTCCTTTTTGAAAACCCTTTGAAAAACAAGACAAAAGACAATCGAGTCGTGGTCAATTTTCTTCTTATTTATTCAATAAGAACTCGAAATACAAACAAGCAAGAAAAATACACAAAAACAAACTTAGTCTAACTCAGGCTTGTTTTTATTTATTTATTTTTTTGAGATTTAATATGAGCAATTTTATAACTTTAATTTTTCAGTTCGAAAAAAAAATGATTTGGAAAATTTTGGTGATTTTAATTTTGATGGCTGTGAATTTGGTCAGAGGTTAGTTTTTTTCAAAATTCTTGTCCGAGAGAACTACAAATCTAATTTTCTTCAAAAAAAAACCCACATTGTCCAAAAGAACTACACAAAATTGCTTCATTCATTGAATTCTTTGTATATTTCTTCAAAATCTCATTTTCCGGATTCCAAAACATGATCAAATCTCCAGGCATTTGAATCAGGCGAATCCAATAATTCCATTTCATCAACATTTCGAATAAAAACATACAGGTTCAAATTATTTGGAATTTCGTCCAATTCCATTAATTTCATCAAATCGACCAAGCTCAAATCAACTGAAAAATAACGAAATTGGGGTACTGTAGGTCTGAAATTGGGCGGGAAACAAGATTTGGAAGTTTTGAGGTAGAAAAGTTTGGGTTACTGTGGCTTGGCACCAAAAATGATCTACAAAAATTTTTGGAACTTATTTCCGAGCTACAGTACCTCAGATTTTTATTCCAAAAATTTGATCTACAAATTATTTGAAACTCAATTCTGGTTTAAAAATCAGCGATTACTGTAGCTCCACAAATTCGGCACCAAAAATTTGATCTATAGAATTTTTCAGAATTCACGAAAAGTCGTAGGTCAAAATTAGTTTTCCAAGTTTTTCAGCCAAAAATGATGAAAAATCGATATTTTTCAAGCTTCTGGAGTAATTTCTGATGAAAATTGACCTTGGAATTCATTTTCCAGAAGGTTTTGCTGATTTTTCGTAAAAAATTCATAAAATAAAGCAAAATAGGGTTCTCAAAGGTTATTTTCATCAGAAATTACTCCAGAAGCTTGAAAAATATCGATTTTTCATCATTTTTGGCTGAAAAACTTGGAAAACTAATTTTGACCTATGACTTTTCGTGAATTGATCTTTCAATGTTAAAAAAAAAAATTTTTAAACATTTTTTTCGTTTGTGAATCAGGCTTTTAGGCATAATTTGGCGCCGAAATTTTCAGCTACAGTATCCCAGAATTTTCAGCTAGAAAAAAAGTTCCAAAAATTTGTAGATCATAAATTTTCGAGGTACAGTATACCAACCTGAATTAGGCGCCAAAAGTTTTCGAAAAATATTATTTGAATCGCGCGCCTTCTTCATCATCGCATTTTTGGCGCGATTCCAACGAATCTCAAAAATCGACGCAAAAACATAGAACGAGAATCGATTTTTGATCTTCGTTCCCACTTTTCTGATCATATATTTGAGCGGCAAACGCAATTTCTCATCCGATGTCATTTCTGTCGATCCGATTCGACGTTGCATGAAAAATATGTGAATTGGGATGCAATATTGAAAATAGAGACTAGAGTCTAGGCAACAATTTGAGGAGAGAGTTAGATCGTTTTCCGAACCACTTTCGGCTTCTTTTTCGGAAGAAATTATCACAATTTTTCGATTTGCCTCATTTTCCAGCAATGTACTTTCACATGATGGAACTGGTGTGCAACGTGTTATAAATTCTCTGCAAATTCTTTATTTTAAGCTTTCCGCAAGGCTTCCGCGTAGGCGGAAGCCTTGCGGATTACAGTAATCCCTTTCCCTCTGTTCTTATAACTCATTGAAATAATTTAGACACTTTCTTTTTTTATTTTATTCAAAAATGACGGGGATTTTTGGGAATTTTTGGGCTGGGAAAAAAAAACGGGGAAAATCGGTCACGTTTGGGGAAAATTGGATTTTTTGAAATTTTCTAATAGAAAATTTTGAAACAGTGAAATTTTTGATTATTTTTTCAGTTCAACAAATTTTGAAACAGTGAAAAAATATTTTTTTTGAACTGTAGTTTTGTGATTTTCCAACAAATCCAATCAAAAAATACAATTTTCTCATAAAAATATTTTGAAACAGTAAAATTTTCTACAAAAAATATTTTTTCCAAACTATTGTTTCAATGCTCATTTTCTAGTTCAGCTAATTTTGAAACAGTGAAATTTTTATTTATCAGAAAATTCATGAATATGTTTCCCGAATTGATAGAAAATATAAAAAAAATGATAAATACTCTTTGAAACAGTGAATTTTAATAGAAAACTATATTTTGAACGAAAATAATTTGAGCAAGATTTTTTGGGACTATTTTTATGCTCAAAATAATTTTGAAACAGTAGATTTTCAGTATAAAAATATTTATTATTTCCATCTTATTCCGCCACAATTTTTGCAAAATACTTAAATCTCTTGAATAATTTTCGAAAAACAATTTCAGAATATGAAGCATAAATTGGAATAAACATAAAATACAAAAATGTATTAGTTTGACATCCAAAATTCAAATAATTAATCTTAACTTTCTCAAAAAATGATCGAATAAAAAATGTGAACAAAATCGGGATAATAAACGAATTCGGATAGAATTTCAAGCCAAGATATTTGATAGAAATTATAAAGTAGACTAATAAAATTGGATGTAAAAGATATCGATCTTTATGTTGTTCGACAGTTTTTAAAGGAGCTATACTATTACAATTTCTAAATGTTTGTCCAAAACAATAGCTAAAATATAATTGCGCAATGAATATAACAATATTTGGATAAGTTGGTAGATCAGAATATTTTTTGTGAATTATTTCTCGAGAAATATGCAAAAATATTGCAATTTCTAGATATAAACCTCGAAAATTCTCAGCTTCTTCAACTAACCAATTAATCTCCGATCTGAGAAGCATATTTGGATCGCGCTTTTCCAAATACTCACCTAATAATTCCCTCCGAATCCATAAAATAAGTATCTGCTTCATAAATCGCATTAATAACTAGATCAAGAATTGTTAAAAAATTAATCAACCACATTTCAATCATTATTAATCTTGTTCGATTTTCCATCAAAATCTCATTATTCAAATAGATTTTCCATGTAAAAATGGCGAAGAAAATGAGACCAGGACTATTTAAAGCAACTTGGAATATTTTATTTTCCAATAAATCTTTTAATTCTTCATTTGGATAATATATAAGTTCTTCGAATTCGTCATAATCTTTTAGCATTTTTTGTTTTTGTTCAAAAGTTAGCATTTTTAATAAGTGAAAAGAGAGAATGAAAATTATTCAAGTTAGGAATAATTTATATGAATAATTATAGGTTTGGTGAACTTTATAAGGCTATAATTATTTGTTATGTTAGAATTTTTTGAAAAATAAAATCCTCCCCCAAAAAACTCACCTTGAAGATCCATCAAACAGCTATCATTTTCATTTTCTCCAGTGATTTTCGAAATCACATTCAAAAATCCTCATTTTCCAGTGAAAACCTGTTTTTAAATACAAAATAACATTGGTCCGCGAGTCAAAAGCGGTTGAATTCAACAAAAAAACATAATTTTCAAATCAAAATCTTTATTCAACAAGGAAAACAACGAAAAACTGCGAGAAAACATTTCGAAAAAAAACAAAAACAAAACTACGACACTCCGCTTGCCTGTTGTTTATCGTATTTCGACAGAGCGGCGTTTTGAATTCGATTTTTTTCGAAAATGTTTTTTTTTGTTTTTTTAAGGTTTTTCTGTGCAAAAATTGATTAAAAAATGTATTTCCAACGTGCTCCAATTCCACGTCATTTGGGACAAGAAAAAACACGAGACCGGTCAAATCCAAAATGAAATCAGTTCCGATTTTCTCTTTTTTAGTAAGTTCTCTTCTTTCTTTCGCTAGAAAGACTTTCATAAACAATTCCTTGTTTTTCAGTTGAATATTCATCGTAAAACGATCAAACAAAATGTCTCGTATACCAAGAAAGAACAAACGTACAACTCGAGCTCGCAGCAAAAATTCGAAAAACAACGAAATTTCGATGGAAGACGATGAACCTGCTGCTGTTCCAGGAAAAGATCCAATGATGGCATATGGCGAAAAAGCCATTCGACTCACTGTAAATTGGATAATCAAAACAAACTCAGCACCTGGTGGATTAGCTGATTGGTATGCAAAACAGATTCTTGATTCGAAAGAATCTTCAAAATCCGAATCAATATCAGCCAATTTTGCGGCGAAAAATCGAATGGCTGATTTGCCGTGCATTGAAACGACAAGAATCAAATTGAAGCATTTGGCAGACGGCCAAAAAGATTATATTCATGCGAATTTGGTGAAAACAATCTATGCCGAACGGACTTATATTGCAACACAACATCCTATGGAATCGACTTTTGAAGATTTTTGGAGAATGGTTTTCTATGAAAATGTTGACACAATTATCGCCGTTTTTGCGCAGGTTAGAAGAGTTCATAAGATGAAAATTTGAATTTTTCATCGAAACGGCGATGGTTCAATGGAGCGCATTTGCTGTTTTGAGTTAAAATTCAATGAGTTTTCAACTGAAAAAAGGCAAAGTTCCCCTAATTCCACATATTTTTTTACAGGAAGACGATCTCCCGCTTTATTTCCCTAATGAAGCTGGCAAATTCGCCAACTACGGTAAATTCTTTGTGAATAATCGTAAAGTGACCCAACCAACTGTCAAATATACACCAGTTATTCATCAAATCGAAATTTTGCCCGAAGGTTGTTCAAATAGTCGAATCATCACACTACTTCATTATGGATATTGGCCAAAAAATCAATTTCCAGTCAGTCCACGAATTGTTATGAAAACATTGAGATGTGTTAAATCGGACAAAACAACAAATGGACCACTTTTGATTCATTGTTCAAATGGTTTGAATCGTGTTGGATGTTTTATTTTAACCGATCTCATGTTTGACTTAGCTTTTCGTAATATTGACACGGATATTCCGAAAATGGTCAAATCCCTTCGTGCACAACGTTTCAACCTTCTCTCAAATAAACTACACTTTGTATATAGTTGCTTTGTATTCTTGGATTATGTTCGAATTCGTTGCAAAAGATTTAATGTTTTCCCGGATTTACTCAAAGAAATTAATGAATTTGAAGTTATGATAAATAAGGAAATTGGGCTGCTTTGTGTCAAGGAACCAGCACCGGCGAAGAATAATACGAAAAAGGATTGTACTATTGATGAGTAATAAATTTATTGTGATTGGGTGTTGTTTTTGAAAAAAAATGAAAATAAAACAACGACACTCCGCTTGCCTGTTGTTTATCGTATTTCGACAAAGCGGCATTTTGAATTGGGTTTTCTTTTTTTCAGCGTTTCGAAACGTCTGAAGCGTTTCTCTATCTAAAATCCTATAGAAAATACATTTATTAAAAGTCAAGTCATGATTTCCGCCAAACAAACCGCCCCCAAAAACTCTTCTAATCAAATTGCGTTCCTCCAGTGAAAACCTGTTTTTAAATACAAAATAACATTGGTCCGCGAGTCAAAAGCGGTTGAATTCAACAAAAACAACATAATTTTCAAATCAAAATCTTTATTCAACAAGGAAAACAACGAAAAACTAGCGAACAAACATTTCGAAAATGAAAAAAAAACAAAAACAAAACAACGACACTCCGCTTGCCTGTTGTTTATCGTATTTCGACAAAGCGGCATTTTGAATTTGGTTTTCTTTTTTTTTTTCAGAGTTTCGAAGCGTTTCCCTATCTAAAATCCGATAGAAAATACATTTATTTAAAAAATCAAACCATGATTTCCGCAAAATAATCATATTTTTTGAAAAACTTTTCTGAAAATAACACGAAAACCGGCAAAATGAAGCAATATGTGACATTATTGAAATCACAGCTAGAAAATCGAGAAATAAAAACTTCGATAATTGTTCGAATCATCAGTGAAACAATCAGGGGAACCATAAAACAATGTGCATAGAATTTCAAGCCTAAAAATTTGACTGAAACCAGGAAATATAGAAATAACACGGGATGCATGTAAATCTTATGAGTCTCGTATTTAAAGTCGTATTTTGTGTCCACGCAATAGGTCCTAAACTGTAACTGAAATAAATAAGAGCTAGAAATATGACAATATTTGGGTAAGTTGGTAGATCCGAGTATTTTTTCGCGATATTTTCTCGAGAAATTTGGAAAAATATTGCAATTTCTAGGTAGATACTGGAGGATTTTTGGAATAGAACATCGGATACAAAGGAAAAGCTGGAAAAAACACTTTTTCTGAAAAAATAACGAATTCAAACCGCCGCTCTGTTGAAATACGATAAACAACAGGCAAGCGGAGTGTCGTAGTTTTGTTTTTTTTTTTTTTTCATTTTCGAAATGTTTTCTCGCGGTTTTTTGTTGTTTTCCTTGTTGAATAAAGATTTTGATTTGAAAATTATGTTGTTTTTGTTGAATTCAACCGCTTTTGACTCGCGGACCAATGTTATTTTGTATTTAAAAACAGATTTTCACTGAAGGAACGCGATTTGTGAGTTTTTTGGGGCGTTTTCAAGAAAATGTTGAAAAAAACCTCGTAATTTTCTCCGAAATCGAATCATCTTCATAAATCGTATAAGTATCCTTGATTTTACAAAATATATCGAGCATTTTGTTGAGAATCGATAGAAAATTGACCAACCAAAACTCAAAAACAATAATTCTCGTTCGATTTTCCACCAAAATCTCGTTTTTCGAATAAATTTTCGATGCGAGAATTGCGCAGAAAATGAGGCTAGGAATTATATAAGAAATTTCGATTATTGGATTTCCAACATACCAAAATTCATCTTCGAAGAATTCCATAGAGGAAATAAAAGAAAATAAATAAAGACTTTGAAGTTGACATTTTTGAAATAATTAGAGGTTGGCTGATCAGAAAATTAAAAAAAAAAGAAAAGTAGCGGGCAGTAGGGATCGAACCCTGGCTGTTTTCCCAGTAGTCAATTAACCGGTGCTGTAGTTTGTGGGGGTCCTGAAGGGAAATTATTGATTGGCGTCAAAAATGGTCGTGGCCTAGTTTTTGCAAAAACCTAGGCCATGTAGATTTTCGGCGGGAAATTTGAAATATTCAAAAATTCTAATTTTCTCATGAAAATTCAAGTTAGGCCAGGCGGATTTCTAGAGGAAAATTTGAATTTTTGAATCTTATGGCCTAGGTTTTGTGAAAGTTAGGCCATGTCGAATTTTGGACTTTCTAAATTGAAGAGCACCATTTTTTTGAAACAGTGAACATTTTCACAGTTTCACAATTTTTTTAAATAAAAAAAAATTGATTTTTAATTGAGCCCCGCCCCCAAAAAAAATCAAATTTTCTCTCCAGAATCCCATTGTGGAATCACTGATCGTTCTTCTTGTTCTCGCCGCCGAGTTGGATATATCACAAGTTGGGGTCAAACTCCATTTCGAGATGATCAGGCCCAAAAATTGACACATTTGGTTTTCGCGTTTTTTGTGGTTGGATCGGATGGAAGTGTGAAATTGGAGGGAGAAAATGCGAAAATGAGATTGGAACATGTTAAAGAGGTAAGAAGGGTGATTTTTGGGATATTTTTTATAAAAAATTTGGTTAGCATTCAAATTAGCTACTTTTTGAGATAAAGAAATTTTGAAACAGTAAAATAATTCTGATTGTTTTTCCAGATTTTCAAAATTTGAAAATTGAGCAAAAAATTTATTGAATTTTTGAAACAGAGAATTTTTTCAGAAGAAAATCGCTGATTTTCAGATATACAGAAATTTTGAAACAGTGAAAAAATTCTGATATTTTCCAGATTATCAAAATTTGAAAATTATGCAAAAAATTATATTGAATTTTTGAAACAGAGAATTTTTTGGGAATTTTTTTCTCGATTAAATTTTATTTTCAACATTCAAATTAGCTAGTTTTTTAGATACAAAAATTTTGAAACAGTGAAAAAATTCTGATTTTTTTCCACATTATCAAAATTTGAAAATTGAGCAAAAATTATATTGAATTTTTGGAACAGAGAATCTTTTCAGAAGAAAATATCTGATTTTCAAAAATACACAAATTTTGAAACAGTGAAAAATTCTGAATTTTTGAAATACAAACGCTCAAAAATTATTCGAAAACATTACAAAATAATTTTGAAACGTAATATTTTTAGGTTTTTTTTCTTTCCCCCCAAAAAATTTCAATAATTTTTGAAACAGTAAATTTTTTTATACATAAATCCAATTGCAGGTCGCCTCTCGTCATCCGCATCTCAAACTTTTCTACGCAGTTGGTGGCTGGGAAAATTCGCAATATTTTTCGATTCTGACAGCTGATCATGCTAGAAGGTACTGCTGAACTATTTAATAAAAAAAATAAACAAATTAAAAAAAAAAATTAATTTCAGGTCAGTTTTGATTTCAAATCTTATTAGAGTTATCGAAGAATACGGTTTTGATGGAATTGATATTGATTGGGAATATCCGGTGACTGGTGGAGCTGTTGAAGGAACACAGGTCAGATTTTTTGACATGGGAAAAATTTTAAAGAATTTTTTGAAACAGTAGAATTTTTTAGTATAATTTTTTTCTGTAATTTTTACATTAAACTTCATTTTTCAAAATAATTTTCCAGAAGAATTCGAAAAAAATTTAATTAAAGTTTAGTTCAGTTTTTGAAACAGTAGAACTTTTTAAATTCAAAAAAAAAATTTATTGAAAAAATTAGCTTAGAAGAATAAGTTGTTATTAAACAAAAATCAGACTAAAAAAATTGATTTTTCATGAAAATTTTGAAACAGCGGAATTTTTTGGACATGAATTTAGTTCTCTTTTCATCTTTAGCAACAAAATTCCAAAAAAATAACAAAATGTTGAAAAACCTTTGAAACAGTAGAAATTTTGTGTGCCAAAATTTCACTGTTTCAGAAATTTTATGAATTTTTTTTGGTTTGAAAACATCCAAAGAAAAAAATTGAAAAAAAAACTGAATTTGAATATTTTTTCACTGTTTCAAAATTCACATGAATTTTTCTGTGTTGAGAAATTTTTTTCAAAAATTCAAAAATTCTTCCAACCCAAATTTCTCACAGGCTGACCGTCGAAACTATGTTTCCCTAATGCGCGAACTTCGCTCCGAACTCAATGAATTATCCGACAAAACTTCAAAATCCTATCTAATTTCATTTGCTGGCGCAGCTGGACATTGGGTATTGAAACCAGGTTATGATTTGGTGCAATTAATGAAATATTGTGATTTTGTGAATGTGATGAGTTATGATTATTTTGGAGCTTGGGCTTCGAAATGGGGAGCTTATACTGGTCCACCAGCTCCACTTCATTTTGCGATGCCCAAAAAGTGAGTTTTTCTAAAATTATTTTTGAAAAAAATCTACTGTTTCAAAATTTTCATTAAAAATTCTAGAAATTTCTCGATTTTTGGATGTTTTATCTCGAAAATTAAACATTTTTAAATTTCCAGAAAAATTACTGTTTCAAAAAATAATTATCAAAATTTTGGGACCTGGAAAATTTGATTTTCTTTTCACTGATAGTTATTTCGAAAAAATTAAAAATTTCCATGTTTTACTGAAATTTTTCTTTTCTATACAAATTTTCCCGAAAATCTACTGTTTCAAAATTTTTGTATAGAATTTTACAATTTTTTATTTTTGCTTTTTTTTGGAAAATTTCACTGTTTCAAAATTGTTTTATTGAAAATTCTAGAATTTTTGAATGATTCTGGTTTTTTAAAATTATAAAATATCAAAATTAAATTTCTAGACAATTCACTGTTTCAAAAAATTATTATTAAAATTTTTAGCAACATTTTTTGGTTATTATAAAAAAAAAATGAAAAAAAAATTCACTGTTTCAAAAATTTTTGAAATTTTCAAGAAAAGTGCTCAATTTTCTCCTCACAGAATTTCACTGTTTCAAAAATGTACTATAAAAATAATGAACAGAAAAAAAAAAGAAAAAATGAAAAAAATATAAAATTCACTGTTCCAAAAATTTGAGGTATCATTTTTCGAGCAAAAAATTTTCCCGAAAATCTACTGTTTCAAAATTTTTTCATATTTTTCCATGGAAATCGAGATTTGATATGTATGTCGTAGCTTTTTTGTGAAATTTTCAATTAAAAATTGTTATTCTAAATAGTTTCTAGTAGAAATTTCAGAGCTAATGAAAAATCCACTGTTTCAAAAAATAGACTTCAAATTTTCGAAATTTGTTTCAATAGTGAATGAATAGTTGTAATTTTCAAGAAAAAAAGCTCAATTTTCCCCTCACAGAAATTCACTGTTTCAAAAAATGATCAAAAAAATTTTTGAGTCAGGAAAATTTGATTTTCTTTCTCATAGATTTTTCGAAAAAAAATAAAAAAATGTCCATTTTTACTGTTTCAAAAGTTTCTCAACCTAATTTTCTGAAATTTTTTTTCCTATACAAATTTTCCCGAAAATCTACTGTTTCAAAATTTTTGTATAGAATTTTACATTTTTTTATTTTTGCTTTACCAAAATTTTTTTCACTGTTTCAAAATTGTTTTATTGAAAATTCTAGAAATGCTGTCTTTTTTAATTCATAAAATATCAAAATTAAATTTCTAGACAATTCACTGTTTCAAAAAATTATTATTAAAATTTTGAGCAGAATTTTTTAGTTATTATAAAAAAATGAAAAAAAAATAAATTCACTGTTTCAAAAAATTTCAAAAAAAAAAATGCTCAATTTTCCGCTCACAGAAATTCACTGTTTCAAAAATTTACTATAAAAATTATGAACAGAAAAAAAAAGAAAAAAATGCAAAAATATAAAATTCACTGTTCCAAAATGTTGAGGTATCATTTTTCGAGCAAAAAATTTTCCCAAAAATCTACTGTTTCAAAATATTTTCATATATTTTCCATGGAAATCGAGATTTGATGTGTATGTCATAGGCTAATTGTGAAATTTTCAAATTAAAAATTGTTATTCTAGACATTTCCGAGCTAATGAAAAAATGCACTGTTTCAAAAATTTTTGAAATTTTCAAAAAAATTCTCAATTTTCCCCTCACAGAAATTCACTGTTTCAAATATGTACTATAAAAAATTATGAAAAAATTCACTGTTTCAAAAAATTATTATTAAAATTTTGAGCAAAACTTTTTTGTTAGAAAACAATCAAAAAAAAAAATAAAAATAAAAAAAAATTGAAAAAAAATAATCAAAAAATTAAAAAAAATAAATTCACTGTTTCAAAAAATTATTATTAAAATTTTTAGCAAAATTTTTTAGTTAACATAAACTTCGTAAGAAAAATTCACTGTTTCAGAAAAAAAATTTAAAAAAAAATTCTCAATTTTCCCCTCACAGAAATTCACTGTTTCAGAAAATTATTATTAAAATTTTGAGCAGATTTTTTTCTGTTAGTATAAAAAAATTTTAAAAAATAAATTCACTGTTTCAGAAAATTGTCGGCAAGCCTAAAACCTATTCCAGATTCTCGGGTCGAATGAACGTGCACGCGACAATGAAAGACTACAGTTGTCAAATGCGCTCGACCGAAAAAATCAACATGGGCGTGCCATTCTACGGTAGATATTGGAGAAATGTCGGTGAACCTGTCGATTCATCAGATGACATGTGGCGAACTGCAAAACCAACAAATTCCGAAGGAACAAAGTTCGACGGGGGTGATATTCAATGGCGACAATTAAATGACACGTGGAAATCGCGCGCGAAATTTCATCAGGGCGCAAAAGCTCCCTATATTTGGCTCAGCGAACAAAAAACGTTTGTCGGTTTTGAGAATCGCGAAAGTCTTCAGAGCAAGGTCAGATATATCAATGAGCATAATTTGGGAGGAGTTATGATTTGGGCGATCGATTTTGATGATGATCAGGGAAGTTTGATGGAGAGCTTGGATGTTTGTGGTGGTGATGAGGGAAAAGGTGGGTTTCCGCATGATTCCGCGTCGCGTCGCGCCGCTTCTGTTTGAAAATCCCATTTTTGGGCCTGAATCTAATCTTTGTGGATTTTTTTTTCGGCGATGAAAAATTAATTTTGAATTTTAGAACTTGCCACGTGAATTTTCGGCCGGGAAATTTTAAAATTCAAAATTTGCCACGTGAAGTTTTCCGCAAGGCTTCCGCGTCGCGCCGCGCCGCTTCAGTTAGAAAACCCCATTTCCTGGGCTTCGAGTTAGATTTAGCCTGAATCTAATCTTCGTGGGTTTTTTTTCGGCGCGAAAAGTAAATTAATTTTGAAATTTAGAACTTGCCAAGTGGATTTTCAGCGGGAAAATTTGAAATTTGAATTTTTAAAAATTCGAATTTTTGATTTTTTTTCTAAATTAGCCACATGGATTTTGAGCGCGAAAATTTGAATTTCAAAAATTTGCCACGTGGATTTTCGGCGCGAAAATTTGAAAATTCAAAATTTTCGAGTTTTTTTCTAAATTTTTTGAATTTCAAAAATTTTTATGGTTCCCGCCAAATTTAAATTTCGAAATTTTCCACGTAGATTTTTGGCGCGAAATTGTTGATTTTCAAAAATTTTCCACGTGGATTTTTGAGCGCTAAATTTTTGAATTTTTGAAAATTTTCCACGTGGATTTTAGGCGGGGAAATTTGAAAATTCAAATTTTCGATTTTTGCAGCTCAAAATTGAATTTCGAATTTTCGACGTGGATTTTTGACGGGGAAATTTGAGAATTTGAAAATTAGAAAAAAAATTTAAATTTTCGATTTTTTTCTAATTTTTTTGAATTTCAAAATTTTCCACGTGGATTTTTGGCGCGAAATTTTCGAATTTTAAAAATTTTTGAATTTTCCCGCCAAATTTAAATTTCAAAATTTTTGATTTTTCCCGCCAAATTTGAATTTCAAAATTTGCCACATGCATTTTCGGCGCGAAAATTTGAAAATTTAAATTTTCAAAAAAAAATTCAAAAATTCAAATTTTCAATTTTTCTTTCAAAAATTTGCCACGTGGATTTTTCCGCGTCTCTTCCGCGTCTCTTCCGCGTCGACAATCTCTCATCTTTTTGTTTCCAGAACAATCTTCCGCCACCTCCTCAAAATTCCCCTACAAATGTTCGCCAATCGACGAAAAACGCTGGTGGACCTACGACGACAATCCGGAACTCGCGGGAATGTGCGGAAAATCCGCGCCGCTCATCGACGGTTTCTATCCGGTTTGCGATCCGGATGATCCGGGACACGCGTGTTGCGGAAAATACGGATATTGCGGAAGCGGCGCGGAATTTTGCGCGTGTCCTGAGTGCATTGATTATGGAGCGGATCCATCGTTGATTTTGAAGGAACCGGTGAAACCGACACAAAAAGTGACGTGGTATACACAGGAAGCGGAAGATGGGAGACGCGGAAGATGCGGAAGAGAAGGTCCGCCGCTGGAAGACGGAACTGCGCCAACTTGTAATCCCGATGATCAGAATGCACATTGTTGTAGTAATGGAGGATATTGTGGAAATAGTAAGGTGAGTGGGGATTTTCCGCAAGCTTCCGCAAGCTTCCGCCTAAGCGGAAAAGTTTTTTTCTAATTAATCACAGGTTAAATTAATTTTTTTGATTTTCCAAAATTTTCACTGTTTCAAAAAATTTTCAAAAAAATATGAGATTTTATGTTTGGATGATAATTTTGCAGCGTGATTTTCCGCAAGCTTCCGCGTCAGCGGAAAAGTTACGCTAACTCTCTAATTAATCACGGGTAGTTAGCCTAAGTCATTTATTACCTAATTGCAAGGTTAAATTAATTTTTGACTTTCCGAAATTTTCACTGTTTCAAAAAATTCTCAAAAAAAAATTGAGATCCAATTTTTTGCTTTGGCATCAAATTTTGAGTCCAAACATCTATTTTTTTTGGGTTACTGTACTTTATTCGTGCCAAGACCAAGAAATTCAAAAATTCAATTTTCTGTAAAAAAAATGAATTTTCTTACTTAAAAATCTCAATTCTGAAGCTGGGGTACTGTATTTATAAAATTTCAATTTTCCTAGATGGATTACTGTAGCTCTGTTCAAAAGCTGATTTTTTAAATTTTCTAGAATTTTCACTGTTTCAAAAAATTCTCAAAAAAAATTCGAGATCCAATTTTTCTGTTCTCAAGTGCATTGAATGATTCCCAATTTCAATTTCAAACAAATATTTAACATGAGCAATTTATTCCACCCGATTTTTGGGAAAAACAGTTGGAATTTGTGCTTGTGCATTATGTGGGTAAACATAATGACTCCTGGCTGAATTTATCATCGGATTCGAATTTGGAACAAGATTTTGGAGCTTTCGATTTTGTTGAACAGAAGATCGGATTGAATTCGGATCCCATTGAATTGATGGAACATTGTATAAGGAATCCTCTTCTTCTTGGTACTGGAATTTAGTTAAAGGTGTGGTTCGACAAGTCTCAAAAAAACGCTCTGCAAAAATATGCGGTTTGTGATGTTTGGAAGTACGCAAAGGCATCAAACATGACGACAATTTTTTCTTTTCCCTCTCTCAATGTTTCAACAGAAAAAAAACGTCTCTCGTGTTTTTTTTATTTTTTATTTGTTTTTTCAAAAAATTCAAAATTTCAGCTCTATTAAATGGAAACGAAATTGAAGAACACGCGCGGAGAATGTGAATTTGACCCAACACTGGAGGAGATGGAAAAGCACCGTAGATTGATGAACGAACGAGAGATTGAAGATTCTAAAAAATGCCTGAAAAAGTTGTTTAAAGAATACGAGGCAACATGTTTATGTGGTAAATGTAATAATTTGGATGACATGGAATATTGCTGCGCGAGTATATTCCCATCAAATGTGAAATTTCAAGCGAACATAGGAAAATTGGTGTCTGAAAAACTCGAAGAGAAATTTTGGAAGGGTGAACACAACAGATGTCTTGTTGATTGTGATAATTTCGAAAAATATTTGGACGAGGAAGTGGGTTATGTACAGGAAAACAATGAATTAATGTATTATTTCAGACTTTGAAAGTGTTCAAAACTGGATATAAGTTTGGATTGGGAATTGATGATAATTCTTGAAACCAACGTGAGTCAATCTAGTTTTTTTTCTAAAATTCATAAGAGTTTATTATAGGAATTACCGATTTTACTCATATTCAATGTTTGTTGCGGATCTCAACTTGAAACTGAAAAAGAAAAGGTTGCCATTGCCTGCTTGCATCATCAAAAGAGTTCGAGAAAAATGGCCATCCTCCAGCTACACCGGTTTTTTATCTGGTTTTACTTTTAATTATGAGAATGATTGTGATTGATAATTTCTTTTATGGGATTTAATCATGAAATTATTGTAATAAAAAGTTTTTAGAAAAAAAAAAGAAAATTGAAGAGTTTTTAGAAAACAAAAGAACATTGAACAGTTTTCAGATAAATAAAAGAAATGTGAAAAATAAAAGAAAATTGACGAGTTTTTAGAAAAAAAAAACATTGAAACGTTTTTAGATAAATAAAATAAAAGTGAAAAATAAAAGAAAATTGACGAGTTTTTAGAAAAAAAAGAACATTGAAACGTTTTTAGATAAATAAAAGAAAAGTGAAAAATAAAAGAAAATTGACAAGTTTTTAGAAAAAAAAAGAACATTGAACAGTTTTTAGATAAATAAAAGTAAAAGATTTAATCAGCTTCATCTGGTTCATCTGATTCTTCTGAATCACTATCGCTTTCGCTTTTTTCTGAACTTGATTCGAATTCGTCGAAAACTTGCTGAAGCTAAAAAATCACGATCATTTCGATTGAAATTTGAAAAAAAGATATTAACTCACCCTTTTTTCAAAGTAATCTTTGTCGGTCAAATTCTCTAAAGAAAATTCTTCGTCACTGGATTCTTCTTTTTCCTCTTCTTGCAAATTATTCGACTTCTTTGAAAGTTCTTCACCTGGAAAAATATGTTCACTGAATGTTAGAAGTAAAAAAAAAAACTTACCAAAAATTGAAAGTGCTGCGTTTTTGATTTCGATTCTCCAAGAGTGGTCAGACGGAGATTTCATTTTTTGACTCGTTTTTGCTGTTTTGTTTTGTTCATCGAGCTTTTCCCACCGATCACAGTCCTTCTTCCCTCCAATTCTTCAATTTTTAAATGATTCCAGTGAAGAACTGCTAGTCGTGTCGTAGTTTCATGTGAGCTGCTGTAAAAAGATTGATAATTAGCTACAGTCAAACTTTTTAATTTTAAAACTGTCCTACATTTTTTAGCGTCATACTTTTCAGGCTTTAGATTTTCATATTTTTCGGGCTGAAATTCATATGGATTTCAAGCATTCGAGAAAAAATGCAGGGAAATTCTTGAATGTCAAGTTTTGTAGAGTTTGCTACTGAATTTTTAAAAATTTGCAATCTCAAAAAGAAAAACTCACAAGTATTTATCTTTGGGCGCATATTTTTTCGATAATGCGTTGAAGCTCTCGCATTCACTTGTCATAAAATGTGCCGAAATTTGACCAATATCATTCAATCGATTTCCCTTCACAAAAATTTTTCTCAAAGCTTCCCAAGCTTTCATATCCTTCACATTATTAGGATTCAAAAATCCAACGTGACTTGTTGAAGTTGGAGAATGCCGGCATTGATTCACTTTGGTGAATTTGTACCATGTGATATTTTGGAAATTCGAATGTTGATCGAGACAATGTGCGAAGCTTGACATAACCAATTCTCTCGCAATTATTGGATCTCCGCCGGAATTTTGAATGGACGAATATACATTATTAATAATTGCCTGAATCCATGGTTTAATTGGAATCATCTGCTTCTGATCTTTCTTCGGCCAAATGTCCATAGTGAGATTCCTGATAAGATGCCATAGATCAAATCGATGAATGATTTTTGGAAACTGATTTTTCATGTTTGCAGCCACAGCTAAATCGCGATCAGTCGTCAAACTTCGAATTGGATCTACATTAACGAAAGTTTCCTTCAACATATCAACCAATTCCGACAAACACTGTGACTGAGCAATTGGTTCCAGTCCTTTTGATCCTTCTATAAAATTTGAAAAATTGTTCGATTTTTCTGGTTTGAAACTCACTTCCTGCCGTTTTCCTCACATTTTTGTAATGTAAAACGAACTTTGTGAGCGTGCAAATGATAATGTACCGGCACCAGAATGCGCAATAACCGCGAGAATCGTACATTCCATCACCAGCCGCATCAATCGGAATATTCTAAATTGTAAGAAATAACACTTTTTCATTTCACGTCATTTTTATGATTAAAGATTATATTTTAGTAAAATTTCAATATTTTCTCCTCAATTTGAATAATTTTTAAAAACTGTTTTAGTTTTTTGATGAGTTAGTTTTTCTGGGAAATTAGAGGCAAACATTATCAAAGTTTTATCACAATTTCCGAAATTTTTGTGTTGGCGTATTTTTTTTTTTTACAAATTTCAGAAAAGCAAAATTCACAAAAAAAACTTACGATTTGTTTCAAAATCTTGATAATTTTTTGTCTCTGCTCCATGAAAACCTTATTGATCGCTGGTACGACTCCAAGCCTTCTGGTTTCATAAAAAGTGGTTTTTGAAATAAATGGTGCTCTGACTACGCTGAAGATTGACATGATGTTCTGAAAAAATCGAATTTCATTTTTTCTAGTTATAAAGATTCAAAACATACCGAATACGACAATCCGATTGTAACAGCGGCCGTTGTCAAAGAAACATTCAGCTCAAATCTTTTCGAACTTGTATTGTCGTTTTCTTCACTTTCTGACTGGTAGACCATCTCCAAGTCCTGCTACATTCACACGTGCAATCAAATGTCAAAACAGCTCCGAATTTCGACAGTTTGTAATTTGCAATTGAAAAACAACTGTAGCATTTTAAAATCAAGGGCAATAAAAGTTGAAAAGAGACGAGCACAAAATCGATATCTGACTCCTTCTCGTCGACTGTCTGGTCAAAATCATTATCAAAACTTTCATCATCCAAAATTTGTCGATATTCAGAAGTGCTCGGTTGATAATTTGGATCTTTTACTGCCTCGACTTGTTGCTGAATCAAATCATATCCGCTTTCATCTGACAAATTTGATAAATCTTCAGCATCATCGGTTTTTTCTTGAATTTCTACAACTTCAGATACATCCGCAATTTCTTTGTCTGATTTCGAAGTTGAAGCAACCGCAATTTCTTTGTCTGATTTCGAAGTTGAATTTGTCATAACCACGTTTTCAGCAAAGTTTGAGGAGAATGGCAGAGGTTTTGGTAATGCCAATGCTGGGACACGTCCAAAACTATCTCTAACAAAATGAGATCGGCAAATGTAAAGGGCGACCATACATTCTCACATTTTTCGCAAATTCAACTCCCAATTTTTCAATCCATTTTCCAATTGCTTCTTACTCGTTGTTACTGTTTTCATTTCGAAATACTTTCCTTTAAGGCCACAGTATGTGCAAAAATGATCGTTCATCGTTCTTTGGCTGTAAAATACTCGTAATTATGACTTCAAAATGAAAAAAAACAAAAAAAAAACAAAAATTATTTGCTAAAAATTTGAATTTCGCACTTGTTCGCTAGAGCGCGTTTGCCCACTACATGCGAAAATGCCGACTGCTGTTTCTCTTTGTTTTTTTCTCCGATGCTCTTTTTTCGCAATTTTTTTAGTAAACGGACATTTCCAAAGTGTAGTAAGAACCCGGGAATGATTGAAACTTGTTTTTTCCTCGTACTCCACCTTTAATTAGTCTAGGTATAAATGCGGAGTGTTGTTTGAATGTTTTCCCGCCAAATCTTACCGTATATGGCTCCGGACTCTTCAAACAATCCATCTCATCCCGCGCCCGATGTCGAACATGTTTCAAAATCTGCGAATCGACAGTTGGAATCAACTTCAGCTCTCCCAAATCCTCATCCGGAAGTTCGGCGTCGCTGAAAACGAACGGATCCAGAATCGAGTCGCGGTCTGAAACTTTTTGCTGGAATTTTTTTGGGCGCGAAAAAATTCACTGTTTCAAAAATGTTAAGCTCACCATCATCTGAACTAGTTTCCTGTGTTGAATGTGGAATGAGATCGTGTTGGAAATCAGCCGGAGATGCGAGTTCCACTTTTCGACGCGTGAATTCGAGATTCTGGAAAAAATCTAGGCTTAGGGTTCACAGGCGTGGCCGCTACGCGGAAGACAGTACCGCTGACGCGGAAGCTTGCGGTCTACACTCGCGCAAAGCTCTCGAGCTCTAGGCTTAGGGTTCAGAGGGTTCAAGGCGTGGCCGCTGCGCGGAAGATAGTGCCGCTCCCGCGGAAGCTTGCGGTCAACACTCGCGCAAAGCGCTCGAGCTCTAGGCTAGAGTTCACAGGGTTCCAGGCGTGGCCGAAGCTTCCGCGTCAGCGGCACTGTCTTCCGCGTAGCGGCCACGCCTTGAACCCTCTGAACCCTGCCTAGAGCTCGAGCCCTTTGCGCGAGGGTAAACCGCAAGGTTCCGCGTCAGCGGCACTGTCTTCCGCGCAGCGGCCAAGCCTTCAACCCTAAGCCTAGAGCTCGAGCGCTTTGCGCGAGTGTAGACCGCAAGCTTCCGCGTCAGCGGCACTATCTTCCGCGCAGCGGCCACGCCTTGAACCCTATGTGAACCCTAAGTCTAGAGCGCTTTGGGCGAGTGCTTTGGGTGAGTGTAAACCGCAAGCTTCCGCGCGGAACCTTGCGGAAAACTAACCTTATCCTTCCGCTCATCAAACTTCTTCCCCCTCTTCAAATACATCTCATGTCTTCCCTCTTTCATCTGCCCTTTCCGACTATAAAATTTCAAACAACCGCAAATCAAATTGATACTTATTGTTAAGATTAGCAATAGAAATATGATCATCGTGACTAATTTTTCACACACACAAAACACTTTTTTGTGTCAGAATTATTGATTGATTTTTGTGTGAATAGGAAATAGAGAAATGGCTGGTTTGCGAGGGGATTTTTGAGGAAAAAAAAGAGATTTTTTCTGGGTCACGTGGAAATTTAATTTTTAATTTGAAAAATTCACTGTTTCAAAAAATCCATGTATTTTTCTCTGATTTTGGGATCCAAAACGTTTTTTTTATTAACTGGTTCATTTACATTACTAGAAATGAAAAATTCATAAAAATTAATTAAATTTTCTGAAACAGTGAAAAATTTTCAAAATTTTTGAAACAGTGAAAAAATTCTCTAAAAAAATTTACTGTTTCAAAATTTCTATAATTTTTTTGTGACTTTGAAAAATTGTTCATAAAGTTCTATACTTGTTCATAATTGATTGATAATTTTGGTGAATTTTGTTCAGCAAAAAAATTCACTGTTTCAAAAAATTCATAACTTTTTTTTCCATTTTCATAACTTCACTAGAAATGAAAAAATTCATCAAAATTAATAAAATTTTCTGAAACAGTGAAAAAAATTTTCAAAAATTTTCACTGTTTCAAAAAATCCATGTATTTTCTCTGTTTTTTTGAAAATTGTTCATGACGAAATTTTTAGTCGTTTCCAAGCGAATTTTCGAGCGAACCCAATTTCTGGGAAAATTTCAGATTTTCAGCGCTCAAACAAAGATTACTGTGTAAATTCCCAAAAAATTCCCCAAAAATCCCCATATTTTTCTTATTCCAGGAGCACTGTGAATGTCAAGGTTGTATCGATTTCTCAAAACAACGTGATTATCGTTTCTCAGCTCTCGAATGGTGGACTTTTGGCGAAAATCCGGCAAATATTGGAAGATGTGGTTATGACGCACCAAGGCTGAAAACCGGAAATATCGCGAAATGCGATCCGGAAAGTGAATCGTATTGTTGTAGTCAAAGTGGTTATTGTGGAAAAGGTGAACAATATTGCTCATGTTTGGGATGTGTGGATTTTAAGAATAATCCAAAGTTTGAGTATTTATAATGGAATTTTGATAAAAAAAACACCCATGTATTTATTGATTTTTTTCTTTACAATCAGCATAAAGATATTTTCAAAATTACAAAAAACAAACTTTGATATCACTCAAACCGCCTTTGAAAATTGGAACTCAGTTTATCGAAAAATATTACTTTTGAAACTCTAGAATTTTTATTTGAAAAATTTTTGAAACAGTGAAAATTTTTAACTTTGTAAATATCTGGAAAAAATAATTAGTTGTAAATTCAAAATTCAAAAAATAATGTATTCTGAAACAGTAATGTTTCTGAAATTTTTTTTTTGAACTTACAACAAATACCAAGAAACATTTCACTTGAATTCGTATTTGAAAAATTTTCGAAACAGTGAATTTCTTTGAAATACAAAAGAAAATTGAAAATATTTTGATCGGTTGGGAAGAAATGACATCGAGATTCAAAATTGCTGAAAATTTCTTATGATTTTTTTGAAACAGCAAATTTTTAGGATAAATTAGCAATGGAGTTTGACATAAAAGTCGATTTATTTGAATCAATATCAGAAATTTTATTTGAAAAGCTTTTGAAACAGTGAAAATTAATTTGGTGAAAAAAATAGCAGGAATAAGCATTGTAAATCAAATTTTACAAACGTAAATTTATCTATCAGTTCCTAGAAACAGTAAATTTTTGGTTAATTTTGAAAATTGAATTTTCTGATCTGGAATCTACATAAAAATTTTGAAACAGTTAACATTTTTTTCAAAAAAAATCTTGGGAAATTTTTTTGAAATATTGGAATTTCAAAATCTAATCAAAAATCACAAGTGTTAAAATTTCTAAGGGAAAACTTGAAACAGTAAAATAAATTCAATTCCAAAATTTAAACTTATGATGAAAAACATGTATTTATTGATTTTTGAGCATTTTTAAGTGATAAAAGCATTTTTAAATGAAGAGATCTTTCAAAATTACAAAAATATACAAAAATTAAAAATTAAATCATCAAATTCATCATTTCTTGTGGTGTCAATTTATTTGTTTCCAATTCAACAACATATTTGATTCGAAACTTCTCACTGTCATAAACCACATATTCATCATATAAAAGTTCGGATTCTTCTTCGATGTCACTCAAACCGCCTTTGAAAATTGGAACACCGTTTCTGGAAAAACAATTGATTTTTTGATCACAAAAAATTTTCAACAATTTTTCACTTTAAATAGGAAAATTTGGAAAGAACATGACAAATTCTTGAAACAGTGAATTTTTTTCTGAAATCCAAACGTTCAAAAATAGTTATTTCTTTTCAAGTGATTATTGAAACAGTGAATTATTACAAAGCAATAAAAAAATTGAATTTCAATTTTCTTATGATTTTTTTGAAACAGCAAATTATTTTGATGATAAATTTTTGCATTTGAAAAAACTAAGGAGAGAATGGGCCAAACATTGGATTAAGTTAAAAATCAAGAATTATTAACAAAACTTTGAAACAGTAAATTTTTGGCGTAAATTATTAGAAACTCCATTATAATGAATGGATCATTGAATTTAAAATCAGAAATGTACTTGAAAAGTTTTTGAAACAGTGAAAATTAATTTCATAGAAAAACATTTTTATTCGAAATTTATTTAAAAATAAATAAAACGATTATATTCGATTAATTTTCTACATTGAAACTTGTTTTCATCAAAATTTTGAAACAGTGGAAATTTCTTGAAAAATGCGACAAATTGATATTTTAGAAAAGTTAGGTTCTCAGGACGCTCAATTATCGATTTCAATCCTTTTTTGTTTTCAAATACAAATTTTTTGAAACAGCGAGAAAATCTGAACTCTGAATGTAAAGAGCAAAATTAATTGATTTCAAAAAGCATTTCGAAAAAATCTTCGGAATATTTTCTGAGATATTAGAAATGTAAAAACAGAAACGTATTCAGTAAAGGTTTTGTTATTATTGAATCAAAAATACGTGAAAAATGAAAAAAAGTATGTCAAATGCAATTCAATCGATAAATTCTTTGCGGTGGAAACCAGGAATAAAATGAAAAAATGTACATTTCGAGATTTTCCCATCAATAACTACTACATTGATCGAATTATTTTACATCAATTCGTGTGAAAAATTCAATTCTTTTTTTGAAACAGTGAATTTCTGATGAACAAAAAGGAAAGATTTCTGAAGGAAAATTTGAAACAGTAAATAAACTCAGAAAATTCCTCTAAAATTTCGAAACACATCAAATCATCTCGATAACATTCAGGAATAAATCTTGAGAACTCTCAAAAAATTTTATCGATTTATAATAATTTTTTTTCAAGAAATTCTAGAGAAAAGTGTGGAATTTTGAACTGAAATTAGTGGAAAATCTGATAAATTATCAATTTTTTAAAAGAAGAAATTTGAAATTTTGACCATTTTAATGTTATTCAAATTTATGATAATTTTTTTTGGAGAAAGCCAATAATGATTATAATTGAAGTTATTGATGGAAAATAATTATCATCATGTAAATATTCGAAATGTACAGAAAAACAGAAACGTATTCAGTAAAGGTTTTGTTACAAACATCAGAACAGAAATTTTGGTCCTGAAATATTCTGAATGACAAAAAATGAATGATTTCTTCTATACTTTTTTAACTCGCAAGAATCAGTGAGAGATGAAATTACAATTTTGAATGTTTATGAAAACAGAATTAATTAATTTCAAATTATATCATTTTTCTATACATAAGTTTTGAAACAGTGAAAAAAAATTGATTGTAGATCACAAAAGTGGAATAGTTTCTGCAGAATTTATTTTCAATTTTTCACCTGAAATAAATTTGCAAAGAATAAGTAAAAAACTAGAATTCTCATATGAAAAATTTTTGAAACAGTGAAATTTTTTTGAAATCCAAACGTTCAAAAATTGTTATTTCTTTTCAAATGATTATTGAAACAGTGAATTATTACAAAGCAATTAAAAAATTGAATTGCAATTTTCTTATGATTTTTTTGAAACAGCAAATTATTTTGTTTATGAATTTTTGCATTCGAACAAAAATTGTAGAAAATATTGGCTAAATATTGGATTTGAAACAGTACATTTTTTAATTAATTGAAAATCGATTTTTTCCATAATTTCTCTGATTGACTAAGTTGATCATTGAATTTTAGAATCAGAAATGTTTTTGAAACAGTAGAAAATTAATTTCATAATTTATTCGAAATTTATTAAATTTTTTTGGTAATTTTCAAATCGGGAAAATTTTTTGAAACAGTAGAAAATTTCGAATTTTTCTAGGACCATTCAATAAAAAAAATTTGGAATTTTTTTTTTCGAAAAATAAAACGATTATATTCGATTAATTTTCTACATTGAAACTTGTTTTCATCAAAATTTTGAAACAGTGGAAATTTCTTGAAAAATACGACAAATTGATATTTTAGAAAAGTTAGGTTCTCAGGAAGATACGCTCAATTATCGATTCCAATCCTTTTTTGTTTTCAAATACAAATTTTTTGAAACAGTGAGAAAATCTGAACTCTGAATGTAAAAAACACAATTGATTTCAAGTTCCAAAAGCATTTAGAAAAAATCCAAACCTCACCCAAGAACCTGGAGTAGTGGGTAAAAAATTGCCCACCTGGGTTTATTTTCAAAAATTGCCCACCTAGTAAAAAAAATTTTGCCCGCCTAAGGCTCGCCTTGAAGACCCTAAAAAATTTTGCCCGCCTAAGGCTCGCCTTGAAGACCCTAAAAAATTTTGCCCGCCTAAGGCTCGCCTTGAAGACCCTAAAAAATTTTGCCCGCCTAAGGCTCGCCTTGAAGACCCTAAAAAATTTTGCCCGCCTAAGGCTCGCCTTGAAGACCCTAAAAAATTTTGCCCGCCTAAGGCTCGCCTTGAAGACCCTAAAAAATTTTGCCCGCCTAAGGCTCGCCTTGAAGACCCTAAAAATTTTGCCCGCCTAAGGCTCGCCTTGAAGACCCTAAAAAATTTTGCCCACCTAAGGCTCGCCTTAAAGACCCTAAAAATTTTTGCCCACCTAAGGCTCGCCTTGAAGACCCTAAAAAATTTTGCCCACCTAAGGCTCGCCTTAAAGACCCTAAAAATTTTTGCCCACCTAGGGCTCGCCTTAAAATTTTTGCCCACCTAGATTTTTCGAAAAAAAATGCCCAAAATTCATATATTATTGAAACAGTGAATTTCTGATGACAAAAAAGGAAACATTTCTAAATGAACATTTGAAACAGTAAATAAACTCTGAAAATTCCACCAAAATTTCGAAACACATCAAATCATCTCGAATACATTCAGGAATAAATCTTGAGAACTCTCAAAAAATTTTATCGATTCATAATAATTTTTTTTTGAGAAAGTCTAAAGAAAGGTGAGGAATTTTGAACTGAAATTGGTGGAAAATCTGATAAATTATCAATTTTTGGAAGAAGAAATTTGAAATTCTGATCATTTTAATGTTATTCAAATTTATGGAATTGTTTTTGATTATAATCGAAGTTATTGATGGAAAATCATTATCATCATGTAAATATTAGAAATGCAAGAAGTGAAACGTATTCAGTAAAGGTTTTGTTACATAAATCAGATCAGAAATTTTGACTTTGAAATCTTCTGAATTTAAAAAAATGAATGGTTTCTTATATGTAATTTATAGATCAATTTTTTGGAATAAAAATCTGAGGTACTGTAGCTAATTCCAAAAATTTTGTATGTAGATCATAAATTTTCAAGGTACAGTATACCAACCTGAATTAGGCGCCAAAAGTTTTCGAAAAATATTATTCGAATCGCGCGCCTTCTTCATCATCGCATTTTTGGCGCGATTCCAACGAATCTCAAAAATCGACGCAAAAACATAGAACGAGAATCGATTTTTGATTTTCGTTCCCACTTTTCTGATCATATATTTGAGCGGCAAACGTAATTTCTCATCCGATGTCATTTCTGTCGATCCGATTCGACGTTGCATAAAAAATATGTGAATCGGGATGCAATATTGAAAATAGAGACTAGAGTCTAGGCAGCAATTTGAGGAGAGAGTTAGATCGTTTTCCGAACCACTTTCAGCTTCTTTTTCGGAAGAAATTATCACAATTTTTCGATTTGCCTCATTTTTCCAGCAATGTACTTTCACACGATGGAACTGGTGTGCAACGTGTTATAAATTCTCTGCAAATTTTTTTTTCTTTAAAAGGGAGCTACAGTACTCTCTCTCTCTTACCCTCTGTTCTTATAACTCATTGAAATAATTTAGACACTTTCTTTTTTTATTTTATTCAAAAATGACGGGGATTTTTTGGGGCTGGGAAAAAATACGAGGAAAATGGGTCACGTTTCGGGAAAAATTGAATTTTTGAAAAAAATTTTCTAATAGAAAATTTTGAAACAGTGAATTTTTTATTTTTTTTTCTGAACTAAAAATTTTCCAACAAATCCAATAAGAAGATCAATCAAAAAAAAAATCAAAATTTTCTCATAAAAATATTTTGAAACAGTAAAATTTTCAACAAGAAATATTTTTTCCAAACTATTTTTTCAATGCTCATTTTCTGGTTCAGCTAATTTTGAAACAGTGACTTTTTTTTTGAAAATTTATTTCAATTTTACATATTCGTCTACCGTTTTCGGAACTCAAATCAAATATTATTTGAGTATGTTTCCCAAATTGATAGCAAATAAAAAAATCTGCAAATTTCTGATAAATATTCTTTGAAACAGTAAATTTTAGTACAAGGTTTTTATTAAATTTTTGTACTTCCATTTTTCAATCACACATTTTTGAAACAGTCGATTTTCTGTATAAAAATATTTATTTTTTCATCTTATTCCTGCACAATTTTCGCAAAATACTTAAATCTCTTGAATAATTTTCGAAAAACAATTTCAGAATATGAAGCATAAATTGGAAGAAACATAAAATACAAAAATGTATTAGTTTGACATCCAAAATTCAAATAATAAATCTTAACTTTCTCAAAAAATGATCGAATAAAAAATGTGAACGAAATCGGGATAATAAACGAATTCGGATAGAATTTCAAGCCAAAATATTTAATAGAAATTATAAAGTAGACTAATAAAATTGAATGTAAAAGATATCGATCTTTATGTTGTTCAACAGTTTTTAAAGGAGCTATTATAAAGTTAAAAAAAAATGGAAACGCGAAAAAAATTATTTTGAAAAAAAATATATACCGTAGTTCTTTCCTCCTCTCGTTTATTTTCGTCGCGGCGAGACCATGTGTGTGTTTCAGCTGCGCCTTTCGAAAACTACGGTGTTTTTTCTTTTTTATTTCCTGATTTTCGCGATTTTCGATGTTTCTACATGAAAAAAGACAGAAATCAAACAAATTGATAACAAATCGAAGAATGGTGATGGTCTAACCCTGTTTAAACCAAGAAACACTATAAAAAACGAGTTTCAAGTGTTTTATTGAGGAAAAACCTATTTTTCGGTAATAAATTACGAAAATCGAGGAAACTCATCTCTAAATTAGTTCTAATTCACTTTTCTCATTTTATTTCATGTTGAATTCCTCGTTTTGACCAGTAATAGCCTACAAAACACATCAAAAACGCCTCTTTTCCGTTGTGAATTAAAGGCGCATCGATTTTTGACTGATGTGTGTCTCGTCGCGGCAAAAATAAACGAGAGGGGAAAGAACTACGGTATATAATTTTTTTCAAAATAATTTTTTTCGCGTTTCCATTTTTTTTTAACTTTATAATATACTATTACAATTTCTAAATGTTTGTCCAAAACAATAGCTAAAATATAATTGCGCAATGAATATAACAATATTTGGATAAGTTGGTAGATCAGAATATTTTTTGTGAATTATTTCTCGAGAAATATGAAGAAATATTGCAATTTCTAGATATAAACCTCGGAAATTCTCAGCTTCTTCAACTAACCAATTGATCTCCGATCTAAAAAGCATATTTGGATCGCGCTTTTCCAAATACTCACCTAATAATTCCCTTTTTATCCATAAAATAAGTATCTGCTTCATAAATCGCATTAATAACTAGATCAAGAATTGTTAAAAAATTAATCAACCACATTTCAATCATTATTAATCTTGTTCGATTTTCCATCAAAATCTCATTATTCAAATAGATTTTCCATGTAAAAATGGCGAAGAAAATGAGACCAGGACTATTTAAAGCAACTTGGAATATTTTATTTTCCAATAAATCTTCTCAGCAGTTGCAGATGTAGCTAATTCATAGCTCAACCGATCGCAGCCCTTGACACTTGCGTTTTATTTACGAACAGTGTGCGGTTTAGCTACAAACACACACCGAAGTCTGTTTTAGCTACGAAACACACACGCATGTTTTAGCTACGAAAACTGTTTTCCTGTTTATTGCGAAATACTGCTCATGCGGGTTTCTTTCTGTATTTGGCGTAGTTAGAAAACTTGCAAATATAAAACATTTATTCGTATTGAAACATACAATAACATAAGAAAATGAAATTATAGTCAGTTATTCACCAAAAACACTTATTTTTCTCGCAGTTGTTTGATAGCTTCTGGATCCTGGACCGGCCGAATATGGGATAGAAAAGCAGCATTCACAATTTCCCAATAGAGCGGTAGGCTTGCAAAACATGACGATGTGGTGTTTGTGCATATTTGCGACTCCATCTGGCGGTTTAACTTCCCAATAAACCTATTAGGAGCCAAATTGGTCGAAATCCATGATATCCGGCTTTTTTCTTGTTATTGACATCTGTAAATTGAGAAACATTGTGGAATATTGAAAATTTTGTTGGAATTACCTCATTTATTGAAGATTTCACCATCACTTCCCACTTTTTCGAGAAACGCAACAGAAGAAACGCAACTGGCTGTTTTTCTGCAAAAATTCAACGTAAAACGTAACTATTAGATGAACTTACTCGTTCCCCATCGATAAAACACTGACGCGTAGGCGAAATAATATGTAATCAGCACTTTTCTAGGCTTTAAGTCACGAAAATCGTCGAAAAACAAAACAAAACGAAGAAAACATGTTTGCGCGCCAAAAAACCGTAGCTAAAACGTATGTGTGTTTTAGCTGAGAAATCGGTCAGAAACACTGAGCTAAATTTTTGCTTCGATTTAGCTGGAGATTCAAGTTGGTTCTACGATTCAGCTACGAAAACCCTCAAAATATGATTTAGCTACATCTGCAAATGCTGAGTTTTAATTCTTCATTTGGATAATATATAAGTTCTTCGAATTCGTCATAATCTTTTAGCATTCTTTGTTTTTGTTCAAAAGTTAGCATTTTTAATAAGTGAAAAGAAAAACTGAAAATAATTCTAGTTAGGAATAATTTAATTATAGGTTTGGTGAACTTTATAAGGCCAAAATTATTTGTTATGTTAGAATTTTTAAAAAAATAAAATCCTCCCCCAAAAAACTCACCTTGAAGATCCATCAAACAGCTATCATTTTCATTTTCTCCAGTGATTTTCTCCAGTCACATTCACAACTCGCGCGTCCCCTCATTTTCCAGTGAAAACCTGTTTTTAAATACAAAATAACATTGCTCCGCGAGTCAAAAGCGGTTGAATTCAACAAAAACAACATATTTTTCAAATCAAAATCTTTATTCAACAAGGAAAACAACAAAAAACAAGCGAACAAACATTTCGAAAAAAAACAAAAACAAAACTACGACACTCCGCTTGCCTGTTGTTTATCGTATTTCAACAGAGCGGCGTTTTGAATTCGATTTTTTTTTCGAAAATGTTTTTTTTTGTTTTTTCTGTGCAAAAATTGATTTAAAAAATGTATTTCCAACGTGCTCCAATTCCACGTCATTTGGGGCAACAAAAAATGGCGAGCTCAGTCAGATCCAAAATGAAATCAGTTCCGATTTTCTCTTTTTTAGTAAGTTCTCTTCTTTCTTGGCTTTCATAAACAATTCCTTATTTCAGTTGAATATTCATCGTAAAACGATCAAACAAAATGTCTCGTATACCAAGAAAGAACAAACGTACAACTCGAGCTCGCAGCAAAAATTCGAAAAACAACGAAATTTCGATGGAAGACGATGAACCTGCTGCTGTTCCAGGAAAAGATCCAATGATGGCATATGGTGAAAAAGCCATTCGACTCACTGTAAATTGGATAATCAAAACAAATGCAGCGCCTGGCGGATTAGCTGATTGGTATGCCAAACAGATTCTTGATTCGAAAGAATCTTCAAAATCCGAATCGATATCAGCGAATTTTGCGGCGAAAAATCGAATGGCTGATTTGCCGTGCATTGAAACGACAAGAATCAAATTGAAGCATTTGGCAGACGGCCAAAAGGACTATATTCATGCGAATTTGGTGAAAACAATCTATGCCGAACGGACTTATATTGCAACACAACATCCTATGGAATCTACTTTTGAAGATTTTTGGAGAATGGTTTTCTATGAAAATGTTGACACAATTATCGCCGTTTTTGCGCAGGTTAGAAGAGTTCATAAGATGAAAATTTGAATTTTTCATCGAAACGGCGATGGTTCAATGGAGCGCATTTGCTGTTTTCGAGTAAAAATTCATTTTTTCTAGCTGAAAAAAGGCAAAGTTCCCCTAATTCCACCTAATTTTCCAGGAAGACGATCTCCCGCTTTATTTCCCCAATGAAGCTGGTAAATTCGCCAACTACGGTAAATTCTTTGTGAATAACCGTAAAGTGACCCAACCAACTGTCAAATATACACCAGTTATTCATCAAATCGAAATTTTGCCAGAAGGTTGTTCAAATAGTCGAATCATAACACTACTTCATTATGCATATTGGCCAAAAAATCAATTTCCAGTCAGTCCACGAATTGTTATGAAAACATTGAGATGTGTTAAATCGGACAAAACAACAAATGGACCACTTTTGATTCATTGTTCGAATGGTTTGAATCGTGTTGGATGTTTTATTTTAACCGATCTCATGTTTGACTTAGCTTTTCGTAATATTGATACGGATATTCCGAAAATGGTCAAATCCCTTCGTGCACAACGTTTCAACCTTCTCTCAAATAAACTTCACTTTGTCTATAGTTGCTTTGTATTCTTGGATTATGTTCGTATTCGTTGCAAAAGATTTAATGTTTTTCCGGATTTGCTGAAAGAAATCAATGAATTTGAAGTTATGATAAATAAGGAAATTGGGCTGCTTTGTGTTAAGGAACCTCCGCCTGCAAAGAATAATACGAAAAAGGATTGTACTATTGATGAGTAATAAATTTATTGTGATTGGGTGTTTTTTTTTTTGAAAAAAAATGAAAATAAAACAACGACACTCCGCTTGCCTGTTGTTTATCGTATTTCGACAAAGCGGCATTTTGAATTTGGTTTTCTTTTTTTTCAGAGTTTCGAAGCGTTTCTCTATCTAAAATCCGATAGAAAATACATTTATTTAAAAAATCAAACCATGATTTCCGCAAAATAACTATATTTTTTGAAAAAACTTTCTGAAAATAACACGAAAACAGGCAAAATCAAGCAATATGTGACATTATTGAAATCACAGCTAGAAAATCGAGATATAAAAACTTCGATAATTGTTCGAATCATCAGTGAAACAATCAGGGGAACCATAAAACAATGTGCATAGAATTTCAAGCCTAAAAATTTGACGGAAACCAGGAAATATAGAAATAACAGGGGATGCATGTAAATCTTATGAGTCTCGTATTTAAAGTCGTATTTCGTGTCCACACAATACGAGAAAACTGGTCCTAAACTGTAACTGAAATAAATAAGAGCTAGAAATATGACAATATTTGGGTAAGTTGGTAGATCCGAGTATTTTTTGGCGATATTTTCTCGAGAGATTTGGAAAAATATTGCGATTTCTAGATAGATACTGGAGGATTTTTGGAATAGAATATCGGATACAAAGGAAAAGCTGAAAAAAAACATTTTTTTCTGAAAAAAATCGAATTCAAACCGCCGCTCTGTTGAAATACGATAAACAACAGGCAAGCGGAGTGTCGTAGTTTTGTTTTTCTTTTTTTTTCATTTTCGAAAATGTTTTCTCGCGGTTTTTCGTTGTTTTCCTTGTTAAATAAAGATTTTTATTTGAAAATTTTGTTTTTTTGTTGAATTCAACCGCTTTTGACTCGCGGACCAATGTTATTTTGTATTTAAAAACAGGTTTTCACTGGAGGAATGCGATTTGTGAGTTTTTTGGGGCGGTTTTTTGAGAAAATGTTGCAAAAAAACCTCGTAATTTTCTCCGAAATCGAATCATCTTCATAAAACGTATAAGTATCCTTGATTTTACAAAATATATCGAGAATTTTGTTGAGAATCGATAGAAAATTGACCAACCAAAACTCAAAAACAATAATTCTCGTTCGATTTTCCACCAAAATCTCGTTTTTCGAATAAATTTTGCATGCGAGAATTGCGCAGAAAATGAGGCTAGGAATAATATAAGAAATTTCGATTATTGGATTTCCAACATACCAAAATTCATCTTCAAAGAATTCCATAGAGGAAATAAAATAAAGACTTTGAAGTTGACATTTTCGAAATAATTAGAGGTTGGCTGATTTTTTGATCACAAAATCTAAGAAAAAAAGTAGCGGGCAGCCGGACTCGAACCCTGGCTGTTTTCCCAGTAGTCAATTAACCGGTGCTGTAGTTTGTGGCATATTTTCAGTCCATAGAAAAACCACAGGAATCATAATAGCTAGCACAAAATTGTCCCAAAAAGCTTTGGAAAATCCGAAAACCCATAATATAAAATTCACATTTTCATAGCAAATAATCGATAAAATGACGAGATTTTCGCTGATTTTCAGACGAAAAATTCGGACTGAAATTGTGTAGAGAATGAGGAGAATTGGCCAGGAAAACATGGTTAAAATTGGGTGATTTTGAGGGTCCTGAAGGGAAATTACTTATTGATTGGCGTCAAAAATGGTCGTGGCCTAGTTTTTGCGGAAGTTAGGCCATGTGAATTTTCGGCGGGAAATTTGAAATATTCAAATTCGCCGCGAAAAATCCACGTCGTGGCCTAGTTTTTGCAATAACCTAGGCCATGTGGATTTTCGGCGGGAAATTTGAAAATTCAAATTCGCCACGAAAACTCCATGTGGCCTAGTTTTTGCAAAAACCTAGGCCATGTGGATTTTTGGCGGGAAATTTGAAAATTCAAAGATAATCCAAATGTTCTGAAGCCACAAAACCACGTGGCCTAACTTTGCAAAAACCATGTGGATTTTTGGCGCGAAATTTGAAAATTCAAAAATTCCAATTTCCAATCTAGAAGCGGGTAGAGTTACCCTAACTTTCTGGCAAATCTAAGAAGTTAGGCTATTTTCAAAATTTCCGCCGAAATTCCACGTGGCCTAGGTTTGGACAAAGTTAGTCCATGTGGTTTTTCGGCGCTAAAATTTGAATTTTCAAAAATTCCACGTGGCCGAGGTTTACACAAAGTTAGGCCATGTGCTGTTTCGGCGCTAAAAATTGAAATTTTGAATCTTATAGCCTAGGTTTTGTGAAAGTTAGGCCACGTCGAATTTTGGACCCTGAAAAATCATTCGTTTTTGAAACAGTGAAAATTTCACAGTTTCAAAATTTTTAAAAATTAAGCCCCGCCCCCCCCCCCCAAAAAAAATCAATTTTCTCTCCAGAATCCCATTGTGGAATCACCGATCGTTCTTCTTGTTCTCGCCGCCGAGTTGGATATATCACAAGTTGGGGTCAAACTCCATTTCGAGATGATCAGGCCCAAAAATTGACACATTTGGTTTTCGCGTTTTTTGTGGTTGGATCGGATGGAAGTGTGAAATTGGAGGGAGAAAATGCGAAAATGAGATTGGAACATGTTAAACAGGTTGGGATTTTTTGTTGTGAAAATGTTTTTTTTTCAGTTAGTTTTTTGAGATTCACAAATTTTGAAACAGAGAAAAAATCTTATATTTTTCCACATTATCAAAATTTGAAAATTATGCAAAAAATTATATTAAATTTTTGAAACAGAGGATTTTTCAGAAGAAAATCTCTGATTTTCAGAGATACAGAAATTTTGAAACAGTAAAAAAAATTCGGTTATTTTTTGCTTTGAATTTTTTTCTCGTTTAAAACATTTTTTTTTTTTTGGAAGAATTATTAACCCACTAAACGCTCAAAAATTATTCGAAAACATTAAAAAATAATTTTGAAACGTAATATTTTTAGGTTTTTTCAGAAATATCAATTGAAAACAATTAAAAAAGCTGCTCAGCATTCCCTGGCGTATACTTTTTGCACGACAACGTACGCTTTTCCTACACTCTTTCTACGCTTTTTGTACACTTGCCACTTTTCGCGAGTGTAGCTACATTGTAGGACCGCGTTGCAAGCTTGTTGCGTTGCGGTTATTATTTTATTTTTGTTTTCTATTTTCTTTTGGGCCTAAAATTCTTTTTAAAATGTCTAAATCGGATATCAAGATAGTCAAGTTAGGTCTACGTCGATTCTAGAAGTTGAGTATGATTATCGAATCTATCAGAGAACTTTTTCGACAAAAGAAGAATTCTTTTTTCAAGAAAAATCTTGAAATAATTTTGAAAAATTCGAAATTTTCTCCAATGAGACTGCGAATCAGAGTTTACCTGTTAATTATCATTCTTCTTATTCTCGTTATTAATGTTCTCACACCTGAATTTGATTTCAATTTGATGAATTTCAGATCAGCATTACATCAACTCCTAGAACTTGCATCAGCTGCAGCAAAAAGGAAAGATAAGCTTCACGGGAGGCCTCTTCGAGGAAATGATTTGAAAGGTGAGTAAAACTCAAGTACTAGAAAGTCTAGGAATTTGGAACCCTCTGGCTAATCGCCTATCAAAAAGTAGGTGATCTGAAGTTATCAGAACATTTCGTGGAGATACATCTTATAATTATGAAAGTTATGGGACTTGGGATATTTATTAATATCTAGAAAATTGAACACCATCCTATTTTTCAGCGTGACTCTTGATGCGCCACCTACTCTACGTCGAATTCGAATGCTAACATCGGGACCATTTCTACCGAAGAACTCACAGAATAGCAGTCAAGCCCCATCAAAATCGAGGTAAAGATGCTCCATCACCCGACTTCTCGCCCTCAACCTCGGCTTCTACCACTCAACACACCCTCAAGAACCAACACACCCTCAACAACCAACACATTCTCAACAAACCTTCGAAAAAATTAATTTTCTAAATTTTTATTATGTTTTGAAGATTTTTGATATATTATTGATTTCATGTTATAAAAGTATATTGATCCATAAATGATTTGTTATATTTTCTAGTTTTAATCTCTCCTAAATCGCAGCGCAAAAAGAAAAAAATCAATTCGAAATTCGGTGTACGGTATTCGTTCAAAAAAAAAGGAAAAGTGTAGGATCTTTGTAGACGTTTTTGCAGCTTGTGTGTACGATGTGTGTAGCATGCGTCATACAACAATGTAGCTACACTTTTCGTTCGCAATAGTGTACGCCAGGGGATGCTGAGTGAATCAATTTTTTGAAAATTATGCAAAAAATTATATTGAATTTTTGAAACAGAGGATTTTTTCAGTAGAAAATCGCTGATTTTCAGAAATACACAAATTTTGAAACAGTGAAAAAATCTAATATTTTCATATGAAAAATTGCTCAAAAAAATTAAATTGAAAATTTGAAACAGGGGATTTTTTGGGAATTTTTTTTCTCGTTTAAATTTTGGTCTCAACATTCAAATGAGCTACTTTTTGACATACAGAAATTTTGAAACAGTAAAAAATTCTGATTTTTTTCCACATTATCAAAATTTGAAAATTGAGCAAAAAATTAACTTTTTTTTGAAACACAGGATTTTTTCAGAAGAAAATAGCTGATTTCAGAGATAAAAAAATTTTGAAACAGTAAAAAATTCTGAATTTTTGAAATATAAATCAAATATACAATAAACGCTCAAAAATTATTTGAAAACATTACAAAATAATTTTGAAACGTAATATTTTTAGGTTTTTTTTAGAAATATTAATCGAAAAAATGTTCAAGTTCCCCCAAAAAATTTCCATAATTTTTGAAACAGTAAATTTTTTTATACATAAATTCAATTGCAGGTCGCCTCTCGTCATCCACATCTCAAACTTTTCTACGCAGTTGGTGGCTGGGAAAATTCGCAATATTTTTCGATTCTCACCGCTGATCATGCTAGAAGGTACTGCTGAACTATTTGGTTTCAAAAAGTAAAAAAAAAAAAAAAAAATTTAATTCCAGGTCAGTTTTGATTTCAAATCTTGTCGGAGTTATCGAAGAATACGGTTTTGATGGAATTGATATTGATTGGGAATATCCAGTGACTGGTGGAGCTGTTGAAGGAACACAGGTGAGCATTTTTTGGCACGGGAAAAATTTAGCAAAAATTTTAAAGAATTTTGAAACAGTAGAATTTTAAAATATAATTTTTTTCTGTAATTTTTACGTCAAACTTCATTTTTCAAAAAAAATTTATAATTTTCCAAAATAATTCGAAAAAAATTTAAATTTAAATTTAGCTCAGTTTTTGAAACAGTAGAACTTTTAAAATTAAAAAAAAACAATTTATTGAAAAAAATTAGCTTAGAAGAATAAGTTGTTATTAAACAAAAATCAGGCTAAAGTATTGATTTTTCATGAAAATTTTGAAACAGCGGATTTTTTTGGACATGAATTTTCATTCACTTTTTATCTTTAGCAACAAAATTTTGATAAACCTTTGAAACAGTAGAAATTTTGTGTGCCAAAATTTCACTGTTTCAGAAATTTTATGAATTTTTTCGGTTTGAAAATATTTTTGATAAATTTATTGCAGCACATCCAGAGAAAAAAATTGAAAAAAAACTGAATTTGAATATTTTTTCACTGTTTCAAAAATTCACATGAATTTTTCTGTGTTAGGAAATTTTTGATTGACAGCTCTCTTTTTGTTTTTCGAAAAATGCAAAAAAATTTTTCAAAAACTTCACTGTTTCAAAAATTTTTGTCACCATAGATACTTCAAATAATCATTGGAATAAATTGAACAAAAATTTTAAAGAATTTTTTGAAACAGTAGAATTTTTTAGTATAATTTTTTCTGTAATTCTTACGTCAAACTTCATTTTTGAAAAAAAATTATAATTTTCCAGTAGAATTCAAAAAAAGTTTAAATTTAAATTTAGATCAGTTTTTGAAACAGTAGAACTTTTTAAATACAAAAAAAAATATTGAAAAAAATTAACTTAGAAGAATAAGTTGTTATTAAACAAAAATCAGGCTAAAAAATTAATTTTTCATAAAAATTTTGAAACAGTGGATTTTTTGGGCAAGTATTTTCATTCACTTTTCAGCGTTAGCAACAAAATTTCAAAAAAATAACAAAATGTTGATAACCTAGAAATTTTGTGTGCCAAAATTTCACTGTTTCAGAAATGTTATGAATTTTTCGGTTTGAAAACATCCAGAGAAAAAAATTGAAAAAAAATTGAATTTGAATATTTTTTCACTGTTTCAAAATTCACATGAATTTTTCTGTGTTAAGAAATTTTTTCAAAAATTCTTCCAACCCAAATTTCTCCCAGGCCGACCGTCGAAACTATGTTTCCCTAATGCGCGAACTTCGCTCCGAACTCAATGAATTATCCGACAAAACTTCAAAATCCTATCTAATTTCATTTGCTGGAGCAGCTGGACATTGGGTCTTGAAACCAGGTTATGATTTGGTGCAATTAATGAAATATTGTGATTTTGTGAATGTGATGAGTTATGATTATTTTGGAGCTTGGGCTTCGAAATGGGGAGCTTATACTGGTCCGCCAGCTCCACTTCATTTTGCAATGCCCAAAAAGTTAGTTTTTCTGAAATTTTTTTTGAAAAAAAATCTACTGTTTCAAAAAATTATTATAAAAATTTTTGAAACAGGAAAATTTGATTTTCTTTTCACTGATAGTTATTTCAAAAAAATTAAAAATTTCCATTTTTACTGTTTCAAAAGTTGTTAAACCTAATTTTCTGAAAAAAATTTTCCTATACAAATTTTCCCGGAAATCTACTGTTTCAAAATTTTTGTATAGAATTTTACAATTTTTTTTATTTGCTTTACCAGAATTTTACCTCAACCAAAAATTTTTTGGAATTTTTCACTGTTTCAAAATTGTTTTATTGAAAGTTATAGAATTTTTGAATGATCTTTGCATTTTTTAAATTATAAAATATCAAAATTAAATTTCTAGACAATTCACTGTTTCAAAAAATTATTATTAAAATTTTGAGCAGAATTTTTTTGGTTAACATTAAAAAAAATGAAGAAAAATTCACTGTTTCAAAAATTTTTGAAATTTTCAAGAAAAGTGCTCAATTTTCTCCTCACAGAATTGCACTGTTTCAAAAAATTATCATAAAATTTATGAACAGAAAAAAAAAGAAAAAAAATGCAAAAATATAAAATTCACTGTTCCAAAATGTTGAGGTATCATTTTTCGAGCAAAAAATTTTCCCAAAAATCTACTGTTTCAAAATATTTTCATATATTTTCCATGGAAATCGAGATTTGATGCGTATGTCAGGCCTGTGCCGGAAAATCAAAACCCGGAAAACGGAAAGTCGGAAAATTTCCGGATTTTTTGAACCGGAAATCCGGAAAATTCGGAAAATTTTTCAAAGTCTGAAATTTCGATTTCCAGCCTTAAGTTGGCACTAAAACTTATTTTTATCTACAATTATTCTATTCATAGGTAATTTAGTAACTATTTGAGACGTCTTACGTTCAAAAAATAGTACAATTTGAAAAATTGAAAAAAAATTTCCGAAAATTTTAATTTTTCTATCATAAACTGAGAAAATGTTCCAAAATTTAGGCAATTTTGAAAATATTACTACTAGAGATCATTTCCGGATTTTCCGAGCACATTTTCCGGAAAACCGGAAAATAGATTTTTCCGTGAAAAAACCGGAAAATCCGGAAATTCGGAAAATTCGGAAAATTCGGAAAATTTCCGGCACAGGCCTGGTGTATGTCATAGGCTGATTTTGAATTTCTCAATAAAAATTGTAATTCTAGTGAAAAAATCCACTGTTTCAAAAAATTATTATTAAAATTCTCAGCAGAATTTTTTGGTTAACATAAACTTCGTAAGAAAAATTCACTGTTTCAGAAAAAAATTTTCAAAAAAATGCTCAATTTTTCCCTCACAAAAATTCACTGTTTCAAAAATGTACTATAAAAAATTATGAAAAAGTTAACTGTTTCAAAATATTCTCAGGAAAAAATTAGCGACGGTGCCGCGACCTTTTTTGTTTTTGCAACGGTACCGACACCTATTTGCCAGGGTACCGCACTTTTCTTGTGTTCGGACTGGTACGGAACAAGTTCGGCACCCGAACAAACTCAAAATTTCCGATTTTTAGAGCTTTTGTACTGGTACCGGACTGATGTTGCTCTGGTACCGTACGGTTTTTTGCCCTGGTGCAGCGACGTCGCGGGTACTGTGACAAAATTGGTTCGGTACTGTCGCTAATTTTTTTCTGAGTTATTATTAAAATTTTAAGCAGAATATTTTTGTTAGAATAAAAAAAAATGTAGAAAAATTCACTGTTTCAAAAATTTTTGAAATTTTCAAAAAAAAAATGCTCAATTTTTCCCCACAGAAATTCACTGTTTCAAAAATTGGTCATAAAAATCAGTGAAAAAAATCCGCAAGCCAAAAACCTATTCCAGATTCTCGGGTCGAATGAACGTGCACGCTACAATGAAAGACTACAGTTGTCAAATGCGCTCGACCGAAAAAATCAACATGGGCGTGCCATTCTACGGTAGATATTGGAGAAATGTCGGTGAACCTGTCGATTCATCAGATGACATGTGGCGAACTGCAAAACCCACAAATTCCGAAGGTACAAAGTTCGACGGGGGAGATATTCAATGGCGCCAGCTAAATGACACGTGGAAATCGCGGGCCAAATTTCATCAGGGCGCAAAAGCTCCCTATATTTGGCTCAGCGAACAAAAAACGTTTGTCGGGTTTGAGAATCGCGAAAGTCTTCAGAGCAAAGTTAGATATATCAATGAGCATAATCTGGGAGGAGTTATGATTTGGGCGATCGATTTTGATGATGATCAGGGAAGTTTGATGGATAGTTTGGATGTTTGTGGTGGTGATAAGGGAAAAGGTGGGTTTCCGCAAGGCTTCCGCGTCGCGCCGCGACGCTTCTGTTTGAAAATCCCATTTTTGGGCCTGAATCTAATCTTCGTGGATTTTTTTCGGCGCGAAAAATTTAATTTTGAAATTTAGAACTTGTCACGTGGATTTTTGGCGGGGAAATTTGAGAATTCAAAAATTTGTATTTTTCCCGCCACATTTGAATTTCAAAATTTTCCACGTGGATTTTCGGCGCGAAATTTTTGAGTTTCAAAAATTTGAATTTTTCCCGCCAAATTTGAATTTGAAAATTTTCCACGTAGATTTCGTCGGGAAAATTTGAAAATTCAAATTTTTCAAAAAATCAAAAATTCAAGTTTTCGATTTTTCTTCTAAATTTGCCACGTTGAGTTTTGGCGGGGAAATTTGAAAATTCAAATTTTTAAATTTTTCCCGCCAATTTTCAAAATTTTCCACGTGGATTTTCGGCGGGAAAATTTGAAAGTTCAAAACTTTTGATTTTTTCCCGCCAAATTTCAAATTTAAAAATTTTCCACGTGGATTTTGAGCGCGAAATTTTTGAATTTCAAAATTTTGAATGGTTCCCGCCAAATTTGAATTTCGAAATTTGCCACGTGGATTTTCGGCAGGAAAATTTGAAAATTCAAATTTTCCACGTGGATTTTCGGCGCGAAAATTTGAAAATTCAAATTTTCAAAAAAAAAAAAATTCAAAAATTCAAGTTTTCGATTTTTCTTTTAAATTTTTTGAATTTCAAAATTTGCCACGTGGATTTTGAGCGCGAAATTTTTGAATATTCAAAATTTTTCACGTGGATTTTTGGCGGGGAAATTTGAAAATTCAAATTTTCAAAAATTCAAATTTTCGATTTTTCTTCTAAATTTTTTGAATTTCAAAAATTTTCCACGTGGATTTTTCCGCAAGGCTTCCGCATGTCTTCCGCGTCGCCAATCTCTCATCTTTTGTTTTCCAGAACAATCTTCCGCCTCCTCAAAATTCCCCTACAAATGTTCGCCAATCGACGAAAAACGCTGGTGGACCTACGACGACAATCCGGAACTCGCGGGAATGTGCGGAAAATCCGCGCCGCTCATCGACGGATTCTATCCGGTCTGCGATCCGGATGATCCGGGACACGCGTGTTGCGGAAAATTCGGATATTGCGGAAGCGGCGCGGAATTTTGCGCGTGTCCTGAATGCATTGATTATGGAGCGGATCCATCGTTGATTTTGAAGGAACCGGTGAAACCGACACAAAAAGTCACTTGGTATACACAGGAAGCGGAAGATGGGAGACGCGGAAGATGCGGAAGAGAAGTACCGCCGCTGGAAGACGGAACTGCGCCAACTTGTAATCCCGATGATCAGAATGCACATTGTTGTAGTAATGGAGGATATTGTGGAAATAGTAAGGTGAGTGGGGGTTTTCCGCAAGCTTCCGCAAGCTTCCGCGTAAGCGGAAAAAGTTTTTTCTAATTAATCACAGGTTAAATTAATTTTTTAATTTTCCCAAATTTTCACTGTTTCAAAAAATTCTCAAAAAAATTGGAGATTTTATGTTTGGATGATAATTTTGCAGCGTGGTTTTCCGCAAGCTTCCGCGTAAGCGGAAAAGTTACGCTAACTCTCTGATTAATCACGGGAAGTTAGGCTAAGTAATATATTACCTAATTGTAAGGTTAAATTAATTTTTGACTTTCTCAAATTTTCACTGTTTCAAAAATTCTCAAAAAAAATCGAGAATTAATTTTTTGGTTTGGCGTCTAATTTCAGTCGAAACATCTATTTCCGGGTTACTGTACTTTTTTCGCGCCAAGACCAAGAAATTCAAAAATTCAATTTTCTGTAAAAAATGAATTTTCTAACTTACAAAGCTCAATTCTGAAGCGGGGGTACTGTATTTATAAAATTTCAATTTTCTTACAATTAGGGATAATTTTCCAGGATTACTGTAGCTCTGTTCAAAAGCTTGATTTTTTTTTAAATTTTTCAAAAATTTTCACTGTTTCAAAAAAATTCTCAAAAAAAAATCGAGATCCAATTTTTTGCTTTCAATTTCCAACAAATATTTAACATGAGCAATTTATTCCACTCGATTTTTGGGAAAAACAGTTGGAGTTTGTGCTTGTGCATTATGCGGATAAACATAATGACTCCTGGCTGAATTTATCATCGGATTCGAATTTGGAGCAAGATTTTGGAGCTTTCGATTTTGTTGAACAGAAGATCGGATTGAATTCGGATCCCATTGAATTGATGGAACATTGTATAAGGAATCCTCTTCTTCTTGGTACTGGAATTTAGTTAATTAAGCTATGTAAATGCGGAGTGTCGTTTGTTTCAAGAAATTTAGTTACAACACTCCGCAGTTACACAAAATTATTCTTTTGGAATTTTCATCACAGAAAGAAAGTCTAGGTGTAAATGCGGAGTATCGTTTAGAAAAATCATAATTTTCCCGCCAAATCTTACCGTATACGGTTCCGGACTCTTCAAACAATCCATCTCATCCCGCGCCCGATGTCGAACATGTTTCAAAATCTGCGAATCGACAGTCGGAATCAACTTCAGCTCTCCCAAATCCTCATCCGGAAGTTCGGCGTCGCTGAAAACGAACGGGTCCAGAATCGAGTCGCGGTCTGAAACTTTTTGCTGGAATTTTTTTTGGGCGCGAAAAAAATTCACTGTTTCAAAAAATCCTTAAATTTTCGATTTTTCGAGAATTTTTTTGATTGAAGTCGCCGAATTTTCGAACTTACCATCATCTGAACTAGTTTGTTGTGTCGAATGTGGAATGAGATCGTGTTGGAAATCAGCCGGAGATGCGAGTTCCACTTTTCGACGCGTGAATTCGAGATTCTGGAAAAAATTTAGGCTTAGGGTTCAAGGCGTGGCCGCTGCGCGGAAGCTTGCGGGCTACACTCGCACAGAGCGCTCGAGGGTTCACAGGGTTCAAGGCGTGGCCGCTGCGCGGAAGATAGTGCCGCTGACGCGGAACCTTGCGGTCTACACTCGCGCAAAGCGCTCGAGCTCTAGGCTTAGGGTTTACATAGGGTTCAAGGCGTGGCCGCTGCGCGGAAGATAGTGCCGCTGACGCGGAAGCTTGCGGTTTACACTCGCGCCAAGCGCTCGGGGGTTCACAGGGTTCAGGGCGTGGCCGCTACGCGGAAGCTTGCGGTTTACACTCGCGCAAAGCTCTCGAGCTCTAGGCTAGGGTTCACAGCAAAACATAAGGTTCAAGGCGTGGCCGCTGACGCGGAAGCATGCGGTCTACACTCGCGCAGAGCGCTCGAGGGTTCACGGCGTGGCCGCTGCGCGGAAGCTTGCGGTCTACACTCGCGCAAAGCGCTCGAGCTTTAGGTTTAGGGTTCCCAGGGTTCAAGGCTTGGCCGCTGCGCGGAAGACAGTGCCGCTGACGCGAAAGCTTGCGGTCTACACTCGCGCAAAGCGCTCGAGCTCTAGACTTAGGGTTCAAGGCGCGAGTGTAGACCGCAAGCTTCCGCGTCAGCGGCACTATTTTCCGCGCAGCGGCCACGCCTTGAACCCTATGTCCACCTACAGTACCCCACGCCCCTTTAAAGTACTGTACATCGCTGCGAGACCTTGGCGAGCGCTTTGCGCGAGTGTAAACCGCAAGCTTCCGCGTCAGCGGCACTGTTTTTTCCGCGCAGCGGCCAAGCCTTGAACCCTGAGCCTAGAGCTCGAGCGCTTTGCGCGAGTGTAAACCGCAAGCTTCCGCGTCAGCGGCACTATCTTCCGCGCAGCGGCCACTCCTTGAACCCTATGTCCACCTACAGTACCCCACGCCCCATTAAAGTGCTGTACATCGCTGCGAGACCTTGGCGAGCGCTTTGCGCGAGTGTAAACCGCAGGCTTCCGCGTCAGCGGCTAAGTTACTCTAACTTTCTAAACCGCGTGGAACCTTCCGGAACCTTCCGGAGCGCCTTGAACCCTAAGCCTAGAGCTCGAGCGCTTTGCGCGAGTGTAGACCGCAAGCTTCCGCGTCAGCGGCACTATCTTCCGCGCAGCGGCCAAGCCTTGAACCCTGTAAACTCTAAGCCGCAAGCTTCCGCGCAGCGGCCACGCCACGCGGAACCTTCCGTAACCTTCCGCAAAACTAACCTTATCATTCCGCTCATCAAACTTCTTCCCCCTCTTCACATACATCTCATGTCTTCCCTCTTTCATCTGCCCTTTTCGACTATAAAATTTCAAACAACCGCAAATCAAATTGATACTTATTGTTAAGATTAGCAATAGAAATATGATCATCGTGACTAATTTTTCACACACACAACACTTTTTTTTTGTGTGTTTTTTTAGAATTATTGATTGATTTTTGTGTGAATAGAAAATAGAGAAATGGCTGGTTTTGGATGGGGATTTTGAGGGGGAAAAAAGGGATTTTTTTGGGTCACGTGGAAATTTGATTTTTGAATTAATTTAAAAAATTCACTGTTTCAATTTGAAACTTTCAAAAATTAATTACCTTTTTGAAACAGTGAAAAAAATTAAAAAAAAATTCACTGTTTCAAAATTTCCATAATTTTTTTGTGACTTTGAAAAATTGTTCGTTTTTCTATCTTATTCTTTAATATTTTTGGCGCCAAAAATGAGATTACTGTAGGTCAAAAATTATTTCTTTTCAAAAAACACATTTTTTCTAAAATTTTGGCTTACTGTAGGTGGTCCTTTTGGCGCCAAAAATCTACGGAAAAATTCCATAATTTTTTTTTCAATTTTCAGAACTTTACTGGAAATTAAAAATACATAAAAATTAATAAAATTTTCTGAAACAGTGAAAAAAATTTTCGAAAAAAATTCACTGTTTCAAAATTTTCATAATTTTTTGAGTGTTTTTTGAAAAATTGTTCATAACCAAGTTGATAAATGATTGATAATTTTGTACTATTTTTGGCGCCAAAAATGAGATTACTGTAGGTCAAAAATTGGTGCCAAAAATCTACAGTAAGCGAATTTTCGAGCTTCTGGAAAAATTTCAGATTTTCAGCGCTCAAACAAAGATTACTGTGTAAATTCCCCCAAAAATTCCCCAAAAATCCCCATTTTTCTTATTCCAGGAGCACTGTGAATGTCAAGGTTGTATCGATTTCTCAAAACAACGTGATTATCGTTTCTCAGCTCTCGAATGGTGGACTTTTGGCGAAAATCCAGCAAATATTGGAAGATGTGGTTATGACGCGCCAAGACTGAAAACCGGAAAAATCGCGAAATGTGATCCGGAAAGTGAATCGTATTGTTGTAGTCAAAGTGGTTATTGTGGAAAAGGTGAACAATATTGCTCATGTTTGGGATGTGTCGATTTTAAGAATAATCCAAAGTTTGAGTATTTGTGATTTAAAAACCCGCATTTATTTATTGATTTTTTCTTGAGAATAAAAAATATCTAAAAAGTGAGGTAAAAATATTTGGAGAAAAATAAAAATTAAATCATCAAATTCATCATTTCTTGTGGTGTCAATTTATTTGTTTCCAATTCAACAACATATTTGATTCGAAACTTCTCACTGTCATAAACCACATATTCGTCATATAAAAGTTCGGATTCTTCTTCGATGTCACTCAAACCGCCTTTGAAAATTGGAACTCCGTTTCTGGAAAAAAAATTGGTTGTAGATCACAAAAGTGGATTTTTGAATTTTCAACAATTTTTCACTTGAAATAGGAAAATTTTGAAAGAACATGACAAATTTTTGAAACAGTGAATTTTTTTTGAAATCCAAACGTTCAAATATTGTTATTTCCATTTCAAGTGATTATTATTGAAACAGTGAATTATTACAAAGCAATTAAAAAATTGAATTGCAATTTTCTTATGATTTTTTGAAACAGCAAATTATTTTGTTTATAAATTTTTGCATTCTAACAAAAATTGTAGAAAATATTTGCTAAATATTGGATTTGAAACAGTACAATTTTAGAATTGATTGAAAATCGATTTTTTTTATAATTTCTCTGGATGACCAAGTTGATCATTGAATTTTAAATCAGAAATGTACTTGAAAAGTTTTTGAAACAGTCAAAATTCATTTCATAGTTTATTCGAAATTTATTAAATTTTTTTGGTAATTTTCAGATCGGAAAAATTTTTTGAAACAGTAGAAAATTTAGATTTTTTTTCTAGGACCATTCAATAAAAATAATTTGGAATTTTTTTTTCGAAAAATAAAACGATTATATTCGATTAATTTTCTACATTGAAACTTGTTTTCATCAAAATTTTGAAACAGTGGAAATTTCTTGAAAAATACCACAAATTGACATTTTAGAAAAGTTAGGTTCTCAGGACGCTCAATTATCGATTTCAATCCTTTTTTGTTTTCAAATACAAATTTTTTGAAACAGCGAGAAAATCTGAACTCTGAATGTAAAAAACACAATTGATTTCAAGTTCCAAAAGCGTTAAAAAAAATCTTCGGAAATTTTTATTCGTAAAATTCATAATTTTTTGAAACAGTAATTTTTTGGTGAATCTGATCGAAAAATCAAAAAGGTGAAAATGTCTGATTATCCTTGTCATAGAATAAATTGAAAGCAAAGAATTGTCACAATTATTGATCCATAAAAATACTATAAAATTGATATAGAATATCATTTATCGCAGGATTAATGTAATAGATTCGAGATATTAGAAATGTAATAACAGAAACGTATTCAGTGAAGGTTTTGTTAGAGAGATAAAATTAGAATTTGGACTGTTTAGAAGAAACATTAATTAATTTCAAATTCTTTCAATTTTCTACATCAAAATTTTGAAACAGTAAACATTTTTTTGCAAAAAAAATCTTCGGAAACTTTTTTTTTCTGGAAAAATGCTAAATCAGGAGAGTCAGAAGAATCGAAAACAATATTTATTGTTCAATCGAACACTTCCTACTAATTATCCTATATAAATGACAGAGGATTGATTGAAATCCATCGAAATATTAGAAATGCAAGAAGTGAAACGTATTCAGTAAAGGTTTTGTTACAAACATCAGAACAGAAATTTTGACTTTGAAATCTTCTGAATAAAAAAATGAATGGTTTCTTCTATATTTTTCTAATTCGCAAGAATCAGTGAGAGATGAAATTAGAATTTTGAATGTTTATGAGAACAGAATTAATTAATTTCAAATTATATCATTTTTCTATACATAAGTTTTGAAACAATAAAAAAAATTGATTTTAGATCACAAAATTGGAATAGTTTCTGCAGAAAGAATAAGTTAAAAACTAGAATTCTCATATGACAAATTTTTGAAACAGTGAAATTCTTCTTGAAATCCAAACGTTCAAAAATTATTATTTCTTTTCAAGTGATTATTGAAACAGTGAAATATTACAAAGTAATTAAAAAAAATGAATTTCAATTTTCTTATGATTTTTTTTTTGAAACAGCAAATTATTTTGATAATAAATTTTTGCATTTGAACAAAAATTGTAGAAATTATTTGCTAAATATTGGATTTGAAACAGTACATTTTTAGAATTAATTGAAAATCTATTTTTTTCATAATTTCTCTTGATGACCAAGTTGATCATTGAATTTTAGAATCAGAAATGTTTTTGAAACAGTGAAAATTAATTTCATAGAAAAAACATATTTATTCGAAATTTATTTAATTTTTTTTGTAAGTTATTTTTATTTTGTAATATCAATTGAATTAAAAAAAAAGATCAAAACTTGCTAAATATTTTGAAACAGTAGGAAATTTAGATTTTTTTAGGATCATTCAATAAAAACAATTTGGAATTTTTTTTCGAAAAATAAAACGATTATATTCGATTAATTTTCTACATTGAAACTTGTTTTCATCAAAATTTTGAAACAGTGGAAATTTCTTGAAAAATACCACAAATTTACATTTTAGAAAGATTTCGAGGAAGACGGTCAATTATCGATCTCAATCCTTTTTTGTTTTCAAATACAATTTTTTTGAAACAGCGAGAAAATCTGAACTCTGAATGTAAAGAACACAATTAATTGATTTCAAGTTCCAAAAGCATTTAGAAAAAATCTTCGTAAATTTTTCTTTGGAAACTCAGGAGTAATTCCGCTGCTGAAAGGCAGCGCAGCTCAATTCAGCAACTAATCAGCAGCGCTGCCCCGTGGACGCCGCAGCGCTGCTGATTTTACGAAAATTTCCTGACCGAGCAGCGCTGCCATTTCGCAGCTGGCCTCTCCGGCAGCAATCGGCTTCAGCTGCCATACACAAGGCAACTGTTGCTCATCGCTGCCACACACATGGCAACTGTTGCCCACTGCTGCTGTTCAAATCGGCAGCGCTGTGGCGTCCACGCCGCAGCGCTGCCTGCACTTTTTGAGCAGCCCTGCCGTTCAGCTGCGAATTAGCCTCTGAGAAATTCATAAATTTTTGAAACAGTAATTTTTTGCCTGATCAACCTAATGAAAAATCAAAAAGTTGAAAATTTCCGCTTATCCTTGTCATAGAATAAATTGAAAGCAAAGAATTGTCACAATTATTGATTAATAAAAAACACTTTCAAATGGATATAGAATATCGTTTATAGCAGGATTAATGTAATAGACTAATTGAGATGTTAGAAATGTAATAACAGAAACGTATTTAGTGAAGGTTTTGTTATTATTGAATCAAAAATACGTGAAAAATTCAAAAAAGTATGTCAAATGCAATTCAATCGATAAATTCTTTGCGGTGGAAACCAGAATCGAATCCGATCACTAGGAATAAAATAATTTCTGGACATTTCGAGACTTTCCCATCAATAACTACTACATTGATCGAATTATTTTACATCAGATTGGGTGAAAAATTCAATTCTTTTTTGAAACAGTGAATTTCTGATGAACAAAAGGGAAAGATTTCTAAATGAAAAATTGAAACAGTAAACAAACTCGGAAATTTTTTGGAGAAATTTATTTATTTATTTAAATTCTAGAGAAAAGTGAGGAATTTTGAACTGAAATTGGTGGAAAATCTGATAAATTATCAATTTTTTAAAAGAAGAAATTTGAAATTTGGACCATTTTAATGTTATTCAAATTTATGGAATTGTTTTTGATTCATTACCAATAATGATTATAATCGAAGTTATTGATGGAAAATAATTATCATCATGTAAATATTCGAAATGTACAGAAAAACAGAAACGTATTCAGTGAAGGTTTTGTTAGAAACATCAGAACAGAAATTTTGTCTTCGAAATCTTCTGAATAAAAAACGAATGATTTCTTCTATATGTTTCCAACTCGCAAGGATCAGTGAGAGATGAAATTAGAATGTTTATGAAAACAGAATTAATTAATTTCAAATTATATCATTTTTTTATACATAAGTTTTGAAACATTGAAAAAAATTGATTTTAGATCACAAAATTGGAATAGTTTCTGCAGAAAGAATAAGTTAAAAACTAGAATTCTCATATGACAAATTTTTGAAACAGTGAAATTTTTTTGCAATACAAAAATCTATGATTGTCATACAAATATAGTATTTCTTTTCAAGTGATTATTGAAACAGTGAATTATTACAAAGCAATTAAAAAATTGAATTTCAATTTTCTTATTATTTTTTTTGAAACAGCAAATTATTTTGTTTATAAAATTTTGCATTTGAACAAAAATTGTAGAAAATATTTGCTAAATATTGGATTTGAAACAGTACAATTTTAGAAATAATTGAAAATCGATTTTTAACATCACATGTCTGGTTGACTAAGTTGATCATTCAATTTTAGAATCAGAAATGTTTTTGAAACAGTGAAAATTAATTTCATAGAAAAAACATCATTATTTTTTTTTTTTGAAACATAACATTTTTTGGTAATTTACATATGAATTGAATTAAAAAGAAACAATTCAAAACTTGATAAATTTTTTGAAACAGTAGAACATTTAGAGTTTTCCTAGGATCATTCAATAAAAATAATTTGGAATTTTTTTTTCGAAAAATAAAACGATTATATTCGATTAATTTTCTACCATTGAAACTTGTTTTCATCAAAATTTTGAAACAGTGGAAATTTCTTGAAAAATACCACAAATTGACATTTTAGAAAAGTTAGGTTCTCAGGACGCTCAATTATCGATTTCAATCCTTTTTTGTTTTCAAATACAAAATTATTGAAACAGTGAGAAAATCTGAACTCTGAATGTAAAGAACACAATCAATTGATTTCAAGTTCCAAAAGCATTTAGAAAAAATCTTCGGAAATGTTTCTTTGGAAAATTCATAATTTTTTGAAACAGTAATTTTTTTACGAATCTGATCGAAAAATCAAAAAGTTGAAAATTTCCGATTATCCTTGTCATAGAATAAAATGAAAACAAAGCATTGTCACAATTATTGATCAATAAAAAACACTATCAAATGGATATAGAATATCATTTATCGCAGGATTAATGTAATAGATTCGAGATATTAGAAATGTAATAACAGAAACGTATTCAGTGAAGGTTTTGTTAGAGAAAAAATTAGAATTCGGACTGTTTAGAAGAAACTTAAATTATCTAATTTCAAATTCTTTCAATTTTCTATATCAAAATTTTGAAACAGTAAACTTTTGTTTGCAAAAAAATCTTCGGAAACTTTTTTTTGGAAAAATGCTAAACCAGGAGAGTCAGAAGAATCGAAAACAACATTTATTGTTCAATCGAACACTTCCTACTAATTATCATATATAAATGACAGAGGATCGAATGAAATCCATCGAAATATTAGAAATACAAGAAGTGAAACGTATTCAGTAAAGGTTTTGTTACAAACATCAGAACATAAATTTTGACTTTGAAATCTTCTGAATTTAAAAAATGAATGGGTTCTTCTATATGTTTCCAACTCGCAAGGATCAGTGAGAGATGAAATTAGAATTTTGAATGTTTATGAGAACAGAATTAATTAATTTCAAATTATATCATTTTTCTATACATAAGTTTTGAAACAGTAAAAAAAATTGATTTTAGATCACAAAAAGTGGAATAGTTTCTGCAGAATTTATTTTGAATTTTCAACAATTTCGACTTGCAAAGGGAAAATTGAAAAAAACATGTTAAAACTAGAATTCTCATATGACAAATTTTCGAAACAGTGAAATTTTTCTTGCAATACAAAAGTGCATAATTGTCATACAAATATAGTATTTCTTTTCAAATGATTATTGAAACAGTGAAATATTACAAAGTAATTAAAAAAAAGTGAACTTCAATTTTCTTATGAATTTTTTTTGAAACAGCAAATTATTTTGTTTATAAATTTTTGCATTTGAACAAAAATTGTAGAAAATATTTGCTAAATATTGGATTTGAAACAGTACAATTTTGGAATTAATTGAAAATCGATTTTTTCCATAATTTCTCTTGATGACCAAGTTGATCATTGAATTTTAGAATCAGAAATGTTTTTGAAACAGTAGAAAATTAATTATAGATAGAATAAACATTTTTATTCGAAATTTATTTAATTTTTTGGTGATTTTCAGATCGGGAAAATTGAAAATTTTTTGAAACAGTGAGAAAATTGTGACAGAAAAATATCATAGATTTAAAATTCTACTAAAAATTCTGAAACAGTGGAAATTTTTTAAAACAGTAATTTCCCCCCTACATTACAATTTCTAATAAAACACCAGAAGGCTGAAAATTTCTAAGCGAAAATTTGGAACAGTAAAAAAAACCCACATCTCAATCTCCTCCTTCGGTGTCTGTTTCCCCGCCGCATATACAATTTCCTTCTTCGCTTTTCTCATATTTTCCATCGCCATCGTTTCAGATTCATACAAAACCAGCGGATTTCCAATATCAACTTCACAAAGTAGCATAAATACCCTTCCACCATCTTTTGGTATGCAATAATTTGCAGATTTCGATGGGACATTTGCAAAATACACACCATTTCCAAACATCAAATCATCTCGAATACCTTTTGGGATAACTAAGCCATTCATGAGAATCGAAAATACATTTGTGACTCGAGTTCCGTGCCAAAGAAGTCTTTTAGCTTCAGCTTTCTTGGTAGATTTTCCTCTTTTCCTAACTGGCTCCGCTTCCTCTTTAATTTTCGAATCAACAATTTCAAATGCATTTTTCAGCGCCAATTTATACAAATGTGTAGGTGCGCGGAGTTTCAAACACTCTTCAATTTTCGCCGAAATTTCTTCGGAAACCGCTTGAATTTCGCAGGGTAATTTATCATAAAGTCGATGATAGATATCTTTTTGTGAGCGGGATTTTTTGAGATTTTTCAGACTTTGCGCGGCTTCAATGGTTCCTCTGAGGGCATCAAGGAGTTCTCGTTCATCGTGGACTTTTTGAAGAGTGTCGATTTTTGGGGGGACTTGGAAGCTGTAATTTTAGGAGCGAGTGTAAACCGCAAGCTACCGCGAAGCGGCAAGGCTTTGGCTTAGGGTTCACAGCAAAACATAGGGTTCAAGGCGTGACCGCTTCGCGGAAGATAGTGCCGCTTACGCGGAAGCTTGCGGTCTACACTCGCTTCGCTCGACGCTAATAAGTTAGGCTAACTTTCTATATTTTCCAGAAAAGTTAGACTAACTTTGCCGCTAGGAGCAAGCTTGCGATTTACACTGTAAAGCGTAAGCTTCCGCGTGAGCGGCATTATCTTCCGCGAAGCGGCGACGCCTTGAACCCTAAGCCTAGGGCTCGAGCGCTTTGCGCAAGTGTAAACCGCAAGCTTCCGCGTAAGCGGCAAAGTTAGGCTAATTTTCTATATTTTCCAGAAAAGTTAGGCTAACTTTCTATATTTTCCAGAAAAGTTAGGCTAACTTTCTATATTTTCCAGAAAAGTTAGGCTAACTTTGCCGCTGCGCGGAAGCTTGCGGTTTATTGAAAATTGTTTTCAAAATTTCTCTTTAAATTTTTAATTAATTTTAATTTTTAATCACCTAATTACCCTAATTTCCCCAATTATCTTCTCAATCTCAAATTCACTTACCCAAAAGCATGTGGAATCAATGAATAATATTTATTTGTGTTATGCATAACATTTCCTTTGGCCACTGATTTTTTATTCGCCGTTCTTTTTCCATTTTTTGCAACCGGTTTTGGACACGTCGCTTCGATTTCGGACAAAATTTGATAGCCGGTTTCGATTTGAGCCAATGAGAGGCAATCTAGAAATAAAAATAAAATTTTTTTTGGAAATGAGAAGGCCACGTCATAATTTCACGTTTTTAATTTTAATTTTTTTCTTTCGGAAATTTCTCTAGATTAAATTTTTAAACTTCAAATTTCGTTTAGAAAATTTTTGAATAAAATTTTCAGATATTATTTGCAAGTGAAAATTACTGAAAATCAAGAATTTTCTAGATTCTACAGAATTTTGTACTACAGTGCTCCACAAAATGATACGGTCAATATGAAAAATTCCAAAAAATCAAAAATCCGAAAAACATGTAATTTCTATGTTCATGGGGCTCAAATGTTGTTTTTGGATCAATAATTGAAATTTTTGAGCCCTTTTGAGCTCCATGAACATAGAAATTTAATGCTTTCTGGATTTTTGAATTTTTCATGTTGACCGTATCATTTTGTGGAGCACTGTGTAGATTAAATTGTTAAATTTCATTTAGAAAATTTTCAGAATTCAGATAAAGAATGATTTTTACCTAACTATATTTATTATTTGCAAGTGAAAATGACTGAAATTCAAGAATTTTCTAGATTTCACAGAATTTCGTACTATAAATTTTTAAAATATTTTTCAATGTAAATCCACAAAACCCAAAAAACCGATCACAATTCTTTATTTCCAGTGTACAAAAACAAAATCTCTACTAAAAATTATCATAGGAGCGAAAATCGATACTACTTCAAATACGGTGAATCGCCTTTCGTTTGATAAAATGAGCAATGCATTCGTACATCACCGTATTCAACGACCTGGAAAAAAATCATAGGAAAAATTGACATAAAATTTTTTAATGTAAGTCGGTGAGCCCTAAATGCATAAAAATATGAGCAAACTTGGTCTACTTGAGCTCCTGGAGCTAGAAATCATATATTTTTCAGTCTAGAATTAAATTTTAGCTCCAAGAGCAGAATTCCCACGCAATTGCGTTTATTTACAGGTTCTGGAGCAAAAATAAATGATTTTTGAGCTCGAGGAGCCAGAAAACTGATAATTTTCGCTGAAAGATCCCTTTAGGAGCAAAAAAATCAACTGCTAAACTCAAAAATCAATATTTTTAGGTTCAAAAACCAGAAAGATGTTATTTTTTCGTTCAACTTCATAAAGTTAACAAAAACCCTCACCATATTCAATAAATTATTCTCAAAATAATATCGATTCGTTTCATTCAACTGTCCCACACTCAAATCCATCGGTGCCCATTCAACCAACAATTCCTCTTTCTGATTTGGTCGACTGAATCGAACCTTCTGATTTCTCGAAGTGTACGGATGTTGCGATACATACCTGGGAACATAACTTTTATAGCTTTATACATCACTTTTTTCCGCGCAGCGGCAAAGTTAGCCTAACTTTTCTGGAAGCTTGCGGGCTACACTCGCACAAAGCGCTCGAGCTCTAGGCTTAGGGTTCAAGGCGTAGCCACTGCGCGGAAGATAGTGCCGCTTACGCGGAAGCTTGCGGTTTACACTCGCACAGAGCGCTCGAGCTCTTGGCTTAGGGCTCACATAGGGTGTGAGGCTTGGCCGCTGCGCGGAAGATAGTGCTGCTGACGCGGAAGCTTGCCTAAGCCTAGAGCTCGAGCGCTCTGCGCGAGTGTAGACCGCAAGCTTCCGCGTCAGCGGCACTATCTTCCGCGCAGCGGCTCCGCTCGAGAAAAAAATCAATTTATAGCTTTATGTGTAAATAGAAATTTAGTATCGTACGTTTAACGTTGATGGCGTAACTATTAATCTTAAACATACCATACTCCAAATTGCACATGAGTTAGCTCAACTTCATAATAACCAATATCTCTATAGGACATTCGTATACTACAACATTTCCTAGTAAAATATTTTTCGATAGATTTTGCTCGTAGTGCTAATCGATCAGCTAGTGCAAAATCTCTGGCTTCCAAATAATCTCCATAATTTTGACATTGTCGATCGATAAACCCGCCAAACATTCGCCAAGGCAGAAATTCCTCATTTTTCACCGAATTTAAATTGAAATAAAATAGAAATATGATAAATTTGAATTTGAATCGCATCTGAAAAATGAATATTTCTGGGAAACGAACAGACGAAAATTTGGAAAAGAAAAAGAGAAAATGGTCCTGAAATTGGGCTAATAAAACACATTCAATTTGAGAAAAAGACATTTTGAGCACAAAAAAATGGTTATTGTTTTAATTTGAGTCACATGATGAAAAAACTGTAAAAATCAAGAAAAAAATTGAAAATAAAAAAAAAACGCGAAATTTCCACATGCTGAAACGTGGATTATTGATTTTATTTTTTATTTTTTTATGGGTTTCAGACAATTTTTAATATTTTGATTTTTGAAGCTGAATTTCAAGATTTTTCCTGGAAAATTTTTGAATTCTTCTTTAAAAAATTGGCTCAAATTTGGGTTATGACGTGGAAAATGATTTTTTTCGTGAATTTTTAATTTTTTTTTTGATTTTTGAAAGTTCCCCTAATGAAAATCATGATTCTCGATTCAAAATACATAAATTTTGAAACAGTAATATTTTTCTTGGGAAAAAATTTGATTTTTTCATGAAAAATGTAATCTCTTGTGGCAATTTCAGGGAAAAATTGAAAAAAATCAATTTTTTCGTCAAATTTTTGGGAATTTCTGAAAATTTTCGCATTCAGAACCATGTTATGAACGAAAATTATGATTGTCAGTTCAAAATACACAAATTTTGAAACAGCAATTTTTTTCTAGCGGAAAAATTGATTTTTTTCCATGAAAATTGTAATCTCTTGTGGCAATTTCAGAGAAAAATTCAAAATTTTCAAAATTTTGGGGATTTCTAGAGTTTCTGAAAAATTTCGAGTTAAAATTAACGATTAAACGAAAATTATGATTTTCGGTTAAAAATACACAAATTTTGAAACAGTAATATTTTTTTTGCTTGAAAATTGAATTTTTCATGAAAAATCGTTATCTCTTGTGGCAATTTCAGAGAAAAATTGGGAAAATTAATTTTTTTTTCAAATTTTTGGAAATTTCTAGAGTTTCTGAAAAATTTCGAGTTAGAATCAACGATTAAACGAAAATTATGATTGTCTGTTAAAAATACACAAATTTTGAAACAGTAATTTTTTTCTTGATGGAAAATTGCATTTTTTCATGAAAAATGTAATTTCTTGTGGCAATTTCAGAGAAAAATTGAAAAAATCAATTTTTTCGTCAAATTTTTGAGAATTTCTAGAATTTCTGAAAATTTTCGCAATAAAGATGAACAACGAATGAAAATTATGATTCTCAATTGAAAATACATGAAATTTGAAACAGTAATTTTTCTGTTCAGATTTTTTGAAAGAGAAAAATTTAAAAACTTCAATTTTCTTCAAATTTTTGGGATTTTCAACATCGAAATCGCCAAAAAATTGATTTTTTGTTTTATGACGTGGAATTTTTTCCAAAAAGAAAAATAATGGATTTTTATCACACATTCTGGCGATAAATAAATACAAAAAAAATAGCGTGAAACGTGGCAACATTTCTCATTTCTCCAAATTTTATTCCCAATTTTTGCAATCAAAAAAAAATCATGAAAACCAAGCCGGAAACCTTTAGGGTAAGATTTTTTCCCCATATTTTCATGGAAAATCATAATTTTCTCAGATTGAATCAATTTGCACGGCATTAACACATAGCATAGCATCCGGTGCAATCTACTATCTATTCCACAAACATGCTCTCGAACATATCAGACAATTTTTCATCGATAAAATGCAATCGGATTTGACGCCGGTGCAATTCGCGCGAGAATTGAAACATTTTTCCGATATCAGTTGGCTCGCTGTTATTTCGAACCTGTGTCTTGCAATCATTTGTCTAATGCACTCAAGAATGCCGTGTAAATTAATGGCTTTTTTGGTTATTTTGATAGGAGTGGGTATTTCTACCTTCAAATCATGGTGAAATTTTGTCCATGGACAGCTCTTGGGACCATAAGAACACCCTAAAAATTTTAGACCTCTGAGCCAAGTTCTGGGCTCTCAATAGTTCAAAAATTGCCTAAATTGGCTCATAAAACATGTCATAACTCAATTCTCGATCAATTTTATGAAAAAAGCCCAGAACTTGGCTCACAAGGGAACCTTTTTTACTCAACACTTCAAACCTTGATGAAATTTTGTCCAGAGACAGCTTTTGGGGTCATAAGAACACCCTAAAAAATTTGTCTGGACCTCTGAGCCAAGTTCTGGGCTCTCAAAAGTTCAAAAATTGCCAAAATTGGCTCATAAAACACGTCATAACTCAATTTTCGATCAATTTTATGAAAAACTGAGTAGCAGATGATGATCAGCGTGGTCGAATTACTAAAAATACATCAATAAAAATTTTTTTTTCAAAAAAATTTTGAAGTTTTTTATTTTTCGGCTGAAAATTCATGATTCATGAAAATTCATTGAGCCAATTTCAGCAATTTTTGAACTTTTGAGAGCCCAGAACTTGGCTCAGAGGTCCAGACAAATTTTTTTAGGGTGTTCTTATGGTCCCAATGGATCAAATTTCATCATGATTTGAAGTGTTTCGCTCCAAAACACTCAAATTTCCAGATCTTCCAAATGATCAGTGTCCACATGCTTTTAAAAATCTGCCAACTTCAATACACAAAAGTTTCAGTGGCTAGAGAGCTTCAATCTATATCCGATTATTCGTCTTTTTTGCGAAAATATGATTTTCTGATTTTTTTTCTGGATGTTTTACAAATCGAATCGATTTTTACGTGTGCTTTGTTCACATTTATTTTTTTTGATAAACCGAAGCAGAAGCGAATAATTTTTGGATGAAAAATTGTCAGAAAATCGAAAATTTTGAATAAATGTTAAGAGTTTCATCCCTCGGAAATTATTTTTTCTCTGAGTTTGACGTGGCAAATCCCTCCCCAAAAATTTCATGGCAATTTCAGAGAAAAAATTAATTTTTTTCAAATTTTTGGAAATTTCTAGAGTTTCTGAAAAATTTTGGATTAAAAATAAATGTTGAACGAAAATCATGATTGTCGGTTAGAAATACATGAAATTTTGAAACAGTAATTTTTTCTTGCTGGAAAATTGCATTTTTTTCATGAAAATCGTAATCTCTTGTGGCAATTTCAGAGAAAAATTGGGAAAATTAATTTTTTTTTCAAATTTTTGGGAATTTCTAGAGTTTCTGAAAATTTTCGAATAAAAAAGTATCTTTTGAACGAAAATCATGATTGTCGGTTCAAAATACATGAAATTTTGAAACAGTAATTTTTTTCTTGCTGGAAAATTGCATTTTTTTCATGAAAATTGTAATCTTTTGTGGCAATTTCAGAGAAAAATTGGAAAAATTCAATTTTCTTCAAATTTTTGGGGATTTCTCGAGTTTCTGAAAATTTTCGGATTAAAAAATAAAAGTCGAACGAAAATTATGATTATCGGTTAAAAATACACAAATTTTGAAACAGTAATATTTTTCTTGGGAAAAAAATTGATTTTTTCATGAAAATTGTAATCTCTGGTGGCAATTTCAGAGAAAAATTGAAAAAATCAATTTTTTTTTTCAAATTTTTGGGAATTTCTAGAGTTTCTGAAAACTTTCGCTTTAAAAATGGAGGACTGAACGAAAATCATGATTGTCGGTTCAAAATACATAAATTTTGAAACAGCAATTTTTTGCTAGAAAAAAAAATTGAATTTTTCATGAAAAATGTAATCTCTTGTGGCAATTCCAGAGAAAAATTGAAAAAATCAAATTGTTTTCAAATTTTTGGGGAATTCTAGAGTTTGTTGAACGAAAATTATGATTGTCGGTTCAAAATACATAAATTTTGAAACAGTAATTTTTTGTTCAGATTTTTTGAAAGAGAAAAATTTAAAAACTTCAATTTTCTTCAAATTTTTGGGATTTTCAACATCGAAATACCCAAAATTATTGATTTTTAGTTCTATGACGTGGCAAATTCCCCCTTTTCCAAAAACTAAAAACACTCACCCATCGGTTTTCCAAATTCCTCATTAAATTTCAAATGTTTCAACATTCCCAAATGCACATCCTCATCACAAATCTTTTTCAAAAATTCGCGAACATTTTCCTCGATTTTTTTGGTTCCTGAATCTTCCTCTTCTTCTTCTTCTGGCTCCTCTTTTTTTACTACAATTTCAGCTTTGCGCCGTTTTCCAGCGCGTTTGGGTTGCGGAGTTTCCGCTTCCGCTTCCGCTTCCGCCTCCTTTTTCAACTCAACAACCACATATTTCCCGGGCATCGGTTCATCATCTCTTTCCGTCCAATCCAAATGTGTTTTTTCGTGGAATTTTTTCTCGAAAAATTCGCGAGCTTTTTCAGAGTTCGCGAAACTCTTGAAATTCGTGCAACCTTTGTAGCCAATTCGACCATTAATCAATTTTACACTGAAACTTTTGGGGGTTTCCTGGATGAGTTCCATGTCGTAGAATTTGTTCGAGTTTGCGCCGATGTCTGTCTGCAAAATGTTCAGAAGGTTTTCGTGGCCTAGAAACCCAAATCTAGGCCATCTGGAAGAGTTTCTGATGGCCTAGAAAATCAAAAAGCTCGGCCACGAGGTGTTTTGGCGTGAAAAGCCATGGCTAACATGACTCATGTTTCTCTGCGTCTCTAACTCTCTCACTCTCTCTTTATCTCTAGATTCAGAGACCATAGAATCTAGAGATAGAAAGCATGTTAGAGACGCAGAGAGAAATTGCTCATGTTAGCCAGAAATCTCATTTGAGCAAAAATTTGGCTATGACGTGGCATTTTTTCAGAATTTTGTCTAGATTTTCAGCTATTTTTCTTCTAAAAAAGTTTCAAAGTACATAATTTCAGATTTATGGCCAAAATCTTGTCTGAAAATTTCAGATTTTTGATAAATTTCCAGAAATACAATTTTGAGACTATGACGTGGCATTTTTCCAGAATTTTGTCTAGATTTTCAGCTATTTTTTTGCTAAAAAAGTTTCAAAGTACAAATTTTCAGATTTCTGGCCAAAATCTTGTCTGAAAATTTCAGATTTTTGATCATTTTTTCCAAAATTAAAAAAATTTACCTTGCAAAGATGAACCTTGTACGGTCTTCCATTCTCATCGACCAAAATCGACATCTGAAAAAATAATTTTTTTTCTAAAATTTTGTTTTTGAAAAAGAAAAAAATGAGAGAGAAAAAAAAAGTTTGCCAAAAAAAACCCAAGTTTTGACCTTGATTTCAAAAAAAGAGGAATTCGAGGTTTTTAAAACTATGTGGGACATTCTTCTCATTGGCTCCGCCCACAAAACTGTGCCGCAAAAAAACAAATTACTAAGCCACGCCCACTTTTCCGTGCCTCAAAAACAAAATTGAAAATCAAACCATCAAGCTCCGCCCACAAATCTATGCCTCACAAATCCCCAAAAATCAAAAAACCATGTGCAAAAAGTTCCTTGTTCCTCTGCAAATCGAACACAAGATTCGATCATCGATTTGATTTCATCAGAAATGCTATAAAACTCGAATTCTGCGATGTTTTCGAGCATTGAATTCAGAATGGTATTCCTGTATTCTCTACTGGTTATACCATTGCTCATATCACCGAACTTGGCTGAACTTGGGATTGACGATTATTCTGAAGGTAGGTCTATGAATAGCTGCGATAGTTGGACAATCGACTAAATGACATTTCCAGGTTTTTTAAGCAAATGAGTTGAAATATTGGGTTCTAATGTTATTCATATGATAGAAAGGTCTAAGACGAACAGAATGGTATAAATTATGATGACTTTACGTTATCCATAAGTGATTTAGTGACCTTATCGACTAAACGTCCCTAAATCACTCATGGATAACGTAAAGTCATCAAAATTTATATCATTCTGTTCGTCTTAAACCATTCTATCATATGAATAACATTAGAACTCAATATTTCAAATGAAAATGTCATTTAGTCGAATTAGTCGATAGCTCGCACTAATACCCTAAGCTTAGGGTACTAATACCCTAAGCTTAGGGTATTAGCTTAGGGTATTAGTTGTGGACTAATACTCTAAGCTAATACCCTAAGCTTAGGGTAGTAGCTTAGGGTATTAGTGACCCTAAGCTTAGCAAAGCTGTATGATGCATCAGGCTAAACACATAGGAACGATATAACTCTCACAAACACCGTGTGTTTTACAGAAGAACTCCAAAAACCACAAAAACCATTCCGAATTGGAGAGGAATTGATGAAACATGTTGAAACAGAAGCACTTCTTAAAACCTTCTTCGCCAGCCGACCAATCGCTAATCACCTTCTTAAAACAATTGTGAAAGCCGAAAAAAACCACGATAGAGCACTTTATTCATCAGTTGTTGACAAATCCTTCGTCCTCCGTGGATGTCAAAGAGAAATCGGATATGAAAGACTCAAAAAGTACGCAGCCAACGGACATTTTGTGAAAAAACTCGGATCTCTCAAGATCAAAACCGCCAAATTCGTCTACAATTCGTTGGAAATCACAGTTCTTTTGCCATGCAAATACCAAAGTTTTGAATTGCGTTTGACTGCGAAAGAAATCGATGGAAGTTACAAATTGATTCGCGCTGATGTTGGTGATCTTCCAATCTGCCAGCGTCTTCATTTGGGAGAAGCTGGGCGAACGGCTTCAGGGATCGCTGAGAATATTCTTGAGACCATAGTTCAGGCCGAGAAAACACATGATCTCGCACTTTTCGGTTTAGCCGTTGATTCAAAATTCATTCTGCACGGTTGTCGCAACGCGGTTCGTATTGAAAAACTCAAAAAGTACGTGGGTCATGGTTATTTCGCCCAAAAACTTGCATCAATTCAAGTTCTCTCAAGCAAATTTGCTGGAAAACATTTGCTGATCAACGCGGAATTCGCAGATCTCAATCAAACATTCACAATTCAATTGGTGGCTAGGAAAATCAATGGAATTCATCGATTGATTTTTGCGAATGTTGAAGATTTGCCAATTTGTCATCGTCTCAATTTCGGAGATTCGATCAAAACTTCAAAAGGTGTTGCTCAAAACATCCTTGAAGTTATCGCTAAAGCCGAAGAAACTCATGACAAAGCCCTCTTCGGTTTAGCCGTCGACAAATCTTTCAAACTCCAAGGTTGCGGAAGAACTGTCAGTCATCAAAAGCTCAAAAAATACGCGGGCCGTGGTTATTTTTCGAAACAAGTCAGATCACTTCAAGTAATCGCTAGCCGATTTGTTGGAAATCACTTGGAATTCATCGCGAATCTGCCAGGAAATGAGCAAAATTTCAATGTGAAATTCATCGCGAAGAAAATCAACGGAATCACAAAATTGATTCGAGCGGATTTTGGAGAATTGCCAATTTGCAAGCGACTCAATTTCGGAGATGCAATCAAAACACCAAAAGGTCTTGCTGAAAACATCCTCCAAGTGATTCACAAAGCCGAAAAAACCCACGACAAGCGACTTTTCGGTTTGGTCATCGATAAAACTTTCGACATCCATGGCTGTGAGAAAACCGCAAGTTACGACAAACTCAAAAACTACGCTGGTCACGGTGATTTCGCCAGTCAAATCGCTGCTCTTCGAATCGTCCGAGCTTATCGAGTCAACGGAGATTTGCAATTTCTCGCTGTCCTTCCAGGCAACTTCGAATTCAAATTCAGTGCGAAGAACGTGAACGGTCTCACAAAATTGGTTCGTTTAGACATTGGAAACTTGCCAGTTTGTCAGAGACTTGGATTAGGAGTTAAAACACCCGAAGGTCTCGCGAAGAACATTCTCCAAACCTTGGTTATCGCCGAAAAAATTCATGATCGCAAACTTCTTCGTCTCGTCATAGACAAATCTTTCGTTTTCACCGCTTGCAAGAAAACAACAAGATTTTCCAAGCTCCAAGAATTCGCCGGTTTCGAATATATCCTGAACCAAGCTTCATCTCTTCGAATCATCAAAAGCAGATTCTTCAATGACAAATTGCAATTCAAAGCCTCTCTTCCAATCAATAACAAGAATATCATTTTGAAGTTTATTGCCTTGAAATTCGGAGGAAACTACAAATTGGTTCGAGTTATCATCGATGAAGATTTACCAATCTGCAGAGGATTGGTATTGGGAGGATTAGCAAAGCCAGCAATTCTTAACAGACGAGTTAATAATCTCCTCGAAGTCATCAGAACCGCCGAACGAACTCAAGACCCCGCCCTCTTCCGCTTAGCCATCGACAAATCTTTCAAACTCCAAGCCTGCGGGCGAACTGTGAGCCATCAAAAACTCGCAAAATACTTCGGACATGGCTATTTCACCAATCAACTCTCCAATCTTCATGTCGCCTTCACCCGAAAAAACAAAAACACTCTGATTTCTATCGCAGCTCTTTTGGAAAATGGAAAATCACATATAATCAAACTAACTTCCGCGAAAATCAATGGAATCACCAAATTGATTCGTGTTGATGCTGGAGATCTTCCAATCTGCAAGCGACTTAGCTTAGGAGCCGAATTGAAAACGCCCAAAGGAATAGCTAACAATATCCTCCAAGTTATCGCGAAAGCCGAAGAAACCCATGATAAAGCTCTCTACGGTTTAGTCGTCGACAAATCTTTCAAACTTCAAGCCTGCGGAAGAACTGTCAGTTATGAAAAACTTGGAAACTACGCAGGTTTTGGTTATTTCTTCAATCAAATAAAATCTCTCAAAATCATAAGTGCTCGTGAATTGGGAAATGGTATCACATTCACTGCCATGTTACCAGGAATCGATAAAAATATCATCGTGACTTTCGTCGCAGCAAAAATTGATGGAATTACAAAATTGATTCATGCAATGTTTGTGGATTTTCCATTTTGCGAGCCGGGTATTTCGAGGAAAGCAGTTCTTGGATTAGTCGCGGAAAAATCAATAAATTACACATCAACCACGGAAAAACCTAAGGATGATGATTTAGAAGAAAGATCACCATTAGACTTCTAATATTGATTTTTTGTCAAAATTTCCCGTGAATAAATTGCATTTGAAATATAAATTTTTCAGAAAAATAAAAGTTATCATAACTCAACTCACAATGATTTTTATAGGAAACTGAATATCAGAAAATGATCAGCGTAGTTAAAATAATCAAAAATTTCGGAGAAATTTTGGAATTTTCAGATGAAAAATCGAATTTTTTTAATTTTAAGAGCCCATAAGAGCACTTCAGAATTTTCAAATTTAGCCATAGAATTTTTCAAAAAAATATTTTAATCGATAAAAAAATTGTTTTCAAAAAATTTTGAAACAGTGATTTTTCTGGTTATTTTTTTTCATTTTTCAAGATTTTAGGGGTTAAAATCATGCAAATTCACAAAAAAAAACTCAAAATAGCACAATTCGAGCACAACGATTATTCAAACCAAGCAAAAATCCAAAATTTTCAAAAAAAAATCAAATTTTATTAACAAGAAAATACGGTTCAAAAATAATAAATAACCAAATCCACCTCCTCAAAATCTACAGTAATCCCTGTCGCTTCAAATCCTCATACATTTTTCTGGTCACAACATTTCCAGCCGAATCCTCATATTCCTCATCCATATCCGGATTCCATTTTCCGCGCTCTTTTTCCACTTTCATTTTATTCCACAAATCCAACGCGTCTTTGATTTTTGTGATATTGGCAAAATGAGCAGTGTTTGGGACACCCAAACAACGCATTCCGTGTGAATGACGCCATTCCTGGAATATTATTTTTTTTTATTTTTTTTTAGTTTTGCTAAGATTGGCTAATGTATCAAAAATTAGATAACAAATTTTTGATTGAAAAATATTTGAAACAGTGAATTTTTCGTAGAAAAAAAATGAAAAAAAGATTTTTAGCAGATAAACAAACTTGTGACATCAAAATATCTAATGAAAATAATTTTAATTGAAAAATATTTGAAACAGTGAATTTTTTATGTTAAAAAGTTTTCCTAGAACTCAAAAAAAATTCTGGAAAAAAAATTTAGAATCAGTCTCATTCCCCCAAAATTTATAAGAATTTATTATCAAAATGTTCAGTCAAAAAACTTTGTGAAAATAATTTTCACCCCAAATTTTTGAAAAATTCATTCTCGGCATATCAAAAATCAAAAACGTTTGACCGCACTTTTTACTTGAAAAATGTTTGAAACAGTAAATTTTTTAACTCTGAATACACTATTATTATTGGAAAAAATTCAACATTTCAAAAAATTATCAAAATTTTGAAACAGTAATTTTTCAAAGTAAAAAAACTGAAAACTGAATTTAGAAACAATTTTGTGAGTTCACAGAATCAGTATAAAATGTTTTTTTGGAGGACCAATAGAATGCCGAAAAGTAATTGCGAAAAGACAATTTTTACTTGAAAAATGTTTGAAAAAAGTGAATTTTTTCAAAAAATTCGGTTTGTGAAAAAAATTGAACTTGATTTTTAATTTCAACCAATGTTGAGAGAATAAACAAAGAAAAATTCAAAAATTCAAAAAAATTATCAAAATTTTGAAACAGTAAATTTTTTTCAAAGTAAAACAAACTGAAATTTGAATTTAGAAACGTTTTTTTTTTTGAAGAACCAACAGAATGCCGAAAAGTAATTGCGAAAAGACAATTTTTACTTGAAAAATGTTTGAAAAAGTGAATTTTTTCAAAAATTCGGTTTTTGGAAAAATTGAACTTGATTTTTAATTGACAAAATCCATACTATTAAAGCAACACCCTCGTATAATAAGGCCATTGCGGAATGCATTCAAACACGAAAATTTATAAAATTAACCTATCCAGCTATGCTCACAAGCAATATGAAAAAGAAAAACTCAAAAACGATCAAATTTGACCACTTTTGAGAAAAAAAATTATTTTTTTTTTGAAAATCGCCTGCAGATTGTGCAGATCCGCAATTTCATGAAATTGTGCAAACACTGTGACGACAATTGTGTGCTACAGTACCCCTTGCAACTTTTTTTCCACAAAAAGTGAATTGTTTCACTGAAAACAATGAAATAATTCATAACAATGATTTCTGAACATCCTTAACTATCTCTACTTTCATTTTTGACAACGATATTTCAGTTTCGTATTGCATATTCTGGTCAAAAACTAAACAAAACACAATTTCCATTGAAAAATTTAGTTTTCGTCTGAAATATTGAATCTTTGTGTTTATACTTCTCTAATTTATTTTTTTCATACCCCGAAAACAGTTTTTTCCATGCAAATTGTCATTTTCCGAAAAAAAAACGGAAAAATTTTGCGAAAAAATAAAAAGAAAACAACGAGACTCCGCGTTGACACTAGCCCGCGTTGTTTGAATTTGAGTTTTTTCAATTTTTCAATGGGCTTCCATATTTCGGCTAATACTTATTCAAACGTTTTGAATTTTTTCTCCGAAATAGAAAACAGTAAAACTAAGCTAAATCTAAGATTTGAGAACATTTGGGCTTTTTTCAAGAAAGTGCCTATTATACGAGGGTGTTGCTTTAAAAAATTCAACATTTCAAAAAATTATCAAAATTTTTCACAGTAATTTTTCAGAGTAAAAAAAACTGAAATTTGAATTCAGAAACAATTTTGTGAGTTCACAGAATCAGTGTTTTTTTGTTTGAAGAACACGATACTTTGATGGTCCATTGTCCACAGCTACTCGCTCGAATAATGGACCATCAAAGTATTGAAGTATCGTGTGTCAAACAGTAACTGCGAAAATACAATTTTACTTGAAAAATATTTGAAACAGTGAATTTTTTCAAACATTTGGTTTGTGGAAAAATTGAACTTGATTTTTATATTGATATCATAAAAAAAACAACATCAGCAAAATTCAAAAACTTATCAAAATATTTTGAAACAGTAATTTTTCAAATTAAAAAAAATTGAAATTTTAATTAAGAAACGTTTTTTTTTTTTGGAGAACCAACAGAATGCCGAAAAGTAATTGCGAAAAGACAATTTTCACTTAACAAATGTTTGAAACAGTGAACTTTTCAAATATTAGGTTTGTGGAAAAATTAAACTTGAATTTTAATTTAGATCATTGACAAGATTGTACTATTAAAAAATGCATCATTTCAAAAAATAAAAATATTTGTGAAACAGTAAATTTTTGAAAATTGTCAAAATTTCTCTTTTTTCCAATTTCCCCCCAAAAAACTCACATTAAAATGCTTCTGAAAAGCTTTGGGTCCTTTATAAGTCTGATTTCCACAAATCTCACAACTATACGACAAATTCAATCCGTGCAATTTGTACAACCAATAAGGAATCGGTTTTCCATCCCATCCCAATGGCAAATTTTTCGGATTATAAGGCGCGCCATCGTCCTCCTCTTCCTCTTCTTCAACCTGCGAAAAATACGTTTTTGTTTTTGGATCAAAATACATATTTAAATCTAGGCTTACAATTGGTTCCTCGTCTTCTTCCTCTTCAAATTCTCCAGCAGATCTCGCCTGTTTTCTCTCCACATTTTCTCGCGTCGCCGTTCTTTCTTCAGATAGCAAATCGGCCATTCTGAAATTAATTTTTGTTTTGGAATTTTAGGGATCAAAATCCGGAGACGCAGAGAAACACTACTCATGTTATACGTAACTTACCGCTACGCGGAAGATTCCAGCGCTCCGCGCAAAATTGCGGTTTACACTCGCTTCGCTCGAAAACCTATAATCAACCCTTCTGTTTCAACTTGAAATCGAGATTTTTGATGAAATATATGTTTTCTAGTAGTTTTCGACACGCTGATCACAATCCCGTTGTCTAAAATTGCAGAACTCATCTCCTAACATGAGTTATGACGTGGCAAAATGGGAAGATTTCGAGAAATTGTAACTTTACTCGGGCAGAAAACGGCGAGGTCGCTACCAATCGGGGCGGAGTCGCTACACGTTTCGGGCGACTGGCCCGAGGCTCTTTGGGCGAGCTTGGGGCGACTCGCCCGAGCGTGAAGCAACTTGCCCCGTTCTCGCCCCGATCCACTCTCTCGGAGGGTGTCCAGAAGCATTTTTCAAAAACTGTATCTATGGAGCAAAAGTAGATCTACTTATAGCTTTATTACCCTACATTTATATCGGCCATTTAATCAATGAATCACTGTGAAATCCCGGAAAAAAAGCATAAAAACCATGATTTAAAAAATGGGCAAAAATTGTAGCGAGTTGCCCGGCACTCGCCACTTTTGAGGCGCGTTTGGGGCAACTCGCTGCAAAACGAGTCTCAAAAAATGTGTAGCGAGTCGCCCCGAGCTATGTCGTTTTTTGGCCGAGTAGTTTTGACCTACTAAAGTTCCAACTTTGCCACGTCATAACTCATACTAGGGTTGATTCACGAACGAAAAAAATGTTTAAAAATGTTTTTTTAACATCGAAAAATCGGTCAAAATTAGTTTTCCAAGTTTTTCAGCCAAAAATGATGACAAATCGATATTTTTCAAGCTTCTGGAGTAATTTCTGATGAAAATAAGCTTTGAGAACCCAATTTTACGAAAAATCAGCAAACCCTTCTGGAAAGTGAATTCCAAGGTCAATTTTAATCAGAAATTACTCCAGAAGCTTGAAAAATATCGATTTGTCATCATTTTTGGCTGAAAAACTTGGAAAACTAATTTTGACCGATTTTTTCGATGTTAAAAAAACATTTTTAAACATTTTTTCGCTCGTGAATCAGCCCTAGTATGAGTTATGACGTGGCAAAGTTGGAAAATGGGAGGTCAAAACTAAAGTTCCAATTTCTTGAAATTTTCAATTTTGCCACGTCATAGCTCATATTAGGAATTGAGTTTTGCAATTTTAGACAACGGAATCGTGATAAGCGGGTCGAAAACTACTAGAAAACATATATTTTCAAGCGAAGCGAGTGTAAACCGCAATTTTGCGCGAAGCGCCGGAATCTTCCGCGAAGCGGTAAGTTACGTCCATACGCTGCATGCCAGGGGTAAAGTTAGACTCAAAATTGCTGAAAAATGGGAATTTGAGCTGAAAACCTAGAAGAAACTGAATGATTTTCAGGGGAAAACTTCATAAAACGTTTTTCTTTTTTGCAAAAAAAACGCTAATTTTTTGTATTTTCTTCCCGAAAAGATACGTCTAACATGAGCAATGAATCTCTAAACAATCAAATTTCTACAAACTCACGCAATAATATGTCCCTCCATCTGCGCAACCCCAATATTCCTCAACTTCTGCTTCTGCGCATCTGCACTATTCGAAGACATTGCAGCTTTTTCAAGATCCGATAACTTGTGTCCTTTTGTCGCATACAATCTTTCAGCTCTTTCCCTCAATGTTCCACCACACTTCAATCCCAAAGCCATTAATGCTCCCTTCAATCGATCTAACCCTAATCCCTCCAATTCCACCGCACTATTATAAGGCGATAAATCGACTGCGGCAGCGGAAGCCGCGCATTTTTCCGCTTCCCATCCAACAAGTGTTCCGGAATTATACTGTCTCTCAATTCTCTCGTTAATCTCAGCAAAATCAGCTTCCAGGTCATAAAGTGGGCGGGTTCTGCCGAAAAACGAGAGTAGATAATCCTTGAGACTTGTGATATATTCTTTATAAGCTCCCGTTTTCTTTGTGGTCGCTTTGGGAATTTCGGTGAATTTTTCGAAATTCAAAAGATAACTCATATAATCCACCCGTTTCACATTCTTCAGATTCACAAATTTGTCATAAACTAGATGAAGATCTAGAAATCTTCCATACGCTTCTTCATCGCTGAATTCAATCATATCTGGCTCGTTTCGCTCGGGATTCGCGATTTCGTCATTGATTTTTTGAAATTCAACGGAAAGCGGCTCGGCGAGCTCTTCAGGGTTTCGTCTATGAGCATCTTTTATAACCTTCAGCCTTGAATAGAATTCTGCAAACTCATTTGGCCCTGAAACCGCGTCCATTTCCATACTTCTTGAGCCATCCTCATCTTTGTATAATTTCACGAGTTCGTTTGAAATCTCGTGATATCTCTAAAATAGAATGGAACATTATCACAATATCCTGAATAAAATGAAAATCTTACATCGGAAAATCGCTTGACTCTTTGCTCACTATTGATTTTCGCCTTATGCGTCAATTTTTCGGCCATTGTTTCTTTGACAATTGAGTCGATCAAACGCTCGCGTTCTTCGTGCAAGTTTCTGGCAATTTCCAAGGATGAATCCATGGCTGAAAATTTGGAATTTGGCTGAAAATCCGGGAGGAAAACAAGAAAAAAAAATGAAACACGCTGTTGTGCAATTGTGCGTCGTTGTGTATACGGTGTGTGCACAATGCATTTTAAATGACGCGCATTTATTTTTATTTTTCCCCCCATTTTTTTTCTTTGTTTTCGTTTTCCTGTCGTTTCCCATAGATTTACATGAAAATTATTACTTGCAGAATGTTGGGAGCATCGAGAAGATTCATCTCAACAACTTGCCGCTTGGCTTGTGAGGGCACCAAGTCAAAGGAAGTCCCAACACCGGAAGAAGCTGGCTGGGCTTATAATCACATCGAAAGAAAGAAGGGAATGTACAAACCACAACATAGTATCACTGAACAAATCAACTATATGAAAAGTAAATCATATGTTGATGCCTACAAAGGTTTGCCAATTTATCGTTGGTATAAGCGAAATATCAAAGGACAATCCAAACTTCAACCACCGCCACGTCTTTTCTGCATTGACAAACATGGGCGATTCAATAAGAATCATGCTTGTCCAGTGTGCCGTGATGAATATTTATATTTCGATTATCGAAATCCAGGGCTCATTGAGCAATTTTTGGCGGATGGAACTGATCAACCAATCGATATTTTGAAAAGTGGTTTGTGCAAGGAGCAATATAATCAATTGAAGGCGCAATTGTTGAAGGCGAAAGAGCACGGAACTATCACTTTTGGTATCGAGTTTCGCAATTTTGATTATCGTCAATGGTATAAAACATGGACAAGTGAACCGGGACAACCTGTGAGTTGGAAAAAATGCTGGTTTTCGAAAAAAATAATTTTTTTATTGAATTTTCAGGTCGAAAGAGCTGGTGTGCGCTTGCAAGATATTCATCCAGATCCACTTGTTCAATTCCCAACTTTCAAAAATGACAAAAACAATGATTGGGATGAGTGGTGGATTCGACACGACAAATTTGCGAGAAAGGCAAAGTAGACTTATTTTTTGGCTTGGGTTTGTTAGTTAGGAGAATCGTTAAATATCTGTTAATTTTTCTATGAAATTTTTCTTATTTAATTTGAAAAACTTGGAAATTGCTAAGGAAATATGAGTAGAAAAATTCACTGTTTCATATAAAAACAAAAAAATGTCCAAAATTCGAAACAAAATTAGCAAAAAATTTCACTGTTTCAAAAAATTGACAAAAAAATCAGTCGAATTTTATTTTCGCTAAAAACTTTAATTCTGCATGAAAGTTCTAATTTCAATTTGATTGTGAGAGTTCAAAATTTGTTGGAAAAATTCACTGTTTCAAAGAACAATTTAGAGCTACCAATTTTATTCATAAATTTTGTGAGTATTCAAAAAAAAATATATCTGAAAAATTCACTGTTTCAAAAAAGTGACAAAAAATTTGGGGTCTTATTTTTTTTCGATAGAGCTATTGGTACCATATCGTAATTAATTGAAATAATATCATTTTACGGAAATTTTTTCAAACTCATAAAAAAATCAAAACTTTTCACTGTTTCAAAAAATTACCAAGAACATTTTTGAGTACCAAATTGAATAAATTTCGTAGCTCTAAAATGTTCTTGGCAATTTTATGAAACAGTGAAAAATTTATGAGGAAAATTTGTCATTAAAAAAAATTCACTGTTTCAAAAAATCAACAAAAACATTTTTTTTCCGATTTTTTTTCGATAACGATTCAAATTTTAAAGCTAAAAAAATTACTGTTTCAAAAAATCGACAAAAACATTGGGTCTAAATTTTTTTTGATAGACATCGAAATTCATTGGGAAAATTTTCACTGTTTCAAAAAATTTTCAAAAAAATTTCAATTTTTTTCAAAAAAAAAATCTTTATTAACAATTATCAAAAGAACCCGTAACAATCACATTAATATCAAAAATCACACCAATAAATCTCCCCCAGTCAAAACCGGATAATTATCCGCCGAATCCACAGTAGACGGTGCAGCTGATGAGAGCGGAATCTCATTTGGCGCGTGATAATGTCCAATTATTTTTCGATGATTATCAGTGTTTTGTACACGGAATGCTGATTTATAAGCGGAACTGGCTCCAATTTGATCAGATAATCGGATTCCTGGCGAAACCAGGGATTTCAATTTTTTGGAGCTCGTCGAGCTCCGATTCTTTTTCGAGTTCAGAATGACAGTTCCACCAGAAGTTGAAGAATTCGATGAATTCGAACTGCTTGTTGGTGTTGGTGAATTGAATAACATTGGTGCAAACATCGAAGGAACTGAATCCTGACTCGCATTTCTCCCTCGATATGAGGAGCTCAGGGGAATTGTTGAAGCTGGAGGGCTTTCCGAATTCACTGATCTCAATTGCTCGTATAATCTGTCTGGAGTATCGTTGCGATCTTCTTCGAGATGTTGACGAATTCGCAGAATTGTTGTGGATTTTGGATCGAATGAGACGAGATTTGTGAGATTTTGGGGGAGTTGGGAAGAAGTTGGTTGATGTGGGAGCGGTAGATTGAACATCTGTAAAAAATTGTGGATTTTTTTTTGGTGGATAATTTTTTGATGTGAAAATCTTTATAAATTTCCCATGATTACTTCAAAATTTTTTTCTTCACATTTCAGAAAATTTTGAAACAGTAGATTTTTTAGGAATTAAAAATTTTGAAAATTTTCGTCTCAAAGTCGCAATTAATCAATTTATTATGGAACTAAAAATTATTTTTTTTTTCATATTTCAAAAAATTTTGAAACAGTAGATTTTTTTTCGAAAAAAATCCTAAGTAATTTTTAACGTAAAATATTATGCTGCGATTCAAACGTAAAATCAAAATTTTCAAAAAAAATTAAGGAAATTTTGAAACAGTAGATTTTTTTTGGAAAAAATATTTTGAAAATTTTCGACAACAATTTTTTTCGTTGATTTTTATAAAGGAACAAAAATTTAATTTTTTTGTCATATTTCAGAAAATTTTGAAACAGTAGATTTTTTTTTTGAAACATTTGGTTAGTCTCAAAATTTCCTGACCATGTATCAAACGTAAGAATTTTCAAGAAAAAAGGAAAATTTTGAAACAGTAAATTATTTTGGAAAAAATATTGAAAAGCTTTAGGCTGAAATTGTTTTTCCTAAATATGGCTAGGAATTTCAGTTGAATCTCTGTAAATGAATTTCAGACTGAAATAATTTATTGAAATTAGAATTTTCACAAAAAAACTGAAATTTTGTGTTTTGAACTCCAACACAACAAAAATCAAAACCCTGCAAAAATTATGAGGAAATTTTGAAACAGTGAATTTTTTGGAAAAAAAATATTTTGAAAATTTTCGATAGAAACTTTTTTCTCATTATTTTTTTTTGGCTGGGAGATTCAGATGAAAATTAGAAATTCTGGAATTTCAACTTCAGACTGAAACATCGTGAGTATGAGTTAACGAAAATTGTGGAAACAGTAAATTTTTCGGAAAATTTTTATTTTTTTTTTCAATTCAAAAAATTTTTTTGGCTAGGAAATTTAATATTGAATCAACTTCCGAACTATAATTTCAGACTGAAATTTTCAAATTTCTGAAAAATTGATTTTGCATTGAAATTCTGCAAGATTCTATACGAAAATCAAAGAATTAAAACCCTGCAAAAATTATGAGAAAAATTTGAAACAGTAAATTTTTATTTAATTTTCAACGTAAAACTTTGAGTTTCTGAATATGGCGCAAGCGTAAAATCAAAATTTTCAAGAAAATTAAGGAAAATTTTGAAACAGTAGATTTTTTTTTGGAATAAAAATTTTGAAAATTTTCGACAACAATTTTTTCATTGGGTTTTATCTGGGAACTAGCAATTCATTTTTTTTCATATTTTTTTTTTCATATAATTTTGAAACAGTAGATTTTTTTTTGAAAAAAAATCCTAGGTAATTTTTAACATAAAATTTTAGGTTTATGATCATATTTCAAACGTAAAATCAAAATTTTCAAAAAATTTGAGGAAAATTTTGAAACAGTAAATTTTTTTGGAAAAAAATATTGAAAAGCTTTAGGCTGAAATTGTTTTTCCTAAATATGGCTAGGAATTTCAGTTGAATCTCTGTAAATGAATTTCGGACTGAAATAATTTATTGAAATTAGAATTTTCACAAAAAAACTGAAATTTTGTATTTTGAACTCCGACACAACAAAAATCAAAACCCTGCAGAAATTATGAGAAAAATTTGAAACAGTAATTTTTTTGGAAAATTTTTATTTTTTTTTTAATTCGAAAAAATTTTTTGGCTAGGAAATTTAATATTGAATCAACTTCCGAACTATAATTTCAGACTGAAATTTTCAAATTTCTGAAAATTGATTTCGCATTTCAATTCCTCAAGGTTTCGTTCAAGAATAAAAAATTTAAAACCCCGCAAAAATTATGAGAAAAATTTGAAACAGTGAATTTTTCGTTTCTTCAAAATATCCTATCTAACTCTCTGCGTCTCTAACCCACCTCATGTTGGCTAGAATTCGACGAAAAAGATCGTTTTTTGATCGGTTTCGTATAAACATCATGTTCATCATCTTCAGAAGATTTATTTTGATTCGGAGAACACGGTGAAACATCAGGGGCTGGCTGAAAAATCGTATTTTTGTATGGTTTCTCTGCTCCCTCTCCGTCTCTAACCCACCATAGCTCGTCTCTTCTTACTCGAGGATGCCTGACTTCTCACAAGCTCATCATAATTCGAAGAACTCGCTAGACTTGGCGCAACTCCCACCGCTTTTGTAGAATTCGAATTCGGCAGCGGATTAATATGCGCATAATGATTGCTCAGATTAGTCGAGCTCTTTTTCAATTTTCGATTTTCGATAAGTGCCAAAATACTAAAAGTGCTGGTTGCGATGGCTAAAAGTATGTGTAGAATTGCTTGAGAAGCTTCGATTGAATAAAATGGGACCAGGCAAGTGTGTTGCACCCAAATGGTCCTGAAACGATGGAAAGGAAAAATTATACGGTATGTGCCTTTAAAAACTCACCGTTTCAAATCAAAATGTGATTGACAATTTGGGGTAAATCGCAAGAAAAACGAAAAAGAATAGGGTAGTCCGGCTGACAAAACAGGCCGCGAAATTTCGCCGAAAACTCCCAAATACCACAGGATTATTAGGGTGTTTTGTGAGATTGAGATAGCGTTGGAAATTAGGAGAGCGTAGAGAAGACAACGACGTTTTTGGATGGCTCCGAACAGGCCGGTTATACAGCATACTATCTGTAACAAAAAAATTTACTGTTTCAAAAATTTCTTATATTTTTTTGAAGGTTTTGATTGCTGAACTGGTGAAATTTTTCACTGTTTCAAAAATTTCTTATATATTTTTTTTTATTTTCAAATTTCTTTTACTGGTTCTTAAAATAAATCGAAAAAATAATTTTGAAAATTAAAAATCCACTGTTTCAGGAAATTTTTGAACGCTCAAATTTTTCCCGGAATTTTTACGTTTCAAAAATTTTTGAAGAAAATTCAGCATGAGAAATATTTTGATAATATCAGGAATCCATTTTTCTAAACTGAAATTTTTCACTGTTTCAAAAATTTCTCAAATTTTTCATCGGTTTTAATTTTCTGTTACTTGGTTAAATCGAAAATTTCATTTTGAAAATTAAAAATCCACTGTTTCAGGAAATTTTTGAACGCTCAAAATTCTCCCGGAATTTTTAGGTTTCAAAAATTTTTGAAGAAAAATTCAACATAAGAAATTTTTTGATAATATCAGGAATCCATTTTTCTAAACTGAAATTTTTCACTGTTTCAAAAATTTCTCAAATTTTTCATCGGTTTTAATTTTCTGTTACTTGGTTAAATCGAAAATTTCATTTTGAAAATTAAAAAATCTACTGTTTCAGGAAATTTTTGAACTCCCAAAATTTATCCCGAATTTTTTACGTTTCAAAAAATTTATGAAGAAGATTCAGCATGAGAAATATTTTGATAATAATAGGAATCCATTTTTCTAAACTGAAATTTTTCACTGTTTCAAAATTTTCTCATATTTTTTATCGGTTTTAATTTTCTGTTAAACCTCTATAAATTTCAATAAAAAAAAATCATTTGAAAATTAAAAATCCACTGTTTCAGAAAATTTTTGAACTCCTTCTTCATAAATTTTTATCCCAGGATTTTTTACGTTTCAAAAATTTATAAAGAAAATTCAGCATAAGAAATTTTTCGATAATATCAGGAATCCATTTTTCTAAACTGAAATTTTTCACTGTTTCAAAATTTTCTTATATTTTTGGTGGGTTTTAATTTTCTGTTAAACCTCTACAAGTTTCAATCAAAAAAAATAATTTGAAAATTTAAAAATCCACGGTTTCAGTATATTTTTGAACTCCTTCTTCATAAATTTTTATCCCAGGATTTTTTACGTTTCAAAAATTTATAAAGAAAATTCAGCATAAGAAATTTTTCGATAATATCAGGAATCCATTTTTCTAAACTGAAATTTTTCACTGTTTCAAAATTTTCTTATATTTTTGGTGGGTTTTAATTTTCTGTTAAACCTCTACAAGTTTCAATCAAAAAAAATAATTTGAAAATTTAAAAATCCACGGTTTCAGTATATTTTTGAACTCCTTCTTCATAAATTTTTATCCCAGGATTTTTTACGTTTCCAAAATTTATGAAAAAAATTCAGCATGAGAAATATTTTGATAATATCAGGAATCCATTTTTCTAAACTGAAATTTTTCACTGTTTCAAAAATTTCTCATGTTTTTTGTGGGTTTTAACTTTCTGTTCGACAAAAAAAAATTTGAAAATTAAAAAATCCACTGTTTCAGGAAATTTTTGAACTCTCAAAATATCCCAGGATTTTTTACGTTTCAAAAATTTATGAAGAAAATTCAACATGAGAAATATTTTGTTACGATTGGCATAATTTTTTCTGAACTGAAATTTTTCACTGTTTCAAAATTTTCTTATATTTTTTGTAGGTTTTAATTTTCTGTTAAACCTCTACAAATTTCAATCAAAAAAAAAATAATTTGAAAATTAAAAATCCACTGTTTCAGGAAATTTTTGAACTCTCAAATTTTTCCCGGAATTTTTACGTTTCAAAAATTTATAAAGAAAATTCAGCATGAGAAATATTTTGATATAATTGGCATAATTTTTTCTGAACTGAAATTTTTCACTGTTTCAAAATTTTCTTATATTTTTGGTGGGTTTTAATTTTCTGTTAAAGGTTTACAAGCTTAACCTAAAAAAAATAATTTGAAAATTAAAAAATCCACTGTTTCAGAAAAATTTTGAACTCTCAAAATTTCCCCGGAATTTTTTACGTTTCAAAAATTTTTGAAGAAAATTCAGCACGAGAAATATTTTGATAATAATAGGAATCCATTTTTCTAAACTGAAATTTTTCACTGTTTCAAAATTTTCTTATATTTTTGGTGGGTTTTAATTTTCTGTTAAACCTCTACAAATTTCAATCAAAAAAAATAATTTGAAAATTTAAAATCCACGGTTTCAGGAAATTTTTGAACTCCTTCTTCATAAATTTTTATCCCAGGATTTTTTAGGTTTCAAAAATTTATGAAGAAAATTCAGCTTTCTGAACTGAAATTTTTCACTGTTTCAAAATTTCCTCATATTTTTGGAGGTTTCAAAGTTTTTTCATTCAAAACTCCATTTTCCACAGAAAAATCCACTGTTTCAAATAATTTTCATTATTTCAATGATAAAAGTTCCCTGTTCGTCTTCCAATTCCCTTCCAAAAATATATAATTTTCCGCAAATTATTCACAGTCCGTCAAAAAGGTTTTTGCGCAGCGGGAGAGCTTTGCGTCGAGGTCGATCTTAAGATCCTTTTCTTTTTCTTCTTTTCTGATTGTGAGAACGAAAAATAATCCGGATGACATTGAATTCGAAGAACTTTTACAAAACAACTTTTGAAAATATTTGTTTTTGTGGCGGGAAAAAAATGAAAGGAAAGGGATTTGAAAAAAAAAATTTTCCCGGCGCCAAAATATGTTATCAATTCTCCGAAAATAAATTATTTTGGGGTTATCAAGATTGAGATTTTGAAAAATGGGTCAAAATTTAAATCAGGAAAAATTCACTGTTTCAAAGTTTTTGTAAAACTAAATTTGAATTTTCTCAAATTTAATAAAGTTTTGAAACATAGGTAGTGTAATTTGGAAAAAAAAAGAAAATTTCACTGTTTCAAAAAATTAACAAGAGAAATTTCCGTTTTCAAATTTTTGATACAAAATTGATTCTAATTCGCAAAAATAATGAATCTTCGTTAAAAATTATTCACTGTTTCAAAGTTTTTGTAAAACTAAATTTGAATTCTCTTAAAATTATTGATTATTTTGAAGCGAAGAGTAATTTGGAAAAATAAGAAAATTTCACTGTTTCAAAAAATTAACAAGAAAAATTTTCAGTTTTCAAATTTTTGATATTACGAAAAATTATTCACTGTTTCAAAAATTCACTGTTTCAAAAATTATTCGTAACTTGAATTGATGTTTTTAAAATGTTACAGGAATTATTTCAGCTTATAGAATTCAGTTAATATTTGAAGTCATGAAAAATTCACTGTTTCAAAAAATTAACAAGAGTTTTCGAATCTTTGATTCGACGATTGATCAAGCAAAAAATGCAACAAAAAAAATCCTCGTAAAAGTTCACTGTTTCAATATTTTTGTGAAACTAAGTTTGAATTATCTTAATATTTTTGATTTTTTGAAGCAAAGTATAATTTGGAAAAATAGGAAAATTTCACTGTTTCAAAAAATTAACAAGAAAATTTTCAGTTTCCATATTTTTGATTTGAAGAGCAAAATTAGCAAAAATAAATATCTTCCTAAAAAAATTCACTGTTTCAAAAATTATTCGTAACTTGAATTGAAGTTTTTAAAATGTTATAAGAATTTTTTGCAGCTCATAAAATTGAGTTAAAATTTGAAAAATAAGAAAATTTCACTGTTTCAAAAAATTAACAAAAGAAATTTTGATTTTCAAATTTTTGATTCCACAATTTAAGTACCGTGCAAAATTAGCAAAAATATATATCTTCCTGAAAAATTCACTGTTTCAAATATTTTGTGAAACTAAATTTGAATTTTCTTAAAATTATTGATTATTTTGAAGCGAAGTGTAATTTTGAAAAATAAGAAAAATTAACTGTTTCAAAAAATTAACAATAAAATTTTCAGTTTTTCAAATTTTTGATTTGACGAAGCAAATTTATCGTACAAAATTTGAAAAAAAAGATATCCTAAAAAATTCACTGTTTCAAAAATATTGTAAAACTGAAATTGAATTCCAGAAAAATATTTACATTTAGCAGTTCAAAAATATTTTTTTTTAAATTCTAAAAAAAACCCGAATTTTTCACTGTTTCAAAAAAATAACAAGAAAAATATTGGTATCTAATTTTCTGATCTTTGAATTGCTTTTTTTGACTGTTTCAAAATTTTTCCCCCAAAAACCCCAATTTTGTCCCGTCCTTCACAGTTGGATAGCTCAAATGACCCGAGACTTTTCCTACACAATATGTACCTACTTATTTGCCATACCTTTTTCTAAACAGGATAAATAAACACCCTATTTATTTATGCATCTCATCCTAATTCAAACAAAAAATATTTATTGATTTTTTTGAGAAATCATCAAGGAAACATGGATTTTTGACAGCTCAATGAGCATTGATAAATAAAATGAAACCGGATTTTTTGAGGAAAAAATTCACTGTTTCAAAAAATTGACAAGTAATTTTTGTATAGGGCATTTTTTGATGTTAAAAAAATTAGCTGAGCTACAAAAAACGCGTCAGAAAACATAAAATCTTTCTAACAACTCAGGCTACAAGAAATGCGTCAGCAAATGGTTTATTGACGCATTTTTGGTAGCCATGAGATTTTTAGGCTACAGAAAACGCGTCAGCTACTGTTTAAAATCTTGCTGACGCATTTTATACAGCCAAGGCTACCAGAAATGCGTCAGCTAACGTCTAGAGTCTAATTGACGCATTTTAAACAGCCCAGGCTACCACAAATGCGCCAGCTTCTGTTCAAAATCTTGCTGACGCTTTTCTAGTAGCTCCACAATTTTCAATTCACAAAAAATTTCAAAATTTCCCCAAAAAACCGTACCTGCAGCAAATCGAAAACCGTAACCAGCCACAATTTTCCAATCAAATCAAAAGTCAATCGAGCCAACGATAAAATCAGCCACAAAACGAGTAGTGATGTCAAAATTGAGCGAGTCGACATACTGATTACGTCATAGTTTTTTTTCGTTCAGAAAATTCCACTGTTTCAAAGTCGGGTTTTCTGGAAAAAATTTGGTGACGTTTAAGCTTATTAGTATTATTTTTTTTTTTTAAATGATAAGGAATTTAGAAAATTAGGAAAAAATGTTGAAAAATGCACAAGTTTTGAAGATTCAGACGAGCAGAGTGCTGCATGTTAGAGACGCAGAGTAAAATTTATGAAAATAAAAAAGCAAGCAAGCAGAGATAGGTTAGAGACGCAGAGTGAGCAGAGTTAGAGAATATAGAGAGCTACAGACAACCAGAGTATGTTAGAGAACGAGACAACTAGAGTACTTCGAAGCATCACATAGTTAGAGACGCAGACTGTTACAGGCAATCAGAGAGAGTCAGAGACACAGAGCAACCCAAGTGAGACGCAGAAGGCTAGAGAAGTCTGTATGAAACTTGCGAGGTTAGAGACGCAGACAACTAGAATATAGTTAGAGACGCAGAGATGCAAATACAACCAGGAAAACTAGAGTCAGACAACCAGACACCTCTAGAGAAACCACTAAATCTTGTGAGGTTAGAGACGCAGACAACTAGAATATAGTTAGAGACACAGGAGTATATTTGTGGGATTTTCTAGAGGTGCCTGGTTGTCTGGCTCTATATTTTTCTGACTGTCTAGACATCCCTGCGTCTCTAGCTCTAGAAAATCAGAGAAAGCTAGAGCCAGACAACCAGACACCTCTAGAGAAATCACCAAAACTTGCGAGGTTAGAGACACAGACAACTAGAATTGAGTTAGAGACGCAGGGATGTTTTTTGTGATTTTCTAGAGGTGTCTGGTTGTCTGGCTCTATGTTTTTCTGGCTGTCTAGACATCCCTGCGTCTCTAGCTCTAAAAAACCAGAAAAAGCTAGAGTCAGACAACCAGACACCTCTAGAAAATCCCCCAAAAACCAGAAAAACTTTTTTGCTCACAATAAATAAATGACGGCAAAAACGAAAAGTGAAGTGAAGAGTGGCCGGATCGAACGGGCGGATTTGTCAAGTGATTTGCCGCGCGGCGCCGCGCGGATAAAACCTGGCTCCGCCTCCGCGCGCGGAAATTTGATATTCAACCTGATTGCGGGACACTATTTTTGGAAACCCAAAATAAAAAAAAAAAAAGAGGCGAGAGAGAGAGAGAGAGAGAGAGAGGGTAGAGACGCAGAGAGCGCAAAGCCTAACTAATAAGGTCATTTTCACTTTTTTTGTTGTTTGTCTCCCTGTATAAAGTTATACAACATGGTAATTATGGAGGAAAATATGTGTAATTAGGGGGGAATTGAAAAAAAATGACACAAAAATTTGACAAATGTCAAAAAATGAAAACTTTTTGACCTGAAGAAGTTTGAGGGGCTAGAGAAACCAGAATGGTTAGAGAGGCAGAGAGGCTAGAGAGGTTAGAGAGGCTAGAGAGGCTAGAGACGGCTAGAGAGGGTAGAGAGGGTAGAGAGGTTAGAGAGGGTAGAGAGGCTAGAGAGGCTAGAGAGGCTAGAGAGGGTAGAGAGGGTAGAGAGGGTAGAGAGGGTAGAGAGGGTAGAGAGGGTAGAGAGGGTAGAGAGGGTAGAGAGGGTAGAGAGGGTAGAGAGAGTAGAGAGGGTAGAGAGGGTAGAGAGGCTAGAGAGGCTAGAGAGGGTAGAGAGGGTAGAGAGGGTAGAGAGGGTAGAGAGGGTAGAGACGCAGAGAGAGAGGCTAGAGAGGGTAGAGAGGGTAGAGAGGGTAGAGAGGGTAGAGAGGGTAGAGAGGCTAGAGAGGGTAGAGAGGCTAGAGAGGCTAGAGAGGATAGAGAGGGTAGAGAGGGTAGAGAGGCTAGAGAGGCTAGAGAGGCTAGAGAGGGTAGAGACGCAGAGAGAGAGGCTAGAGAGGGTAGAGAGGGTAGAGAGGGTAGAGAGGGTAGAGAGGGTAGAGAGGCTAGAGAGGCTAGAGAGGGTAGAGAGGGTAGAGAGGCTAGAGAGGCTAGGGAGGCTAGAGAGGCTAGAGAGGGTAGAGAGGGTAGAGAGGCTAGGGAGGCTAGAGAGGCTAGAGAGGCTAGAGAGGCTAGAGAGGCTAGAGAGGCTAGAGACGCTAGAGAGGCTAGAGAGGCTAGAGAGGGTAGAGAGGGTAGAGAGGCTAGGGAGGCTAGAGAGGCTAGGGAGGCTAGAGAGGCTAGAGAGGGTAGAGAGGGTAGAGAGGCTAGAGAGGCTAGAGAGGCTAGAGAGGGTAGAGAGGGTAGAGAGGGTAGAGAGGCTAGGGGAGGCTAGAGAGGCTAGAGAGGCTAGAGAGGCTAGAGAGGCTAGAGAGGCTAGGGAGGCTAGAGAGGCTAGAGAGGCTAGAGAGGCTAGAGAGGGTAGAGAGGGTAGAGAGGGTAGAGAGGCTAGAGAGGCTAGAGAGGCTAGAGAGGGTAGAGAGGGTAGAGAGGCTAGAGAGGCTAGAGAGGCTAGAGAGGGTAGAGAGGGTAGAGAGGGTAGAGAGGCTAGGGAGGCTAGAGAGGCTAGAGAGGCTAGAGAGGCTAGAGAGGCTAGAGAGGCTAGAGACGCTAGAGAGGCTAGAGAGGCTAGAGAGGGTAGAGAGGGTAGAGAGGCTAGGGAGGCTAGAGAGGCTAGAGAGGGTAGAGAGGGTAGAGAGGCTAGAGAGGCTAGAGAGGCTAGAGAGGGTAGAGAGGGTAGAGAGGGTAGAGAGGCTAGGGAGGCTAGAGAGGCTAGAGAGGCTAGAGAGGCTAGAGAGGGTAGAGAGGGTAGAGAGGGTAGAGAGGCTAGAGAGGCTAGAGAGGCTAGAGAGGGTAGAGAGGGTAGAGAGGGTAGAGAGGCTAGGGAGGCTAGAGAGGCTAGAGAGGCTAGAGAGGCTAGAGAGGCTAGAGAGGCTAGAGAGGCTAGGGGTGCTAGAGAGACTAGAGAGGGTAGAGAGGGTAGAGAGGGTAGAGAGGGTAGAGAGGCTAGAGAGGCTAGAGAGGGTAGAGAGGGTAGAGAGGGTAGAGAGGGTAGAGAGGGTAGAGACGCAGAGAGAGAGGCTAGAGAGGGTAGAGAGGGTAGAGAGGGTAGAGAGGGTAGAGAGGGTAGAGAGGCTAGAGAGGGTAGAGAGGGTAGAGAGGGTAGAGAGGCTAGAGAGGCTAGAGAGGCTAGAGAGGCTAGAGAGGGTAGAGAGGGTAGAGAGGGTAGAGAGGCTAGGGAGGCTAGAGAGGCTAGAGAGGCTAGAGAGGCTAGAGAGGCTAGAGAGGCTAGAGACGCTAGAGAGGCTAGAGAGGCTAGGGGTGCTAGAGAGACTAGAGAGGGTAGAGAGGGTAGAGAGGGTAGAGAGGGTAGAGAGGCTAGAGAGGCTAGAGAGGGTAGAGAGGGTAGAGAGGGTAGAGAGGGTAGAGAGGGTAGAGAGGGTAGAGACGCAGAGAGAGAGGCTAGAGAGGGTAGAGAGGGTAGAGAGGGTAGAGAGGGTAGAGAGGGTAGAGAGGGTAGAGAGGCTAGAGAGGCTAGAGAGGCTAGAGAGGGTAGAGAGGCTAGAGAGGCTAGAGAGGCTAGAGAGGCTAGAGAGGCTAGAGAGGCTAAAAAAAAAAATCATTTTCCAAATTTCCTACAAAATTTTCACTGTTTCAGAATTAATTTATCTTTTTTCACTCATTTTTTCTTTAGTATCAAAATTAAAAAAAAAAAAAAAAAAAATATTTTTTCACTGTTTCAAAAATTTTACTAATTGTAAAATGATTTTAATTAAAATTTTTCACTGAAAATTCTAGAAAACTAAAATATCAGCGCTGAAAAATTCTGAAATTTCATAACTCCCAAACACCCCAGCTTCTTAGATAAAAAAACCACATTCCAAAACCAAAAAAAAACTAATTTGTTTTTAGATAACAAAAAAATTTCCATCCCGACGGCGCCAAAAAAAAGAAAAAAAACAAGAAAGTTTTGTCGAAAAAAGTGAAAATCTTATCGTTTCAATGATCTTTTTTTTTTGAATGAATGAAAAAAAAACTTTTTTCTACAATAAAAATTTACGGTTTCAAAAAATTTTTGAGAAAAAAATTCTGAAAACTTATTTTCAGACCAATTTTTATCCAAATTTTCAGCTGAAAATTGCAGAAACTAGAAAATTCCAGAAAAAAAATTTTTTCTACAATAAAAATTCACTGTTTCAAAATTTTTTTTATGAAATTCAGATTTTGCCGGGAAATTTAGTAGTTGTTTTGAAGAAATTTGAAGAATTTTTGAAACAGTGAATTTTTTTTAGATAAAATTTTACCTGAAAATCAGTCTTAAAATTTAATTTTGGATAATTTCCGTTAAATCATCAAATTTAAAAGAATATTAAAATTTTCAATTAAATTTTGTATATTTTTCAATTTTTTTTTGCAAAGAAAATTCACTGTTTCAAAAAAGCAAAAAGTTACCCTAACTACAAAAATTTACTTTCAAAACCCCTAACAAAAATATTTGAAAAATTTTTGAAACAGTGAATTTTTAGATGACTGAAAATCAGTCTTAAAATTTAATTTTGGATAATTTCCGCTGGAAAATCAATAATGAAATTTTGAAACGTATATTTTTCAATTTTTTTTTTGCAACGAAAATTCACTGTTTCAAAAAAGCTTCAACAAAAAAAATCGAATTCTTGTCTAATTTTTCATCCGATGAACAAATTGATTTCGAAATTTACAAGAATTTTACCGCAAGCTTCCGCAAAGCGGCAAAGTTACCCTAACTCCAAAAGCACTTCATAAAAGTATAAAACTCATAAAATAAATAGTAAATTCTTTTTCTTTCTTCATTTTTGGTATATAATAAATATAAAATGTGGGAGGAGAAAGCAAGCGAGTAATATTATAAAACACACAAACAATCCTCCGACTTTTCGCGCACCTTGCGAAATATTATATGAAATTGGAGAGACGCAGAGAATACATGTGGTCAGGTATCTAATACCAACACACTCTTCCTCTTCCTTTCAATGACCAAAATTTATTTGAGAAAGGATGAAGCTGACCTGTGGAGAGCTAAGGGGATTTGCAGGAGGTGGAGGAATTTTTGAGGAATTTTTTTGAAACAGTGAATTTTTCTAAATTATTTTGAATAGGAATTTTGGAATGAAAACCATAGCAGATCAATTTTCAGAAATTAGAGAAAATTTAGAAGAATTTTTGAAACGTAAATTTTTCGATGAAATTTTTGGGGTGGAAAATTTCATTTTTTGAAACAGTGAAAAAATTTCTTCACTTAAATTTATCAGAAACATGAAAAAACTTTTAAAAACTTTAAAAAAAACTTAAAAAACACATTTTCGGGAGAAAAATTAAATAATCGCCAAAAAAATAAAAAAACAAATTTTCCGCTAAACAAAGGGCAGTGTGGAGCGTCGTAGTGTTGTTTGAATTTTATTTATTTTTTTTTTGAAACAGTGATTTTTTTTTAATTTTAAAATTGAAATAATTTTTTCTATGAAACAGCAAATTTTTCTGATATTTGAAAAAAATTCCTAGAATTCTGAAGAATTTTTTTTAAATTCATAAAACTAAAAAAAAAATTTGGAAGTACTTTTAAAACAGTTTTTGATAAGGTTTTATTTATTTTTTCAATCAAACAACTTTTTTTTATCAGTGACGTCATTTTGAGAACAAATTCAGGCTGAAAATTTGAACACAGTATTTCAAACTGCAAAATCTACAGTACCTTTCGAAATGTTTTTGGTTAAAGAATCAGAATCAGAGCTACAGTAATCCAGACTGCAAAAATTAGCAATAATTTTCCTGAAGAAATTAAACTCACAATCAGACTGCACAATTTTACAGTAAAATTATTAGAGCTACAGTACCCCAGACTGCAAAATCTAAGTTTCTTCTCTCAAATAACCATAATTACAGTACCCCAGACTGCAAAACTCTACAGTATCCCAAAAAAATTCCGCAAAAACCTCATTCATTCCTCTTTTTCCATGCTTTTTCTCAAACTTTCAATATCGGCAACTCCAAAACCAGCCAAAATCATCGGAATCGATGCGGCAATCACCAGAATCAGAACGACACAAGTCAGAGCCAGCAAAATTGTATCGCAAGAATTGGGACGCTGATTGACGCCAGTTCCATCGCCCTGGAATTAATTAATTAGGGTAATTAGGTACTTAATTAATCGAAATAAGTTTTTTTAAGTTAAGTTCCGAAAAATTTCACTGTTTCAAAAATTTAACAAAATTTTTTTTTAAATCGATTTTCGATTTAAAAAAAAATTTTGTTAAATTTTTGAAACAGTGAATTTTTTTTTCAAATTTTATTTTTCTGGCGCCTAAAAATTTGATTAAATTTTTTAAAATTAGTTTTTTCTTGCGTTTTAATTGTAGAAAATTTAATCAAATTTTTAGGCGCCAGAAAAATAAAATTTGAAAAAAAATTCACTGTTTCAAAAAATTAACAAGAAAATTTTTTAAATCAAAAATTTTGATGAAATTCGTTTTAACTGTTTTTTAACATAATCAATTAATTAATTAATTAATTTTCAATTTTTTTAATTATAGAAAATTAATTAAATTTCAACAATAAATTTTCAATGTTTCAAAAAAATAACAAAATAAATTTTTTAAATCAAAATTTTGATTATTGTTCCTATGTTCCCTCAAATTGTGATTAACTAATTACCTAATTAGCCCTAATTAATTAGCTAATTAATTAATTAAAACCCACCACAGTCAACTCTTCTTTCTCCTTCTTCTTCTTCTTTTTCGTCTTATTCGATTTTTCCGTAACCGTCGCCGTCGATTTTGGCGCAGTTTTTTCTTGCGTTTTTTCTTGCGCTGACTCCAGAGCCGCTGGCGGAGGAGGCGGTGCAATTGGCTGCGGTTTCGCTCCACCAGGACCCATCACTTCGTAACCATCTTCCGCCATTTTGTCCTCGTTTTTCTGAAAGGCCAGCAAATTTATCATGACAATTTCCGCCTAGCTGCCTCGTCCTCCCATGTGGTCTAGTGGTTAGGATTCGTGGTTTTCACCCACGCGGCCCGGGTTCGATTCCCGGCATGGGAAGCAATTTTTTTCTTTTTTTTTTCTTTTTTTTTTGTTTCTGTTTTTTTATTTGAAATCATTTTAGAGCTCCCTTTTTCCAAACTCACATCAAATTTTCAATGCTAACCAGTTTGTACACGATGACTTTTGTAAAATAAATGAAGACCCCTCATTTTTTCGTTTTTTTTGTGGATTTTTTTGTAGAACACGTCGAAAATGCATTTATTCGATTATTTTGCAAATTTTTCTGCCCATAAAAATCAAATCAAAACAATTTCCAACAGAAATTTTCTCGAAAATGATTTCGAAAATTTTATTTTTGGTTGTCTTGGCTGCAGCTTCAACTTCAGCTTCATCTTCCATTCCAGAATCAGATTCTGAAAATCTAACTCCACAAGAATCCAAAGGCCTCGAGATTCTTCGAAAACTTTTCGGAATCCCGGAGCGTAAGAAAGACAGCTTCCATGCTCATGTTTTCCCCAAAAAACACTATTTATCGCCCGGAACTCGACATAGCCCAATTATTGTTCAACTTCCAAAGAGAAGAAGACATTCTGAAGCTGAAATTCGCCAAAAAGTGTTGGCAAAACTCATTGAATTGAGCAATATTTTCTAGTAAGCTTTTCCTGGAAAAAATGTTTTTGAAATTTTTCTGAAAATTTTTCAGCCTTCCTCCAAAAGAGCAATCAATCAATGTGAGAGAGATATAAATTGAAAAATTGTGAATGAAGACTTTATTAATTAACTTGATTATTTGATAATAAATGAAGTAATTAGTCACGTGGTGATTTGAGTTGCTCCATTTGAAAATCGAGTAGAAGCTTGGCAGTGTGTTCCAAAAGAAATTGATCTAATTTCGCTGAAAATATTATAATAATGCATAATGCAAAAAATTTCAAAGGGGCGGGGTATTCATAATTTTTGAATTATGGAAAGTTTCATGAAATTTTTATTGTTAAATGTTAGGCTTCTCAAAAAATGCCTCTTGTAGTTTCACTATCCGAGAGGTACTTTTCAAATAAAACATACCCGCCTCCTTTAAACAAAGTATAAATGTAAAGAACATCACCTTCAAACTGAAGTTTGGCTAGTTCTGGATCCTCTTTTCTCACATTTTCCAACATTTGTTTGACTGTGAACATCGAAGAATGTCTGACTTGCATTCTTCCAACGACATCCGAACTTTTATCAGCTTCAGCGATCAATATTTTACTATTCTCGATAAACGGAGCAATGACTTCGGTACAATAAATCCTATATTTTTCTTCATGAGCTGCCTGAGCAATTCTCAGTTTCTCAGATGATTCCTTGAATTTTTGGGTTAGTTTGGTGATTTGATCAGTGAGCATTGTTGAAAGTGTTTCATCAATATTCATGGTGAACACCCTGAAATTTATGATTAGATGGATTGAACTAACAAGGAATAGTTCCCAAAATTCCCCCCTGAAAAAAGTTGTTACTATGCGGAAGTTAAACTATCTGGTGAGGTAAAAAAAAACCACAAGTGGATTTTACATGCAAATATTTCCTTCCCTAATTTCGGGGGTTAGTTTTCACAAAAAACAACAAAAAACCGATTTCCAGCATCTCAATTTCAAAAAAACTTGAAAAATTGTTTGTTTTTTGAAAATGTTTTTTAGAAAATGTTTCCAGTATTCTAGTGTCGATTTTCGAACTCTACTCATGCTCCCAGAGATTCTGGGAATCGGTTTTTTGTTCTTTTTTTGTCAAAACCAACCCCCGAAATTTGGGAAAGAAATATTTGCATTTAGAGATTTAGAAGATGGAAAGTTTAGAGATTTAGAAGATGGAAGGAGTAGAAATTACAAATGTTTCTTTGGGTTTCTAAAAACTGGAAGAGAAAATTAGCCAGAATAATTAAAAATAAAAATAAACCGACTTTACTGATCTCTGCAATTCATTTATAATAATGCAGACACCTTTATTGGCAGGTGCATCTAAAATGCACAGTAATTAGAGGTGCAAATAATTGTTATTTTCATTGATACATTTAGTCCAGACAGCTATTTATGCTATAATCCTTTCCACCTGCTCAATTTCAAGTCATTGAATATTTATAGCTTATTAATTGTAGCTACTAATCTTCAAAACAGATTCTCAAGCTTGGTTTGAAATTTTATGAACAATTATGGAATAGTCTGGAAAATACCGAATTTAATTATCAAAAATCCCATTTTCAGTTTTATTTTTCAACAATTTGAGGAATTGCTCAAAAATTGAGCACAAAATACGAAAGCTTCTCACAACTGACATCTACTTGGCTGTTATTTAAAAAAAAACATTCATGAAACTCAAAGATTTATATTCAGTTTGGCTTGAAACAGTAAATTTTTGGTGTATTTTCATTTTTTTTTATTCCAATATCATAATCTTTATTCATACGAAAAACAGTCAATAAATAAATATTTATATCTGAGAGAAGACTTGTTAAAACCTGGGATTAAATAATTTTGAATAATTAATTAATTAATTAATTAATATTTCCCGAGTCTCTCAACTTGTTCAGCAAGTTGAGACATTTGTTGAAAGATTGAACGAACTTCGTTGAGTCGAGAATGCTGGAGATCGAAGAAAAGTTTCATGGTGTGTTGCAAGATGTGTTGATCTTTGATGGCTGGAAGTTAGAAAAGGGGTTGGGAAAATTAACTGTTTCAAGAATTTTATGGATTTTTTGCTGATTGTTTTGGAATAATAGATTGTTGCTTAAAAAATCTACCAAGAATTAGAGTAACTTCGAAATATTCAGATAAATTTTTAAAAATCTAGATTTTTCAACAAAAAAATTTAATTCAAAAATTCACTGTTTCAAAAATTTTACAATTTTTTCTCGGATTATTTTTGAATCATTACTTAAATTTAAAGATAATTTGTCTAAAAATTTAGGTCAAAAAAAATTTACTGTTTCAAGAATTTTACAAATTTTTTGCTGATTGTTTTGGGTTAATAAAGCCACCGTTGTGTCACTAAAATTCTGAAAATATTGATTTTCTAGTTTCCAAAAATTACAGTAAATTTGAAATATTCAGAGGAATTTTTAAAAATTTAAATTTCTCAAAAAAAAAAAAATTTCAAAAAAATGTACTGTTTCAAAAATTTTTGAAATTTTTTGCTGATTGTTTTTGAATCAATATGCATGTTTCTGTAGGTTCACAAAAATTATGAAAATAATGATTTTCTAGTTACCAAGAATTTCAATAACTTCAGAATATTCAGAGGAATTTTGAAAAATTTAGATTTTTCATTAAAAAAATTCACTGTTTCAAAAATTTTAGAAATTTTTTGCTGATTGTTTTTGAATAATTACTTGAATTGATTTTTCTAAAAATTTCAGTCAAAAAAAATGTACTGTTTCAAAAATTGTTCAAATTTTTCTCATGTCAACCAAAAATTTCAAAAAAATTCAATGGTCCCTCACATTTCTAACCCTCCCTCACCTACCTTCAAATTGAAGCTTAAAAACCTGTGCCTGTTCATTTTTTCCAAAATTCTTCATCTTCTTATAAGCCACCTGAATATCTTTCAAAATCGCGCATCTTTTTCGAATACTCAATTTTCGATTTTGAGCCAAAGCTTTTCCGGTTCGATAAAATGGCATGAAAACATTGTTGAAATACCGTGTCTTTTTTTCGTCATAAGAATTTTTGGCATTTTTCCATTTTTCATAGGATTCTTGATGTTTTTGAGCGAGTTCGTGAACTTGTTCCATGAGAAAATCGGATTTTATTTCGTGAGCAGTTTTTTCTGATGACATTGTTTGGCAGAAGCTGGGGAACTTTGGCTGGAAATTTTTTTTTTTGAAAGTTAGGATAACTTCGCTGCGCGGAAGCTTAGGTTGCTGAGGAAAAGCGTCGCAAAATCACGTGGGAAAATTTCAAAAAAAAAATTCACTGTTTCAAAAAATCTCCTAATAATTTTTCTCCTAATTTTTTCACATTGTAAGTTTTTTTCATGAATTTGAAATTTTGAAGCCAGAGAATCCACGTGGAAAAATTTTCCCAAACAAAATTAGAAATTAGCAAAAAAATCTTCAAAAAAAATCACTGTTTCAAAAATTTTTATAATTATTTTTCTGCTATTTTTTCACATTGTAAGTTTTTTTCATGAATTTGAAATTTTGAAGCCAGAGAATCCACGTGGAAAAATTTTCCCAAACAAAATTAGAAATTAGCAAAAAAATCTTCAAAAAAAATCACTGTTTCAAAAATTTTTATAATTATTTTTCTGCTATTTTTTCACATTGTAAGTTTTTTTCATGAATTTGAAATTTTGAAGCCAGAGAATCCACGTGGAAAAATTTTCCCAAACAAAATTAGAAATTAGCAAAAAAATCTTCAAAAAAAATCACTGTTTCAAAAATTTTTATAATTATTTTTCTGCTATTTTTTCACATTGAAAGTTTTTTGATGAATTTGAAATTTTGAAGCCAGAGAATCCACGTGGCAAAATTGTCCCAAAGAAAAATTAGCGAAAAAAATTTAAAAAAAAATTCACTGTTTCAAAAATTTTTATAATTATTTTTTTTCTAATTTTTTTTCTCAATTTTGCGCCTTAATAATCCACGTGACAACATTTCCTAATAGAAAATCTTCAAAAAAAATTCACCGTTTCAAAAATTTCACAATAATTTTTCCCCTGATTTTTTCACAGTGGATTTTTTCATTAATCTGAAATTTTGAAGCCAGAGAATCCACGTGGCCAAATTCCCCAAAGAAAAATTATTTCCAAAAAAAATCTTTCACAATAATTTTTCCCCTTTTTTTTTACATTGAAATTTCCGCCGATATAAAAAATCCACGTGGCAAATTATTCCCCAAAAATCAAAATCCAAAAAAAATTCACTGTTTCAAAAATTCCATAATCATTTTTGCGCTAATTATTTTCAATGAGTAGAAAAAATTATTAAAAAATTTCACTGTTTCAAAAATACGCCTAATTTTTTGCTCATTTTCAAGGAATATTATCAATTGGAAAATAAGACCCAAAAAAAATTTAAAACTAAAAAAAAGTACAAAAATAAGCTCTTCTGCTGATTCTCCACTTATTTATACTCACAATTAATTTAGTTTTAGTCCAAAATTTTGCAGTTGCCATGGTTTTATCAAACAAAAGTACATAGTAATTAAAATTGTACGAAAATTATTTGTTGATACATTTTTCAATGAAAACGTGCTATAATTTGTGTTTTAATCCTTTCCAGCTGCTCAATTTCAAATTTATAGAATTATTAATTATAGGTTACAGTAGTAATATGGTTATTAATCCTACTTAAAAGGGGGAGCCGAGATAATTGAGCTCAAAATAATAATTATAGTTTTGTGCTTTGATAAATCTTGAATACATCAAAACACAGTGCTGAATATTCAAAAATTTTGAATTTTTTGAAACCCAAAATTTGTCTTTTGCCAATTTTTAATTAATTGAAGCATTGCTCATGTTAAGATACTTGACAGCTAGACTTTCTAGACTTGGCTACTTCAGAACTAGATTCTGTAGAATCAGCTGCTTAAGAATGAGGCTTTCTAGGCTCGGCTACTTGACATCTATGCTCTCTAGGCTCCACTGCTTGACAGCCAAGCTTTCTAGGATTGGCCACTTCACAGTTATGTTCTCTAGGCTCGCCTACTTGACAGCTATGCGAAATAGGCTCCCCTACTTGACAACCAAGCCTTCTAGGCGTAGTTACTTGACCACTATGTCCTCTAGGCTCCACTTCTTGACACATATGCATTATAGGCTCGCCTACTTGACAACTATGTTCTCTAGGCGCTACACCTTGCCATAATGAATCTATAGGCTCCACTGCTTGACAGTTAGATTATCCAGGCTCAGCCGCTTGACAACTAGACTTTCAAGGGGCGGCCACTGCACAAATATGTCCTCTAGTCTCCACTGCTTGACAGCCGAGCTTTCTAGGCTTGGCCACTTCAGAACTAGATTCTCTAGACTCTGCTGCTTGAGGACTAGATTTTCTAGGAGCTACTCCTTGACAGCTATGCTCTCTAGGCGCTACTCCTTGACAACTATGTCCTCTAGGCGCTACTCCTTGCCATAATGAATCTATAAGCTCCACTGCTTGACAGCTATGCTTTCTAGACTCCACTGCTTCACAACCAGGCCTTCTAGGCTTGGCTACTTGACATCTTCACTCTCTAGGGTCCACTGCTTGACAGCTAGGCTTTCAAGGCGAGACTGCTTGACAACTATGTTCTCTAGGCGCTACTCCTTGACAACTATGTTCTCTAGGCGCTACTCCTTGACAACTATGTCCTCTAGGCGCTACTCCTTGACAGGTATGATCTCTAGGCTCCACTGCTTGAGAACTAAGTTTTCTAGGCTCCACTGCTTGACAGTTATGATCTCTAGGCGCAGCTACTTGACAACCGGACTTTCTAGGCGTAGCTCCTTGACAGCCAAGCTTTCTAGGCTCTTCTACTTGATAACGAGGTTCTTTAGGAGCGACTACTTGCCAACCACGCTTTCTAGGCGCGGTCCCTTCACAGCTATATTTTCTAGTCTCGCTTACTTGACAGCTAAAATGCATTCATTCATCCAATTGTCTCTGAATTTCTCTCCGAATCTCTTCCGATATTTTTCGATTGCTTCCCGTGCGAAGTTTCACATTCCACAAATTCTTCGGTGTCTCATCGATCAATTTGCTCCGCGGTTTTCTGGAAAAATCGATATTTTCAGAGCTGAAAAAAATCTGGATATGCTCACGGTGTTTGCTCAATCACAATAATACTCTGATCTTTTCCAGCATGATTTCGAAGCCTGAAATTAGAATTCTGGAAGCTTCAGGATGAGTTATGACGTGGCAAAAACCCTACATTTCAGTAAAAATCGGAGCTTCATGCTCAAATTCAAATCCACGTCGAACTGGAGAAATCGAATCGAAGTTGAAGCTGGGTTGCCTGGATCTAACAGTTCCATTCAGCGAACTAACATCAGCCAGGAATCCACGTTCATTCTGGAATGAAAAAAATTGAATTCAGGTTTTTTGGCGGTAGAAAAAATATATTCAACAAAATTTCACTGTTTCAAAAATTTCATAAATTATTTTTTTTGTTATTTTTTTTTGCTCAATCAACAAGTCGCTTATTCGATCTTAAAATTCGAAATTTTGGAAATTTTTGCCACGTGGATTTTGAATATTTGAAAATTCAAAAAGTTTCCCAAATTTCAAAGATTTTCAAAAAAAAATCACTGAAAAATTTCACTGTTTCAAAAATTGATAAATTATTTTTTTTTTTGATTTTTCTCAATCGGAAGAGTTTCAAAATTCGAAATTTTGAAAATTTTGTCACGTGGATTTTGAATGTTTGAAAATTCAACAATTTTTCAAATTTCAAAGATTTTCAAAAAAAATCACTGAAAAATTTCACTGTTTCAAAAAATTTGATATTTTTTTTCAAATTCTGGAGCGAAAAAACCACGTGGCAAAAGTTTCTTTGAAAAAAATATATTCAACAAAATTTCACTGTTTCAAAAATTGCATAATTTCAAGTCTTGCGGTTTGGTGTAGTAAACTACTTGCCACGTCACTAGATTTTCCCAAAAAAATTTTGCCACGTGGATTTTGAAGAAATTTCCTAAATAATCTTCCAGAAATTTTCACTGTTTCAAAAATTTCATAATAATTTTTTTGTTGATTTTTTTACTAACATACCGTGCTCTCATCCATCGCAATAGTTGGATCAATCAAAGTGGATTGTTCGTGGGCCTGAAAAAATCACTTTTTTATTTTTTTAAATTCTGAAAATGGATAAAGTTACCGAAACTGGTGTTACATGAATCATTGTGGCGTTTCGATCGATTTCCATTGGTGAAAATTGCAAAGTTTGACGACAATTTTGATGATTTTCGGGTGAGGTTCGCATTACATTCAGACGGGATTTTGAGGATCTGGAAAAAAATGAGGAGATGGATTTGGGTTTGCCACGTGGATTTTTCGCGCCAAAATTTGAATTAATTTGGAGTTCATCAGTATTAGCATATTTGAACGATTATGGAAAAATTAGGCACAATTTTGAAACAGTGAATTTTTTTGGAAGGTTTTTTTTTCCAAAAATGAAGGTCTACATATTTACCAATCAAATAATTTTACCAATCAAATAAAGATTGAAAAAAATTAGAAAAAAAATAATTATGAAATTTCTGAAACAGTGAAATTTTTTGGAAGATTTTTTTTTCCAAATTAAAAAATGAATTTTTTTTCGTAAAATTACACATTTAAGAATTGAAAAAAATTTAGAAAAAGAAAAAATTATGAAATTTTTGAAACAGTGAATTTTTTTGAAGGTTTTTTTCTGAAAAAAAATGAAGGTCTACATATTTTTTGTGAATATTACCAATCAAATAAAGATTGAAAAAAATTAGGAAAAAAAAATAATTATGAAATTTTTGAAACAGTGAAATTTTTTGGTGTCAAAATTTTGCTATTTTTTTTCTGTGGTCATTCAAAAATCATGGAAAAATTAGACATATTTTGAAACAGTGAAAGTTTTTTTTTCCAAAAATGAAGGTCTAGATTTGAATAATTCTTACTTAATTTTTTTCGTGTTCAAAAAGGAGAAATTGAAAAAAAATTATGAAAAAAAATAATTATAAAATTTTTGAAACAGTGAATTTTTTGAGCTCAGTTTTTCAACAAATTTGAATTCCAGTAACTAGAGCCCCAGGGAATTTAGATATTGCTCATATTACCGCCAAAGTTCCCCTAACTTTCTCAATTTACCTCGAAAGACGAGTCCGATGAATCAGCATTGAATCATTGAAATGTTGAGGAGACACCGTGGGATTCGCAATTTGTCTGAAAAAATTTTTTCAGAAATTTTTTCCCCCAAAAAATCTTCTTCTTACGTATTATTGGCTTCATTCCGAATATTTTTCAACATTTGCAAATATTCATCAATATTCGAAATGGCAATATCAATTGCACGATCTCCTAGGATTGATGTGTGAGCAACCGCGTTATTTCCGATTGTTTGTAACACTTCAATCACATTGTTCGAGTAGGCCTGAAATTTGAGCATTTTTTGGGAGCTTCACACGGAAAACCAGAAGTTCCTGCCTCAAGAACAACGGTTTTCAGCTCAAAGTTCAATTTCTAGGCTGATCTTAACTAAAAATTATGAAATATATATATATCATTTTGTTCATACTTAATTATATTTCAAATTCAATGATGAACACGATTTTTCACAAAAACGTGTATTTATTTGCTGTGCGGGAAAATCAGCTAAAAATAAAGGCACACACAATTATTTTCTTTGGTCCCACAACGAAACGCGTTTGTGTGTACTTCTCACGGACAATTTGCAAACATGTTTTCATTTCGTTTTGTTGTTCACAACGTTCCGAAACGCAATTGGGTGAGAGGAGAGAGATTCTAGAGAAAACATACGTTTTTAGTGGGCAAACGTGCTCAAATGAGAACAAAAACTCCATTTTTTCGAACATTTTCTGAGAGGTCGTTCAAACGTATCGCCGACATTGATCAAACAAATGGCCAAGCGCTATACACACATGTATTATTTTTTCTTTGTTTTTTTGAAAAATGAAGCGAGACGACAAGAGTTCACGCGAATAATCAACAAAACGTGAATTCTTTTATGTTTTTCTCTAAATCTCTACCTCTCACCCTATTGCATTTTATCATTAGCCTAAAATGTTGTGTGTTGTGTGTTTATTGGGTTTACTAGTGGTGAAAAACACAGTTTGAAGCATAAAGACACTTTTATTAGGACCAGAATGAGTTTAAGACATCGACTAAATCGACTAAATGATATTTTCAGGTTTTTTAAGCAAATGAGTTGAAATATAGGGTTTTAATGTTATTCACATGATAGAATGGTCTAAGACAAACAGAATGATATTAATTTTGATGACTTTACGTTATCCATAAGTGATTTAGGGACGTTTAGTCGATATTAAGTCGATAAGCCCAGTCGATCGACTAAACGTCGCTAAATCACTTAAGGATAACGTAAAGTCATCAGAATTTATATCATTCTGTTCGTCTTAGACCATTCTATCATATGAATAACATTAAAACCCAATATTTTAACTCAATTGCTTGAAAAACCTGAAAATGTCATTTAGTCGATTTCCAACTATAATCCCCATAAGGTTCGAAACATTTTCTTACAGATGACTTCGACGGAAAGAACCCGTGAAATGGAAGAACTTGATGTAAGTTATATTTCTAGTGAAAAATACCAAACAAGATTATTTTCTTTTAGTTGGTTACATCGGAAAAACAACAACGAATCGATGAAATCGAAGTCAATTTGGAGAAGTTGAAAATTCCAGAAGGAATTCGCAAAAGTATTATGGATGAGATCAGTGCATGTTTGAAGGTTCCATCAGTTGGATGGTTCGATATGCCTCAGGAGATGCGAGAAATGATGATTGAAGAAATGGACATTGAAACAAAGTGTAAATTCACACAATGTTCCAAAAAATGTGAAGATGAAGTGAAAGAATCGAACAATTTCGTAACAGCAATCAGAATCAAAAACTATGATCATCCAAAAATTTATGTTGGTCTTGGCGGAAATTCTGGTTATCAATATTGTTTGAAATTTATTGAAGTTCGTGATTCGTATGCTGATTCAAAAACAATGGTTGTTTATGAGAAGTAGGTGCTTCACCGAAATAAACACGCAACGCAGACCGCGTCGCGCACAAAAAGGGAGGGAATTTCATGAATCGTTCCCTTATTTGTGTGTGTTGTGGCGCGACGCGGTCTGCGTTGCGTGTTGGAGCGCGTGGTCTGATTTTCGATAATAAAATTCGCGATTTCCAGAGTTTCGCAGGACAGAACACCGAGAGATATGAGAATGAGAAATAATAATGAAAAATGGATGAAAATGGAAGAAGGAAACGCAGAAGAAGTTCAATTGAAATATATAAATGAATATATCACAAAATATAAGAGAACAATTGAAAAATTCGAAGTTCATGTAAGATTTTCTTCTACTAATAATTCTAGAGAAATAATAATTGTTGTTGTTGTATTTTAGGATTGGGATTTTCAATTTTCGAATTTCGATTGGCAGCAATTAACACGTTTGAATTGCTATAATTGTGTTTCCTATAATTGTAGAGATTCTCCAGAATGGATGGATTTCTCGCAAATCAAGAAAATGAATACATGTCATTTGCCAGAAACACAATTCACATTTGAAGAAATCCAACAATTTGAAGGTCAAAGATATTACATTGTATCGACTGATGTTAACGAGCAAAATTATGAGAATTATTTGAAATTGTTGCGAAACGGAGAAGTTCATCGAAATTTGGAACGTCTTGATGTTGTTTCTGGATGTGATATGAATTCGATCAATTTTGAAAGAATTGCGAAAAGTCTTGATGCATTTGACTTTGATCAAAATGATTTTGAGTGAGTTTGGGCTGATTCACGAGCGAAAAATTTTTTTTTTAACATCGAAAGATCACGAAAAATCAAAAAATGTCGAAAAAACATTTAGTTTTTCGAGTTTTTCAGCCAAAAATGATGACAAATCGATATTTTTCAAGCTTCTGGAGTAATTTCTGATGAAAAATTGACCTTGCAATTCATTTTCCAGAAGGTTTTGCTGATTTTTCGTTATGAATTTCGAAAAAAATCATAAAATAAAGCAAAATAGGGTTCTCGAAGCTTATTTTCATCAGAAATTACCCCAGAAGCTTAAAAAACCTCGATTTTCGAGTTTTTCAACCAAAAATGATGACAAATCGATATTTTTCAAGCTTATGGAGTAATTTCTGATGAAAATAACCTTCGAGAACCCGATTTTGCTTTATTTTATGCATTTTTTCGAAATTCATTACGAAAAATCAGCAAAACCTTCTGGAAAATGAATTCCGAGGTCAATTTTCATGAGAAATCACTCCAGAAGCTTAAAAAACCTCGATTTTCGAGTTTTTCAACCAAAAATGATGACAAATCGATATTTTTCAAGCTTCTGGAGTAATTTCTGATGAAAATTGACCTCGGAATTCACTTTCCAGAAGGTTTTGCTGATTTTTCGTAAAAAATTCATAAAATAAAGCGAAATAGGGTTCTCGAAGCTTATTTTCATCAGAAATTACTCCAGAAGCTTGAAAAATATCGATTTGTCATCATTTTTGGCTGAAAATCAATATTTTTCAAGCTTATGGAGTAGTTTCTGATGAAAATAAGCTTCGAGAACCCGATTTTGCTTTATTTTATGAATTTTTTCGAAATTCATCAGCAAAACCTTCTGGAAAATGAATTCCAAGGTCAATTTTCATCAGAAATTATTCCAGAAGCTTGAAAAATATCGATTTTCGCGTTTTTCAGCCAAAAATGATGACAAATCAATATTTTTCAAGCTTATGGAGTAATTTCTGATGAAAAATTGACCTTGGAATTCATTTTCCAGAAGGTTTTGCTGATTTTTTGTAATGAATTTCGAAAAAATTCATAAAATAAAGCGAAATAGGGTTCTCGAAGCTTATTTTCATCAGAAATTACTCCAGAAGCTTGAAAAATAACGATTTGTCATCATTTTTGGCTGAAAATCAAAATTTTTCAAGCTTATGAAGTAATTTCTGATGAAAATAACCTTCGAGAACCCGATTTTGCTGTATTTTATGAATTTTTTCGAAATTCATTACGAAAAATCAGAAAAATATTGATTTGTCATCATTTTTGGCTGAAAAACGCGAAAATCGATATTTTTCAAGCTTCTGGAATAATTTCTGATGAAAATTGACCTTGGAATTCATTTTCCAGAAGGTTTTGCTGATTTTTCGTAAAATATTCATAAAATAAAGCAAAATAGGGTTCTCGAAGTTTATTTTAATCAGAAATTGCTTGAAAAATATCGATTTGTCATCATTTTTGGCTGAAAAACGTAATTTCTGATGAAAATAAGCTTTGAGAACCCGATTTTGCTTTATTTTATGATTTTTTTCGAAAATCATTACGAAAAATCAGCAAAACCTTCTGGAAAATGAATTTCAAGGTCAATTTTCATCAGAAATTACTCCAGAATTTAGAAAATATTGATTTGTCATCATTTTTGGCTGAAAAACTCGAAAAACTAATTTTGACCTACGACTTTTCGTGAATCGATCTTTCGATGTTGTAAAAAACATTTTTTTCAGTGTCCACTTTCGTTTTCTTTTGAAATATGAGAGAAAATCGAAATGTTATTGTCAAGTTATTGCTCAAGTCGAGCACATTTTTTCGTTTGTCATTGTATCAGATAATTACGACGAAGTTATGAAAAACCGCCAACCTTTGGACTTCTAATTTCTCACAAATTTGTTAACCTTTGTTCCTGTTGTTATTTTTTTTTGTAGTTTTTTTCCTTTTTTCAATAAAAAATAGTATTCGCCGCGAGTTTGGTGTTGGAAAGCTGCCAGAAAAAATTCTTCTGTGCATTTTTGCGTCACAGCGTTTACACTAAACTCACATTTTCCAATTGTTCTAGACTCATTGTTTTGTTATTTGATTATCTTCGAGAAATGACTGAAAGCTGACAGTTAGAATACAAATACTGAACAATTTTTCTGGACACGTTTTTTTTTTTGGAAAATGTCACGTTTTAATGTTTTTTTCAAAAAAAGTGTTCTTAAATTTATACGCATTAAATTAACAGAATAAAAATAGTTTTTGCGAAAATTTTGAAACAGTGAAATTTTCAAAATTTTTGAAAAAAATTACTGTTTCAAAAATACTTGATTTCAAGTTTGAAACTTTTAATTTTCGATTCCTTCTCTAACCTCTTTACGAAATTTTTCTCACCAAAAAATTTTACTGTTTCAAAAACACTTGATGTCAAAAAATAATTGTTTTCTGATGTTGAGACATTTTGAGTCCCAGTTTATGCTTTTTGTTTGAAAATTGTGGAAAAAATGTTCGAAAAAACGAAATGTTCAATAAATCATCCAAAAAACAATGAGCAAATTCGATCAAAAAATTTCCTTGTTGCCCCTTTAAATACCCCCAAACGAAAGAATTTCTATACATTTCCTTCCAAGAAAACAATGCAAATCTTCTCCAAATTGCTCATATTACTCCTTGGATTTCCAGCATTTTCGAATTGCTGTCAAACTTCGGCGAATTGTCCAGAAGGTCAAAAATGTATAACAATCTATGTTTCTATTTTTAGAACTCGAGAATGTGTTAAGCGAAAACCACGTTAATAAAGTTTACATATGTTCAAAAAATGCCTTTCCGAGTAGAAATTCAGTAAAATTTTCTGATCGAAAGTTTTCATTTAGTACTTCATTGTGAAGCTGCAATTGAAAATAAAATTCCCATAAAAATATTTATTCGCATCCCAAAAAATCAATAATTATTCAAATTCTTCTCGAAGTTCTTCTTCTTTTGATTGGTTTTTGGTTTTCCGAAGGTTTTATTGGACGATTTTCTGGAAGTGGATAACCAAATGGAGGAAACATTTTTTGAATTTTTTCTCAATTTTTTGCTTGAGAAACTTTTATACCTTGTCAATTTTCTCATAATTTTTTTGGGGGAAATTCTTTGAATTCTTTTGTGCAAATTTTTGGAATTCGAAAAATTTCCCCCAAAAAAATCATGAGAAAATGGAAACGGTATAAAAGTTTATCGAGCAAAAAATTGAAAAAAAATTCAAAAATGTTTCCTCCATTTGGTTATCCACTTCCAGAAAATCGTCCAACAAAACCTTCGGAAAACGAAAAACCAATCAAAAGAAGAAGAACTTCGAGAAGAGTTTGAACAATTATTGATTTTTTTGGGAATAAATATTTCATGGGAATTTCATTTAAAATTCACATTGAAGAACCAAATAAGAAAATTTCACTGTTTCAAAAACATTTGTTCTCAAGATTTGGAATTATAATTCGATGATAAAATATTTTTGCAAACATTTTGAAACAGTGAAATTTTTTAATTATAATTTTTTCTTCAAGACCACGAAAATCAGCTTTTAAAATTTTCTGAAAAAAGATGTTAGAAAGTTAGCGAAATTTCTAATTCAAGATTTTTTTTTAGATTTTTTGAACATATATAAATCTTTATAAACGTGGTTTTCGCTTAACACATTCTCGAGTTCTAAAAATAGAAACATAAATTGTTATACATTTTTGACCTTCTGGACAATTCGCCGAAGTTTGACAGCAATTCGAAAATGCTGGAAATCCAAGGAGTAATATGAGCAAGCTGGAGAAGATTTGCATTGGAAGGAAATGTATAGAATTTCTTTCGTTCGGGGGTTTTTAAAGGGGCAACAAGGAAATTTTTTGATCGAATTTGCTCATTGTTTTTTGGACGATATATTCAACTGGCTTTTCGAACATTTTTTCCAAATTTTTTTGCATTAATCAAATATTTTTTGAAACAGCAAAATTTTTGAACAAAAAATTTTACAGAATTTTTTCACCAAAACCTCTCCGAAACTTTACAATTTCAAAAAGCACTAGTTGAAAAATTTCCGAAAAAAATATCAAAAAATTCTACTGTTTCAAAAACACTTGATTTTAAATTTGAAGTCTGATTTGATGAAATTGACAAAAAAAATTATAAATTTTTTTGCAAAAATTTTGAAACAGTGAAAAATATTTTCGAAAAACTAATGAACTGGGGGAATTTTGAAAATTTACTGATTTTGAAATCTGCTTTTAAAAATTTCTGAACAGAAATATTTTTAAAATTTTTTAGAAAGTTCAGCGTTTCAAAAATATTTCACTTACTTAATTTGTAAATTCAAAAGTCGCAATTTTTGGTCTCTTATTAAATTGACAATAGTAATTTTTAATTTTGGGAAAATTTTGAAACAGTGAAAAATATTTTTAAAAATTTCTGCATTAAATTCACTTTTTTATTCGAGCTTCGGCGCAGTGGCTAAGTTACCCTAACTTTCCAAAAAACCAAAATAAATTGAGCTAAAAAATCTGACCAAAATCCCAACTTTTTTTGAAGTATAACATCGTGAACTTCTCAAATTTCCCCAAAAATCCCCTTTTCTTTCCGCATTTCACACGAAAACACAAAAGTACAAAAGGTTTATCTCCCCACAAAATAATGTGTCAATAATTGCGGTAGAAGGAAAGGAGATATATTTACACCAACTTCATTTTGACGTTTTTGCAAACAAAATTTTATATTTATTTCTCAAAAATAATAATAATTATTATTATGATTTTCTTGATCGCAATTTTGTTTCTGGCCAAATTTTGCGATTGCTCATATTATGAAAAAAAGCGGTTGGATGTGAGACAATTTAATTTGGATGAGGTTTGGAGAATTTCTAGATTTTGGGCACGCAATTTCTGATTTCAGATAAGTCTGGAACCTGCTCCAAAACCTGGATTTCTGATCAATGCAACACAGGATGCTATAGAACAATTTATGGCGATTTATAGGACTCCGGGAATTGCGCAAGTTCGAAAGGTTTGGGAATTTTCACTAACATGAGCAATGCTCAAAAATTTAAATCTATATAGTTTTAACAAAAAAAAAATCCAGAAAATCTACTGTTTCAAAATTTCTCTTATAGGTTTGGTGACTTTATAAGGCTATAATTATTTTTTTTTTCAAAATTTTTTTTAAAATAAAATCCTCCCCAAAAAACTCACCTTGAAGATCCATCAAACATCTATCATTTTCATTCTCTCCAGTGATTTTCGAAATCACATTCAAAAATCCTCATTTTCCAGTGAAAACCTGTTTTTAAACATAAAATAACATTGGTCCGCGAGTCAAAAGCGGTTGAATTCAACAAAAACAACAAAATTTTCAAATCAAAATCTTTATTCAACAAGGAAAACAACGAAAAACTAGCGGACAAACACTTCGAAAAAAACAAAAACAAAACTACGACACTCCGCTTGCCTGTTGTTTATCGTATTTCAACAGAGCGGCGTTTTGAATTAGCTTTTTTTTTTTGAAAAAAATGTTTTTTTTTCAGCTTTTCCTTTGTATCCGATGTTCTATTCCAAAAGTCCCTCTTTCTTAGTACAATTTTTTAAAATTTTAATTGCTCTACCCTATTTGAATTTAGTAAATGATTCTGAAAACGCATCGCTTGACCGCAACGCGTCCAACGACATTGATAGATTTTCACGTGGAGTCTAGAGAGTTAGGGTAACTTGTATGGTCCGCAAGCTTCCGGGTAAATCTAGGCAGCGAGAGTGAAGTTAGAGAGGGATTAGAGACGCAGAGGAAACGAAAAAGAGAGAAGTTTAGAGAGACTAGGTAACACGAGGAATTGAGAGAGTCTAGACGATTAGAGACGGTTAGAGAACACGAAATTTTTTTTACTATCTTTTTGCAGATGACAGAACTAGATGTTCTCGTCGGAACCCTTCGCACAGAAGTTCAACAATCCTACACAGCTTTCAAAGCCGAATCGATTCTTTTGAAACTCGCGCAAGATGAACGACTTCAAGAAGTCGCTGAGAAGGTATGCGAACTTATCGAAAATCCCATCTGTACCACACGCTCCACCGAAATAAACACGCAACGCAGACCGCGTCGCGTCACAACGATTCAAATTCCCTCCCTTTTTGTGTGTGTTGTGGCGCGACGCGGTCTGCGTTGCGTGTCTATGCGATTTTCGATAATAAAATTTTTGAAAATACACTACCGTACTTCGTTTTTTAAAGGCGCATTACACAATTGTGCATCTAAACGCACTTCGAGACATTAAAATGGGAACAAATGAGAGGAAGGCGAGGACTGAGATGATGTTTAGCGAATTTTCGGATTTTGTGGTGAGTTAGGGGGAAACGGTGTACACCGCAAGCTTCCGCGGAAGCGGCACTATCTTCCGCGCAGCGGCAAAGTTACCCTAACTTTCTATATGAGCCAGAGAAGCTATGGTACCTTTGCCGTGCCGCTTATGCGGAAGCTTGCGGTCCACACTCACTCCGCTCGAAGCTTCCGCGCAGCGGCAAAGTTACCCTAACTTCTTTGAATAATCTAGAAAGAGGACCTTGCCGCTGCGCGGAAGATAGTGCCGCTCACGCGGAAGCTTGCGGTCTACACTCGCTCCGCTCGCGGAAAACCCCAAATTCAATTGCAGGTTTCCGCAGTCAGCGATGAAGTGAGCAACATTCTCGATTTAATCATGCGACAAATGCTTCGAGCGATTCTATTCACTGACAAAATGGCTGTATAAACTACACTCTAGTCTGTCTGTATGAAAATTCATGGTGCTATCCACTTATTTATGATAAAATTTATTGATTTTTTTTCAATCAAGATACACAACATCTTCTTTCACATCCAGAATTTCTGGATTTTCAGGATCTTGGAAAATCTGATCGCGAATGGTCTCGATGGGAATTCCGTCCGGTCCCAAAACTACTGTATCGATTTCGAATAACTCTTCTGACGATGAAGAAACTGAGGGTACTGTAGTTGTTCCAATCGAGACCCTTAAACTTATGTGTTAGGATCCACGTGGAATTTTGAAGCTTACGTGGAATTTGCGACTGGTGCGCAGGTTTTTTGATCTACCAGGAGTAGAAGAACCAAGAATATGATAAAAAGTTTCATTTTTTATGACGATTGTTTTTCTATTTCCTATTTATCAAGGGAGTTAGGCTAATTTGAATAATCCTTGTAGTTTCTGCGGAATTTTCAAAACAAACGAAAAAAAGAAAAAAAAATAGCTTCCCATGCCGGGAATCGAACCCGGGCCGCGTGGGTGAAAACCACGAATCCTAACCACTAGACCACATGGGAGGACGAGGAAGCGAGGGGAAAAATGTCAAGAAGTGTTTGTTGGTGAGCAAAAAAATGGCTAGGAAGATTTTTTCAAATGAAAATCAGATTTTTCAAAAATTCAAACCGCGTGATCTAAATATTTAAAAAAAAATCCCAAAAATTTGCCCCGCTCATTTTAATTTTTAAATTTGTTAGAAAAGTTCCGATGATTTTCGATGTAATGGAGAAAAATGCAATTCTTCTCCTAATTCTTCAGGTAACCCTACTTTTCACGTGAAAAAACTTCATTTTAAAGTTTTCAGCTTCTCCTAATCAATATTTTCCTTAATTGCGCCTCGAAAAAGGATAAAAATAAAGGAAATAAGGGAAAGAACAAGAACAAGAGGAAAGAGGAAGAGTCAGGCGACGAGACACAGGAAGAGGAAGAGGAGGAGACTGAGACAAGTTCAGAGAGACGCAGACGAAAAAGGAAGGAGAGGAAAAAGAAGAAGGGATCGAAATCAAAGTCAAAATCGAAATCACATTCAAAAGAGGCTACGGGAACACCGGAGAAAAAAGTTGAGCTAACTCCATTTGCAAATCCTCAAGCACCGCCTCCAGAACCAAAAGCGCCAGCAGTTGGTGGAGTAATCGCAGAAACTTACGACCCTAATTATCAAACCTTGGCTGGCCTTAACAATGACCAGGTCTTCGGGAAAGCTGCGGGTCCCGAAGTTCCACCAGCACCAAAAGCACCAGCTGTTGGTGGAGCCAAAGCCGGCACTTATGATCCCAATTATCAAACATTGGCTGGTTTGAACAATGCGGAAATTTTCAAGGAGAAAAAACCAGCTGCTCCGGTGTTTCCGACTGCGGCTGCGGTTGCAGCGCCCGCTGGAAATCCGAATGGGAAACCGAAAGCTCCGGAGAATCGAGCTGCCAAAGCGGCGACTTTTGACCCGAATTATCAGACATTGGCTGGATTGAATAATGCGGATATTTTCAAGAAATAAAGTTTTTCTCATTTTTTTTCGTTAAAAAAATGATTTGGTGCTAATTTTTATAAAAACTATACTTAATTTCTATCAAAAATCATCTCTATACATGTGAAATTACAACAAAAACCTATGTTTTCACGAAAAAAAGAAAAAAAACGAAAAAAAAACGAAAAAGAAAAGAAAACAACGATACTCCGCAATCCCGCTTGCCTGTTTCGCGGGTTTTTTCAAATTTCCTTTTTTCGGGCGTTTTTCTGAGTTTTCGGGTGGAATTTCGAGTTTTTTCCAGAGAAAATGGTGATTTCGGTGGATTTTCGACGTTCGGCTCGAAAGTGAGTGTTTTTTCATCCAAAAATGACTTTATACATGAAAAATTCAAAATTTATCACAGAAAGTTAATATTTTCACAAAAAAAACTCCCAAAAAATCCTATTCTTCATTATCTTCGTCTGCAGGATGTAATCCGAATTTCGGAATTCGATTCAAACAATCATAAACCTTTTTTTGAAGTCGGTTGAATGTGAAAACATGTTCACCGCATCCTGCAGTCTTCAGGCCATTTGTTAAATATGCAATTATTAATTCATTATCCACATCCACTCGAACTACAAAATTTAGGTTAGGTTATGACGTGGCAAATTTCAAAAATTGAAAAAACCTCACCCATTTGTCCACCAACTCCCGGGTGTCCAAATTGCCACGTGTTCTGCAAAAAATCGATAATTTTTCACGATCGTCTTGTCAAAAACTGCTAAACTCCATCCTGAATCTGAGTGATGACGTGGCAAAATTTGAACATACATTTAAAAACACCAGTTTCTCAATAGAGCGAATTTGCGAATTTTCCAAGTTTCCCGGGTAAATTTTGGCGGGGAATTCAAAACTAGGTTCAAAATTATCGATTTTTAGGTTTCATTGGTTATTTTAAGCCAAAAGTGAAGAAAAATGGACAAAATAAGTCGGGAAACATGACATTTCGCTAAAAATCAAGATTTTTGAGCCTAGATTTGAATTTCCCGCCAAAATTGACCCGGGAAACTTGAAAAATTCAAATTTTTAGTTTGGAATTAGCAAATTCGCTCTATTGGGAATTTGGTTTTTGAAAATATATTTTCAAACTTTGCCACGTCATAACTCAGATTCAGAATTGAGTTGTTAGCAACAGGATCATGATTCTAATTGATTTTGGAAGTTAAATTTCGAAAAAATTATCGATTTTAAGAGTAATTTCAAGTTTCTCTAACTTCAGTTTGTAACATCTTTAAAAATCGATAATTTCGAGCGCAGATTTGAATTTCCCGCCAAAATTTACCCCTGAAAACTGGAAAATTCAAATTTTCAGTGAAAAATTAGCAAATTCGCTCTATTGAGAATTTGATTGAGAAAAAATCGCAGCTCTGCCACGTCATAGCTAACTTTCCTGATCAGAAATCGAATTTTATTGAAGGCTAGGTCGAAAAATTGGCCTCCAGAAGTTTAAATTTGACTTATTATCGAAAATCACATCGATACCACGCGCTCCAACACGCAACGCAGACCGCGTCGCGCCACAACACACACAAAAACGGGAGGGAATTTGAATCGTTGTGGCGCGGCGCGGCGCGGTCTGCGTTGCGTGCGCGTGGTAGCGATGAGATTTTCATACCAGACCAAGCTCAGCTCCAATTCTAAATCTTCCAGGCTCAAACTCACATTCGGCGATCGATTATAAGTAAATCCATGTTCTTTATTCTGCGGTTCACCAATCAAATGATCAAAAGCGGTCATATTTCTCGGATATCGAATAACATCAAAAGTATCTTTCGATATCAAACTTCCATCCAAAATCAATTGATGTAATTGTGCCAAAGCTCTCGCCGATCCAATTCCATTCACAGCCGGTTGCCCCACGATTCGAAGATCCGAATTGTTGAACATTGTGAAATCGGTGCCGCAATTGCTCATATTTTTGCGCGCCTGATGGAAATAGCCACGTGGATTGTAGTAGTAGCGAGCGAGTTTGAGGATGGATTTGTCGTAGGCGATTTCGCGGGTCACCAGGTTTTTCGGGCATTTGAAGAGACGAGCCAAACGGTTTTCTTCGGATGAACATTCGCCGATGTGAATATCAATGTCTGGAATGGGAGATTGGTGAGTTTTTTGGGGAGGATTTGAACAAAAAATAGATTTGTGAAGATTTTTATGAAAAAATGTTTGCCAAAAATTATAAATTTGAAAAAATCTGTTTTTTCTGAAGGTTTAGAAGCCTAAGAAGCCTTAAAAGCCTTAGAAGCCTAAGAGAAGGCCTTAGAAAGCCTGGGAAGGCCTTAGAAGCCTATCAAGGGTTCTAGAAAGCCTATGAAGCCTGACAAATTAAAAAAAGCCTGAAAAGCCTTATAGAAGGCCGGAGAAGGCCTCAGAAGCCTAAAATTTGGAATTTTTAGTCCTAGAAAGCCTATGAAAAGGCCTAGAAGGCTTATGAAGGCTAACAAGTTCAAAAAAACCGGAAAAGCCTAAGCGAAGGCCTTAGAAGCCTGAAAGGCCTAAAATTTTGAATTTTTAGCCCTAGAAGGCCTATGAAAGGCACTGGAAGGCCTATAAAGGCTAACAAGCCTGAAAAGCCTTAGAGAAGGCCTTAGAAGCCGCTGGAGGGTTCTAGAAATCCTATGAAGGTTGAAAAGTTTAAAAAAAGGCAGAGAAGCCTAAGAGAAGGCCGTAGAAGGCCTCAGAAGCCTGGAAAGCCTAAATTTTTGAACTTTGGGCCCTAGGAGGTCTATGAAGTGTAAAAAGCCTAAAGAATGCCGGAAAAGCCTAAGAGAAGGCCGTAGAAGGCCTTAGAAGACCCCAAAAGCCTAAAATTTTGAACTTTTAGCCCTGCAAAGCCTATAAAGGGTCCTAGAAAGCCTATGAAGACTGACAAGTTTTAAAACAAGCCGGAAAAGCCTTAGAGAAGGCCTTAGAAGCCTCAGAAGCCTGAGATGCTTAAAATTTTGAATTTTTAGCCCTGGGAAGTCTATGAAGAGCCCTAAAAAGCCTTGGAAGCCTAAGAGAAGGCCTTAGAAGCCTATTAAGGACCCTAGAAAGCCTATGAAAGCTAACAAGCCTGAAAAGCCTTAGAGAAGGACGTAGAATCTCAGGCTTTAGGCTTGAGCCTAAGCCTATGTAGCCTAAGAAGCCTAAGCGCCCTAACAAGCCTAACAAGCCCAAAAAGCCCAAGCCTGGATCCCCCCCCCCTTAAAACTCACAATGTTTAGTGGCAATTTCCTCCCTAAAAAACTGTCCAACTGCACGATGTTCCGTATCAATTCTCCGAAAAACTTGATCAGCCAAAAATCCAAAAGTCAACGCATGATAGGCTGTTTTTGTGCCAACCGGATAAACCGGCCTGAGATTTTCAATGATTTTTGACATTTTATTGTGGTCCACCATGTCTTCAATGTTCAATTTTACGTCGGGAAAATATGGAAGACCCGCCTGAAATGTGGATCTTTTTGGAGATGGGATCTTGAAGTTCAAGCCTAGATTTGTGGATGGAAGTTTGGAAGTTCCAGTGGATTTTCCCGGTTAACATGAGCAATACGTAGATTTTCAAAAATATTTTTCTAGTAGATTTTTACCTGCTGATTACGAAATAGCCTATCTCAACTCTGAAAATGAGTTATGACGTGGCAAAATTTGAACATATATTTTCAAAAACCAAATTATCAATAGAGCAAATTTGCTAATTTCGACTGAAAATTTAAATTTCCGGGGTCAAATTTGGCGGGAAATTCAAAAATGTGGGCGGGAAATTCAACTCTAGGCTCAAAATTATCGATTTTTAGGTTTCATTAGTTATTTTAAGCCAAAAGTGAAGAAAAATGGACAAAATAAGTCGGGAAACTTTAAATTTCGCTAAAAATCGATGATTTTGAGCCCAGATTAGAATTTCCCGCCAAAATTGACCCGGGAAACTTGAAAAATTCGTCTAAAATCAGAAAATTTGCTCTATTGAGAAATTGGTGTTTGAAAATGACATTCATAGTTGAGCTAAGTCATTTCTGACAACAGGACCATGATAATCGGGTAACAAATCTACCTATTGCTCATGTTTACCAAAAAAAATCACGTAATTTTTGGACCCTACCGTATGAGATAACACCATTTCAATAGTCGTATCCTGTTTTCCATTTGCACCATATTCTGGCCAATATTTGGTGACTTTATCTGAATAATCACACAATCCTCGATCCACCAAAATGGCGAAACAAATTGCCGTGACACTTTTTGTACAACTGAAGATTGTTGAAATTGTGTCCTCTTTCCATTCTTTGCTGAAAAAAATAATTGGAAAAAAATTAATTTGACGTGAAATTGAAAATGACGTGTCCTAACACGTCATTTTGGTCATTTTTTGAAAATTGAGTTATTAGAAGTGTGTGAGTTTCTCAAGAAATCCAGGTAGAATTAATTTTTCCAAGAAAAAATTCACTGTTTCAAAAATCTCTGAAATTTGCGGGATTTTTATGTGAAAATGATACTACAACGATTTTTTTATATGTGAAAATTCAGTAAGAATTTTACTATTTTCTAAATTCTATTCTTCCTAAAATTCGAGATGATTTTTGAAAATTCACTGTTTCAAAAAATATATATTCTAATTTTTCAGAATCATGAATCGTTACCGAATTATCAAAAATCAGAATTATGGCTGCAGAATTTGATTTTGAATTTGTGGACACCGAAATTACGAGAAATTTGCTGAATTCAGGAGGTTAGTTCAATTTTTATTTCTAAAAATTGCTTAAAATTATTCTGAAAAATTCACTGTTTCAAAAAAAATTTAATAATCTTTTATCGTTGCAAAAATTTTGATTGTTCATAATTACGACACAATAAAATTCTGAATTTTTTTGAATTTGAAAAATAATTATGGAGTTTCTTGAATTAAAGTTGGTGCTATTTATAAGGGAATATTTGGAAAATTTTCAATTTTTTGTTGAAAAAGTTTTAAAATATTTAAAAATTACTTGCAATTTTGAATTTGTGGTAAAATTCACTGTTTCAAAAATATCTGAAATTTGCGAAATTTTCATGTGAAAATGATAAACAGGATTCCATTCTATTCTATTGAAAAAATATTTCCAAATTCAGTAAAAATTCCAAGTTTTCTAGATTTTCAAGGTCAAAATCATGTTCTTTCAAAAGTTCGAGATGATTTTTGAAAATTCACTGTTTCAAAAAATTTATATTCTAATTTTTCAGAATCATTAATCGATGAGATTGAATGTGTATCTGCAAAAATCAAGAATGGGACTGGAAAATTCAAGAAATTTGCTGAATTCGGGAGGTTAGTTTAATTTTTATTCATAAAAATTGCTTAAAATTATTTCGAAAAATTCACTGTTTCAAAAAAATTTATTAATATTTTATCGTTGAAAAGATTTCATTGTTCGTCGGTACGGCCTAATAAACTTCTAAATTTTTTTGAATTTGAAAAATAATTAAGGAGTTTCTTGAATTAAAGTTGGTGCTATTTATTAGGGAATATTTGGAAAATTTTCAATTTTCGTTGAAACAATTTATCACAATCTGAAAATTTTTAAAAATATTTGAAAATTGCTTGCAATGTTGAATTTGTGGTAAAATTCACTGTTTCAAAAAATATCTGAAATTTGCGAAATTTTTATGTGAAAATGATAAACAGGATTCCATTCTATTGAAAAAAATATTTCCAAATTTAGTAAGAATTCCAAGCTCTCTAGATTTTCAAGGTCAAAATTATGTTCTTTCAAAATGAAAATTCACTGTTTCAAAAAGTTTAAATCCTAATTTTTCAGAATGGTGAATCGATGGGATTGTTATTAGATCTTGAGAAATCAAGAATGGGACTGGAAAATTCGAGAAATTTGCTGAATTCAAGAGGTTAGTTTAATTTTTTATTCCAAAAAATTATCAAATTTTTTTTTGAAAAAAATTACTGTTTCAAAAAATAGCAAATTCTCTGGGTCTCTGGAATTTTCAATAATGAATGTATTGCTTATAGTTCTAACTCTAAAGAATCCCTAAGATAAGCCCCAAAATTTATCGGGAAAAAAACTCACAAACATTCCGGGTCCGCATATCCTCCCCACAAATCCACAATCATTTTTCCCTTGTGAATCACACAAAATGCAGCGCCAGCCTTCTCCCAACCTTCGCTGAAATTTTTTCTGAAAAAAAAATTTTTCTAGCTTGAATTTGAGGTCTAGTCTAATTTTGTGGTACCTGAATGAATCCCGGACATCACAAAAAATATTCTCCGCAATTCCATGAATCGGAATTTGACGTTTGAAATTGGATTTTGAATTTGAGTTCACCATACTAAAAAAAATTTAAATTCAAAATTTTTGGCGCCAAAAATCCATAAAAAAAATAGGAAAAAACTAGATCAGATAAACAACCAAAACAGGTTCGAAGGACAAAAAAATATAACCTTGAGTGATAAAAAAAAATAAAAAATATGTTGCTATTTTCATAGATTTTTTTAGCAAGAAAATCCTAATCCTAACAATTTTTTTGGCCAAAAAAACAACAATTTTTCGATTTTTTTATACAAATAAAATTGACAAAGAAGAAAAAAACAAGAAATTAAATTATGATTGAGAAGACCAAAAAAAATCGATAAAATTCCCGAGAGGAACAAGATTGAGAGGAGATAGTGAAAGTGTCTAGTCTCTAGTATGCTAATCAGGTTTTTGACCCCGATTAGAAAAACACATGGTTACTAGGAGAATTGGGGGAGTACTGTAGGGGGTTTGGGAGCGAAAATCTTTTCCCCGAAAAATTTCACTGTTTCAGAAAAATTATGTGAAAATTTAGGTTCAAACATAAATTATTAGCAAACTTGATATTGAAAATTATAGGAGTACTGTAGAGGTTTTTGGGTCTTGAAGCGATTAGTTTTTGGTGAAAAAATATAGGTTTTGTGCTTGAATATCTTTGAAAAAATTCAGAATAGAAATTGAATAAAAATTATTTCGAAAAATTTCACTGTTTCAAAAAATGTATGAATTTTTGCGTGTTGTATCCCAGATAATATTTGTCTTCCCCTCGCTTCAAAAATTAACAATTAAAATTTTTTTGACCTAGAAGTTAGAACAAATTTCCAAGAAAAATAGGTGTTCTCAAAAATAGACCGTGAGATTATAGTTGAAAAATAGGAAAAAAATTCCTTTGAAAATTTCACTGTTTCAAAAATGTTATAGATTTTGTGCGAATTGTTTTGTTTTGATATCAGGTTGCTGGATGGTGTACTAATTATATGAATTTTCGGGAGTTTGGAGGATTTTTGACCGTTTTTCGTTGAAATTGAACCACATTCAAAACCTCAAATCACAGAGAAAATATTTGAAAATCGAATTCTCAAAGTGGAATTTTTTCTTTGTGAAAAATTCACTGTTTCAAACGAATTATTGATTTGTCCCTGATTTTGTGGTGCTAATATTTGAGTCATTTAGTAAAAATTATAGGAGTACTGTAGGGTTTTTTGGAGTCTTGAAGTGATACATTTTTCCCAGAAAAATTTCACTGTTTCAGAAATATTATGTGAAAATTTAGGTTTAAACATGAATTATTATCAAACTTGGTAGTGAAAATTATAGGAGTACTGTAGAGGTTTTTGGGTCTTGAAGCGATCAATTTTTAGCGCCAAAAAATAGGTTTTGAGCTTGAAAATCTTTGGAAAATTCAGAATAGAATTTGAAAAAAATTATTCCGAAAAATTTCACTGTTTCAAAAAATTTGAAAGTTTTGTGTTCATCGAAATATATATTTCTGAATTACTGCTTTCTAGGTGAATTCAAAAAAATTCAAAAAAAAATGGTTTTTGTTTTTAAAAAATTTCACTGTTTCAAAAAATTTATGAATTTTTTTCTCCTTTTATCTCAAATAATTTTTCATCTACCCCTCGCTTCAAATATCAAAAATTAACATTTTTTTACCTAGAAGTTCGAACAAATTCCCTGAGAAATTAGGTGTTCTGAAAAATAGACCGTGAGATTGTAGTCGTATCAAAGTTTAGTTTTTTTTGGGCTTGAAAAATAGGCAAAAAATTTCTATGAAAATTTCACTGTTTCAAAAAATCTATAGAAATTCGCATGTTTTTCTTCTGTTGATATTGACACCCTTGTTTTATAAAAAATCTTGAAAAATATTTTTTTTAATCAAAAAAAATTTCACTGTTTCAAAAATTTTATAATTTTTTGGAAGGTTTTGAACTTATAATTCATCTTTCGTACCATCTATAAAATTCTGAATTTCACATTGAAATTTAATTTTAATTAATTAATTAATTAATTTTCCGGAAAGCGCTAGAATCTTCCGCGTACGCGGAAGCTTGCGGAAAGTAATACATACCCCGAGTCATGTTATCTATGATAATAAACAATGTTTACCAAAATACTCGAGCGTCAAAATAATATCTCCCCCCCCCCCTTAACAAATAATTTGTGGGGGGAGAGCTCATTTTCAGTGAGCACAGTATAAATATGTGTATACATAGAAGATATATTATCTTTGGTTAACACTTGAGTGCATTTTTGCTCATTAGAAATGAGCAACCAAAAAATATATGAGTTTTTTTGGCGCGAGAAAAATTTTGAATTCAAATTTTATTTTTCGGAGCCAGAAAGAGCATTTTCCCTAATAATCCGCTTATATTTTGTGCGGTAGCTACCCTTTTATGACATAATTTGGAATCTATTCTTCTAATTATCATTCATTCTCTTTTATCTTTACCGCCTTAGCTACCTATTGATAATAATAATAATATTATTATTTTTACGGGTCCCTGGGAAAATTTTGAACATTTTTGTAGATAGTGTGAATTTTTCCTGGAAAATTTAGGTCTCAAAAAATTCACTAAAAATGAAGTTTTTAATTTTTTTATTCTATTTCTGGTTTTCAGCGAATAATTAAATGGTTTTTGAAATTTTTGATATTCCAAATGTTTGATTTATGCTAACTTATTTGAGCTCACAGATTTTATTTGGGGATTTTTCTGAACCTTCTGGAGTTGCGCGAAATTCTTGTGATTTATTTGGACATTTTTTCTATATTCCGACAGATGTTTCAACAAAAATTCTCAATTTTTTCTCGCCAAAAAATTTTTGTATAGAGAATTTTCGAGAAGACATCTGGGGTGGTACAACATCTGTAATTCTGAAATCTATACGTTTTTTTTCTCTGCCGATCGAAAAAAAAAAAAGAAAAGTGTCATTTTTGTGTTGTAAATCATTATTGAGCGCGTTTGCACGATGTGTTGTAGTTTTTTCTTTGTTTCGCGGTTTTTGGCGCGAAATTTCTTGTGATTTATTTTTTCTGGGAATTTTTTCATACAAAAATAATTTTAAAAAACATCTTTTGAAAAATCTGGAATTTATACGTTTCAAAAAATTTACAAAAATAAATCAAATGTATATTTGATTTTTTGTCGATATGTTTTTTGAAAAAAAATTTCTGACTTTTTGGATTTGCAAAAGAAGTTAGGATAACTTGCGTAGTAGAGATTCAAAAATTAAATTTTTTGAAACAAAGCTTATTAAAAAATATTTCACTGTTTCAAAATTTTCTTATATTTTTCGGAGCTGGCAGGTAGAAATCCTTTACGAAGAAACCTTGATTTTATATTTTCCGCAAGCTTCCGCGTAAGCGGCACTATCTTCCGCGCAGCGGCCACGCCTAGACTAAGGTATCTAGATTTCGGCAAATTTTGAATCGGACCCGAAAAATCGGACCACTTTTTCAAAAAAGTAATTTTTTTTTGGTGCAAAAATCAGGAAATTTTGAAAAAGTGGTCCGATTTTTCGGGCCCGATTCAGAATTTTTCTCAAAAAATCGGACCTGGTCCGATTTCTATGGTCCGATTCAAAAACTGCACTAGATTTTTGCCAAAAATTGTTCCCCAAATGTGAAAATCAAACCAAATCTCATTTCATTTTGCTCTTTTTCAATTCCAATTCCAATTCCAAATTATAAAATTGCACAAAAGTCATCAATCATTCACCATAAAGCCCCGCCACCAAATAAAAATAAAAATATGTCCACCAAAAGCAAAATTAATTCCGGCTCCTATGCACCTTTTCATTGGAAAAATTTTTGAATTTGAATTTTCAAAATTCTTTTTTTGGAAACAAAAAAAAAGTTTTATATTTCAATTTTATCCATTTTTTCAGGGATTGAATTTCTTTATCCCTTTTTTTATACTTACAACTTAGCCTAACTTCCCTCATGTTGATTTTTTTTTTGCTCAATGAATAATTGATACAAAAGAGTTCCTTTTCACATTAGATTAGTAGCACTGCCTTTTATTTTTTGCTGTTTTTTCGAGCCGGGTGGGAAATTTTTTAGTACGAAAAATGAGATTTTTTTTTTGGACAACAATTTTTTTTTTATTTTTTTCGCGCCAAAAATTTGAATTTAAAAAATTGGCGCCAAAACGAATTTTTTGAATTTATAAAATTTTGCCACGTGGGATTTTAGAGGGAAAATTTTGAATTACAACATTTTGGCGCAAAAACTAATTTTTTCAAATTTTCAAATTCGGCGCGAAAACTGAATTTCGAAAATTTTGCCACGTGGATTTTTGGCGCCAAAAATTTGAATTAAAAAAATTGGAGCCAAAAACGTTAGTTCTGAATTTTCAAAATTTTGGCGCGAAAACTGAATTTCGAAAATTTTGCCACGTGGACGTTTGGCGCCAAAATTAATATTTTAAATTTTCGTAATTGGGCGCGTAAAAAATTTGAATTTCAAAATTTTTTTTCAAATTTTCAAAAAAAAATTGATGAAATAATTGCCTTTTATGCCATTTACTCAAAAAAAATGCGCTTTTTCACTTAATTGCTCATATTAAACTTTTAAGTTAACCTAACTTGCCCCAATTTTTTTTGACAAAAAAAAAACACTAAAATTTTTAATTGCTCATATTATAATTAATTAATTAATCGATGCCTAACTATTTTTCTAAAAGGGAATCAAATTTCAAGTCAATGACCCTCTTTTCTACTATTTTTTGCTTCCTTTATAAGTAGATATTTTCTATATTTGTTTTATTATTATATTAAGTGGATGAGAGGAGTATGCTACACTTTTTGGGACCGATGTGTGTTTTTTTTTTACTTTTATTTTTATTTGTGTACAACTCTTTTTGTAGTTGTAATAATAATATAGATGGATTTTTTGAGCTAATTCTGAAGCTGAAAATAGGCTTTGGAATTTTTCAGCCAGAATTGTCTAGTTTCAGCATCTAGAGATCCTATCTGGCAAGGATTAGTGCCTTGAGAGCTGAATTGTCAAGTAGCGACTCCTAGAGATTCTATCTGGCAAGGAGCCGAGCCTTGAGAACCTATTTATCAAATAGCGACGGCTAGAGATCCTACCTAGCAAGCTTCTATGTCAAGCAGACACGACTAGACTGTTCAGTTGTCAAGTATCAGCGCCTAGACATTGGTTATGACAAGCAGTTGCCCCTTGAGAGCCTACTTCTGAAGTAGCTAAGCCTAGAGATGCTATCTGGCAAGGAGCCAAGCCTATTGAGCCCAGTTTTCAAGGGTCAGCGCCTAAAGATCCTATCTGGAAAGGAGCCGCGTCTAGGGAATCTAGTTTTCAAGTAGCCGCGCCTAGAGATTGGTTATGACAAGGAGCCGAGCCTTGAGAATTTTTATGTCAAGCAGCCGAGTCTAGAAACCGTAGTTCTCAAGTAGCCGCGCCTAGAGGACTTAATTATCTAGTACTCACATCTAGAAATTCAGTCTGGCAAGGAGCTGCACCTTGAGAGCCTAGCTCTCAAGTAGCTGAGCCTACAACTCCTAGCTCGCAAGTAGCCGAGACTATAAAGCTCAGTTTTCAAGTAGCCAAGCCTAGAAATCCTAGTTGTCAAGTAACCGTGCCTGAAGAACATAATTATCTAGGACTCACATCTAGAAATCCAGTCTGTCAAGCAGCCGTTCCTCTAGAGCCCAATCCTCAAGCAGCCAAGCCTAGAAGCCCGTTTTCCCTTCCCGACTCTCCTATTTTCTATTCACAAGGCCACGAGTTCAATCCCCACTGCATGCGAAACGGATTTTCTTCGTGTTTACTTTTTGGTTTTGTGTTTTTTCTGTTCGTGAATTGAATTGAATTGTTTTTTTGTCGCTTTTCAAGTATTATCTAGTTTAGTTTTCTTTTTTTTTCGCTGTTGTTGGAAAAAAAACTTTCAAAACTTCCCAGATTTCTCGAATTTCAAATTTCTCCATAAAAATTATATTTATTTTTATATTTTTTCTCTCTTGAATTAATCCGGCAACTGTTCACGGGCTTATAATATAACACACAACACATACTCTAAGATGACCCTTTAACGGCTGGTTGGGATTACCAAAGAAGAAGAAGGGCAGGCAGGAGGTGGTGCAATAGAAGCACTTATGGTGTAAACATATAGTAGAGTAGGAAAAGGACCTCCATGGTTTTTTTTGAGAGAGAGAGAGAGAGCTAAACATCTGGAATTGTGGAATATTTTTACACAAATTTGATGGATTTTTGAAATTTGGGAAGTTTTTATTGAATTCAGGATTCTCTGAGATTCCAGAAAATTTTTTTGTTATAGAAATTTTGGCCAAAAATCTAAATTTGTTGATTTTTGTTCAAATTTCTTAATTATTTTTCACTGTTTCAAAAAATTTTCAATTTTTTTCGTGAACTATTTTCGAAGCTATGATTTCGGCCAATTGATTAAATTTTCAAAATAAAAATTCAAAAAAAATCTCCATGATTTATTGTTAGTTTCAAAATTCCACATATTCAAAATTATATCTGAAATTCCAGAAACTCCTGAATTTTTTTTTAAATTTTTTTCATTAAAAAAATTCACTGTTTCATGGAATTTTCAACAATTTTTAACTCTAACTTACTCATAAATATTTAAAAAATCTACTGTTTCAAAAAAAGTTATTATTTAGCTTTAAAAAATTTGAAACATTCTTTTTGTTTTACGTGGAGTATTTTTTTTTCAAAAAATCACTGTTTCAGGAAATTTTTAACTATTTTTGAAGACCATTTAAAATAATGTAATCCAGGATTCCGTAACTTTTGAACGAATGATTTCATATTTTTCTAGACTATTTTATTTTTATCTTCATTTTCAACTTCTCTAATTAACCCGCTAGGAATTCGTGTGGAACCCCAAAATAGCAAAAAATTTGCCCAGAAAACATCTGGAGTTGCGCGAAATTCTTGTGATTTATTTGGACATTTTTTTCTAGATTCCGACAGATGTTTCAACAAAAATTCTCAATTTTTTCTTGTCAAAAAAATTTTTTGAGAAGACATCTGGGGTGGTACAACATCTGTAATATTGAAATCTATACATTTTTTCTTCGCCGATTCGAAGAAAAAGAAGTGTCTCATTTTTGTGTTGTAAATCATTATTGAGCGCGTTTGCACGATGTTTTGTGGTTTTTTTTCTTTTTTGCGCGAAATTTTGAAAATTTGAAGATTCCTAAAAAATTACTGTTTCAAAAAATAGAGAAATTTAGTTTTTTTTTTGATTTTATTGTTATGTAGAAATTTTTCAAAATTCTTTTAGTAGAAATGATTTCTGAAAATTTCAGAAAATGTTTTTGTTGAAATTCAGATGCCAAAATATTTTTTCCACTGTGATTTTAAATTTTTCATACTTTTTCTCTCTTTGAAAAAGGGGCGTGGCTTGTGGGAAGAACCCTTTTGCTCTTTCTGCTTTTCTGCTCATTTGTACTTCTCTTTTTCACATTTTTTCTATTTTTCTAGAAATTTTTGATTGAAAAAAAATTACTGTTTCAAAATTTTCTCAATTTTTTTTTGAAATTGGAAGAAATGATTTGAATGTGTAGCGGAATTTCCAGAATAATTTTCTTCAAAAAAAATTCACTGTTTCAAAATTTTATTTAAAATTTTTGATATAATTTTTGACGTTTCGACGACAAAATAATCTGAAAAAATATTCCCGGAAAATTCACTGTTTCAAAATTTTATTAAAAATCTTTGGAAAATTTTCTGAACTATTCCGTCACCTTTTTGTCAGTTGTTTCTCCAGAAAACAAAATTGAATTTTCCCGAAATTGAAAATTCACTGTTTCAAAATTATTTAACTCAGAACTTCAAATTTTCAACCAAAATTCACTGTTTCAAAATTATCTCAAATATTTTTTTGAAAATTTGTGGAATGATTCTAATTTCCTACTTTTAGCAGAATTTCCAGAATAATTTCAAAAAAAATTCACTGTTTCAAAATTATATTTAACATTTATGATATAATTTTTGATGTTCTGAAGACAGAATAAGCAAAAAAAATATTCCCGGAAAATTCACTGTTTCAAAATTTTATTAAAAATTTTTTTGAAAATTGGTAGAAATGATTTGAATGTTATATTTGTAGCGAAATTCAGAATAATTTTCTTTATAAAAAAATTCACTGTTTCAAAATTATATTTAAAATTTTTGATATAATTTTTGACGTTCCAAATATTACAAAATGATTCCCGGAAAATTCACTGTTTCAAAATTTTATTAAAAATTTTTTTTTTAATTGGAAGAAATGATTTTAATGTTATATTTGTAGCGAAATTCAGAATAATTTTCTTTATAAAAAATTCACTGTTTCAAAATTTTATTAAAAATTTTTGGAAAATTTTCTGAACGATTCCTTTCAGTTCAAAATAAACTTAGAAATTCACTGTTTCAAAATTATTTTAATTTTTTTTTGAATATTCAGAAAAACGATAATGGAGTAGTCTGAGACTCAGAACTTCAAATTTTCAACAAAAAATTACTGTTTCAAAATTTTGTCAAATTTTTGTTTGAAAATTGGAAGAATAATTCTAATTTCCTACTTTTAGCGGAATTTCCAGAATAATTTTAAAAAAAAATTCACTGTTTCAGAATTTTATTTAAAATTGTTGATATAATTTTTGACGTTCTGAAGACACCAGAAGTTAAAAAAATATTCCCGGAAAATTCACTGTTTCAAAATTTTATTAAAAATTTTTGGAAAATTTTCTGAACTATTCCGTCACCGTTTTGTCAGTTGTTTCTCCAGAAAATAAAATTGAATTTTCCCGAAATTCAAAATTCACTGTTTCAAAATTATTTTTAAAATTTTTGGAAAATTTCTAGAAATTTTTGATTGAAAAAAAATTACTGTTTCAAAATTTTCATGAATTTTCAAGGTATTTTATATTTTTCAATAAATAGTGGTTCAAATTACGAGGCCAAAATTTGAAGAAAAAAGTGGGCGTGGCTTGACCTTATGTTCCCCTTCTCTTTACTGCTCATTTTTAGGGCACAACATTTTTTTTCCGAAATTTTTTTGACATCTCCATCTCTGTGTGGTTTTTTTTACGATGTAAATGTAATTGCCCACACTTTTTTTTCTGTATATTTTTGGACTTTTTCCACCCCGTTTTTCTATGTTTCTATGATAAATCGCATTTCTAATTCCATGGGCTTATATGATTTTACTACGAGCACTTTTTCCTACTTTTTTTGGGCCCAAAAAATTGCGTTATTTTGAATAATTCATTTTTTGTTGGCACAAAACTCGTATAGATTTTTTTATTTTTATTTTTTTTTATTCGAGGTTTATTTTTTCAGAACTTTTTTTTTTACTTTCAAAAAAATTTTCCCCGAGAAAAAAACACATTTGAAATTCTCTTTGTTCCTTTATTTTTTTTTGCCCCAGGCCTAAAAAAAAATTTTTTTTTTCCAGAAAGCGAAAAGCGAAACAATATTATGATATGAGGATTTTTTCGTGGATTTTTTTGGTCTCCCAGTTTTTGGCGCAAGTTTTGGTGGCTCTGATTGGTGAGTTCAATTTTATTTTTTCCTATGAATAAAACTTTATGACCTATAGGACAAGACATAAATAATCGTAAAAATTTTTTGATTTTTATGTTCAAAGGGACATGTGTTTAGCTAATCTGATTTTTTTTCTGGGAATATAAGAAGTAGTGGCGGTTCACACATTTGAACACGGAAATTGAATCGGGGAAGAATACTTGACACCTCTTGATTTGTGAGAAGACAAAAAAGGAGGAGGGTTCCTTTTTTTGGAGATTTTTGGGAAATTCACAAAATTTTGAAACAGTGAAATTTTTCACTTAAAAAAATTCACTGTTTCAAAGAATTTAGAAAATTTTTGAGCGATTTTTCAAGCCCGAAAAATTTGTTTCCCGTTTTTTCAACCACAAATTTTCACTGTTTCAAAAATTTCATGAATTAAAAAATTTTATTTTTGAATCGATCCTTATCTTGAGTTGTTTCGATAGAATTTGAATTATTAGAAGGTTTGAAACAGTGAGATTTATGGGAAGAAAATTCACTGTTTCAAAAAATTTGTAATTTTTAGAGGGTTTTTTTTCTAGCTCGATGTCGAATTACACATTTTTGATCTGAAAATTTCACTGTTTCAAAGATTTTGTGAATTTCTGAGTGAATTCTTATACTTCAATAATACCAACAAAAAATCTACATTTTCAAAAATGATTTCTTCATTTGATATATTGACACTTTGTGAGAGAAATCCTAATTGTAAAATTCGAGAAAAAATTTTTGAATAAGAATTCACTGTTTCAAAATAATCCAAAAACTTCAAACAAACCTTTAAATTCCAATAGTTGAGAATTCTCTTACAAAATTTATTTTCACAAAAATTCACTGTTTCAAAAAATGCCTAAAGTTTTGAAAATAATGTCTTCATCTGTTTGGGGTAATAATTTGGTCATCGAAAATTTGGAAAAAAATTCACTGTTTCAAAAAATATCACAAATTTCAAACTGAATTTTTAAAGCTCAATACTATGGAGTTTATTTCAATAAAACTTTTCAAAAATTAAAAAATCTTTATTAAACCTTTACATTTCAACTGAATAATACTTCCGCGAAATTATTTGTACAAAAATTCACTGTTTCAAAAAATTCCTGAATTTTCAACCTGAATTTTTAAAGCTCAATACTGTTTTTGAATCGCGAATTTCATCAAAACTTTTCAAAAATTAATTTCTGAGAAATTTCCTTAGACAAAAATTCACTGTTTCAAAAAATCACAAGTTTGCCAGCGATTTTTTATAGTTTGATAATTAACTGCCAAAAATAAGATAAAAATTCACTGTTTCAAAAAATAAACAAAATTTCAACCAAATGTTGATAATTCGATAAAATGATGATTCAAAGTTTGAATTTTCCTAGCAAAAAAAAAACTGTTTTGCTCTAAAAATTCACTGTTTCAAGAAAAATTCCTAAATCTCTTTTTCCTTTTTCTTCCAAAAAAAAATGCACCCGTTACATAACCCATTTCCTTTTTTTCTCATTTCCATGTTTGTTTTCCCCCATGTTCCCAACAATCTGCTCCTCCTCCTCCCACAAAAACCCATCAAAAAACCGAATTTTATGCTTTTCTCGCACCCCGTGATTATTTGATCCTCACGCAATCTGTCACCCTTTTCATATTCAACCGCTACTCTCTGCCTCTCTGCCACTCTCTGCGTCTCTAGCTTAGAAGAAATGCGGTAGAAAGGGGATTAAACTTGTCAACACGGGGAATAATAATAAGAATAATAACAAATTTTTGATTGACATTTTTATTTGTGAGATCAGAGGAGAGAAGAAATTTCGGGAAAAATATTTTTATGCGCCTTTAAAATTACTGTAGCCCAAAAAAGCTCCCATTTTTTGCTCCAGATGAAATCATTATAATAATAATGGGTAGTAGATTATGTAATAGGGGAAAAATAGGGGAAAAATAGGGAAAGATGACTATGATTACATAGTCTATTACCTAATGAGATGGAATTGGAAGAAAAGAAGAGGAAAAGAGAGGAAGATATTAAATTAGTGAGATTGGAGAACTGGAGGGGGTTATAATATGAGCAATGAGTAACTTATTTGAAAAGGGAAAAAGGAACTTGGGGGATTTCATAGATTTAAATTTGAAAATTCATAAGTCAGAGAGTTCGACCATCAATTTTTTCCCGGAAAATTAGATTGAGTTTATGAAATTTTTGAAACAGTGGATTTTTTATGGGAAATTTTGATTTTTTTTTTGATTTTCGGGGTTTTTTTGGAATTTTGAGAGTTATGAAATTTTGAGTGAAATTTCAAGTTTTTAATCTAGAAGTTTTACAGTAAAAATTTTGAGTAAAAATTCAAAAATCATTGTTTTTTCAACCGTCAGTTCCTAATTAATCGTTTCTGGAAAATAAAGTTGAAATTTATGAAAATTTTGAAACAGTAAATTTTTTTTCCAAAATAACTAGGATTTTAAGCTTCTTAAAATTTGTATTTAAATTTTTTAGGTTTAATTTTTCAGTCAAAAATTGTGTGTAAATTTGAAAAAATAATCAATTTTTATTTCAAAAATCACAAATTTCCTAGTAATTCGACTTACGCATTGTTTCCCGGAAAATAAATTTTAGTTTATGAAATTTTTGAAACAGTAGAATTTTTTATGGGAAATTTTGGTTTTTTTCTGAATTTCGGGGTTTTTTGAAATTTTGAGTAAAAAAAAACAAAAATCATTGTTTTTTCAACCTTCAATTGCAAAATTATCGTTTCCAGAAAAAAAATTTGAAATTTATGAATATTTTGAAACAGTAGAATTTTTTGGAAAATTTTTGATTTCCAGAAATGACTAGGATTCTGAGCTTCTCAAATTTCGTATTTAAATTTTTTAGGTTTAATTTTTCAGTCAAAAATTGTGTGTAAATTTGAAAAAATCACAAATTTCCTGCGAATTCAACACAAGAATTTGACGGAAAATAAATTTTAGTTTATGAAAATCTTGAAACAGTGGAATTTTTTATGGGAAGTTTTGGTTTTTTTTTTAATTCTGGGGTTTATTGGGATTTTGAGAATTATGCGATTTTAAGTGAAATTTCAAGTTTTTAATCTAGATTCTAGAAGTTTTACAGTAAAAATTTTCAGTAAAAAATCAAAAATCATTGTTTTTTCAACCGCCAGTTCCATATTAATCGTTTCTAGAAAATAAAGTTGAAAATATGAAAATTTTGAAACAGTAGAATTTTTTTTGGAAAATTTTTTGATTTCCAAAAATGAATAGAATTTTGAGCTTCTTAAATTTCGTATTTAAATTTTTTAGCTTTTTAAAATCATAGTTTTTCAGTCAAAAATTGTGTGTTAATTTGAAAAAAATCAATTTTACATTCAAAAATCACAAATTTTCTTTCAACACAAGAATTGTTTCCTGGAAAATGAGTTTTAGTTTATGAAATTTTTGAAACAGTAGAATTTTTTATGGGAAATTTTGGTCTTTTTTTTTTTTGAATTCCGGGGTTTATTGGATTTTGAGAACCTCAATTTTCGTATTGAAATTTTGAATAACATTTCGAGATTTATCTGAAAGTTTTCCAGATTTTTTCAGTCAAAAATTCTGTTTGAATCGTTTCTAGAAAATAAAGTTGAAATTTATGAAAATCTTGAAACAGTAAATTTTTTTTCGAAAATTTTGGTTTTTTTTTTTGAATTCCGGGGTTTATTGGGATTTTGAGGTCCTCAATTTTCGTATTGAAATTTTGAGTAACATTTTTCTGAAAGAGTAAGATTTTTCTGAAAGATTTCCAGATTTTTTTCAGTCAAAATTTTGTTTGAATCGTTTCTAGAAAATAAATTTGAAATTTATGAAAATCTTGAAACAGTAATTTTTTTTCCAAAAATGACTAGGATTTTGAGATTCTTAAATTTCGTATTTGAATTTTTTAGGTTTAATTTTTGACTGAAAAATTATTTTTCATTCAAAAATTAAGTGTAAATTTGAAAAAAAAATCAATTTTTGTTTAAAAAACCACAAATTTCCACAGACTTTAACACAAGAATTGTTTCCTGGAAACAGAGTTTTAGTTTATGAAATTTTTGAAACAGTTGAATTTTTATGGGAAATTTTGGTTTTTTTTTTTTTTGAATTCCGTGGTTTATTGGGATTTTGAGAGTTATGAAATTTTAAGTAAAATTTCTGTAAAAATTACAGTAAAAATTTTCACTAAAAAAATCAAAAATCATTATTTTTTCAACGGTAACAAACAGATGTATCGTTTCTAGAAAATAAAGTTGAAATTTGTGAAAATTTTGAAACAGTAATTTTTTTTGGAAAAATTTTTGTTTCCAAAAATAACTAGGATTTTGAGCTTCCCCAATTTCGTATTTAAATTTTTTAAATTCAATTTTTCAGTCGAAAATTGTGTGTAAATCAATTTTTATTTCAAAAATCACAAATTTTCTACGAGTTCGACTTAAACATTGTTTCCTGGAAACAAAGTTTGAGTTTATGAAAATCTTGAAACAGTAGATTTTTTATGGGAAATTTTGGTTTTTTTTTCAATCCGTGGGATTTTGAGTGAAATTTCAAATTTTTAATCTTGGGTTAGAAGTTTTACAGTAAAAATTTTCAGTAAAAAATCAAAAATCATTGTTTTTTCAACCTTCAATTGCAAAATTATCGTTTCTAGAAAATAAAGTTGAAATTTATGAAAATTTTGAAACAGTAATTTTTTTTTCCAAAAATAACTAGGATTTGGAGCTTCCCAAATTTTGTATTTGAATTTTTTAGGTTTAATTTTTCAGTCAAAAATTGTGTGAAATCAATTTTTTTTTCAAAAATCACAAATTTTCTACTAATTCCACTCAAACATTTCTCGGAAAATAAATTTTAGTTTATGAAAATTTTGAAACAGTAATTTTTTTTTGAAAAATTGTAAGCTAAAATTGGAAAAAGAGGAGGATCATTTTTGTTAGGATTTTTCAAGTGAAACAGCAATTTTGAAACGTAAATATTCCGGGAAAAATCTAAATTCAAATTTTTTTCCAGACGAATCTTCATGTCCCAGCGGTTGGCAAGTTGCCAGTGATGTTTGCGTCAAAATCGTCATCCCACCAGCCACCCTTCAACAAGCTACAGTAATCCCTAATCCCCTCGAGACCCAAAAATTTTTCAATTTTTTTTCAGAAATTCTGCCACGCTGAAGGCGGTCAACTTTTGGACACCTCTTCAAATTTACTTTTGGAAGATGTTTTTGAAATTCTGAAAAATTTATATGAAATTGGATTGACTGAACCGATTTTTTATATCTCTGGTGAGGGACAGGCTTTGAATCGAACTGAAAATGGAAAATATGTTGTGTAGGTTTTAAATTTCGCGCCAAAATCATTTTTTGAGTTTTTGAATTTTCAGAGTGAATGAGGATGCCAATTCAGAATTTCCATCGATTTGTTCGTTGAATAAAATGGAGAGAAGAAGTTTGCTGTTTCAACAGAAATTACTGCAAAAAGGTCAGTTCCAGGAAAAATTTTCAAAAAAAATTTGAAACGTATAATTTTCTGGGGGACACATACAAGAAAAAAATAAAATAAAATTTTTTTTGAAAAAAACTTCAAATCATGATTGCCCAAATTACTATTAAAATTTTGAAACAGTTAATTTTTCTGAACGATTTTTTCTCAATATTTTCAATTTTTTTAATTAATTAGAGTTTTTAGAATTAATTACAATGTGTTTTTGAAACAGCAAAATTTTTGAAAACTTCACTGTTTCAAAAATTCATGAAATTAAAATACTTGAAATATTGGTCGTTTTTTTGCGATCTATTAATGAAACGCTAAGCTCAACTTTAAAACATTTCTGAAACTGAAACTAAATTTAATTTTCAAATTTTTATTGTGTACCTCAAGCAGATCAGTAGCCCAAAACTCTCAAAGAACAAAAATTAATTAAAATTTTGAAACAGTAAATTTTTTGAACAATTTGTTTCCAATGTTTTCAATTTTTCAAATTAATTTGAATTTTTAGAATTAATTACAATCTGTTTTGAAACAGTAAAATTTTGGAAAATTTCACTGTTTCAAAAATTCAAGAAATTGATAAAATAAATACTTGAAACATTGTTCGTTTGATCCTACTATAAGCAGCTCAAAACTCTCAAAAAACAAAAAATTAATTAAAATTTTGAAACAGTCAATTTTTTTAACGATTTTTCCCAATATTTTTAAATTGTGAATTAATTTGAACTTTTAGAATTAATTACAATGTGTAAATTTTTTGAAACATTAATTTTTTGGAAAATTTCACTGTTTCAAAAAATTCAAGAAATTGATAAAATTTTTGAATTTCTGTTGGAAAGCTCGTGAAATGCTTATGTGTTATAAAAATGTATTCCGCAAGCTTCTGCGTTAGCGGCACTGTTTTCCGCGCAGCGGCAAAGTTAGCCTAACTTATCTAAGCTCATTGTCTGAAAAATTTGAAAAATAATTTCTATTTTTTATCGCGTTTCAACATACAGCCAAAAAAATATAACAGCCCAAAATACTCATGGAACAAAAATTATCAAAACTTTGAAACAGTTAAATTTTTTGAACGATTTTTCCCAATATTTCTAAATTGTGAATTAGTTTGAATTTTTAGAATTAAATACGATGTGTTTTTGAAACAGTAAAATTTTGGAAAATTTCACTGTTTCAAAAATTCAAGAAGTTGATAAAGTACTTGAATTTTTGTTCAATTGATCTTATGGTTGGTACCGAGTTCCGCACGAAATACTGAAGAAACAAAAATTAATCAAAATTTTGAAACAGTTAATTTTTTTGAACACTATTTAATGAAATATTAACTAATTAGAATTTTTAGAATTAATTACAATGTGTAAATTTTTTGAAACAGCAAAATTTTGAAAATTTTACTGTTTCAAAAATTCACGAAATGAATATAAAACTAGAATTTTTGTTGTAAAATACTGAAAAAACAAAAATTAATTAAAATTTTGAAACAGTGAATGTTTTTTGAACAAAACTTTCAATAAAAATGTTTCAACAGAAATTACTTTTTTTTTTGAAATAAAAACTTTTACTGTTTCAAAAATTTATGAAATTGATGAAAATCTTGAATTTTTATTGGGGCATTGTTACAATTATCTTCAAAAACCCTTATTTTTGCAGGAGCTCCCCGCTTATCTCCATCTGGTCTCCAATCCGAAATCTATTTTCACCCTCGAAATGATGCTGATTACATCGCTCTTCCTTGTATCGTCGAAGCCAATCCGAAACCAACAATTTCTTGGTTCCGAAATGATATTGAAGTTGTCTCACCTTCCAGTTCAAATGTCTCATATTTATTATCTGGCGGGAATTTGTTAGTTCCGGCAAGTTCGAGTTTGGCTTATTCGACTTTTCATTGTACGGCTAGAAATGCGTTGGGAGAAGTTAGGTTGGTTTTTTTTTTTTTTTGGATTTTCTGATTTGAAATCTGATTTCAATTTAAATACAAAATTGTTTTTTGAAAAATCTCTGTTTGAAAAATGACACGTGGATTTTTTGGGGCAAAATTCAATTTTTCCACAACAAAATCTCACTGTTTCAAAAAATTCTCATTTATAATTTTTTCGAATTTAAAATGTTAATGTATTGATTTTTCACACAGAAAAAATTTACTGTTTCAACAAATTCTGATTTAATTTGTTCACAAATAAAATTGATCGCATGTCGTATTTTTCACCAACAAAAATGATAATTTGAAGCTTCAGATTTTCCTGAAATTAAAATTAGGATTTTTTTAAAAGATTTTTCTAAATACATTTACCGGGCCAACTTTTAAAGTATGATGAAAGTTATTAGTAAATTTCCAGGAAGCCTGGAATATTCATCAAGTTTTTGAAACAGTGAGATTTTTTTTCAGACAAAAAAAAATAAAAATTGACAGTATTTTCAAAATATTGGGCTCATTTTATTAGTCAAATTCACTTTTTTTCGAAATAAAATCTCACTGTTTCAAAAAATACTTATTATATTTTTTCGAATTTAAAATGTTCACACGCCTCGATTTTCCAAACAGAAAATTTTTACTGTTTCATAAAATTCTAATTTAATTTGTTCACAGATAAAATTATTTATGGATTAATTTTTTGAAACAAAAATGATAATTTGAAGCTCTAGAACTTGATGTTTTTTTCCTGAATTTAAAATTAGGATTTTTTTTTAGATTTTTCTAAATACGTTTACCGGGTCAACTTTTGAGGTATGAACAAAATTATTAGTGAATTTCCTGGGAGCCTGGAATATTCATAAAAAATTCAAATCAGAATTTTCAGACAAAAAAATAAAATTTACAGTATTTGAAAATATTGGGCTCATTTTATTAGTCAAATTCACTTTTTTCCAAAAAAAAATCTCACTGTTTCAAAAAATACTCATTTATATTTTTTTCGAATTCAAAATGTTTCTATTCTTGGCTTTTTTCACACAGAAAAATTTTACTGTTTCAACAAATTCTGATTTAATTTGTTCACAAATAAAATTGATCGCATGTCGTATTTTTCACCAACAAAAAAAAGATAATTTGGAGCTCCAGAACTACATGTTTTTTTCCTGAAATTAATATCTATGAATAAAGTTATTAGTGAATTTCTTGCCTGGAATATTCATCAAGTTTTTGAAACAGAGTTTTTTTTTCAGAAAAAAAATTTTCAAAAACTTCCTGTCCCCAAAATCCCCAATTTCCTTCTTTTCCAGAAGCCCACCAATAATTCTGAAACCCTCATTCATTGATGCATTCCGACAACATCGTTTGGATGTTTATTCGTTTCTCATCGGCGGAGCCAAATTGGATTGTGATGCACCACCGCATCAGCCAAGTAAGTTGCATTTTTTGGGGAATTTTTGGGTGCTCCAGATTTCCTGACTGAATTTTTGGCATGTTTTTGAGGTGCATGAAATTTTTTTTGGTAAATTTTTACAAAATTCAAGCGCAAAATGAATCAGATTACTGTAGTTTGATTGAAAAATTAAAGTTTTTCACCGAAAATTATAGGTTACTGTAGCTTCTCCTTTTTGCGCCGAATTTAAATTTTTTTTTGCATTTTTTTGGTCTGAAAGTGAAATTTATCATCACTAATTAATTATTTTTTTTTCACTGTTTCTAAATTATTTTTTCTTCATCACATGAATGTTTTCAAAGAAAATCAATTTGTACATTTATAAACACAAAAAAAATGTGTTTTCTTTTTTTTTGAGAAAAATAAAAGACAAATTTGTGTTTTTTTTGACAAGATTGAGTGTTTAATACTTTTTTTTTTGGTACTTGGAAATTTCTGGATTTTCTGGATTATTTTAAATAGAAGATTCGAATTTCTGTGAATTTTATTATTTTTTCAAGAAAAAAAATTCACTGTTTCAAAAAATTCTTATTTTTTAATTTCAAAATTAAAGCTGTTGTGATGGCGTTTTTTAAATTAAAAAATACGAATTTTTGAAACAGTGAATTTTTTTTTTCAAAAAATTCACAGAAATTTGAAAAAATATTTTTTTCCAGAAAAAAATTTTCACTGTTTCAAAAAATTTTGATTTTTTGAATTTCAATATTTAAACAATTTCTGACTTTTCAACACTCCTTCCAAAAAAAACTCAAAATTTTTCATAATCAGAATTTCGCCACGTGGCAAAGTTATCCTAACTTCTCTGAAAAATCCAAAAATTATTTTCGGAAATGTTTCTCATGCTCACAATTTCTCTTCTTCTGGCTCTTTTCCCCCCAAAAAGTTGTTAGTTTTTCGTCTAAATTTTTGTGTCATCCAATTGTCTGATTTTGGCAGCAGAATGTCTGTTTTCCCAAGAGAAAATGGCTCCCCCTCTCTTTTTTTTTCGATAAACTTTTCTGGGCTTTTTTATTTTTTTATTTCGAATTGATTTGGAATCTAGCGGCTTTTTTGATATTCTAGAAAAGTTTACGATTTTTTTGAAACAGTAAATTTTTTGTGGAATTTTTTTTTGGATTTAGAAAATTTTTAAATTTTAGGAGAGAAAATGCAAAAATGAAAGCGATTTTCAAATTTGAAAGACGAAAAATAAGATTTTTTTGAAACAGTGAATTTTTTTTTGAAAAAAAGTTTATTTTTGGACTTAAATTAGAGATTATCGTGTAGCTAGAGCGAAAAAATTAAATTTTTTTGAAAAAGTGGATTTTTTTAAAATTTTATCTTTTGAATCGTTCATCTTCTACAACAGCATTTTTAGTTTCGAATTTTGAAAATTAAGAATTTTTTGAAACAGTGAATTTTTTTCTCTTCTCAATTCAAATTTAAATTTACATACAAATTCAAATTCAAAATCCAAAAAATGGCACAAAAATTTGATTTATGACACTTTGTTCTTCTCCTCCCATTTTTCTCTCTATATTTTCTTGTTTTGTTTTGAATTAGAAATTCTGAATAAATTATGAAATGACTTGTTGTTTATTGTTTGGTTTTCTTTTCGATTTTCTGATAGGTTTTTGAGAAATTTGAGCGCGCTCCGGAATCTTCCGCGTAGGCTTGAAAATTTCCTGATCTCTCAAAAATCTCATAAATCAATCTTCTTGCTCCAGAATCATTTCCAGATGTCAAAAACCAAAAATCCAATTTTTCTCACAAAATAAAAATCATATGCTAGGGATATTTCTCAAAGTTCAAACGAAACATCAAGAAAAAATGGAACACCTGTTAGACATTCATCATTTTCCTCCCATCTCATGTTTTAAAATGTTTTCGGGTGATCAGGAATTTTTTTTGAGCTCAAATTTTTTTTTTCAAGCTTCAGCAAAAGTTTTTTGAACTTCAAAATCTCAAATTTTGCGCCAAAAATGTTCAGAAATCTCAAACGCGCTCTACCGAACAAAGTCAAAATCTCTCGAATTTTCAAATTTAAGAATTATTTGGGTTTGTGCATTAGAGCGCATTTGCTGAACTGATCAATCGCGCTCTAATGAACAAAATGATTTTTCTACGAATTTTTGAATTTTTTTTCGAGCGGAGCGAGTGTAGACCGCAAGCTTCCGCGTAAGCGGCACTATCTTCCGCGCAGCGGCCACGTCTAGAGTAGGTCCTGGAAACCTAAATCCCGAGCGCTGTGTAAACCGCAAGCGGCAAACTTACCCTAACTTTCTAGTTTCAACGTAAAAATTTAAAAATTTTCATAAAGCAGTCTATTTCTCAGCCCAAAAAAATTAATTTTGAAAATTTGATTTTTTTCCAGATATTTCACTGTTTCAAAAAATTATGATTTTTTTCGAATTTCAGAATTTGAACGATGCTTAATCTGTTCATGGTTTTTCTAAAATAAAAACTAATGTATATTTTTTTTCGAGCGGAGCGAGTGTAGACCGCAAGCTTCCGCGTAAGCGGCACTGTCTTCCGCGAAGCGGCCACGTCTTGAAGCCTATGTTTTGTAGACCGCAAGCTTCCGCGTAAGCGGCACTATCTTCCGCGCAGCGGCCACGTCTTGAAGCCTATGTTTTGTAGACCGCAAGCTTCCGCGTAAGCGGCACTATCTTCCGCGCAGCGGCCACGTCTAGATTAAGCTAAGTTCCTGGAAACCTGAATTCCGAGCGCAGTTACCCTAACTCTTCCGGAAAATTTAGAGAAAATGTGGTTTTTTCTGTGGCTCATCCTCATTTTTTTGTTATATTTTATGTTCTGGTTTGCTCGGGGGCATAAAATGCTTTTAGTGAGTGTGAAAAAGAAGAGGATGGGGGCTCTTTTCTGTTTTTGAGTGGCCTCATTTTGATTTTTTTTTTCTTCATTTTCATTTTCATTCTCATTTTGACGGGAAAACGAGCGACGAAATTGAAAAAAAAGATGAGAGGAGGAGAAGAAAACATATATATACACATTTCATTTTATTTTTTCATATTTTTTATCGCTTTTATTTGTTTTTCTGAGAAAAACCTAGGAAAAGCTGGAAATTTAGATTTTTTTCTGAAAAATTTTTTGAAGCAAAAAAAAATTATAAACAAAAAGTTTGTGACCTAAATTTGTTCTAGAAAATTTGAAACAGTGAATTTTTTTTTCAAAAAAAAAAAAATTTTGAACTGAAAATTTTCAGACAAATTTTTGAAACGCTGGAAATCTTGTGGGTTTCGGGAGCTTCTGAAAATTGCCAGATTTTTTTTTCTGAAAATTTTGGATAATCGTAAGCTGTAAACAAAAAAGTTTGTGACCTAAATTTCATCTAGAAAACTTGAAACAGTGAATTTTTTTTTGCAAAAAAAAATTTTTGAACTGAAAATTTTCAGACAAATTTCTGAAACGCTGGAAATTTAGTGGGTTTTTTAGAGATTCTGAGAATTGTCAGATTTTTTTTCTGAAAAATTTTTGGAGCAAATTAAGAAAAAAGTTTGTGACCTAAATTTCATCTAGAAAACTTGAAACAGTGAATTTTTTTTTTCAAAAAAACAATTTTTGAACTGAAAATTTCCAGACAAATTTTTTGAAAAGCTGGAAATTTAGTGGGTTTTGAGAGCTCCTGAAAATTGAGATTTTTTTCTGAAAAATTTTTGAAGCAAATTAAGAAAAAGTTTGTGACCTAAATTTCTTCTAGAAAACTTGAAACAGTGAAATTTTTTTTTCAAAAAATAAAATTTTTGAACTGAAAATTTTCAGACAAATTTCTGAAAAGCTGGAAATTTAGTGGCTTCTGAAAATTGACAATTTTTTTCTGAAAAATTTTTGTAGCAAATTGAGATAATAAAAGTTTGTGACCTAAATTTCTTCTAGAAAACTTGAAACAGTGAAATTTTGTTTTTCAAAAAAAAATTTTTTGAACTGAAAATTTTCAGACAAATTTCTGAAAAGCTGGAAATTTAGTGGCTTCTGAAAATTGACAATTTTTTTTCTGAAAAATTTTTGTAGCAAATTGAGATAATAAAAGTTTGTGACCTAAATTTCATCTAGAAAACTTGAAACAGTGAATTTTTTTTTGCAAAAAAAAATTTTTGAACTGAAAATTTTCAGACAAATTTCTGAAACGCTGGAAATTTAGTGGGTTTTGAGAGATTCTGAGAATTGTCAGATTTTTTTTCTGAAAAATTTTTGAAGCAAATTAAGAAAAAAGTTTGTGACCTAAATTTCTTCTAGAAAACTTGAAACAGTGAATTTTTTTTTTCAAAAAAACAATTTTTGAACTGAAAATTTCCAGACAAATTTTTTGAAAAGCTGGAAATTTAGTGGGTTTTGAGAGCTCCTGAAAATTGAGATTTTTTTTTCTGAAAAATTTTTGAAGCAAATTAAGAAAAAAGTTTGTGACCTAAATTTCTTCTAGAAAACTTGAAACAGTGAAATTTTTTTTTCAAAAAATAAAATTTTTGAACTGAAAATTTTCAGACAAATTTCTGAAACGCTGGAAATTTAGTGGGTTTTCAGAGCTTCTGAAAATTGTCAGATTTTTTTTCTGAAAAAAGTTTGTGACCTAAATTTCTTCTAGAAAACTTGAAACAGTGAAATTTTGTTTTTCAAAAAAAAATTTTTTGAACTGAAAATTTTCAGACAAATTTCTGAAACGCTGGAAATTTAGTGGGTTTTCAGAGCTTCTGAAAATTGTCAGATTTTTTTCTGAAAAAAGTTTGTGACCTATTTTTGTTCTAGAAATCTTGAAACAGTGAATTTTTTTTTTCAAAAAAAAATAATTTTTGAACTGAAAATTTCAGACAAATTTTTGAAACGCTGGAAATTTAGTGGGTTTTGAGAGCTTCTGAAAATTGTCAGATTTTTTTTTCTGAAAAATTTTTGAAGAAAATTGAGAAAAAAGTTTGTGACCTAAATTTCTTCTGGAAAACTTGAAACAGTGAAATTTTTTTTTCAAAAAAAAAATTTTGTTTGCTTTTTTTTTCTTCTGTAATTCTTGAAACGTACATTTTCATGGAATTTTTTTTTGGAATTTTCTGTCAAAAAAAAATTTTTTTTGCTTTTTTTCTAAATTATGATATTCAAGAGATTTAGCTCTAGCTGAAAATTTTTGGCTGAAAATTTCAGAAAAATCTGAAATTTTCACTGAAAAGCTGGAATTTTGGCTAGATTTTTGAAGAGCTCAAATTGAGAGGTTTCTAAAAATTTCTAGATTTTTTAAATTTCGCAAGCAAGTTACCCTAACTTCCTAGATTTTCCTGTTTCATTTTTCTAACAAAGAAAAATCGGTTTCAGTCATTTCTCCTTATCAATTAATCAATCCACGAAAAAAAACCAAAACTTTGTTTTTTTTCTCAAAAAAAAACAACAAAATAAAACTGATAAGCGAAAGTTTCTTATTTCTTCCCGAAACGTCCAAAAAGCAGATTTTATCGAGTTTTCAGAGATTTTTTGCAAGATAAAAAAAACTGCCGCGCGCGGAAGCTACGCGGAAGATTCCGGAGCGGAAGACCGCCCAAACTGTTTTTTTTACCAGAAGAGGTTTTTAGGTCAACACATTGTTATCATTTATCTTTTTTTCTTCCTTTTTGTTTTGGTTTTGGAAGGGAATAGTTAGCCTAACTAAGTAACCTTGGCTTCATTTTTTATCAGTTTTAATTTGGGTCAAAAAGTTGTTGAAAATGCAACTGCGCTCCACTGCAAATCCCATATTTTTCAGAATTTTTTTTTTTAAATTTTGAACATTTTTAGTTTGAGAGATTATTTTTAGGTTCAAATTGTAAAAATTTTGATAAAAAATTTTTTGATAAAGAAATAATCGGATTATTCCACGATGTTCGAACTTTTATCATAAAATTTTTGATAAAATTCAAAATTTGTATACTTTAAGGCTGAAAAAGTGGCTAAAAATTCGATTTTCCAGCGAAAATTGTGATTTTTGCAAGCGCGCTCTATTTATAATAAAATTTTGAACGAAATGATCTAAATTTTTGCAAACGCGCTCTACTGCGATTCACCATCTATCTCTCAAAATTCAAAAAATCCTATTTTTCTACCAATCTCACGAGCCAAGTTCAATCCCCACTGCCCGCAAACGTTTTTTTTTATTTTTCGCAAGAAATCGTATCGAATTATTTGTTTTTTCCTCCAATTCCGAAGTCTATTTGTCATTTAGCGAAAGGCGTGAAAATTTCCAGGATTTTTGATAGATTTCTGTCCTGTTTCTATTTATCTTTTCTTCTTCGCGCAAACCGCAAAACAAATAAACATTCTTTGATTTTATTTTGATAATTTATTTGAAACAGTGAAATTTTCTGAATTTAGTTTTTTTTTCTGGTGAAAAATTAAAAAAAAATCTATTCAAAAATGTCAATTGCGCTCTACCGAACAAATCCCAAATCTTTCGAATTTTCAAAAATTCTTTGATTTTATTTTGAATTGATAATTTATTTGAAACAGTGAAATAGTGATATTATTTTTGTGAAATTTTCTGAATTTATTTTTTTTCTGTTGAAAAGGTGTTCTTTTTGAAAAATTTTGAAAATTGTTCAAAAAATGTCAATCGCGCTCTACCGAAAAAAAAAACGAATTTTTTACGAATTTTTGAATTTTTAAATTTTTTTTTGAAATTTATTTTGGTTCATTAGAGCGCACTTGCTTTGTTCACCAGAGATAGCAAGTGCGCTCCAACGAAAAAACCAAAATTTCCCCCAATTTTTTGAATTTTCAAAAGCAATTCTACTTGTTCATTAGAGCGCTCTTGCTAAACTGATCAATTGCGCTCTACCGAACAAAACCATTTTTCTACGAATTTTTGAATTTTTTAGAAATGTATTTGGTTCATTAGAGCGCACTTGCTTCTTTTTCTAAAAAAAATCGATTTTTTTGAATTTTTAAAATAAATTCCATTTGTTCATTAGAGCGCACTTGCTTCTTTTTTCTTTAAAAAAAATCGATTTTTTTGAATTTTTAAAATAAATTCCATTTGTTCATTAGAGCGCACTTTCTTCTTTTTCTAAAAAAAATCGATTTTTTTGAATTTTTAAAATAAATTCCATTTGTTCATTAGAGCGCACTTGCTTCTTTTTCTAAAAAAATCGATTTTTTTGAATTTTTAAAATAAATTCCATTTGTTCATTAGAGCGCACTTGCTTCTTTTTTCTTTAAAAAAAATCGATTTTTTTGAATTTTTAAAATAAATTCCATTTGTTCATTAGAGCGCACTTTCTTCTTTTTCTAAAAAAATCGATTTTTTTGAATTTTTAAAATAAATTCCATTTGTTCATTAGAGCGCACTTGCTTCTTTCCCCTCAAATTTCACAGATTTTTATACCAGTTTTTTTTCTCGAAATTTATTTTTATTTTTATTTCGTAAAACGCAAATACATAATATTCCAGAAACATGTCCACTTCAAAGCACCGCCCACCCAAAAAAAAATCTCACAAAAAAACCTCACGCACCACACTAACATGTCGTAGTTTTCACCACACACCACACCAAAAATTGCACCACAAAATCTGCACTCGCACCAAAAAAATTCACCATTTTTGTATTTCTTTCGCACTCGCACTCACCACACACAACAGCACTTGCACCAAAAAAAAATTTTTTTTTTGAAATTTTTTTCCAAAATTTTTTTGTGTGTCCATTTTTGCCACGTGGCATGAAAAATGCTTTTAATTTCTTTTTTTTCTGTTTTTTTTTTTTTAAATTTCCAAAAAAAAAAACTTCTGACAAGACCACGCCCCTAAAAGCATGCCGCAAACTCTTATTTTTTCACCAAAATAAATTCAGGAGGAAATCTGGAGCCTAAAGCTCCTAAGGTGATACCCTAAGTACCCTAAGACCTTTAAGAAACCCAGGGTTTTAGAATCATTGACTTATAATTGGTTGATTGGTGATTCGACGAATCGATTGGTGGCGCAAAGTGAGAGGAAATTCATTTCGCTGGATGGAACACTGTTTTTGTCGTATGTGGTGAAGGAGGATGAGGAGAGGTGAGATTTAGAGAAAATGGGGAAAGTGCGCTCTAATGAACACATGGTTTTTATTTTGAAAATTCGAAAAATTGAGGGAATTTTGATTTGTTCATTAGAGCACGCTTGCTATTTTTGGTTTTGTTAAGAAAAAAAGCAAGTGCGCTCTATTGAACACATGGTTTTTATTTTGAAAATTCAAAAAAACCTCAGAAATTTATTTTTGTTCGTTAGAGCGCGCTTGCTATTTTTGATTTTTCATAAGAAAGAAAGCAAGTGCGCTCTAGCGAACCAGAACTATTTCGAATTAATATAAAAATTTAAAAATACCCAGAAAATGCTTTTTGTTCATTAGAGCGCGCTTGTTGTTCCTGGTTTTTTTTTTAAATATTTTCATGATTTTTAGCTCAAAATTTGGGTCTAGAACATTTTTTTTGGTGAAAATTTTAATTTTTACGTGAAAAAAGCAAGTGCGCTCTGATGAACACATGGTTTTTGTTAGAAAAATTTAAAAAACCGCAGAAAATTATGTTTGTTCGGTAGAGCACACTTGCTAATTCTGGTTTTTGATAAGCAAAAAGCAAGTGCGCTCTAATGAACACATGGTTTTTGTCTTGAAAATTCAAAAAACCGCAGAAAATTATTTTTGTTCGTTAGAGCGCATTTGAATTACTGTCCGTTCGCCAGCGAAGGAAACGCGCCCCATCGCACTTCTTTTTTCTGCTGCCCCGATTTTTTTTTGTTTTTGAAAAAACGGAAATTTCGATTTTTTTGTGTTTTCAAGTTGTTTTCGAAACTTATTCAGAGTTTTTTTTGATTTAGATAGATGAATTGGGGGTAGAGTATTCACCTTTCATGTGATTTGTTTTGTTTTATGAGTTTTTAGTGATAAAAAACGCAATTTTTCAATTTCCAGGATTTTCCGAGACCGAAAAGTGTCGAAAAAACCATCTTTTCGAATGGTATTTCGAACTTTCTGTCATCTCTAGGTAAGTTAGCAGTATAGAAGAGTGTTCAAAATGCATATTTTTTGATTTTACAGATGTTCGAAAATTGCACGATTTTGGCTCAAATTTGCACAGAAAGTCGATTTTTGGTATGAATATAAGTGAAAGAGGCAAAGACATACATTTGAGGAGGATTGGGCATCTTCCCTATCAATATTGGAGCAGTCTCGTCGCAATTTTGAATTATTTTAGTTGGTATTGTTGACAATTTCGGGAAAAATCGCCAACCGGAAAGAAAAATTGATTATGTGGCATTTGGAGCAGGAAGATTATCAATGTGCGTAGTGAGGTAAGTGATCTTAAGCGCTCATTCGGCTTGATTTGACTAATTTTAGAAATAAAGTGCAAAAAACGTTTTTATTTCTGGAAAATCTTCGAAAAGTCTGTTCATTTCACTCAGAAAATGTTATTGCAAATCGCAATGCTAGCTATCTAAACTGGCTGTACATCCTATTTCATTTTTGATAAGTAAAAATACAAATTTTTCTTTTTTTTTTTTTTCAAAAAGTTAATTTTCATCAAGATAAAGTTCGAACCGTATGAAATTCACCAAAAAGCTGGAAATTGCTTTCTAAAATCATGAATCAGAATTTTTCTGGATATTTCAACATTCTGAACATTTTCAGGTTCATCTCTTCTACTTGGCGCCATTATCTTCGACAGACTCAACAATTGCACAATTTTTTTTCAAAAAAAATCAAGTTTTCATTATTTTTTGTTATTTTCACTGTTGATAAACTTTTGATCCAGTAGATTTTACTGGAAAACGGCGTTTTGTTAATGAAATCACAGGATTTTTACTGAAAAATTAAGATTTTTCTGAAATAGTACTGTTTTTCGCAGTTTGTTGACAAAAACTATGGAAATCTCAATGGAAACAGTTTGTAAGTTTTGTAAATCGCATTGTTTTCAATTAATAATGCAATCTGATTTGGTTCAATCCCTAAAAAACTCGAAATTTGCGTGAAAAAACTCCGAGAAAATAATTCATATTTGAATCGCCGCGCACAAAAAGTGTCGTTTGTCAATGGGGCGCGTTTGCCTGCGTTTCCTTCGCTGGCGAACGGACAGTATCATCCCTACAAAAATGACGGCATAACTTTTCTTCTCTGAAATTTCGTGCTGAAAATTAAGAAAACATCGAATTTCAGAAACTTTCAGCATTTTCATGATTTTTAGCTCGAAATTTGGGTCTAGAACATTTTTTTGGTGAAAATTTGAATTTTTACGTCAAAAAAGCAAGTGCGCTCTAATGAACAACCAGATTTTATTCTAAAAATTCATAAAACCACGCAAAATTAGATTTGTTCGTTAGAGCGCATTTGAATTTAGCTGATTCCACAAAAATTCTATAACTTTTCTTATCTGAAATTTCGTGCTGAAAATTATAAAAGCATCAAAATTCAGAAACTTTCAGCATTTTCATGATTTTCAGCTCGAAATTTGGGTCTAGAACATTTTTTTCTGGTGAAAATTTGAATTTTTGCTTCAAAAAGCAAGTGCGCTCTAATGAACAAATAGAATTTGCTTTGAAAATTCAAAAAAACCACAGAAAATTATTTTTGTTCGTTAGAGCGCGCTTGTTGTTCCTGGTTTTTAGCATTTTCATAATTTTCAGCTCGAAATTTGGGTCTAGAACATTTTTTTTTGGTGAAAATTTGAATTTTTGCGACAAAATAGCAAGTGCGCTCTAATGAACAAATAGAATTTGGTTTGAGAATTCAAAAAACCACGCAAAATTTGATTTGTTCGTTAGAGCGCATTTGAATTTAGCTGATTCCACAAAAATTCTATAACTTTTCTTCTCTGAAATTTCGTGCTGAAAATTATGAAAGCATCGAATTTCAGAAATTTTCAGCATTTTCATGATTTTTAGCTCGAAATTTGGGTCTATATCATTTTTTTTCTGGTGAAAATTTGAATTTTTTCGACAAAAAAGCTAGTGCGCTCTAATGAACACATGGGATTTGTTTTGAGAATTCAAAAAACCACGCAAAATGTGATTTGTTCGTTGGAGCGCGTTTGCTATTTTTTTTAAATTTTGTTGAGAAAAAAGCAAGTACGCTCTAATCTAATAAAAAAACGCTCTAATCTAATAAAGACGTCACGTGTTTTTTTTCGCAAAATTTCCTCATTTCCAATTTTCTTCACTTGTGAAATCTGGAAAAATTTTAAAAATTTCCCAAAAATCTTACTGTAAGCCGATATTTTCCGCAAACACCGCACCTGACGACAATTTTTTCATTTTTTTTCAACAAAAATCCTTTTTTTTCCAGCTACGCGTGCTCACTTTCCGTCTACGCAACACAATCCGGACACTATGGCCCATTTTTCAAGCTCATCACTGCCACAGCCAATTCTAGTCTAGAATTCCCACCCCGACTTGACTCAACTCAACCACAATTGTTTCCCGATCAACCGAAAATCGGCGATTCGATTTATCTCGAATGTTTTGCCTATGGAAAGTGAGTTTTTTCGAGGGAATTTTTGAATTTGAGCTGAAAATTTGAATTCTGGATGAATTTTCGGTCAAAATGATATATTTTTGCCAAAAAATTAAATTTTCGAAAAAAAATAGAAGAAAACAACGACACTCCGCTTTCCTGTTGTTTAGCGCAATGAAATATTTTTGTTTTTTGTATTTTTTTCGAAAAAAACTTTATTTTTGACTGAAAATTTGAATTCTGGATGAATTTTGGGTCAAAATGATATAAATTAAGTCCAAATTTGTGTACTTCTCTCGGACAAAAAACTTTTCGAAAAAAAACAACGACACTCCGCTTGCCTGTTGTTTAGCGCAACCAAAAATTTTTGTTTTTTTTTAATTTTTTTCGAAAAAAACGTTTTTTTTTTGACTGAAAATTAGAATTCTGGCTGCGTTTTTGCCCCCCAAAATTCGTGTACTTCTCTCGGACAAAAAACAACGACACTCCGCTTGCCCGTTGTTTAGCGGAATAAAAAATTTTAGTTTTTTTCTGCATTTCCCTCAAAAATTTCCTGTTTTCGAGCCCTGAGGTGGCAAACTGAACATTTTTGACTGAAAAAAATCCGTGTACTTCTCTCGGACAAAAAAAACAACGACACTCCGTTTGCCCGTTGTTTAGCGCGATAGAAAATTTTGTTTTTTTATTTTTTTCGAAAAAAAACGTTATTTTTGACTGAAAATTTGAATTCTGGCTGCGTTTTTGTCCGTGTACTTCTCTCGGACAAAAAAAACAACGACACTCCACTTGCCTGTTGTTTAGCGCAATCAAAAATTTCTTGTTTTCCAGCCCAATTCCTCAATACAAATGGCATCGAGTTGATGGAAAACCACTGTCACCAAAAGCCCAAATCTCCAACTTCGGAAGAGTTTTGCGAATCGAAAAAGGCTACCCAATCCGACGCCGGAAAATACAAATGCACTGCGACGAATTCGCTGGGCGTGGCAGCTGGCGAAGTTTCTGTCAAACTCCGTCAACCTCCAATTATCCTGCAACCACTCTATGATCGAATTGTTGCGATCGGATCGAGTGTGGACTTCGAATGTCTTTTGAGTTCAGCAGATTCGTCTTCCGATGTTGAATGGTTCAAAGATTCAACTCCAATTGTTCCACTTTTACTTCCTCCAGAAGATCGGAAGAAGTTCAAGATTATTGGGAATGTTTTGAAGATCTCTGGAGCTGATGAGAAGAATTCAGGAGTTTACCAGTGTATAGTATCGAATGAGATTGGAAGTTCAACAAGTTCTGCGCTCCTAAGTGTCAGGGATTCAGCCCCAATATTCCCGCCAAACGCAATGCCTCGCAGACTATTCGCTGCGGTTGGCAGCACAGTCAGGATTCCGTGTATCTTCGAAGCCTCTCCCAGAACTCATGGACATTGGGCAGATGCGGGTGGCGCGAGATTGCCGAAACTGGGAAGATTGAGAGATATTGAAGGAGTGATGACGATTGAGAAGGTTTTGCATGATGATTCGGGGTTGTTCTTTTGTACCGCGCATAATCGAATGGGAAAAGCGCATGCGCAAGTGCAGCTGATTGTTATGGGTGGGTTTTTTGGGGAGGGTGCGAGGATTTTGATCAGAAAGGTCAAATGCGCTCTACCGAACCACCCCCTTTTCTAATGAAAATTCAAAAAATCGGTTTGTTCCTTAGAGCGCGTTTGATCAGTCCAGCAAGAGCGCTCTAACGAACAAACCCTAAATTTTTGAATTTTCAAAAATGTTTGTTCATTAGAGCGCATTTGCTTTCTGCTTATCAAAAAACCTAGAAATAGCAAGTGCGCTCCACCGAACCAACCCCTTTTCTAATAAAAATTCAAAAAATCTTAGAAAAATCGGTTTGTTCATTAGAGCGCACTTGCTGAATCTCAGTCAGATTTTTCTAGGAATTTTTGAATTTTCAAAAATGTTTGTTCATTAGAGCGCATTTGCTTTCTGCTTATCAAAAAACCTAGAAATAGCAAGTGCGCTCCACCGAACCAACCCCTTTTCTAATAAAAATTCAAAAAATCTTAGAAAAATCGGTTTGTTCATTAGAGCGCACTTGCTGAATCTCAGTGAACTGATCGATTGCGCTCTAACGAACAAAATTATTTTTCTAGGAATTTTTGAATTTTTTTTTTTGGGAATGGTTTTGGTTCATTCATTAGAGCTTATTTGCTTTTTTGGCGGGAAACTTGAATTTTAAAAAATTTTCTAGGTGGATTTTTCGGAAAAAATGTTCTATACCCAAATTTTGAGCTGAAAATCATTAAAATGCTGAAAATTTCTGAAATTTGATGCTTTCATAATTTTCAACACGAAATTTCAGACAAGAAAAGTTATAGAATTTTTGTGGAATCAGCTAAATTCAAATGCGCTCCAACGAACAAAAAGAATTTTCTGCGGTTTTTTGAATTCTCAAAACAAATTATAATTGTTCATTAGAGCGCACTTGCTTTCTTTCTCAACAAAATTAAAAAAAAAAAGCAAACGCGCTCTAACGAACAAATCAAATTTTGCGTGGTTTTTTTTGAATTTTCAAAATAATGTTCGATGCTTTCACAATTCCCAGCACAAAATTTCAGACAAGAAGCGTTTTGGCGCCAAAAATTTATGAAAAATTCAGACAAGCCTTCAATTCGAACAAATGCGGCCAGTTCGAATTTTATCGATGAAGAAACTGTGAACATGAGTTGTGAAGTCGAATTATCCTGCGAAAATTCATCCGAATGTCCAGAAGCCCTCTTCGAATGGCGAATAAATGACAGGCCATCCAGTGAATTCCCCCTCCTTCGCCCAAAACTACACTCTACTCAACACAAAGGCCGACACATCAAACAGAAGGTTGATCTAGAAGTGCCGAAATCCATGGGTGGAAAACATATCGGACGATTTGCGTGCTCTTCGTTGTACGGAGGAAGTTCGGAAATTGTGACACGACCACAATTACCGTCGCCGATTGCGTTGACGATTGAGGAAATCAGTGAGACGAGGGGAACGAAAATGAGATTGAGATGGAGATTACCGCCACAACATCGGGATACTAGAGATCATTCGGTAAGTTTTTTTGAGGGGGGGAAGATTTGGAGGAGAAATAAATTCCATTTTTTCATTCCAGTTTCAGAGATGTAGATGAAGATCTGAAGAAAAAAAGTTAGGATAACTTGGCCGCTGCGCGGAAGATAGTGCCGCTTACGCGGAAGCTTGCGGTCTACACTCGCGCAAAGCGCTCGAGCTCTAAGCTCAGGGCTCACAGCAAAACATAGGTTTCAAGACGTGGCCGCTTCGCGGAAGATAGTGCCGCTTACGCGGAAGCTTGCGGTCCACAAAACATAGGCTTCAAGGCGTGGCCGCTTCGCGGAAGATAGTGCCGCTTACGCGGAAGCTTGCGGTCTACACTCGCTCCGCTCGAATTTAATGAAAACACTCTAATGAAAAAATGGAATTTATTTCGAAAATTCAAAAGAAAAAGAAGCAAATTCGCTCTAATGAACCTAAAAATTCAAAATTTTGATAAAAATTGTGCAAATGCGCTCTAATGAACAAATGGAATTTATTTTGAAAATTCAAAAAAATTGATTTTTTTTAGGAAAAGAAGCAAATGCGCTCTAATGAACCTAAAAATTCAGAATTTTGATAAAAATTGTGCAAATGCGCTCTAATAAACAAATGGAATTTATTTTAAAAATTCAAAAAAATTGACTTTTTTTTTTAGAAAAAAGAAGCAAATGTGCTCTAATGAACTACTGGAATTTATTTTGAAAATTCAAAAAAAATTGATTTTTTTAGAAAAAGAAGCTATTATCAAAATAAAAAAATTTGGCAAAAAAACGGAGCCCAGAAATTCAAATGACACTCTTCCCAAGTACGGTGTTTCTTTCAGTCGCTGCGAGACCCATATGTGCGTCTTTGACTTTGTTTCTCTGCCCAATGGCGTGGTCTCGAAACGGTGTTAGTGACGCAGAGAAATACCGTACTTGGGGAAATTGGGATTTGAATTTCTGGCTTCTCTTTTTTTGCCAAATTTTTTTTACTTTGATAATAATGCGCTCTATTGAACAAATGGAATTTTTTTTTGAAAATTCAAAAAAAATTAATTTTTTTGAAAAAGAAGCAAATGCGCTCTAATGAAAAAATTGAATTTATTTCGAAAATTCGAAAATTTGAAAGATTTGGGGTTTGTTCGGTAGAGCGCAATTACATCAGAATTTGAAATTTCGGTTTTTTTTGAATTGAATTTTGAAAATTAGCCCAAAATACTAGCAGAACAAAAATTAACTAAGATTTTGAAACAGTGAATTTTTTTAAAACTAATTTTTTTCAATATTCTAAAATGTTTAAATCAATTATATATTTTTTTTGAATTGATTACAATGTATTTTTGAAACAGTAAAAATTTTAGTTTCAAAAATTTCACTGTTTCATTTAATTTTTTAAAATTTTCTGCAAAAATTCCGATTTTTCGGTAGAGCGCGCTTGACATTTTTTGAAATTTTTGAAAAAAAAATGTTAATGAACTGCTCAAAATTCAGGATTTTTTTGAAAATAAATATTCCTCTGCGTCTCTAACCTCTCTCCAATTTTCAGACCAAAATCGATGGCTACATCGTCGAATTGCGAACCAAAAAAAATCGAAAATGGCGTTCAGTAGACCGCCAAACTCTATCAGAAATCGAAAAAGACAGTATCCTTCTCTCAAATCTCCGCCCAAACACCGAATATCAATTTCGTGTCAGATCAGTCGACACTTCAACAATCGGCGAGCCATCGATTCCAACTGAATGGATTCGAACACCTCCAGGTGCACCTTATGAAATTGTGGAGAATCTGAAGTGGCGGCCATTAGATGCGCAAACTTTGCTAGTTGAATGGCAACCGATTGAAGTTGCTGGGAAATCTGGGGATAATTTGAGATATCGTGTCAGCTGGAGTGAGGCTAATCTGAGCAATGCTTCAACTACCGAAGAAGTTCAAGAGAAAGATAAGAACTTCTTAGATTCCGATCAACCGCAGGCGATCCTGAAGTTGAGCTCGAATTCCAGTGGATGTCGGATGGTTGTGTTGGCTGTGAAACCGGTGAATGATCAAGGATCCGGAGCGGTTAGCACAGATACAATCGCATTTTTGAATAGTCGGGGAGAACTGAAGAAAGTTGAGATGCAAAATGTTCGACCAGTGAATGCGACTCATGTGAATATCTCGTGGATTTGGGATGAGAAAACGGCGGAATGTGAGACGAAACATGGTGTGCAGATATCCTGTATGGATGTGAAAAGCTCTCCAGATCGAAATATCATAGCTACTGCTGGAAGTGAGAAATTGGAATGGATGTTGGGTGGTTTGACGGCTGAAACTGCGTATGATTGTGAATTGAGGGCGGTGGATAATCATGGGAATATGGGACCGGCGAGTAGGAAATTTAGGATTCATACCAAGCAGCAGCCACCGGTGGAAGTGCCCGGGATTCGGAAATTGATGATGAAGCAGATGGTGAGTTTTGGGAGGGGGTGCGGAAGGGTTCCGCGTTGGCGGCGCGGAAGCTTGCTGGGAAAAACAACGATGCTCCGCGCTTACACTGTGTAAATGTTTTTTCTGGATTACAACGATGATCCGGGTTTACACTCTCAAAAAATCCCAAAATTCACCAGTTTTCCCATTTTTTGACTTGAAATCTGAAGTTTTCTGAAATTTTGAGCTGAAAATTGGAAAATCCACGTCCAACAAAAAACAACATTTTTATTTTTCTCCACAAAAATGTACTGTTTCAAAAATGTTTTATATATTTTTTCAAAAAACAGAGAATCGCTCACGAATTTTTTTTATAACGTGCCACGTCATAGCTCAAAATTTTCCCAATTTTTGACTGAAAATCTGATGTTTTCTGAAAATTTTGGGCTGAAAATCGGAAAATTCCGGATTTTTACTGAAACTTGCCACGTCACAGCTCAAAATTTACCCAGTTTTTGACTGAAAATGTACTGTAATGTTCTCTGAAAATTATGAGATGAAAATCGAAAAATCCCTATTTTTATTGAATTTGCCACGTCATAGCTCGGACTCACATCTGACGAGAGAGTGTCCAAAAATTTTTGTGCAGCGTGGAAATTTTTGCAAAAAAAAATTGTGCAGCGCGAAATTTTGAATTTTTGAAAATTTTCATCAAAATCAGCTGAAAATCAATGAAAACTACACTTTTTTCGTGAAAAAAATGTACAGTGTGACCTTTGAAAATTTTTGTACAGTGTCCATTTTGGACATGTCTCGTCAGGTGTGCTCGGACTCCTCCAATTTTATTAATTTTTGACTGAAAAAAATTGAAGTTTTCTGAAAATTTTGAGCTGAAAATTTTAAATCCCGGATTTTTCTGAATCTTGCCACGTCATAGCTTCAAAAAATCCAATTTTTTCCTCAAGAAAAATTTACTGTTTCAAAAATTTTTTATATTTTTTTTTAAATAGAGAATTGCTAAACTCGAAAGAATTCTATGATTTGAACCAAAAATTTTATCGAATTTGCCACGTCATAGCTCAAGATTTTCCCAATTTTTGACTGAAAATCTAAATTTTTCTGAACATTTTGAGCTGAAAATCGGAAAATCCCTATTTTTACTGAATTTGCCACGTCATAGCTTCAAAAATCCAATTTTTTCCCCACAAAAAATTACTGTTTCAAAAAAATTGTATATTTTTTTCAAAAATCAGAGGATTGCTTCCAATTTTTTTTTGATTAAAATTTCAAATTTTCTGAAAATTATGAGCTGAAAATCGAAAAATCCCTATTTTTATTGAATTTGCCACGTCATAGCTTCAAAAATCCAATTTTTTCCCCACAAAAAATTACTGTTTCAAAAATGTTTTGTATATTTTTTCAAAAAACAGAGAATTGCTCACGAATTTTTTTTAAAACGTGCCACGTCATAGCTCAAGATTTTCCCAAGTTTTGACTGAAAATCTGAGGGTTTCTGAAATTTTGAGCTGAAAATCGGAGAATTGCGATTTTTCTGAATCTTGCCACATCATTACTCAAAAAATACGGAATTTTTCGATTTTTAATTGAAAATCCACGTCATAGCTCGAAATTTACCAAATTTCCCAAGTTTTGAGCTGAAAATTTCAAATTTTCTGAAAATTTTAAGCTGAAAATCGGAAATCCCTATTTTTAATGAATTTGCCACGTCATAGCTTCGAAAATCCAAAAAAAAAAAAGATAAAAATCTAAATTTTTTCCCCACAAAAAATTACTGTTTCAAAAATGTGTTATATATTTTTTAAAAAAAAAGAATTGCTCATAAAATTTTTTCTGTAATTTGCCACGTCATAGCTCGATTTCCCAAGTTTTAACTGGAAATCTCAAGTTTTCTGAAAATTTTGAGCTGAAAATCAGAAAATCCCTATTTTTACTGAATATTTCCAAAAAAAAAAATAAAAATCTAAATTTTTCCCCCACAAAAAATTACTGTTTCAAAAAATTTGTATATATTTTTTTTCAAAAAACAGAGAATTGCTAAAAAAAATTAATTCGGCAAGAATGAAAAAAAAACAGTTTTCACTTCAAAACCAAAAATTGTATTTTTTTTCAGAAAGAGGATTATACAACAATTTTGGAATGGAGCCAAATCGAACTTCAAAAACCGAATCGAACCGAAATCGGATGTGGATATAAGGTAACTTCGAGCGGAGCGAGTCTAGACCGCAAGCTTCCGCGTAAGCGGAACTGTCTTCCGCGAAGCGGCCGCGTCTAGAAGCCTATGTTTTGCTGTGAATCCTAAGCTTAGAGCTCGAGCGCTTTGTGCGAGTGTAGACCGCGAGCTTCCGCGTAAGCGGCACTATCTTCCGCGAAGCGGCAAGCTCTAGAAGCCTTTTTTTTACTGTGAGCCCTGAGCTTAGAGCTCGAGCGCTTTGCACGAGTGTAGACCGCAATCTTCCGCGTAAGCGGCACTGTCTTCCGCGCAGCGGCCAAGCCTTGAAGGCTATGTTTTGTAGACCGGAATATTCCGCGTAAGCGGCACTGTCTTCCGCGAAGCGGCAAGCTCTAGAAGCCTTTTTTTTACTGTGAGCCCTGAGCTTAGAGCTCGAGCGCTTTGCACGAGTGTAGACCGCAATCTTCCGCGAAGCGGCCACGTCTTGAAGCCTATGGTTTTTAGACCGCAAGCTTCCGCGCAGCGGCCACGCCTAGAAGCCAAGTTATCCTAACTTTTTTTTCTTTAGATCTTCATCTACATCTCTGAAACCGGAAGTGAACCCATCATTCTCGATATGCCAGTTCACCGTCTCTCCGATCGCCAAAATCCATCAGCTCGTCTAGACGGTCTCCGATTAATGTATTTATATACGGTGCAAGTTGCTGGCTATAATCCAGGTGGAATTGGACCGAAAAGTGAATCGAAAACTATTCGATTAGGAGCACCCAATTCTGTTGAATACACTTCTGCTTCTTTGTCTAATCTGAGCAATCTTTCGATTTTTGTAGCGATTCTGATATTTTTAGAAGTTTTTTAGATCTACCTGTGTTTTATTTTGCCAAATCTACTTTTTACCGGTGCCCAAAACTTGTACTTTTTTTTTTTGAGAAAAATTATTTTTTGATTTTTCTATTTTTACATAAAGTTAAGCTAACTCTAATTTGAAAACAATTTTGCCACGTGGAATTTTGGCAGAAAAATTTCCAAATTCAAAATTTTGAGAAAAAAGTTTTGAAATTTGAAAAAAATTTTGCCACGTGGATTTTTTGTGCCAAAAACAGTGGAAAAATTCTAGAAATTTTCAATTTTGATTTTTCAACCAGGAACTTTTTTTGCAAAATGAAACCTCAAGTGTTTTTCGGACATCTTTTGACAGCTCGATTTGATCATCGTGGAAATATTCATGTTTTATCGCGAGCTGAACATAATGTTCATGTTTCGATTTTGAGTCCGATTTCGAATGGAAATTATCGATTTGCTTCTGTCACCAAGAAAAGCTCTTTTTAAGCACATATTTTCGTGAAAAAATAAAGTTTCAAGCATTATTTTTCGAAAAAAAAATTCACTGTTTCAAAATTTTCATATAATTTTTGGTGGAAAATATCGATTTGATGGAGAAGCGTTCCAGTTCCCAAATAAATGTTATTGATAAAAACCAAAAAAATCCACGTGGCACAAGTTTTAAAAAATTCCTAATTTTTGAATTTTCCAGAAAACGTTTTTTTGAAAAAAATCACTGTTTCAAAATTTTCAAAACTTTGATTTGATCGTTTTGAAAAAGATGCTGAATTCAAAAGATTCTGAATAATTGTGCCACGTGGATTTTTGAGAACCAAAATTCAAATTTTGCCACGTCATAACTACTTTTGAAAGATGAGCTGAGGAGTTTTCGACAACAAGGTGATCTTTTAAAAAATCTGAAATTTTCTTTTTTTTTACCAAAGCAAAAATTTTTTTTCTTCGAAAAAAAAAATTTACTGTTTCAAAATTTTCATAATATTATATTTTTTGTTGGAAAATTTCGATTTCATTGGCTTAGAAATAAGAAAAATTGAAAAGTGAATTTTTGGCGCCAAACTTAATTTTTTTTGAAATATTGTGCCACGTGGATTTTTTGAGCTTGTGTTTTTAAAAAATTTCTTTGTTTTACCAGAAATTTTTTTTTCAAAAAAAAAAATTCACTATTTCAAAATTTTCATATAATTTTTGGTGGAAAACTTCGATTTGATGGAGAAGCGTTCCTATAGCCAAATAAATGTTATTGATAGAAACCAAAAAACAATCCACGTGGCACAAGTTTTAAAAAATTCCAAATTTTTTGAATTTGCAAGAAAACTTTTTCTCGAAAAAAATGTTTCGACAACAAGGTCGTGATCTTCTAAAAAATCTGCAATTTTCATTTTTTTTTCAAAAAAAAATTCACTGTTTCAAAATTTTCATATAATTTTTGATGGAAAATGTTGATTTGATGGGCATTAATTTCCGAATGAGAAGTAATTGATAAAAAGTGAATTTTTGGCGCCAAACTTAATTTTTTGAAATATTGTGCCACGTGGATTTTTTGAGCTTGTGTTTTTAAAAAATTTCTTTGTTTTACCAGAAATTTTTTTTCAAAAAAAAATCACTGTTTCAAAATTTTCATATATTTTTTGCTGGAAAGTTTCAATTCGATGCGTAAATTTGAATTTTTCATTGTTTCACCAAAGAAAAAAATTTTTTTTCAAAAAAAAATTCACTGTTTCAAAATTTTCATATAATTTTTGTTGGAAAATTTTGATTTGATGGGTATCAAGTTCCGCTTCTAAATAAGAAGTAATTGATAAAAATTGAAGTTTTGGCGCCAAACTTAATTTTTTTTGAAATATTGTGCCACGTGGATTTTTTGAGCTTGTGTTTTCAAAAATGTTCATTGTTTTACCAGAGAAAACATTTTTTTTTCAAAAAAAAAATTCACTGTTTCAAAATTTTCATATATTTTTTGTTGGAAAATTTCGATTTGATCAGTGGGTGTTTAGTTCCGCTTCTAAATAACAAGTAATTGATAAAAACCAAAAAAATCCACGTGGTTTTAAAAAATTCCAATTTTTTGAATTTGCAAGAAAACTTTTTTTTCGAAAAAAATTCGCTGTTTCAAAATTTTCATATAATTTTTGATGGAAAATTTCAATTTGATAGTTGTTTTGGATCTATATTATAATCAATCGATAAAAGTGCAAGAAAACGTAATTTTTTGAAAAAATGGTCCCACGTGGATTAACTGGCGCGAAATTTACAATTTTCAATTTTCTAATTTGTGGAATAAACATTTTTGCCACGTCTGCAATTTTCATTGTTTTACCAGAGAAAACATTTTTTCTTCAAAAAAATTCACTGTTTCAAAATTTTCATATAATTTTGTTGGAAAATTTCGATTTCATTGGTTTAGAAATCATATAAATTGAAAAGTGACTTTTTGGTATCAAATTTGAATTTGTGTCAAATTGTGCCACGTGGATTTTTGACCTTGTGTTTTTAAAAATTTTCATTGTTTTACCAAAGCAAAATTTTTTTCTACAAAAAAATCACTGTTTCAAAATTTTCATATATTTTTTGGTGGAAAATTTCGATTTGATGCGTATCAGGTTACGATGACAAATAAGAAGTAATTGATAAAAAGTGAATTTTCGGGGCCAAACATAATTTTTTTGAAATATTGTGCCACGTGGAATTTTTGAGCAAGTGTTTTTAAAAACTGTCATTGTTTTACCAAAGCAAAATTTTTTTTTTTCGAAAAAAAATTCACTGTTTCAAAATTTTCATATAATTTTTGTCGGAAAATTTTGATTTGATATATTCCAGTCGTAATAGGTAATCGATAAAAATTGAATTTTTTGCGAAAAAAAATTATTCGAAAACTTGTCCGCGAGAACTACAACAGAGAAAAGGATTCGGAAAACTCTTCCTTTTCAGATTTTTCAAAAAAATCATATGAGAATTGCGGTTAAAATATTTATCAAAAAAAAATAATCCACAAATAGAATTCAAAAAAATTAGACAAGCTTCTTAGCCTCTTCCAAAATCTTCACATTATCCCAGATGAATTTTCCGGTCTCTTCAGATTTCGAAGCAACAATCATAGCCTTTGCAATATCATTTGCAGAACTCGCAAATCGATTTGAAAACAATTTCAAGGGTGTGATGAATACCTTCGCCATAAATTCCCCAAATCTAAAATCGCCTGATCTTTGTGCTTCGATCAATCCAGGTCTAACAATCACGAATTTTTCGAATCCCAATTCCTCAATCTCTTTTTCAACTTCTCCCTTCGTTTTCATGTATAAAAATGGTGAATTTGCATTTGCACCGCCTGAAGAAACCAGAATAAATTGTTTGACACCGTGTTTTTTGGCCAATTTTGCAGTGTTGACCACATAATCATGATCGACTTTGTAGAAACCGTCAGCACCGGATTTTGCGCGAGTTGTTCCGAGAGCACAAAAACCCACATCGACGCCTTCGAAACTTGAGGAATTGTCTTCGAGTTTGTCGAAGTCCACCGTTTTTTGGTCCTGGAAAATTTTCGAAATTTTCATGAAATTTGCCACGTGGAATTTATTTATAAACGTTGAACTCATCAAAAATCCTTCAAAATTCTAAAAATTACATAAATTTCTTGAAACAGTAAATTTTTTTTGGTAAAAAAAGTTATCAAAATTAAATTTTTCAAGTGAAAATTAATTAAAAAAAACACTGCTTCAAAAAATTTTTGAACTTTAGTGGAATTTCAATATGAAATTTCAGCTCCCTTTAAAAACGAATTTCATGAACCGATCAAAAGTCCCCCAAAATTCAAAATATTTACAAATTTCTTGAAACAGTGAATTTTTTTTTGGTCAAAAAAATTATCAAAATTCAATTTTTCGGGAGAAAATTAATTGAAAAATTCACTGTTTCAAAAATTTCATGAATTTTCGAATGAAAATTTGATTTCCGCTCGATTTTTCAAAAAAGTTTTCAGGAGAAAAAATTCACAAATTTTTGAATGAGAATTGGATTTTTGCTTTTGAAATTTTCAGTCGAACTCAAAAATTCATATTTTTTAAATTCAGTGAAATTTTAATTTGAAGTCTGCCTCGTTTAAAAATTCAAAAAAAGATTAATTTCTTAAACCCATCAAAAATTCTTCAAAATTCAAAATATTTACAAATTTCTTGAAACAGTGAATTTTTTTTTCGGTCAAAAAATTAACAAAATTCAATTTTTCAAGAGAAAAAAGTTCACTGTTTCAAAAATTTCATAAATTTTTGAATGAAAATTGGGTTTTTGCTAAGAATTGAAGCGATATCAAAGAAAATCATAAAATTTTTGAAATTTAGTGGAATTTTAATGTGAATTACCAGTCTTCTTTTAAAAACCGATAAAAATTTCAAACTTTTGTTCCCGTTGGTTATATCAAAAATCCCCCAAAATTCAAAATATTTACAAATTTCTTGAAACAGTGATATTTTTTTGGTCAAAAAAATTATCAAAATTCAATTTTTCAAGAGAAAAATTAATTTTAAAAAATCTACTGTTTCAAAAATTTCATAAAATTTTTGATATTTAGTGGAATTTTAATTTGAAGTCTACTTCTTTTAAAAATTAATGAAAATGCCAAATTTGCAAAACAAATAATCGGAAATTCTAAATATTTACAAATTTCTTGAAACAGTGAATTTTTTCGCTTAAAAAAATTATCAAAATTCAATTTTTCAAGAGAAAATTGGATTTTTGCTATGAAAATTTTCAATCGAACTCAAAAAAACCATAAAATTTTTGAAATTCAGTGGAATTTTTTTATGAAAATAAAAATCACAATCACAATCACATTGAAATTCCGCACATTTTACACCATTTTACACCTAAAAACTTAAACCCATCAAAAGTCCCCCAAAATTCAAAAATTACATAAATTTCTTGAAACAGTGAATTTTTTTGGTAGAAAAAATTATCAAAATTCTATTTTTCAAGTGAAAAAAGTCACTGTTTTAAAATTTTCATGAATTTTCGACTGAAAATTTGATTTTTTGCTTTGAAACTATGCGGCAAATTTAGTTTTAAAAAGAAAAAAAAATTCACTGTTTCAATAATATCATAAAATCTTCGAAATTTATCAGTTTCGTTCAAAAATAAGGAACATTTCAAGTTTTTCCAATAATAGTTCAGCTCATCAAATATCCTCCAAAACGCTAAATTTTCATAAATTTCATGAAGCAGTGAATTTTTTCGCTTAAAATATTATCAAAATTCAATTTTTCAAGAGAAAAAATTCACTGTTTCAAAATTTTCAAAAAATTCACTGTTTCAAAATTTTCATAGATTTTTGAAATTTAGTGGAATTATAATCTGAAGACTTGTAGAACTGCTTCTTTGAAAAATAACGAAAATTTTAAATTTTGCTCTTTTTTTGTTCAGCCTATTCCAAATATCCTCCAAAATTCAAAATATTTATAAATTTCTTGAAACAGTGAATTTTTTTGGTTAAAAAAATTATCAAAATTCAATTTTTCAAGTGAAAAAATTCACTGTTTCAAAATTTTCATAAATTTTTGAATGAAAATTTGATTTTTTGCTAATGGGGCTATTCAACAAAATAAAAACGGTTTTCTCAGCGCTGAGAAAGTAGGAAAAAACATATTCAGCGCGGCTGAGAAAAGCGGAGAAAATAGGAGAAAAAAACCCTTTTCTCCACCGACATACTGTAGTTTTCGTGGCGAGAAGCAAACAAAAATATTATGTTCCTTTGACCTTTTGGTGATTACTGTAGGTTGTCGCGTTGAGACCATTCGAAACAATTCGATGATCCTTGATTTTGTGTTGTTTTTTCATTTAATTTCGGCCTAAACTTTTTGTTATCTTACGAAATTGTTGTTATCTCACGAAAATGAACGGGTCTGATGTTATTTCGGTCGATCCACCCGCAAAAAAAGCCCGTGGTAGACCATCAAAATTGGCTGCAAATGCAAAATGGAATGATGTAAGTTTTCTTGTCATTAAAAATAATAAATTCATGTTTTGATTTCAGTATGAAACCGAAGACCTCAAACTCTTGGCATGCTACGTTGAAGAAAATGAAGTGATTTGGGATAGCCAAAACCACAACTATCATCGACGTGAGGTGACAAATCCGGTGTGGTACAACATCGAAAAAAACGTGAAATTTATAAGGAGCGATGGGCATCAATATGGTGAGAATTTTTATAAAACATATGACAATTTTTGTAATTATAGGTGGTTCGACCAAAAGATTGTTCGATCAACTTATCAATAGATTCAAATTTTACCATTCAAAAATGCACCATCCAGCTTCTGGCCATTTACCATGGGAATTGTGCGAAGTTCTAGATGAATTTCCAATTTACGAGGATTTATTGTTTCTTGAGAGAAATCTGAGAAATCGAGAAGTTACGATGTTAGTTTGAAAATTGGAAAAAAAACTGTTTTATCAAAAACTTTCAGCACATGGCAATCGGAAGTCCCGGAAGGTTGTAAAGGAGATAATAATGGATCCCGCGACCCACCTTCTCCGCCTACAAAAAAATCGAGATTTTCCACAACGCCTGAGTCGCAGCCAAAAAAGAGAGGTCAGTTTTGATAGAAAAATCTACTTACCATAAGTTCAATATTCCAGAAACAACCCGAGACAAGTGCTTGATTATGATGGAAAAGAACAACGCTGCACAACTCGGGATGTTGGAAAAACTTTTGTGCTCATCTCAAAAATCCGAAGATCGTGTTCAAACCCCAAAACAAGATGAACTCACGGAGACTTTCAACAATTTGCGAATTATTTTCGATGAATTGGATCAATTCGCCAAAATTTCATTCAAGGCGAAAATCGTTGCCGAGGCGATTAATATTCGAGATGAGGCAGAGAGAAAGAAGAATCTTGGTCAAAGACAACCTTGGCCGATGCAAGAGGATCCGTTTCTTATAAATATCCATTGATTTCTTTCGGATTTTTAGTTTTTGTTATTGTTATTCTTAATGATACATAAACAATTGTTAACAAAAATTCATTCGTTTTCACTTGTTGAATCAAAAATATTGAAGAATTTATTATAAATTAAAGTTTTTCATGCAAACGTTGCCTGAAAAGTTTTCCCGATTCTCTAGGTGCCACGTGGTTTGTTGTGAGAATGGGAAGAGTTCCGGGTTCGCCAAACTGACTGTTATAAATAACAGATGCCGCAATTACCGCCAATTGATTTTGTGTCATATCAAGGTCTAATGGTCTGTTGAATAAACGAAACTTTTGGGTAATTCTTCCAAATAAATTCTCCACAAGTACTCGTTGATTTGATAAGTGTTTGTTGAACATATCTTTTTCTGGATTAAGCTCGGTTTGGCGAAAAGGAACCAGTAATTGAGGCGTTAACGCAAATCCACCATCTCCCAGAAGAAATGAATCACATATAAAATGTTCGTGGTGTTTAATTGGTGGTGGAAAATTTTGTTTTTTTCCAGAAGTTTTGAAATGGGGCCAGCGTTGAACATTTGACCATCTGAGTGGCATCCATTTTTGCTCAATTGAATATAAATTATCCTAGCTTCATTGTCCACCACAAAAAGACTGTTGAAGGCGAATCTCGATTTATATGACATATTGAGAGTTCCTGTTCCAGGCGGTCTATTCACATACCATAATTTACCATCAATTTGACCAAATGACGGAATTTTATTCTTTGTTAAGTCTTGTTGATATGCAATTTGTTCAGCTGTCGGCCATTTAATTGTCTCTCCGAACTTTTCGCAAATATCATCAAACCCTTGCCGCAAAATTCTTGAAATCGATGGCTGACTTATGCCTGACCACAGGGCGATCGCATTCTGACTAACTCCTGGAAGATGATTTCAGATGATTTTTTTGTCACAAATAAGTGTTCCTTACCTTTTGTCAAAAATATAAGAATAACAGCAAGTCTCAAATCATTGTCAAATTTCGAGCAAACCACTGGTCTTAGCATTTTACTGATTTTGTCAAATGTTTCGACATCCAAAAACAGAAATATCTGAAATAATGAGAAATTAGCAATTAATTATTTGATTATTTAACATTACCTCCAATTTATCCATTTTAATAAATGCATCCAAAGTTTCCCTGAAGTGAGCGAAATTCTTTTGATTAACTTCAACTAGTTGGTTCGACAAATATGACTCCATTCGCAATACTTCGGTGAATCGCTGCTGCGAAATGTTTAACAACATCAACATGACTGCATCAGTTTTTGATTTTTGATTTATCTTCGACAATTCCATTGTAGCACCACGAAATGCACGTTTTAGGGCGAAATGTGATAAAAAACAACACAAAATCAAGGATCATCGAATTGTTTCGAATGGTCTCAACGCGACAACCTACAGTAATCACCAAAAGGTCAAAGGAACATAATATTTTTGTTTGCTTCTCGCCACGAAAACTACAGTATGTCGGTGGAGAAAAGGGTTTTTTTCTCCTATTTTCTCCGCTTTTCTCAGCCGCGCTGAATATGTTTTTTCCTACTTTCTCAGCGCTGAGAAAACCGTTTTTATTTTGTTGAATAGCCCCATAAGAATTGAAGCGATATCAAAGAAAATCATAAAATTTTTGAATTTAAAAAAAATCACAATCACATTGAAATTCCGCACATTTTACACCTAAAAACTTAAACCCATCAAAAGTCCCCCAAAATTCAAAATCTTCATAAATTTCTTGAAACAGTGAATTTTTTTGGTTAAAAAAATTATCAAAATTCAATTTTTCAAGTGAAAAAAAAAACACTGTTTCAAAATTTTCATAAATTTTTGAGTGAAAATTTGATTTTTTGCTTTGAAACTGGGCGGCAAATTTAATTTTTCAAGTGAAAAAATTCACTGTTTCAAAAATTTCATTAAATTTTTTTTAATTTTAGTGGAATTATAATCTGAAGACTTGTAGAACTGCTTCTTTGAAAAATAACGAAATTTTCAAATTTTGCTCCAAAATTGTTCAGTCCATCAAAAATTCTCCAAAACTTGAAATGTTCATAAATTTTTCGAAACAGTGAATTTTTTTTTGTCAAAAAAAATTATCAAAATTAAATTTTTCAAGAAAAAATTAATTTTAAAAAATCTACTGTTTCAAAAATTTCAAATTTTTTTTTTAATTTTAGTCGAATTTCAATTTTAAGATACATATCCATCAAAAATCCCCCAAAATTCAAAATATTTACAAATTTCTTGAAACAGTGAATTTTTTCGCTTTAAAAAAATTATCAAAATTCAATTTTTCAAGTGAAAAAAATTCACTGTTTCAAAAATTTCATAAATTTTCGAATGAAAATTTGATTTTCATTCAAACAAAAAAAAAACTCACAAATTTCTCTCCTTTCGCCGCCTCCACATTTCTTCTCGCCAAAATCACAATCTTCTGAAAATGTTGTGAATCGCCGAGAATTTTGACGAGTTCTGAGCCAACAGCTCCAGTTGCACCAACAATCAAAGCCACCGACATTTTTTCTGGAAAAAACGATGCTCCGGGTTTACACCGTAATATTTTGAGCGCGAAATCTTCAAAATTCAAATTTTTTACAAAAAAAAGATATTTCAATGGCTCTTGAGCATTTTTAATAGTTCAAATCAAATTTTTCACAAAAAAAATCAATAAACTTTTTTTCAAAACCCGGCCAACATAGTTTCAAATAATTTATCCAAATCCAAAAATTCAATTTCAGTCAAAACATCCGAATTTTCCTTTTTTCTTGTTTTCAACTTCGACATTTCCACAATTAATTTGATTTTCATATCATTCTGAATATTTTGCAGTAATTTCGAATTTTGGGCAAAGATTTTGAGATTATAATAAGAAGATTCACGGGTCACGTGGATTTTGATGATTTCGCCAGTGGTTGGAAGAATTAGGTGAGTCTGGAACAAAATTTGAATGAAAATTTTGGCGTAAACGCGGAGCATCGTTGTTTATTGTCAAACGATGCTCCAGGTATTTTTGGTGCTAAAAAACTAGCGGGAAATTTGAAGAAAAAAATCCGGGAAAAAATACGTTTCAAAAATTTTATAATGATTTTCTACTTTCAAATCCAATTGATCGAATCTCTATAAATTTCTTTAAAAAATATGGAATTTTTGAACTGATTTTTTGGAGCGAAAATCGAATTTGTTAATAAAAAAACCGAAGCTTCAACAAAGAAAAAATAAAAAAAAATATTTGAATTTTCAAATTTTATATACGATGTAAACGCGGAGCATCGTTGTTTTCAAAAATCGAACGATGCTCCACGTTTACACCGTCAAAAAATCGATTTCCTCAAATTTCTCGTGTATTTTTCGATGGTGTAAACGTGGAGCATCGTTGTTTTCAACTCCGAAATAATTTTTTATGAAAATCAGATTTATTTGTCGTCTAGACACAATCAACCAACAATTTTTGACACTTTATTTCTTCATTTTTCAATTCTCGCAACAATGCGAATCCTATTTCTCCTAACATTTCCCTCATTTCTAAAATCCATGCCTCTTCCAGAATTCATGGCCCGATCTATAATGAATGAATATGGAAAATCGATAGTTCAAATTGATTTCTCTTCGAAGTTCTCATACCATATTTCAACTTGTAAAGGTAATTTCATTCAAATATGGGAAACTGTTAAAGTCCTACTAAAGCTCATAACGTCATTAGAATCCATGGGTTTCAATTATACGACAAGAATTTGATAATAAATCTTGAATATGGAAATTGAAGCAAAAATGGAAAACGGGAAATATCGGATATTTTATGAGCAACAAAGGAATTGTCCAACTGAAACAGCAACTTATCTAACAACATTTTTTATTGATTATAAAACAACTGCTTTAAATATGGCAAATGGTTTAATGACCAATTGGTTTGTTGCAAATAACAAGCCTAGTGCCGAACTTCTTTTTCTAATGGTTCATATTCCATTTCATCTAATTTGCTGGGTTGAAGGTACAAATGAATTAGAAATCACACAAATCAACTGGAAAACTTTTGACAAATATAAATATTCGCCATTGGATTGGAATTTGCAAAGAGATGATATTGAAGTTGTATCAGCTGAATTGTTTTCGAATAAAAGTATTGGGTTTACAACAAGAAGCCATGCGTTTTATGACAGTTTGTTTCTTGCAATACCGTATGATTTTAAAGTAAGAGAGAAGGAATATAAATCATATCAATTGTATTATCAAATGTTTCAAAAACCTTGCAAATTTGCGCCGAATCAAACTATTTGGGAAAATAGAATGGAATATGAGCGAAATTATTTGGGATGAATCATTTTTTTTAATGAAAATTGACAAAATTTGACAATAAAATTCCAAAAATAAATGTGTAGCTTTTGCAAATTGAAAAATTACGAGATCAAATTTTTGTATTATTTTTTTGAAACAGTCAAAAATTGAAAAATAATTTTTTTTAGCTACCAGAGTTTTGGACACGGTGGCGCGAAATTTTAGAATTCTAGACCTTTTAGAGCAGATTTACGAACGAAAAAAATGTTTCACGAAAAGTTCACGAAAAAATTCACGAAAAGTCAATTAGTCCAAGTTTTTCAGCCAAAAATGATGACAAATCGATATTTTTCAAGCTTCTGGAGTAATTTCTGATGAAAATAAGCTTCGAGAACCCTATTTTGCTTTATTTTACGAAAAATCAGCAAAACCTTCTGGAAAGTGAATTCCAAGGTCAATTTTCATCAGAAATTACTCCAGAAGCTTGAAAAATATCGATTTGTCATCATTTTTGGCTGAAAAACTTGGAAAACTAATTTTCATTGATCTTTCGATGTTAAAAAAACATTTTTTAACATTTTTTTTCGTGAATCAGCCCTTTTACAATGTGTTTGGACTGAGATTTTCCGGAAATTTTCGCGCCAAAAAATATAATTTTGAAATTTAAAAATTTTTTCCCCAAAAAATCTTCCAACTTACCTCATCTCCCTCAACTTCTAACCCAAAAATCGCCAAAAAAACATATTTGACACTGATCGAATTCACTTTTCCATTCAACAAATCAACCAAACAATGAGGAATTCTATGGGAAAATTCAAAAGCCATCATTTTCCCGCCAATATTTTCACTCAATTTTTGTTGTTGTAAAATATCCAAATTTGTGAGAGAAATCGGGTCTAAATTGATATGAAATTCGTGAATTTCACCTTCAAAATCCCGAATTTTTTTGGATAAAATAAATGTGAAAATGAGGGGTAATTCGATTTCGGCTAACTTCAGCGAGTAGGATTTCGATGTTCCAGGTTGCAAATTATCCAAATCCAAGGTTTCGGAGATCTGAGCTATTAAAGAGGAATTATAGAAGAGTTATGACGTGGCAAGGGGGATTTTTGGCGCCAAATTTGAAAAAAAATTGAGCCACGTGGAATTTTTCAATTTTTGGCGCATCTCAAAAATCAAAATTTTAATTTTAAAATTTTAGAAAAATCGTGCCACAGGGGTTTTATTACTACCGAGTCAATGCAAAATTGTAATCGAGCAAACAGGCTCCGCCCATCTTTTTCCGCACAGACATGTGGGCGGAGCTTAGGTTTTCAGATTTTCAAAAAGAAAATTGAAAACCCTTTGGCTCAAAAGACACACAAATAAAAAGAAAAAAGTCGGGCTATATGTGTGTTTGCAGCGACCGACATCTCGCGAGGCCGGCCACACGCTATTGTTTTTTTTGTCGGCCACGTAGCGCGCTGTTTGCGGAGGTTTTTTGTCGTCAGATAAAATGTTTTGTACGTGATTAATTCTCGGTAGTAATAAAACCCCTGTGCGTGCCACGTGGAATTTCTGACGTAAAAATTATAAAATTTAAAAAAATTGATTTTTAGCGCGAAAATTTGAAAAATTCAGCCACGTGGAATTTTTGACGTAAAAATTTTGAAATTTCAAAAAATCGATTTTTAAAGTGCGAAAATTTGAAAAATTGAGCCACGTGGAATTTCTGACGTAAAAATTTTGAAATTTCAAAAAATTGATTTTTAAAGCGCGAAAATTTCAGCCACGTGGAATTTTTTGACGTAAACATTTTGAAATTTCAAAAAATTGATTTTTAAAGCGCGAAAATTTCGAAAATTCAGCCACGTGGAATTTTTGACGTAAAAGTTTTGAAATTTCAAAAAATTGATTTTTAAAGTCCGAAAATTTCAAAAATTCAGCCACGTGGAATTTCTGACCTAAAAATTTTGAAATTTCAAAAAATCAAAATTTCAATTTTAAAATTTCAGAAACATCGTGCCACGTGGAATTTCTGACGAAAAAATTTTGAAATTTAAAAAAAATTGATTTTTAAAGCGCGAAAAATTTCAAAAATTCAGCCACGTGGAATTTCTGACCTAAAAATTTTGAAATTTCAAAAATCAAAATTTCAATTTTAAAATTTCAGAAAAATCGTGCCACGTGGAATTTGTGACGTAAAAATTTTGAAATTTAAAAAAATTGATTTTTAAAGCGCGAAAATTTGAAAAATTGAGCCACGTGTATTTTTGGCCCAAAAAATATTAATTTTTGAATCAAAAACTAAAAATTGGATAATTCCACGTGGATTTTTGGCGCCAAATTTTCGAAAAATTCAAATTTTTACCTTTCATTTTCGCTCTATATACAGTACTCGTTTTCACGCCAATTTTCCACCCATTTTTCATCTCAAAATCGCTCAAATTCTCAATTTTCATCCAAATCAAAACGGCGCCATTCGATAAATATTCAATTTTCACAACAAAATTCTCCAGAATTCCCTGATTTCTCCGGTCACTTAAACATTTTTCCATCTGCCTACAAATTTGAATAATTTGTCGTAATTCACGTGCCACGTCATCGATTTCACGCGATTCGATTTGTAGTTTTTCGTATTTTTCGATTAGGGAATTTTGATCTGCTGCTGGATTTTCAGGTTGGAAATCGTCGAAAGAATCGTTGAGTTCAATTATTTCTTCTTCTTGATCTTTTTGTGAATCGACATCGAATTCGAAGCCAAAATCATCATCAGACATCTGGAAAATTCTAGAAGTTATCCTAACTTTTTTGGCAAATCTAGAGAGTTAGGCTCGCTCTGCTCGAATAACATAATAGTGTAGATCGCAAGCTGCCGCTGCGCGGAAGATAGTGCCGCTTCGCGGTAGCTTGCGGTCTAAACTCGCGCTTGAGGCGCTCGGGAAAATTCAAAATTTGGGCATAGCTTCCGCATCTCCGCTGAAATTCCAATAAAAATCTGAAAAATGCTGGAATTTTCTGACAAATTCCAGTTTTCAGATTTTTATTAGATATTTCAGAATAGGACTTGGAAATTTGGTTCGAGCGAAGCGAGTGTAAACCGCAAGCTTCCGCGCAGCGGCCACGCGGATTACTATGACGTTTGCCATATCATAGTAAACTACGTGGCCGCTGCGCGGAAGATAGCGCCGCTTATGCGGAAGCTTCCGGTTTACACTCGCGCTTGCGGCGCTCGGAAAAATTCAAAATTTGGGCATAGCTTCCGCATCTCCCCTGAAATTCCGATAAAAATCTGAAAAATGCTGGAATTTTCAGACAAATTATTCGTCTGGAAATTCTAGTTTTCAGATTTTCATCAGATATTTCAGAATCAGACTTGGAAATTCGAGCGAAGCGAGTGTGAACCGCAAGTTTCCGCGCAGCGGCCACGCGGATTACTATGACGTTTGCCATATCATAGTAAACTACGTGGCCGCTGCGCGGAAGATAGCGCCGCTTATGCGGAAGCTTCCGGTTTACACTCGCGCTTGATGCGCTCGATCAAAATTTGGGCATAGCTTCCGCATCTCCACTGAAATTCCAATAAAAATCTGAAAAATGCTGGAATTTTAAGACAAACTATTTGTCTGGAAACTCTAGTTTTCAGATTGTTATTAGATATTTCAGAAAATCGGACTTGGAAATTCGAGCGAAGCGAGTGTAGACCGCAAGCTTCCGCGCAGCGGCCACGCGGATTAATTTGACGTTTGCCATATCATAGTAAACCACGTGGCCGCTGCGCGGAAGATAGTGCCGCTTACGCGGAAGCCTGCGGTTTACACTCGCTCCGCTCGAAAGAAATAATTATTTTTCTAAATGTAATTGCGTTGAGGCGTATTATTAATTTCAGAAAACATAATTTTTATTTGTAAAATTTTTGAAACAGTGAAAATTTCGAAGAAACAAATTTTTGTTTTGAAATTTTAGGACCAAAGGAAATTTTTTAGGAATTTTTGAATGATTTTTGTGAAAATTTGTTGCTTTCATCAATTTCAGAAACTAGCAATTTTCTTTCGCAAAATTTTTGAAACAGTGAAAAATTTTGAAGGAAAATTTCAATTTTTTTCGCCGGATTTTTTTCTCTAACATAAGGATAATTTCTATTCAAGATTTAGGAAACAAAGCTTTTTCGTTTCAGAATTTTCAGCTAATTTTTTTTCGGAAAAAAAGGTTTATCGAAATTACAGTGTATGTAGAGCAAGTATCATCAATTTCAGAAAATTGTTTTTTTCTTTTGTCAAATTTTTGAAACAGTGAAAATTTTTAATTTTTCAAAAAAAAATTTGATTTGAAAATAGTGTTGTGTTTAATTTTACTTTCAAAGTTAAGTGCTGAAAATTGTGCTCAAAAAAATTCTGGGCTACAAAATTCCAGAAAATCAGATATTTTGGAAAAATTTGGTCTGGAAATCAATATTTTCCCAAATATTTGTGAACTCAAAAAAAATCTCAGAACCTAAAAAAAACATCAATAAAAAATAATTCGAATGAATCAACTCACTCCTACCAATTTCAAAAACTGGGATTTTTCTTCTGTCAAGTACTTGAAACAGTGAAAATTTCGTAGAAAAATTTTCGCCAGAATTTTATTCAAAGGGAAATTTTTATTCACGATTTAGGAAAAAAAACTTTTTCGTTTCAAAATTTCAGCTAATTTTTTTTCGGAAAAAAAAGGTTGATCAGAATTACAATGTATGTAGAGCAATATCATCAATTTTAGAAAATAGCACTTTTCTTTTATCAATTTTTTGAAACAGTGAAATTTTGAAGGTGAAAAGGAGATTTTTTTTTTCAATTTTTTTTAAATTTCAGGTTCAAAATTAGGTGCTGAAAAATTAGAAATTTTGAATATTCTGAAAATTTCAGCATAAAAATGTCGGAAATTTTCAAATTTCATCAGATTTTTCAACTAAAAAATCCCAAAAGCTACAAAAATGAATAAAATATATTCAATGGTCCTCAAAACCAACAAAAAAAATACATTTTCCATATTCAAAAAAAAATCACATTTCATTAACAAATCAATACCCGTAAAAAAACTATGGAAACTCAAAAAACTACATAAAATTTGACCAGAATTCAAGAAACAATCGATAATTTCTGCAATATTTGCATCACATTTTCATCATTTTCTCCTAATAATTTCAAATCTTCAATCACAAATTCGAGGCGTTTTTTGTGTTTTTCAGTAGAATAGGCACGTTTTAAAAGTCCACGAAGAGTTGAGCGAATCTGCAAGAAATTTTGGGATTTTTTGGGAGAAATTTGGGATTTTTAGGTGAAAAATGGGAATTTTTAGGTGAAAAATGGGATTTTTAGGTGAAAAATGGGAATTTTTAGGTGAAAAATGGGAATTTTTAGGTGAAAAATGGGAATTTTTAGGTGAAAAATGGGAATTTTTAGGTGAAAAATGGGATTTTTCGGTGAAAAATTCAATTTTTTAGACCATTTTCAACGTCAAAAATGCCCACCTCTTCATGAATTTCAAAAAGTGTCACAATATTCTCCAAAATCATCAGTGAAACCATAGGTTCATCAGCTAAAGACAGAATTTTGGCCATAACATTATCTATGCATTGATCAACATGGGATCTGGAATTTTGGCGCGAAAAATTCGAGTACTGTAGGTCAAAATTTGGCGCGAACTTACCCAAATTCCAAATCTCCCGCATACAGTACCGCATTTTCCGCGCCTTCCGCATTCCGCATCGCACACAAATACCTCAGGCAAAACACCAAAATTTCACCATAAATCCTGGGTTCTTCACGGTATTTCGCATCAAAACTCAGTAAAAATCGCCAAATTTTTTCGAAATAATAGAGTTGCGGTTTTTCCGGAGGATCGGGGATGAAAATGAGAAGAGCGAAGAGTTGAGAGATGAATGGGAGGATTTCAGAAGGCTGTGCAGTTTCAGACATTGTTTCGAGGGTTTGGATGAGGCGGCGAGTTGTGGAGTCCATCTGGAAGAAAAATTTGAGAATTTTTATTTTTCTGAAATGTTTTTACATTGATTTTCTGAATTTTCAGCGAAATTTCAGAATTTTTCAAAAAATTATTTTTTTTCGCAAGCTTCCGCGTAGATTTCTGAGAAAATTTTTAAAAAGGTCCAATATTTCCTATGGTTTTTGAATTTGAATTTTTTATTTAGAATGTTATAAATTCATAATTTTTTAAATTCAAAAGTTTTGAAACAAAATATTAATATAATTTTATTAGCAAAATTCAGATTCTCAAATTTTTTCAAATCAATTTTTTGAAACAGTGAAAAAAAAATTTTTTTGACTGGAAAATTTGCAATTGAATCTGGATTCATTATATTTTCAGTAAAATTTCGAATTTCAGAATTTGCATGAGATTTTCATGATTAAAAGTTTGTCAACTAGATTTTTAACAAAATTTTTATCAATAAAATTCAGATTCTCAATTTTTTAAATCAATTTTTTGAAACAGTGAAAAAAATTTTTTTCAAAATTTTTTTGACTGGAAATTTTCTGAACCTGGATTAATCAGATTTTCAGCAAAATTTCGAATTTCAGAATTTTCATAAGATGTTCATGATAAAAAGTTTGTCAACTAGATTTTTAACAAAATTTTTATCAATAAAATTCAGATTCTCAAATTTTTCCAAATCAATTTTTTGAAACAGTGAAAAAAATTGTTTATAAATAATTTTTTTCGAACATTTTTTTGACTGGAGATTCATCAGATTTTCAGCAAAATTTTGAAATTTCAGAATTTGTATGAGATTTTTATGTATTTGAAAAATTAATTGATTAAACGCAAAAATCTCAACTTTTTCTTGTGCATTTTTTGAAACAGTGAAAAAATTCTTCAAAATTTTTCACATAAACCTTCGTTTTTTTCTAGAACGGCTGGCTAAAAATCACGTTGTGGGTCAATTTTAACCGTAAATTCTGAAAATTTCAGCCATTTTTCTCTTTTTTTGTCTAAAATCTTTTTTGGCTATAGCCAATTCTGACCATAAATTCTGAAGTTTTCAGTCTCCTGGCTTTTTCTTAAATATAAATTAAATCTTCTTTTCATCATTGAATTTACGAAGCTATCAATTCTCAATTAAAAATATTTGAAACAGTGAAAATTTGGAAACAAAAAAAATTGTTTTTCAATTTTTTTCAACAGAACTGTAAGACAAAAATGCATTACAATGAACAAAATTTGAATTTCAAAAAAATATTTTGTGGATTTTTTGAAACAGTGAGAAATTTTTCATTGTAAACTCAAAATTTTGATCAGTTTTTATAAATTCGCCTTTTTCCTGAGTCAAAAAAGTTTCCCAATATTTTTTAAAAAAATTTTCGAACTGAAATTTTGCTAAAATTTTGCATTACCTGAATTTTAGGCTAAATTTCGAACCACAGAATTCACATGAGGCTTTCAATTTTCAATTGAAAAATATTTGAAACAGTGAAATTTTGGAAACAAAAAGTTATTTTTTTTTTCAATTTTTTGAAACAGAATTGTAAGATGTAAGATGTAAGATGAACAAAATTTGAATTTCAAAAATAAATTTTCATGGATTTTTTGAAACAGTTAAAAATTTTTCATTATAAATTTTGACCAATTTTCATAAATTCGATTGTTTCCTGGGTCAAAAAGGTTTCGCAATATTTTTTTTATTTTCGAATTGAAATTTTGCTAAAATTTTGCATTACCTGAATTTTAGGCGAAATTTCGAACCTCAGAATTAACATGAGGCTTTCAATTTTCAATTAAAAAATATTCGAAACAGTGACATTTTTTGGAACAAAAAATATTAGATGTTTTTAAAGCTGAAATTTTCAGAGTTTTATGAAAAAAATTCACAGAAATTTTTTTTCAATTTTTTTCAACAGAATTTTAAGACAAAAACACATTACCATGAACAAAATTTGAATTTCAAAAAATATTTTGTGGATTTTTTGAAACAGTGAGAAATTTTTCATTATAAATTTTGAGCAGTTTTTTATAAATTCGGCTTTTTCCTGGGTTAAAAAAGTTTCGCAATTTTTTTTTTAAATTTTGAACTGAAATTTTGCTACAATTTTGCATTACCTGAATTTTAGGCTAAATTTCGAAACTCAGAATTAACATGAGGCTATCAATTTTCAATTAAAAAATATTTGAAACAGTGAAAATTTGGCAACAAAAAAATGAAATTTTTTCAAAACTGAAATTTTCAGTTTTATGAAATTTTCTGAAAAAATTCACAGAATTTCAACAGAATTGTAAGACAGAAATACATTACCGTGAACAAAATTTGTATTTCAGAAAATATTTTGTAGATTTTTTGAAACAGTGAGAAATTTTGGCAACAAAAAAAATGAAATTTTTTCAAAACTGAAATTTTCAGAGTTTTATGAAAAAAATTCACAGAATATTTTTTCAATTTTTTTCAACAGAATTTTAAGATAAAAATACTTTGCCTTAAACAACATTTCAATTTCAAAAATAAATTTTTATGGATTTTTTGAAACAGTGAGAAATTGTTCATTATAAATTATGAGCAGTATTTTATAAATTCGGTTTTTTCCTGGGTCAAAAAAGTTTTGCAATATTTTTTAAAAAAATTTTCGAACTGAAATTTTGCTAAAATTTTGCATTACCTGAATTTTAGGCGAAATTTCGAACCTCAGAATTCACATGAGGCTTTCAATTTTCAATTGAAAAATATTTGAAACAGTGAAAATTTGGAAACAAAAAAAAATGAAATTTTTTAAAGCTGAAATTTTCAGAGTTTTATGAAAAAAATTCACAGAAATTTTTTTCAACGGAATTTTAAGATACGAATTCGCTTCCATTAACAAAATTTGTATTTCAAAAATCAATTTTTGTGGATTTTTTTGAAACAGTGAGAAATTGTTCATTATAAAATCTGTTCAGAAATATTTCAGAAATACATTTTCTAATTTACAGCAAATTTTTCAATGGAATACAAATGTGAACAATCAATTATGTATTTCAAAAATTATTTTTGTTAATTATTTGAAACAGTGAAATATTTTCAAAATTTTGCAAAATCTAGAAAGTCACGCTAATTTTGCCACGTCATAACCCGCCCCAAAACTCCAAACCTGCGGTAAAAAATTGGCGAGCAAGCAAAGTTGCACAACTTTCACCAAACATCGAAATCTTTTCGGCAAATTGTGAATCGCCGGAATCGTGACACATAAATTCGTAATACAAATCCTCAAAAATTCCGATTTTCTCGCTCCATTTTTCAACTTCCCATTGGAATCCAAAGTCAGATCAATCAATAAATCAACAAGTTTTTCCACAATTTTCTGGCGGAGTCCAAGAGCAGCTCGAAGTTTGATAAATATTTCGATACTTTTCATCAGATCCTTGTTTGATTTCAGGTTAATTATTGAAATACAATCAGCAATTAGAAGTTCGTCTAAATTATTGATTTTTGATAATTCCAAAGTTTTCCCAAAGATTATTGATTTTTCAATAATTAGCTCAATAATAATTTCATCTTCAATTTCAGCTCTTCCAAATTTCCTTCTCAAAATCTCCAAAAACCTCGAATTCCCTTTTGGAATCATGCCAAGAAGCTGAATAAAATGTCGATTTTTCAAAATTCTTTCCAAATCTGATTTTCCATCCAGGTTCTCTAGAAATCCCGCCATGAATTCCACAATTTTCTCGAAATTTTCAGGTCTTTTAGTACTTTCATCGACTTCGAGGCGCATTATGACCATTTCGAGGATTTTTTCGGCGTCGGAAATCGGGAAGAATTTTGTGATGAAAATCGACCAGGAAATTGAGCAGGCTAGGAATTTTTTGAAACTCATGATGTTGGCGATTCGAAGCCAAACTGATCTGAAAAATTGATTTTTGGAAAATTGCAATCCTTAGCAAAAATCCAATATTCACTTAAAATGTTATGAAATTTTTGAAACAGTAAATTTTGTAAAAATTGAAATTCGATTTTTTTCAGATAAAACCTTTTTTATTTTAGTAATACAGGGTGACCAGAAATTATCCGTGCAAACTCAACCGGCCGTAAAATATTTAAAAACATGATATTTTCCACAAATTTTTTGATTGAGCATGAATCAATAGATAACTACAGGGTGCGCGCGAAATATGTGTGCATGCGATAATTTCACATACAGTGTTAGTAATATTGATACACGTAGTAACTGTGAGTATAGATTGTTCAAATTAAGTCACAAGTATCCAAGAAACACCATTTACAAGAATTCAAGTAAATCTCTTCACTTAAAATAGAATTCGGGTTGTATGAAGTCAGAAGCGATATTGTGAAAATGCGAAAATAAGAACGCGACTCTTCCTATTTTTCGGATGATGATTTTGACCAATTAGAACTCGAGTTTCGTAGAAGTTATATAAATATGATTTTGTAGGATGCCTTTAGACATCATTGGCTACCTTTATTCAAATTCATAGAGTTCATTATACGGTTTTGAGAACAAGCAGGCCTACAACAAAATCCCTCTCGAGAAATCGGTGAAACCTGAATTAAATCTGAGAAACAAGGTCTAGAGTAATTAGAAGTCAATAATTCATCGTGATTATGACTGAACTATGATAATATGTTCATATTACGACAGTTTGATAGAAATATTGGTTATACAAACATTACTTTCGACAATTATTGATATTTGACTCTTTTTGGGAGTTTTTTTTTGAAAACTTCACTTTTGTAGGTTGCACTAAACATCATTTTCAGAGAGTTTTGTGAAACGAGATATGGATTTATGTTATGAACACTATCAGGAAAGGTAAAGTAAAGGTTTTTTGCTGATCACTTCAATTAATAATCAAAATTTAGACTTTGAAACAGTCTTGTGAACTTGAAAATAGCCGCGTTCGAACCAAACTCATTCTAAAACCATACCCAAAAGAAAATTATGTGACTTGGTCTAGGTATACAAAATCGGCTTCGGATTTTGTATTGTAATTAGTTTGGCTAATTTGAGACCAAATCTCAGCGTGATCAGACACGTTCTGGCTTTATTATGGCCAAAAGTTCATGCACACATATTTCGCGCGCACCCTGTATTTTGAAATTATCACAAAAAGTTCTGATCAAATTGAAATCTTACTTGAACCTTGAGCGCCTGATGTTGATGTGTCAAAAATTGGGCAAAGAGCCGCGGCTAGTGGTGTTAACAATTTTGCCCCATTTTTCGCTTCAACAACTGTGTAAATTCTCAAAACTATTTTCTATCGTTCCTCAAAGGATCTTAGACGACTTCTTCTGCCTTTGCCAGAATGAAATTAAATTTTCCGACTTTGGGGATGGTTTGGGCGGTCATGACTCCCTCGGCCCCTTGTTTTTTACTGAGAAAAGTGTCAAAACCAACAACGATTCTCAACAAACGATCATATTTGAACATTTTCATGTTTTCTCAGTCTAATCTAACTTAAAAATATTCATAAGACCATTAAAGCTGATGAAGACCTAACATTTGGACCAAAACCAAAAATTTACTTTCGCGAAAAAAATTTTTTCATTTTTTTTTTCAATTTATTTGGGATCTGAAGCTCATCGAATCTCAGTCCGCAAGGTTACTTGAAGCGGTAATTTTGAAAAATAACATCATTAGAAGATATCTTACTCATTTTATAGTTGTAAAAATGCAATTGGAGTTTTCCACGTACTAAACAAAGTCAAAACTCCACGCGGCCTTTCACACCATTTTAGAAATCTGGCTGAAGGCCCTGAAAGCCCTGAAAAAATCTTAAATTCAACATTCGTGATAATTTTGGAATCATTATGCATTTAGTATTGTTAACAAAAAATTTCTTCTAAAAATATCAAATTTTGAAGTTTTTATGACCGGTTGAGTTTGCACGGATAATTTCTGGTCACCCTGTACATCCAGTATTGAGCGAAAATCCAATTTTCATTCAAAATTTAAAGCAATTTTTGAAACAGTGAATTTTTTTTTAAATTTTCTTCTGGGCAATACTTGAATTTATCAAAAAAAAAACAATTTGAATTTTTAATACCCAATTTTTGAAACATACATTTTCCTGGAAAAAATTTTGGTGGAAAAATGGTTTTGCATAAAATTTTCGGGTCAGTTTTGATTTTTTTTTTCCATTACTGATTTCATTTTTGAAAATATCCGATGGGATTTCAGCAAGTTTGCCTATTGAAATTTTTCCAAACTTCAAAATTTAAATGAGTTTTTTGAAACAGTGAATTTTTTTAATTAATTTTCTCTTGAATAAGTGAATTTTGATCATTTTTTTCAACAAAAAAAAATTGCTGTTTCAAAAATATCATAACATTTCGAATTTTCGGAGGAATTTTGATATTGGATAATGTGTTTTTATTCAACTCAATTGATGAAAATTTCTAAATTCAGGACAAAATTTGAAATTTTCATCAATCAAATCACAGATAGGGATTTTTCTCACAACGAAAACCCAATTTTCATTCAAAATTTTTGAAACAGTGAATTTTTTCAATTAATTTTCTCATGAAAAATTTAATTTCGATAATTTTTCAAAGCAAAAAAATTTGACTGTTTCAAAAATATCATAATATTTCGAATTTTCAGAGGAATTTTGATAATTTTCAATCAATGTTTGATGAAAATTTCTAAAATCAGGACAAAATTTGAAATTTTTATCAATCAAATCACATATAGAGATTATTCTCCAATTTTCATTCAAATTTTTTGAAATTCTTGAAACAGTGAATTTTTTCAATTAATTTTCTCATGAAAAATTGAATTTTGATCATTTTTTTAAAGAAAAAAAGTTACTGTTTCAAAAATATCATAAAACTTCACATTTTTAGAGGAATTATGATATTGGAAAAATTTTCTATCCAATCAATGTTTGATGAAAATTTCTAAAATCAGGACAAAATTTGAAATTTTTATCAATCAAATCACAGATAGGGATTATTCTCCAATTTTCATTCAAAATTTCATCAATTTGTTGAAACAGTGAACCTTTTCAATCAATTTTCTCTCGAAAAATCGAAGTTTGATCATTTTTTGAATAAAAAAACTCACTGTTTCAAAAAATACATAAAAAATTCAGTTTTCGAACGATTTCTGATAGTCATACATAAAATAGGTCCCCCGAGTCAGTTTTCAAAGTTAGGGTCCCTCCTTGAAAATTTTCCAAAGTTAAACACCTTCCTCACATTTTTGAGCGAATTTTGGACAAATCTGGGAATTTTGGTAAATCATCAGCAGAAAATTGGCCAAGTTAGGCACCCTTCCCTTCAGATTTTTGAAAAAAGTTAAGCCCCTCACCCCGATTCTGGGGACCCATTTTATGTATGCTGATAGTTGAACCGTTTCTCTTGATTTATTCGGAACTGAACTAAAATATCAATTTTTGATAAGAAAATTTTCGTTGAACGAAAATCCAATCTTCATTCAAAATTCTATGAAATTTTTGAAACAGTGAATTTTTTCAATTAATTTTCTATCAAAAATTGAATTTTGACAATTTTTTAAAGCAAAAAAGTTCACTGTTTCAAAAAATACATTAGAAAATTCAGTTTTCGAACGATTTCTGATACTCTGCTCAAATATTTGGAACTGAACAATTTTTGATGAACAATTTGTGAAAATTGGGGCAAAATTTGAAATTTTCATCAATATTTTCAGATAAAAACATTCTATGTGCCTTTTAAATTTGCAAAAATGAAGGGGACTAGCGAGAATCAAATTTTCATTCAAAATTTTATGAAAATTCTTGAAACAGTGAATTTTTTCAATTAATTTTCTCATGAAAATTGAATTTCAAAGCAAAAAAATTTGACTGTTTCAAAAAATGCATAAAAATTCTGAATTGCGAAGAATAATTGATTTTTCGTCTTTGAAACCAAATTTCAAAAAATTTTGAAACAGTTAAATTTTTTCCTTGAAAAAAATCACACTGTTTCAAAAAATACATAACAATTTTTGATTTTTATAGGATTTTATTGAATATTTTGTGAAAATTGATGCATATTTCATGTCCCTCTTAATATTCCCCAAAAAAAAAATCCCCACCTCTTAATTTTCTCCCTTTCCTCTTCACTCGGCGGATATTCACAATATCGTTTCCCCAAAATCGTCAATGGTATCTCATAATCATCTTCCAACGAAAAAACCATTTCCAAAATCTGTCTCGAATGAATTGCCAAATATTTCGAAGGCATTCCTTGAATACAACCAATCACTAGAATATATATCTTCTCATCAATCGGTTCTCTTCTACAGTATGCCCAAAGTGGCGCCAAATCATCGATTGTATGTGCGCCAAAAGAGATACATTGAACTATCCAGGAAATCGATTGAATTACAAGGTTTTGTTTTTGAATGAGAATTTTGCCAAAGTTTTTGGGGATTCCTTGAGATAGAATATCTCTGGGAGCCTGGAGCCAATCATGAAGAAGTCGCCAGTGAGGAGATCTATCAGTTGGATCGATGTGCATTGCGATTCGAGAAATGTAGACACGAGCAAACATGGAAGATTGATCTGATGGGAATCCTGGAAGATTTATTGATTTTTTTCCGCAAGCTTCCGCAGAGGAACTATTTGTTTGGTTAATAGAAAATCCACGTGGCCGCTAAAGCGGAAGATAGTGCCGCTTACGCGGAAACTTCCGGTTTACACTCGCTCCGCTCGGAAAAATTCAAAATTTGGGCATAGCTTCCGCATCTCCGCTGAAATTCCAATAAAAATCTGAAAAAATGCTGGAATTTCAGCACAAATTATGGGACGATTCAGTAACTAGTTTATAGTTACTGAACCGTCCCATAATTTGTGCTGGAATTTCTCCAGTTTTCAGATTTTTATCAGATATTTCAGAATCAGACTTGGAAATTATGTTCGAGCAAAGCGAGTGTAAACCGCAAGCTTCCGCGCAGCGGCCACGCGGATTAATATGACGTTTGCCATATCATAGTAAACCACGTGGCCGCTAAAGCGGAAGATCGTGCCGCTTCGCGGAAGCTTGCGGTTTACACTCGCGCTTGAGGCGCTCGATCAAAATTTGGGCATAGCTTCCGCATCTCCGCTGAAATTCCAATAAAAATCTGAAAAAATGCTGGAATTTTCAGACTTTGTCTAGAAATCCCAGTTTCCAGATTTTTATCAGATATTTCAGAATTGGACTTGGAAATTTTGTTCGAGCGGAGCGAGTGTAAACCGCAAGCTTCCGCGCAGCGGCCACGCGGATTAATATGACGTTTGCCATATCATAATAAACCACGTGGCCGCTAAAGCGGAAGCTTCCGGTTTACACTCGCTCCGCTCGCGAAAATTCAAAATTTGGGCATAGCTTCCGCATCTCCGCTGAAATTCCAATAAAAATCTGAAAAATGCTGGAATTTCAGCACAAATTATGGGACGATTCAGTAACTAGTTTATAGTTACTGAACCGTCCCATAATTTGTGCTGAAATTTCTCCAGTTTTCAGATTTTTATCAGATATTTCAGAATCAGACTTGGAAATTATGTTCGAGCGGAGCGAGTGTAAACCGCAAGCTTCCGCGCAGCGGCCACGTGGATTAATATGACGTTTCCCATATCATATTAAACCACGTGGCCGCTGAAGCGGAAGCTTCCGCGCAGCGGCAAAGTTACCATAACTTTCTAGATTATCCCTAGAAGTTAGGGTAACTTTGCCGGAAGCTCAAGATTTCAAAATCCACATACTTGAACACATCGACGCCAATCTCTCCAAATTTATCCGAACTTTCGAAGTGTCCAGGAATTTCAGGCATTTGATAATTGCAGATTCCACTGAAAAACAAAAATTGTCCCTTAGAAAGTTTCGAGCGAAGCGAGTGTATACCGCAAGCTTCCGCGCAGCGGCCACGCGGATTGATACGACTTTTGCCATATCATAGTAAGCCACGTGGCCGCTAAAGCGGAAGCTTCCGGCTCGCGCTTGAGGCGCTCGATCATGAAATCATTTTATTTTACCATAAAACCTTGGAATCATATCATTCAATTCCGAGACCTTCAAAAACCAATTCGTCGTCATCTCCTTGATTTTCTGCGGAATTTGATCGGAATGAAAATATTCGCCATTCCCCAATTCATTTTGCCTTGCAATTCTTCGCATTTCATTAGTCTTCTCCAATAATCGCTCATAAACCAGACTCCCAAAAATGTCTAAAATATCGATTGCCTGCAACCAATAATACGCAAATTCTTCCGAATCACTTGGAATTGTTTGAAGAATTTCGGTGACATTTACAACTTTATTCAAGGATTCCACACGATCTCCGATTCCCCAAAGACGGTTCAATTCTTCCCGAAGATTTGTGAATTCTTGCGATAACTTTCTCACAGGTTTCACTAGATTTTGCGGGTTATTTCCGGCGTTATCCAAATTATTCATAATTTCCTTAATCCTTGCGCGAGTTGAATTATTCCCAGGTTCATTGGGCCTTGATAAATGAGCAATTTGAGATCTTCTCTCTCTCCATGGTTGAAAATCAGGAAGCTCAATATCAAACCCTAATTTCGATACATGTTTCTGCTCCAAAGTATTATCCAGCGACCTTGATCTTGGCTTAATTTCCTCTAGAACCGATGAATTTTCAAAGGCAAGATCATCTTGATCACCAGTTGCACCCAATGGATCCAAGAAATCATAGGAAACCGGAGGCTCTTCTACCTTTTTCGTGGTTTTTCGCAGCCAACTAACTTCAATTTTCTTTATCTCTTCTAATGGATGAGTTGCAGCTGGGATAACTGTTCCAGGATTTGTGCAGAACCTTTTCGCATGTTCTTTTACCCGCCAAGGTGTTTCTGACATCTGAAAAATGAAGAAATGCTGAGAAATTCACGAGAAAAATGGGACGCGTGAGAAAAAACAAAAAAAACAATTTTGTCCGAGAGAACTACACAGTGTGGTTGAGACGCCGACTAGTCCCAGAAGAGTTAGGCCATGCAGGATTTTCAGGCTTAAAAACAGGTTTTGATGTGTTTTTCGGCTTTCATTTTGTAATAGTAAAATACTAGGACCTAAAATTATTCTCAAAAAAATTTAAAAAATAATTTTTCCATTATTTTGCACCCTTATCTTTCGGCTTCGTTGTTGTAACAAAATGTCGCCTCATTGTTTTATCAAAAATGCTCGTCTTCATCGCAATCCTATTTCTATTTTCTGTGGTAAGTAAAAAAGTTTAAAATCACAGCTCATGGAGAATTCAGAAGTCTTTCGATATTTCCTGCAACTCCCCCAACAAAATCTGCATTCGCTATCCTGAACAACAATTTCCATCGATTGAAATCGCCCTCGAAACTAATGGATCTCACATGATTTTCGAAATCTATGTTCACAAACTTCGAGACGGAAAACACGTGGCAGTTGGATATTCCAAAGATTCAGAAGCGGGCAATGATTTTGTGGTTTATTGTGGTCGAAATGAAAATATGAAACCGGGAAATTGGGTGAATATGGGAATTGAATATAATTCAAATTTGGCGGAAAAACAGATTTTGGGAAATTTGTTGTGGAAAACTGGGGAGCCTTATTTTGCAGAACCTTTGAATTACACGGAATTTGGAGAGGGGATTTATTGTAGATTACGGTGAGGAAATCCGAGAGAAGTACACACAATGGAGCGCACATTCAAAAAAAACTTTCCAGCCACAACTTCCAACCCATCTTCTCAAAATTCAACACAACAAAAGGGCACCTGCTAATATCCCGCGGACCATGGAAAAATCGAATCGATTTTCCGAGCCGCGAAACTTTTGACCTCGGATTTTATGATTTTGCAAACTCGGCTAACAAAAAAATCTTCATTTTCATAATTATTATTGTTTTATCAACCAATCCATGCGTTTTTCAATAAATCATTCAATTGAATTTCCGTAACTCGCTTGTTTCTTGAGTTCGCCAAAACTTCGCTGACAAAAATCGGATAATATTCGGGTAATTCTGAATCTCCAGCTTGAATTTCCATGTAAATTCCAGTGTCTTCAATATTTCTTGGTTTATAGTATAAAGAAGAAACGCTTGGGAGAATAATTAGAATTGAAATTAGCCAAAACATTTCGAATATTCAAGAAAATCTGTAAAAAAATCTTTATTTTCACGAAAATTTCAGGGAAAAGCAAAGAATAATGAAATCATTCTAATTATTCGTGATTTTTGTTCATCTACAAATTATCGCAAGTCACGCAAACCCCCCAAAAGTGCCCCCCTCAAAAAATTCCGCCTCCCTCCACACAAAAGTAGTACGGTGGCGAGCGATGTGTGCAAACACCGCATACACGTCAGAGCTTTTTATTTTTTCGTTTTTTTCGACGTAAAACCGGTTTTTTTGCAGAAAACTTGGAAGATGATGAACTTTGAGGTTAGCACGTCAAAGCGTAAGTATTTAATTTTTGAAATTCTCGAAAACCCCGCGAATTTTCAGAGATTGGCGTCGGTTTAACAGCTTTTGGTGTATTTTTCATATTTTTGGGGATTTTGCTGTTTCTAGACGCCGCATTGTTAGCAATTGGAAATGTGAGTTTATTTTTGGACAAAATTTTGGCAAAAAATATAAAGAAAAACCTGGGAAAAATGTGTTTTTCACGAAAAATGGCAAAAATCCTTCAAAACCCGGTAATTTTCTTTGGTTCCCTTCAAAAAATGATGAATTTTCAGCTGTTATTCATCGTTGGTATCACATTTGTCATCGGAGTTCAACGAACTCTCGTTTTCTTCTTCGAATTCAGAAAATTGAAGGGAAGTGTGCTTTTCTTTGGAGGTCAGTGGTTCAAAAATGATGCAAATCAACGCGGAATTTGAGAGTTATGACGTGGCAAAATGGGAATCTGATAGAAAATTGGGAATTCCTGGAAGTTTAGATAACTTGGAACATATTTAGGTATTTTCCAAGTTATCGAAACTTTCAGGAAATCTTCAGAAGCTTTTTGTCTTGCAGATTTCCGGAATCTTCTATAATTCATGATTTTCTACCAATTTGCCACGTCATAGCTCATGTTCAGAAGCTCAAAATTCATTTTAACTAAAGCTAAAACCCAAAAAATTTATCTGAAAATTCCAGGTATTCTCATTGTGCTGCTAGGCTATCCACTTTTTGGAATAATCGCCGAAATCTGGGGATTCATCTTGTTATTCGGCGGATTTTTGCCAGGAATTGTGAATTTGCTAAGAAGCATCCCTGGAGTCTCCACATTGACCTATTTGCCAGGAATTCGACAGGTAAGGGAGATTTTTTTGAGAATTTTGAGGGGAAGAGTGAAATTCTTTGAAAAAGCTATTTGAAAAATGTAATTTTCGACTAAAATAATTTTTGAAACAGTAATTTTTTGCAAAAAAACAGAATTTTAAGATTTTTTTTCGATCATTCAAATCTTCCAATGAACTTTATTAATTTTTTATCAAAATAATTTTTGAAACAGTGAATTTTTGAAGATTAAAAAATTTCGAAAAAAACATTTATTGAGCCTGACTCCGAGGTCTATAAAATGTTTGAAGGAAATTTTTTTCAATTAAACTTCGAAGTAATTAAAATTAAAATTTCCATTTCATCATCTCTCATCAAAACTTCGTACAAAATCCCAAAAAAGTTAATTTTTTTCATATCAAAATTTGAGCACAGTATTTTATTTGCTAGGAAAATTTGAATGTATTCACAGAAGATGAGTATTTTGTAATAAAATGTGCCAAAAATTAAAAAATCTGAAAATTTAGCGTAACTTTGTTCGAGCGGAGCGAGTGTAAACCGGAAGCTTCCGCGAAGCGGCACGATCTTCCGCTTTAGCGGCCACGTGGTTTACTATGATATGGCAAACGTCATATTAATCCGCGTGGCCTCTGCGCGGAAGCTTGCGGTCTACACTCGCTTCGCTCGAAAAAAATTTCCAAGTCATATTCTGAAATATCTGATAAAAATCTGAAAACTGGAATTTCTTGACAAATAGTTTGTCTGAAAATTCCAGCATTTTTCAGATTTTTATTGGAATTTCAGCGGAGATGCGGAAGCTATGCCCAAATTTTGAATTTTTCCGAGCGCATTAGGCGCGAGTGTAAACCGGAAGCTTCCGCTTTAGCGGCCACGTGGTTTACTATGATATGGCAAACGTCATATTAATCCGCGTGGCCGCTGCGCGGAAGCTTGCGGTTTACACTCGCTTCGCTCGAACCAAATTTCCAAGCCTCTTTTCTGAAATATCTAATAAAAATCTGAAAACTGGAATTTCTTGACAAAGTCAGAAAGTTCCAGCATTTTCAGATATTTATTGGAATTTCAGCGGAGATGCGGAAGCTATGCCCAAATTTTGATCGAGCGCCTTAGGCGCGAGTGTAATCCGCAAGCTTCCGCGCGCGGAAGCTTGTGGGAGATTTCCTTCCCCAAAAAACTCCACATTTTTCCGAAATCTCTCCAGGCATGCGACTATTTAGATCCTCGACCGTCTGGCGCCTGAATCCAAATATCCAGTCTGAAAAAATGGTCTCGAAACGACTTCTCCTTCTCTTCATGGGTTTTTCAAAAATCGTGATTTTTCTCTGAATTTTAATTTATTTCCTATTTATTGTTCTGCTAAACTAAAAAATATTTTATTTTATTTTTTTAAATTAGAAATCGCTCAAAATCAACCTGTTTTCTGTATAATAATATTCGTTACGATAATATAAATTGTAGGCATTATTATTGATTTTTTTTCGTATAAGCGATCTGAACATTTTTTTGTTAATTAAACTATTTAAATTTTAAGTTACTTAAGGATGCTAGGTGGATTTAGAAGATTTTCAAGTTTGGCCAATAATTTATATAGTCATTTGGATTTGAAAGCGGAGCCGGAAAAGGTTGGTTTTTTTTTTTTTTTGAAAAAATCAATAAAAATTCTGAAATTTTCAGGTTTTATTCATTGAAAATGCGCGGAAAATGAAATATGGAGAATTTGTGAAAAGAGCTGGACAATATGCGACTGCTTTGACTGAAAATTATAGCATCAAGGTAATTTTTGAGCTATGACGTGGCAGATTTTGAAGCTTTAAAAATTTGTATGGATACTAAAATTATAGGAAACTGTAAAATTTATAGGAAAAATTTGAAACAGTGAAATATTTTCTATTATTCAAAAATTATTTTCTGAAAATTCCGATGGTCTAGAATTCCTAGTAGGTTTTCTAGGCCATAAGGAATTTTGAGTGAGCTAGAACTTGAACACGTCATAACTCATATTCAGCAGGATCCTGAACTAGACCTCTAACCCAAATCCACATTTTCTTCCAGAAAGGTGATCGTGTAATGGCTCGTGTATCAAAATCAATCGATACAGCTGCTCTTTATATTGGTTGCCTTCAAATTGGAGCACTTTATATTCCAGTCAATCCAGGTTATACTGAATCAGAAGCTGCACATTATATCAAAGATGCTACTCCAAGTTTATTAGTTACTTGTAATGAAGAATTGGATAAGGCATTTAGGTGGGCTTTTTTAAGGGGAAATTTGAGATTTTGTCCGAAAAACCTGTGAAAATTTATCCAAAATGGAGATTTAAATTTTTCCACTGTTTCAAAAAAATTATAAGATACATTGATTAATTTTGAAATTTAGTACTTGAGAAACATATTATATAAAATTCCCCAGAAAATTCACTGTTCCAAAAAATTTTCAAATAAAAAATCAAGCTCAAGTTGTAATCTCAAAAAAATTTTCCAATGAAAAATCAGATTATGAAATTTTTCACTGTTTCAAAAAATGTATAAGATTTTTCGATTGATTTTGAAAAACTTGATTTCTCATAACTTACTTTTTTGAAACAGTGAAAAAATTCAAAGTTCATTTTTGGATATTTTTTTCGGCTTCTAATCATTAATAATTAGTTGATATTTATCAAAATTTTGATTTGAACCATCTTATAATGTTTATGCTGTATAAAATTCACTGTTTCAAAGAATTTTCAAAAAAAACATCAAGCTGATTTTATTTGATTCATTCGTGAGCTGCAATTCAATAAAAATCGGGATTCTTGAGATCTGAAAAAACTCTAAAATTCAAAATTTATCCTGAAAAATTGCTCAAAATTCAAATTTGACTTTTTTCACTGTTTCAAAAAAATTCATAAGATATTTTTATTCTCCAAATTTTGGTTGGAAAAATTGGAATTTTGGAATAATCTAGAAAAAATCAGAATTTTCTTCGAAAAAAAATCCCTCCAGAAAATTCACTGTTTCAAAAAATGTTAAAAATTTATAAAGATTTTTCATAAATTCCAAGAATTTTCAAAAATCAAAGTTTTTCAAATCCAAATTCCAAGCCTAATTCTTTCCAGAAATCAAATCTCTGTTATAAATGAGTCCAAATTATCTTCCGATGTTTCCACCCTCAAACCATGCACTGAAATCGAACACGTCGAACTCCAAGATCCCGCCTCAATTTGCTACACTTCTGGAACTACCGGACTTCCAAAAGGCGCTATTTTGACTCATAAAATGCTCATAAATAATACAAATAACCTGGTGAAACAGTGGAATTTTACAGATAATGATAGGTATGTCAATGGAGCGAACTTCAACAAAAAATTGATTTTTTCTAGAAATCTCCACGCTCTTCCATTCTATCATGCACATGGGCTATTTATCTCATTCCTATGCTCAATTTCCTCACATTCAACTATTATTTGGAGACCTAGATTTGATGTTGAAGATACGATTCAGCATCTCAAAACATCTACAGTGATGATGGGAGTTCCAACATTCTACAGTAGACTTTTGAATAGTCCCAATTTCAACGAAGAAGCTTTTGGGAATATGAGATTATTTTTATCCGGATCTGCTTCACTTTCAAGTGCGATTTTTGAGAAATTCAAGGAACACACTGGACATGTGATTTTGGAAAGATATGCGATGACTGAAGCATTGGTTATAACAACTAACCCATTAAATGGGATCAGGAAGGCGGGAACTGTTGGACTTCCAGTTCCAGGAGTCGATTTACGAATTGCTACGAATTCAAATGTAATTGAGATTAGATCCCCTGCAATATTCGGGGGATATTGGAAGAATCCAAAAAAGACGGCTGAAGAATTCACTGAAGATGGTTGGTTTAAAACTGGAGATGTTGGATTTGTTGATGAAGATGGATATTTGACGATTGGTGGAAGATCAAAAGATATGGTTATTACTGGTGGATTAAATGTTTATCCGAAGGAATTGGAAGATTTTATTGATACGTTGCCATTTGTTGAAGAATCGGCGGTTATTGGTGAGAGCAATTTTGGGGGAGATTTGGGAATTTTTGGGAAAAAAATTAGGAAACTATTATTTTCATATCAACATCACTAATATATCAAAAATCGTTATTTCTAATTCTTCATATGAAATAGTTGAAACAGTGGATTTTTGAACATCATGAAAATTTACTGTTTCAAAATTTTTGGCTGAAGCTTGGGAGATTCCAATTTTCGATGAATTTCTCATAGTCAATTATAATTTGTTTTTATAAGTTAATATTACTAATAATCATTTCTTCTGATTTTTCAATATGAAATAGCTGAAACAGTTAATTTTTGGGAATTTTAGATCAACGGAAAATTTTACGTTTCAACAAGTTTATATGAAAAATTTGGTTCAAATTGTAAATGATGCAATTTCAATGTGCATGAAGATTTGAAAAGCAAATTCATATTTCCAGATTTCTGATGAACCTAATGTAAGGACTTTCGAAAAATTCAAAAATCTTTGGAAACTTTTTAGAATTTATCAAAAATCGTCATTTTTGATTTTTCAATATAAAATATTTGAAACAGTGGATTTTTGATAATCACCTAATAACTTGACAACATACCACGCCCAGGGTGAGGCATTTGCACGGCGCCAATAGAAAAATACGGCAATTCACCTCGCCAATTTGAGATTTTCTTCAAAAAACGGCAAATTTTTGCTTGTTTTTCCGTAAAAAAGTCGTATTTTTCAGTCAAAAAGGTTGTTTTCACCTCGCCAAAATTTTCAAAACCCACAACGCCAATTTTAACAGTTAATTTGCACGAAGTTGGGCGTGGTATGCTTGACAATTAATTTAAAATTTCGAATTCGAAATTTATTGATAAAAAAATCACAATTTCATCATACGTTTGTTTGGAAAAACTTCTAGATCTCGCATCCATCAAAAAGCGTTATTTCTGATTTATAAGAATTCATACTAAATAGTTGAAACTGTGGATTTTTGATGACCATAAAAATTCACTGTTTCAACATTTTTATATGAAAGTGTTGATTCAAGTTGTGAATAGTTTCGATATTAACAAAAAACGTCAACACTTGGTTCCCCAGAAAAAAAATGAAAAGATTTTGGCACGCAAACAGAAAATTTCTGGAAAAATTCACTGTTTCAACAAATTTTGATTCAAGTAGTGAATATTCAGATTTTGATTCCTCTGAGGGTATATAAGATAGGTTAAAATTGAAAAGTTGCCGGTTTTTAACAATATTTATAAAAAAAGAAAAAATCATCGCAAAAAAATTAAAAATAATACTTTTATCCAAGATACATAAATTTATATTTTTTGTTATAAATCCAACAAAAATATAATGAATTTTTATGGCCGAATATGTTTTTGTAAAAACCATATATTTTTAAAAGAACAAATTCTGATTTTCGAAAAATAACGATTTGCGCCGAGCACAAATCGTTATATTTTAATTTTGGATGTGCGTGGTGAAAATTTATTTTCTAACGTGACCTTTTATTTTCTAAATCTGACGATTTGATCCGAGCTCAAATCGTTAGATTTTGAAAATCCAACCGAAATCATTCTTCATATGTTTTTTGCATTTCTTAACACATGATAAGTTTTCAAAAACCGTTGTTGTCATTTTCCAGGACCACACCAAGAAATTTTTGAGACATATTGCCTCAAAAAATACGTCGAGATGAAACAATTTCAAAAAGAGAAATGACTAAATCCAACGAAAAATTATACGTGTCACACGTTTTCTGGTTGGGTTTCGCCATTTCTCTTTTTTTGAACTGATCCATCTTATCCGTTTCGAGACGAGATGCGTTAAAATGACTTATGGAGTTGTTTTGGGCAATACAGACAATTATAAAAGTTTGTAGAACATGCTATGGTGCCCATGAATTGTAAAACAAATATAAACAACTTTTTTTTCGGATTTTCAAAATCTAACGATTTGAGCCAGGATCAAATCGTTAGATTTTAAAAATAGAAGGTCACGTTTTTAGTCACAAATAATATTTTTTTTTGTTTTCAAAATATAACGATTTGGGTTGGGATCAAATCGTTAGATTCTGAAAATAAATACAACGTTTCTAATTCAAATAAAATAAACTGAAATATTTGCCTATTTTTAATCAAAAGTACAGTAACATTTATCGATTGAATATTTTCATTGATTTTCAAATTTAAAGCTAATGATTTGGACAGATATTTGATTTTTCCGTCAAAACCGGCAACTTTTCAAATTTAACCTATCTTATATGCTCGAAAAATTTCTGAAAACCAATTTTAGCATCAAATTTATATTTTATATTTTTATATTATAATGCTCAAAAATAACCATAAATACTCGATGTTTCTGATTTTCCATATAAAATTGTTGAAACAGTGGATTTTCGAAAATTTTAGACCGCCATAATAATTTACTGTTTCAAAATTTTATCATAAAAGTTTTGCTTCAATAGTCAAATGATGAAGCGTTGGCATGTGAAACATTTAATTTTAGGAACCTGAAAATAAGAATTCAAAATTTAAAAATTGAAAATTATTGGAAAAACCCAGAATATCAAATATAGCAATTTCTGATTTTTTATAAAATATTTGAAACAGTGGATTTTCGAGAATTTTAGATGATCGGAAAAATTCACTGTTTCAAAATTTTAATATGAAAATGTTGATTCAAGTAGTAAATAATGATTCTCACAATTTTTGTTTAAAAAAATGTCCTAGGTCGAATTTTCAATAGCTCCAACGATGTTGGAAAAATTCATAAATCTTATTCGGAAACTTCTGAAAATTGACGAAAAATTGGTTTATTTTTAGATTGAAATTTTTATGGACTTATTATTTTTTAACTCAAAACGGATCAAAAATCCCTATTTCTAATTTTTTATACATTTAAAATTTTTGAAACAGTGAATTTTTGAGAATTTTAGAAGACCAGAAAAATTCACTGTTTCAAAATTTTCTTATGAAAATTTTAGATGAAGTTGTGAATAGTCCAACCGGCACTTTATGTTTAGAATCCTAAAAATCAGAATTTCATGAGATTGTTGGAATTTTTTCAATTTGAATTTCTCTGGAACTCCTCTTAAAATTCAGAATTTTTAAATATAAAATTTTTGAAACAGTAGATTTTTGGGAATTTTAGATGACCAGAAAAATTCACTGTTTCAAAAAAAATATTTTTTTGCAGCCTCACCCCACCCAGATTTTGGCGAAGCAGTTGTTGCAGTCGTTGTACCAAATGACAAATCAGTAAATCACAAAGAATTCGAGCAAAAACTGATTGGAATTATGAAGAAAAAAGTGGCGAATTACAAAGTTCCAAAACGTGTTATTCTACTCGATTCGTTGCCAAGAAATCATATTTCGAAAATTCAGAAAAAAGAGCTTCGTGAAGCTTATAAACATCTTTTTTCTGGAGAATAATTGAATTTTGGATTCGATGTAAAAATGTATATAAAATATAAAATCTTTATAATTCTTGTTTTTTTGGTTTTATCAAGGTCGAATTAATTCCCCAAATATCCAAATTTGCATCATTGTTTTCTTGTTGTTTCACCAAAGTTCAAAAGGTACAATTTTTTCGTTATCTTTGATTCCATTTCTATCTTTTCCCCCTCTTTTCTCTCATTTTTTGATTGATTTTTAAAGGGGCGGAGCCTAGAATTCTTTATATATATATATTTATATTAAAAAATCTATTTTGAAACAGTGATTTTGTAGAGAATGCTTAGTCGACTTACAAAGACTGTGCTTTCCGGAAGCGGAAGCGGAAGCGGATTGAGATTTGCGTCAAGTGCCGCCAACAATTTGTTCAATCAGGCCAATTTGACGGCGGATCCATCGAAGGTGGGACTTTTTTTGTGGGGGGGGGGGATTTTGGGAAAATTTCACTGTTTCAAGAATTTTATGAGTAAAATTGGAATTTTTGAGGAATTTGATTTGATTCAAATTTTAGTAACAAAAAATTGTGCAGAAAAATTCACTGTTTTAAAAATTTTATGAGTAAAAATTTGAAGTTTTGGGAAATCTAATCATAATGTTTTCTGTAGTTCGAAAAATTTTTGCCAAAAAAATTCACTGTTTCAAAAATACTTTACTCGAAATTACCGATTTGAACCTCGTTCTATGTTGAAATTGTATAAGCTCGAATTTTCAAAATCAACAGAAATTTCGTAGGAAAATTTACTGTTTCAAGAATTTTATGAGTAAAATTGGAAGTTTTGGAAAATTTGATTCCTTGCTAAAATTTCGGAATAATTTTTAATAGTTAATTAAATGAACAAATTTTACGAGCCAAAAAAATATCACGAGAAAAAATTTTTTTCCAAAAAAAAATTCACTGTTTCAAGAAATAAATATCAGAAATTTGTGATTTGATCGGCTAATAATAATAATCGTTTTGTTCATAGTGAAATTTCATAATCCTGTTCTTCAGATATTCCGTAGGAAAATTCACTGTTTCAAAAAAAAGTGAAAAATTCTCGGATAAATTGTATCAGTTTGTCAGACATTTTATTTCAAAACCAAACTATGCTCAAAAAATTTGCTGTTTCAAGAAAAACATATTGAAATTGACGATTTGATCAACAATGTTCCGATCATTGAAAATTGTAAAAATAAAACACCGTGATTTTTAATTAACCCCAAATCTGTAATTTTTGAAACCATAAAAATTCACTGTTTCAAAAAATTGATATTTGAAATTCATAGATTTTATAATTGATGCACTCCTAAGTGAATTTACAACAACAACAAAAAATATCAAAAATTCACTGTTTCAAAAGCTCTCATTTTTCTCCGAGATATTTTACGTTTCAATTGAATTACGATTGAAATCGGTTATTTGATTCATCAATTTAGCTAGGAAACTTGCTTTTTAAAAACAAATTAGATTTTCAGTGAAAAATATCTGCAAGTGAAATTAGTGAAATTTCTACTGATTCAAAAAATCGAGAAAAACTAGTTTAGAAAATTCACTGTTTCAAAAAAAGTGTGAAATCATAATTTTCCAAATAAATTCAGTTTGATGGTAGTTTTCCGTACAAAAATTCACTGTTTCAAAAATTAATTAATTAATTAATTGGGTAAATTTAAAATATTGAGTATTCCGAACAGTAGACAGGGTTTATTCGTAAAATTATTTTTACTGTTTCAAAAAATTTTCAATTGAAAATATTAATTTTTACTTTCGTTGGTAATATGAAAACATTTAGGAAAAAATAATTCAGAAATTCCACTGTTTCAAAAAAAAAACAAAATTAATTCAATTTTTGGCCAATTTCAGTTCACAAACATATTTTCTCAAAAATTCACTGTTTCAAAAAATATAATAGTAAAAATTTTCAAAATTAGTTCAGTATATCAACAAAAATCTTCACTGTTTCAAAAAACGTGTCAAATCGAATTTTCTGAGATTCGTGTAGTTATTTGAAAAAATTCTCTCAAAAATTCACTGCTTCAAAAAATTTTCAATTAAAAATATTAATTTTTGACTTTCGTTTATAGTTCTAGAAAAATTAATTTAGAAATTTCACTGTTTCAAAATTTTTCAAGATAAATTAATTTTTGGCCAATTTCAGTTGTGTCAACAATTTTTCTACATAATTTTCACTGTTTTAAAAAATAATCATCATAAATTCTTCCTTTTTTCCCATTGATCTGAACTGTTAATTCAAATCTCCTTCCGCCAACCCAAAAAAGGTTCAAAAATCAGTTAATAAAAACAAGGTCATTCGAAAGAAGAAACCTCGTGGTTCTTCTTTCATTATCTATTTTTACAATTTCTTATCTTTTGGCTGTTTTTTGAAGTCAAGCATGTTCTTCGGCAAATTTATTGATAGTAGATCAAAAAAAATTTTTTTTTCAGGTTTTGTTCATCGAAGATGATCGTCAACAGACTTATGGGGAATTTGTAAAAAGAGCTGGACAATATGCGACTGCTTTGACTGAAAAATATAATATCAAGGTGAATTTTCTGCTCTAAATCTACTAGATCTCTAACCCAAATCCAACACAATTTGATTTGCAGAAAGGTGATCGTGTAATGGCTCGTGTATCAAAATCAATCGATACAGCTGCTCTTTATATTGGTTGCCTTCAAATTGGAGCACTTTATATTCCAGTCAATCCAGGTTATACTGAATCAGAAGCTGCACATTATATCAAAGATGCTACTCCAAGTTTATTAGTTACTTGTAATGAAGAATTGGATAAGGGATTTAGGTGGGCTTTTTTAAGGAGGGGAAAAAATTAGATACAGTAAGAAAATCCTGAATTTTCAAGAAAACTTTGAAATCTTATCAAAAAAACCATCTTTGGAATTTTTTTTCACTGTTTCAAAAAATTCAGAAGATTTTTTGATGAATTTTGGATTTTAGTTAAGTAATTCTTTTAAGATTCTACTAACAATAGAAAATTTAAAAATTTTCTATTGTTAGTAGAATTTTTGGTCAGAAATTATTAAATGTGAAAAAAATCTAGAAAAAAAAACAAAAAATATTATCCAAAATTAATTTAATTTTTTCACTGTTTCAGAATTATTTTGATTAATTTTGCTCGATTTTTTGTTTGAGATTTTTCTGAAATTTTAGTTTCAAAAATAGAAATTTTAGAAAATTATTCAAAATTATTTTAATTTTTTCACTGTTTCAAAAAATTTACAAGATAATTTGATGAATTTTTAAATTTTTGAAGAAAAAATATTCAAATTTTAAATTTAAATTTTTCACTGTTTCAGAATTATTTTGATTAATTTTGCTCGATTTTTTGTTTGAGATTTTTCTGAAATTTTAGCGTCAAAAATTGAAATCCCTAGAAAAAAATCCAAAATTATTTTTTTTCCACTGTTTCAAAAAATTTACAAGATAATTTGATGAATTTTGGAATTTAATTCGATTGTTTGGATGGTCAAGAATTTTTAAATTTTTCTAAAAATTACCCAAAATTCGAATTTGATTTTTTCACTGTTTCAAAAATTTTATAATCAATATTGGTTGATTTTTTGATTGGTTTTAGTAAAGTTGTTCTCAAGTTAGTAGAATTTTTGGTCAGAAATTATTAAAATTGAAAAAATCTAGAAATTTCGTCTTAAAAATGTAGATAAATTTTTGAAAAAAAAAGAATAATTTCCAGAATTGAAAACTGAATTTTTCCACTGTTTCAAAAAATTTATAAGATAATTTGATGAATTTTGGAATTTAATTTGGCTGATCTTGTACCTCGAATTTCAATTTTTAAATTATTGAAGAAAAAATATTCAAAAATTAAATTTGAATTTTTTCACTGTTTCAAAAATGTTATAATTAATTTTGGTTGATTTTTTAATTGAGATTTTTTTGAAATTTTAGCTTCAAAAATAGAAATCCCTACAAATTATCCAAAATTATTTTGATTTTTTTTCACTGTTTCAAAAAATTTATAATTAATTTTGATGAATTTTGAAATTTAATATGTCTGTGAGCATCATATCTTTCAATTCTTCCAGATCCCAAATCAATGTTCTAAACGAGCTGAAACTTGCCAGCGAAGCCTCCACCCTCAAACCATGCACTGAAGTTGAACATGTTGATCCACTTGATGCCGCCTGTGTTTGCTACACTTCTGGAACTACCGGACTTCCGAAGGGAGCTATTTTGACACATGGAATGCTCAATAATAATGCTCATGATATTGTTAGAGATTGGGGATTTACCGAGAATGATAGGTGGGTTTCGGGGATTTTTTGAAGGGCTGAACTCAAAGCTGAATATGAGTTATTGAAATTGTGAGCCTAGTTCTCGCGCCTAGAAATTCTAGTTGTCAAGTAGCCACGCCTAGAGATCGACTCTAGCAAGGATCAGCGCCTTGAGAGCCTAATTGTCCAGTAGCCACGTCTAGAGATCATAATTTTCAAGTAAGCGCGCCTAGAGATCCACTACGACAAGGAACCGTCCCTAGAGAGCCAAGCTGTCAAGTCGCCGCATCTAGAGACCCCAGTTTTCAAGTAGCCACACCTAGAGATCTACTCAGGCAAGGAGCTGCCTCTAGAGAGCCAAGCTGTCAAGTAGCAACGCTTAGAGATCCACTACGACAAGGAGCCGCCTCTAGAGAGCCAAGTTGTCAAGCATCCACGGCTAGAACCCGTGGTTGTCAAGTCGACGCTTCTAGAGACCCCAGTTCTCAAGCAGCCACGCTTAGAGAACCTAATTGTCAAGTAGCTGAGCCTAGAAACCCTAGTTGTCAAGCAGTCGCGCCTAGATTTCCACTACGACAAGGAGTCGCCTCTAGAGATCCACGCTGTCAAGCAGCCGCAGCTAGAAACCTCGTTTGTCAAGTAGCCGCGCCTAGAGACCCCAGTTCTCAAGTAGCCACGCCTTGAGATTCACTCTGACAAGCATCAGCGCCTTGAGAGGCTATTTTTTACAAGCAGCCGTGTCTAGAGTGTCTTATTGCTCATATTAAACTCTTTTTTTCCAAAAAAAAATCGGCCTGAACTCTTCATTTTTCAGTATTTTCTTTCTTTCTTTTCAAATATTGAAAAATTGAATTTTTTCCAAAAAAAATTACTGTTTCAAAAAATACATATAATTTTTCAAATATAAAAACAATTCAGTATCGAATCTTTAGTCGACTTCCATGAACACAGAAGCTATTCAAAGCCACTTACATGAATAACTCATATGAGTTGTCCGAGAGAACTACACACAACTTCTATACAAAGATCATGCTGAAAATAACCCTGAAATCCAAAAATTCCAGAAATCTTCACGCCCTCCCATTCTACCATGTTCATGGTTTATACTATTCCCTCCATTGCTCCTTATTCTCCCATTCCTCAATCATCTGGAGACCAAAATTCGAAGTTGAAGACACAATTAAACATATGAAAACAGCTACAGTAATGATGGGAGTTCCAACATTCTACAGTCGACTTTTGAACAGTCCCAATTTCACCAAAGATGTTTTCAAAAATATTCGTGTCTTCCTATCTGGCTCAGCTCCATTGTCACTTGCCACAATTGAAGATTTCCAAAAACATACGGGACATGTGATTTTGGAAAGATATGGGATGACTGAGGCTGGAGTTATGACAACTAATCCATTAAATGGGGTTAGAAAGGCGGGAACTGTTGGACCGGCGGTTTCTGGAGTTGGATTACGAATTGCTCCAAATGGGGGAATTGAAGTGAAGACAAATGCGATTTTTGCGGGATATTGGAAGAATCCAAAAAAGACGGCTGAAGAATTCACTGAAGATGGTTGGTTTAAAACTGGAGATGTTGGATTTGTTGATGAAGATGGATATTTGACGATTGGTGGAAGATCAAAAGATATGGTTATTACTGGTGGATTAAATGTTTATCCGAAAGAATTGGAAGATTTTATTGATACGTTGCCATTTGTTGAAGAATCGGCGGTTATTGGTGAGAAATTTGGGAATTTTTGGGAAAAAATTATTCAAAAAATCATGAAATTATTTTTTTTTAAAATATAAAATAGTTGAAACAGTGGATTTTTTATCACCATAAAATTAACTGTGAAAAACAATTTCGAAAAATTATATTTTCCAGCTGAAAATTCATATTTTTTTCAACGAAAAATATTAGACACCAAATTTTCCAAAAAAAAAATACGTTTCAAAAAATTCCTAATTTTGCAGGGGTTTTTATTCCGGCTGATCTTTTGAACGATTTACGTGCGAAAAACTAGCCTCAAAAATTTTTATATAAAATATTTGAAACAGTGGATTTTAGAACATCATAAAAATTTACTGTTTCAAAATTTTTGGTTGAAGTTTGGATACATTTTTCATAATCAATTATAATACTAATAACGATTTTTTCTGATTTTTGAAATAATTGAAACAGTGAATTGTTGGAAAATACGAGGATTGATCAAAAATCGTTATTTCTAATTTTTCATATAAAATTGTTGAAACAGTGAATTTTTAGATTTTTAGAGAACCATAAAAATTCACTGTTTCAACATTCTGGAAATCTGAAAGTTAGGCTAACTTTTTTTCAGAAAACTAGAAAGTTGGGGGATTTTTGAAACAGTGAAAAAAGTTTTGAAAAATTATATTTTTTAGCTGAAAATTCATACTTTTTTCAACGAAAAAATTTAGAAATCAAATTTTCCGGAAAAAATACGTTTCAAAAAATTCCTAATTTCACGGGGTTTTTATTCCGGCTGATCTTTTTAGCGTTTTACTCAAAAATTTTTATATAAAATATTTGGAACAGTGCATTTTTGAACATCATAAAAATTTACTGTTTCAAATTTTTTGGTTGAAGTTTGGATGAATTTTTCGTAGATAATTATAAGATTAAATACTAATAACCATTTTTTCTGATTTTTTTGAAACAGTGAATTTTTGGGAAAAAGAAAAAATGATCAAAAATCGTTATTTCTAATTTTTCATATAAAATAGTTGAAACAGTGGATTTTTTAGATTTTTAGATCACCATAAAAATTCATTGTTTCAACATTTTGGAATCTGAAAGTTAGGCTAACTTTTTTCAGAAAACTAGAAAGTTGGGGGATTTTTTAACAGTGAAAACAATTTTGAAAAATTATACTTTTTTCAACGAAAAAATTTAGAAATCAAATTTTCCGGAAAAAATACGTTTCAAAAAATTCCAAATTTCGCGGGGTTTTTATTCCGGCTGATCTTTTTAGCGTTTTACGTGCGGAAAACTAGACTCAAAATTTTTTATATAAAATAGTTGAAACAGTGGATTTTTGAAAACATCATAAAAATTCACTGTTTCAAAATTTTTTAGTCAATTATAAAATTAAATACTACTAACCATTTTTTCTGATGTTTTTTTGAAACAGTGAATTTTTGGGAAAAAAAGAAAAAATGATCAAAAATCATTTTTTCTAATTTTTCATATAAAATAGTTGAAACAGTGGATTTTTAGTCCATAAAAATTCACTGTTTCAACACAATTTTGAAAATCTGAAAGTTAGGCTAACTTTTTTGGGAAAACTAGAAAGTTGGGGGATTTTTGAAACAGTGAAAAACATTTTTCGAAAAAGTATATGTTTCAGCTGAAAATTCATGCTTTTTTCAACGAAAAAATTTAGAAATCAAATTTTCTGGAAAAAATACGTTTCAAAAAATTCCTAATTTTGCGGGGTTTTTATTCCGGCTGATCTTTTGAACGTTTTACGTGCGAAAAACTAGACTCAAAAATTTTTATATAAAATATTTGAAACAGTAGATTTTTGAGCATCATAAATATTTACTGTTTCAAAATTTTTGGTTGAAGTTTGGATGAATTTTTCGTAGTCAATTATAAAATTAAATACTACTAACCATTTTTTTTGATTTTTTTGAAACAGTGAATTTTTAGATTTTCAGAGCACCATAAAAATTCACTGTTTCAACATTTTGGAATCTGAAATTTAGGCTAACTTTTTTTTTAGAAAACTAAAAAGTTGGGGGATTTTTGAAACAGTGAAAAAAGTTTTGAAAAAGTATATTTTTCAGCTGAAAATTCATACTTTTTTCAACGAAAAAATTAAGGAATCAAATTTTCCGGAAAAAATACGTTTCAAAAAATTCCAAATTTCGCAGGGTTTTTATTCCGGCTGATCTTTTTATCGTTTTACGTGCGAAAAACTAGACTCAATAATTTTTATATAAAGTAGTTGAAACAGTGGATTTTTGAACATCATAAAAATTTACTGTTTCAACATTTTTGGTTGTATTTTGGATACATTTTTCATAATCAATTATAATACTAATACCGATTTTTTTCTGATTTTTTAAATAATTGAAACAGTGGATTTTTGTGAAATACGCCGGTTGATCAAAAATCGTTATTTCCAATTTTCCATATAAAATATTTGAAACAGTAGATTTTTAGATTTTTAGATCACCATAAAAATTCACTGTTTCAACACAATTTTGGAATCTGAAAGTTAGGCTAACTTTTTTTCAGAAAAAAAGAAAGTTGGGGGATTTTTTAACTGTGAAAAACATTTTTCGAAAAATTAAATTTTCCAGCTGAAAATTCATACTTTTTCCAGCGAAAAAATTCAGAAATCAAATTTTCCGGAAAAAATACGTTTCAAAAAAATTCCAAATTTCGCAGGGTTTTTATTTCAGCTGATGCTTTGTACTTTTCTAGTGAAAATTTCAACTCAACAATTTTTGAAATCAGAATTTTTTAACTAAATTTTGTTGAAACAGTGAATTTTAGATGATCATAAAAGTTCACTGTTTCAACAATTTTTGGCTAAGAAAACGTTTAAAAAAATTCGAAATTTCAATATAAAATTTTCGAAACAGTGAATTTTTAAGAATTTTAAATAATCGGAAAAATTCACTGTTTCAACATTTTCATAAGAAATTTTTCATTTGAGCTCACTAATGGTAATCAATCTCCAAATCCTAATTTACTAACGTAAAATTTTCGAAACAGTGAATTTTCTAAAATAAAAATTCACTGTTTCATAATTTTTACATGAAATTTTGCATAAAAATTCAGAGTTTGGTGAGCAAAATTAATATTTTTTGGAACTCTTCCAAAAATCCAGAAAAAATTAAAAATTAAATTTTTTTCAGCCTCACCGCATCCAGATTTTGGCGAAGCAGTTGTTGCAGTCGTTGTACCAAATGACAAATCAGTGAATCACAAAGAATTCGAGCAAAAACTGATTGGAATTATGAAGAAAAAAGTGGCGAATTACAAAGTTCCAAAACGTGTTATTCTACTCGATTCGTTGCCAAGAAATCATATTTCGAAACTTCAGAAAAAAGAGCTTCGTGAAGCTTATAAACATCTTTTTCTGGAGAATAATTGAATTTTTGTATATAAAATATTAATAATTCTTGTTTTTTTGATTTTATCAAGGTCGATTTAATTCCCCAAATATCCAAATTTGCATCATTGTTTTCTTGTTGTTTCACCAAAGTTCAAAAGGTACAATTTTTTTCGTTATCTTTGATTCCATTTTTATCTTTTCCCCCTCTTTTCTCTCTCATTTTTTGATTGATTTTTAAAGGGGCGGAGCCTAGAATTCTTTATATATATATATTTATATATTTATATTATTATAGAATCTAGTGATTTTCTAGAGAATGCTTAGTCGACTTACAAAGACTGTGCTTTCCGGAAGCGGAAGCGGAAGCGGATTGAGATTTGCGTCAAGTGCCGCCAACAATTTGTTCAATCAGGCTAATTTGACGGCGGATCCATCGAAGGTGGGACATTTTTTTTGTGGGGGAAAAATTTGGGAAAATTTCACTGTTTCAGGAGTTTTATGAGTAAAATTGGAAGTATTGTAAAGTTTAATCGATTGTAAAAATTATTTTTGAAAATTTCACTGTTTCAAGAGTTTTATGAGTAAAATAGAAGTTTTAAGAAATTTGATCCCTTGAAAAATTTCACTAGCCAAATTCTATAAAATTTCATGAGAAAAAAATTTGTAAAAAAATTTCACTGTTTCAAGAAATAAATATCAGAAATTGGTGATTTGATCGGCTAATCCATTCTGAGCCCTTTGTTCATATTGAAATTTCATGAGCTGAAATTTTTAAAGAATATTTTTTATTATCTAACTCTTGTTCTCCAGAAATTCCGTAGGAAAATTCACTGATTCAAAAATATCTGTATCAATTTGTTAGCAAAAAATTGATTTATCTCTGAAAATTTCATTTCAAAACCAAACTATGCTCAAAAAATTTGCTGTTTCAAGAAAAACATATTGAAATTGACGATTTGATCAGTGAAAAATTCTAAAAATAAAACACTTTGATTTTTAATTAACCCCAAATATGTAATTTTTGAAATCATAGAAATTTCACTGTTTCAAAAAATTGATATTTGAAATTCATAGATTTTATAATTGATGCACTCGTGAAATATCAAAAACAAAAATAATATCAAAAATTTACTGTTTCAAAAGCTCTCATTTTTCTCCGAGATATTTTACGTTTCAATTGAATTACTATTGAAATCGGTTATTTGATTAATCAATTTCGCTAGTATACTTGCTTTTTAAAAACAAATTAGATTTTCAGTGAAAAATGTCTACAAGTGAAATTTCTACTGATTCAAAAAATCGAGAAAAACTAGTTTAGAAAATTCACTGTTTCAAAAAAACGTGTGATATCAAATTTTCAAGATAAATTCAGTTTCACGCCAATTTTCCGTGAAAAAAATTTCTCAAAAATTCACTGTTTCAAAAAATATTAAATTGAAAATTTTCAAAATTAGTTCAGTGTGTCAACAAAAATTTTCACTGTTTCAAAAAAAAGTGTAAAATCAGAATTTTCAAGATAAATTCAGTCTGTGGCAATTTCCCGTCCAAAAATTCACTGTTTCAAAATTTAATTAATTAATTAATTGGGTATATTTAAACTATTGAAGATCCGCGATTTTTGTGCATTTATTTGTAAAAAAATTTTTTACTGTTTCAAAAAATTTTCAATTAAAAATATTAATTTTTGACTTTTGTTGGTAATAAATGGAAACAACTGGGAAAAATTAATTTAGAAATTCACTGTTTCAAAATTTTTCAAGATGAATTCATTTTTTGGCCAATTTCTGTTCACAAACATATTTTCTCAAAAATTCACTGTTTCAAAAAATATTAAATTGAAAAAAAAACAATTTTTTCTACAAAATTTTCACTGTTTCAAAAAAAGTGTAAAATCGAATTTTCTGAAATTCGTGTAGTTGTTAGCAAAAATTCTCTCAAAAGTTCACTGTTTCAAAAAATTTTCACTTAAAAATATTAATTTTTGACTTTCGTTGGTAATACACGAAAAAAAGTGGGAAAAAATAATTTAGAAATTCCACTGTTTCAAAAAAAAAAGCAAAATAAATTCAATTTTTGGCCAATTTCAGTTCACAAACATATTTTCTGAATAATTAACTGTTTCAAAAAATATTAAATTGAAAATTTTCAAAATTAGTTCAGTATATCAACAAAAATTTTCACTGTTTCAAAAAACGTGTGAAACCACAATTTTCCAAATAAATTCACTTCGTGGCGATTTCTCGTGAAAAAAATTTCTCAAAAATTCACTGTTTCAAAAAATATTAAATTGAAAATTTTCAAAATTAGTTCAGTGTGTCAACAAAAATTTTCACTGTTTCAAAAAATAAATAAACAAATTGGGAATATTTTGAACTATTGGTGATACGCGATTTCTGTGCATTTATTTGTAAAATTATTTTTACTGTTTCAAAAAATTATTTTCAATTTGAAATATTAATTTTTGACTTTCGTTTATAGTTCTAGAAAAATTAATTTAGAAATTCCACAGTTTCAAATTTTTTTCAAGATAAATTCATGTTTTCGCCAATTTCTGTTCGCAAACATATTTTCTCAAAAATTTTCACTGTTTCAAAAAATAATCATCATAAATTCTTTTTTTTTTCCCACTGATCGGTTTTTGTTTCACCAACCCAAAAAAGGTTCAAAAATCAGTTAATAAAAACAAGGTCATTCGAAAAAAGAAACCTCGTGTTTCTTTTTTCCTATCTTTTGGCTGTTTTTTGAAGTCAAGCATGTTCTTCAGCAAATTAAAAAATTGATAGTAGATCAAAAAAAAAAAATTTTTTTTCAGGTTTTATTCATCGAAGATGATCGCCAACAAACTTATGGTGAATTTGTGAAAAGAGCTGGACAATATGCGACTGCTTTGACTGAAAAATATAATATCAAGGTGAATTTCTGCTCTAAATCTACTAGATCTCTAACCCAAATCCACAACTTCCATATTTTCTTCCAGAAAGGTGATCGTGTAATGGCTCGTGTATCAAAATCAATCGATACAGCTGCTCTTTATATTGGTTGCCTTCAAATTGGAGCACTTTATATTCCAGTCAATCCAGGTTATACTGAATCAGAAGCTGCACATTATATCAAAGATGCTACTCCAAGTTTATTAGTTACTTGTAATGAAGAATTGGATAAGGCATTTAGGTGGGATTTTTTTGAAAAGGAAAATTGAGATACAGTAAGAAAAACCCTGCATTTTCAAGTTACAAGAGAAAATTTGGAATTCTTTTAAAAAAAACATCTTTGAATTTTTTCACTGTTTCAAAAAATTCATAAAATTTTTTGATTAATTTTAGTGAAGTTGCTCTCAGTAATAAAATTTTTGACTCTTATGGACATTTAAATTTGAAAAAAATCTAGAAATTCTTCTGAAAAATGTAGATAAATGTTGAAAAAAAGAATAATTTCCAGAATTGAAAACTGAATTTTTCACTGTTTCAAAAAATTCATAACATATTTTAATGATTTTTGGAATTTAATTCGATTGTTTGGTTGGTCGCGAACTTTTAAATTTTTGAAGAAAATTACCCAAAATTCGAATTAGAATTTTTCCACTGTTTCAAAATTTTTATAATTAATTTCGGTTGATTTTTCGAGATTTTTCTGTAATTTTAGCTTCAAAAATTGAAATCCCTAGAAAATTACCCAAAATTCGAATTAGAATTTTTCCACTGTTTCAAAATTTTTATAATTAATTTCGGTTGATTTTTCGAGATTTTTCTGTAATTTTAGCTTCAAAAATTGAAATCCCTAGAAAATTATCCAAAATTATTTTGATTTTTTTCACTGTTTCAAAAAAATTCATAACATATTTTGATGAATTTCGGAATTTAATTCAGCTGATTGAATGATCGTGAATTTTTAAATTTTGGAAGAAAAAATATTCAAAATTTAAATTCAAATTTTTCACTGTTTCAGAAATATTATGATTAATTTTGGTTGATTTTTTGTTTGAGATTTTTCTGAAATTTTAGCTTCAAAAATAAAAATCCCTTCAAATTATCCAAAATTATTTTGAATTTTTTCCACTGTTTCAAATTATTATTTTTTGAAGAATTTTGAATTTTAGTGCATCTAAATTTTATTATTAGTAAAATTTTTGACTCTTATGGACATTTAAATTTGAAAAAAATCTAGAAATTTCTTCTGAAAAATGTAGTTAAATTTTGAAAAAAAAAGAATAATTTCCAGAATTGAAAACTGAATTTTTCACTGTTTCAAAAAATTCATAAGATTTTTTGATGAGTTTTGAAATTTAATATGTCTGTGAGCATCATATCTTTCAATTCTTCCAGATCCCAAATCAATGTCTTAAACGAGCTGAAACTTGCCAGCGAAGCCTCCACCCTCAAACCATGCACTGAAGTCGAACATGTTGATCCACTTGATGCCGCCTGTGTTTGCTACACTTCTGGAACAACCGGACTTCCAAAGGGAGCTATTTTGACACATGGCATGCTCAATAATAATGCTCATGATATTGTTAGAGATTGGGGATTTACAGAGAATGATAGGTGGGTTTCGGGGATTTTTTGAAGGGCTGAACTCAAAGCTGAATATGAGTTATGAAAATTGTGAGCCTAGTTCTCGCGCCTAGAAGTTTTAGCTGTCAAGTCGCCGCTTCTAGAGATCCCAGTTCTCAAATAGCCGTGCCTAGAGATCATACTTTTAAGGTAAGCGCGCCTAGAGACCCCAGTTCTCAAGCAGTCGCACCTAGAGAGCAGAGTTACAAGTAGCCACGCCTAGAGACCCCAGTTGTGAAGTAGCCACGCCTAGAGATCGAGTCTAGCAAGGGTCAGCGCCTTGAGAGCCTAGTTGTCAAGTAGCCGCGCCTAGAGATCATAACTTTCAAGTAAGCGCGCCTAGAGATCCACTACGACAAGGAGTAGGCTCTAGAGAGCCAAGCTGTCAAGCAGCCGCGGCTAGAACCCTTGTTTGTCAAGTAGCTGAGCCTAGAGACCCCAGTTCTCAAGTAGCCACACCTTGAGATTCACTCTGACAAGCATCAGCGCCTTGAGAGGCTATTTTACAAGCAGCCGTGTCTAGAGTGTCTTATTGCTCATATTAAACTCTTTTTTTTCAAAAAAATCGAACAGAAACTCTTCATTTTTCACTATTTTCTTCATTTTTAATTTTTGAAACAGTGAATTTTTTCCAAAATTTTTTTTTCGAAAAATTGAATTTTTTCCAAAAATATTCAAAAAAAATTACTGTTTCAAAAAATAAATATAATTTTTCAAATATGAAAATAATTCAGTATTGAATCTTTAGTGTGTGGCTATGAAAACTGAAGCTATTTTTGCCACGTCACAACTCATATGAGTTGTCCGAGAGAACTACACAAAATTTGATCATGCTGAAAATAACCCTGAAATTCAAAATTCCAGAAATCTTCACGCCCTTCCATTCTACCATGTTCATGGTTTATATTATTCCCTCCATTGCTCACTTTTCTCCCATTCCTCAATTATCTGGAGACCAAAATTCGAAGTTGAAGACACAATTAAACATATGAAAACAGCTACAGTAATGATGGGAGTTCCAACATTCTACAGTCGACTTTTGAACAGTCCCAATTTCACCAAAGATGTCTTCAAAGATATTCGTGTCTTCCTATCTGGCTCAGCTCCATTGTCACTTGCCACAATTGAAGATTTCCAGAAGCATACGGGACATGTGATTTTGGAAAGATATGGGATGACTGAGGCTGGAGTTATGACAACTAACCCATTAAATGGGGTTAGAAAGGCGGGAACTGTTGGACCTGCGGTTTCGGGAGTTGGATTACGAATCGCGAAAAATGGGGGAATTGAAGTGAAGACAAATGCGATTTTTGCGGGATATTGGAAGAATGCAAAAAAGACGGCTGAAGAATTCACTGAAGATGGTTGGTTTAAAACTGGAGATGTTGGATTTGTTGATGAAGATGGATATTTGACGATTGGTGGAAGATCAAAAGATATGGTTATTACTGGTGGATTAAATGTTTATCCGAAAGAATTGGAAGATTTTATTGATACGTTGCCATTTGTTGAAGAATCTGCGGTTATTGGTGAGGAATTTGGGGATATTTGGGGAAAATTATTTGAAAAATCATGAAATTATTCTTTTTTTTAATATAAAATAGTTGAAACAGTGGATTTTTGAACATCATAAAAATTTGCTGTTTCAAAATTTTTGGTTGAAGTTTGGATAAATTTTTCAATTACTTACTAATAACCATTTTTTCTAATTTTTCATATGAAACAGTTGAAACAGTGGATTTTTTAGATTTTCAGAGCACCATAAAAATTCACTGTTTCAACATTTTGGAATCTGAAAGTTAGGCTAACTTTTTTTCAAAAAACTAGAAAGTTGGGGGATTTTTAACAGTGAAAACAATTTCGAAAAAGTATACTTTCCAGCTGAAAATTCATACTTTTTTCAACGAAAAAATTTAGAAATCAAATTTTCCGGAAAAAAAATACGTTTCAAAAAAATTCCAAATTTCGCAGGGTTTTTATTCCAGCTGTTTTAAACATTTCTGATTGCAAAAAACTTGACTCAAAAATTTTCATATAAAATATTTGAAACAGTGGATTTTTGAAAATGATATAAATTTACTGTTTCAACAATTTTTGGCTAAGAAAACGTTTAAAAAAATTCCAAATTTCAATATAAAATTTTCGAAACAGTGAATTTTTGAGAATTTTAGATGATCGGAAAAATTCACTGTTTCAACATTTTCATAAGAAATTTCTCATTTGAGCTCACTAATGGTAATCAATCTCCAAATCCTAATTTACTAACTTAAAATTTTCGAAAGAGTGAATTTTCGAAAATAAAAATTCACTGTTTCATAATTTTTACATGAAATTTTGGATGAAAATTCAGAGTTTCGTGAGCAAATTCAACACTCTTCAAAAATCCAGCCAAAAAAAATAAAAATTCAATTTTTTTTGCAGCCTCACCCCACCCAGATTTTGGCGAAGCAGTTGTTGCAGTAGTTGTACCAAATGACAAATCAGTAAATCACAAAGAATTCGAGCAAAAACTGATTGGAATTATGAAGAAAAAAGTGGCGAATTACAAAGTTCCAAAACGTGTTATTCTACTCGATTCGTTGCCAAGAAATCATATTTCGAAAATTCAGAAAAAAGAGCTTCGTGATACCTACAAAAATCTTTTTCAATAGATTTTAGGAAGATTTTGTATATACTTTTATTGCTTGCGAGATAAATGATTGGAACCGTAATCTTGGAGCATCGTTGGAAAAGGTCTGTTCATTTTAGATAAATTTTCAGGTTTCCTAATTCCCTGACCTCCCCAATTTGAACCAGTTTTCTGAAATCCCTTGATCCTTCCGTTCCTCCAAGTTAAGCCATAATCTCATCCGTTTTCTTTTTCTTTTTTTCAAAAAAAAAAAAAAAAATTATTTTTAAGTGCTTATTTATAATAATTACTGTAGGCCTGCTTTGCCACAAAACAAAAACTTTCAATTTTAAAATGGCTTTTGCCTTTCCAAATCTAGATATTAATTACTTATATTTCATCCGATTTTATTACTTTTTTATTTGATTTCGAAAAATTTCTACATAACTTCGAAATGTTTTCAGAATTGGTTGAATCTAGTTTTTGAAACGTATTTTTTCAGGTTTTGAGAATTTCCAGAAAATCTGAAATTTTGATGTTTGAACAGTTTTTTTTTAATTGTAGGACCGGTTTTCAGAATTTTGAACTTGAGAAAAAAATTTCAAAATTTTTTTTTGAACTGGAAAAAAGTATTGCTCATGTTTGATTTTTTATCGAATTTTTCAAAATTTCAAAAAATTTTAAGCTTTCCAAGATCAATTTTAATTTTCAGATTCCGGAGAAAATTGAGAATTTAAAAATATTGCTCATGTTAAATTCTGAATTTCAGATCTAAAAAATCTAGTTAACCTTTTCAGAAACAAAAATTCGCAAATCGCACTCAAAATTCGAATTCAGAAAAAATATTTGAAAAAAAACATTGCTCATGTTAATTTATTTTAATTTTGTTAACCTTTCCAAAATCCTTCTTAAATTTTCCCAAGGCGTAGTTACGGAGTATCGTATTCTCCAGTAACTCGAAAAGTGAAACTACAACACTCCGCATTTACGCTAGAGTATAATTTTTTTTTGAAAAAAATTTTTTTTTCCAAAAAAAATCAATTTTTCCCCCAAACCCCTCTTTTTTCCTCTATAATCTGTTCCGCATCCTCAAAAAGACCAAAAAAAAATAGGAACTTAAGTACCTTTTTTCCTTTTTTTCATCTTCTAAACCGTCTTCTGATGAAACCACTTCAAAAATTCACTGTTTCAAAATTTTTTTTCATTTTCCCATGCAAATTATCTATATATTTTCACTGTTTCAAAAAAAAATCCTCCCTCAAAATAGGCTCCGCCCATTTTTCGCCTCCCCAATTTATTCTGTGTCATATATTTTTCCTATTTCTCTAGGCTAGCTAGTTCCCCCCTACAGTAACCGGTATATTTGCTGGCTTTGCTGCTGGTCATTATTATTTTCCCACTAGGATTTGTGAAATACTTTTTTTTTTTACTACTATTAATAATGACCACAGCTTTTTTGAAGTGTTTTTTTCTGTTTTTTGGGCAGGTTTCAAACGACACTCCGCTTTTACGGGGTGATTTTTCTAGATAAAATTGAATTTTTAACGACACTCCGCTTTTACGGGGTGATTTTTCTAGATAAAATTGCATTTTTAACGACACTCCGCTTTTACGGGGAGCGATTTTTCTAGATAAAATTGAATTTTTAACGACACTCCGCTTTTACACGCAGGGATTTTTCTAGATAAAATTGCATTTTTAACGACACTCCGCTTTTACGGGGGGATTTTTCTAGATAAAATTGCATTTTTAACGACACTCCGCTTTTACGGGGGGATTTTTCTAGATAAAATTGCATTTTTAACGACACTCCGCTTTTACGGGGGATTTTTCTAGATAAAATTGCATTTTTAACGACACTCCGCTTTTACACACAGGTTTTTTTTGTTGGTAAAATTGAATTTTTAACGACACTCCGCTTTTACACCTTCAAAAATCTGAAGAAGCTAAAGTTTCTTGATTTCTCTAAATTTTGAACGAAGCTCCGCTTTTACGGAGTATCGTAGTATTTTTCAAAAAATCAAAAATTTTCAAACAACACTCCGCAATTACACTTATATATGAAAATCGTAAAATTTGAAAATAGGTTATCAACAACACTCCGCATTTACGCTGTTATTGTGTTTATCTGACTCTAGCGCTTACAAACGATACTCCGCACATACGCCTCTCAAAAATCTCTGGGAATTTTTTATTTTCAAAAAATTCTATCTTGCAAACGAGGCTCCACATTTACGCCTCTCAAAAATCTCCGGGAAGACTTTATTTTCAAAAAAATTTAAATATTGCAAACGAGGCTCCGCAGTTACGGCTATCCTTTTCGCTTTCAAGGCGTTATTGCGGAGTATTGTTCCTCTACTTATCACAGGCGAAAAAAAAATTATTTTTTTAATTTTTTGATCTACCCAAAAATCAGCGCGCGAAAAAATTATTTTTTTTTTCATTTTCACTTTTTTTTTCAGCGATAAAAAAATTGTTCCTTTTTGTTTGGTTTTTTTTCGCCTTACAAACGATGCTCCTTTTACACCGTGTTTTTTTCAAAAAAAAAAACATTTTTTTGTACTTTTTCTCTTTTTTTTTCCCATTCAACCGTATAACCCGATTCTTCAAAACAAACAAACCTCTCTCATTTTCAACATTTTTTTTTGAATTCAGCGAGAAAAAATGCGACAAATTTGGATATTCCTCTTGACAATTTCGACTATTTTAATAACAAAAGGTGAGATTTTTTCGTTATTTTTAGAAAAATTCGCAAAAAATACCAGTTTTTCGCTTGTTTGTCCGATTTTTTGAAACATAAGCTTAAGAAGACTGGATTTTTGCGGGGAAACAGGGATTTCAAACGACGCTCCGCAATTACAGCGTTTCAAACGATACTCCGGGTTTACAGGGTTAAAAATTTAGGATTAGATTTTAAAGAGATATTCCAGAATTCAAATTAAATCTCAAACGATACTCCAGGTTTACGGGGAGAGAGATTTAGCTTTAGATCTTTATGATATCTTCTAGAATTTCCAACGATACTCCAGAGCTACAGCAACTAATTTCAGATCTAAAATTCAAATTAATTTTCAGCCAACACCCTAACCTGCTACATTTGTGGTGATAATAATTTGGATGAATTTGGCGAGTGTCAACAACATTTTTTATTCGATTGTGATTCCTATGCCAGTAGATTTTCGAAAGATGAACGGATTTATTGTAGAACCACAAGAAGTCGCGCCAAAAATAGTGAGTTTAAAGGGACATTTGCCACAAAAACCATTTTTAAAGGCGCATGACCTTCATTTTTACCCTAAAAAACCCTATAATCCTATTATTTCGCAAAAATAACAAAATAATAATATTCCGTGACCATGACACAATCGTTCCGCACCACCAAAAGTCGCTTTTTGTTTTGTAAAAAGAAAACATATCGTAAAAATGCTTGTGTAGTTCTCTTGGAGAAAAAATTAAAGGCACACACGTTATTTTCAAGAAAATATCTTGCAGCGAAAATATTTCCGTGTAGTTCTCTTGGAGAAGATTTCTAGAAATTCACAATAAAACTTAAAGGCGCACGTTATTTTCAAGAAAATATCTCGAAGCGAAAATGTGTTCGTGTAGTTCTATTGGAGAAGATTTCTAGAAATTCACAATTAAACTTACAATTAAAGGCGCACGTTACTTTCAAGAAAATATCTCGCAGCGAAATTTTTTTCGTGTAGTTCTCTCGGACAATTTTCATTTTTTTTGCCATTCGATTTCGATTTTCCAAGGTTGAAAACTTTCTTTTTTCCGAAATCCAAGCTAATTATAATTGAGTATGGCATTCATGGGTAATTAAAAAATGAAAAATGGATTTTGGTCGAGGGAAAGTTGTCCGAGAGAACTACACAAACACACATTTTCGCTGCAAGATATTCCTCCACAATTTCATGCGCCTTTAAAAATTGTTTTTCTCAGAAAAGTCAATTTCAATTCAATTCACTTCAAAACCAAAATTTCACCAAAAAAGTTCATAACTTCAAGCAAAGCCGCAACAAAAAAGGCACTTTCTCTTTTTTTTATTCGAGGATTGACCTACATTTAAAATATGGTTGGGTATAATAGTTGTATGTGAAAAGAGTGCGCGAGAGGCTTATGAAATAAAAACTACAAATAAACAAAGGGGAAACTACATAACTGTTTTTGGAGGAAAAGCTGAAAAATTCACTGTTTCAAAATATTTTTTGAATATTTTAACCTTCAAACCTTCAAAAAAATTCACTGTTTCAAAATTTTTGAAAAAAATTTTCCATTTTGGTGGGTTTTTGATATATGCAATGATTTAAGAAAAAAGTTTTCTGAAATTTTGTTTTAAAAATTTTTTTTCATTTTTAAAATCACATTAGCAATTCCCATATCAAAAAATCGAAAATTGAAAAAATTTACAAAATTTTTGAAACAGTAAAATTTTCACAAAGAAGTTTTTTGAATTTTTTTATTCAAAACACTTCAAAGATTTTTTGAAACAGTAATTTTTTTTCAAATTTTTGATGTGTTCAACAAAATCCACGTGGCATCAAAAAATAATTTCAGAAAAATTGTTCCTTTGAAATTTCTTTTTAATTGTAGATCCAAACATTACCCTGTGTATCAACAGACACAATGACTAAAGAATATTTTAAATATTTTTGAAACAGTAAATTTTTTTAAAAATTTTCCTACATTTTCTGCAGTTAGCATTGTCGTTTCAATTTATCAAAAAATTCGGAAAACAAAAAATTATTTTCAAGTTTTTTGAAACAGTTAAATTTTTCAACAAAGAATTTTTTGGTAATTTTTTAATACTGATAAATAATCTCTTTCGATCAAAAAAACAAAAACATATAAATATTTTCAAGATTTTTTTGAAACAGTAATTTTTTTTCTTTATTTTCTCACATTTTTTCAGTTAGCATTGTCGTATCAATCCATCAAAAATTCAAAAAACAAAAAAATATTTACAAAATTTTTGAAACAGTGAATTTTTTTCAAACAATTTTTTTGAAATTTTTTCGTTGAAAAGTTGGTCACATTTTTCCAGTTCAATTTGGTAATGTTATCAAAAAATTAGCAACTTGCAAATAATTTCAAAACTTTTTGAAACAGTAAAATTATTTTAAAATGAATTTTCTGAAATTTTTTCGTTTAAAATTTTTTTTTTCAAACAATGTACCAACTAAAGAAACTAAAGAACTAAAGAAAAATTTACAAAATTTTTGAAACAGTGAATTTTTCCTAATAAGTTTTTTATTGCTTCTGAAATTTTCTTTCGCTTTTAATAAAAAATTCGAGAATCCAAAAAATATTTACGAAATTTTTGAAACAGTAAATTTTTTCGTTTCAAAATTTTCTCACATTTTTTTCAATTAGCATTGTCGTATCAATCCATCAAAAATTCGAAAAACGATAAAATATTTACAAAAATTTTGAAACAGTGAATTTTATTCGAGCGGAGCGAGTGTAAACCGCAAGCTTCCGCGAAGCGGCACAATCTTCCGCGTAGCGGCCACGTGGATTTTAGTCTTAGCCAAATCCCGAGCGCCTCAAGCGCGAGTGTAAACCGCAATCTTCCGCGGAGCGGCACTATCTTCCGCGTAGCGGCCACGTAGATTTAAGTTATAGCCAAATCCCGAGCGCTTTCCGCGAAGCGGCACAATCTTCCGCATAGCGGCCATCCCGAGCGCTTCCGCGAAGCGGCAAAGCTACCATTTTAGTATAAACTTAGCCTAACTTCTCCTCCAAAAAATCCCAAAATTTCATTCAATTCCAGACACATTCACAATAATGAAAGAATGCATTTCGGAACAAGACCACTACCGTACCTTCCCAGAAAAAGGCTATCGATTAGATGAGGAATGTGATTTGGTTGATATTCGCGGAGAAGAAGTCGCTTATTGTTTGTGTCGAAGTGATAATTGCAACAAACAACCAATTGCAGAACAATTTATGGCTTTCGAGGAAAAACATCCTGAACTTTTTGGCGAACTTGATGAAACCAAGAAGCCTCCAGCTCCTCCTCCTCCTCAAAATTTTCCAAAAAACTTCCAGGCTCCGCTGAAAATCCAACAACTTCCAGCGAATTTTGCCGCTCCAGCCATAGTTCCTATCAATGATCTTCGATCTTCCGAATCCGATATTCGACGCTCTCAACTTCGCGCATCTGGCATCGAAACTGAAATTTCCAGCATCCCTCGTCCGATTCCGATTCCGAACTCCAGAGAAGCTCTAGAACTTCCGATCATGAATCAACCGATCTCCGAGGGATCTTTTGTGGGACTGAGATTGCCTAGAGTGGAGGCGGAGCCAAAAGAGCCCGAGGATTCAAACATTGCTCATGTTATGAAGTGTATTCAATGTGGAGATGGGAATCTGAAAAGTTCGAGTGAGGAATGTAAAAGACAAGTTCAAGTTGAATGTCAATCGGAGAGATCAATGTGTTTTACACGGCAGATTAATATTGGAAATGGTGGGTTTTTTCTGGGAAGATCTAGAAAATCTGGAATTTCAGCATTTTTTAATAGAAAATCTGAAAAATTTTCAGAATTTTTTTAAAGCTCAAAATCTAGGTTACATGATCTATGATCAAAAAATTCAAAAAAAAATAAATAACATTTTTGAAACAGTGAAAAAACCTGGAATTTCAGGAAAAAATTTGTGGAAACTCTTATTTTCGTGCTGAAAATTCACAGCATTTTTAATAGAAAATCTGAAAAATTTTCGGAATTTTGAAGCTCAAAGGTCTAAAATCAAAAAATTTCCAGAAAAAAAAATATAATTTTTGAAACAGTGAAAAAACCAGGAATTTCAGAAAAAATTCTTCAGAAAATTCAGGATTTTGAACCAAATTTGGAGCTGGAAATTCTTGTTTTTGAGGAAAATTTGGCTCTTTTTTTTGTCTGAAAATTATTTTAAGACCCTAGAAAATTTCAGAATTTTTTCAAAGCTCAAAATCTAGGTTGCATGATCGAAAACATAAAAAATGCTCAATATTATCAAAAATTTCGAAAAAAAATATACACAATTTTTGAAACAGTGAAAAAACCTGGAATTTCAGGAAATTTACAGCATTTTTTAATAAAAAATTTGGAAAATTTTCAGAATTTTGAAACTCAATGGTCTAACGATTTCATACTAAAACCAAAAATTTCCAGAAAAAAATACAAATAATTTTTGAAACAGTGAAAAAATCTCCCAAAATTTCCAGGACTCTACGGCATGGAGAAAATGTGTGTGCTGCCCGAGCAACTCGTCAATGAATTTGGCGAATCTGCGCGCGAGCAAGGTTGCGGCTCTTCAAATGGCGGCAGGGTTCAATATTGCGCATGCACAAGTCCCAGTTGCAATCAAATCCCACTTTCACAGCAAGTGAGTCGGGTTTTTCAACTAGATTTAACCCCTCTTCAAAAACGCATGGCTGGTTAAGTGGCAGCGCCTTCTGCTGGCGATCTGAAGACCCGAGTTCGAGTCTTGCTCGGGGCGAACTTTTTTTTTCTTTTTTTTCTCGTGCTGTCTAACAAGGGTTTTTTTATTTAGAATAATAACAATTGACCCAAATAAAAGTAATTCATTCATCATTCATCAACCAATAATTCAAGTGTATGATTTTTTTAATAGTAGTTTATTTGATGGAAATTCGAGGAGAAAAAAAACAATAATCACTTTGACCGTGACATAAAATAGAAAATGAGAAGAACAGGATTTTAGGGACTTTTGCCACGTCATAGCTTTTATCAAAAACAACTTAGCTCAACTCGGAACATGAGTTATGACGTGGCAAAGTTTGTGAAATCAGAAAAAAATCTAACTGTTTCAAAAATACTATTCAAATTTTCGGTGAAAAAAAATAATTTTTAAATAAAAATTGTGAAACCAATAGAAAAATAATGTTGAAAATTCACTGTTTCAAATATTTAACATAAAAAAAGTTCAGAAAATTAAGGACGATTCATAAATTCTGATAATTTTAGAAAAAAAAAATTATTTCACTGTTTCAAAAAATCAATATTAAAATAATCTAAATTTAGTATTTGGTAAACATCTTGAGTTTGTGAAAAAAAATTAATTTTCAGATAAATCCACTGTTTCAACTATTTTTCATCTAGATTTTTCTGCTATTACACCTAACACAAAATTCTAAAAACTCACTGTTTCAAAATTTTCAAAAAAAAAATGTCAAATTGATGCTGAAGTGATTGAAAAGTCACAGATTGTTGAATTTTAAAAATCTACTGTTTCAAATTTTTCTCATATTTTTCATAAGCTTTTTAATAATTTTGCTAAATTCTTCCCAAAACTTTCCGAAATTTTGCCACGTCATAACTCATATTCAAAATTGAGTTTAGCTATTTTTGATATCGGGATCATGATCAGCGGGTCAAATTTTCCTAAAAAAATTAAATTTTGAAGTTACCCCAACTTTTTATATTTTCCATTGGATTAAATATCATCTTATCAAAGATTCAAACACTTCAAAAATATATACAACATTTTTGAAACAGTGAAATTTTTAAAATTCTGAACTAGAGTAATTTCCTTGGAAAATCATAGATTTTTGGATTTTAAAAATCTACTGTTTCAAAATTTTCACATATTTTTAAAGATTTTTAATAATTTTGCTGGATTCTGGGTAAAAAACATCCAAAATTTTGCCACGTCATAACACATGTTCTAAATTCCAGATGCAAATCTTCAACACCAACCCGCCATCTCGATCTCACAACGTTCCCGAACTCGCCTCTCCCGATCTCCCACCTCCACCAAAACAGCCACCACAATCACCACCCACCGCCGAACTCGTCCCACCACCTCAACCAATTATCCCAGTGATCTCGAGAAGTGGATCTTCTGGAGCTAGTCAACCCGGAAGATCAGTGGAACCTCCGGGCAGCTCGAAAAGCTTCAGATGTACAGTTTGCAGTGAGAATGATATGGCTGATCCGACGGCTGATTGTAGAGGAATGTCCGAGGAGATTTGTGATGAAACATCGAGGTTTTGTGTGACGAAACAGACACAGATTTCGACTAGTGAGTGGGAATTTTGGGGGCTTGAAATTGGAAAAAATTTCAGCCAAAAATTTTCAGATTTATTGTAAAACATCGAATCTAACATTAGATCTTATTTCTAGATGGAAAAATTGAGAAAACTTTGAAACAGTGAAATTTTTGAATTGAAATTCCACAAAAAAATAATTTTCAGATTTTTTTTCGGACTTTTGGGCTTTTTTATGGACCTAAATAGTTCAGAAAACTTTGAAACAGTGAAATTTTCTAATTTAAATTTAACAAAAAAAAATAATTTTAAGATTTTTTTTCGGACTTTTGGGCTCTTTTTATGGATTATACTTCAGAAAACTTTTTAAAAATTCGAAATTAATTGAGAAAACTTTGAAACAGTGAAATTTTTGAGCAGAAAAATCGTCGAAAAACAAAAATACACAGAATATTATTTTGATTAGAGACAGTGGAAAATTGAGAGAGCGCAGACAGCACAAAATTAGTTTTTAGGGTGAAAGTTAGGCTAACTTTTGTTCAAAAACCTACATAATATTCTGCTGTCTGCGCTCTCTCAATTTTCCATTGTCTCTAATCAGAATTCTGCATTGGAAAAATTTTTTTTGTTTTAAAAATTTCACTGTTTCAAAGTTTTCTCAATTCGAGTTTTCTCCCAAGTTCAAAAATTTGAGTTCAACATTTTTTTAAAAATTTTCAAAATTTCACCTGCCTGGTTTTTGAACCACGATTTCCCAATTTTCAACAAAAAAACTCAAAAACCTGAATTCTCCAGGCTCGTTCGCAATGGAGAAAAAATGCCTTTCGGACCGCGAATCTGCCAAATTTTTGCCGGGCGAAAAAATCGAGGAGGGATGTGCCACGTCGGAAAGTGGAATGGTCAATTATTGTATTTGCGCGGGCAATTTGTGTAATCGAAATTCGCTACTTCAACAGGCACAAATGAGCGGGTAGGAGAGAAAATTTGAAAATTTGAAAAAAAATCATATCGTCCGAGAGAACTACACACAATTCTCAATGGAGCGCAATTGATTTTTTATCAAAAATATGTTTTCTAGAAGATTTTGAACCGTAGATCATGATTCTGTTGTCAAAAACTGGAAAAGTCAACTCTGAAGATGAGTTATGACGTGGCAAAGTTAAATAATCGTGATTTCACAAGGTTATAACTAAATTTCAGCTCCGAAAAACTTTATTTTAGCTGAAAATACTCAGAAAATCGCTGATTTCACTAAAATTATTGAATTTCAGCTAAAATTTGACGATTTTCATGATTTTTAGCCCTAAAAATTGTAAAAATACCCAATTATCAATTTTGCCACGTCATAACTCATGTTCAGAGTTGATTTGAGCTGTTTTTCACATCAGAATCATGATCAGCGTGGCAAAATCAACCGGAAACACACTTTTTCTATCAAAAACCCCGGAAAACAAAAAAAAACTGTTCTCCTCCACGAGAACTACACACAATTCTCAATGGAGCGCACATGCACCCTTTCAATTTTTTTCAAAAATATTTTTTTTTCAAACAAAAAGCAAAAACATTGTTTTTCAGAGTTCGTGAAGAATTGGAGGAACAAAGGCATATTGAGGAGGAAAAATCATCGCGTCTGAATTTGATTCAAACACCGCATGTTGCAAATCAGAAAAATGTGGGAATCGTTCAGCCGAATTCACAAAATCGCTTGCCACCAGTGATTTTGGACGAAGATGAAGATGAAAATCAATTGGAAGTTGCGCGAGACATTGGAAAAAGTGAAGATGAGATAATTCGAGATCGACAAAAAGAATGGGCAAGAGCGGAAATCGCATCATCTTCTGCGATTTCAAAGTTCATTTTCTCGATTTTTATTTTATCAATTTTCCGACTCTTTGCATAATTTTTGGATTTGTTTCTTGAAATTTGTGTATAGTAGCTCAAAATATGGGTCTGTGACAAAAATATTTATTTTATTTTTCTTCCTAATTAATAAATTATTTACATTTAAATATAAAAATCTGGAAAGTTAGGCTAACTTCGACGCTGCGCGGAAGCTTGCGGTCTGCACTCGCTCCGCTCGAAAACCGTGCGAGTTTTTCAACTAGATTTGAGGCGTTTTCAAATAAGCGCGGCTGGTTAAGTGGTAGAGTGTTTTGCTGGCGATCAGAAGACCCGAGTTCGAGTTTTGCTCCGGGCGAAGTTTTTTTTAATTTTTTTCTTATTTTGTCAAGTTATCCGTGGAAGCTTTGGAAAAATTGAAGTTTGTTCCAGAAAACTTTGATATCAATTTTTTTATTGGAAAAAAATCACACAATTTTTTCTTGTTATAAAATTTTTTTGTATTTCTCTTGGACAATTTTTATCGAATTTTTTTTGGCTGAAAATTTTGGATTTCTGAATTTTTGTGTAGTTCTCTCGGACAAAATTTCAATTAAAAAATTTTTTCTGCGAAAAAATCAGAATTTTAATTATTTACAATTCCAAGTCCAAAAAAAAATTATTATTCTAAAAATAAAAACCATTATCTCTAGAGTTAGCCTAACTTCTTCTCCAAAAATAATTAATTTTTCTGCCAACTTATTCTAACTCTGAAAACCAGACAAAAAACTTTTTTTTTGTGACGAATTTTTTTTTCTGAATAATTTATTTATGAACTTGTGTGAAACCTACGCTTTGTTGTTCTTATTATTTATAAAAAAAACTTTTTTATTTGAGCCAAAAATAAAAAGTTGCAGGAGCAGAAGGCAAAATTCAATTAGCCGTGTCCCTTTAATTTGATTTTTGGGGGGGGGGGGATTCATTTTTGTTTATTTTTTGCGTGGCTCGAAAATCATTACGTCACTTTTTCCGAGAGAACTACACTAAATTTGAATTTTTGACTTCTCCGAGAGAACTACACAGCATTTTGTTTCATTTTGATTGTTGTTTATTTTTTCACGTCATTTTAATCCGGAAAATTTTAGGGGTTTCGAAATTTGTTCAAGAGAACTACACAAAAATGTTCAAAATTTCTGAAATTTTGATTTTCTTTGGAAAATATAAATTCTGAATTTTTCCTTGTCCAAGAGAACTACACACACCAAATTCAGAATTTTTCATTAATTTTTAGGGTTTCGTTTTATCAAAAATTCAAAAACTTCAAAAATATTTACAAAATTTTTGAAACAGTGAATTTTTTCGAAATTTTTTCGTTTAAAAATTTTTACCGAATTTAATTTTGATCAAGAATTCAAAAACTTGTGTTAAAAAATATTCACAAAATTTTTGAAACAGTGAATTTTTTTTTAATTTTTTTTTAAACCCTAACTTTCTAGATTTCAAAAAAAAGTATAATTTCTAGCCTTCTGGAAAAATAAGCTGAAAATAACTCTATAATGATGTCAGAAGCTGAAAACAAGCCAAACCTATCTAAATTAGTAGGAACACTTGATTAGCATAATTTTTCTCCGGAAAAAAAAAATATTTTTTGAATTTTTATTTTTTGTTTTGCAAACGCCTCATAAGTTAGGCTAAATTCCAGCTGAAAATTGCAAAATTTTCAGAAAATTTGGTCAATGAACTTTTGAAAATTAGAAAAAAAAACAAAATTTGCGGACGAAATTTAATTTCTTTTTTTTTGAGTAGTTTAAATGCAGCCAAAAACTCTTTTTTTTTCATTTGGAACAATTTGGTTTTGAGTTTGTGTAGTTCTTTTGGAGAAAATTGTGGATATATTTTTGTAGTTCTCTCGGACAATTTTAGCTCATTTTTTGCTCAAAAATTGAAGCTTACAGAATTTTTTGAACAAAATTCCCATGAAATATTTTTGAAAAATTCATTTTTTAAATTTTGTCTAGACTTCAGACTTATGGGAACTTTTTTTCAATTTAAAAAGGTCTCAGGGGGAAAAATCAAAAAAAAAAATTTTTGGAAAATTTTTTTTGGTAAGTCTAATTTTTTCGAAATTCTAAGCTGAAATTTTTTAATTTTTAATTTTTTTAATTTTTTTTATAAAATTTTTTTTTGGTAAGTATAATTTTTTCGAAATTCTAAGCTGAAATTTTTTAATTTTTAATTTTTTTAAATTTTTTTTTAGTGAAGGATTAATTGTAATTAATTAGGACCTAAAATTTGCTTTTGAAAAAATATTGAGCACAATTTTTTTATAGGATTTTTAAATGAAAAATTTTTTTTTAAAAATTCAAAAATATTTTTAAAAAGTTCACATTTGTGACGTTTTTGTTTTTGTTTCGCTGTTTTTTTTTCAAATTTTGCACCTGTCTTAACCTAATCAACTTGTCTTTAAGACGTCACATTTTTCATTTTCAGACATGTTCCTTTAAATAACCGGTTACTGTACTTGAAATGTTCCTTTAAACTCTAAATAAATTTCCAATTGATTTTCCAAAAAAAAAAAGTACACATCCTTTTAGATAATTCGAAAATATACGAATTTTGTTGCGCTTCTCCTCTTTTCATTTTATTTTCAATTTTAATAGAAATTATGTGTCCATCTATGTTTTATTTTCATTTTCCTCCCACATTTTTCATTATTTTCTGGCATTTTTCAAAAAAAAAATATACTTTTTTTGGCTCTCCAATTTCATAATTTCATTTTTAAGCCATGTGAAAATATAAAAATAGTTTTGAAATTTTTTTTTTCAAAATTTCATTTTTCTTCGGTGAATTATTCATTTTGTTTTTTTTTTTTTTTTTTTCAAAAAAAATTTAATTTCAAAAAAGCAAAAAAAAAATCCTGCACTATTTTCCTACTGTAGGCAAAAATATAGGGCGTGTCCAAAAATAGTTTAACCTGAGCAATGCATATTTCCCAGTAGGCGTGTCCAAAACCACGTCATTTTTCTTCCCAATGTGTTTTTTCTGTTGCTCATCATCATTTTACATACCTAATCTTCTAATTTCTCTGTTTTTTCGTCTTTTTTTGTGTGTGTGTGTCAATTTTCCATTTTTTGTCTCGAATTTCTAATTTCCTTTTCTGAATTCTAAATCAATTTTCTTTTTTTTTTGCAAAAATCAGTGTTTTCTCTCAAAAAAGGCACAAAAAGCCATTTTCACGGATCGTTGCTTTTGATTTTTTGTGTGTTGCGTCAGAAATTGAATGAGTAATTCTTGGAAAAAGTTCACCACCTTCTTGTTGTTCGAAAAAAAAAGAAAAAAAATTGTGCGCCGGGTGTGGTTCGAACCCAGGTGTTGCGAACGAGAGGCGCGAATGTTAACCACTCGGCCACGCGTCTGTTTTTTGAAGAGGGAGAAAATGTCGCATTTAAATAGGGTGCAAAATTTTCAGCTCGCAAAATTTTTTTTTCAAATTTGCACGAAAAAACTCTGCCCTTATGCTAACTCTCGTCGGATTTATAGTACAATCACCTGGATTTTTCTCACTATTTTTTTTTTTTTTTATTTTTCCGAAAACTTTTCCTTCAATGTTTTTTTCCAAAAAAAAATCAATAAAACGTTTTCAGGTTTCAAAAAAAATGACAAAATCCACCACAAGCATATTTCTCATTTTTGGCGCACTTTTGGTGTCGATGACGTCATCGACACCAATTTTGGTGGTTAGAAGGCAGCTCGATGTTCAGCCACGGCATACAATATCATCGGCGTTTTGGAGAAATTTGCAGGAAATTATTGGAGAAGAGCAAAATGCGAGGGATCAGTTCATTTTTGTGGAGGAACAGGAGGAGGTGCCACAGAGGTGGGTGCGCGCGCGGAAGGTTGCGGAAGGTTGCGGAATGTTGCGGTTCAAACCTGAAGCTTCTTTAATTGCTCAAAATTTAATATAAAATCCATTAAGCGTGGAACAAAATTCAACACTTTCAAAATTCTTTCAAAAAATTTTGAAACGTATTTTTTCCAGTTTTCTTTTTTTTTGAAACAGTGAATTTTTTTCAACTATAAATTTTGGAAAATCAAGAAATTTCAAAAAAATTAATTTTCCTCGAATTTTTGATGATAAAATTTAGGAGCGAATTATTATTGAATGGTAAAAAAAAATTTTTTTTAAATTATTTTTGAAACAGTAGAATTTTTCGAAAATGTTGAAAAAAAAGAATTTCTGAAAAATTAATACAAAATCTCACGAGCAAGAAAATGAGCACCTAAAGATTACTGTAACCCCCCCCCCCTTTTTTCGTGTCAGGACCCAGGTACAGTACCCTAATTTTATCTGATGACGCGCAATTTTTCCCAAAGGTTTACAAAACCTTTCCCAATTTCATCTGTCCCTAGACTTTTCTTGAAATTCCCACAGACAAAAATCTGTGACGTGGCTTTCAGAATCACCTGTTTTTTCTGTTGAAAATAAATTTGGAGCGAAAAAAATCAGAGGGCTACAAATTCCGAGATAAATAGAGAAAAACGGGATTTTTTGTCTGACAGGGAAAAATACGTTTCAAAATTTTATGAAAAAATTCAGAAAGTGATGAATTTTGTTATGATGTTTGAGTTCTTTAAAAAATCCCTGAAGCCTAGAAAATGATTTGAGAGTGTAGAAAAATCACTGTTTCAAAAATTGTCTTAAAATTTTTTGGTAATTTCAAGTTTTGTTATTAAATCGCATAATAATAAATATAAAAAACTCAAAAAAAATTAGATTTTTTTGGTTTTTTCGGGAAAAAATGTAATTGAAGTTTCCGAAAAAAATTCACTGTTTCAAAAAAATTTTAAATTTTTCTGGAATTATTTTTTAAAAAAATCGTCAATAATTTTTGATCATTCTGAATTTTATTGAGCTCCACCAGAAATTTTTGGGGCAAAAACATTTTTCGAAGAAGTTCATTCAAAAAATTTGGAAATTCATAAGAAAGTCTAAAAATTTGAATTTCCGAGAACCCATAGTTGAAAAAATTCACTGTTTCAAAAAATCTATTGAAATTTATCGGGAAAATAGTAATTGTTACGTGGATTCATCTCTATTCATCTCTAGATTTCAGAACCCAAAAATTCACTGTTTCAAAATTAATTCTAATTTTCCAGGATTCTCAGAAAACCGGTAAACTCCTTTTTTTTCTAAAAAATTCACTGTTTCAAAATTTTCCCAAATTTCAAAGGACTCTTAAAAAACTGATAAACTGATTTTATATATTCCAGAAAATTCACTGTTTCAAAATTATTCCTTATTTTCTACGAGACTCTTAAAGAACTGATAAATTTGCGAATAATGAATCATTATAATTTTTTCAGACTAGAAAGATTGCGTCGAAACATCCCCAACAATTATCACGACGATTTCTCAGTCGACGAATTTGTTGTTCCAATTTTTCAAGATTCCTCTTCTCCTCGTCGTCGTTATCGTAGAGCTCAGCCAATTTTGGACAATACTGATGAATTTTCCGCTGATCCTTTTGAGGTAATTTTAGAATAGAATTGCGTTTCACTGCAGATTTTTGTCAATTTTCTAGTAGATTTTGACATGGTGAATATGAGTTATGACGTGGCAAACATCGAAAGTTAGATTGGTTTTGGCGAGGTTCGAAAAATTCTATGTAAAAATTTTGAAACAGTATATTTTTTGGTGATTTCAAAGGCACTTTGGAGAAATTTTAGGACCTAAAATCACCTTAAAAATTAAGTTTCAAAGAAAAGTTACCATTTTCTTTTTTTGAAAATTTCACTGTTTCAAAATTTTTTTTAAATAAAAATTCTCGTATCAGAGATTTGATGAACTTCCAAAAAGCAAGCGAAAATTAATTTTTTTTGAAAATAAAAAAAATTCACTGTTTCAAATTTTGGTTATTTTTTTTTTTGAAATTTGAATTTTCAATAATCCTTGCGGCGCAATGAAATTTTCCAAAAAAACCTCAAAAATTCAATTTCAACCAAAAAATTTGTTCAGAAAAATAAGCGAATTAGTTGCCATTTTCATTCTAGAAAATTTCACTGTTTCAAAATTTTTTTTAAATAAAAATTCTCGTATTTTTTTTGATTTTATCAGTGAATTATTGTTTTCAAAAAATCAAGTGAAAATTATTTTTTTTTTTGAAAACAAAAAATTCACTGTTTCAAATTTTGGTTATTTTTTTTTGAAATTTGAACATTCAGTCTGGTTATCACTTTGAATTGAAAACTTAAAATACAAAAAGAAGAAAAATATACAGAGTTCGCCTAACTTCTTTGGGAAATCTAGAAAGTTAGAGCTACTTTTAAGGAAAAAAAATTTCGTGTAATTCTCTTGGACAATTATTAATGGAAAATTGAACAAAAAAATTAATTTTGCAAAAAGAATTACTGTTTCAAAATTTTCTCATATTTTCACGCTCTGAGAAATTCAATGCTACTTGAGTTTTTATGGCAAAAAATTATTTTGAAATCGATTTTCTCATTTTTTTTGGATTCAAAAAAATATACTGTTTCAAAATATTCCTATATTTTTACAGTTTTCAATAATTTTGGCAAATAATTTGAAGAAATTTTAGGACCTAAAATCTCCATAAAAAAATTAATTTTCAAAGAAAAGTTACCATTTTCATTCCGGAAAATTTCACTGTTTCAAAATTTTTTAAAATAAAAATTCTCGTATCAGAGATTTGATGACTTTCCAAAAAGCTAGCGAAAATTAATTTTTTTTTGAAAATAAAAAAAATTCACTGTTTCAAATTTTTTTATATTTTTTTTGAAATTTGAACTTTCAATTCGCAAATTAAGTTTCAAAGTGTTGAAAAATCAATTGAAAAAAATTTCGCGAATCAAAAAAATTAATTTTGCAAAAAAATTCACTGTTTCAAATTTTTCTCATATTTTCACGCTCTAAAAAAAATATTTTTTAATCGATTTTCCCATTAAAAAAATATACTGTTTCAAAATATTCCTATATTTTTCTACAGTTTTCAGTTTGGTTAGTTTCATTAAAATAATCATTTCAAACTTTGCCACGTCATAACTCATCAAGTTCCCCTTTTGCACCCCTCCTTAGTTTCTCCTCTCCCTACATATTTTGTTGTAGACGTCACAAAGTACTGTTGTTATTGTGCCTGCGAATTACGAAGTTGTGGTATATCCAAAAAGAGATGTGTGAATTCAGTTACAGTAATTTTATTTCGGTTGTTTTGGTTGTTGTATTTTTATTGATAAAAATGGGTCAAAATGTCAATTACCGCAAGCTTCCGCGTACGCGGAAGCTTCCGCGGAAGCTTGCGGTCAGATCTAAACCTATTCTCAACATGGCCGCTTCGCGCTCGCTCCGCTCGAAAAAAAAAGAAAAAAAAGTTCGCCCGCAGCAAAACTCGAACTCAGGTCTCCGGATCGCCAGCAAAACACTCTACCACTTAACCAGCCACGCTTTTTTGGAAGCGCCTCAAATCTAGTTGAAAAACTCGCCTCGAGCGGAGCGAGTGTAGACCGCAAGCTTCCGCGAAGCGGCCACGTGGATTTTCTGCACGCTGTTTTATCATTGGAGCACACTTTCCTCTCCCCAGATCCCCTAAAAACATCCAAATTTCCAGTTCTACCTGAAACCACGTTGATTCAATTCGCCAACAACAAATCCACAGTAATCCTATGACGTGTCAATTGTGATTCTTCAAATTGTTTAAATTCCTACTTAAAACCGCCCATTTTTTAAATCAACTAATTAATTAATTAATTAATTAAAATGTGAAGTGAGAAAAATTACTATATAAATATCACCACAGTGCCCTGTTTTTCAAAGAATAAATGTTAGCTTCCAAAAAAAATTGCGACAAGTTTATATTGCTCATATTTTACTTATTATCAGAACTCTCCTCAGAACTCGAATCTTCCCTTCTATAATCCATTTTCATCAAATTTTCCAATTCTGGAATTGGTTTTCCAGAATTTCGAATTTCTCGAGGTCTCATTTGAATAACATCGAAAATTGGAAGTTTGAGAATTTGCGAAGCTGTTTTTCGCTTTTTTGGATCGATTATTATTATTGATTTGAGGTAATCATAGACAACTCCTTCCAAACAATTACTTGTGTACTGTAACAAAATTTTTTTGAAACAGTGACTTTTTTGAGAAAAAAAATTGAGTCCACATTAATTTTCACAATAAAATGCTCTCGACCATTAGCGAAAAATTTACAATAAAAAATATGATTTCTTTGAAACAGTGAATTTTTTCACCGGGAAAATTTCTTTTTTTTTAATAATTTTTGAATTAATTACACAAGTATTATTATTGAAATAGCTATTCCAAGAATTTTTTCTGAAAATTTTGAAACAGTGATTTTTTGAGAAACAAAAATTGAGTCCATTTTAATTTTCAATAGAAAAAGTTGTAAAAATTAGCGAAAAATTTACAATAAAAAATATGATTTCTTTGAAACAGTGAATTTTGCCATCTGGATAATTAATTTTTTTTAAATAATTTTTGCATTAATTAGACAAGTAGTATTGAATTAGCTATTTCATGAATTTTATTTTTAAAAATTTTGAAACAGTGAGTTTTTATTATTATTTTGGATCAGGATGTTTATGTTTTGTTTAGTTGAATAGGAAAAGGAAATGTAGCAAATTTTAAAAATTTCAAAAAAAAAATCAGTTCTTTTTGAAACAGTGAATTTTGTCATCAGGATAATTTAATTTTTTTTTGTAATTTTTTGAGTGCATCGAAGTATTAAAATAGATATTCTAAGAACTTTATTTATGAAAATTTTGAAACAGTGATTTTTTTTCGAAAAAAAAACGAGTCTATTTTAATTTCAATAAGAAAATTCTAAAACATTAGCGAAAAATTTACAATAAAAGAATATGATTTCTTCGAAACAGTGAATTTTGCCATCTGGATAATTAATTTTTTTTAAATAATTTTTGCATTAATTAGACAAGTAGTATTGAATTAGCTATTCCAAGAATTTTATTTCTAAAAATGTTGAAACAGTGAGTTTTTTTTATTATTTTGAATCAGGATCTCCATTTTTTGTTTAGTTGAATAGGAAAAGGGATTATAGCAAATCTTAAAAATTTCAAGAAAAATCAGTTATTTTTGAAACAGTGAATTTTTTTTTGAATGTTCAATTAAGAAAAAATTTGGTCCATGAATTTTAATGTAGATCTATTAATTTCAACCAACAACAGAAATCACAACACTGATAATTTGTGAAATAAATTAAACTGAATTTTTGAAACAGTGAATTATGGGCCTATGCAGAACAATATTTTGTAATAAAAAAACATTTTTTTTCCTATGCAGAAAAACGTCGAAAAAACAAAATATACAGTTTATTATTTTGAGTAGAGACAACGTGAAATTGAGAGAGTGCAGACAAAAAACCCATTTTATGTCTGCGCTCTCTCAATTTCACGTTGTCTTTATTTTGTTTTTTCGACGTTTTTCTGCATAGGAAAAAAAATGTTTTTTAATGTTTTTTTATTACAAAATATTATTCTGCATAGGCCCATTATATAATTTGAAAAATTCCAATTTTCATTAATTTTGTTTCACAAAATTTAGTCAGATTTTTTTGTAGAAATGCTTTTTGTGCTTATCAAAATAGCTATCTCAAGAATTTTCTGAAAATTTTGAAACAGTGAATTTTATAAAAATTCAATTTTCATTGATTTAGTTTCATGAAATTTATAATAGAGATCTTCAAATGATATTCTAAAATTCGGATCTTCAAAGAAATCTCAATCCTTCCCAAACCTTCCCAAAACCCATTCCCATCTGTTCCAATCCTCTCGCAACCTTTTTCGCCACTCTCGGCCTTTTCACACCCATACTTCGAACATCTTCATCTGTCGGATATCCCAATACAGTAATCACCAGATTCATTTGATCTACCGTATCTTTTCCCTTGAATAATGTGTGATTGGCGAAAAATTCGAAACTCACACAACCAGCTGACCAGACGTCTGAAATTTTGAAAATTGAAAATTTTTGCCACGTGGAATTTGAGGACAAAATTCAATTCACTTTCAGAGCTTTGAAAAATTCTGAACTGAATTTTGTTGGCTTGAAAAATTTACTGTTTCAAAATTGTATGATATTTTTCAAAGTTTCTAATAATTTTGCTTTTTTTGAGTAGATTTCTGCTGAAATTTCTGGACTGAAAATTCATTGCTGTAAATGTTGGAGCTGAAAATTATAGTCATCGACACCAATTTTGGTGGTTAGAAGGCAGCTCGATGTTCAGCCACGGCATACAATATCATCGGCTTTTAGGAGAAATTTGCAGGAAATTATTGGAGAAGAGCAAAATGCGAGGGATCAGTTTATTTTTGTGGGGGAGGAGCAGGAGGAGGATTTGGTGCCACAGAGGTGGGTTTTTTGAGCGCGCGCGCGGAAGGTTGCGGAAGGTTGCGGAAGCTCTCTAATCGCTAAAAATTTTTGGGAAAACCACAATTAGAGATCTAACTAAATTCAACACTTTCAAAATTCTTTCAAAAAATTTTGAAACGTATTTTTTTCCAGTTTTTTTTCTTTTAGCCAATCTCCTAATGTCTTAAAATTTAAACTGTATCAAGTTTAAAAATTTTTGAAACAGTGAATTTTTTTATAAAATTATTTTTTCCCACCATGAGCCTTCAGAGAAACAAACATGAAATTATTAAAAAATTAAAAGTATTTTTTGAAACAGTGAATTTTTTCAAAATTAAATTTTGGAAAATCAAGAAATTTCAAAAAATTAATTTTCCTCGAATTTTTGATGATAAAATTTAGGAGCGAATTATTATTGAATGGTAGAAAATTTTTTTTAAAATTATTTTTGAAACAGTAGAATTTTTCGAAAATGTATAAAAATAATTTCTGAAAAATAACTACAAAATCTCACGAATGAGCACCTTGTACCTTTAAAGATTACTGTCGTGTCAGGACCCAGGTACAGTACTCTAATTTTATCTGATGACGCGCAATTTTTCTCAAAGGTTTACAAAACCTTTTTTGAATTTCATCTGTCCCCAGACAAAAATCTGTGACGTGGCTTTCAGAATCACCTGTTTTTTCTGTTGAAAATAAATTTGGAGCAAAAAAAAATCAGAGAGCTACAAATTCCTGAGATAAATAGAAAAAATGGGATTTTTTGTCTCACAGGGAAAAATACGTTTCAGAATTTTAGGAAAAAATTCAGAAAGTGATGAATTTTGTTGTTACAAATGCGATTTTCGAAAATTTAAATTTGAAAAAAATCACTGTTTCAAAAATTCTATGAAAATTTTTTGGTAATTTCAAATCGCATAATAATAAATATAAAAAACTCAAAAAAATTAGATTTTTTTAGAGAAAAATGGAAATTGAAGTTTCTGAAAACATTCACTGTTTCAAAAATTTTTTAAAATTTTCTGGAATTAATTTTTTTGCTTGTTGAATATCAAATTATATAGTTCAGTAGAAACAATTTTCAACAAAAAAATTTACTGTTTCAAAAAATCGTCAATAATTTTTTAAAATTTTTGGGGAAAACATATTTTTTTCGAAAATTTTTTTCATTCAAAAAATTTGGAAATTCAGAAGAAATCCTAAAAATTTAAATTTCCGAGAATCCATAGTTGAAAAAAATTCACTGTTTCAAAAACTATTCTTGAATTTTCAATAATTTCAAGTTTTGTTTATACACTTTTTCAGGTGAAAAAATAACATCTCAAAAAATTTCACTGTTTCAAAAAATCTATTGAAATTTATCGGGAAAATAGAAATTATTACGTGGATTCATCTCTAGACTTCAGAACCCAAAAATTCACTGTTTCAAAATTAATTCTAATTTTCCAGGATTCTCAGAAAACCGGTAAACTCCTTTTTTCATTTTCTAAAAAATTCACTGTTTCAAAATTTTCCCAAATTTCCAAGGACTTTGCAAATAATGTATCATAATAATTTTTTCAGACTAGAAAGATTGCGTCGAAACATCCCAAACAATTATCACGACGATTTCTCAGTCGACGAATTTGTTGTTCCAATTTTTCAAGATTCCTCTTCTCCTCGTCGTCGTTATCGTAGAGCTCAGCCAATTTTGGACAATACTGATGAATTTTCAGCTGATCCTTTTGAGGTAAATTCAAAAAAAAATGTGTTTCACTGGATTTTTTTGTCAATTTTCTAGTAGATTTTGACATTGTTAATGTGAGTTATGACGTGGCAAACATCGAAAGTTAGATTGATTTGGCGAGGTTCGAAAAATTCTATGTGAAAATTTTGAAACAGTATATTTTTTGGTGATTTTAAAGGCACGTGAGCAAATATTTTGGAGAAATTTTAGGACCTCTAAAAAAATCTCCCTAAAAAATTAATTTTCAAAGAAAAGTTACCATTTTCATTTTGGAAAATTTCACTGTTTCAAAATTTTTTTAAAATAAAAAATCTCGTATTTTTTTTTGATTTTATCAGTGAATTATTGTTTTCAAAAAATCAAGCGAAAATTATTTTTTTTTTGAAAAAAAAAATTTCACTGTTTCAAATTTTTGTTATATATTTTTTTTGAAATTTGAACATTCAGTCTGGTTATCACTTTGAATTGAAAACTTTGAATACAAAAAAAAAAAAGAAAAATGTACAGAGTTCGCCTAACTTCTTTGGGAAATCTAGAAAGTTAGAGCTACTTTTTAAAAATTTCGTGTTATTCTTTTGGACAATTATTAATGGAAAATTGAACAAAAAATAAATTTCAAAAAAAACTTACTGTTTCAAATTTTTCTTATATTTTCACGTTTTCAAAAATTCTATGCTCGTTCATTTTCATTCCAAAAATTATTTTGAAATAGATTTTCTCTTAAAAAAAATATACTGTTTCAAAATATTCCTATATTTTTACAGCTTTCAATAATTTTGGCAAATAATTTGAAGAAATTTTAGGACCTTAAAAATCACCTTAAAAATTAACAAGTTTCAAAGAAAAGTTACCATTTTCATTCTGGAAAATTTCACTGTTTCAAAATTTTTTTAAAATAAAAATTCTCGTATTTTTTTTTGATGATTTAATGGATAAACGATTGAGCCATTCGAAAAATCAATTGAAAATTAACTTTTTTCATAAATCAAAAATTCACTGTTTCAAAGTTTTGTTATATTTTTTTTTGAAATTTTAACTTTCAATATACCTGAGGCGTCAAAAAAAAAATTTTCCAAAAAAAAAACTTAAAAATTCAGTTTCGGCGAAAAAATTGTGTAGAAAAATAAGCAAATTAATTTTCATTTTCATTCTGGAAAATTTCACTGTTTCAAAATTTTTTTTAAATAAAAATTCTCTTATATTTTTTGATGATTAAAGAGTAAATAATGGTGTTCAAAAAATCAATTGAAAATTAATTTTTTTCGAAAATAAAAAATTCACTGTTTCAAATTTTTGTTATATTTTTTGAAATTTGCATTTTCAATATTACTTGGGTTCAATAATACAAAAACAATTTTCAAAAAAAAACCTCAAAAATTCAGTTTCAACCAAAAAATTGTTTAGAAAAACAAGCAAGTTAGTTGTCATTTTCATTATGGAAAATTTCACTGTTTCAAATATTTTTTAAATAAAAATGCTCGTATCAGAGATTCGATTATAGTGTTCAAAGTGCAAATTAATTTTTTTTTGAAAATAAAAAATTCACTGTTTCAAAATTTTGTTATATTTTTTTTTGAAATTTTAACTTTCAATTTGAAAATTAAGTTTCTTTTCGAAAATTAAGAAATCAATTGAAAAAAAATTTCGCAAATCGATAAAATTAATTTTGCAAAAAAATTACTGTTTCAAATATTTCTCATATTTTCACGCTCTAAAAATTATATGCTCTTGAGTTTTCATAACAAAAAATTATTTTGAAATCATTTTTTGGATTCAAAAAATATACTGTTTCAAAATTTTCCTATATTTTTACAGCATTTTTTTTAAAAATTTTGTTAGTCTCATCAAATTAAATAAATTCAAAAATTGCCACGTCATAACTCATCCAATTCCCCTTTTGCACTCCTCCTTAGTTTCTCCTCTCCCTATATATTTTGTTGTAGACGTCACAAAGTACTGTTGTTATTGTGCCTGCGAATTACGAAGTTGTGGTATATCCAAAAAGAGATGTGTGAATTCAGTTACAGTAATTTTATTTCGGTTGTTTTGGTTGTTGTATTTTTATTGATAAAAATGGGTCAAAATGGCAATTACCGCAAGCTTCCGCGTACGCGGAAGCTTGCGGTCAGATCTAAACTTATTCTAGACCTGGCCGCTTCGCGCTCGCTCCTCTCAAAAAAAAAAAGTTCGCCCACAGCAAAACTCGAACCCGGGTCTTCTGATCGCCAGCAAAACACTCTACCACTTAACCAGCCGCGCTTTTTTGAACGCGCCTCAAATCTAGTTGAAAAACTCGCCTCGAGCGGAGCGAGTGTAGACCGCAAGCTTCCGCGTAAGCGGCACTATCTTCCGCGAAGCGGCCACGTCTTGAAGCCTATGTTTTGTACACCGCAAGCTTCCGCGTAAGCGGCACTATCTTCCGCAAAGCGGCCACGTGGATTTTCTGCACGCTGTTTTATCATTGGAGCACACTTTCCTCTCCCCAGATCCCCAGAAAATATCCCAAATTCCGAAATTTCCAGTTCTACCTGAAACCACGTTGATTCAATTCGCCAACAACAAATCCACAGTAATCCTATGACGTGTCAATTGTGATTCTTCAAATTGTTTAAATTCCTACTTAAAACCCCCCCATTTTTTAAATCAACTAATTAATTAATTAAATGTGAAGTGAGAAAAATTACTATAAATATCACCACAGTGCCCTGTTTTCTAAAAATAAATGTTAGCTTCCAAAAAAAATTGCGACAAATTTATATTTATTGCTCATATTTTACTTATCAGAACTCTCCTCAGAACTCGAATCTTCCCTTCTATAATCCATTTTCAGCAAATGTTCTAATTCTGGAATTGGTTTTCCAGAATTTCGAATTTCTCGAGGTCTCATTTGAATAACATCGAAAATTGGAAGTTTGAGAATTTGCGAAGCTGTTTTTCGCTTTTTTGGATCGATTATTATTATTGATTTGAGATAATCATAGACAACTCCTTCCAAACAATTACTTGTGTACTGTAACAAAATTTTTTTGAAACAGTGATTTTTTTGAGAAAAAAAATTGAGTCCACTTTAATTTCAATAAGAAAATTCTAAAACATTAGCGAAAAATTGACAATAAAAAAATATGATTTCTTTGAAACAGTGAATTTTATCATCCGAAAAATTTCTTTTTTTTTAAATAATTTTTGCATTAATTAGACAAGTAGTATTGAATTAGCTATTTCATGAATTTTATTTTTAAAAATTTTGAAACAGTGAGTTTTTATTATTATTTTGGATCAGGATGTTTATGTTTTTGTTTAGTCTAATAATAGAAAGAGTTATAGCTTATCAAAAATTAGTATCAAAAAATTTCAAGAAAAAATCAGTGATTTTTGAAACAGTGAATTTTGTCATCAAGATAATTTATTTTTTTTTTGTAATTTTTTGAGTGCATCGAAGTATTAAAATAGATATTCTAAGAACTTTATTTTTGAAAATTTTGAAACAGTGATTTTTTGAGAAAAAAATTGAGTCCACATTAATTTTCACAATAAAATGCTCTCGACCATTAGCGAAAAATTTACAATCAAAGAATATGATTTCTTTGAAACAGTGAATTTTTCCATCAGGATAATTTCTTTTTTTTTCAATAATTTTTGAATTAATTACACAAGTATTATTATTGAAATAGCTATTCCAAGAATTTTTTTCTGAAAATTTTGAAACAGTGAGTTTTTTTATTATTTTGAATCAGGATCTCCATATTTTGTTAAGTCAATCAATAAAAAAGAATTCTAGCAAAATTTAAAAATTTCAAGAAAAATCAGTGATTTTTGAAACAGTGAATTTTTTCATCGGGAAAATTTCTTTTTTTTTAAATAATTTTTGCATTAATTAGACAAGTAGTATTGAATTAGCTATTTCATGAATTTTATTTTTAAAAATTTTGAAACAGTGAGTTTTTATTATTATTTTGGATCAGGATGTTTATGTTTTTGTTTAGTCTAATAATAGAAAGAGTTATAGCTTATCAAAAATTAGTGTCAAAAAATTTCAAGAAAAATCATTTATTTTTGAAACAGGGAATTTTTCCATCAGGATAATTTAATTTTTTTTTGTAATTTTTTGAGTGCATCATACTCGAGGTATTAAAATAGATATTCCAAGAACTTTATTTTTTGAAAATTTTGAAACAGTGACTTTTTTGAGAGAAAAAATGAGTCTATTTTAATTTTCACAATAAAATGCTCTCGACCATTAGCGAAAAATTTACAATAAAAGAATATGATTTCTTTGAAACAGTGAATTTTTACATCAGGATAATTTAATTTTTTTTGTAATTTTTGAATTAATTAGACAAGTATTATATTAAAATAGCTATTCCAAGAATTTTTTTCTGAAAATTTTGAAACAGTGAGTTTTTTTTATTATTTTGAATCAGGATCTCCAATTTTTGTTTAGTCGGTGGTAATAAGGATTGTCAGCTAAGTTTAAAAATTTCAAGAAAAATAAGAAATTTTTGAAACAGTGAATTTTTTTTTGAATGTTCAATTAAGAGAAAAAAAAATAGGTCTATGAATTTTAATCTAGAATTATAAATTTCACAAAACAACAGAAATCACAACACTGAAAATTTGTGAAAAAAATTAAAATGAATTTTTGAAACAGTGATTTTTATCGTTTGAAGAATTGAAATTTGTTTCACAAAACTTAGTCAGATTTTTTTGTAGAAATGGTCTTTGTAATCAATCACCAAAATAGCTAATCCAAGAATTTTCTGAAAGTTTTGAAACAGTGGATTTTATACTTTTAAATTTCATCAATTTTGTTTCACGAAATCTATTAAAATTATATATTCCAAATCCTAGAATAATATTCTACATATGTCAAAAATGTTATTCAATATATTTTTGAAACAGTGAGTTTTTTCTGTACATAGCAAGAGAAGAAATCAAAATATTTATCTAAAACATTCCTTTAACTCGTGAATGTTTTGAAACAGTGAATAAAAAATCACCAAAAACTATGAGGATCTCCAAAGAAAACCCAATTTCACCCAAAACCCATCCCCAAAACCCATTCCCAACCTGTTCCAATCCTCTCGCAACCTTTTTCGCCACTCTCGGCCTTTTCACTCCCATACTTCGAACATCTTCATCTGTCGGATATCCCAATACAGTAATCACCAGATTCATTTGATCTACCGTATCTTTTCCCTTGAATAATGTGTGATTGGCGAAAAATTCGAAACTCACACAACCAGCTGACCAGACGTCTGAAATTTTGAATTTTGAAAATTTTTGCCACGTGGATTTTGAGGACAAGATTCACTTTCAGAGCTTTGAAACATTCTAAACTGAATTTTTTGTTGGCTTGAAAAATTTACTGTTTCAAAATTTTCTCATTTTTTTCACAGTTTCTAAAAATTTTGCTTGTTCCTTCAATGCCTCGAAAGTATTGCTCTACTGAAATTTGTTGGCTGAAAACTTTTTGCTGGAAAATTATAGTCTTAAAATTCTTGACTGAAATTTCAGCTTAGATTTGTTGACTCAACTTTTTTGCCTGAATTTTTGAGCAAAAATTTGCTTGAAAAAAATTTACTGTTTCAAAATTTTATGATATTTTTTACAGTTTCTAATAATTTTGCTGAAATTTCTTGGCTGAAAACTGTCAGCTGCTAATTCTGGAGCTGAAAATTACAGTCTCAAAATTCTTGGCTGAAATTTCAGCTCAAATTTGTTGACACAACCTTTTTGCTTGAATGTTTGAGCCAAAAATTTTCTTTAAAAAATTTACTGTTTCAAAATTGTATGATATTTTTTACAGTTTCTAATAATTTTGATCTTCATTTTTCAAACTCCTTGAAAGTATTGCCCTACTGAAATTTGTTGGCTGAAATTTTTTTTCTGGAAAATCATAATCTTAAAATTTTTGACTGAAACTTCAGCTAAAATTTGTTGACTCAACATTTTTGCCTGCATTTTTGAGCAAAAATTTTCCTTGAAAAAATCTACTGTTTCAAAATTTTATCATAATTTTCACAGTTTCTAATAATTTTGCTCTCACGGAATTTGCAAAACTTTGCCACGTCATAACTCAAATTCAAAGTTGAGTTAGGCTAACTCCTCCCCTCCCCATCCTGATAAACCAGAAAAATACCCACCAATCGCTGACGAAAACTGATTCGATCCAAAAAGCAACTCGGGCGGTCTGTAGAATCTTGTGACTTGATAGGAAACTCCCATTTTTTCCGATGTGTTAAGGCGACGAGCATTTCCGAAATCGGCGAGTTTCAAAAGTCCGAGCTGGAAAAAAACTGAAATTCCCAGGACAAAAACTCTAATCCGGTAAAAAATTAATCCCTTTCCACTTTTTTTTCATAGGATTTTTTGTACTCAAAATTTTATTATAAAGCAAAATTTATCGATTTTTCAAGCCCTACAATTATTTTTTTCAAACCTCACCTCAACATTCAAAATAATATTCTGCGGTTTGATATCCAAATGTGCAATTTTCATTAAATCCAAGTAAGCCACCGCGCAAAACAATTGAAATGTGTAGATCTGAAAAATATATTCAATTTTGAGTGGGCGTGGCCTAAATGCAACTAGCGCACACATTTTTTGCAAGCCTGGCACACATAAATCTCTGCGCCTCTTCATTTTCCTCGCTATTTTTTGAAATTGGTTCATTTTGAGGCCAGGGACTAGAAAATTCACTCGGAAAACTAGTCCCCAACATAAAAACACTGATTTTCATGGTTTTCGGCTCAAAATCCGAAGATTAGTCTTGCTACGATGTCCCAGAGACGAAAACGTGCTCTAAGCCTTATCAGGGACTAGAAAATCACTTGGAAAACTAGTCCCTGGCTCATTTTATGGTTTTTAGCTCGAAAACTCTTGATTTTCTCAAATTTTGCCTCAGAAAACCTTGTTAGAAGTCAGGGACTAGAAAATTCACTCGGAAAACTAGTCCCCGACACCAAAAAACTGATTTTCATGGTTTTTGGCTCAAAATTCCCACTCACCTTTGCATCCAACACATCAAATTTCACGCCCTTCTCCCGAAGTTTCGACATCTCCTGCGGCATAAATTCCAACACCAAACAATGTATATTTCTCTCCTCAACTTTCTGTGAATAATAAAATAGAAGATTAGCCAGCGCCGGATGATATAACGTCGATAAAATTTGAATTTCAACATATTCCTCGGCCGATTTTTGAATCGTGTCAGACCAAACATTCTTAATTGCAACTTCTTTTTGATATGGGGTGATTAATTTGCAATTATAGACATTTGAGAATCTTCCACTTCCACATAATCGATGGCCGGTGAATGAAATTCGCACTTCTTTTATTATTTGTCCATTGTCGGTGATTTGATTTGCTTTCAATTCAGTCATTTTTTATTCTTCGATCGTTTTGTAATTATTTATTCTATCAAAATGCCAGCATTTCCTCATTTTTAGGCCTTTTTCGTGAACGTGACCTTAAAAAACGAAAAAAAAAAGAAGAAAAAAAGATTTTTCAAAAATCCCCCCTCACTTTGTGTTCCTTTTTGCGTCGCGGTGTTTACACACAATTTTTTTACTTTCTTTTTTTCGCCTTTTTTCTTGGTGACACGACATTTTGGACAGAAAAACTTGTATTTTTCGCGTTTTTTCTTCAATGTGTTATTCAAACGTTAGCTAACATCATAATTTGTTGAAAATTTTGCAGTTCTTCTAAATGTCTGAAAGTGATGAGGGCAAAGTTCAACGATATACAGAAAATCTCAAGGAGGGTAATGACGTGAGTTTTTTCCATGGAAAAGAGTAACTAAATAGTACTAGAAAATAAGAAAAAATTGAAAAAAATCGATTTTTGCAGCCAAAACGCGCTTTGAAGCGTCTCTTCGAGCTGCAAGTTTCGCCCGAAGTTTTTCAAAAACTCGACACTCGAAAATATGTAAAAAGATATTTGCAAGATGGCGAATGTGCGAAATATGCAGAAAGATTGCGAAAAAAGCTGAAAGAGCAGGAGAAGAAGCGACAACGCTCCGCGGAAATTTCAGATGAACCCGCCGAGCCGGAGCCGCCAGTGAAAGTGAAAAAAGAGGAGGTGACATCGGATGAGCTGTTTGCTATGGCAATGGGTGGAAGTTCGCAACCGCATAGAGTTGAAAAAATCGATTATTCTAAATATAAAGTTAGTCAGGATGGATTTTTGAAAAAAAAAACTGTATATTATCGAAAATCTCATCGGTACCACGCGCTCCAACACGCAACGCAGACCGCGTCGCGCCACAACACACACAAATAAGGGAACGATTCATGAAATTCCCTCCCTTATTTGTGTGTGTGTTGTGGCGCGACGCGGTCTGCGTTGCGTGTTTATTCAGGTGGAGCGCGTGGTACCGATGAGATTTTCGATAATATTCTAGTGGATTTTGATCTGGTGAAGACGATTCTGTTGTCAAAATTTGCCATAAACATGAGTTATGACGTGGCATCGTTTGAAATATTGTGAAGGACATTTCAAAGGTATAACTAGCTTCAAAAATGTTTTTCATGAAAATCTGATAGCACAGCGTTGTTCAGAAGGGTTAATTTCCTGAATATTTTGTGGCTTGTGCCAGAAAACAGACTTTTTAACCTGAAAATTGCTCGAAAAATCCGATTTTCATTAACTTTCCGGTTGAAAAGTCTGTTTTCTAGCACAAGCCACAAAATATTCAGGTAATCAACTCTTCTGAACAACGCTGTGCTATTAGATTTTCATGAAAAACATTTTTGAAGCTAGTTATACTCTTGAAAAGTTCTTCACAATATTTCAAACTATGCCACGTTATAACTCGTTATGCTCAAAGATTTTGATGAAAAATATCGAAATATACCAAATCGACCATGTTGATCACGATTCCGAAGTCAAAAATTGCTACAAATGCCTGTGAGCACTTTTCTAGAGCTCCAAAGTTAGAATTTAGTTTTGGTTTTCGCTCATTTTCACCTTGTTCCTGGGTGGAAAATCAATTCTTATAACTTGAATACATAAAGTTGTTCACCATATTCAAAAAACCTATCAGCTTTTTAGTTTTTCGAAAAATAAAGCTGATAGGTTTTCGAATGTGGTGAACAACTTTATGTATTCAAGTTATAAAAATTGATTTTCCACCCAGGAACAAGGTGAAAATGAGCGAAAACCAAAACTCATTTCCAACTTTGGAGCTCCAGAAAAGTGCTCACAGGCATTTGTGGCAATTTTTGACTTCGGATTTGTGATCAGCATGGTCGATTTGGTATATTTCGATATTTTTCATCAAAATGAAGTATGACGTGGCGAATTTATTTATTTATATACCTATAAGTAAAGTTTGCCACGTCATAAATAATGTTTAGAGTTGAGCTAAAATCAATCAAATTTCTTGCAGGTCTCGAAAAAAGTGCCAAAAATCGAGCCAAAAGAAGAGCCCGTCGAACAAAGCTCAGGCTCCAGTTCTAGTCAAAAGCGTCATCGAAACGCGTTCAGTCCAATCTTTGATAGTCCCCCAAAAATCTCCAAAGACTACATTCCCTCCTCAATAACCTGTCCACCCTCGTCACATTCTTCTTCATCTTCCGGAAAATCTCGTCCACCGGGACCTACACAATCCGAAGCGGCGCGAGCCGATGAAAATATGTTCAAACCGCGGAAGGAGCGTCAAAAAGTGTTTGCCGGGCGGCGAAAACGTGGAATTTTGGAAGAAGTTCCAAGTCTAGTCAGTATTTGTCAAAGTGTTATAACTGCAAATGTACATTGTGTTGGATATGTTGGCCTAACTCCCTATGATTTATTGAAGCCCGCGTTGATGAAAGCGAGTTTGGAGCAATTGCGAAGAATTTTGGATGTGAATCCGTATTTGGCGGAGGATGCCGATGAATTGTTTCATGAGATGGTGAAGAGGGATTTTCCCAAATATGCGGAGAGAGAAAAAGATGATTGGACTTGGCGCGAACTTTTTGATAAGTGAGGATTTTTGGGGTGTTCCAGGGAAATTTACGTTTCAATATTATTTTATAGAAAATTCTGATTTTTATAATTTCGATATAGCCTTTTTAAGATATACTCACAAAATAAACATTTTCGCTGAAATTCCAATAAAAATTTGAAAAATGCTGGAATTTTCAAACAAACTATTTGTCTGAAAATTCCAGTTTTCAGATTTTTATCAGATATTTCAGAATCAGACTTGAAAATTCGAGCGAAGCGAGTGTAGACCGCAAGCTTCCGCGCAGCGGCCACGCGGATTAATATGACGTTTGCCATATCATAGTAAACCACGTGGCCGCTAAAGCGGAAGATCGTGCCGCTTCGCGTTAGTTTTTTTGAGAGAAAAAATTGGTTTTAGGCTAACTTCCGAAAAGTTAGGGTAACTTTTTGAACTCAAGAAATATCCGGTGAAAAATAGGTTTCAAAAATGTTTTATTTAAATTCAGAATCATGAAATTTTAATCGTATTGTTTCGGGGAATTTAAAAAAAAAGCAATTCAGACCTAAAAAAATGTTTTTCATCGAATTTCAGTTAGATCAATTGCTTGTCTTAAAACTAAAATCAGCTAGATTATCTAGAATTCTGCTTTTCGATGCATAAAAAAATCCACTGTTTCAAAAATTTCACATTCTGAATTATGAAATTTTGATTGTTCTAAGATTTGTCTCACAAAAATGCGGAGAGAGAAAAAGATGATTGGACTTGGCGCGAACTTTTTGATAAGTGAGGATTTTTGGGGTGTTCCAGGGAAATTTACGTTTCAAAATTTTTTCATAGAAAATTCTGATTTTTATAATTTCGATATTGATGTTTTAAGATATACAAAATATTATTTGAGAGAGCGCAGACAACATTAGTTTTTGAGCGAAAAAATTGGGTTTAGGCTAACTTCGGAAAAGTTAGGGTAACTCAAAAAATATCCGTGGAAAAATAGGTTTCAAAAATGTTTTATTTAAATTCGGAATCATGAAATTTTAATTATTGTTTTACAAATAGGTCTTATAACAAACATCACCACAAAAATTTGGAATAAAGCCTAAAAAATGTTTTTCATCGAATTTCAGTAAGACCAATTGCTTGTCTTAAAACTAAAATTAGCTAGATTATCTAGAATTCTGCTTTTCGATGCATAAAAAATCCACCAAAAGAATCCACTGTTTCAAAAATTTCACATGAAAAATTCTGAATTCTAAGATTTTTCTCACAAATATGCGGAGAGAGAAAAAGATGATTGGACTTGGCGCGAAGTTTTTGATAAGTAAGGATTTTTGGGGTATTCCAGGGAAGTTTACGTTTCAAAATTTTTTCATAGAAAATTCTCACAAAATATTATTTGAGAGAGCGCAGACAACATTAGTTTTTTGAGCGAAAAAATTGTGTTTAGGCTAACTTCGGAAAAGTTAGGGTAACTTTTTTAACTCAAAAAAAATATCCGGTGAAAAATAGGTTTCAAAAATGTTTTACTCAAATTCAAAATCATGAAAATCTAATACTAGTTTTGCAAATAGTTCTTATAACAAATTCTGGCCTAAAAATGTTTTTCATCGAATTTCAGTAAGGCCAATCGCTTGTCTTAAAACTAAAATTAGCTAGATTATCTAGAATTCTGCGTTTCGATGCATAAAAAAATCCACTAGAAAAATCCACTGTTTCAAAAAATTTCACATTTTGAATTATGAAATTTTGATTGTTCTAAGATTTGTCTCACAAAACTTCGGAGAGAGAAAAAGATGATTGGACTTGGCGAGAACTTTTTGATAAGTAAGGATTTTTCAGGGAAATTTACGTTTCAAAATTTTTTCATAGAAAATTCTGATTTTTATAATTTCGATATTGCTTTTTTTCATTGCATATACTCACAAAATATTATTTGAGAGAGAGCAGACAACATTAGTTTTTTGAGCGACAAAATTTTTACAGCTTCGGCAAAGTTAGGGTAACTTTTTTAACTCAAAAAATATCCGGTGAAAATAGGTTTCAAAAAATGTTTTATTTAAATTCGGAATCTCTTATAACAAATTCTGGCCTAAAAATGTTTTTCATCGAATTTCAGTAAGACCAATCGCTTGTCTTGCATGTGAAACTTTGGTGATTTTGAGCATTCCTAAAAAAACCTCTTCTTATATGCTCTCCTCTCATAAGCTCCCAGTTCTCACCAAAAATCGTAATCCGAAAATTTTTGATAATAAACATTGCCGGTAATGGATCAAGAGCTGGAAATAATGCAATTGTAATCGATGTTATACCACTAAAAGTTCCCAAATCTTTGTCAAGAATCGAAAATAACATAACAATGGATACAGGAAGATGTAGAAGAAGAATTGGAATCATTGTTGATGTTACGAGAGAATAAAACACTTGAGATTGTAAATGATTCAAATTCTGAGAAGCTAGACGTATTCTAGAAGTGAGATTATGATAACATCTGAATCCAAAGTATAGAATTGCGATAACCGATGATGCTAGCAATAGCCAAATTGATAAGGAGCCAATTATTGATCGTAGATGAAGTTTATAAGATCCATCAACTTGAATTTGATAGAAATATGGGCCGAGATAAATTATATCTTGAATATACCAATCAAACGTGGATAATAACACATTTTCCAACTGTTCATCAATTTCCTTTGAAGGAGCTAACACAAAATATTGGATTGCACCCCAAGTTGAACCATAGATGACTGGAAATGTTAGCCAAAAAAGCAATCTTGAATCGCGAAATGTTTTCAAATATTTCGAACCAGTTACAACAAAAAATCGATAGATAAAATGCAGTGCAAACATTCCCATAGTTGTTGCAATAAATGTGCAATACAAGCCATTTAAAACAGCCAAAATACCCTTGGAAAATATCGAATTTTTAGTGAAAACCATCACAATAAGAATGGATTTGTGAGAAAAAACGATTGGTGAAATAAGAACATCTAAAATTGAGTAGATGATTTCGAGCCATGATAAATATATCATCAAATATTTATAAGTTCCCAATTGTTTTGGTGATTTGAAAATGATTAGATAAGTTAGGAAAGAGTTTAGTGAAATTGAAATTATTGCGGTGATTTTTTGAACTAAATCAACTATGAAGCTTATCGACAAATTCATGACGAAAAATAATGAAAAATAGAATGAAAATGGGGGGAAATTGGAAAAAGTACATAATGAACAAAATTAAAAATACCTTAAAATCAGCTAGATTATCTAGAATTCTGATTTTCGATGCATTAAAAAATCCACCAGAAAAATTTACGTTTCAAAATTTTTTGCAGACTCTCAACTCGACGCGATGAAAAAGAGAAGAATAAATTGGAAATGTTGACGAAGAGAATCGGAAATTCGCAACAGAAAAATGATAGTGGAAGGAAGACTGTGAGTTTTTCGCAAGCTTCCGCGCAGCTGCTAAGTTAGCCTAACTTTTCAGGAAAATCTAGAGAGTTTGGGTAACTTTGCAGCTGCGTGGAAGCTTCGTTCGAATAAATAGCTTTAAAGTCCGTTTTCTGAAATATCTAATAAAAATCTGAAAACTGGAATTTTCAGACAAATAATTTGTCTGAAAATTCCAGCATTTATCAGATTTTTATTGGAATTTCAGCGGAGATGCGGAAGCTATGCCCAAATTTTGAATTTTTCTGAGCGGAGCGAGTGTAAACCGGAAGCTTCCGCTTTAGCGGCCACGTGGTTTATTATGATATGGCAAACGTCATATTAATCCGCGTGGCCGCTGCGCGGAAGCTTGCGACTTACACTCGCTTCGCTCGAAGTTCCAAGTCTGATTCTGAAATATCTGATAAAAATCTGAAAACTGGGATTTTCAGACAAATTATGGGACGATTCAGTAACTATAATCTAGTTCTTGAATCGTCCCTTAATTTGTGCTGAAATTCCAGCATTTATCAGATTTTTATTGGAATTTCAGCGGAGATGCGGAAGCTATGCCCAAATTTTGAATTTTTCCTAGCTTCCGCGCAGCTGCAAAGTTAGCCTAACTAATAATTTCCAGATGGTCATCGACGCCGCGCACACCAACATCCGCCGCCGCACAACCGCCATCACTCCGCGCGGACCCTCCACAATAATGGCTGCCCAACCATCGTGCCTCGAATTATCACAAGCTCGCAAAAACGTCAAAACCCAAGGACACGGTCGTCTAAACACTCTTCAAGCTCCAATGCGAGCTGCTGTTTCTCTCTCACGACCTTCTACTTCTTCAGCATCGAATTCGAATTCAAGAAATGCGCCGAAAGTTGCGCCACTTATGGCGAAAGTTAGGAAAATGTTGAGGAAATGATTGGGATTGCACTGTAAGTATGTGATTTTTGCTATACTTAATTAATTAATTAAGAAGATTTTTATTTAAATTTAGTATTTCAAATCTTTTTTCTTTTTAAAAATTTTTCTGTGGTTTTTTCTTCATAATAAACGTGTGATAGAATTAATGACACTGTGAAATTTGAAAAAAATTCAATTTTATTTTTCCACTGAAAATTTGGCATGACAACTCTTATAAATTTCGGTTTTGAAGCAATTTTCTTCACATTTTTCGCACAAAATTAAATTCAGGATTAATATGAGCAATACGACGATCCTGTTAAAATTTGAAAACATTTTTTTTTGGTCTGGGATTTTATATTGTAAAAAATTGATGTCTAGAAGCCGTAATATTTTTGAATTTGTCATAATTTTTTTTTGAACTTTAAGTTTTGGAAAAAAAAACAAGCACTGTAAATTTTTCTTTGGAAAAATTATACCCGAAAATCTTTAGAGCTTTCGAAATCAAAAATTAAAAACCCTAAAAAAGTACGTTTCAAAATTTGCACATATTTTCAAAAAATATTTTTATTTTGGTTCAGAGTCATTTTTAAATTCTGCGTTATTATTTTTCATTTCTAAATACTTCCCGATCCAGATTCTCATTCACTTTGAGCCGAGCAAAATGATTCCAAAAATCCTGCTCCTTTGTGTTATATTTCACCACTTTATTGAAGCATCTCATTATTTCTATAATATGAGTAATGCTTTAATTTTCATTGTTATTATCATTATGAATTCAAAATTGATGCATATAAAAATATTTCAAGCAAAAATATATCATTCCATAGGCGGTGCACTTGGGTTATAAATTGGTAATCCACTATAAACCGGATATTTCGGAGCAAAAGGTCCCGAATTCTGATCAGCATCAACTTTTGTGCCATCAGGTCCATAAAATGAATCTTCATAAAGTGGTGGAGCACTTGGCACGGGCTGTCCAGGCGATGATATTGGCTGGGGTGGCATTAAAGGAGCTGCGGGATTTTCAGGATAGATCACAGGCGGTAGATATTGGCGGATTGGCACGGTGCCAATCAATAATCCCAATTCACATTTTGAAGATGAATTAAAAGTGGCATCAGTGTCAATTTCAACTTGAACTGTATAATCAACACTAATTGTTGGTGAATGTTGAGAAATTGATGGAACAATTGAGGGAAGTTGAACTTGTAGATCTAGAGATTGTTGATTTCCAGGCTGGATATCCAATTTCTGTTCGGCTTCTACTACCTTATTTCGCGCCTCTTTTCTTTCACTTGAACCGTAGACTTGAAGATTACTGGAGATTCCCGTGTATTTTATTGTGTCTCCACGACGGACGGCGGTGTATTTGGAGTTTTGGTAGACTTTTACGGTGGCCTGGAAATTGGGGGGATTTTTTTTAGATATTTTTGGAAAATTTTGAGATCAAAATTAGTTTTCCAAGTTTTTCAGTCAAAAATGATGACAAATCGAGGTTTTTTAAGCTTCTGGAGTAATTTCTGATTAAAATTGACCTTGGAATTCACTTTCCAGAAGGTTTTGCTGATTTTTCGTTTAAAAATCATAAAATAAAGCAAAATAGGGTTCTCAAAGCTTATTTTCATCAGAAATTACTCCAGAAGCTTGAAAAATATCGATTTGTCATCATTTTTGGCTGAAAATCGATATTTTTCAAGATTCTGGAGTAATTTCTGATGAAAATAAGCTTCGAGAACCCCTTTTTGCTGAATTTCATGAATTTTTTCGAAATTCATCAGCAAAAACTTCTGGAAAGTGAATTCCAAGGTCAATTTTAATCAGAAAATACTCCAGAAGCTTGAAAAATCCCGATTTGTCATCATTTTTGGCTGAAAAACTCGCAAAAACTAATTACATTTTTAAACAATTTTTTCGTTCGTGAATCAGCCCTTTTGGGTATTTTTCAAGTTGGACATTTTGAGAATATTTTTGCGCCAGCTTGCAAAAAATAGTTACAGGGTGGCTGATAAGTATACAACGCTGTGTTTTAAGTTGTAACTAATGATTTGGCGTGAAATTTTTCTCAGGATGTTTTTTTTCGTGTTATTAGATACCTAACGAACACTTTTTGATAATAGTTCAATCGCTGTTTTAATTGGTCCCCAGTTCTGATTCCGATTTAGCGAACAAAAATTGAGGGGGTGCGGCGCCCTAGTTAGTAAGGTTCGGGGTGTTCTAAACGGACTCAAAATGGGCCAATAAAGATGGAAATTTCTTTTTGAAATGTCAGAGGTTTAATTTTAATGTTCCAGTACACATTTGATAAAAATTCATCATTTTGAATTTCTGGAGAACCTTCGAAGTCAAAACTCAAAAAATCACTTTTTTCCTATTTTTCCGAAAAAAAAATGTTTTTTTCAAAATACTTGAAATTCTGCGGATTTTCAAAATATTTTCCTGTTGGATAGGATAGAAGTAGATGTTTGAGAAAAACAAACTAACGATTCCAATTGTTAGTCCGAAATTTTCGGATAAAATGTGACATTTTTCGAAAAATGAAGATGTCTAGCAAATTTTGATAGTTATGACGGTCAGAATTTTCAAAACGTGATGTGATGATTGTAATGGGTTGAGAACATCATATTTGTTCATATTCAGAAAGTTGAGATCTCATTTTAAGCTCTAGCTCATATCACAGTACGCTAAACTGTCAACACTCAAAAAACAACAGTTTCGCGCCGCACACATATTCCGATTTTCTGAGAAGGTGCTCTTGAACTGAATTTTTTTTGAATAAGGTTTATGAATGCTGCAAATGGAACATAAGGATGTCTAAAAAGTGTGTCTGGTTGTATATAACTGATTTCTTCGTTTTTCACAAAGTTCTGATAGAGGAAAGTTGACCTAAAATCAATGTAAAATGTACCTTTTTCAGCTGAAATCACCAATACACACCCAGAAATGAACTTTTCTTAAAACACTCTCACATTAGCTTTCTAGACTCATTGGACTATCCGATCAACACTTAACATAAGAAAAATGACAATCGGGGGCTTTCTGGGAAGGGCTTGAAAAACGTTGTATACTTATCAGCCACCCTGTATGTATAATCACAGAAAATTTCAATTTTTTGTGATGAAAAATAGACTAGTTGTTGAAATTTTGAATTGCGTTAAGTAATTATTGATTTTTTAATTAATTTTTAATTAATTCAAAAAAATATAACTCACCATATTAACCGGAACAGTTCCTCGATTCAAAACATGCACATGAATTGGAATAATTTCACCCGAAACAAAGCCAGTTTTCGGAATATCAACCTTAATCTCGATAAATCCTTTTTTAAAACAACAACATCCAACATTTTCACTATCTTCATCATGAAGTGCTTGAAGTGTTCCAGGTATTTGATTCAGGTCTAACCAAGGTGAAACAGTTACACATCGTCTTTTTGTATCATCAAATCTCCATGGTCGATCGACTTCTGCTTTTACTGGAAAAAAGGCGATTATTTTCAGCAAGGAACTAAAAAAATACATGGCCGAACTCTTTCGGTGGCCTAGAAATGCCGGGAATTCGGCCAATGCGGATTTTCGCAACGAGTTTGTTGCTTTGGCCGAATTCCCCACATTTCTCGGCCACCAAAATAGTTCGGCCACATAGGTACCACGCGCTCCACCGAAATAAACACGCAACGCAGACCGCGCCGCGCCACAACACACACAAATAAGGGAACGATTCAAATTCCCTCCCTTTTTGTGTGTGTTGTGGCGCGGCGCGGTCTGCGTTGCGTGTTTATTTGCGCATTTTTGTATTTTTACCTGAATATCGAATATATCCATATTCCCCTTCAAAACTTGGCGGACAATATGGCGGAACTTCAAAACTAAATGGCCAAATGTAATTTCCAGCTGGCATTATATTATCATCATTTGTGCAAGACCAGAGCATTTTTTGAAAATCGGCAAAAATCACAGTTGAATAATATGGGATTCTTTCTCGACTATGATGTGTTTCTCCGTCACTTCCACTGAAAATTTCAGATATTTTTTCAAAAACCGAAATAAGCACGCAACGCAGACCGCGTCGCGCCACAACACACAAAAAGGGAGGGAATTTCATGAATCGTTCCCTTATTTGTCGGTGTTGTGGCGCGACGCGGTCTGCGTTGCGTGTTGGAGCGCGTGGTACCGATGAGAGTTTCGATAATTAAAAACCCACGTATATCTTCTCGATTCATATTCATCCCAAGTTGTATGAGCTTTTCCCTCGAATTTGATATTCACAGCTCTCGCTTTGTATTTCTTTTCAGTCTGGAATTTGACACGTCCGGAAATCAATTGGCCCGGCAGAAATACTTCGTTGGAATTGTCGAATTCCACGTAGAGTTCACGATCTTCATCGCCAGCTTCGGACATCTGCAAAATATAGGATTTTTTGGAGTTTTTTCAAAATATTTTTGATTTTTTCGCAAAAAAATCTGTATTGATAAATAAAATGGGGAAGTAAAAAAAAATATCTTTGAAACCAAGTGAACGCCGAAAAAAAGAACTAAAGGACATCAAACGAAAAAGAAAATGAAAAAAAGCGAGAGAGAGAGTGAGAGAAAAGAGGAGGGTGTTAGAGAAGCAGAGGAAAAATGTTTGTGCTTTGGCTGTCAGATAAAGGGCAGTTTTTTGGAGATTGCCTGGAAATTGTTTTGGAGCGAAAAAAATCCACGTGGTTTTTTTTGCGAAAAAAAAAGAAAAATTTTACTACGGTACGCAATTTGTGCATTTGTGCGTCGCGGTGTTTACACACTATATAGTAATTTCAGAGCATTTTCAGCATGTTAGAGGCATTTTCAGAAAACGCTGAATATACCATTCGATTCGTCTCGTCGAGATGAGCCAGGAAAACTATTTACCTGTTTCTGAAACGCATTCTCAAAAAAGTTATGGGCTGAAAATCAAATTCAAAGGCGCACACATGTTTCGAAAGAGTTTTTCTACGTGAAAACGCCATTTTTAGGGAAAAATCCAGGAAGAGTAAGTAAAACTTTATTAGAAAATCACAAATTCTTGAAAATCGGATATTTCGGTACAAATTTGTCGCCAAAGCGTTGAATAGCATCCGCAGCGCATTGCGTGTCCAAATCTCCGCGCGCCGACGGAACATACGATAACTCGCCGCGCCCACCAATTGGCACAGTGCCAATTATGATTGGCGCCTCGCCAAGCGATTCAACGATGCACATTGAATCGGCGATGGCGGCGATTTGCACGGCATATTCCACGTGGATGTGGGAATTGTTGCGGATTGTTGGGGCGATGGCTGGAATTGCGATGTTGAAGGAGAATTCGTGATCAGCACCGATTGGAATATCGACAACCTATAAGAAAAAAAATCAATAATTTATTTATTGATTGATTTTCTCGAGTCAAACCTCTTCAACAGCTCCAAAGAGCACACGATCCAACTTGTCGTGCAAGTCATCAAAACCTCCAACATTCGGATTTTTTCGATAGTTTTTATCGACATTCTTCGGATCTGATTTGGTTACGGTTTTTCGGACCAGAGCTCCTCGAATTGCGCGGATTTTTGCTTTGAGATGGTTTTCGATGAGACCTTGCACGTGGATTGTTTCACCGGCCACGTAGCCGGATTTTGGGACTTGGATCTGAAATGGGAAATATTTTTTTTGGTGGATTTTGAGGTGAAGAACATTCAAAAAAACAAGTGGCCTAACTTTGAAAAACCTAGGCCACGCTTATTTTTTGACAGAAAATTTGAAAAAACATTCGAAAAACAAGTGGCCTAACTTTCAAAAAACCTAGGCCAGGCTTATTTTTTGACAGAAAATTTGAAAAAACATTCAAAAAACAAGTGGCCTAACTTTGAAAAAAAACCTAGGCCACGCTTATTTTTTGATGGAAAATTTGAAAAACTATTATTTTCACGATTTTCGCGCAAAAATCCACGTGGCCTAACTTTCAAAAAACCTAGGCCACATTCGGAAAATTTTTGAATTTTTCAAATTTCCCGCAAACAAAAATTAATTAAGCGCATGGCCTAGGTTTTTGAAAATTGGTGAAAATTCGGCCACGCTCATTTTTTGACAGAAAATTTGAAAAAATCATTCAAATAAACAAGTGGCCTAACTTTGAAAAACCTAGGCCACGCTTATTTTTTGACAGAAAATTTGAAAAAACATTCAAAAAAACAAGTGGCTTAACTTTCAAAAAACCTAGGCCACGCTTATTTTTTGACAGAAAATTCGAAAATTTTTATTTTCACGATTTTCGCGCAAAAAAGAGCGCGTGGCCTAACTTTGAAAAACCTAGGCCACGCTTGATTTTCAACGGAAAAATTGAAAAAACAATAAAAAAAACAAGTGGCCTAACTTTGAAAAACCTAGGCCACGCTTATTTTTTGACAGAAAATTTGAAAAATTATTATTTTCACGATTTTCGCCCAAAAAAGAGCGCGTGGCCTAGGTTTTTGCAAATTAACAAAGTTCGGCCACGCTCATTTTTCGGCGCAAAACTAGAAAAATTCAAATTTTTTCTAATATTTTCCACTTTCTAATTATTTTGATAATTCTAACAAAATCACAAACTTTGCCACTTACAAAATAAACTCATTTTCAGAACTGAATTCAGCAACTTTTGACAAAAAAATCCATGAAAAAAATGAATTACCGTAAATTGAACATTGCCCTTCTTGATGAAATTGATACAATCACAGCAAATCATCTCTTCCTTAGCCTGGAATTTCACAGGATCTGTGATATTTGGAATATCATTGAGGTTGAGTTGAGTGGCCACTGTTACTGCATTTTCCCGGTGTTCGTCGAGGAAGTGGGGAACATCAATGTTGATGCCAACCACGTAGCGAATGCAGCCGAAGTTGGCTGTAAAATTTAAAATTTTTGATTTTTTCCTCAAATTTTGACGCGTGAACTCTTCTTTCACGTGTTTTTCTTATTTTTAAATCAAAGATCCCATTTCTAAAAAACCTACATTCAAAAGTGGGTTGAGTGTCCTTGGGAAGTTCAAAACTGAAATTCCACTCATATTCTCCAGCTGGCAGGATGTTCTTCTCGTCTTCGGGTGTCCAAACTTGGTGGGTTACTTGGAGATGAACTTCGTTGCCTTTTTGTAAAGCAGCGCTTGACACAGGCTTTCCGTCTCTTCTGAAAAATGAAAAAAACTTTTTTTTTTTGTTTTGAAAAAAAAATAGAGAGTGTGTGTTTCGAGGAGAGGGGAGAGAAACATAATGCAGTAGGGCGCAGATGCGCGTGCATATTTATGCCCGCCCTTTTTTTTTTTGAAAAAAAATTTATTTTTTTTTCAGAATTTTTTTCATTTTCAAGCTGAAAATCAACTCACGTCCACCCAGTCACCGTCTCATTGATAAATTTGATCTCAATCTTCCTCGCCGACAAATCCTTGGTGAGTTTCATTTCGATTTTTCCCGTAATTTCATCGCCTGGGAAGAAGACATCTTTGTCGAAGGTGATTGTTGGTTTCAGCGCCATCTGCGAAATGTTAGAGTGATATAAGTAATGATTTTTGTAAAAGGACGAATGTAGAAGAGAGTGCTGTGTCGTATCATCATTAAAAATAATGGTTTTCTTTATTTTTTCTGTGAAGCGAGAGAGAGAGAGATGAAGGAAATATGAGTCATGGGATGGGGGAAAATTTAAAGAATTAGACCTGAAAATGTCGAAAAACAAAATATTATTTTGATTAGAGACAATGGAAAATTGAGAGAGCCCAGCAAAAAGAGCATAAATTAGTTTTTCGAACAAAAATTCAAAAAATGTATGATAATCTACTGCAAAATCTACTGCATCTGAAAAGTTAGGGTAACTTTTCAGATGCAGTAGATTAGGTTAACCTATATTTTTTGAATCTTTGTTCGAAAAACTCATTTATGCTTTCTTTTGTTACAAAAAGTTGTCTGAAAATATTTCTAGATTGAAAAACTTCTTCTTATCATACGAAGTTTACAGCGCGCCCCCAAAAAAACCATTTTTCGCTGTTAAACCATGATAATCCGCAAAACAGCCAAGTCAAAAACAAAAAAAAACAGTTTTTCGAAAGTTGTGAAACATACATAAATGTGAAAAAGATTCGAGTAACGATTACACATTTTGTTGTTTCGCGCGGGCGCCGCCACCGCTCGAAATACTACACTGATTGAAGAGACGTAGACTGGAGGAGAAGGACATTTGGATCAGTGCCAACTTCTTGTTTTCATCGTTAGAGGTTACAGAAGAAAAAGTGCAAGAAAAGTGAGTAGATAAACTTTTATTACATGGTTAAGCCGTGAAATCGTACAATGGATATTTTGGCGCGTAATTTCCTAGAACATTTTCCGAATCGTTGATCAAAACATCGGTTTTATCAGCAACGTATGCAGCGGGCTCTGAAAATGTTGATGAAATACATTTTTAAGGGGAAATTGACCCGCTGATCATGATTAAGTTTTCAAAAATAACTGAACTCGAGTTTGAAAATGAGTTATGACGTGGCAAAGTTATTGAACAATACTTTTGTTGAGTTTACAAAACTATGGGAGGATAATTCAGGCTTTTTTGTTTCATGGAAGCTATGTATAGTCTTTGTAAAGCTTTACAAGACTATAGCTAACTTAGTTTAGTTTAGTTATAGTCCTGTAAAGCTTTACAAAGACTATAAATAGTTTCCATAAAACAAAAAAACCTGAATTATCCTCCAATAGTCTCGTAAACTCATGACAATTATTCTTAAACAACTTTGCCACGTCATAACTCATTTTCAGCCTTGAGTTTAGCTATTTTTGACAACGCAAACGTGATCAGCCCAAAAAGTTCTTACTGCGTTTCTTCACATCTTTCGTTGGCACAGTTCCAATTGTAAGTGGAATTGAGCAACTGATTGTATTTTTACCATTTGCATGTTTTACTTCAACATCGAGACGATGTCTGATGGACAAGAATGGTGGAAGGGTTTTTGGGGCGAAACTTGGGATGGTGGTTTCGTAGCTTAGTGCGATCACAGTGAATTTTTCTTTGGATTTTGCGTTGACTGAGACCTGCGGGAAACAGATGATTGGATACTTGAATCAAATAGGACCCCCAAAGGTGCCCCCCGTAAAAGAAAAACATACTTTTTCAGTCACGAAATAGGTTTCATACTCTCTAGTTCGAATTTCCCTCGAATCTCCTGCAACTGCAACTGCATCTCCGATTTTATAAGTCTTTCCGCCTTTTTTCAAAATACTTGTCTTATTGACAATGAGTTCTGCGTGAATCTAAAGAACCCCTTGATGTGTTTTTACTTACACAGAAACTTTTTTTTAACTCACTGAATCAGTTTTCTCATTCGATTTGTTATCAATTTCAACAGTTAATGTAATATTTTCACCATCAACGAAACCACGTTTAATGACAGTTGCTTTGATATTAACTCCGAACTTTGATCCTTCGCATGAAGCTGGCTTTGAATACTCGTCCGATTTTGAAAGATCGATGCCATTTACAACGGTGATCAGATATCTAGCAGGAATTCCGGTAGAACCATCAGTTTCACTAATCTCAACTTCGAATCCATATCTGATTTTTGCTGGGAAAGCTTCAACGGAAGTTAGAGAATTGGCGGGAATTTTGAATGAGAATGGATATTTGAATTCCTTGCTCTTGGCTAGAACTTCTTTCTTCACAAGAACCTTTGATTCATTGATAAATGGTGCAATATTCGATTGATAGACTCCAAACTTCTCTCCATAATCAGCAAATCCGTAGGCTTGTCCAACAAATCGCAAAACAACATTGTTAATCGCTGAATCTTTTGGAGTTTTGAGAACTAGATTTCCTTTCACATCATCTCCAGGGGCATAGACTTCATTTTTATTGTCCAAGACGATTTTGAAAGTGTCGCGTGGGTAAAGTTTCGAGGCTTGGGAAAAGTGGAGAAATATAGCAGAGAGGAGTAGGATCTTGATGAACATTTTGATCGAAATGACCGGGAAGTAGATGTAGATTGGTAGGAGTGTAAAAAAGTGTTCTAATTGAGAAAAAAGGTCGAAAGTCGTTTATCTTCTCTCTTGAAGATAAAAACTGATTAATTTTTCACAGAACTTTGAACAGTTCAATACAATTTGCAATTTTTTTCTCAATTAGAACCCTTTTTGTTTAATTTCTCAAAAATGTATTCATTGTTCAATTAATTAAAATTTGAATTTCGGATATTTCGGCTTGAATCCTTCTTGAACATGTTCCCAACTGTTGATCAAAACATCCTTTCCATCGCCAAGATATTCAGAAGGTTCTGCAAAAATATTCATCAGAATATCCCCAGAACATTTTTCGTTCTACTACTCACTTTTGCTCTTAACATCTTTAGTTGGCACAACTCCAATTGTAACTGGAATCGAGCAACTGATTGTATTCTTCTTGTTCGCACTTTTCACGATAATTTCGAAGCGATGATTGATTTTGAGGAATGGTGGAAGGGTTTTTGGAGCATAGGATGGAATTGTTGGCTCGAAGTTTTTGGCGAGCAATGTGAAGGTGCCTTTGGATTTTGGGGGGACTGAGATCTGGAAATAGAAGGGGTTCTGGTTTGAGCGGAATGACCACAAGCTTCCGCGCAGCGGCACTATCTTCCGCTTTAGCGGCCACGTGATTTACTATGATATGGCAAACGTCATATTAATCCGCGTGGCCGCTGCGCGGAAGCTTGCGGTCTACACTCGCTTCGCTCGAACAAAATTTCCAAGTCTGATTCGGAAATGTCTGATAAAAATCTGAAAACTGGAATTTTCAGACAAATAATTTGTCTGAAAATTCTAGCATTCTTCAGATTTTTATTGGAATTTCAGCGGAGATGCGGAAGCTATGTCCAAATTTTGATCGAGCGCCTCAAGCGCGAATGTAAACCGGAAGCTTCCGCGAAGCGGCACGATCTTCCGCTTTAGCGGCCCACGTGGCTTACTATGATATGGCAAACGTCATATTAATCCGCGTGGCCGCTGCGCGGAAGCTTGCGGTCTACACTCGCTTCGCTCGAATTTCCAAGTCTGATTCGGAAATGTCTGATAAAAATCTGAAAACTGGAATTTTCAGACAAATAATTTGTCTGAAAATTCTAGTATTCTTCAGATTTTTATTGGAATTTCAGCGGAGATGCGGAAGCTATGTCCAAATTTTGATCGAGCGCCTCAAGCGCGAATGTAAACCGGAAGCTTCCGCTTTAGCGGCTACGTGGTTTACTATGATATGGCAAACGTCATATTAATCCGCGTGGCCGCTAAAGCGGAAGCTTGCGGTTCACACTCGCTTCGCTCGAATTTCCAAGTCTGATTCAGAAATATCTGATAAAAATCTGAAGACTGGAAAAGACAGTTCCGCGCAGCGGCAAACTTTTCTTAAAGGGGGGGTAAGACGACAAAATTTTTTTGTTGCAAAGTTAAAGGCTCCCCAAAAGTAGTAAAACCTCCAAGGGATTTTTTCTGGAAACGTCCAGAAAAAATGTTCCATAAACTAGGTACCACGTATAGCTATACGTTGAATTTATTCCATAAACTTTCGGACAACGTATAGCTATACGTTGAAAAAAGTTCATGGAATATTTTTTTCGGACCTTTTTAGGCCTTTCGAGAAAAAATCCCCTGGGGCTTTTACTATTCAAAGGGAGCCCGATTCGTTGAGCAAATAAAATTTTGTCGTCTTACCCCCCCTTTAATTTTTTTGTGGAAGAAAGTGCGGCCTATAAATTCATTTAACTCTAACAAGTTGATCAACTCACCATATCAAGTTTAAAAGTAGTGTCATATTCTCTAGTTCGAATTTCCCGCGAATCTTCTGGAATTGGAGCAGCATCTCCGAATTTGAAAGTCTTTCCATTCTTCTTCGAAATACTTGTCTTATTGACAACGAGTTTTGCGTGAATCTAAAAAAGCTCTTGAATTCTTTAAGCCCGAAAATTTCTCTTAAACTCACATAATCAGTTTTGTCATTTGATTGATTATCAATTTCTACTTTGACTGGAATATTTTCGCCATCAACAAATCCAGTTTTTTCAATTGTCGCCTTGATATTCACCCCAAAATCTGAAGCTTGACAAGAGGCGGCCTTCGAATATTCATCAGATTTTGAAAGATCGATGCCATTTATAACAGTGATCAAATACCGTACTGGAATCTCGATCTCATCATCTGTTCCTCCGATTATAAGTTCTAATCCATATCTGATTTTTGCTGGAAAAGCTTCAGCAGAAGTTAGAGAATTGGCAGGAATTTTGAATGAGAATGGATATTTGAATTCCTTGCTTTTGTCTAGAAGTTGTTGATTCACAAAGATCTTCGATTCATTGAAAAATGTTGGAACATCTGAGCGATAACTTCCAAATTTCTCTCCATACGTGGCTTGAGCGTAGGCTTCTCCCACAAATCTCAAAGCAACATTATTGATTACTGAATTTCCGGGAGTTGTGAGAACTAGATTTCCCTTTACATCATCTCCGGCAGCATAAACCTCATTTTTGTTGTCCAAGACAATTTTGAAAGTGCCACGTGGATAGATTATTATGGCTTGGGAGAAGTGGAGAAATATAACACAAAGGAGCAAGATTTTTGGAATCATTTTGCTCAGCTCAGAAGAGAATCTAGACCGGGAAGTATATTAGAAATCAGAAAAAATTGTCAGAAAGTGTAAAAAATGTTGTGTTTTGTTTGAAACAGCAGAAAAATGGGGTCGAAAGTCGTTCATCTATCTTTCTTTTTTTTTGGTTCTTGAGACACGGAAGAAAATTGGGGGAAAAATAAAATTGCAAACATCTTGGATTGATCAGGAAGATTTTTGATTTTTGGAAACAAATCCAAGAAGTTTCTGTTTCGAAAAACTGCATTTTCCAATTTCAAACGATGCTCCACGTTTACGCTATGCAAATTTGAGCGGGAAAGCTGGAAATTTTGAATTTTTTCAACTCGAAAATTTTGATTTTTAAGTTTCAAACGATGCTCCACGTTTACACCATGAAAATTTGAGCGGGATAGTTGAAAATTTTGAATTTTTTCAACTCGAAAATTTTAATTTTCAAATTTCAAACGATGCTCCACGTTTACACCATGAAAATTTGAGCGGGAAAAATGGAAATTTTGAATTTTTCCTCGTGTATTTTAGGCGCGAAAATTTCAATTTTCAAATTTCAAACGATGCTCCACGTTTACGCTATGAAAATTTGAGCGGGAAATCTGTAATTTCGAAAATCTTGCCACGTGTACATAAACGATGCTCCACGTTTACACCATGAATATTTGAGTGGGAAATGTGGAATTTCAAAAATTTTGCCACGTGTATTTTAGGCGCGAAAAATTGCATTTTCAAATTTCAAACGATGCTCCGCTTTAACACGTTTAATTTTGAGCGGGAAAGCTGGAAATTTGAATTTTTTTTCAACTCGAAAATTTTGATTTTCAAATTTCAAACGATGCTCCATGTTTACACCATGAAAATTTGAGCGGGAAATGTGGAAATTTTGAATTTTTTCAACTCGAAAATTTTGATTTTAGAATTTCAAACGATGCTCCACGTTTACACCATGAAAATTTGAGCGGGAAATCTGGAGTTTTGAATTTTTCAACTCGAAAATTTCAATTTTCAAATTTCAAACGATGCTCCGCTTTAACACGTTGAGCGGGAAATCTCGAAATTTTGAATTTTTTCAAGGCTCGAAATATTTCTATTTTCAAATTTCAAACGATGCTCCACGTTTACGCTATGAAAATTTGAGCGGGAAATCTGGAATTTTCAAATTTTCCTCGTGTATTTTAGGCGCGAAAATTTTTAAATTTAAAAATGTCTAAAAATAGTCTTTTTCCTCTTAAAACTTTCCAAAAGTACATCAAATTATTTCAATTTCAGTACACACTTTCTGAAATACAAAAAACATCATCTACACAACATACAACACGTGTTTTTTCCAGTTTTTTTTCATTATTTTGACCAAAAACAACTATTTAAAGGAACTTGTTCCCCAAAAAAACAAAATATTTCCAAAAAAAAATGTCCAAAGTTCCGCTAACTCAAAAAGCGTTGGTTTTCGACGCCTTCAACGGGCCTCTTGAAATTCGAGAAATTCCAGTTGGTGTTCCAGAAGATGACGAGATTCTGGTGCGAATCAGATATTCTGGAATTTGTCATTCGGATTTGCACATTTGGATGGGAGATTTGGAGGCGATTTCGAAGTTGCCGATTATTGGAGGACATGAAGGATCGGGAGAAGTTGTGAGGATTGGGAAGAGTGTGAAGAATTGGGAGATTGGAGAGAAGGCGGGCATTAAGGTGAGCTTGAAAATCCAGGTGGCTAAATTTTTGAATTCAAAATCTTGGGGCCAAAAATACACGTTGCAAAACCTGAGAATTCAAATTTTTATTCCTGAAATCCACGTGGCAAATTTTTGAAATTCAATTTTTCGGAGGTTCGATAAGTTCTAGAAATCCTGTGGAAAATCCGGAAGGTCCAAGATCTCCTGGGGAAGCTTCTGGAGAGAGATTCTAGAGGTCCTGATGAAGGTTCAGGAGAATTTTCCGAACTTCCGGTAGATCCTGGAGCTCCTGATGTGAAGAAAATTCTGAAGCTGCCGAAGCTCTTAAAAATCCCTGCACTGGATATCTGGATCCTGAAAATGGTTCTGAAGGGTGTTCGAAAATTCAAAATTCAAATTTTCGTATCAAAAATCCACGTGGCCAAATTTGAAAAGTCCAAATTTTCACTGTTTCAAAAAATTTATTTGAATTTTTGGAAATGAATTTCGAAGATTGCAAGTCCGTGTGTTTGAAGAAATTAAAAACTGAATGTTTTGCGCCAAAAATCCATGTGGCAAATTTTCGAGATTTTTCACTGTTTCAAAAAATGTATTTGAAATTTTGAAAATGAATTTCGTAGATCACATCCAAAGATTCAGCGAAAATTAAAATTTCAAATTTTTATTCCAAAAATCCACGTGGAAAATTTTCACTGTTTCAAAAAATTGATATAAATTTTTGGAAATGAAATTCGAAGATTTTTGGTCCAAATAGTAAATAGCGAAAATTAAAAAAAATCCACGTGGCAAAATTTTCGAAATTTTTCACTGTTTCAAAAAATTTATTTGAAATTTTGAAAATGAAATTCGAAGATCACAATCCAAGATTCAGATGAAATTAAAATTTCAAATTTTTATGCCAAAAATCCACGTGGAAAAATTTTCACTGTTTCAAAAAAATTATATTCATTTTTGAAAATGAATTTCGAAGATCATTAGTGAAAATAGTTAATAGCGAAAATTTAAAAAATAATCCACGTGGAAAATTTTCAAAATTTTTCACTGTTTCAAAAAACTTCATATAAATTTTTGAAAATGAAATTCGAATATCGTTAGTCAAAATATTTATTTAATAGCGAAAATTGAAAAAAAAAACCACGTGGAAAAAATTTTGAAATTTTTCACTGTTTCAAAAAATTGATATAAATTTTTGAAAATGAAATTCGAAGATCTCAAGCCAATTAAAATTTTAACTTTTTATGCCGAAAATCCACGTGGGAAAATTTTACGCTTAAAACACGTGGAAAATTTTCGAAAATTTTCACTGTTTCAAAAAAGTGATATAAATTTTTGAAAATTAAATTTGAAGATACCGAGTTCTCCCCATGTCGATATCAAAATTAAATAAACCTGACAAAATTTAAAAATTCTTCAGAATTCCCGCCAAAAAATCTAATAATTTTCCAGCTAATGAACTTCAATTGCAACAACTGTGAATACTGTAAAAAAGGTCACGAACCTCTTTGTCATCACATAAAAAGTTATGGCGTGGATTGTCCAGGAACTTATCAAGAATATATCACAATTCGAGGAGTTGATGCAACTAAAATTGATCCGGAAATGGATTTGGCAGAAGCTGCGCCGATTTTATGTGCTGGGGTTACGGTGTATAAAGCGTTGAAGGTAGGGAATTTTCTAGAGACCCTAAATCCACATTTTTCTTCCAGGAATCCCATGTTCTTCCCGGCCAAATTGTTGTTTTAACTGGAGCTGGTGGCGGTTTGGGAAGTTTGGCGATTCAATATGCAAAAGCTATGGGAATGAGAGTTGTGGCAATTGATCATGAAAGTAAAAAGGAACATTGTTTGGGATTGGGAGCCGAATGGTTTATTGATGCTTTTGGGACTAAGGATATTGTGGAGAGAGTTAGAGAGGTTGGTTTTTTTTGGAAAAAGATAGTTCACGAAAATTTTCTAAAACGTCATTGAAAATTTTCAAATCTAAAATTTCATACAATTTTTTTGAAACAGTGAAAAATGTTTTCACAATTTTTTTTCAAATAAAATCGTTCACGAAAAATTTCTACAAACTATTGAAGAATCTTCGAAACTGAAACCTAAAATTTTTTATAATTTTTTTGAAACAGTGAGAAATTTTGAAACATATTTTTTGTTAGGAATTTTATTAAAGTTTTTTTTTGGAAAAAAATCGTTCACGAAAATTTTCCTGCCAAAGAACAAATCAACTATCTTCAAATTTTATTTCTAAAATTTTATATGATTTTTTCTGAAACAGTGAGAAATATTTTCACAATTTTTTTTGGAAAAAAAATAGTTCATGAAAATTTTCCTTCCCAAGTACGAATCAATTATCTGAAAAATCTGAGATCTAAACGTTTATATAATTTTTTTGAAACAGTGAGAAATTTTCTAACATATTTTTTGTTAGGAATTTTTCACAAGTTTTATTTGAGAAAAATAATTCACAACGATTTTCTCAGACTATATCACCTATACACATGGAATCTTCAAATTTAATTTCTAAAAATTTATATGATTTTTTTGAAACAGTGGGAAATTTTAAAATTAAAATTTATTTTTAGCAACGTTTTCACAAGTTTTATTTTGGAGAAAAATAGTTCCCGAAAATTTTCCTAAACGTACTTACAATTAATTATTGATTCATCTTCAAATCTGAAAACTAAAATTTTATATGATTTTTTTGAAACAGTGAGAAATTTTAAAATTAAAATTTATTTTTAGCAACGTTTTCACAAGTTTTTTTTGGAAAAAATAGTTCATAACGTTTTTTTCAGACGGAAACTTCAAATTTAATTTATAAAATTTTATATGCTTTTTTTGAAACAGTGATGTTTTCACAAATTTTTTTTCAAAAAAAATATCGTTCACGAAAAATTTCCACAAACGGCCATATTCTCGCAGAATCTTCAAATTTTATTTCTAAAATTTTATACAATTTTTTTGAAACAGTGAGAAATTTTCAAATAGATTTTTTGTTAGCGATTTTTTCTTACAAGTTTTTTTTTTGAAAAAAAGTTCACAACGATTTTCTCACACAATTTCACTGAATGGAATCTTCAAATTTGATTTCTGAAATTTTATATGCTTTTTTTGAAACAGTGAGAAATTTTGAAACATATTTTTTGTTAGGAATTTTATTGAAAAGTTTTTTTTGAAAAAAAATAGTTCACGGTAATTTTACTGCCAAAGTATGTACAGATTAAAAATCTTCAAAACCGAAATCTAAAATTGTATATAATTCTTTTGAAACAGTGAGGAATTTTTTCACAAGTTTTTATTTTGAAAAAATAGTTCACGATAATTTTCCTGGCTAAGAACAAGTCGATCATCTTTAAATTTGAAATCTAGAAATTTATATTTTTTTTGAAACAGTGAGAAATTTTTTCACAAGTTTTTTTTAAAGAAAATAGTTCCCGAAAATTTTCCCAAACACCGTTATTTGAAAATCTTCAAATCTGGAATCTAGAATTTTATATAATTTTTTTGAAACAGTGAAAAATTTTGAAACTTAGATTTTTTTTTTCAAGTTTTTTTTTGGAAAAAAAAAATTCACGAAAATTTTCCTAACCCAAATTATTGATAAATCTTCAAAACTGAAATCTAAAATTTTATTAATTTTTTTGAAACAGTGAAAAATTTTAGAATTAAAATTTATTTTTAGCGACATTTTCACAATTTTTTTGAAAAAAATAGTTCCCGACGATTTTCTCAGACGGAATCTTCAAATTTAATAAAATTCAAATTTAAAATAAAATTTTATATGCTTTTTTTGAAACAGTGAGAAATGTTTTCACATTTTTTTTTGAAATAAAAATCGTTCACGAAAAATCTCTACAAATTATTGAAAAATCTTCAAATCTGAAATCTAGAATTTTATATGATTTTTTTGAAACAGTGAGAAATTTTAAAATTTATTTTTATTTTGAGCAACGTTTTCACAATTTTTTTTGTAAAAAAAATAGTTCACGAAAATTTTCCCAAACCTTATTATTGGAAAATCTTCAAAACTGAAATCTAAAATTTTATATAATTTCTTTGAAACAGTGAGAAATTTAAAATTTATTTTTATTTTCAGCAACGTTTTCACAATTTTTTTTGAAAAAATAGTTCACGATAATTTTCCTTCCCAAGTACGAATCAATTATCTTCAAAACTGGAATCTAGAATTTTTTATAAATTTTTTGAAACAGTGAAAAATTTTCAAACATATTTTTTGTTAGGAATTTTTTACAAGTTAAAAAAGTTCACAACGATTTTCTCAGACTATATCACCTATATCACACATGGAATTTTCAAATTTGATTTCTAAAATTTTATGTGATTTTTTTGAATCAGTGAGAAATTTTCAAACAGATTTTTTGTTAGGAATTTTATTAAAAAGTTTTTTTTTTGAAAAAATAGTTCACGATAATTCTCCTGCCAAAGTACAGATTAAAAATCTTCAAATCTGAAATCTAAAATTTTATACAATTTTTTTGAAACAGTGAGAAATTACGAGAATTGAAAACTGATTTTTTTTCTTGGAAAATTCGGGATTTTTCCGTGTATTTCACATAATTAAGAAATATTTTTCGAAATTTTCTCATTTTAAAAATTTTGAATGAATTACATCATTTTTCCAAGAAAATTAGTATTTTCTTGCGCTTTTTGAGATTTCAAAAATTTCAAATTTGGGAGAATCTCAACCGTAATTTATCTGTGAGTTGTAATTCACAAATGCTATAATGTTTTTTTGAAACAGTGAAAATTATTGACTCTCAAAAATGTTCGAAATTCAACGTTGAACAAGACAATTTTGAACATTTATATCTTGCACACAACACGATATTTCAAAACTGATTTGAAAGTCTCATAATTATTTTTGAAGTAGAACATTTTCGTATTTATCAATCAGTGAGTTCCAGTTTTGAAAATGATGTATGATTTTTTTGAAACAGTGAAAAATTTTGAAAGATTTTTCAGTTTTCTTCAAAAGCTGAACTTTTCATTCGAAAAAACTGCACACAGAAATGTTTGAGATATATTTTCGAAATTTTTTAATGATATTTTGAAACAGTGAACAATTCTGGAAGCTTGAAAAATTTGATTTTGAACTTTTTAAAATTTCGAAAGTTGAAACTGTTATAATTGATTTTTGAAACAGTAAAAAATTTCTAAAACTCAAAAACTTTCAAGTTCAAGAAAATTTTGGATCCGCAAAGGTTCACAAAATAATCTTCGAAAATTGATTTCAAAATTTTTAAATCCATTTTTTGAAACAGTGAAAAATTGTGGAAGATTTATCTTCAAAAACTGACTTGAAACTTTTAAATATAATTTTTTGAAACAGTGAGAAATGTTTTCACAAGTTTTTTTTTTGAAAAATAGTTCACAACGATTTTCTCGGAGGAAATCACCTTGTGGAATCTTCAAATCTGATTTCTAAAATTTCATATGCTTTTTTTGAAACAGTGAAAAATTTCGTGAATTAAAAATTGATTTTTTCCCGAAAAATGGAACTTTTCCGAGTTCACATGAATAATTTTCTTCTCTGTTTTTCAAAAAAAAAAATCTTCTGGGAACTTTTTTTGAGGAATGAATTTTAGATTTATTCGAAGAATAGTTCATGTGAATAATTTTCATCATTTTTTGAATTTGTGGAACGATCGATCTTCAAAAAATGATTTGAAAATTTTAAATCCATTTTTTGAAACAGTGAATTTTTCAGAAATTTTGAAAATTCAAATTTTTCTCAACAAAAAATCCCCAATCTTTCCAGCTAACCAACGGCGGTCCACACGGTGTCATAAACTTCGCCGTCGCCAAAAAAGCCATGGAAAATGCAGTGCAATATGTTCGCAAACGTGGTACCGTAGTCCTTGTCGCAATTCCAAAAGATTCAAAAATCGAAATCGATACAACTCATCTTATTTTCAATATGATCACAATTAAAGGCTCAATTGTTGGGTCTCGTTTGGATGTTGATGAAGCTATGGAATTTGTGAAACGGGGAATTGTAAAGGTTCCGATTGAACTTGTTAGATTGCAAGATGTTCGAGAGATTTATCAGAAAATGTTGGAGGGGAAGATCAGTAGTCGAGCTGTTGTAGATTTTTCATTGATTTGATTTGATAAGATCTTTTATACTGATTCTGAATTTAAAAATACAACAAAAAAAATTTCAAAAAAAAATCAAGTATCCAGACTGAAAGATTTGTCATCAACATCAACTCTTTTCGCAGATCTCGTCGCTCCGGAATTCGTCTCCAGACTAAAAGTTCGAATCGAGCCACAGCCTTTCATCGATCGATTATCGATTGATGACGCAATTGAGGAGGATGAGGAAGATGTTGGAAGGCAGACGGAAGAGGCTAGTGAGGTTTTTCGTCTGGAAAAAATATTTATGGAGCTGGAATTTTTCAGAGAAAATGAGGAACAATTTTTTTAGTACAGAAAAAAAGTTGGCTATTTTCAGAACTTTTAAGATCTGGAAATTCTAGGCAAGACCTTAGGTCTTTAGGCTTAGACAAAATCTTAGGCTTAGGTAAGACCTTAGGCTTAGACAAGTTATCATAAGGCCTATAGGCTTAGCTATTTTTTAATTTTAATTTTTTTTTTTTTTTTTTTTTTTTTTTGGAAAAAATGTTTCTGGAATTTTTCAGAAAAAAACTGAACTTTTCAGAATTTCTGGTCGAAAAAATTGAAATTCTGAGGAAAAAATTTGGCACAAAAAATATTTTGAGAAAATTTCAGAAATTTGAGATCTGGAAAACTTAGGCTAAGACTTTTAGGCGTACAAGGTTAGACCTTAGTTAGCCTTAGGCTAGGCCATAGGCTTAGCTCAAGACCTTAGGCTTAGACAGAATTTTAGGCTTAGGGAAAATCTTAGGCTTATGTCTAGACAAAAAATTAGGCTTAGACAAAATCTTAGGCTTAGTCAAAAACTTAGGCTTAGGCAGACCTTAGGCAAGTCTTTAGGCAAGAGGTCCTTAGGCAAAGTCTTAGGCAAGACCTTAGGCTTAGGCAAGTCCTTAGGCTTAGCTCAAACCTCAGGCTTATGCCTAGACAAAAACTTAGGCTTAGTCTAGACCTTAGGCTTAGTCAAGTCCTCAGGCTTAGACAAGTCTTAAGGCTTAGGCTAGTCCTTAGGCTTAGGGAAAATCTTAGGCATAGGGAAAATCTTGAGCTTAGGCTTAGGCATAACCTTAGGCTTAGGCAAAATCTTAGGCTTAGGGAAAATCTTAGGCTTATGCCTAGTCAAGACCTTAGGCTTAGGTAAGTCCTTAGGCTTAGGCAAGACCTTAGGCTTAGGCAAGACCTTAGCTTCAGCTACTCCCCTATATTCTATGCAAAAAATAAACTCACTGATCTTCCTCCGTCTCATTAGTGACTGCAAAATCATAGATCAGCGAAATGGCTGGAGTATGTGGTCGATTCGGATATCCTGCACCTCCTCCTGTATAATGCGAATCATCAGCACTAACCACAATTTCGGGAATATCCGAAGTCATTGTCGAAATACTGTAGTGCTGCTGGCGTTGACGTGGAACTGTCGGCTTCCAATCCGATTCCTTGCGATTTTGGGAAGCTGGTTTTGATGCGGGTTGCTGTTGTTGTGGTGTGGTTTTTTGTTGGGCACGATTTAGCCAGGCGGTCACTTTGGTTTTGGCTTTGAGAAGACGACGGCGTTGACGATCGCGGATGTCGAGTTCTTCGCGGAATCGCATTGCGTCGAGGAGAGCGTCCATCTGAGAAAATTTGAATTTTTCAAATTTCGCGCTCGAATTTTTCAAGGTGTAAACGTGGAGCATCGTTTGAAATCTAGATTTTCCATTTTTTGGCGCCAAACGTTTAAAAATTCAAAATATTCATATTTCCCGCTAAAGGTGTAAACGCGGAGCATCGCTTCATGGTTTTTGGGCCAAAAAATTTGAATTTTTCAGATTTCCCGCTCAAATTTTCCAGGTGTAAACGCGGAGCATCGTTTCATGGTTTTTGCGCCAACAAATTTGAATTTTTCAAATTTCCCGCTCTAATTTTCAAGGTGTAAATGTGGAGCATCGTTTCATGCTTTTTGGGCCAACAAATTTGAATTTTTCAAATTTCCCGCTCGAATTTTCAAGGCGTAAATGTGGAGCATCGTTTAATGGTTTTTGGGCCAACAAATTTGAATTTTTCAAATTTCCCGCTCGATTTTTTAAGGTGTAAATGCGGAGCATCGTATAAATTCCCGAAAAACATGGTTTTTGAGAGAAAATATTTGAATTTTTCAAATTTCCCGCTCGAATTTTCAAGGTGTAAATGTGGAGCATCGTTTAGAATCCAATTTTCATTTTTAAAAAATTATGTACTTTCAATTTTCAGAATTTTTTTGAGTTCAAAAATTTTTGATTACTCAAACAAAATCAGCTGTCATATGGGAATACAAAAAATGAATTTGCACTTTCAGACAAAATTTTCAGAGAATTTTTAATCGTGATAAAAAAAAATTACAAAAATCCCCAAATATTTATCTCATCAAAAAAATCGGATTAAATTTTTCGTGTTTTTTTTTTGATAATAAATGTTGTGTCGTCAAAAAATGTTAAAACGATGCTCCGCGTTTACACCAGAAATATTGAGCGGGAAATTTGGAAAATTCAAATGTTGTATTTGACGTTGAAAAAAATTGGATTAAATTTTTAGGATAATCTTTGTGACGTCACAACATATTTTTTTCCTCAAAAATATCTCACCTCAACAGTTGAATGTGTTCTTTTAATCGATCGAATCATCAATAAAATAATCACAAATGAGAACATGATTAGAATTGAGATTGTGTAGATCATTCGACCGAATTCACTTTCATATTCGGCTGCAGCTTTGGCGCGAGCTTGAAGTAGGTTACTGGAAAAAATTGGGATCTTTTGGGATGGTGTAAATGCGGAGTATCGTTTGAAAGATGAATTTTCGTGCCATAAATACAGCAAAATTTTTTCGAATCTTCAAATTTGCATCTAACCTTTTTGAAACAGTAAATTTTTCACAATTAAATTTTATTTTTGAAAAAAACTAAAAAAAAAATTTTTGTTTTAAAATTTTTTTGAAACAGTAAATTTTTCCAAAAAAAAATCCCAATAATTTTTCAAATTTCGCGCCAAAAATACACGTGGAAAAATTTGAAAATTCAAATTTTCTTTTGTTGATAAAATTTTATGAAGATGGAGAAGTTTTGGCGCGAAAAACTAGAAATCAAAAAAATTCTGAAAATTCAGTTTATTGAAAAAAATTTTGAAACAGTAAATTTTTCCAAAAAAAAAATTCCAATAATTTTTCAAATTTCGCGCCAAAAATCCACGTGGCAAAATTTGAAAATTCAAATTTTCTTTTGCTCTAAACTCACTCTTCCTCACACGAATTTTTGATAGCAATACAGGCCTTCTGAATTCCGTTCTGACAAGTTTCAGACAATTCATTTGTCTTCATTTTTAGGTCTGAAATTCTGAAATTTGAATGAAAAATCTGAAAATCTTCAATTCAAAGCTGAAAATAAATTTAAAAAAAAAAAGAACTACATGTTATTTCATTCCCCCAACTAATCACTCATTCATCGATAAATAAAAAAAAATGAGCTGCGCGGAGCAAAAAAAATATATGAGGGATAACAAACACATATGTGGTGGTGAGAGTGGAAAAAGAGCCGCGCAGCTGGCTGATCTTTCATGCATTGCCATAGCAGCACAATAAATGATGGAAAAATGAATGCGAGGGAGGAATTTCTAAAAAAATTTGAAAAAAAAACGGGAAAAAATGATTTTTTTTTCCGCGTGAACGTGACATTTCAAAATCCACGTGTGACCTTTTCATTTTCCACCTCGAGAGCTTCGCAAAAAAAATGAATCATTGCTCGAAATTTCAATTTTCAAATGAGTGAGTTCTCAGCTCAATTCAAAATTCAAATTCCAATATTTTCCTTACAGAATTAGAGTCAAGCTATTTTCAAGCACCCTCTTCAGACGCAATTCCACGGCCGTTGGTCATTGATGGTTGTAATATTGGGAGAAGTGCGTCGGGATTTTCGAGAACGTGAGTTTTTGCAAAAAAACTTGAAAAAAAAAAAGAAAAAATAAATTCAAATCGCCGCTCTCGCTAAACAACGCGCCGGCGGAGTGTCGTTTGTTTTTTTTCGAAAATTTTTTGTTTGTTTGCAGCCACGTGGATTGTGCGGGACTTGTTGCAGTTGTTCGATGGCTGTTCACCAAAAACTTCGATGTCACCGTATTTTTGCCCGTCGTCTATAATAATATCAACAATTATAACGCGAGAAACGCCGAATTGTTGCATAAATTGGAGCGATTGGGAATTGTCACATTTACACCAGCCAGAAGTGGGCGCGGCTTGAGAAAGTAGGCTCTAAAGCTTCTGATACTCCAAAAAATCCCTTTTTCCAGAGCCTTCATCAATTACGATGATTTATACGTGGTTTCGTATGCCGCCAGGCATGGTGGATGTATTTTGAGTGGCGACAAATTCAAGGATATTCTACACCAGAATTGTTATAGCGATTTTCATAATGTGATTCGAAATCGAACGGTTGATGTCAAATTTCATGCGTTGCCGTTGGATTTTGTGCAATTTGAGCAGGAAATGTTCTATAAAAATGTGCCAGAGATGTTTATTCGTGAGTTTTTAGGGATTTTAACGATGCTGATGTCAAAAACTGCTGAATTCAACTCTGAAAATGACTTATGACGTGGCAAAGTTTGAATAGTTCTTAATAGAGCGAATTTGTTAATTTTAGAATAAAAATCGCAAATTCGCTCTATTGAGAACTTTGCCACGTCATATTATCGAAAATCTCATCGGTACCACGCGCTCCATCGAAATAAACACGCAACGCAGACCGCGTCGCGCCACATCACACACAAAAAGGGAGGGAATTTGAATCGTTCCCTTATTTGTGTGTTTTGTGGCGCGACGCGGTCTACGTTGCGTGTTTATTTCGGTGGAGCGCGTGGTACAGATGAGATTTTCGATAATAAGACGTGGCAATGTTCTAAATAGAGCGAATTTGCGATTTTTATTCTAAAATTAGCAAATTCGCTCTATTGAGAACTTTGCCACGTCATAACTCATGTTCCATAATCGAAAATCTCATCGGTATCACGCGCTCCACCGAAATAAACACGCAACGCAGACCGCGTCGCGCCACAACACACACGAAAAGGGAGGGAATGTGAATCGTTCCCTTTTTGGTGTGTTGTGGCGCGACGCGGTCTGCGTTGCGTGTTTATTTCGGTGGAGCGCATGAGATTTTCGATAATAAATGACTGAATCGTGATCAGCGTGTTCAGTAAAATCCACTAGAAAATATATTTTTCGCCCAAAATTACACAAAAAATTTAAAATTTCAAATTTTCCAGACGAAAGTCACAATATGCGCTCCACTGTAATCCGTCAAAAACTATTCGTTCGTCCAGCAGAAGAAGACTATCAACTCGTCGAAGCGCATCGTCGATTATTATCCGCCGACCGTCGCAAATTCCTCTGCTCCGAACTCGACGCATTGCTCATCTCAATCAGTTTGGCTGCCGGAAAAGAGTTTCGAAAACTGGATGAATTGACATTGTTGGATGCGAGCACAAATTCGCATCATGCTCTTCGAATTGAAGACCTTTTTTCGCCGGAAGTTTGTCGAGAATTTTATAAAAAATATCCGAAAAATGAGATTTTGGTGAGCCATGATGCTGGATTTCAGCAGGATGGCGAAGATTCAGCCGAGACATATGTCATGGAACCAATTGTTGAAGTTGGTGATTTCGATTGGCGCCAAAAAGAAGCAAACAATTTGATCGATATTTCTTCACCAACAAAAAAATCGCAAATTCGAAAAATGATGATAATGATGTGCATCCAGACTTGGCACAAATCCAAATATCATCATCAGATTCTACAAAAACGTGTAAATTGCCACGTGATTTATCAAGTTCTGCACTTTTGGAATGGTTCACAAAAGTTGAGAAGAAAGGAATTTGAAACAATGTATACATATTTTTAAGTATATGTTTTGTTTTGTGATGTGATGAATGAAAATTTTATTCAAAAATTTCTCCGTGAACACGTGACCTAATTCCAGAATGCCAAATCACACAAAATGTGACATTTTTCAAAATTTCTCCTATAAAAAATGGTTTCAAAATGTTATATCGAAAGTGATGTTCAACAAACCAAAAACCCCGATTTTCCAACATTTTTTGGAATTTTTACTGAAATTTTTTATAGTATGATCAAAATGCCAGATGAAGAAACTAGTAAAGTTAGTTTGTTTTTGCAAAATATTCTTCTCATGATTCAGAATTTTCAGAAAATGCGCGATTTTTTGATGGGAAAATCAAGTGATACAATAGGAGATGTTATAAATCAAATGATATTTTCTCAAAATGGTCCAACTATTTTCTGGAGTTTCGGTTTCTTTCTATTATTTTCCTCGATTATTCTATTGATTTCAACAATTGTTATTCAATATTTTCTTTGTGGATGTGAACCAGAAAAACCAAAAAGATATGAGACGAGATTTACAAGTGGATATAATTTGATTGCATATCTTCTGGTTTCTTCCTTCTTTATTTCAGTATTTGCTATTACTTATGATATTTCGAAAGTTCATTTGACAATTGAAATTGAAAATGGAGGCGGATATTTGGATGAAGTATCTAATAGTTAGTTTTTGTGAAGCGGTAGACGCGGAACCGGTTCCGCAAGGTTAAACTTGCGGAAAAAAGTGAAAAAATCAATAAATACAGAGAGGGACTAGGATTTCGCTCGTTGTAAACCTAGTCCCCCGTTGTTTTTTTCTACAGGGTGACAACAAATTATAGCGACAAAAGTATATGCTGATCTGACAGTAATCACGCAGCAATCTTTTATGATTTCATTGCTCAAATTTTCTCAAAAACCATCATTTTAAAGTTCCTAATTAGTATACTGACTTGTTTTTGATTATGAACACAACAAATTTCACAAAGTTGGAAAACGATGGTTTTCAAAATTTCGCTTTTTGACGATTTTTTAAATTTTCGATATTTTATCGGCTAATTGTTTCATGTCTGTAAGTAATATTTCATGACTATAATTTTTAGTTTAGGTAAAGTAAGTATTGGGGAAGGTTCGGCACAAATATTATTACAGCCCACCGACTTTCAGACTTTTTTAGATGTGGTTATATTGAACCACCACTTGCGAGTATCACAATTTCATTTTTCGATCAAATTGAAATATGGGGATACAATTCCAATATTTATAAGTATGAATGATTGCAAATAGTCTGAATACTATCAAAAATTGTCGAAAAAATTTTGAGCATAAATCCTCTTCATTAATTAGAGTAATTAACGGATAATCAGAGTCAACTGATGAATTTCGAGAAATTATGATTTTTGGAAAAGTTGCATTTCTTTCAAAATTTATGTTTGAAAATAATATTCGTGATATAAAAACATTCACTAAACACCTTTGGAACAATTTGAAACATTAACATCGTTGAAAAAAATTATTGGGACATTTTTTAATTTTGACTTGATTTGAAAATTCACAAAATTCCGAAAATTCATGATAATTGAACCCCGGTGGATTACTCATTTGAACATCAGAAATTGTTATAACTGTGAAACAGTGTGTATTATGATCTAGAAACACTATTTTGAGCAATAAATATAAAATTTATCAGCCAGGGAAAATTTTTGTTGAACAAAGTATCTAGCGAGTACGGAAATATTTTTCAAAACTCTTCAAAGGTCAGAAAAAATATTGTGAACCTTCCGAGAACTCTTGATATTTTTTCTGCGTAGTCCTGGATAGTCAGGAAAGTCTCAAAAAATTTTTCATAGAGATCGGTTAAGTACGACAGTCACCAGAGTTAGTGGAATATGTCGCTATAATTTGTTGTCACCCTGTATTTTTCCTGGGTTTCGTTCATAAAATTCGAATAAATCTCATTTTCAGAGCTGGAAAAAGTTCTAACAGATGGTGCAACTCAATTGGAATGTGAAACCAGCAAATATATTGATAAGAATTTCGGGAAATTCGATGATTTGAAGAAAAATCTAACAAAGAGAATTGTCAATGAAACAATGCATGATATTGGATTGATAGCATTGAAAAATGTGAGTTTAATTTAAATATTTCAAAATTAAATATACTATGACAAAATCTTGCAGTTTGCAATCGAGAATTATACGAATCATCTCAATTCTTCAATTGCATACGGACCTACAATAATAAATTCGCCTTATTCAACCTGCAAAAATACATTTGAAACTGTTGAAAATGTAACCGGAAATCTGAAAGAGTTATTGCTTTTTGCTCAATTAGTAAATGATGCAAAACCGAAAATATCTAAAACTATCGAAAATTTTCAATCACCAATTCAAAAAATTGAAGATGAAACTAGTAAACGAATGATTTATGCGAAACAAAGTATCAAAAATATTTTTATCATTTTTCATGTGGGTTTTTGAATTTAATTTTGCAGCAAAAAGAACATTTTTGTTTCAGGAAATGATTGAAAAATCGAAAGTTACTTTGAAAAAGTGGATGGATTTGGTGAAAGCAGAAAGAAAGGATTTTGTTGAGGTAGAATTTTGAATCAGAATTATATTTCAAAAAAAATTCATAAGTAAGATTTTTAGGGTTTCGCCTATTCATTCACAAAATATTTCACTGGAATTCTAATAAATGTTATTTCATTGCTCACAATAATTTGTTCAATGGCTGCTGCATATTTAATTCATAATCGACTTCGAAATGAAAAATGGATGAAAAAATATGTGAAATTTATACTTATTGGATTCTATACCGCAATAGTTTTCACAATTTTCCTATTCATTTTTTGGATTTTCGCATTTTTGGGAGGATGGATGATTTCAACGATTTGTTTGCCGATTTTTGAAGAAGATCAATATGAATTCTACAAAGGAATCAATTTCAAATCACCGAAATTTCGAAAAGAAGTTGCACAAATAAATGCAGGGTACTTCTATAACTTTTACATAGAACAACATTTCAAATTCAAAATATTTTCAGACAATTCCTTCGTAGATGTAATTCTCCTCAAACTACAACATTTTTCGCGATTCGAGGATTTGAATTCTTCTCAGCAACTCATGTCAAAAAACAATTCGAAATTGTTCAATTTCACAATCAGGCTAGAGATGAGATTGAAAAATTGAAACCGGAAATTGTCAAATTCTCAACTCAAAGAGCCAGAGAACATTTAGCAGAGCTCAACATGAATTATGCGAATTTGAAGCAACTTATAAATGGAACAGAATGTCATTTTGATATTGGATATTTTCCAGCAATTGAGAATATTATGGAGGATAGTGAGAGGTTTTTGAATTTGACGGATGGTTTTGAAATGCGAAATATTACTGAGATATTTGTCAAGAATAATCTGGAGATATTTGAGCCTTTAAGAGTTGCGATTTCAGAGTCCAGTGATTTACTTATCGTAAGTTTATTTTAAACACATGGAACTAATTTGCTTTATATATACCTCAATATTTTTCCAGCACAATCTTCAATACAATAATTTCAAATGCGGTCCATTTGTCCATATTCTCAATACCTTTGGAACCTATTTTTGCGAATATTTGGGTCAACCAATGCATGCATTTTCGGCTTCTCTATTCCTACTTAGCCTAACTTTTCTTCTAAATTCCATTTCGCTTCTTTTGGCTTATCGTTGGTTGAGTAAACCGGATTTTGAATTTGCGAAATATGAAACGGTATGTTCCTTTAATGGGTCTAAAATCTCATTGGTACCACGCGCTCCATCGAAATAAACACGCAACGCAGACCGCGCCGCGCTACAACACACACAAAAAGGGAGGGAATTTGAATTGTTCCCTTTTTTGGTGTGTTGTGACGCGGCGCGGTCTGCGTTGCGTGTGGTACCGATGAGATTTTCGATAATAAAACTGCTGATCTCAATTATAAACAAGAGTTATGACGTGGCAAAGTTCTCAATAGAGCGAATTTGCGATTTTTATTCTAAAATTAGCAAATCAAGTCTGCACTCTCTCAATTTCACATTGTCTCTACTCAAAAATAATGGCTCTATCGCAATATATGGGTCCCATGGAAATATAAGGGTCCGTAAAAAATATAGGGGTCCGTAATTTTGTTCAAGGGTCCCAAAAATATAAGGGTCCGTTTTTTTTTTGAGGGTCCATCAAAAAAAACAATTTTTTTGAAAAAAAAAAGTATTTTTTCTAATTTCATTTATTTATTTTTGGTGATTTTTTGTAATTTTTTCACATTTTTTTAGCAAGTCAGTTTCTAGGGGGTTTACTAAGCCTAAGCCTAAAAAAATAATAGAAAAATTAGAAAAATTCCTCTGGTAACTCTATTTTTGGCTTTTCAGCTTCAGAATTAGGCTTAGGCTTAGTAAACCCCCGAAAATTCAAAGAATCGTCAAAAAATCAAGGAAAATACAACAAAACAATTGAAAATTACAAAAAAACACATTTTTCCTCCAAAAATCAATTAAAAATCACCCTATGAAACCTATTATTCTGCATAGGCCCATAATGGATTTCAAAAAAATATTGATTTATTTTCAGTCACCTGCAAATCCAAATCAAAAAATTGTTGTTTCTGGCGAAGAAGAACCTGTCAACAATACAAAAACACCAGAATCTGAAGAGAAAAAGAAGAGAAATTCGAAATCTCCAAGTTCGTAAGAAAATCGTGTTTATTTATTGATTTGTGTGAGTCTTTGGGATTTAATGAATTATGTAATTAATTTTGGAAAAATTTGTCTTAAAATTTCACAGCTAGAACTTTTCTCACACTCAATTTTTTCAAAAATTCGAAAAATTTTGAACTCAGAAATGATCTAGGAACATTTTGAGACTAAATTTTCCACAAAAAACCCGATTTATTCAAAAAAATCCCAAAAATCAATGCTTAAAATCGATAATTCCATTAGTATCAACATTTGCAAAAGAACTCGAACATCTCTGACAAAATCTGACTTGTTCTTTTGATCTCCATGGCGCCTCTTTTCCAACCATTCCATGCATATGTTTCTCACCTTTACTATCAATGTTACCAAACGCGAAAAATAGGTTGTATTGGCCGGATGAAATGACGTGCATCTAGAAGAGCTCAGGAGCATTTTGAAACCAAATTCCCCCCGGAACCCACCAATTTTCTCTCCACAAGATCCAAATGAATATTATCGAGAATCATTTCTCCACCACACATTGCTTTTCCATTTTCAATATCCGCATATCCGTCGCGAATCAGCATTTCTGAAGCTTTTTGAAGAACCACATTATTTTTAGCGGTATTGTGAGAGAGCACAACATTTCCAGCTCCGCCGGATTCAGCGAATTGACATTCGAAAACTGTGTCGTTGCCCTAGCAAAAATTCACTGTTTCAAGGGAGAGAGATTTGGAAAATTTTATTTTTTCGTTTATTTAACAATACTCGCAGTTTAAAAAAAATATCTCTCACATCAGATTTTTTCCTAGAAAATTTACGTTTCAAAATTAAAATAATGAAAATTTCTGAATTTCTTGAATGATAACAAAGTTTGTAATTAGAGTGAATAATAATTTTGAAAAAAAAATTTCTCAAAAATTCACTGTTTCAAATTATTTTTATACTTTTTGATGATTCGAAGATTTTGGTTATTCAAAAAAATTTGAGTTTAAAATTGTTTTTTGAAAAAAAATGAATTTCAGAATCCTGATTTTCAGCCAAATATTTTCCGACTCTGAAACTCTTTATCAGAAATTTTCAGATCAATATTTTCTTGATTGTGAATTTGATACTAAAATTCAGGAAATCGTAGTTTCTAAAAAAATATCAAAAATTTACTGTTTCAAATTATTTTTATATTTTTTGAAGAATACAAAATGTTCAATTTATGTTGTATTTCAAAATCATGTTGTATTGAAAAATTTTTAAGGAAATTTCCAGATTTTCAGTCAAATATTTCAACAATTTCTTGGAAATTTTATTTTTTTCGTTTGTAAAAATCCTCACTGACATCAGATTTTTTTCCCAGAAAATTTACGTTTCAAAATTAAAATTTCTTGAATGATCATCTTTTTCCAGCTTTAGCGAATAATAATAATAATTTTGGAAAAAAAAATTCTCAGAAATTCACTGTTTCAAATTATTTTTATATTTTTTGATGATTCGAAGATTTTGATTATTTTAAAAATTTAAAAGTGTTTTTTGAAAAAAATGCATTTCAGAGGCCTTATTTTCAGCCAAATATTTTCCGACTCTGAAACTCTTTATCAAAATTTTCAGATCATTATTTTCTTGATTGTGAATTTGATACTAAAATTCAGGAAATCATAAATTCTGAAAAAATCTCAAAAATTCACTGTTTCAGATTATTTTTATATATTTTTTGACGACATTACACAATGTTCAATTTGTATTTTATTTTAGATATAAAATTTGATTTGAAAACTGTTTTCTTTAGGAAATTTCCTGATTTTCAGCCAAATATTTCCACAATTTCTTGGAAATTTTATTTTTTTCGTTTGAAAAATCCTCACTGACATCAGATTTTTTCCTAGAAAATTTACGTTTCAAAATTAGAATAATGGAAATTTCTGAATTTTTTGAATGATAACATTTGGTTAATTTTGAAAAAAAAATTCTCAAAAATTCACTGTTTCAAATTATTTTTATATTTTTTGATGATTCGAATATTTTGATTATTTTAAAAAATTTGAGTTTGAATTTTTTTTTTGAAAAAAATGAATTTCAGAATCCTGATTTTCAGCCACATTTTTTACCTGCCGAAATTTTAGATCATTATTTTCTTGATTGTGAATTTGATACTAAAATTCAGGAAATCATAGTTTCTAAAAAAAATCTCAAAAATTTACTGTTTCAAATTATTTTTATATATTTTTTAACGTCATTACAAAATGTTCAATTTTTGAAAATTAAATTTGAAAACTGTTTTTTAGGAAATTTCCTGATTTTCAGCCAAATATTTCAACAATTTCTTGGAAATTTTATTTTTTCGTTTGTAAAAATCCTCACTGACATCAGATTTTTTTCCTAGAAAATTTACGTTTCAAAATTAGAATAATGGAAATTTCTGAATTTTTTGAATGATCAAATGGAATTTCAGAATCCTGATTTTCAGTCACATTTTTTCCCTGCCGAAATTTTAGATCAATATTTTCTTGATTATGAATTTGATACTAAAATTCAGGAAATCGTAGATTCTAAAAAAAAATCTCAAAATTTTACTGTTTCAAATTATTTTCATATATTTTTTGAAGACATTACACAATGTTCAATTTGTATTTTATTTTAGATATAAAATTTGATTTGAAAACTGTTTTCTTTAGGAAATTTCCTGATTTTCAGCCAAATATTTCCACAATTTCTTGGAAATTCTATTTTTTTCGTTTGAAAAATCCTCACTGACATCAGATTTTTTCCTAGAAAATTTACGTTTCAAAATTAGAATAATGGAAATTTCTGAATTTTTTGAATGATAACATTTGGTAAATTTTGAAAAAAAATTCTCAAAAATTCACTGTTTCAAATTATTTTTATATTTTTTGATGATTCGAATATTTTGATTATTTTAAAAAATTTGAGTTTAAAATTGTTTTTTGAAAAATAATTAATTTCAGAATCCTGATTTTCAGCCACATTTTTTCCCTGCCGAAATTTTAGATCAATATTTTTTTGATTATAAATTTGATTTTTAAAAAATTCATGAAATCATAGTTTCTAAAAAAAATCTCAAAAATTCACTGTTTCAAATTATTTATATATATTTTTTGAAGACATTACACAATGTTAAATCTGTTTAACGTTTTAGATAGAAAATTTGATTTGAAAACTGTTTTTTTTAAGGAAATTTTCGGATTTTCAGCCAAATATTTCCACAATTTATTCAGAAAATCATAAAAATTCTGAAAAAGTCTCAAAAATTCACTGTTTCAAATTATTTTTTCATATTTTTGACAGCTCAGAGTTTTGATTTTTCGATTTTTTCAAAATAAAATTGAAAAATATTTTTTTTTCCTAATTTTAAACAACCCATTTTTAAAAAAATATTAATTAGGCTTAGTCAAATTGGGCTTCAAAATTTTGAGATCCGAATTGTTAGACCTAGACCTAGGCTCGTCAAAATTGATCCTCAAATTTCTTAAAATCCAGATTTTCCGGCCTAATCTAGGCTCGTTTAAAATGGGCCTCTAACTGAATGAGATCCAAATTTTCAGGCCTAATCTAGGCAAACTGGTTGAGATACAAACTTCTAGGCCAAACCTTAGGCTTGTCAAAAACTAAGCCTCAAATTTCTCAACATCCAGATTTTCAAGCCCAATTTAAGCTGTTCCAAAATCTTAACCTAAACTTTCAGATCTTCTAAATTCCTACCAAGATAAAATTGAATAAAATTATTTTTTTCCTAATTTAATATTCCTCACGATTCTCAACTCACCATCTGATCATCCTTGGAAAATCCAAACCCAATCCACTGTCCCGCTTTCACCAATTTCGATTCAATTTCCACAATCAAATGCCTTCTCTCATGCTTCCAAGTTATCATTGTCGAACAATCTTCCGATGTTTTACAACCCAATGGAAGTCTCCAACATCCACGTGATATTCCGCATTCTTCGATGTGAGTAACACGAGAAATAGTGGAAGAAATCAGGCAGAAGCTGAGTAGAGTTATGATAAGTGAGGTTGACATTTTTGAAATTTGGTTTGTTTTTGTTCCAGCCATTTATATTTGGTTTTCTAGTCTTTGTTTTGGTCAAAATTGGGGAAACCAGTAATTTTTGTGTGTGAAAAAAAGAGAAAAAATGATGATTTATCATTTTTTGGCGAGGAGAAAGTGAAAAAACTTTGAAACTTGAGGTTTTTGAGAATTAGAAGATCTAGAAATTCTGAAAGATCAGAAAATCAGCCTAAAATAGGCCTAAAAATCTGGATCTTGAGAAATTTCAGGATCAATTTTTGACAAGCCTAAACTGGGCCTAAAAATTAGGATCTCAAGCAGTTAGAGGCCCATTTTGAACAAGCCTAGATTAGGCCTGAAAACCTGGATCACAAAAAATGTTAGGCTTAGTTTTGACGAGCCTAAGATGGGCTTGAAAATCTGGATCTTAAGAATTTTGAGGCCCAGTTTTGATGAGCCTAAGCTGGGCCTGAAAATCTGGAACAGAAGAATTTTGAGGCTCAGTTTTGACAAGCCTAAGGTTTGGCCTAGAAGTTTGTATCTCAAGAATGTAAGGCCCAGTTTTGACGAGCCTAAGATGGGCCTGAAAATCTGGAACAGAAGAATTTTGAGGCCCAGTTTTGACAAGCCTAGATTAGGCCTGAAAATCTGGAACAGAAGAATTTTGAGGCCCACTTTTGGCAAGCCTAAACTGGGCCTGAAAATCTGGATCACAAAAAATTTTAGGCCCAGTTTTTACAAGCCTAGACTGGGCCTGAAAATTGGGATCACAAAAAATTTTAGGCTCAGTTTTGACAAGCCTAAACTGGGCCTGAAAATCTGGATCACAAAAAAATTCAGGCTCAGTTTTGAGGTGCCTAAGTCAAGGCCTGAAAATTTGGATCACAAAAAATTTTAGGCTCAGTTTAGACAAGCCTAAGCTGGGCCTGAAAATCTGGATCACAAAAAAATTCAGGCTCAGTTTTGAGGTGCCTAAGTCTAGGCCTGAAAATTTGGATCACAAAAAATTTTAGGCTCAGTTTAGACAAGCCTAAGCTGGGCCTGAAAATCTGGATCTTAAGAAATTTTAGGCTCAGTTTCGACGAGCCTAAACTGGGCCTAATTACCTAGATATAAAGCCTGAATTTTAAAAAAGGCCTGAAATTTTTTGGACTCAAAGGAGGTCAGAAATCAAGCCTGAAAATTCTAAGGTCCTAAGTTTAGGCCTCGAATTTTAGGCTTGATTTCTGACGTGCCTAATTTTGCCCTCATAATTTTAGACCTGCTGAAGTAAGGCCTAACATTTCGAGGCCTGAAGAAGCCTAAAGTAAACCTGAAATTTCAAAAATTTGTTGTTGCCAAGCCTAAGACGGGCCTATATGAAGCCTGAAATCTGATCACCAAATATTTGATAAGCTTGAAAATAAACCTCAGATTTTTAGGCCTGATTTTGACGGGCCTAAGTTAGACCTGAACTTCGAAAGACTTGTTGCTGCCAAGCCTAAGATGGGCCTAAATCAAGCCTTAAATCTGATTACCAATTTTTTTGACAAGCCTAATTTTTTTGTGTTTTTGAACGACATCATTTATCATACAAGACAGGAAAAAAGTGAAAAAAAAACAAAAAAAAAAACAAAATTTTAAGTTTTTTTTAAGAAGTCTCCGATTCTTGATCATCCTTACATTGAGTCGCCAAAAAATCTCTAACCCCCTTCGAAATTCCGCCAGCCGCATCATCATGTTTCGCAAAAATCTCCAAATGCGCTTTTCCCTTCCAAACCAGTCCACATCGGAAATTCGCGTCATTTTTCGTGAGGAATTTGTAGACCTTATCAAGACAATCGTGAACTTTGCTGAGCGAAACAAGTGGAAGAGGTTTCATCATTTTTGAGACGTCTTGAAGGGTGTAGATGGCGGGTTTACCGAAGTCGCCGTTGCCTTTGAACCAACCGAGCACTTCCTGCAAATTTCGGGATTTTTTTTTGAAAAAGTGAAAAAGTTTTTTGCTGAATCAAATTATATTTTGAATAGGACAAAACTTATAGAAATATTGAAACAGTGAATTTTATCAAGTTTCGAATTTTTTTTTGAAGTTAGAAAAAAATCTCCAATGAAATCTCGTCAAAATTTCGAAAAATGTAAAATTTTTGAAACAGTAAATTTTTTTTCCTGAGAATCAATCAATAAAACAATTTTTTAATTTATAAAAAAAGTTGGTGATTGATTTTTCAAATATCTTACTAGCGACAACTACGGGAACTTCGAAAATTATTGTCAAAATTATATGAAAATATTTTGAAACAGTAGATTTTTGATAATTTATTTTCCAAACTCAAGGATCCAATAATAAAATGTTCAATACCCTTATAAAATGTATAAAATTTTTGAAACAGTGCATTTTTGTAACAAAAAAATTCATTCGATTTCAATTTTTGACAGAAATTTCGAGCCAGTATCAATTTTAAACGAAGCTTCAAAAATTATTCCCAAAATTATTTGAAATTATTTTGAAACAGTAGATTTCTAATAATTTATTTTCCAAATATTATGGATAAATGCGATCAAATTTTATGAAATCTTACAAAAAATGTATAAAATTTTTGAAACAGTGAATTTTTTTTTGATTTTTCGAAATTATAAATGTGCCAAAACTATGAAGAGCTAAGAATAATCCTTCAAAAAATTCTTCAAAACCTATCAAAAATTTTTTGAAACAGTAAATTTTTGATAATTCATTTTGGAATTCACAAGGATCCATTAATAAAATTTTCAAAATCCTTATAAAATGTATAAAATTTTTGAAACAGTGAATTTTTTTTTGATTTTTTTGATTCTATAGATGTTTTTATCCCAATTCCATCAAATTTCAAAAAATCCTTCAAACCCTATCAAAATTTTTAGAAACAGTGAATTTTTTTTGTTTTTTCGAATCTATAGATCTTTCAAATCCCAAATCCATCAAATTTCAAAAAATCCCTCAAAACCTAAATATCAAAAATTTCAGAAACAGTGAATTTTTCCCCAAAAATCTCAAAAAACCCACATTAGTAGCATTAGTGAAGAAAAGTTGTCCCCATGTAAAGAATGGAAAACCGGCTCCTTGCGGATAAGTTGTCAAAACTTGAAGTGGAACATCGTGTGGAATCTCACCATAATTCACGACATCAATATTTGAATTGAGGTCGGATTTTTTCTTCTCCGGGAGAACTTCGGATTTATCCACTGGGACTCTGAAAAAACATTTATATTGATTTTTGATCTTGAAAATATTCAGCTTCTCTCCCAAAAAAAATCTTCTCACGGTGTGCATTTGACAGCCGCATAATCGGCACAATCCACCTCGTATCGGACCAAAATTCGGAAGCTACCGTATTGATAGGCGATGAGTTGGAAGAATGGTCCGGTTGAATGAGCGCCGCGCGGTCGAGTCATTCGTGCCTTTAGATTTTGATCGAATGTCACGTGACCGACTTCCATCAAATCGGAGGCTTCCATTCTGAAATTTAAGATTTCGGGAACATTTTTTCTAGTGAATTTTGAGCCGCTGAGCATGATTCTGCTGTCAAAATTAACTTCTGAACATGAGTTATGACGTGGCAAAGTTTTCAGACACTACTGTAGAATTTTGATCTTTCAAGGCGCGGCTCCTTGACGAATAAGTCTTCAAGGCGCTTCTCCTTGACAGTAAATACCTCAAGGCGCGAGTCCTTGACAGAAAATACCTCCAGGCGCTGCTCCTTCACAGACATATCTTCAAGGCGCGGCTCCTTGACAAATACTAGCTCAAGCCGCCGCTCCTTGACAGAAACTATCTCAAGGCTCGGATCCTTGACAGCAGCTATCTGAAGGCTCGGATCCTTGACAGCAGCTATCTCAAGGAGCAGCTCCTTGACAGCAAATTTCTCAAGGCGCAGCTCCTTGACAGAAACTATCCTAAGGCACTGCTCCTTGAAAGCAAAGACCTCAAGGCGCGGCTCCTTGACATCAAATACCCCAAGGCGCTGCTCCTTGACAGTAAATACCTCAAGGCGCTGCCCCTTGACAGACTTGTGTTCAAGGCGCGGCTCCTTGACAAATAATACCTCAAGGCGCGACTCCTTGACATCAGCTCTCTCAAGGAACGACTTCTTGACATCAGCTATTTCAAGGCGCTGCTCCTTGACTCACCTGGTAAGAAGAACAGTTTTTCCAACACGTTCACAATCAATGCGGAATAATCCTTCACCGGCTTCCTGCAAAAAAAAACATTTTTGAACTCATTTTTTCTACTTCAAATTGTCTAGTTTGCTCGTAGAGTCTAGTTAGCTTTTTTAGCAAAAAAAAAGATTTTCTGAAATTCTTTGATCAGCTTTTTTTTCTAGAAAAAAGTTCCATTTGTTTACAAGGTTTTGAAATTTGATACATTTTTATACCAAGAAAACTTGGGAGAAAAATTGAGTTCAAATATGAGATCACTTTTATTAACTAACCTGAACTTAGCCTAAATTCCATAAGATTTTTTGATTTTTTTTCTCTCTATCTCTAACACTCTCTCGCCTTCTCTATTTCTCTATCCTAACTCTTTTTCTGAAAAAAATGCGAAAAAAAAAATGAAAAAAAAAACACACACAACGACACTCCACAGATGACGCTGCCCCGTTTGCATCTTATTTAGCAGCGCTGCGAGACCATTTTCTCCTCCTCCTCTACCTGTCTGCCCCCCCCCCCCCGTTTTTTTTCACAATTTTTTTCTCTGGGCACGCGTTTTTTGTTTTTTTTCTATTTTTTTCCATTTTTCACTGTTTCAACATTTTCTCATATTTTTTTGAAAATATTTTTGAATTCAGACAAAATCTAATTTTTTTTTACGTTTTTTAACCAAAAATTTGTTGTAAAAAATCTGCTGTTTCAAAATTTTTATAGATTTTCATCTCAATTTTTAGAATTAGTTAGTTTAGGCTAAAGGATATATCAGTTTTCTGTTGAAAAAACTTTGAAATTAGGCTAAGTTCTAAAAAATTCGTTTGCGGGGTCTTTAGGCTTAGGCTTATCCTTTAGGCTTAGGCTTATCCTTTAGGCTTTAACTTATCCTTTAGGCTTTAACTTACTTATGGAGGCCTGAAGTTAGCCTAAATTCCAGTTTTGTTCTTTTTTTTTTCACTGTTTCAAAATTTTCTCATCTTTTTTTGAAAATTTTTTCGAACCGCTCAATCATCAAGAACGTTTTTCATACCAAAAATTTGTTGTAAAAAATCTGCTGTTTCAAAATTTTCATAGATTTTCATCTCAATTTTTAGAATTCGATATTCTGTTGAAAAATCTTTGAAGTTAGGCTAAGTTCTAAAATATTAGCTCACAGGGCCTTTAGGCTTGGGCTGATATCAGGCCTACTCTTAGGCTTAGGTCTGTGTCTTCCACTTTAGCAGCCATGCCTGAAGCTAGGCCTAATTCAAAAGGCCTAACTTAGGCCCTAACTTAAATAACTCTAAGCCCGTTCTTCAATTTTCAAAATTTCAATAAATATCCCCCAACTTCTCCTATCTCTTCATTTTTCTCCCAATCTTCTCCTATTTTTCCTCCCCAAACTCAAACTCACATTACAAAACGCGAAAATTTTCTGCAAATTGATGGCATCGGTAATGAAGTGAAATTGTGAGAAATCGATGGGTTTCTTCTTTTTTTCGCCCAATAATTTGGCGGCAATTATGATTGAGTCCAAAGAGCCGTCGCGAACCTACAATGACGTCATTCTTTTGATTTTTGACACGCGGTGGACAAAAAAAAAATATTGTTGTTGTTTTTTAGAAGAAAATGGAACAGGGTGAACAGGTGCCCGGGAATTCATAGGTAAAAAGTCACGGAAATTAGAAATGTCTGCGTCTCTAACTTGTCTAGCTGTCTGACTCTCTAGAATTTGCTACTTCCCTGCGTCTCTTGCTTCTCTGGATGTCTGGATGTCTCTCTTGGTATTTTAAGCAGACTAGGTTCTCTAGTTTTTCGTACTCCCTGCGTCTCTAGATTCTCTGGTTGTCTGGAGTCTCTCAAAAGTTGATGCTATCTAGAACTTCTAGCTCTCTGGCTCTTCTCTGCGTCTCTGGCTTCTCTGATTGTCTGGTCTCTCTCAGTCTCCTCAATATTAGCTGCTATCAGAGAGCTCTAGCTGTCTGGCTCTCGCATTATCGCTACTTGGCTACTTCTCTACGTCTCTAGCTTCTCTGGTTATCTGGACTCTCCCTCAGATTTGATGCTATCTAGGTTTCCCAGCAGTCTGGGTCTCTCAAAATTCGACTTTCTCTAGAATTCGCTACTTCTCTGCGTCTATAGCTTCTCTGGTTGTCTGGGTGTCTCTCTTGGTATTTTAAGCAGACTAGGGTTTCTAGTTTTTTGTATTCCCTGCGTCTCTAGCTTCTCTGGTTGTCAGCACCCTCTCGTCTCCTCAATATTAGCTGCTATTTGAGATCTCTAGCTGTCTGGCTCTCGCATTATTGCTACTTGGCTATTTCTCTACGTCTCTGGCTTCTCTGGTTGTCTGGACTCTCTGTTCCTCAATATTAGCTGCTATTTGGGAGCTCTAGCTGTCTGACTCTATCAAAACTTCACGTTCTCTAGAATTTGCTATTTCTCTGCGTCTCTAGCTTCTCTGGTTGTCTGGACTCTCCAAGCTTTGATGCTATCTAGGTTTCCCAGCAGCCTGGGTGTCTCAAGGTTTACCCTCTGCGTCTCTCATCACTCCAGCTCTCTAGGTGTCTAACTTCCCAGTGTAGTCTAGCCTTCTCCAGCCCTCTGCGTCTCTAACCCTCTCACCTTCATATGATTCACATCATAAATCACCACCCCATGATCTTGCTGAAGTTTTCCACCGGGCCAAAAGAACGATTCGACCGGCATTCCTGGCACCAAAATAGTCGGCGTCTCATCGTTCAAATACCATTGATACGAACCCATTCGATCCACATATTTGGTACTTGTCGGACCACCCTGGAATGGGTCGAGTTAGGATAACTTAGAGGAAATTTAAAAAAAAAAAAAAAAAAGTTGTGCGCCGGGTGGGGCTCGAACCCGGGTCTTGCCAACAAAAGACACGCGTGCTCACCACTCGGCCACGCGGCTACTTTTTAAGGATGGCTGAATTTGTATATTTAAAAGGCGCTCACCTTTCCCGACAAATTGACAAGTGGCAAAAGACCGTAGGGCTCCTCTTCAAGACCTTCGAACAACCAAAAACCGTCGGCTGCCATTCTGGAATTTTCTGGAATTTTCTGGAAAATAGTAGAGTGATTGGAATTCTATTATATTATATATTTTTTTCGAAAAAAGTGATCAGCCACTCTTCTTTTCTCGTTTCGAAAAGCAGCTCATCCCACGAGCCGAGAGAAATAGTGTGAGAAACAAGAGAGACGCAGACGGTGAGACGGTGAGACAAAATATTACAACAATTGGATCGAAGGGGGTGGAAGAAGGATCGATATTTTTGAACAGAGAAAATCAGGGGAGGAGAAAATGCCGTGAACTTTGAGATTTTTGGGAATTTCTAGAAAATTTTGACCGGAAATCCACGTGGAAAATTTAGAAATTATAGAAAAATGACAAAAGTTTAATTTGGAAACCCTGATGTCTACTGTAGCCTCTGAAAATGTACTGTATCTGAAGATTACTGTAGCTTTTGTGATCTACAGTAACCCAAAAAGATGGCGCATTTTTCTAGAAAATTTGAGCAGAGATTTTTTCTACAGTAATCTAGCGTTGGCTTGAGAATCTGAAGAAATTATGAGCTACAGTAATCTACTGTAAATTATCTGAGCTACAGTAACCTATTTTTGCAGTTTGAAAACTTCTACAGTAATCTAGAGAGAGAGATTCTCGAGAATATTTAGTTTTTCCAAACTTCTCCCTGATTTTGATCTACAGTAATCCTGATACTACTGTAGATTTTCTGATCCACAGTAATCCTTCTTTTGCAGTTTGAAAATGTTCTACAGTAATCCAACGCTAGCTTGAGAATCTGAAGAAATTATGAGCTACAGTAATCTACTGTAAATTATCTGAGCTACAGTACCTTTTTGCAGTTTGAAAATATTCTACAGTAACCCAAAAAAGAGCTTCTTGAGAACCTTCTGTTGAATTTTGATCTACAGTAATCCTGATACTACTGTAGTGAGCTACAGTAACCCTTCATTTGCAGTCTGAAAATGTTCTACAGTAATTTAGAGAAGACTTCTGGAGATTTCATATTTTCGGATTCAGATATACGGTAACTCAAATCCACAGTACCTCTTTTCTTTTGGCTTCTAAATATTACTGTAGATTTTTTTGATTCTTTACGCTACAGTATTCTAGGTTACTGTATTTTCTCAAATTTTTCTACAGTAACCCAAGATCCCCCTTTATTCTTTGCTCCTTCCTAATTGCCTCTATTTTTTGTCGTCACAAAACAATATTTTTTTTCAAAAAACATTTTTTTTTTTGCCCTTGAATTAGCCTTGATTATCTATCTCGGAAGTTGAAGTAAAAATAGATCAAAATGTTTTTTTTTTGAAAATTTCACTTGGAGAATACCAATTTTCGCTTCCTTTTTTCCTTCAAAAAAAGTTCAAATGAAAAAAAAGACAAAGAAAATTTATTTTTCTCGTTCCACTTTCCGAAATTTCCTCATTTTCGAGTAGAAATGGGAGGTTTTTAGAGTTTGAACTTGAACTCGGCACGTATTTTCAACATTTGAAAGTTTTTGAAATTCTCCTGGGATTTTTAATTTTCTCAAATTCCGGTCACAGTCTGTAGAATTTGCTGAACTTTTGAACAAATCTAGAAAGTTAGGGTAACTTTTGATCTACCAACCTTTGCAAAAAGTGAATGTGAAAAATATTTGTGTTTTTTATTTTTTGAGACCACAGTACGATTTCTAACTCTAATTAGTGACTTGATGATAAATGTCACGGCGAACTTTACTTTTGAAAAAAATTATTTTAATTTTTGAAATTTGAAATTTTGTACCAAAAATAAATTCTGGAGAAAAAATGAGCATGAACTTTAGATTTTTTTTTTGAAAAAAAATCTACTGTTTCAAAATTTTCATAATTTTTCTCTCAATTTCACAGCCTAATTTCACCACATTAGATAAATTTAAAAATTATTTCGAAAAGCTACAGAATCTTCTGAATTCACAAAAAATTGTTTTTTTTTATCAATAAAAATCTACTGTTTCAAAATTCTCATATATTTTCTCTCAATTTTTAGAATTTGATAAAATTCGTTCAGCAGTTTTGAAAACATTATTTCCGAATTCTTTAAAAAAATTTTTTTTCTAACGAAAAAATTCACTGTTTCAAAATTTTTATGAATTTTCTCTCAATTCTCAGAGTTTGATTCCATTTTGTTCATTATGAATCAAAAATTTTAAGAAAATTAAAAAAAAATATTAGCCTAAAAAATCTACTGTTTCAAAATTTTCATAATTTTTCTCTCAATTCTCAGAGTTTGATTCAGCCACTTTGTTTACTCGGGAATATATTATGAATCGAATATTTTAAGAAAATTAAAAAGTATTAGCCTAAAAAATCTACTGTTCCAAAACTTTCATAGATTTTCTCTCAATTTTTCAGAATTTGATTCAAAAAACTTTTTGATGACGAAAATTTCGTGTTTTTTTGAGACCAATGCACAATTTCGTCTAATTACTGATTTCAAAATGTCGTGAAGTTCATCTAAATTTCAAACCTTGTGAACTCTGTTTTCTTGCTCACCACAAGCTCTGAAATTCTGTCTGAAAATATTTTTATTTTCATTTTCATTTTCATTTTCCAAAAAAAAAAAATTCAATTTCATTCTTGTGTTTTCTCCCATATTTTTCTCAATTATTCCGTTTTGCTCATCATCTTTTCATTTCAAAACAAACAAAAATTCTCTTTTTTTTTCTGATCCAGAAAAAAATGTTCCAAAAAAAAATTTTGCTGGTCCCCCCACAATTAGTTGCGCATTGTTCCCTGAAAAATTTGGGGAAAAAGTTTTTTTCAGCTTTTTTTGGTTTTTTTCAGAGCCAACCCCACAATTAGAGTTGTTTTTCTTGTTTTTTTCTGAGCGAATTTGATCCAAAGTTTTTTTTTCAGCTTTTTTTGTTTGGCTGAGAAATTGAATTTCAAAAAATTTAAAAAACTAGACAGTTTTTTATATTTTAACCTAGTAGATCAATTTTTTGGATTTTTCTACAGTATCCTATTTTTCGTGTACTTCTCTCGGACAAAATTAGAAGAGAAATAATTTTTGGAAATTTTCAGACTTTTCCAAATTATCTGTGTATTTCTCCCGGACAAATCCAAAATTTTTTTCCAAAATTTTTTTTCATTAGCTCAAAGTTGCACGAAAAAAAAACGGAACAAATATAAAATATAAGTAATATTCAAAATTTTTCTTTTTTTTTTGTTTATTCACCAACTGCTCATTTTTTATTTACCCGGAAGAAAAATTTCTAGTTTGATCAGCGGCTGAAAATAAAATTTTGAAAAATTCAAAAAAAAAATTTTTTCCTGATAAAAATCCGTGTGGGGGAGTGAGGAAATTCCAGGAACAGGTGAAAAAATTTCGAAAAAAATAAAAAATAATTTTGAATTTGTACTTTCAAATTAGAACTCTGGTTGTCTGGAGTGTCTGCGTCTCTAACTCGCTATCTCGTCTCTGATTCTCTAACTATCATTCATGATTCTCTCGTCGTCTAGATTCTCTGCGTCTCTAACTAACTATATCTTGTGTCTCTGCCTCTCTAACTATCTTTCATGATTCTCTCGTCGTCTAGATTCTCTGCTTCTCTTTCAGTTGTCTGCGTCTCTAACTCGTCTCTGCGTCTCTCATTTTTCAAGTACTCTGGTGTCTCTGCCTCTCTAACTATCTTTCATGATTCTCTAGTCGTCTAGCTTCTCTGCGTCTCTAACTAACTAGGTCGTGTGTCTCTGCTATATCTGGTCGTCTAGATTCTCTACTTCTCTTACAGCTGTCTGCGTCTCTAACAATCTACGTTAGAGACGCAGACATCTTCTATTTTAACATTATAAATTCTCTAACACTCTGCATCTCTAACCTTTCACAGTTTCTGTATTTTTTCATTTCTGGTTTCTTCTGCCTCTGACGTCTAGGGTTCTCTAGTCGTCTAGTTTCTCTGGTTCTTTTTTAGTTGTCTGCGTCTCTAACAAGTTAGAGACGCAGACATCTTCTATATTGACATCAACTCTCTGCATCTCTAACCTTTCACAGTTTCTGTGTTTTTTCATCTCTGGTTTCTCTGCCTCTAGGGTTCTCTAGTCGTCTAGTTTCTCTGCGTCTCTATCCTCCTACATGTTCTCTAGTCGTCTAGCTTCTCTGCGTCTCTTCTCTCTCTCAATGATGAAGCTAGATATGCGTTAGAACTAATACTCTGCGTCTCTCACTGTCTAGCTTCTCTAACTCTCTGCGTCTCTAACCAGATTTTTTGAGCCCAAAAAATGTTCCCGATGTTTTTTTTTTCAAATTCTGAATTTTTCACCTTTTTGTGTCTGAAAGAAAATATCACAAGAACTTTGAAGTTTGATTTTCAGACTTCATCGAAATCAAATTTTTTAGAATTTTGTCTAGAACTTCTAGAACTTCTGGAAGATTTCTATAATCTGAGCAAGGTTCAATCCGTGCCAAATTCCATTTTTCACACCAAAACACAAAAAAATCTTCCCACGACCCCAAAATAACACAACTTTTTATATAACTTTTTGCTCTTTTCTAGTTTTTCAGTTCTTCAAAGTCTGAAAATGTTTTCAGCGTGTACTTCAATTGAAGAAGAAGAAAATTTGAACTTGAATTCGAGAAAAAATAGCGAGAGAAGAGGTTCGATGATGGGTGAGTTCGGGGAATGATTTCATTTTTTTTTTTTGAAAAAAAAATTGAGCTAGCAGCTGAAATTTCAGCTGTTTCTCTGAAAAATTTTCATGGGAAAACAGAAGAATTTGAAATTTGATTTGATTTAACGAAACAGAACACGATTTTTTAATGAAAAATTTGCTGTTTCAAAATTTTCTCATAAAATTTTGGTCTTGATTTTTTGAATTCGGTATTTGGGTTTTCAAAATTCAAACATTTTTAGTTTCTAAAAAAATTTGCTGTTTCAAAATTTCTTTGAAATTTTATTGAAAGATTTGGACTTTTGTTAGTTTTCTGAAAATTTCTGGAAATTATTATGATGAAAATTTCACTGTTTCAAAATTTTTAGAAAATTTTGGTCCTGATTTTTGAAATTCAGTAGTTGGTTTTCATTTTTTAAAAATTAAAACATTTTTTTTTCGAAAAAAAATTTGCTGTTTCAAAATTTCTTTGAAATTTTATAGTAAAATTGGGATTTTTGTTAGTTTGCTAAAAAAATTCTGGAAATAATTATGATGAAAAATTCACTGTTTCAAAATTTTTAGAAAATTTTGGTCCTGATTTTTGGAATTCGGTGTTTGGTTTTCCATTTTAAAAACTAAACCATTTTTTAATTTCGAAAAAACTAGGGGCGGTGCCCCTAGGCGAAACAGTTGTACAAATCCTCAAAAATTCCAAATTTCAAAGAAAAATCATTTTTTTCGCATTTTTAAAATGATCATTTATAAATTAAAGAAATAAACAGGTTTTCACGTAGGCATTCGTGGTCAAGTGGTACGTGACTTTGCCTTCGAATCTAAGCATTTTTGACGGGTTCGATTCCCGGTCGAAGCATTTTCCTATATCCGCTAGGTATGATTTTTAAAATTTCTGAAGAAAATGTGAAAAAAATGGTGAAAAAATGTGCGAAAAAATTTCTAATGAGAATGCATACCTACGGGATTTTATAAAGAGGTTAATTTGCTGTTTCAAAATTTCTTAGAAATTTTATTGAAAAATTGGGATTTTTGTTTATTTCGTGATAATCCATTCAATAATTATGATGAAAAATTCACTGTTTCAAAATTTTTCAAAATTTTGGTTCTGATTTTTTGGAATTCAGTAGTTGGTTTCCTTTTTTGAGAATTACAAATTTTTTTTTCGAAAAAATTTGCTGTTTCAAAATTTCTATGAAATTTTATTGAAAAAAATTGGGATTTTTGTTTAATCCATGAAAATCGCAGTAAATAATTATGGTGAAAAATTCACTGTTTCAAAATTTTCTCATAAAATTTTGGTCTTGATTTTTGGAATTCAGTGTTAGTTTTTTTTTAATTTTTGAAAATTAAAACATTTTTTTTTCGAAAAAAATTTGCTGTTTCAAAATTTCTGCAAAATTTTATAGAAAAATTGGGATTCTTGTTTGATCCGTGAAAATCGCAGTAAATAATTATGATGAAAAATTCACTGTTTTAAAATTTTCATAAAATTTTGGTCCTGATTTTTGAAATTCAGTATTAATTTTTCAATTTTTGAAGAATAACAAAATTTTTTAGTTTCGAAAAAAATTTGCTGTTTCAAAATTTCTTTGAAATTTTATTGAAAAATTTGGATTTTGTTAGTTTTCTGAAAATTTCTGGAAATTATTATGATGAAAAATTCACTGTTTCAAAATTTTTGTAAAATTTTGGTCGTGATTTTTGGAATTCAGTTTTAATTTTTCAATTTTTAAAAATTAAAACATTTTTTAGTTTCGAAAAAAATTCACTGTTTCAAAATTTATTCAAAATTTTATTGAAAAATTGGGATTTTTGTTTGATCCGTGAAAATCGCAGTAAATAATTATGATGAAAAATTCACTGTTTCAAAATTTTTATAAAATTTGGGTACTGATTTTTTGGAATTATGTAGTTGGTTTTTATTTTCGGATAATTACAACATTTTTTTTTTCGAAAAAAATTCACTGTTTCCAAATTTCTATGAAATTTCATAGAAAAATTCGGATTTTTGTTAATTTCTTCATGATCCCGCTGAATAATTTGGATGAAAAATTCACTGTTTCAGGATTTTTGTAAAATTTTGATCCTGATTTTTGGAATTCGGTGGTTCGTTTGTATTTTTTGAGAATTAAAACATTTTTTGTATCGAAAAAATTTCACTGTTTCAAAATTTTCCTATAAAATTTCATCCAAACTTTCAGAATTCAGTATATCTTCTTTTTTTGATCAAAAGTCAGAGATCTCATTTTCGGTTAAATACCGAAAATATGAGGATTATTGAAAATTTGTCATTTTTCTAAAAAATAATTCTGATTTTTGCTGAATTTCAGAAAAAAACACGAGAAAAAAGAATTTCGAAAAAATTCACTGTTTCAAAAAATTTATAAGATTTCGTGATTATTTTAGAAAATTGTTATGTCGTACATATAATATAAGAAAAAATTTTCAGAAAATTTACTGTTTCAAAAAATTGTTGAATAATTTTTTGCTTGAGAATTTTTACTGGGAAGGTTGATGGCGAAAAAAAATTATGTTCAAAAAAATTTCCGAAAATTTTTTGCAATCAAAAAAAAAAAAAAACCGTTTCAAAAAATTATGAAATTTTGCAAATACTTTTGAAAATTGTTGGTTCATAGTATATCTGTTCAAAAAATTTTCTAAAAAAATTCACTGTTTCAAGAAATTTATAACATTTCTCTCAAAATTGTTCCAGAAGCTTAAAAATTTTTATAAACATTTTTTTCATTCCAAAAAAATTCTCAGCTCAATAAAACAACTATGACACATATATTTTTGCTAAAAAAAAATATAAAAACCTTTCCAAATTTATTTTCAGCCTCCAAACTTTTCCCCAGAAAATGTCAGACACTCTGAAAATGTTCTGAAAATTATAGGTTATCCCCAAGTTTTCCGAATCACCTCAGATTCTGAGATTTTTTTTCCAAAAAATCATAATTAATTTGTCTTGAAGCTAAAGTTTAGCTTGAACTTTGCAAGCCTATAATTTAGGCTAACTCCAAAATTTTCTGATTTCATTTTTCTCAAGCTTTTATGTGATGATCCCGGAACAAAATGCCACTTTTTTTGCTCTATAATTAAATTTATATTTTTTTTCTTCAAAAAAAAAAAAGTTTTTCTCGAGTTCTATTCAAAATAAAAAAAGTGGGCGGAGTTTCGGAGGGCGGAGAAGCTCTGAAATTGGAAAAAAAAGGTTCAATGAATTTTTTTCGAAAAGAGAGAGATTTTTATTTTATTTTTGGGAAGGGCTATAAAATTGTCTAGTTTTTTTTTGTTTGGAAAAGTTTTCTGCGAAATTCAAAAAAATGAGGATTCAGGACTATTTTTTTGAAAATCAAAAAAAAATTCATGATTTTTTTGAAACAGTGAATTTTTTAAAGAATTTTTTTCAAAACCAGTTTCTCCAAAATCGAAAAAAAATCATGAATTTTTGAAAAAAAAATTTTTTCTGAGCTTGGAATTTTTTTTAGGATGAATATTGCGGGAACAATTTTTTGAAAATCAAACATAAATTTATGATTTTTTTGAAACAGTGAATTTTTGAAAAAAAATTTTTCTGGGCTTGGAATTTTTATTTTCGCTCAAGTGGCTGGAACAATTTCTTAAAAATCGAAAAAATAATTATGATTTTTTTGAAACAGTGAATTTTTTCAGAAATTTTTTTGATATGTAAATTATTCCGGTTTTGCAAATTTCTAATTAGTTTCTCCAAAATCGAAAAAAAATTCATAATTTTTTTGAAACAGTGGATTTTTGAAAAAAAAATTTTCTGAGCTCAGCTAATATCAAAAAATGTTGGAAAATCAAATCAGATATAAAAATTTTGAAACGTATTTTTTCCCACATTTTTTTCTCGTGTACTTCTCCCGGACAACCTTATAAATTTAAGAGGCTAGAGAGGTTAGAGAGACTCTGGTTGTCTAGCCTCTCTGCGTCTCTGTTGTCTGAGCTCTCCAAATTATCCGTGTACTTCTCCCGGACAACCCTATAATTTTTTCCAATTTTTTTCTCAAAAAAAACTTTGGCCCAAAAAAAAAAGCCACAAAATCTTGTTTTTTTTCGAATCTTCGCAAAAAAAAGTTCGTATTTGTGCCAATTAGGAAAAGCTGCTGCTGCTGTTTTTTTTTGGCTCGCGTCGTGTTTTTTTTTCAGCCAAATTTTTTTGTGTTCTGAAAAAAAAACTCGGCGGCCAACCTAATTTTCTAGAAATAAATTTTATTTATTTTTTATTTCTTATTTCCCCCCCCCCCCGTCTGAGATTTCCGCTCTCATGTAGATCAAAAATCCGACACCTCGAGGAATTTTTTCCGGATCAAATTACGTCCGCGGAAAAAAAAGTTCCGCGCAAGATCAAATTCGAGCCCTGAGCATCCTGAGCTTCTCATAATTAGCCAAAATTCCTTTTTTTCAGGAAAAGTTCAAAAATCTTTCCAAGAAAATTGAAAAGCAAAAAAAAGCAGGCGAAAATTGTTGCGCTTGACTAATTTTTCTAATTTTCAAAGAATTTCTCTTTGTTTTTGCTCGAGACATCGAACGGGGTCAGATTTGCGATCAGGAATTGAGATTTGAAAAATTCTGCGTCTCTGACAAGAGTTGTCTGGTCGTCTAGCTTCTCTGTGTCTCTAATTCTGGTTGTCTGTACTGTCTTTCTAGTTTTCTCTATCTCTCTAGCTTTCTGTTTCTCGTTGTCTAGCTACTCTGCGTCTCTAACATTCAAGACAGTCATGTTTTGAAGTCTAGTGTTCTCTGCATCTCTAGCTTTCTGTTTCTCGTTGTCTAGCTTCTCTGCGTCTCTAACTGTCTCTGCTCGTCTATACGCTTTTTTCTCTGCCTCTCACTTTCTTGCCATAGCTTCTCTGCGTCTCTAACATTCATGCTTAAAAGTCTAGTGTTCTCTGCATCTAACAATACTCTCGCCGTCTGGATTCTCTAGCAACTTTCTCCTAACAGTGTTCCTCTGCGTCTCTATCTCACACTCTACTCGTCTAGCTTCTATCACTTCCTGCCTCTCTAGCCTCTCTAGCCTCTCTAGCCTCTCTACCCTCTCTAGCCTCTCTAGCCTCTCTAACCTCTCTAGCCTCTCTAGCCTCTCTAGCCTCTCTAGCCTCTCTAGCCTCTCTGCGTCTCTAGCCTCTCTGCGTCTCTATCCCGCCGGAAAACATGTCCACTTTCTCTCGAACCCATTTCCTTTTTCCGCCGCTTTTACCTTTAAAAATATGTTTTTCTGGTGACTGGCTCCTGATTTTTCTTCATAATAAAATGAAGGGAAAATTGACTGGTCGTCCGCAGAAAACTTCTTTTTTCATCTATTTTTGGCTCTCTCAAAGCTTTCCTTGTTTTTTTTTCGAGAGAAAAAAAAGAAGAAAAACAACAATTTAGTAGTTAGCCGAAGTTAGAAACACGCGCGTTTTTTGCTCAAGTGTTTTTGTGACCTTTGAAGATGTAAAATTGCAATGAAGCGCGCCCCCATTTTATATTGACAATTTCCACTGTTCCGAAAAAAAGAGCGGATGGCCGAGTGGTAGCGCGTTTGCCTCACAGGCGCGTGACCTGGGTTCGACCCCACCTCCAGGCAAACTTTTTTTTTTTTTTTTTTCGTACCCAAAACACATTGGCTTGTGAGCAAAAGTCAATGTTTCTTCAAATTGCTGAGATTATGCGAACAAAGCGACTCATTTTTCTTTCTCTTCTGGTTTTCCCAAAATTATTAGTTCTTTTCTTCCTCATTGTTCCAAAACTTCCTCAATTCATGATCAAACTACATATTTTTTCTGAAAAAAAAAAGATTTTTTGATCTCTCACTCTATAAATCTTTTTCTCAATTAGACTAGTCTAAATTTAAAATAAGCAATCAAAATACAAACCGAACATAAATAATTTTTGGCCGAAAATTTTCGCAGAGAGGCCACGCCCCATTTTTCTCGGTTCATAAGAAGAAGCCCGGCTGGTGAGCTTTGAAATTTGCTCTGAGAAATTTTTTTCGGAAAAAAAAAATTTCCACGTGAGTTTCAAGGGACCTACGTATTTTTTTCCACATTTTTTTTCGTGTACTTCTCCCGGACAACCTTATGAATTTAAGGCTAGAGAGACTCTGGTTGTCTAGCTTCTCTGTGTCTCTTACACTATCTCTGCTGTCTGAGCTCTCTAGACATTTTCCAAATTATCCGTGTACTTCTCCCGGACAACCCTAGAATTGTTTTTATTTTTGTAGAGAATTAGACGACGAGAGTATTGCTAGAGAGAGGGAGAGAGCTAGAGACGCAGATAAGTTAGACGACGAGAGTATAAAGAAAAATAGTGACGCAGAGATACCAGACGACTAGAGGGTGAGGCTGTGTGAGAATTAGAGAGGCTAGAGAGCCTAGAGAGCCTAGAGAGGCTAGAGAGAGAGAGAGAGCTAGAGACGCAGAGAAAAAATACGTTTTTCTGATCTTCAGAGGCTAATTAAAATTATACTATTTCTTAGAAAATTAAAATAATTTTTTTTTTGAAAATTTTCTTTAAAAAAATTTTTTTCAAAATTTTCAAAAAAAAATTTTTTTTTTCAAAATTTTCTTTAAAAAAAATTTTTTTTTCAAAATTTTCTTTAAAAAATTTTTTTTCAAAATTTAAAAAAAAAATTTTCAAAATTTAAAAAAAATTTTCAAAATTTTCTTTAAAAAATTTTTTTCCAAAATGTTCTTAAAAAAAATTTTTTTTTTTAATTTTCTAAAAAAACAATTTTTTTCAAAATTTTGTAAAAAAATTTTTTTTTTAATTTTCTTAAAAAAAAAATTTTTTTTTCAAAATTTTCTTTAAAAAAATTTTTTTTCAAAATTTTCTTTAAAAAATTTTTTTTTCAAAAAAAATTTGATATTTAAAATTATAGCTTGATATTTCAATGAATTTTGCAACTTTTTTTCCAAAACTTCCCGAATCTCTTCCAGTTTTCCAGCCAAAAATCTGAAATCCTCAAGATTTTTTTTTCTTTCAGATACTATGATGGGTTTGCTTTCAACAATTCGCGGCAAAAAAGACAGTTCAGTTGGAAGTGGAATTGGTTCAGCACAAGTCGGACCACTCAATGCAAAAACCAAAAAATTGGTGATTCAGGAATGGCCAGCGTGGGTTTTTCTGGAATTTTAGGGCTGAAAATGTTCCTCAAGATTTTTTTAAGCTAAAATTAATTTTGTTACAGTACTCTTCTTACAGTACTCTTCTTACAGTACTCCTGAACCCGGAACTTTGAATTCCTTTTTTTTTCAAAAAAAAAAGACGTGACTTATCTAAACTCGGATTATTTTTGACTCGCTTTTTTCTCAATATTTATTTACTTTTTTATTTATTTACATGTTTTTTTTTGGTTGACGAGAAAAAGGAAAAAAAAACAAATTGAAAAAAAAAGTTTCAGCTGTTTTATAACAGCACACGTCACTTTTATGGGGACTTTTGGCTCATGTCAGAATTTAAGCCTAAGCCTAACTCAAGCCTAAGGTTCTGGCTAAGCCTAACCTAAGCCTAAGGCACTGCCTAAGCCTAAGGCTCTTCCTAAGGTCCTGTCTAAGCCTAAGGCACTGCTCAAGCCTAAGGCCCTCCCTAAGCCTAAGGCCCTCCCTAAGCCTAAGGCCCTTCCTAAGCCTAAGACACTGTCTCAGCCTGAAGACCTTTCAAAGCCTAGCCTAAGCCTAACTTAAGCCTAAGGCCTTGTCTAAGCCTGAGGCCCCGTCTAAGCCTAAAAGGCCCCTGCTCAGCCTTAGGACCTGCCTAAGCCTAAGGCCCTTCCTGATCCTAAAGATTTTGCTAAGCCTAAATACCCTGCCTAAGCCTGAAGCCCTTTTCAAGCCTAAGGCCCTTCCTATTCCTAAGGACCTATCTAAGCCTAAGGCCCTTCCTATTCCTAAGGCCCTGCCCAAGCCTAAGGCCCTTCCCAAGCCTAAGCCCAACCTAAGCCTGGGGCCATGTCCAAGCCTAAGGCCCTGTCTGACCCTGCTCAGTCTTAGGACCTGCCTAAGCCTATCCCAAGCCTAAGGCCCTTCCTAAGCCTAAAAGGCCCCTATCCAGCCCTAACCTAATTTTTTTTCAATTTTCCAGAGTTCTCGCCCAATCGCCGGATCTTTTTCAAGAAATCTGGCTGAAATCCGCCACCAGAAGCACATCAATCAAGGTACATATAGAATTTCTGGAATTTCAGACTGAAATTTTCAGCCAAATAAATTTCAGAAAGCCTTTGGCATCGGCGACAACGAGAATCCGATGCAAAACGCGAGTTTCCTGGGCCTGTCGGCCACAATTCAGGCCTACTTCTACAAACTCATCATCACCTATGAGCTCAACGATGAGCTGGTCAGAGAGTCGTGTGAGCAGTTGGGTGCACGACATGTCGATTTTATCACTCGCGGTTTTCACTCACATTTTTGGGACATTTTTTTGGTTTGTATGGCGGAGAAGATTGATGAGACATTGTCGGCCTATATGCCCGATGAGGATAAGAAGAATGAGATGATTTTGGCGTGGCAAAGGTTGGTGAACGGGGAGCGAAAGGGTGTCTGCGTCTCTAGATTTGTCTGCGCTCTCTGGGCTCTCTGTGCTCTCTGGCCTCTCTGGACTCTCTGCGTTCTCTGCGTCTCTGTGCTCTCTGTGCTCTCTGTGCTCTCTGGCTTATCTGGCCTCTCTGTGCTCTCTGTGCTCTCTGCGTCTGTAGCTTTCTCTGCACCTCTAGCCTCTCTAGCCTCTCTAGCCTCTCTGGGCTATCTGTGCTCTCTGCGTCTCTAGGTTACTCTGCGTTCTCTGGGTTTCTAGGTTCCTCTGTGCTCTCTGGGCCAGATGGCTTCTCTGGGCTCTCTGGGCTCTCTGGGCTCTCTAGGCTCTCTAGGCTCTCTAGGCTCTCTAGCCTCTCTAGCATCTCTACCCTCTCTACCCTCTCTGTGCTCTCTGCATTCTCTGGTCTCTCTGTGCTCTCTAGCCTCTCTAGCCTCTCTAGCATCTCTAGCCTCTCTAGCCTCTCTAGCCTCTCTAGCCTCTCTAGCCTCTCTAGCCTCTCTGTGCTCTCTGGGCTCTCTCTTCATTCTCTGTGCTCTCTGTGCTCTCTGGACTCTCTGCGTTCTCTGCGTCTCTAGGTTCCTCTGGTCTCTCTGGACTCTCTGCGTCTCTCTGCTTTTTCTGGGTCTCTAGGTTCCTCTGTGCTCTCTGGGTCTCCAGGTTTCTCTGCGTCTCTAGGTTTCTCTGGGCTCTCTGCGTCTCTAGGTTTCTCTTGGTCTCCATGTTTCTCTGTGCTCTCTGGACTCTCTGCGTTCTCTGTGCTCTCTGGGCTCTCTACCCTCTCTAGCCTCTCTAGCGTCTCTAGCCTCTCTAGCCTCTCTAGCCTCTCTAGCCTCTCTAGCCTCTCTAGCCTCTCTGGACTCTCTAACCTCTCTGGACTCTCTGGGCTCTCTAGCCTCTCTAGCCTCTCTAGCCTCTCTAGCCTCTCTAGCCTCTCTAGCCTCTCTAGCCTCTCTAGCCTCTCTAGCCTCTCTAGCCTCTCTGTGCTCTCTGTGCTCTCTAGATTTGTCTAGGCTCTCTAGGTTTCTCTTGGTCTCCAGGTTTCTTTGGCTCTCTAGCCTCTCTGAGTTCTCTGCGTCTCCAGGTTTCTTTGGCTCTCTAGCCTCTCTGCGTTCTCTGCGTCTCTAGGTTCCTCTGTGCTCTCTGGACTCTCTGTGCTCCTGGACTCTCTGCGTTCTCTGCATTCTCTGGGCTCTCTAGCCTCTCTAGCCTCTCTAGGCTCTCTAGGTTTCTCTGTGCTCTCTTACTCTCAGTACTCTCTCACGACCATACAAGGCGCCCGTTGAGTCAGACACGAGACGACGAGAGTATTTTGCGAAAATATCCCGAAAATGAATTTCGTGGCGAGATATTTTCAATGAAATGTGTGTGTCCCTTTGAAAAAATACCGTATTTTGTTTCAAGGAACACTGTATTTTATTGAATAAATATCCCGAAGCGAAATTCATTTTCTGGATGTTTTTGCGAAATACTCTCGTCGTCTCGCGTCTAACTCAACGGGCGTCTGGTATGGTCGTGGGAGCGAGAGTGTGTCTGCGTTTCTAGATTTCTCTAGCCTCTCTAGCCTCTCTGTGCTCTCTGCATTCTCTGTGCTCTCTGCATTCTCTGTACTCTCTGCGTCTCTTTGAATCCAACACTCTCTCGTCTGATTTTCTCTGCGTCTCTAGAAGTGCTCTCTCTCTAGCCAGTATTTAGAGAGTGTAGAATATTAGAGACGCAGAGAATATGTTTTTCTCTGCGTCTCTCTAGTTTCTCTGCGTCTCTAGATATTTGTAGCTATCTAGATCTCTGGGCTCTCTGCGTCTTTTGGATCCAACACTCTCTCGTCTGGTTTTCTCTGCTTCTCTAACCTTCTCTATACCCTCTCGATTTTTGAATTTTTCTCTGCGTCTCTTATCTCTCGCACTATGTTTTCTTTGCGTCTCTCCTGAATATTCAGTTTGTCTCTACCTCTCTCTAGTATCTCTGCGTCTCTAACCTTCTCAATACTCTCTCGAATGTTGATGTTTTCTCTGCGTCTCTCAATGTCTAACCTCAAGCTCTCTGCGTCTCTGACCTATAGAAAAACACCAGACAACCTGGCACCATGTTTTGTCTGCGTCTCTCGATTCACCATGCTCTCTAATGATTTCTAGTAACCTGATGGTAGCTCACGTCTTCTCTGCGTCTCTCTACAAAACCTCACCCTCTATTTCATCCCAAATAACCCCCTCTACGTCTCTGCGTCTCTAACCAATCAATACTTCCAGAGTCGTCAACTCAATAGTGCATCAAATGCGCGCCGGCTATTCGGACCGCCGAAAACAACAAATCGGCGGAACAAAAACGCCAAGCGTTTGATCAAAAAAAAATCTGTACTTACCCTAACTAATTTTTGAACACATATTTTTATTTTTTTTTTCATTTTTTTTCTCTTTTGTGTACAGGAAGGAAGAAGCCCTAAATGAAAATTTTTAACTAAAAAAGGGACTTTAGAAGACAGCAATTAGTTAGTTAGCCGAAGTTGTTTGATGACGTAGGCACGATTTTCGAACATTTAATCTTTGGCTATCCATCATCGTCAGAACGAGCTGAGCTCATTAGCAATTATATGAATGTCAGAAATTAGCGGGCGGGGGGAAAAATGAGTGTTCTTCTGAAAATGTATGTATTTTCAGAAGGGGCTATTTTTTTCCAAAATTTTTAAAGACCAAATTAGCTCATTTTACTGTTGAAAATTTCAAGGAACATGATAAGAAAATCTACAGTAATCTGATCATTTTGAGACCAAAAAAGATCATTTTCCTCTAAAATTTAGGTCTCAAAACGATTGGGTTACTGTAGGTTATACATTTTTGTTCGTTTTGAGATCAAATACGCTCGGGTTACTGTAGGATGTTTAAAGGAACATGCTCTTGTTTGGTCTCAAAATTATCGACTTAGGCTAAGTCTAGATGTGAAAAATATTTTCTAGAAGATTTGAACCGTAACCTATTGAATTTCAAAGCTGAGATCTAAATCTATGAAAATCTTGAAACAGCAAATTTTTTTCAGATTTTTTTTATTTGAGCTCAAATTTTTTTTTTCAAATTTTTATTTGAGCTCAATTTTTAAGTTTTTAAATTTTTAAAAATCAATTTTCAGACAAACTCAAAAATTTCCAGGCAAAAATTAATTTTAAAATTTTTGAATTCGAGGATTATGATGAAAAAATAATCTCCTTTTTTGTGAAAAATTTAAAATTTTTAGAAAATAGGTTTGCTGAATTTCCCGCAATCTGTAGATTTTGAAAATCTAATTTTCACTTCAAAAATTCAATGTAGAAAAATCGGAAAACAAGATTTCAAGACAGAAGCTACAGTATGCCGCTCGGAAGCAGCTGAAAATGTTGAGTTATCATAAATCAAGGCAAAAATGTTTTTCAAGCCACGTGGTTCAGAGGGTTCAGCTTAAGCTCCGCCCACAAAACTGTGTCAGAATTGCAGTGAAACATAAATAAGCTCCGCCCACAAAACTGTGTCAGAATTGCAGTGAAACATAAATAAGCTCCGCCCACAAAACTATGCCTAAAATTAATTTTTGAATTTTTTCCCCTTGTGAAATACCGTGCAATTATTCTGATTTCGAAATTTTCAATCGAAAACACAATTTTCAGCTGCTCATTTCTTTATTCCCCCAAAAATCACATTTCAAAAACACACAAAAAATTTCATGTGTTGGATAACTGAAATATTTCTGGCGCCAATTCCATTCACCAATGCCACGTGGCAAAATTTGACCTACAAATTGCCGATTTTGATCGATTTATCCCTTCCAATCACACCATTTTTTGAATTTTTCTATTTTTTGGAGGCATTTTTGTTGATTCCCGCGTTGATTTGTTTGACATGGTTTATTTGGTTGATTATACAAATTTCACTGTTTCATGAGAATGTCAATTCATTGCTCATTTTTCATTGGATTTTTTTTGTGCTTGCGATTTTTGCGAGGTTTTTGCTGGTTTTTGTGCAGTTGCGAATTGTTGATGGTGAGTTTTTCGGGGGACGGAAAATTTAAAAATTAATTTTTATTCAAAAAATTTTGAAACAGTTAATTTTTCAAAATGAAATAAGTCAACAATTAAAAATTTTTTAATATGATTTTTCTTTGAAATAATTTTGAAACAGTAAATTTTTCAGGCTGAAAAAAGCTCATTATCAAAAATAATTGTGTTCTGTTTGTAAATACAAGTTTTTTGAAACAGTGAATTTTTTTCAAACAAAAAAATTAAGGGCAGCTGAAATTTAGAATTTCCCACGTGTTTTTCTTAAATTTCTAACTCAAAAATTTTTAATGCGTATGTTGGAATGAATTTTCAAAGACAGACTTTTCTAATAAAATAATTTTGAAACAGTAAATTTTTTAATGAAATGGGTTTTTATTTAACAAAAAAACTAGAAATTAAATTTTATTTAAAAAATTTTGAAACAGTAAATTTTTCGAAAACAAATAAGTCAACGATTAATAATTTTTTCAATATGATTTTTCTTTGAAATAATTTTGAAACAGTGAATTTTTTTGTTGATGAAATTTGCAAATTTGAAATTTTTCAGAATTTAGATAACTTAAAGGTTTCAATTTATGCCTAACAAAAAAACCAAAAATTAATTTTTATTCAAAAAATTTTGAAACAGTAAATTTTTCGAAAACAAAAAAGGTAATATCAGAATTTGTTGCAATATGATTTTTCTTTGAAATAATTTTGAAACAGTAAATTTTTCAGGCTGAAAAAAGCTCATTATCAAAATTAATTGTGTTCAGCTTGTAAATACAAATTTTTTGAAACAGTGATTTTTTTTCAAATAAAAAAATTAGAGCAGCTGAAATTTAGGATTTCCCACGTGTTTTTTCTTGAACTTCTAACTCAAAAAATTGTTTTACTGTCGTTCGCTACTATCAATTTTTCAAGGCGGACTTTTCTAATAAAATAATTTTGAAACAGTAAATTTTTCTGTTGATGAAATAGGTTTTGCAAATCTACCCATAACAAAAAAACTTGAGATTAAATTTTATTTAAAAAATTTTTGAAACAGTTAATTTTTCCGAATGAAAAACAGTGATATCAGAATTTGTTGCGATATATTTTTTTCTATAAAATAATTTTGAAACAGTGAAAAATTTTCTCAAAAAAAAATCATCAAACAGCTGAAATTTAGGATTTCCCACGTGTTTTTTCTGAAACTTCTCACTCAAAAAATGTTTCACTGCGTTTGCTACTATCAATTTTTCAAGGCAGACTTTTCTATTAAAATAATTTTGAAACAGTAAATTTTTTATGAAATATATTTTGCAAATTTGAAATTTTTCAGAATTTAGATAACTCGTAGATTTCTTTAGTGGTCGCATAACAAAAAACTAAAAATTAATTTTTATTCAAAAAATTTTGAAACAGTAAATTTTTCAAATCGGAAACAATGATAACATCAAAAATTGTTGCAATATGATTTTTCTTTGAAATAAATTTGAAACAGTTAATTTTTCATTTGGAAAAAAGACCGGATTCAAAAATAATTGTGTTCTGTTTGTAAATACAAGTTTTTTGAAACAGTGAAAAATTTTCTCAAAAAAAAAATCACCAAGCAGCTGAAATTTCAGGTTCCCCACGTGTTTTTTTTTTCAGATCTCTCAACTTTCAAACTCTTCTTGGCTGGATTCGTCAGATTTGAACACTATGGATTTTCGATCACAGCTTTGCCAGTTGTTGTTATTGAAAGGTAACATTTTTGCTGAAATTTGAGACAAAAAATTTTCAGCAAACTTTTTAAATTTGTGTAAAATTCATTGAGGATATTAAAAAGATCCATCATTTTTCGGAGACAACGTTTAAACTCGGGGATCTTTACTTTCCTAGGGATTCTTGAAGGGTCCATTCACTTTCCCTCCCTTTGTACATTTGTTTGCAGGAAATATTGTCAACGTTTTCCACTTCAGCGGAGCCTAACAGAATTATGCCCAGTTAACAGTTTCTTTGGAAAAATCATCCCGGTCTGGAACGAAATTGTCAAAAAGGTCAAACCCAACATCAGCTCAAAGCAAATGCGCAATTTTATCCTATCCATACCAGATGCCAACCTCGTTGGTCCTTCCCAGAACCCTTGGCTCATGAATTCTCTTGTCCGGAATTGAGAGCCATTGTAATGTTAATTTATATTTATCTTTATTGTACTCTTTCTTGTGTCATATGCATCATACAATTGCCTGTATATATATCTATATATAATTTCATATTTACCGGTCCACATTACGAGTTTGATTTTGATTTCATGTAAATAAACTTATTATTATTAACTTGAAATTTTATCAATTTTTTTTGAAACAGTGAAATTTTTTCAAAATTTTTTTTTTGCTGTAAAATGAATTTTCTGGCTCAGAAATTCTAGATTTTTCTTAGTTATGACGTGGCAAATCTGAAAAGAATTTAGTTCTAAAAATATCCGAAACTTCGAAAATTTTTTTCAAACTCTAATATTATCAGAAAATCTTGAAACGTATATTTTTCAAGCCAATTTCCAGTTCAAAAATTGTGAGCCCAAGAATTTTGAGCTACTCTAATTTGCTAGGTTTGTGAACTTCAGACTGAAATTCTTAAAAATTTTTCAGGGCAAAAAATGGTCCGAACTTCCTTGTCCGAATCAGAACTTCTTCGTTCCCACCCCAAAATCTCCTGAATTTTTTCCAGATCCTTCGCCACATATTTCGTCAAAGACTACGAATCAAAACCCCGAAAATGGATAACCCTAATAACCCTTCCAACCCAATTCATCCTTTGCCAAATCATAGTTCTCCCCCATATATTTTCCAATCCTCCAATGTTATTCACATTTCTCACAGTTTCCGGTTGCCTGATTTTGTCCAATATTTTCCTTCATCTTCTATATATTTACAACAAATCAATATTCGATAACTTGAATCGCATCTCAATTTCAAATACTAACAAAAAAATTCCAAAAACCCATGTGCCAATATAGTTTGAGCAAGAAATTTCAATTGGAAGAGAATCTGAAGATTTTGTGGTTCCTCAAAAATATGGCGATTCTTCTGCTGGTTTTGGTGATTTTTGTGCTCGTGATTTTGGCGGTTCCGTGGTCCGATGTGTTTTTTGATGAGAGGGATATTTATGCGGGACAATTTTTGAAATCGGTTTTTGATTTTACTGTTGCGTTGTGAGTTTTTTTGGAGGAGGAAAAATATATTTTTGAAAATTTTACTGTTTCAAAAATTGAATGAAAGATGTGAGAGAAAATTGTCTATTAATAAAATAAAAAGGGGTTTTCAAAATACTAATCAAATTAATTTTCTAATCAACAAAAATAATTTCCGGAAAATTTTACTGTTTCAAGAATTCAATGAAAGCTCAAAACCTCAATGCTCCAATTAATCAACAAAAATTATTTTTTGAAAAACTTACTGTTTCAAAAATTCTATAAGAATCCAAAAATAAAATTTGAATTGGTAATTTTCCTTTTTTTTTAGCGAAAAGTATTTCTTGAATTCTGTAATTTTTCTCGATTTTTTAAAATGAAATTGTTGTTAATTTTCTGGATTTTTAAATATTAATTTTTTTGAAACGTATTATTTTCATTTATTGAAAAATATTTGTTTTTTTTGAGATTCTATTTTTTGTTGTTGAAAAATTTCACTGTTTCAAAATTTCTATGAGAATCCGAAAATAAAATTCGAATCGCTAATTTTATCTTCATTAAGCGAAAAGTATTTCTTGAATTCTAAAATTTTTTTCAATTTTTTAAAACTGAAATCTGTATCACTATTCAATTGTTGAAATATTGATTTTTTGAAACGTATTATTTTCTTTTATTGAAAAATATTTGTTTTTTGAAAAATTGTATTTTTTTTTTGTTGAAAAATTTTACTGTTTCAAAAAATTTAATGAAAGCTCAGAGAAAATTGTGTTTTTAATTATTTTAAAAGTAATTGTTTTTAATACTAATTAAATTAATCGTCTAATTAACAAAAAAATTTTCTGAAAAATTTTACTGTTTCAAAAATTCTATGAGAATCCAAAAATAAAATTTGAATTGGTAATCTTCCTTTTTTTTAGCGAAAAGTATTTCTTGAATTCTAAAATTTTTCTCAATTTTTTTAAATTAAATCTGTATCACTATTCAATTGTTGAAATATTAACTTTTTGAAACGTACAATTTTCTTTCATTGAAAAATTGTATTTTTTGTTGTTGAAAAATTTTACTGTTTCAAAAATTCTATTAAAATCCGAAAATAAAATTATATTTTTAATTAGAAGTTAAAATGTATTTGGGAAAACCTTACACGTAATCTGCCACGCCTAGGAGTCGAGCCTGAATCCAGTCTAAGCCCAGTCCAAGCCCAAGCCCAAAAACCCAGGCCTAACCTTTATTTTTCCAGATCCGCAATCCTGCTTCCTCTAACCAACATAATAATCCTGAAAAAAATCAACCACCCTGGCTTCCTTCGAAAATTGCGATGGCTTTTCCCAAACCAGAAAATATCGATTCAAATTCATCCAAAACACGCCGAAAAAGACACGCTACAGTACTTTGAGACGCTGAAAATGTCATGGAAATGAAGAAATTTTATGCTTAAATGGTTGACTTTCAGAATTTATTTTTCTCTTCGAATATCTGGGCGATATTCTGGATCGGCGGCTTGGGTGAACGATTTGGCGTAGAGATCCAAGCGGTTGGTCATCTGCAAAAAAAATTTGGAATTTTTTTTTTTGGCTACGGTGGTTCGCTGCGAGACCCATTGGCTCTGTTTCTCTGCCCGGGACAAAGTTAGAGACGCAGAGTAGGCGGGAAATATGGTAATTCAAAAAAAAGCATATCAAATTTTCAAATTTTCAATTTTCAAAGAAAATATTTTGCAAAATTTCAAAACGTATTTTTTCCGGGAGATTTTTTTGGCCGTGGAATTTCAGATAAAACCCAAGCTGAACTTACTCTGAAACCCCATGCATCCTTGGTTTGGCGGCAGAGATTGAGATCGAGCTCGGCGATCAAAACTCCTTCTTGAACTCGCGATAGAGCCTGCAATTATAGAAGGTATTTTTTCGGTTCTAGTGAGTGATAGATGGTGATCAAAGTTTTTAAAGCTTGTTTTTTGATAAAATTATTTTGAAACAGTGAAATTTTCCAAGACAAAAAATTGAAACTTGAGTTAACATGATCAATTTTGAGCTATATTTTTGAAATAAATTTATTTTTTGAAACAGTGAATTTTTATCAAACATGTTTTATCCACAAAAATTTACTGTTTCAAAAATTTTTCATTTAAAAAATGTGCATTTTTGGAGTTACCACTTCAATAACCACTTACTAAAAAAAAATAAAAATTATTTTTTGATGAACACTTTTTGAAACAGTGAAATTTTCCAACAGGAAAAAATAGTTTCAATGGTTTTGTAATAAATTTTGTGAGCTCACTTTTAAAATACCATAATTTTTTGAAACAGTGAATTTTTTTTTTTGAAAAAAAGTTTGCGTAATCTAATTTTTTCAATCGACTAACTTTGAAGTACTTAGTAATTCTTCTCCTACAAATTTATTATAGAAGGTATTTGTTAGATTTCCATTGTTTAATAGATTGTTATCAAAGTTTTTAAAGCTTGTTTTTTAATAAAATTATTCTGAAACAGTGAAATTTTCCAAGAGAAAAAAATTGAAACTTGAGTGAGCGTGATCAATTTTGAGCTATATTTTTGAAATAAATTTATTTTTTTGAAACAGTGAATTTTTATCAAACATTTTTTATCCACAAAAATTTACTGTTTCAAAAATTTTTCATTTGAAAAATGTGTATTTTTGGAGTTACCACTTCAATAACCACTCACTAAGAAAAATAAAAATTATTTTTGGATGAACACTTTCTGAAACAGTGAAATTTTGAAATAGTTACAAATATTCAAAATTAATTCAATGGTGTTGGAACCAATTTTGTGAGCTGATTTTCAAAACACGTGTTTTGAAAAAAAATTTTTGAAACAGTTGCTTTTTTTTTTGAAATGATTTTCGAAACTCACAACAACTTTGTCAACCCAAGTTCCACATTTTTCACTAACACACTGGAAGAGCCCACTGAAAAAAGCTAGAAATTGTTTCTTGATCAACACTTTGTGAAACAGTGAATTTTTATTTTCATGTAGGTTCAACTCATCAAAGTTTTGAAGACCTGTTTATTAATAAACTTATTTTGAAACAGTGAAATTTTCCAACAGGAAAAATATTCAAAATCAATTCAATGGTGTTGGAACCAATTTTGTGAGCTCACTTTTGAAATAACATAATTTTTTGAAACAGTGAATTTTTTTTTGAAAAAGTTTGCGGAATCTAATTTTTTTCAATCAACTCACTTTGAAGTACTTAGTAATTCTTCTCCTACAAATTTATTATAGAAGGTATTTGTTAGATTTCCATTGTTTAATAGATTGTTATCAAAGTTTTTAAAGCTTGTTTTTTAATAAAATTATTCTGAAACAGTGAAATTTTCCAAGAGAAAAAATTGAAACTTGAGTTAGCGTGATCAATTTTGAGCTATATTTTTGAAATAAATTAATTTTTTTGAAACTGTGAATTTTTATCAAGCATGTTTTATCCACAAAAATGTATGCATCTATTCATTTGCAAAAAAACACGGGAAAAATGTATTTTTTTACAATATTTTTCTATTCACCAAAATCACACATTGTCGCGAAATACATGCAATCGTGATGAGACCCACACTCATTTCAAGGCAACGAGTGTGAAAAATGCATGCTTTCGAAAATTTCATTTCTTGTTTTTTTTCTCGCATGTTTTTCTCCTTGAAATGTGTGTGGGTCTCGTCACGATTGACATTTATTTCGTGCATTTTGGTGAATAGAAAAATATTGTAAAAAAATACATTTTTTTCGGTTTTTTTCGCAGATGAATAGATGCAGTACTGTTTCAAAAATTTTTCATTTAAAAAAATGTGCATTTTTGGAGTTACCACTTCAATAACCACTCACTAAAAAAAATAAAAATTATTTTTTGATGAACATTTTTTGAAACAGTGAAATTTTCCAACAGGAAAAATTATTTGAAACCAATTCAATGGTAAGTAGTCAATTTTGTAAGCTGATTTTCGAAATACCATAATTTTTTGAAACAGTGAATTTTTTTTTGAAAAAGTTTGCGTAATCTAATTTTTTCAATCAACTAACTTTGATGTAGTTAGTAATTCTTCTCCTACAAATTTATTTTCAATATAATAATTTTGAAACAGTGAATTTTTTTTTTCGAAAAGTTTCAGAGTTTTCTTTGAATTTTTATGGAATGATCCTAACCCAAAAAATCACTAAATTGTTTTTCGAAATGGTTTTGAAATTCAAAAATTTAGAACTTTCTGAATCAAAAATTCAATGGTTGTCGAGTTGGTAACTCCAAAAATACACATTATTTTAAATGAACATTTTTTGAAACAGTACATTTTTCAAAATTCACAGGCCTCGTTCAAACATATTTGAGGATCTGATGACATATTTTTGAAACAGTAATTTTTGGATAGTTTTTTCGACGTGTTACTGCAATCAAAATTATGTTTTTCAAGAAATCTATTTTCTGAAACAGTGAATTTTTATCAAAAATGTCTTTATCCACATTATCACTAAAAAAAATAAAAATTATTTTTTAATGAACTGATTTTGAAACAGTGAAATTTTCCAACAGCAAAAAAATTAAACACTGGCTTTCAAACTTTAAAGATTAACTTAAATCAAACGACACTTGGTACTGTCAACATTTTTTGAGCTCACTTTTAAAATACCATAATTTTTTGAAACAGTGAATTTTTTTTTGAAAAAGTTTGCGGAATCTAATTTTTTCAATCAACTAACTTTGAAATAGTAATTTTTCGGTAGAATTGCGATATCAAGAATTTCGAAGACCTGTTTTTTACTAAACTAATTTTGAAACAGTGAATTTTTGTTTTGAAAAATTTCAGAATTTTCTTCGAATTTTTATGGAATGATCCTAACCCAAAAATTACTTAATTGTTTTTTGATGAAAAATTTTTCTTAAATAGAAGTGGTTTTGGAATTCAAAAATTTATAAAAATTTCTGAATAAAAACCAAAAAATACCATGGTAATCAAAGTGCAACTCCAAAAATACACATTATTTTAAATGAACATTTTTTGAAACAGTAAATTTTTCATCTATAAAAGGGCTTCTATAAACATGTTTCAGGATCTGATGACATATTTTTGAAACAGTAATTTTTGGATAGTTTTTTCGACGTGTTACTGAAGTCAAAATTATGTTTTTTAAGAAATCTAGTGAATTTTTATCAAAAATGTTATTTTTTTATGAACAATTTTTGAAACAGTGAAATTTTCCAATAGGAAAAAATATTCAAAATCAATTCAATGGTGTTGGAACCAATTTTGTGAGCTCACTTTTGAAATACCATAATTTTTTGAAACAGTGAATTTTTTTTTTGAAAAAAGTTTGCGGAATCTAATTTTTTCAATCGACTATTTTTGAAATAGTAATTATTCCCATATAAATGCCTTATCAAGAATTTCGAAGACCTGTTTTTTACTAAACTAATTTTGAAACAGTGAATTTTTTTTTCTCGAAAAGTTTCAGAATTTTCTTCGAATTTTTATGGAATGATCCTAACCCAATAATCACTAAATTAAAAATTTTTGAAACAGTAAATTTTTAGAAGAATTTCTTTAAGTATTACCGAAGTCAAAATTCTATTTTTCAAGAAATCTATTTTTTGAAACAGTGAATTTTTGAAGCTTTTTCTTCAAAACACCTACCGGAGTTCTGCTACCATCCGGAGCCGCAATATAACTCGACCCATAAAAATGTCCAAAATCCTTATGAGCCGGCAACCCATTGCCACTCGTAAATTCATTCGGAAAAACTTCCGTGCCAACTCGATTAATCGCCACCGTAAAAACATGATTGGCAATCGCCGCATTTCTCGCCTCAATTCCCCAAAGTGGCTCACTCAAAGCTCCAACAGTTGCAGACGGATTGAAGATGATCTCAGCGCCATTCAAACCATACATCATCCAATTTTGTGGGTGATGTCGTCCGTAGCAAATATTGATGGCGATTCGACCGTATTTGGTTTCGAAGACAGGGTGACCCAAAGTGCTTTCCATGTAATAACTTGACTCGTTGAAATCGCCGACTCGAGGAATGTGATTCTTTCGCGAACGTCCGATTACATGTCCTGACAAATAGAATTTTATAAATTTACCAATTGTCTTTGAGAATCTGATGCAAAATTTTGGGCATTTTTTGAAACGTACATTTTTCAAATTTTTGAAAAAAAAATTTTTTTTTTGAAATTTCGAAATTTTTGAATTTTTTTGTCTAAGGCCTTTCAGATTTAGGCTGAGCCCAGACCCAGGTTAGGACCATAATTAGGCTCAAGCTAGGCCTGGCTGGGCTCAGAAGTCCTAAAAAATCATCATTTTTACCCGAATAGATCTGAAACGGTTAATGATCATTGAGAAATTCAGAAAATAATTCTAAAAATTTTAAAACGTATTTTTCCCGGGGAAAAATTTTCTGTAGACCGCAAGCTTCCGCGTAAGCGGCACTGTCTTCCGCGCAGCGGCCACGTCACTTAAGTCTAGTCTAAGATCGGCCTGAGCTTTGTCAGAGGCCCCTGAGCTTAGGCCTTGGCCTGATTTGATCCTGAGCCTAAACTGAGCAAGCCCACCTCCCCAGAACTTAGCCTAACTAACCAGTATGCGAAATAACAACCGCCGTATTCCAAATCACATCATCTTTCTCCTCATCTCTCTCCAAAATCGGTGAAATGATCACAATATCATGTTTCCTGGCCAATTTCGATAAAAACGCGGTGGTCGGACCATTCAAAGCGGATTCCGCGAATTCCGTCCACGGCAATCGTTCTCTGGTGCAAAATGCGAATGGCATTGTCCACGCCTCTTGCAATCCAATAACATTAGCTCCAGCTTGCGCTGCGGCTTCAATCATTTCGCCGATTCGCTGATGAATTGCGTCGCGTTGCGCGTTTATTGGAGCGGTTGTTGGGAGAACGATCGAGTTTTGGATGGCGGCAACGCGGACGAGACGAGGAGCGCGCGTTTGTTCCGGAGACGCGGAAATGGTGTAGGCGGAGAGTTGGAAGTTGCCGGTTGAAGCGAGTTGAGTGGCGGAATCGGGAATGGAGAGCGAGCTGGAAAAGGGTACCTTGGTTGCGGAAGTTTTTTTTTCAAAAGATCAAAAAAACTATCAATCAGTTGTACAAATAAACTAAAATGTTTGATAATTTTTTGAAACAGTGAATTTTTTTTTGGAAATTTTTTTTTTATTTTTTCAATTTATGAAAAGAACGCCAGATCATTTTCATGAACGTTTCATTAAATTTCTCAATTTTTTGAAACAGTGAAATTTTCTAGAAGAATTCAAATATAATTTTTCAAAAAATCTGATTAATGCCGAACATCTTCATGAAATCTAGACAAACTTTGTTGATTTTTTTGAAACAGTGAATTTTTTTGAAATTATTCCGTGCACAATTTGTACAAAAATCAATTTTTCTATAATTTTTTGTTCTGAAATTTCTTTGTTTCTTTTCCAGATTCAGACAATTTTAAGAGAATTACTTTAAATTTAATTTAGTACAAAACAATAACGTTCAAAACAAAAAACTTTTCAAATTACTCCACAAAAGATTTCTAAACATTTTGAAACAGTGATTTTTTCCAAAAAAAAACATTCGGGAAAATATTGAATGAAATAATTTTCTTGATTTTTTTGTTGAAACTCAAATACCACAATTGAACTAAATTTTCAGATTTATTGAAAACACTTTGCAAAATTTCAAAACGTAAAATTTCCGGGGAATAAAGAAAGAAGAACGTCACATGAACGCTTTATAAAATTTCTAAATTTTTTGAAACAGTGAAATTTTTTAGAAGTATAAATTGCCACGTCATAACGTATTCAAATATAATTTTCAAGCATGAGGTCAATGCCGAACATCTTAATGAAATCTAAACAAACTTTGTTGATTTTTTGAAACAGTGAATTTTTATGAAATTATTCCGTGCACAATTTGGAAAATATTTTGCAAAATTTCAAAACGTAAATTTTCCGGGGAATTTGTGTGAATCAAAATTCTTCTCAAAACCCTGAAAATGGCAAATTCTTCTCATTTTTCTTGTGTTCTTTGGAAATTTCTAAAATGCCTAGTCATAATGTTTTGATTGTTCAGAACTAGAACCAATATTTTACTTATCATCTTCATCAAAACAATGAAAAATTAAGGGATTTTTTGAAACAGTTAATTTTCCCAGAAAAATATTCGGTAAAGAAGAACGTCACATGAACGCTTTATAAAATTTCTAGATTTTTTGAAACAGTGAAATTTTCTAGAAGAATAAAATGCCACGTCATAACGTATTCAAATATAATTTTCAATACCAAACATCTTCATGAAATCTAAACAAACTTTGTTGATTTTTTGAAACAGTGAATTTTTATGAAATTATTCCGTGCACAATTTGTACAAAAATCAATTTTTCTATAATTTTTTGATCTGAAATTGTTTTGTTTCTTTTTCAGATTCAGACAATTTTAAGAGAATTACTTTAAATTCAATTTAGTACTAAAAAAATATCAATCAAAAACAAAACACTTTTCAAACACAAAAGATTTCTAAACGCTTTGAAACAGTGATTTTTTCCAGAAAAAAAAAACATTCGGGAAAATATTGAATGAAATAATTTTCTTGATTTTTTTTTGCTGGAACATTGCACAATTAAACTAAATTTTCAGATTTGTGGAACATACTTTGCAAAATTTCAAAACGTATTTTTTCCGGGGAATAAAGAAAGAAGAACGTCACATGAACGCTTTATGAAATTTCTAGATTTTTTGAAACAGTGAAATTTTCTAGAAGAATAAATTGTCAAGTCATAACGTATTCAAATATAATTTTCAACCATAATTCAATCGTCAAACATCGTCATGAAATCTAAACAAACTTTGTTGATTTTTTGAAACAGTGAATTTTTTTGAAATTATTCCGTTCAAAATTTGTACAAAAATCAATTTTTCTATAATTTTTTGTTCTGAAATTGCTTTATTTTTTTCCAGATTCAAACATAATTTTACGAGAATTACTTTAAATTCAATTTAGTACTAAAAAAATATCAATCAAAAACAAAAACTTTTCAAACACAAAAGATTTCTAAACCTTTCGAAACAGTGATTTTTTTCCAGAAAAAAACATTCGGGAAAATATTCAATAAAAAATTTTCTTGATTTTTTTGTTGAAACTCAAATACCACAATTGAACTAAATTTTCAGATTTATGGAAAATACTTTGCGAAATTTCAAAACGTATTTTTTCCGGGAAATTTGTGTGAAAAATTCTTCTCTAAACCCTGAAAATTTCAAAAAATCTAAACTCACGGATATTTTCTTCCATACAAAATTCGGGTAACTTCATCCAATTGAACTCCTTCCAATTTTTCAGCCAACGCTTTTTCGACACTTTCGAAGTTTTGAGCCATTTTTCTGGAAAAAATTGATTTTTTTTGAAAAAATCAGGATTTTTTTCCAAAGTGGAACCGAAAATTGAAAGAGAAATTGATAAAAATATTATTCAAGACCAAACAAGAAAATTTTTTTTTTGTTTTTTTTTTGTTGTCCTTCTGCTGTCACATTTTCCCCACTTATCTTATCATTTTTGCATGTCAAAAATAGACAAAAAAATAATTTTTGTACATATGACAATCAAGGATTCTGATAAGTAAGATCAAATTAACAAAAAAAAAAGAAGTTTTTGCAAGAAAACGGATAAAATGAGTATTACAACCGGGGAAAATGGGCATCTGGTGGTGGAGAAAAAATCAAGGGCAGTTGTGATTTTTTTTCTGATTTTTTGAGCACGTGACATTTTTTCTAGGATAAATTGGAGAGAAAGTTGACTCTTTGAACTTGAGAAGGGTCAATGGAGAATTGAGTTTTGAAAAATAGATCAAAAATTTTTCGGAGGTCAATTTTTGATATACCAAAAATTATATCAGTTTTTTGAAACAGTGACTTTTTCGTAGAGAATGAAGTGTTTTTCGACCAAAAGAAATTTACAATCAAAATTTTTGTGCATTTTTTGAAACAGTGAATTTTTAAAAATTAAAATATCAAATTATTTGGTGGAAATTGGAGTTTGAAAAATGTTTTAACAATAGTCTAATCAAAATTGTTTCTTTGAATCGAAATTTTTGTGCATTTTTTGAAACAGTGAACTTTTTTTTTTTTTGAAAAATTTGAACTTTTGACTATGGAAGTGTGTTAAGTTTCAAGTTTTTAAATTTTCAAAAATTAAAATTTTTCTTATTTTTCAGATTCAATTTTTTTGACAGCAAGTAAATTATTTAATTTCATCAGAAAAAATGTGAAAAATAAATTTAGGTGCATTTTTGGAACAGTGAATTTTTTTTTTGGAAAAAAATTTTAATTTATTTTAACTTGACTTTTGACTATGAGAAATGTTGTGTTAAGTTTCAAGTTTTTAAATTTTTAAAAATCCTAAATTTTATCTTCATTTTCAGATCGAATTTTTTGTCAGCAAGTAAATTATTTAATATCATCAAAAACAAATTTGAAGTAGAAATGTATGTACATTTTTTGAAACAGTGAATTTTTTTTGTTAAAAAATTTTGACTTTTGGAAAAATGTTCAAAGAAAATACTCTATCTAAGTAATAACCAGCAGATCGGATTGCTTTTGAAAAACTGATTCGAAATATTGTTGAATTTCTGAAACAGTGAATTTTTATAATAATAATAAATTGTTATGATAGGATAATAAACAAATTTATGAGGATTATAAATTTTTCATTTGAAAATTCAAAGAACGGTGATTGAAAAAGGTCTCTTCTTCTGAACAACACTAATTTCATTCAAACTCCGTTTCCCAATTCGAAATAAAGTTACACGATAAACCAATTCAATTGTAAAATCACGATAAGGTTTGTGAACAATAACAGTAACAATTGAAGAAATTCCACCATGTGTTGCAAAAAATATCGTGCTCAAATTCGTCAACCCCTGATTAAAATACCGTGTGTAAAGTGAGAAAACTATGAAAGAAGCTGGAATAACTAGAAAAATCATTGGTATGAAAACTTGCAAGCACAATGCTAGCATAAACTTCATTCGAAGTTGATAGGTTCCTTTCGAACTTGCGGTTTTGTTCTTATTGAGAATTCTGAACGAGCTAATGATATAGAAAAACCCTTGGGAAATAATCAATGTCAAAGTTGTCAGAATTGAAAACACCGCGATGCCAACTTCAAAAGTCAAACAGAAAAAATAGGGACTTTGGAAGAGCGTCGAATCGACGCAGGGTAAAGCTTTCGTCAACTTTTGAATCGCAAAATCTGGATCCGGAATATTCAAAAATGCCGGGAGAATAAAAGTGAACGCCCAGATATATTGAAAAGTTGTCAGGGAATATCGAAAGATTTTGTGGATTGTAGTTGTAGAATTTTGGTTTGAGGATGAGGATAACTTGTGGTAGCGACTTTCGAATAGATTTACAATAGATGTTCCGACTACTGAAAACTGACAAGGAAACCTTTTTTACTCAACAATTCAAATCATGATGAAATTTTGTCCAGAGACAGCTTTTGGGGTCATAAGAACACCCTAAAAATTTAAGTTACCCAATGGACCTCTGAGCCAAATTCTGGGCTCTGAAAAGTTCAAAAATTGCTCAAATTGGCTCATAAAAGTCATCATAGCTCCATTTCAAAATAATTTTTATGAGAAATAAAGTTTCAGATATTGATCAGCATAGTCGATTTACTAAAAATACATCAATAAAAAAAAATTTTTCGAAAAATTTTGAAGTTTTTTATTTTTGGGCTGAAAATTCATGAAAATTCATATGTGCCCCTGCTCATTCTTTTTTCCAAAATCGAAATTTTTTCTGAAATTTTGATTTATTGATGATTTTTGCGTAAATCGACCACGCTGATCATCATCTGCTACTCAGTTTTTCATAAAATTGATCGAGAATTGAGTTATGACGTGTTTTATGAGCCAATTCTGGCAATTTTTGAACTTTTGAGAGCCCAGAACTTGGCTCAGAGGTCCATTGGGAGACTAAAATTTTTAGGGTGTTTTTATGACCCCAAAAGCTGTCTATGGACAAAATTTCATCAAGATTTGAAGTTTTGAGTAAAGAAGGTTCCCTTGTGAGGATTTTCTGATGAAAATCAACGAGTAGACAAAAGTTTCAGCTGCTCCCTTTTCCCCTAGGTACCTCCAATAAAACTAATTCCAACATAGAGTTGAATCCACGTGGCAATCCCAACTTCATTCAATAATCCCAATGAATATCCAGCTGCATACGGTAGAAATATAAAGGGACAAACCAGAAGACTCAAATAAACATCCAAAAATGTGCTGGTGAAATGCAAAATCATCATACTTTTCCGAACCGACAACATGTTTTTGGGAGTTTGCCAAATGATGCAATAGGCTCCGAATAAATTGAGGGGAATTTCGAAACATGTCAAAATGTGGAGTGTGTAAATGTAGAAGGTTTCGGTGTCGATAAAAATATTAGAGTATGTACACGCCATGAGTTTTGGATAAAAAAAAAGACATTGAGACAGGTGAATTCTAATTTCTAGTTTATGTAGAGCAAAAATTAAACTAGTCGCGCGCTCCACCGAAATAAACACGCAACGCAGCACGCGCCGCGCCACAACACACAAAAAAGAGGGAATTTGAATCGTTCCCTTTTTTGTGTGTGATGTGGCGCGGCGCGGTCTGCGTTGCGTGTTGGAGCGCGTGGATATTCGATAATACGAAGCAACTTTCAAAAAAAAACGAAAAACGAAAAAAACTACTGTGGCTAACAATGTGTGCATGCATTTTACTTCACGCACACTTTTTTTTATTTTTCGTTTTTTTTGGTTTTCGCAAAAACTGCCACGTCATAGCTAAAAATGCACAGCGTATTTTCTTTTTTTTGTTTTTCGCCACGTCATAAACGTGGCAAAATTCAAGTAACTTTCATTCAAAACATTTTCAATCATACCGTATTCTGTGGATCCTTCTTTTCAATACTTTGCGAGTTCATTTTGATAAAAACATCTTCGAGTGATGATTGAACCAAGTAATAATCTTTTATTTCCATTTCATCAGCCAATTTTTTGACTTCTGCCATTTTTGTGGACCATTTATCAGATTTTTTGCGCGGGATCTGGAAATTAGAAAGTTTTTTGAGGGTTCCCAGAAATGGGCTGGTTGGAATTGATACTTGGAAGCCCTCACCCCTTCCAAAAAAACCCCCACCTCAAAAACCAAATCCGTCGCCACATCATCATTTTCATCAGTCAACAAATTCGCCGCAAATTTCTCCTTCACTTCTCTCACAATCTCCTTCTTCTTCTCATTTTGCGAAACTTCGGATAACTTCAAACAAATTGTAAGAGTGAATGTATTTCCATAGGTTGATTTGAGTTCTTGACAACTTCCCAATGCAATTATATTACCTGGAATTAAGTTGGATATTGGATATTGGATCTTTTAACAAACCTTTTCGTAAAACTCCAATTCTAGTACACAAAGCTTCACATTCTTCCATAGAATGGGATGTTAGCAAGAAACTCGAAGATTGTTCGGATCCTTCTTTACTTCCAGTTCCAGCAGTTCCAGTAGTTTCAACACTTCCACTAATTCCTCCTCCTCCACAATTTCCATCTCTAATCCCTCCAACAATATCCCATAAATCTCTCCTAGCTTTCGGATCAACTCCAGCTGTCGGTTCATCCAAAATACACAATTTTCCACGTGACAAAATCGCACAAGCCATCGAAATCTTCCGCTTTTGTCCTCCACTACACAATTTGATTGGTTTCGATGTGTTTCCTCGCATTCCAACACAATCTATGAGATCTTCAACCATCGATGATGGATTTTTGTAATTCTGAAGGCGAGTCATAATTTCGAGAACTTCACGGCCAGTTAAATCGGGTAGAATTGCGTCGAATTGCGGGCAGAATCCAAGTTTCTGAAATAAATGGGGTTTTTTGGAGGAATTTCTGTGGCTTTTTCAACTCACCAAAGATTTCCTAACACTTTTCCCCTCAATTATCGCTTCTCCAGAACACGCTAGCTTCTCTCCAGTCAAAATCTCAATAGTAGTCGTTTTTCCAGCTCCATTCACACCTAATAATCCAAAACATCCACCATTTCTAACACCCAAAAATATGCCATTCACAGCTTGATATTTTCCAAATCTCTTGACCAATTCGTCAATAATCACTGTCGAATTTTCATGATTTATCACTTCTTTTTCGATATCTTCTTGCTCTTTTTGAACAAGAGGACAAGGTTCCATTGTCTGGAAAAAAATTAATTTTAGGAGCTCCCTAAAAGATACCTTAGGGAACTCCTTAGGAGCTCCCTAAGGTATCTTTTTTTCGAACCCACCAATTGACAAGCTTCTCTCGCTACATGTCTCGAATGCCAAATCCAATTCCAAAATCGTCTAAAATAATGTGAAGTGAATGTGAAGAGCACAAAATTGAAAAATAGAGAAGAAATGGCAAGATTGATAAGATCGACTTCTGAAAATTTCGAAAAATCGATATTATTCAATATCTGAGATGTTCTTACTCAAAATATCAATATCTTCGGGATTATGTTGATCTTGGGCATAGAAATATATATTTATGAATACTCGAAGATGTATGAAATTTGTTGGATTTGATAAATAATAAATCCAAAAACATAAGGCGAGAAATGATTGAAACGGGAAAAGGAAGCGGATGAAATGCAAATATTTGGTCTGAAATTGCTGAAATTTTCTGAAAAGGCCCCCAAAACCTACCCCTCGAAGTCTCAATCCATTCAACATTATAGGTTCAGCAAACATTTTGATCGCCGGTAGCAAAAAGCAGAAAACCAAAACTAGAATCGTGATTTTTGTTGAGGAATTGACAAGGAATGAAAATAAGAAAACAACGGGTACAATTGCCATCCAAACCATACAACAAACCAGGAAAAGTCTAAACGATTTCAATTACGCTCCACCGAAATAAACACGCAACGCAGACCGCGCCGCGCCACACAAAAAAGGGAGGGAATTTGAATCGTTCCCTTTTGTGATGTGGCGCGACGCGGTCTGCGTTGCGTGTTTATTACGGTGGAGCGCGTGGTTAGACCAAAAATCGCAAAGAGATCAAACACCAATGTCTCAATAGAGCGAATTTGCTAATTTTAGACGAATTTTCCAAGGGTAAATTTTGGCGGGAAATTCAAATCCGGGCTCAAAATTATCGATTTTTTTGTTTCATTGCTCATTTTTGACCATTTTCCTCAATCCCAAGCCAAAATTGAGCGAAAATGGTCAAAAATTAGGCGTGTTTGATAGTTTTGAGCCTAGAGTTGAATTTCGCGCCAAAATTGACCGCGGAACTTGGAAAATTTAAATTTTTCAGTGAAATATTAGCAAATTCGCTCTATTGAGAATTTGGGTTTTTGAAAATGTATGTTCAAACTTTCATAACTCATAGTCAGAAGTGAGATTAGCGTGATCAGCTGGTCAAAATTCACTATCGAGCAAAATCGCGGCTCTGCCACGTCATAACTAACTTTCCTGACCAAAAATCAAATTTTAATGAAGGCTAGGTCTGAAAATTGGCCTCCAGAAGTTCAAATTTGGTTTGGAGCCAAAATCCCATCGCTACCACGCGCTCCACCGAAATAAACACGCAACGCAGACCGCGCCGCGCCACACAAAAAAGGGAGGGAATTTGAATCGTTCCCTTTTGTGATGTGGCGCGACGCGGTCTGCGTTGCGTGTTTATTTCGGTGGAGCAAATTTACTCACTGAAAAAGTACCATTCCCGAAAGATATCCAAAAATTGCAAAGAGTGAGATGAGCGCTGAAGTTTGCACAGCGAAAATGACAAATTCCCAAAAATACATTGAAAACCAATAGATGAATGGTGACATTTCTGTCAGAAATTGTTGTCGCTTGAATTTCGAAACTCGCTCTTCCACGTGTAAAAATCCACATTGAGAACTGTTGTAGGTCACAAGAATGGCAAAGGCAAATAGGAATGCGAGAATATTTGACATTGACGATATCTGAAAGATGATTTGTGAGTTTGTGTAACTTCAAGATAAACTCACAACGCCATCAAATCCCTGTTCATCATACAAAATCCAATGAAAATGATATTGCCAATCTCGAGCTTTGTTCAAATTCACATTCAAAAACGCCGCGATCGTTTTATACAAATTCAAATTCTCATGAACATAGATCTTCTTCACTTTTTTCCCCTGATCTTCCGCTCGAACAACAACAGATATTCTTCGGAAAAATTGTTCCTCTTTTAAAATATCAATCATTTTTCGATTTATACTAATTTCTCGAATAACGAGGCCAGAATTCTTTGCGAAATAATCTCTTATCCATTTCGAACCATCAATAGAATCAGTGTGAATTATAACAATTGAATTTTCCGGAATCTCCTTGACACTAATCTCCAAATCTCTTTCATTTCCCAATTCCTTGCTAGATTTCGCACTCAATAACCAACACATAATAACAATTGGAACAAAAAAATTGACAAGATTTGTTATCCAATTTCTTCGAAAATGTATAAACCTTTTCAATGATAATCCAATAAACTGACTCAATATTCCAATTTTCGTCGGGTTTTCAAATTTATTTGCAATAACTTTCTTCAATGTTTCCCGCTTTTCCTCTTCATTTCTCAATTTTTTTGCATCCTTTTCACATTGTTCGATAACATTTATGAAGACTTGTTCAAGTGAGTTCAACGACACTCCGATTGATGTTATTTTTATGTTCTGAATTTTTCCGCCATATTTTTTGAGTACTTCTGAATCGAAATTCTTCTCGGAGATAGTTTCAAGACACTTCAGAAGCTCGATGACTTTTGATTTATCTTCAGATGGAATTGATAATTCGATCATTTGTCCACGAACATCTTTCTGAAATTAGAATTTTTAAATCTCAAGCTATGAAGATCGCTCCAGCGCGATTGATAGCTTCCAACTCACAATTTTCGACGCCGTTTCAAATTTCTGGCACAATTCCAACAGCACATTCTTATACTTCTCCGGCTCCTCAACAACTACAGTAACCAACCATCCTCCACCAAATTTCGATTTCAAAAATTGTGAACTTCCAGATGCTTGTATTTTACCATCAGACATAACATATACCCAATCAGCTAATTTATCAGCTTCATCCATATTATGAGTTGTTAAAAGTATTGTTCGATTATGTTTACATTTTCGAAGCATTGTTTGTACATCAACACGAGCTGTTGAATCCATTCCAGCTGTTGGTTCATCCAAAAGAACTACACTACTTTCACCAATCAAACCCATTAACATACACAATTTTCGCTTCATTCCACCAGATAGATTTTTGGATAGCTAGAAAATAGAAAGTAGAATTGGGCGGCCTTGTCTTAATACGGGAAGTACGTGAGGTCAGGTGTTGAAATTTTGATGAAAAATGACGAAATATACCAAATCGACCATGCTGATCACGAATCCGAAGTCAAAAATTGCCACAAATGCCTGTGAGCACTTTTCTGGAGCACCAAGGTTAGAATTGAGTTTTGGTTTTCGCCCATTTTCCCACCTGGTTCCTGATTGTGAGTGGAAAATCAATTTTTATAACATGTATAAGGTTGTTCACCACATTCGAAAACCTATCAGCTTTTTAGTTTTGCGAAAATTTTGAAAAACCAGCTGAAAACTGTAATTTACTTATAGTTTTCAGCTGGTTTTTCATATTTTTTTTGAAAAAGTAAAAAGCTGATAGGTTTTCGAATGTGATGAACAACCTTATTCATGTTATAAAAATTGATTTTCCACCCAGAAACCAGGTGAAAATGAGCGAAAACCAAAACTCAATTCTAACTTTGGAGCTCCAGAAAAGTGCTCACAGGCATTTGTGGCAATTTTTGACTTCGGATTCGTGATCAGCATGGTCGATTTGGTAAATTTCGATATGTTTCATCAAAATATCACCTTTTTCTTCGATTCCAACAACCCAATAGCTTCCAATAATTCAATCGCTTCAGTTTTGAAATCACTTTGAGCCTTTTTCAATTTATGAACAATTTTCAAATGTTCCCAAACAGTTAGCTTATCAATCAATGGATTATATTGTGGACATAATCCAATTTTCTGACGAGCTTCTTTCAAATTCGAAACAACATCAAGACCAGCAACTTGAATTGTACCTTTTGTTGGTTTAATCATTCCAGAAATCATTGAAAATGTCGTACTTTTTCCACATCCATTATGCCCTAATAATACAGCAACTTGTCCACGAATTGCTCTCATTTTCAATCCTTTTACAGCCATTTCACCAGTCTCTTCATAGATTTTCACAACATCACAAATATCAATATCTGATTCGAGTTTTCGACGAACACTTGTGTCTTGTTCAACCAAAAGTGGCGATTTCGCTCCATCTTTTCCATCTTCATCCTGATTATCGTGATGTCTTCTGAGTGCGCGGCGCTAAAATTTGATTTGGTCTCACAAAATGTATGAGTCTCACAAAATATATTTCTTACCCTTTTCCACCATCCCCAAGGGGTCCATCTTCCAACCGATCTATCAATCAATACCGCTAATCCAAACATAATCACAGAATTTAAAATCATACAAATCCAGAGAGCATAAAGTGGAAGAATCCGATCAGAACTTGACCATACTGAATATTGATCTAAACAAAATCATGGTTTTCCTTCCGCTAGACTTATTCCTCACCCAATTCCTCCATTCTTTCCAGCGTTTTTTTCACGAAAAACATATTGAAAGTAAAGACAAAAATTGATGGCAAAACATAAGAATAACTCATGAGTTTTTCATGATTGCTGCCAAATATAATTTGTGGTGTAATAATGAGCAATACCCAAATAATGATACAAGCCAAGATGGCGGATTTTTGAGATTTTGAGAAGCTTGCAATCAAAAATGCGAATGAGATGGATGGGATGAGGAAGAGAAGAATTGTTATACTTTGGTAGATGGCGCCAAGGGTGGTCTAAAAGTATTGTATAAAGTTCGCTCTAATGCACACATAATTTATTTAAGCCTCTCACCTTACAAGTCATTCCAAAAAACACCAATCCTGGCGAGAAAATCAGCAAACATTTCGTCAAATTGAAGAGAAAATGTGCGAGATAATAGGTGTGAATTCGTAAACCAATTGAAACCAAATAAGTCTGCAAATTAATCGATTTTTCATGAGATATTATTGAGGACATGCCTCGGGGAAAAATGAAAAAAAACAAGGAAAATTTGAAGAGAAATGGAGAAAAGGACAAATCGAACTGCAAAAATATATTCAATTTCCATTTTTTTGGCTGGTTTTCTCGCATTTTTCTGTTTGTCGCACGTAAAAATCCCAACCTAGGCTTCAAAGAAAAAAAAAAAGAAAAAAAAATTGAAAAAAATCCGCAAACACACGCTGAAAAAAATCTGCAAACAACAAACACTACGCGCAAACACCTACAGTACTTCGTGTTTTAAAATTAACCCTGGACTTTTCCCTTTTTCAGGCGGAGTATACTAGTAGATGAAAAACCGTGAGAAAAAGTTTAAAAAAAAATGGAAAATGAATAAAATTTTGCAGTTCTCTTGTTTGACTTACCCGAAAAGTCGATTTTTCTTGAACAATACTTCTCGTCACATTGATAACCACCAATATGATAAAAATTTGAACAAACCAAAAGACCAGCGAAACCAATTCTGACTCATGAATAGAACCTTGGAATTCGAAAATAACGTTTTCATTTTTATTGAATTCCGATGGTGCAGTAAATTCAATAACATCTGCCATACGATTGTTGATATTGCTGAAAAATTGATTAGATCAGATCAGCAAAAATAGATGGGTCGAAAATCTCATCGGCACCACGCGCTCCAACACGCAACGCAAACCGCGCCGCGCCACAACACACAATCGTTCCCTTATTTGTGTGTGTGTTGTGGCGCGACGCGGTCTGCGTTGCGTGCTCGATGAGATTTTCGAAAATATTTATAAAAATCCTACTCATGACCATATCCTCCTCCTTTTTCAAAAACCCATGGCTCATCTTTATAATAATCTCGTCGAGTGGCCAAAGTTACATCAAATCTCATCTTGTTTCTTGTGTTGATAGTCTTGTTGTCAAAGTTCTTGAAGTCAGTTTTGATCCCGATGTATCTGAAAAAGATCAGGACTATCGGCTTGGCCTCTATGGGGCCTGGGGGCCCAGGCCCAGTCCAAAACTCACGGCGTCGGTGCCCTGATGTTTGGAACCATTCGATCTTCCATCTTTTTCATATATTCATCTCTCTCTTTCAAAGTCGCACTTATATTTTTTCGAGTTTCAGCCGATTCCTCAAAAACCACACCATTTCCAGCATGATAAGAGTTTGCTAGATAATTGATATAACTTTGAAATGAAATTGGATGGAATAATGATGTTGATGATGAATCCTGTTCTTTTCCTTGATCTTTTACTTTCTGAAACAAAAACACGGCCTTTTACAAGGTAAATCGAGAGAGACACAGAGAAAACGAGAAAAAATCTTCAAAAAGAAATCCAAAACATGAAATTCAAAGAAATGTGATCTATCCTTTCGAAACCAAGCGCGGGAAAAATTATTGAATTCGAAAAAATTTGAAAAACATGTTTCCCGCGCTTGGTCTCGCAACGAGCAGCCGGACTGCAAATGAATTTGGTGTTCCGTATTTCTACAGGAGGGTTTTGTGTTTCTTTCTCTGTGTCTCTCTTGAATTGCAATTTTCCCTATTTTTGAAAGGCCGTGAAAATCAAACCAACCAATTGCACAAGAAAACCAATTCCACCAAAAAGTAGCATAACAATGAGTATTTCGAAAATACTATACACTTTACTACGGTACATTATTCGAATATCTTTCAGAATCAAAGTCCACAACATTTTTATTGGTTGTCTGGTTTCCAGAAATATCGGGGCTTTGATTTTTTGGGTTCTTTTTGATCTGGGGCAAAAAAATGGGCCACGTTCACGTTTATGAATTAAAAAAAACATTTCTGAAGTGGGTCATTTCAAAAATAATTTTATTTCAAGTATCATACAATATTCTCTGGATCCCTTTTTTCAATACTTTGCGAGTTCATTTTAATAAAAACATCTTCGAGTGATGATTGAACCAAGTAATAATCTTTTATTTCCATTTCATCAGCCAATTCTTTGACTTCTGCCATTTTTGTGGACCATTTATCAGATTTTGAGCGAGGAATCTGGAAATTAGGAGATTTTTTGAGGGTTCCCAGAGATGGGCTGGTTGGAATTGATACTTGGAAGGCCAATTTTCTTTTTGGAACTTTTTTTTTTGAATTCTTATTGTCGAAGTTAAAAAAATGTGGCAGCCGTGAAAAATAAAAACCAGTGCAGAGTTGACAAACTCGTTATTTCGTCAGTCGCGTGCGGCTGTGCGTCGCGGTCGGGAAACAATCAATAATTCGATGTTTCCTTTGATTTTCGACCGCGACGCACAGCCGCACGCGACTGACGAAGTCCAGTTGTTTTCATTCATTCAGCTCTGCACTGATTTTTATTTTTTACGGCTGCCACATTTTTTTTAACTTCGACAATATCATGATTATCTCTGCCTAAGAGCTGCTATAAATATGTTTTGACCAAAAAAAAATTATTTTGATAAAAAATCCAAATCTTATTGAAATATTTGTTCCGGAAACTGAGATTGCCTAGATCTTCTGGAAGAAATTCCAGTTTGGTATTTCCGACAATTTTTAAATTTTTGAATTTTTCATTTTAAAATTCAGAACAAATTTCAATTCCCCATTTCCAAAAAAAACCCCCACCTCAAAAACCAAATCCGTCGCCACCTCATCATTTTCATCAGTCAACAAATTCGCCGCAAATTTCTCCTTCACTTCTCTCACAATCTCCTTCTTCTTCTCATTTTGCGAAACTTCGGATAACTTCAAACAAATTGTAAGAGTGAATGTATTTCCATAGGTTGATTTGAGTTCTTGACAACTTCCCAATGCAATCATATCACCTTTTCGTAATATTCCAATTCTAGTACACAATGCTTCACATTCTTCCATTGAGTGGGATGTTAGCAAGAAACTAGAGTATTGTTCAGATCCTTCTTTACTAACTGATTTGGTCCTAGTTTTAGATCTAGTTCCAGATGTAGCTGTAGTTCCAGTGGCAGTTCCAGTAGTTTCAGCACTTCCACTAATTCCTCCCCCTCCACAATTTCCATCTCTAATCCCTCCAACAATATCCCATAAATCTCTCCTAGCTTTCGGATCAACTCCAGCTGTCGGTTCATCCAAAATACACAATTTTCCACGTGACAAAATCGCACAAGCCATCGAAATCTTTCGTTTTTGTCCACCGCTACAAAACTTCATGCGTTTTCCCGTGTTTCCTCGCATTCCAACACAATCTATAAGATCTTCAACCATCGATGATGGATGTTTGTAATTCTGAAGGTGAGCCAAAATCTCGAGAACTTCACGGCCAGTTAAATCGGGGAGAACAGCGTCGAATTGCGGGCAGAATCCAAGTTTCTGAAATAAAAATGGGGATTTTCAGGCGAGATCCGATTTTCTCAAAGCTCAAAACATGAGCAATGCCCGTTTTGCGCAAAATTACTGTAGATTTCAAATTCAGGATTTTGTAGATCAAATATTTGGGTTTTTTGGGATAGAAAAATCTAGAGTAGTCGGAAAATTTCCGGATTTTTTGAACCGGAAAATCCGGAAAATTTTTCAAAGCCTGAAATTTCGATGTTCAGCCTTAAGTTGGCTCTAAAATTTCTATCCACAATTCTTCTATTCACAGGTAATTTAATTTGAAATATTGAAAAAAAAATTCCAAAATTTTCATTTTTTCTATCATAAACTGAGAAAATTTCCCAAAATTTAAGTAATTTTTAAAATATTATTACTAACGATCATTTTCCGGATTTTCCGAGCACATTTTCCGGAAAATTGATTTTTCCTTGAAAAAACCGGAAAATCCGGAAAATTTCCGGTACAGGCCTGATCTAGAGCTTTAGAATTCTGATTTTTTGTATATATAAACATGTCCAGCTCGGAGATACTGTAGCGAAAATTTGCTCACCACAGAATTCCGCACATTCCTCCCATCAATCATCGCCTCTCCAGAACACGCTAGCTTTTCCCTCGTCAAAATCTCAATCGTAGTCGTTTTTCCAGCTCCATTCACACCCAATAATCCAAAACATTCACCATTTCGAACACCCAAAAACAAGCCATTCACCGCTTGATAACTTCCAAATCTTTTGACCAAATTTGCCATGATTACTGTAGAATTATCCGGGTTGACTATTTTGTTTTGAATATCCTCTTTCTCCTGTTGAACAACCGGACAAGGTTCCATTGTCTAAAGAAATTTGAGTTTTGGGGGAATTTTGGTAGTTTTTTTGAATAGAAAAAACCAACCAATTCACAAGGCGGTCTAGATTTATGACCAAAATGTAAAACATCATTGGCCAATTGTCGAATGAGTCTTGACGAGAAAATAAAGAGCAGCGAATTGAAAATCACAGAAGATAGTGCAAGGTTAATACAATCAGATTCTGAAAAAAAAATGAATTTTTCGGGAAAAATTTGAAATTCAGATCCTCAAACTCACTTAGAACATCAGAATCCATTTTGCCAGTAAACAACAAAAATTTTGTGATAATCGCAACATGCGGCAAATTTTTCGGATCTCCCAAATAAAAAATCCAAAACAGCAGTGTGACAAATGGTTGGAACGGGAAAAGATAACGACATTTTGGTAGCCACTGCAAAAAAATTGCTCAGATTAATTACGAAGAATGGAAAAACCTGACCTTGACACTGATATTCAACAACAAATCCAGAATAAACTTCATAGCTGGTAGAAGAAAAATGAAAACCAGGACGAAAATTGTGATTTTTGTGGTTGAATCGACGACGAATGAGAAAATGAAGATTATTGGAGCAATTGCAGTCCAGGCGAGCAAACAAACGAGCAAAAGTCTGGAATTTTTTGAAATTTTGGTTTAAATTGGGCTGAAAATCATGATTTTATGTGAAAAATCCCAATTTTTAATTTTTTTTGAAAGCAAACCTTCAGATTTCTGAGAATTTTAATAATTGCTCATGTTAGCTTCGAAAAATCTAGATTTCAGCCAAATATTGCTCATGCTAATGGTCTAATAAATAACATGAATCCAGCAAAAAATTGTAAAAAATAAAAAATATGTGCAAATTTTGAAACGTATTTTTCCAAGGGTTTGAATTTCAGATTATAAAATCACGATTGAAAAAATGGGATTTTTTGGGCTGAAAATCATGATTTTTAGTCAAAAATACTTTGAAATTTCAGAACTTTCAAAGTATTGCTCATATTAATTCCAGATTTTTAAAGCAAATCTTCAGATTTCTGAGATTGCTCATGTTATTTTTGAAAAATCTAGATTTCAGCCAAATATTCCTAATGTTCATAATCTAGTGAATAATCCAGCAAAAAAATTGTAAAAAACAAAAAAAAAAGTGAAAATTTTGAAACGTATTTTTCCAGGTTTTTTTTTGAATTTCAGAGTTCAAAAAAAGTTGCTCATGTTAGACAAAAATTCAGTTTTTCTATATTGTGCCCCAAAAAAACTCACCTAACAATAGTCCAACCCCAAATATGTCCATAAATCGCAAAAAGTGAAAGAAGCACCGAAGTTTGCACAGCGAAAATGACAAATTCCCAAAAATACATGGAAAACCAGTAGATAAATGGTGACATTTCTGTCAGAAATTGTTGTCGCTTGAATTTCGAAACCCGCTCTTCCACGTGTAAAAATCCACATTGTGAACTGTTGTAAGTAACCAAAACGGCAAAAAGAATCAAATACCAAAGTGTACTGAGACTAAGAGCTCCCTGAAATATTCTTTTTGCTGAAATTTGGGTGAGAAAAAAACCCTCACCACCAGGTCACCATACAAAAACCAATGAAAATGATATTCCAACTGTCCAGCTGGTTCTTTGTTCAAATTCACATTCAAATATGAGCCAATCGCTTCAGCCAAACTCAATTCCTCATGAACATAGATCTCCTCAACATCTTTTCCATTGTTAACAGCGTGTACAACAACCGAAATTCTTCGGAAAAACTGTTCCTCTCTCAAAATATCCATCAATTTTCGATTTGTACTAATTTCTCGAATTATTAATCCAGAATTCTTCGCGAAGAAGTTTGTAATCCATTTCGAACCCTCAATAGAATCAGTATAAACAATCACAATAGATTCTCTTGGAATACTATTAACATCCAATCGCACAGAATGTCGCTCTCCAAATTGTTCCTCAGAACTTCCACTCAGCAACCAACACATCAATGCAATCGGAATCACCAAATTCAACACATTTGTGATCCAATTTCTCCGCAAATAGATCAACCTTTTCATCGATAGCCCAATAAATTGACTGAGTATCCCAAACTTTATCTTATCCTCTGTTTTAGTTTCAATAACTCTTCGCAAAGTTTCTCGCTTCTCATCTTCATTTCTCTCCTTTTTCGCATTCTTTTCACATTGTTCAATCACATTTATGAAGACTTGTTCAAGTGAATTCAACGACACTCCGATTGACGATATTTTAATGCGACGAACTTTTGAGGAAAAACCTTTGGGAATTTCGGAATCAAACTTTTTCTCGGAGATATTTTCAAAGCATTGAAGAAGTTGGATTACTTTTGATTTGTCTTCGGATGGAATCGAAAATTCGATCATTTGTCCACGAACATCTTTCTGGAATTTGGATTTTTGAAATAGGATTTTTAAATTTCAAGCTCACAATTTTCGACGCCGCTTCAAATTTCTGGCACAATTCCAACAGCACATTCTTATACTTCTCCGGTTCCTCAACAACTACAGTAACCAACCATCCTCCACCAAATTTCGATTTCAAAAATTGTGAACTTCCAGATGCTTGTATTTTACCATCAGACATAACATATACCCAATCAGCTAATTTATCAGCTTCATCCATATTATGAGTTGTTAAAAGTATTGTTCGATTATGTTTACATTTTCGAAGCATTGTTTGTACATCAACACGAGCTGTTGAATCCATTCCAGCTGTTGGTTCATCCAAAAGAACTACACTACTTTCACCAATCAAACCCATTAACATACACAATTTTCGCTTCATTCCACCAGACAGATTTTTGGATAGCTAGAAAAAAATGATTCGTAATTTTGCTACCCAAAAAATCAGAAAAAAAAATAAATTCCAACCTTATTCTTCGCATCCAACAATTCAATAGCTTCCAATAATTCAATCGCTTCAGTTTCAAAATCACTTTGAGCCTTTTTCAATTTATGAACAATTTTCAAATGTTCCCAAACAGTTAGCTTATCAATCAATGGATTATATTGTGGACATAATCCAATTTTCTGACGAGCTTCGGTCAAATTCGAAACAACATCGAGACCAGCAACTTGGATTGTACCTGGAAAATTCAAGGAGGTTTCTGGTAATAAAATTTTGAATTTCTGAAAAAATTATTCATCACAGGCTTGAGATTACAAAGTTGAAATCACAAACTCAAACTTTGGGCCAGAAAATATTGGAAAAAAATTATTTAAAACATTTTCGTTCCAATTTTATCGTAAATAGAAAATTAGCGCCGATGAAAAAATGTTTCTAGAGCGTTGAAAGCGCTGCGTGAGAGCGTTGCGGTTGAAAAACCAAAATATTTTGAATTTTCATGGAATTGAAAATTTTTGATCTACTCTTCCATCTGTCTAAATCTCTCATAACGACTCAATATTTCTTGATCAAACTAAAAACACTTGCGTTTTCGTTCTTTTGATTTGTCATCAAAACCGCAACGCTCTCACGCAGCGCTTTGAATTATTTTTTTCATCGGCGCTATTTTTCTATTTACGAGCGCTGCCACATTTTTCATAATATCTTCAGCCAAAAATCACAAAAAAAACCCACCCTGAGTCGGTTTAATCATTCCAGAAATCATTGAAAATGTCGTACTCTTTCCACATCCATTATGCCCTAATAATACAGCAACTTGTCCACGAATTGCTCTCATTTTCAATCCTTTTACAGCCATTTCACCAGTCTCTTCATAGATTTTCACAACATCACAAATATCAATATCTGATTCGAGTTTTCGACGAACACTTGTGTCTTGTTCAACTAACACGTGCGAATCTGCGGCTGGTGAATTTGTCAATTCCTCTTCCGCAAGACGACGAGCAAGTGTGCGGCGCTATAAAAACTGAGAATTACAGAGGGAATTGGAAGGGTGCCAACCTTTTTCCACCATCCCCAGGGGGTCCAACTTCCAACAAATCTATCAGTCATAATTGCCAAAGCGAACATGATAATAGTGTTGAAAATCAGGAGAATCCAGAAAGCGTAGAGTGGAAGAGCACGGTCAGAAGCTGACCAGGGTGAGAATTGATCTGGAAACGGTTGGGGCTTCGAGCGAAGCGAGTGTAGACCGCAAGCTTCCGCGTAAGCGGCACTATCTTCCGCGTTAGCGGCCGCGTCTAGAAGCCTATGTTTTGTAGACCGCAAGCTTCCGCGTAAGCGGCCACGGAGACTACTATGACGTGGTTAACCACGTGGCAGCATTCGCGGAAGCTTTCGGGATCTGGAAACGGTTGGGGCTTCGAGCGGAGCGACCGCAAGCTTCCGCGTAAGCGGTCACGGAGACTACTATGACGTGGTGAACCACGTGGCAGCATTCGCGGAAGCTTTCGGGATCTGGAAACGGTTGGGGCTTCGAGCGGAGCGACCGCAAGCTTCCGCGTAAGCGGCACTATCTTCCGCGCAGCGGCCGCGTCTAGAAGCCTATGTTTTGTAGACCGCAAGCTTCCGCGTAAGCGGCCACGGGGACTACTATGACGTGGTTAACCACGTGGCAGCAAGCTTTCGGGACCCATGAAATCCTTACCCAATTGTTCCATAACCTCCAAAGTTCTTCCAATATAAAACATATTAAAAGTAAAAATCAAAGTTGTTGGCAAAACATAGGCGTAAGAATTCAGCTTATCAAAATCATCAAACATATGAGATGGTGCAAAAATCAGAAAACACCAAAAAACCAGGCAAAAAATGATGGCCGATTTTTGGGTTTTGAACCAACTTGCAACCATAAATGCGAAGGAGATTGTAGGGAGAAGGAAGAGGAGAATTGTGAAGCAGAGGTAGAAGGCCGTGTATTTGCTCTGGAAAAAATAAGATAGACTAGACTGTAGTTTGCTATTGATAAAACTCACTCTACAAGCAATCGCATAACAAACTAATCCAGGCGTAAAAATCACTAAACACTTGACCAAATTGAACAAAAAATGAGCCAAATAATAAGTGTGAATTGGCAAGCCCATTGAAACCAAATAGGTCTGAAATTAGAGAATTTGAGCTTCATCCAAATTATGAAGTTCCGCTAAATTCACCCTAAACGTGGCTTTTTCCTGAACAATAGTTCTTGTGATATTAATGACAACGAGGATGATGAAAACCTGAACACATTGGAGAACGGATTCTCCGATTCGGGTTTTGTGAAGTTCATGGGTGAGTTTGTAGATGCGGGTGGAGTCGGATTCGTTTGAGAATGAAGATGGTGATGTCATTTTGATTGAGCCCGCCATTTTTGCCTCTTGGTGCAGGCTGAAATTCAAATTTTTAAAATTTTTTGGGAAAAAAACAATGTTGAGAAGTTTAACATGAGCAATGCTGTAAGATTTTTTGGGCATAAAAAACCTAATTTTTGGCTCCTGAACTAAGATGAGCAATGTTATTTTCAGGAATTTTTAGACTTAACATGAGCAATGTTGTAAAATTCGAGAAGAATCATTTTTCGGCCAAAAAACCCTAAATTTTGGGGCTAAAATGAGCAATGCTGAGAGATTTTTTGGCCAAAAAACCCTAAATTTTGGCTCCTGAACTAACATGAGCAATGTTATTTTCAAAAAGTTTTTGAATTTCTGGATTTAACATGAGCAATGTCGTAAGATATGAAAATAATCATTGTTTGGCCAAAAATCCTAATTTTTGGCTCCTGAACTAACATGAGCAATGTTATTTTCAGAAATTTTTTGAATTTTTAGGCTTAACATGAGCAATGTTGTAAGATTTTTTTGGGCAAAAAACCCTAATTTTCGGCTCTAAAATGAGCAATGCTTTCTTGTAAATATTTTTTTGAAATCCAGGATTTTCTGAACTAACATGAGCAATGTTATTCTCAGAATTTTTTTTGAATTTTCAGGCTTAACATGAGCAATGCTGTATGATTTTTTGGGCAAAAAACCCTAAATTTTGGCTCTGAAATGAGCAATGCTTCTAAGTATTTTTTGAAAGCCAGGATTTTCTGAACTAACATGAGCAATGTAATTTTCAAAATATTTTTAAAATAAAGTTGAATTTTCAGGCTTAACTTGAGCAATGCATCAAAAATTCTACAATTTTTTGGATTTTTATTCCAAAAATCTTAAAAATAACCCTAAATCTCTAATTTAGGATAACTTTTCTGTCTACAACTAACTTGCTCTTGATTCCCATAAGTGAAAAACCAGTCCACGGAATTTCAGTGTAAGAATTGTGTTTGAGTGATAAAGTGACATCAAATCGAACTTTATCATTCTTCTCAACGCTCCAATCAATAATGCTACTGTTAGCAACATCTGATGAGATTCCAATGTATCTGGAAAAAATCGATTGTGGTAAGCGGAAACCTTCCGCATCCTCCAGAAGCGGAAAAGAAACCAAACCCACAATTTTTTCTCCATCCTCTTCTCATCTTCCTCATTTATAAACAATTCTGTTCGATTATTGCCCTCACTGATAATTCTACTCAAATTCGCCTCAGTTATCCAAGAATCCTCAAAAACCACACCATAACCATCACAATGTTTATTATCGATTAAATCGGTGCAAACATGAAGACCGTATGGTGTTCTCAATTTGAAGTTCATATCGACATCTTCTCCTTCTTTCTGTTGAAGATCGGTTTGGATTTCTTTGACATATTTCGTCAGATATCCCAAGCCACCGAAAAGTAGCATAACAATGAGGATTTCGAAAATACTATACACTTTACTACGGTACATTATTCGAATATCTTTCAGAATCAAAGTCCACAACATTTTTATTGGTTGGTTTCCAGAAATAGCGGGGTTTTGGGGGATTTTGGGGCAAAAATGGGGCACGTCAGGGTTCACGTTTTTGAAAAATTATTTTTTGAAAATTGAAAAAATTTAATGAAAAAAAAATGTTTTGCATTTTCTGCCGACAATGTTTTGTTTGGAAAAAAAGAAAAATATTTTTTTTCTTCCGAAGTGTTTTCTTTTCCGCAAGCTTCCGCGAAGCGTCAAAGTTACCCCAACTCTCCAGCTTGCGGTATTATCGAAAATCTCACGCGCGCTCCACCGAAATAAACGCAACGCAGACCGCGCCGCGCCACAACACACAAAAACGATTCAAATTCCCTCCCTTTTTTGTGTGTGTTGTGGCGCGGCGCGGTCTGCGTTGCGTGTTTATTTCGGTGGAGCGCGTGGTATCGATAAGATTTTTGATAAAAGTTTGAACATACATTTTCAAAAACCAAATTCTCAATAGAGCGAATTTGCTAATATTTCACTAAAAATTTAAATTTTCCAAGTTCCGCGGTCAATTTTGGCGCGAAATTCAACTCTAGCCTCAAAACTATCAAACACGGCTAATTTTTTACCATTTTCTCTCAATTTTGGCTTGGGATTGAGGAAAATGGTCAAAAATGAGCAATGAAACCAAAAAATCGATAATTTTGAGCCTAGATTTGAATTTCCCGCCAAAATTTACCCTTGGAAAATTCGTCTAAAATTAGCAAATTCGCTCTATTGAGAAATTGGTGTTTGATCTCTTTGCGATTTTTGGTCTAACCACGCGCTCCACCGAAATAAACACGCAACGCAGACCGCGTCGCGCCACAACACACACAAATAGGCGAACGATTCATAAAATTCCCTCCCTTTTTTGTGTGTTGTGGCGCGGCGCGGTCTGCGTTGCGTGTTGGAGCGCGTGGTACCGATGCGATTTTCGATTGTTTATTCAAAATATTCTGTATTTTTAAAAAAAGTATGTGGCTTCAGAGACCAATTTAAATCTTCCCTCAATATTTCGAACTCTAAATTCATAACCTTCAGTTCCATTTATTGCCTCATTGTCAGTTCGAAATGAAATCGGCTGATCTTCTTCGTGTTCAACACTTTCCACATAAAGATCAGTAAATCGATTCGATAATTTATCCAAAAGATCTTGATCTATAGAAACTTTCGAACCATCACTAAGAACATAGGGATCGTTAAGAATATCCTGTAAAACCGTCAAATTCCGATTTTCTATCGCAAAAATATATTTCGATAGAAGTTTTTCGATTTGTCTTGTTGATTCGACATCAAAAACATCTTCAATAATTATTTCATCATTAAAATCTTTCAATTGTTTTTCAGAAACTATTCTGAAATCTTTTTTCACATCTATTTCAAATTCGCTTGTATAATTTGAATTGATTTTCACATCAAAATTGAGAATTCCCGTTGGAAAATTGAAGAAAACATTGGAAATTTCAAAATTTCCCGTGAAGTTATAGTAATTCGGATAAGCAATTATATGATAGAAATAATAATCAGGAGATTCGAAAATCTTTTCACGACCTTTGAAATCAGTTAGCTTAACTCGCTCAACAACGAGTTCACGAATTCTTCGTCCACTTTTGATTTCACTAGCCTTTCGGAATTTCTTGATAACCTTTCTCGCAATTTTGTCAAATGTTTTGTCCAAAACATTTTGATCTACCAAGGCCAAATAACTATAATCTGAGCAATCGTGGTTCAGAAGATATCTTGAATGTTTCGCAACAAAATGATATATCGATTTTCCAATTATTGCTTCGAATTTCAGCTCCTCACGATCTTGTTCCACATTTTGGACCTCAATTATTGGAATTTCTTGATTATTTTGGAAAAAAAGTTCCTCGAAAACTTTCATGCTACAATTTTGAGCCATCAAAATCGTTAGAGCTTCTAGATTCTTATGATTTATTGCATTTTGAACATCGGTGAGCAAATTGAAAGCATAAGTTTCTGGATAATAATCCAAGTTAGTCCAAGTTAATTGGGCTGCAGAAGTCAGGGAAAATATAATTGACCAGAAAATCATGGTTTTCTTTGAAAAATAAATATTTAACAAAAAAAAAACAAAAAAAATTGAAAGAATTTTATGAAGTCTAGACGGTTTTCTAATTCACAAACGGAAAAATGTTCAAAAATGTTTTTTTAACATCGAAAGATCAATTCACGAAAAGTCAAAAAATGTCGAAAAAACATTAGTTTTTCGAGTTTTTCAGCCAAAAATGATGAAAAATCGATATTTTTTAAGCTTCTGGAGTAATTTCTGATGAAAATAAGCTTCGAGAACCCGATTTTGCTTTATTTCATGAATTTTTTCGAAATTCATCAGCAAAACCTTCTGGAAAGTGAATTCCAAGGTCAATTTTCATCAGAAATTACTCCAGAAGCTTAAAAAATATCGATTTGTCATCATTTTTGGCTGAAAAACTCGAAAAACTAATTTTGACCTACGACTTTTCGTGAATTGATTTTTCGATGTTAAAAAAACATTTTAAAACTATTTTTTCGTTCCTGAATCAGCCCTAACTAGAATATTTAAGTCCACGTCACATTTTTCTCACGTAAAATTCACGCGCGTGAAATTTGACCTGACCTAAACGTGATCTATTTTCCCCACAATCAAGAATACGTGTACCAATGTAACAATGCTCTACAATCCTCAATATCAAAAATCCCACAGCTTGAAAAATGTTGTGGACTTTGATTCTGAAAGATGTTCGGATCATGATCCGTAGTCCAATCTACAGTGGATTCGAAATTCTGGTTACAACAGCGTTTTTCGCATTTTTTGCCTTTTTTTTGCTTGTGGTGAGTGAACTTACATCAAAAATTCTTCGATGAAACTTCCAGCAGCCTTGACATTTCTCTGAAAATGCTTTAATTTAATTTAATTTCAGAATACAAAGAAAGACGAACGAATTTACCAAAGAAATCAAATCTCAACATATATTTCTGATAATACAATCAATTCCCACCAAAAATCTGTTTTTGAAAATTCAGAAGACACAAGGAAAAATTTGGATGCGATTCAAAATAGGCAAGTTGCTAATCTTGCAAGCTGGCATCAGCTGAATATTGAAAACAGGGAAACATTGTTAGTTTTCCCTCGGAAAAATCATCAAAATCTTGAATTTTCAGATATGTTGGAATTTCCACGTCTTCTGATGGTGAATTGAACAACGCGACTGATTTTACTGATGAAAATGGGAAAATGCGTTTCGATCTCACATTTGTAACAACGTATAATTAGTGAGTTTTGTTAAATAAGGCTCGAAAAATTGAAAGAACAGAAAAGAAAAAAAATTTTGATGAGAAAAAGTACTGTAGTCCACATTTTGTGTGCATTGGTGTTTGCACACAAAACATGCGCAAGCACCGGATTTGACGACATTTCGCATTTTTATTTTTTTTTTTTGAGCGCGTTTAAACGCGGAAACCTTTCCGCAAAGCGCGTGAATCCTATCATTTTTTTCAGTGATTCCAAAGTAGCCAATGCCATCTCAACAACTGCAACCAATATTTCAAGAACAACGAAAGTTTCCTATTTTCAAAGCGAGGAAATGCGAAATTTCACATTAATTCTAATTTATGGCGCATTCTCCACTTTCATCGTTCTAGTTGTTATCAATATCATTCGACATAACATACAGGAAAAATCCACGTTGCGGGTAAGAAAATTGAATATCTAGAAATGATAGTAAATCTGTTTTTTCAGACCTATCTGGTGTCAATTGGTCTGCCAGTTCATACGTATTTTCTCGCGCAGTTAATCTTCAACTTTCTCAAATGTTTGTTGATTTTCAGTCCTGGAATGGTGGTTTTGACATTTAATTTCAAGGTGAGCACGAATTTTCACAAAAAAAAAACACGAGATTCAATTCAGAACACCTACACCGCCATTTATCTCTGCATAACAATGGTTCTATTCTATCTCCCAACAATTTCCTTCGGTTTTCTGATTTCAAGTTGGTTCAAAACTCAAAGACCCGCAGTTCTCGCATGCCTTGTCATTTGGGGAATTATTGTCGGTTTACCATTCTATTTATACGACGAAAATGTTTCCAAATTGAGCTTATATTCACATGCAATTCCTTCGTATTTCATTTTCACCATCAATTTATTTCATGTTTTTCGAATGTTAGAAGTTATGGCAACAACTGAACAAAATTCATTTTGGTCTGCTTCTGATCGTATTTTTCCACTTTATGCTCTCTGGATTGGTCTGATTTTCAATGCTGTTATGATGTTCGGATTGGCGATTTTGTCGGAGAAATTCGGAAAGAATTGGACTCCGTGGAGCTGGTGGAAAACGGTATTGATTCATTATTTTCAGAGAAAACAAATTTCAGAGAAAAAATCAAATTTACAGCGTCGCGCTCTTTCACGTCGCCTTGAGGAAAATGAATCTGAAAATGAGAATCAAACAACAACACCACTTCTAATTGAACAAGACACAAGTGTTCGTCGAAAACTCGAATCAGATATTGATATTTGTGATGTTGTGAAAATCTATGAAGAGACTGGTGAAATGGCTGTAAAAGGATTGAAAATGAGAGCAATTCGTGGACAAGTTGCTGTATTATTAGGGCATAATGGATGTGGAAAAAGTACAACATTTTCAATGATTTCTGGAATGATTAAACCAACTCAGGGTGGGTTTTTTTTTGTGATTTTTGTCCGAAATTTGAAGTGCATATTTTTGTCTGAAAATATTCAGGTAAAATTGGAACGAAATTTTTAAAATTTTCCAATATTTTCTGGCCCAAAGTTTGAGCCTGTGAATTCAAATGTCAAGCCTGTAATTAGGACTTAAAGGCAGTTCGACAATTATTCCGGTTTTCCTCAAAGCTTAGTGTCAAACATTGTTTATTATGAAACGAACCAGTGAAAAAATTCCGAAAACATGAAAGTTAATACGAGCTGAGAGAATCTTGTGTTTTCAAAATTTCAAATTGCCCCCACGACCAGCGGATTTGTGTGTGTGCAAACACCGCGACGCACTTTTGCACAGGAAGATTTGAATTTTAATATTTTCACAATATTTCATCTCTATCTTTTGTTTGGTTCAAGTTTAGCCCGGTTAAAGTCAGAGGCTTCGTGGGTGGTCTCCGTCAACCGGAATAGCTGTCTGACCGCCTTTAAATTTGTGAATAATTTTGTCAGAAATTCAAAATTTTATTACCAGAAAACGATCGTTTTTTCATCCTTTATCACAACCCAGTTCTCAACCTCCTCGAATTTTCCAGGTACAATCCAAGTTGCTGGTCTTGATGTTGTTTCGAATTTGAAAGAAGCTCGTCAAAAAATTGGATTATGTCCACAATATAATCCATTGATTGATAAGCTAACAGTTTGGGAACATTTGAAAATTGTTCATAAATTGAAAAAGGCTCAAAGTGATTTCAAAACTGAAGCAACCGAACTCTTAAAAGCTATCGAATTATTGGATTCAAAAGATGAGTTATCCAAAAATCTATCTGGTGGAATGAAGCGAAAATTGTGTATGTTAATGGCTTTGATTGGTGAAAGTAGTGTAGTTCTTTTGGATGAACCAACAGCTGGAATGGATTCAACAGCTCGTGTTGATGTACAAACAATGCTTCGAAAATGTAAACATAATCGAACAATACTTTTAACAACTCATAATATGGGTGAAGCTGATAAATTAGCTGATTGGGTATATGTTATGTCTGATGGTAAAATACAAGCATCTGGAAGTTCACAATTTTTGAAATCGAAATTTGGTGGAGGATGGTTGGTTACTGTAGTTGTTGAGGAACCCGAGAAGTATAAGAATGTGCTGTTGCAATTGTGCCAGAAATTTGAAGATGCGTCGAAAATTGTGAGTACTGCTTGACATTTAAAAATCCCATTTCCAAAATCCAAATTCCAGAAAGATGTTCGTGGACAAATGATCGAGTTCTCAATTCCATCCGAAGATAAATCAAAAGTTATCCAACTTCTTCAATGCTTTGAAAATATCTCCGAGAAGAATTTCGATTCAGAAGTACTCAAAGATTTTGCCGGAAAAATTCAAAACATAAAAATAACGTCAATCGGAGTGTCGTTGAACTCACTTGAACAAGTCTTCATAAATGTGATTGAACAATGTGAAAAGAATGCAAAAAAGTTCAAAAATGAAGAGAAAAAGCGGGAAACTTTGAAGAAAGTTATTGCAAATAAATCAGAAGATCAAAAAAGTTGCGGAATATTCAGTCAATTTATTGGGCTCTCATTGAAAAGATTGATATATCTTCGAAGAAATTGGATGCTAAATTTGTTGAATATTCTGATACCTGCTCTAATAATGTGCCTTCTGCTCACTGAAAATCTAGATTCAAGCGGATTTCTCAAAGAGAACATGAAAGTAGATGTGAATTTGATCCCGGAAAATTCAATTGTGATTATTCAAACTGATTCAATTGCTGGTTCAAAATGGATAAGAGATTATTTCGCAAAGAATTCTGCGCTTATAATTCGAGAAATTGATACGAAAAAGAAAGTGGAAGAAATTCTAAAAGAGGAACAGTTTTTCCGAAGAATCTTTGTTATAATTCGAACAAAAGACGGAGGAAAAAATGTGGAAAAAATTCATTTAGCCCAATTTTTTGGTATAAATAAAATTTATCCTGAAAATATCATGGCAGCTTTTCTGAAAGTTGATTTGAATTTTGAATTTGTTGGCAAATGGCAATATTATCTACATCCAATTGTTGATGTGAGTTTGAATTTTTTTTTCAATTTTTGAGCCTGAAAAAAATTTTCGCAGGATAATAATGGTGAAGATGATGAAAAAGTGATATATTTGATTGGTTTCGTGTGTTTCGCAATTTATTTTTCATCTCAAAGTTCATTTTTACACGTGGAAGAGCGGGTTTCGAAATTCAAGCGACAACAATTTCTGACAGAAATGTCACCATTTATCTATTGGTTTTCAATGTATTTTTGGGAATTTGTCATTTTCATTGTGAACATGTCGATTTTATTGGCATTGTTTCCAATCTTCCAATCTGTTGATGTTGTTTCGAGATTGTTTCAGTGAGTTTTGATTTTAAGAAGATCATTTTTTATCTGAAAATTGAGAAAATTTCAGACTGTTATTGATGTGCTGCTTTGGTTGGATCTCTTTGGCTCCAATGTCATTTATCATCTCATTTTTGGTCGATTCATCAACAAAATTGACGATTTTCGCGATACTTTTTGGATTTATTGTTCCGCTTCTCTATGTGTACGCATGTACGATGCTTGATGTTAGTTTTGAGCTCCAAAATTTGAACTCTGAAATTGAGCTATGACGTGGCAGAGTTTGTGATTCAGAAGGCTTCAAAAAATATGTAAAAATCCAATTGTTTCTAACATGAGCAATGTTTGAACTTCTTATTTTCCAAAAAAAATTATTCTAGAAAATCTACTGTTTCATCAAAATTCTCTATTAATTTTTTTTAGTTCGGGAAAATCCCCAAAACCGAGATTTTTCTAACATGAGCAATTTTCCAATTTCTTATTTTCCTAAAAAAAAATTTTGCTAGAAAATCTACTGTTTCAAAATTACTATGAATTTTTTCAGTTCCCATTTTTTTTAGTTTTTTTTTTCATCAATAAGTTTTACATTTTTCGAATTTGTTTAAAATTTTCAAAAATTTAATATGAGCAATAGTTTGCTATCAAATTTTTAAAAATATAATTTTTAAAATTTTTGAAAATTTAATATGAGTAATGGTTTGCTATCAAATTTTTGAAAATTTAACATGAGCAATGGTTTTCTCTCAGATTTTTGAAAATTTAATTTTTTGAATTTTTGAAAATTTAATATGAGCAATGGTTTTCTCTCAAATTTTTTGAAAATTTAATTTTTAAAATTTTTGAAAATGTAATTTTTTAAATTTTTGAAAATTTAATTTTTTAAATTTTTGAAAATTTAATTTTTAAAATTTTTGAAAATTTAACATGAGCAATGGTTTGCTATCAAATTTTCATCAAAGTTATTTTAATAAATGTGTTAATTAACTAAAAAACTTCGAACTGAAAAAATGTATAGTATCTTTGAAACAGTAGATTTTCTAGATCTGATTTTTTTTTTTGGAAAATAGAAATTTTGAGGATTGCTCATGTTAGATAAAATTGGATTTTCATGAAAACTATATATTTTTGAAGCCTTTTGAATGCAAAATGTGCCACGTCATAGATCAGAGTTGACTACAGCTATTTTTTGACAAGAGGATCAAAATCTATCAGAGTGTCCCCTCCAGAAAAATTTAAAAAAATAGAGCATTGCTAATGTTAGAAAAATAGTATTTTTCTTCTAAATTTTGAACCTACAATTAGAAATTGCCTTTAAGTTCACAAATATTCCCCCTGTCTAAAAAAAATGCAGATTTTTTTCCCCAGACACCAGACAATCTTCGTTTCCTCTTCCCATCGCTTCCATTTGCCACATTATGCCTTCTGATCTATATTCCACAAGATATTCTCAAATCAACTGACTTCATTTCATTATTTCATCCGCTAACCGTAGAAGAACAAAGGAACGCTGATATCGAAACGTTTTTTGGTGAGAAATTTTGGAAATCTGTTTTTCTAGGAACATTTTTTTGCAGACAGCGATTGTATTCAACTCGCAATTTCTGGCATTTTATACACTGTCCCATTTTTCGTGTTCACATCTCGATTTCCACTTCAAATTTGGTATAAGACATTTCATTCGGAACATTTAGCTGAAGAAAAATGTCAATTGGTAAGGGATTTTGATTTGGGCTAACATCAATGTATGAAATTTTTCCAGACAATTGGAAGTTGCCCGAATGTTCAAAAAGAGAGGGAAGAAATCGAAAAAGAAGTGATAAATCATGAAAATTCGACAGTTGTTACAAATGAATTGGTCAAACAATTTGGTGGTTATCCAGCTGTAAATGGCTTGTTTTTGGGTGTTCGAAATGGTGAATGTTTTGGATTGTTGGGTGTGAATGGGGCTGGAAAAACGACTACAATTGAGATTTTGACTGGAGAAAAATTGGCGTGTTCTGGAGAAGCGATGATTGATGGAGTTGATGTGAGGAAATCTGTGGTAAGCGATTTTAAGCCCAAAAATTCCTTTTATAAAATTTGAAATTTCCTGATTTTCCTGAAGAAAAGGCACAATTTTAAGCAGAGGAAATTGGCCTGAAATTGGCTGAAAATTCTATATTTTCAGACAAAATAGCTCAAAAGGCCATTTTAGGCCGAAAGATCTTCATCAGGCCTGTGCCGGAAAAAAATCAAACTGAAAATTTCCGGATTTTTTGAGCCGGAAAATTCGGAAAATTTTTCAAAGTCTGAAATTTCGATTCTCAGCCTTAAGTTGGCACTAAAACTTATTTTTATCTACAATTCTTCAAAAATATGATAAAATTTGAAAAATTGAAAAAAAAATTCCAAAAATTTCATTTTTTCTACTATAAACTGAAAAAATTTCTCAAAATTTAGGCAAATTTGTAAATATTATTACTAAAGATCATTTTCCGGATTTTCCGAGCACATTTTCCGGAAAATCGCAAAATTGATTTTTCGGTGAAAAAAACCGGAAATTCCGGAAATTCGGAAAATTTCCGGCACAGCCCTGATCCTCATAAAGTCCTAATTTTTCAAAACATCAAACTTCAGCCCAAATCCCAAAAAAATTCCAGAAAGTCGGATTCTGCCCGCAATTCGACGCAATTCTTCCCGATCTCACCGGCCGTGAAGTTCTCGAGATTTTGGCTCGCCTACAAAACTACAAAAATCCATCGTCGATGGTTGAAGATCTCATTGATTGTGTTGGAATGCGAGGAAACACATCGAAACCAATCAAATTGTGTAGTGGAGGACAAAAACGAAAGATTTCGATGGCTTGTGCGATTTTGTCACGTGGAAAATTGTGTATTTTGGATGAACCGACAGCTGGAGTTGATCCGAAAGCTAGGAGAGATTTATGGGATATTGTTGGAGGGATTAGAGATGGAAATTGTGGAGGGGGAGTTTGTGGAAGTGCTGAAACTACTGGAACTGCCACTGGAACTACAGCTACATCAGGAACTAGGACCAAATCAGTTAGTAAAGAAGGATCTGAACAATACTCGAGTTTCTTGCTAACTTCCCACTCTATGGAAGAATGTGAAGCATTGTGTACTAGAATTGGAATATTACGAAAAGGTGATATGATTGCATTGGGAAGTTGTCAAGAACTCAAATCAACCTATGGAAATACATTCACTCTTACAATTTGTTTGAAGTTATCCGAAGTTTCGCAAAATGAGAAGAAGAAGGAGATTGTGAGAGAAGTGAAGGAGAAATTTGCGGCGAATTTGTTGACTGATGAAAATGATGATGTGGCGACGGATTTGGTTTTTGAGGTGGGGGTTTTTTTTTGGAAAATTGAAACCAAAATTAGTACTGGAGTATCCTGAAATTATTGAAAAATTTGAAATTTTTACATTAAAAAATATTTGGAAATCAAAAAATTCAATTATTTTTATATAAAAAAAGGTTCTGACCAAGACCTAATTTAGAAGGTACTTTGGACTTCCGAATTCTGGGAACCCTCAAAAAATCTCCTAAATTTCCAGATTCCTCGCTCAAAAACTGATAAATGGTCCACAAAAATGGCAGAAGTCAAAAAATTGGCTGATGAAATGGAAATAAAAGATTATTACTTGGTTCAATCATCACTCGAAGATGTTTTTATCAAAATGAACTCGCAAAGTATTGAAAAGAAGGATCCGCAGAATACGGTATGATTTTTACTTGTTAAAATGAAATTGTTAGAAAAATTGGGAAATATTTATTGAAAATCACGAAATCCAATCCGAAAGTACAATAAAATCGGAAATAATTATTTTTGCAAAAAAATATTTTTAAATTCTAAAATCTGGTAAGCATTACTCATTTTAAAAGAAATGTTAGAATTAACCTCAAAATTATATTCTGAAAACAACATTTATTGACAATCTCAAAATCTAACTCCATTTTGGAAAACATTTTCCATTTATCACTTCAGTATCCTGATCTTCAGCAGAAGGTTCCACTGATGTTATTACTGGAATTGATTTTTGTGTGGGGGCCATCCAGACAAAAGATATAGCCATAAGAAAAATCTGGAATAAAAGGAGGAATCTCATTTTTCAGCTAGTTTCAGATTTGACCTAGCTGAAATTATTTTATAAAGAGTTTCAGACAACAGCTGACAACATGATCAGGCGGACTAGAAAAACCTTTATTCATAGAACCAGAAAAAAAACAAGAATCATATATCAATCAAGCTTGTGCCGGAAGTTGAGAAATTTTTGGGGAAAATAACAATATTGCTCATATTAGAGGGAATTATGGGATTGCTCATGTTTAAATGAACGAATCTTATCATTGCTCATGTTAAAATGAACATGAAGCGCCTTTAGAAAATTGAGTAGATTGCTCAGATTAGGCAGGATTAGAGACAATGGGAAATTGAGAGAAAAAATATTTTTCGCTCTAAAAATTCCCCCAAAATTCCCCGCACAAGCCTGACTCATATCAATTAATTAATTAATTATCATCATTATCACTAGTATCTGCCTCATCATTCTCCGAACATCGTAGATTCGAGATCACAAAGTTCTGAAAGCGACTTCTGAAAAAAAACCTGGATTCTTACATTTTATTCCGTAGACTTTTTTGAGCTCTCACTGTAAACTAACACGCGAATCTTCGCTGTTCTGACGACGTTCCGCGAATCCTTTGCGCAGTTTTTGCAAGTTGTCGAGGTCCTGCAAAGGATTTTGGATTTTTGAAGCTCTTAAAATGAGTTAGCCCAACTCACATCTCTCCACAATTTCAACGCCTCCATACAAATATCCGAAATCCCATGAACATTCTGATAAACCTTCTGATAATGATCCATAGCTCTTTCAACTCGCAAATTATAATAAGTCATAAGATATTCGATGCCTATAACACAACCCAAACTTCGGCGAAGTTTCGGACTATAAATCATGATTCGAGAATTCTTCTCGCGAGCATCGCATATGAATTTGTTGGCGGCGGAAAAATAGGAAACGATTTGTTGAGGTGTTGAAATGTGATCTAGTGGAATGTTGAGAACTTCTGGCATATGACCACGTTCCAGATTGCATTCGCAATAGGCGCGTTTTTCGATTTTTAGCGCGTCTTTTGAGACGTTCTGGAAATTTTTTGAAAATAAAATTTCCTAGAAATTAGCATGAAAATTGAAAGTAGCGTTAAATTGTATTTCCAAAAATCTACTGTTTCAAAATTTTTATATGATTTTGAACGTTTTTACGAATTTCAATTTGGCGGGGAAAATATTTGCCACGTGTCAGGTTTTTTTTTCAATAAAAATCCAAATTTTTAATTCGAAAAATCTAATGTTTCAAAATTTTTATATTATTTTGAAAATTATTTCCAGGTTTCAATAGATATGAAGTCCCATAACCATCTCAATTTTCGAACAAAAATTTTTCGTTCACAAAATATTTTTTTTGATGTCAGAAAATATACTGTTTCAAGAATTTTAAATATTTTTTGGATTTTTGTTGAACTTTGATGCTTCATTAACCTACGATCGAGAAAGTGAGAATTTTACAAAAAAATCTACTGTTTCAAAATGTTTATATGACTGTGAAAGTTTCTTCCAGAATTCAATAGTTGACGCCTGTGTTCAGACTTAAATTTAGAATTATTGGTTTTCAGCTGAAATTTTTGAATTAATTTTTGAAGTTTTGGTTTCCAGCGAGAATTTTGTACAAAATTCTCCACAAAATAGAATCCGGAAAAAGTAGAAAATTTTCTTATCTATGTCCAATTTTAGGCGTTAAATTGGGGTTTCCAAAAATATACTGTTTCAAAATTTTTATATGATTTTGAAAGCTATTTCCAGGTTTCAATAGATAGGTAGTCCTATGGCCATCTCAATTTTCAAAACAAAAATTTGTTCAAAAATTTTTTTTTGTGTCGGAAAAATATACTGTTTCAAGAATTTTATATATTTTTAGGATTTTTTGTTGAACTTTGATATTTCATTAAACCCTACTGAATTGAGAAAGTTAGTTTTTCTTTCATAAAAATCTACTGTTTCAAAATTTCTTGGAACGTTTTTTCAATTTGGCGGGAAAAAATATTTGCCACGTGTCAGGTTTTTTGCAATAAAAATCTCAATTTTTAATTCCCAAAAATCTACTGTTTCAAAATTTTTATATGATTTTGAAAATTATTTCCAGGTTTCAATAGGTAATTTTTCCATAAACTTAATTTCCAACACAAAAATTTGTTCAAAAAATATTTTTTTTGATGTCGGAAAAATGTACTGTTTCAAAATTTTTAAATATTTTTAGGACTTTTTGTTGAATTTTGATACTTTATCAAACGCTAGTGGATCGAGAAAGTGAGATTTTTTCACAAAAATCTACTGTTTCAAAATGTTTATATGCTTTGGAACATTTATTCGAATTTCAATTTACCGATTTTGTATTTTGAAAAATCAATAATTATCAAATGTGAAAAAAAACCGAATTTTTGGCGGGAAAAATATTTGAAACGTGTCAGGTTTTTTTTCAAAAAAAAAATCCCAATTTTTCAATCCAGAAAGTTTCAAGAATTTTAAATATTTTTTGGATTTTTTGTTGAACTTTGCTTTTTTGCTGCAGTCCAAATCAGGAAATTGAGATATTTTTATTCAAAAAATTTACTGTTTCAAAATTTCTATATGATTTGAATTTTTCGTGAAAATTTATTTTGCAAATTACTCTATTCCAAAAAAATTAAATAAGAAAAAATTAAAAAAAATTTTATCCCAAAAAATATACTGTTTCAAGAATTTCTTATTTTTTGGATTTATTTTTGAGCTTTGATTCGTCGTAATAAAACAGCTTAGAAACAAAATTAATATATTTCACAGCAAATTTTGAAAATTTATTGATTTTTTTCACGAGTTCAGCATTTTCTGTTCACAGAATCCTGATCTTCTTGTCAAAAATGTCAAAATCCACTACTACTTTCCCCCAACTCACAATAACATGTCGAACTTGTCTCTTACAAAGAAGCGTCGTATCAATTGTGATAATCTCATCGCAAATTTCTAGAAATTCAGCCATTTTATGAATATCTTTCTCATCTGTCGGATTCAATTGAAGTCCACTATCAACTGAACTTCCGATTGATTGAACTCGAATTACATTTGGCATCGGGCCAACACTTGTGGCTGAGATTAGGGATGAACTTGAGCTCGCTGAGTTCGATCTGGAATTTTGGGGACCTTTTTTAATGAAAAAAGAACTCCTAGATTTTTTCGAAAAAGTTTCTAGTTTGAACTTTGTTTTTTCATGATTCAAGATTATATCAAGTTTCAAAAATGAGCCCCAAACATCAATGTAAAATGTTATGGCTCAAACAGCAAAACTTGAGAACTTTTGAAAATTTTTTGTTTTTTTGATAGTTCTATGAATTCTTATTGACATTTCAGTGAAAATTTGGGCCGGAAAACTCATTTCCGGAAATTTGAAAATTATTTTCAAAATCGGATGTAACTCTTCCGAGGTACGGTATTTTTCTCTGCGAGACCCAATAACGAAAATTTGACTTTGTTTCTCTGCTTTTTTTCTCAGGTTAGAGACGCAGACAATATATCGTGCTCTCTAGCATCTATAGCTTCTCTAGACTCTAGTCTCTAGCCTCTCTAGCCTCTCTAGCCTCTCTGCGTCTCTCTATGCTCTCTAGCTTCTCTAGCATCTCTAGCCTCTCCAACCTCTCTAGCCTCTCTAAGCTCTCTAGCATCTCTACCCTCTCTTCCCTCTCTACCCTCTCTAAGCTCTCTAGCATCTCTACCCTCTCTAACCTCTCTACCATCTCTACCCTCTCTGCGTCTCTAGCCTCTCTGCGTCTCTCTACCCTCTCTGCGTCTCTCTAACCTCTTACCTCTGTGGCTTATCTCCTTCTAACGGCACCATTCCACTAGTTGTAGTCTGTGAACGCAAAAAATTGGACCGTCTATTGATTGTAGTCGAATTCGGGCCACTCATTATCTAAATGAGAAAAAATTTTGAAGCGAAAATAATTCGAGTGTGGGTGAAGCTTTTGATTTTTTTGCGAGCAAAGTTCTTGATTTTGATGAAAAGCTTGAAGCTAGCTTAATGATAGGAGTTGCCTTGGGCAACAACAGAATTTTTTGAAAAAAAGGAAAAATGCTGTGAAAAAATAGAAAAAAAGAGAGAAAAGAAGAATAGAGATAATAGAATCGCATCTTTTTTTGTGTGTTGAAAAGGAAAAGCTGAAAAAATGAAGAGATTAGTCATTTGGGGAATATTATGATTATTTATGAGTTAAAGCTGAGGAAAAAGAAAAATGAATCGATCGAATTTTAATTGGCGGTTTCTTTTTGTGGAAAGTGATAATTAGTGAGGGAGGAGAAGGTGGAGGAAATGTTGAGAAACAACAACAGGAAAATATTTTTGAAGAAGTTGAGGGTGGAGATCAAAAGTGCTCTGGTTGTCTGATTCTGATCAAATTACGGTAGATACTCTGCGTCTCTAACATAGTATTGCTCTGCTAGATTGTATTTATTTTGCAAAACTTGTGAAGGAGATCAAAAGTGCTCTGGTTGTCTGATTCTCACAAGGTACGGTAGATACCCTGCGTCTCTAACAAATAGTATGGTTTTGGTAGACTAGACTTTATTTTGCAAAAGGAGATCAGAAGATCTCTGGTTGTCTGATGCTGATCTCACAGGGTACGGTAGATACTCTGCGTCTCTAACATAGTATGGTTCTGCTATAGATTGTATTTATTTTGCAAAATTCATGAAGAAGATCAAAAATGCTCTGGTTGTCTGCTTCTCACAAGGTACGGTAGATACTCTGCGTCTCTAACGAAAGATGGATTTAGTGATATAGATAGAATTTCGAAGAACAATTTGTTAAGATCAAAAGTTCTCTGGTTGTCTGATTCTAATCAAAGTACAGTGGATACTCTGCGTCTCTAACGAAGGCTGGATAAAGAAGATCAAAAGTGCTCTAGTTGTCTGCTTCTGATCTTGTAGATACCCTGCGTCTCTAACATCGTATGTTTTTGGTAGACTAGAGTTTACTCTGGTTGTCTGCGTCTCTTTTAGATACTCTGCGTCCCTAACATGATTTTGGCCTGGGCAGACTACTTTAGTTGTCTGCCTCTGACTTGAATTCGTTTTTGGATTACTGTAGATCCTCTGCGTCTCTAAACTTTCCAAGATCCGATCATCTATAAAATCGGTAGATCAAATAATATATTTGAGTTCTGGTTGTCTGCGTCTCTCCTGTGATCTCTCGATTCTCTGCGTCTCTAACATGGTTTTGGCCTGGGCAGAGATTTACAGACGATACTTTAGTTGTCTGCCTCTAGCTTGAATTTGTTCTCGATTACTGTAGATCCTCTGCGTCTCTAAACTTTCCAAGATCCGATCTAGTAGGGTAGATCAAATAATATATTGTTTTCTAGTTGTCTGCGTCTCTCCTGTGATCTCTAGATTCTCTGCGTCTCTAACATCTTGTTCAGTTTTGTGCACTCAACCTGCACTCTGAAAATCATCATCTGAAAATCATGATTCGACATTTCCCAAAAACAATTAGTCATAAAATAATCATCTTTATTCAGTACACACACTTTTTTTTTGATTTTTTTGTCACAATGAGAATTAAAGCAGCCGTATTAATAGACCAGAACATAGAAAATGGGGAGCTCAAAGAGCACGTGGAATTTCAGAAAATCTGGAATTATTTTCCACGTGTCAGAAGAAGAAATCGGAAAAAAACATGGGAAAACCGCGCTCAATTAAAACCAGCCAGGAATCTGTGAATCCGGAGTGTCGTAGTTTGGAGCTTCGCAATTGCAGATGTTCTGAGTCGCCTCCAAGATCTCATCCAAACGCGCTTCAACGCGACCCTGGAAATTCTGATTCGCCAAAATCGTCCATGTCCCGTAGGCCACAAGGAAAAAGAACCAAATTTTGAAAATTGTGTCGAAAGTGAGTTGGAAACTGAATGATGTTGTGTTGTTTCGGCGTTGGAAGCCGATTGAAATGCGATCGACGCCTCGAAGTTTTTCCTGGAGAAAAATTGGATTTTTGCTTGGTTTTTGGACTAGTTTTGGTCAAAATTAGGCTTTTCTGGGCCTCATTTTAGGCCTATTTTTGAAGCGTCTAAATAATTTTAGGCCGGGCTTAATTCTTGGTTGAATTTTGAAAATTGCAGAAAAGTTAGAGATTTGAGTCCGAATTCAGGCCTATCTAAACATTTAGGCCAGATTTTTCCTGAATCCAGAATGTTGGGTTCAAATTCCAGGCTAATTTTAGGCCGGGATTAATTCTAGGTTGAATTTTTTTTAAAAATATGCAGAAAAGTTAGAGATTTGAATTCAGGCTTAGGCTTAGGCTCATTTTAGGCCCGGTTTTTTCCTAGATTTAGAAAATTAGACCTGATTTTCAGGCTAATTTTTAGGCCTGTTTTTGAAGCGCATAAATTTCAGGCTGGGCCTAATTCTAGGCCCGATTCAGACTTTTCATAGGAATTAGGCTAAGGCTCATTTTAGGCCCGGTTTTTTCATAGATTCAGAAAATTAGACCTAAATTGAGGCCAATTTTTAGGCCTGCTTTTGAAGCGTCTAAATTTCAGGCTAATTTTAGGCCGGGCCTTAATTCTAGGCTCGATTCATAGGAATTAGGCTAAGGCTCATTTAAGGCTCGGTTTTTTCTTGGTCTGAATTTAAGGTTTTCCGGCCTGAATTTAAGGTTTTCAGAAAAAATTATCCAATTTTTTGAAATCTTGAAAAATGGGCCGTTTTGAACTTTTGAAATTTCAATATAAAATTATCAAGGTCCGAAAATTAAAAAAAAAAAAATTTTTTTTTGAAAAATTTGATCATTTTTTTAATGTAATTCGGAAAATTTGTATTTTTTTAAACCGACAGGCTTGAGAACCTTAAATTCAGAATTTCAAAATAAAATTATTAAGGTCCGAAAATTAAAAAAAAAATTTATTGTCGGGAATTTTCGGACCTTGATAATTTTATTTAAAAATTTCAAAAAAAAATTGGATTTATTTTCAAAACTCACGTATAAATATTTATCGGCATCCTCAATCTTCTTATTGATTTGCCCAAAAATCGAAAGATCTTCTTCTTTTTCCTCTTTTTCCTCCTCTTTTTTCTCCTCAACTTCCGGAATAAGAGCCGGAGTTTCCACAACTTCAACTTCTTTTTCCTTCTGTTTTTTCGCCGCAAAATCTTTCAACAAATCAACAACTTTCTCCTCCAAAATCATTTGAGTATAGAAACTGTCGGTATACGATTGCACAGTCTCCTGAATCTCCTCTCTGCTCACCCCAAATTCACATTTTTCGAGAAGTTCTTTGATTTCGCTGTTGGTTGTGATTGCGTGTGTCTGCTGGGTTTGGGTTTCAGATGTTTCTTCACTCGGTGAAGTTTCGACCATGTCAATCAGATCGAAATCGCTTGAAGATGAAGAGCACCGAGAATCGTTGTGTTGCTAGAAAATTTTAGGAATTAGTTTTGAAACAGTGGGATTTTTCGTCAGGAAGTGGCAGAATTTATTTTTTTTTGAGTTTGGAACTTGAAAATTAATTCTTATTTTTTCACGTGGATTTGTGGCGCGAAAATTTGAAAATTCAAAATTTTGCCACATGGATTTTTGGCGCGAAAATTTAAATTTTCAAATTTTTTGGAGTTTTGGCGGGAAAATTTGAATTTCCCAAACTTTTGGAGTTTTGGCGGGAAGTTTTGAATGTAAAATTTTGCCATGTGGTTTTTTGGCGGGAAAATTTGAAAATTCAAAATTTTGGAGTTTTTGCGGGAAGTTTTGAATGTAAAATTTTTGCCACGTGGAATTTTGGCGGGAAAATTTGAATTTTCAAATTTTTTGGTCCCAAAACAGCTTATTGGATTTTTGGCGCGAAAATTTGAAAATTCAAACTTTTGGAGTTTTGGCGGGAAGTTTTGAATTTAAAATTTTTGCCACGTGGATTTTTGGCGGGAAAATTTGAATTTTCAAACTTTTGGAATTTTGGCGGGAAGTTTTGAATTTAAAATTTTTGCCACGTGGATTTGTGGCGGGAAAATTTGAAAATTCAAACTTTTGGAGTTTTGGCGGGAAAATTTGAATTCTTCTTTTTTCCACTTGGATTTTTGGCGGGAAGTTTTGAATTTAAAATTTTTGCCACGTGGATTTTTGCGGGAAAATTTGAATTTTCAAACTTTTGGAGTTTTGGCGGGAAAATTTGAAGATTCAAAAATTTCGCTCCCAAATCTTTTATTGGATTTTTGGCGCGAAAATTTGAATATTCAAAGTTTTGGCGGGAAGTTTTGAATTTCAACATTTTGCCACGTGGATTTGTGGCGCGAAAATTTGAAAATTCAAATTTTTGGGTACCAAATCTTTTATTGGATTTTGAGGCTCAGAAATTTCTCAGGCTTCTCAGGCCTAAAAAACTAGCCTAAATTTAGAATCGGCCTCAATTCAGGCTTAGCTTTCTGAATAAAAACAAGCCTAAAATAAGACCAAGCCTGAAATTCAATGAATCTAAGCCTAAGCCTAATCCTAAAAGGCACTAAGCCTAAGCCTGATTTTCAACAAGGCTAAGCCTAATCCTGATAAGCCTAAGCCTACGCCTAAAAAGCCTTAGCTTAAGCCTAAAAAGCACTAAGCCTAAGCCTAAACAAGCCTAAGCCTAAACAAGCCTAAGCCTAAACAAGCTTAAGCCTAAACAAGCTTGAGCCTTACAAGCCTAAACCTAACCAAGCTTAAGCCTAAGCCTAAGCCTGAAATTTAACAAGCCTAAGCCTAAGGTAAATTTGCCACGTCATAACTTCAAATCTACTATAACTACCAAAAAAATTCAAAAAAAAACTCACCATTTTTGAAGCGTCGAAAAATCCACGAATGACTATGCTCCCCGCTTTCCTGGCTCTTTTTGTACCCCCTTTTCAACCAATCCCAGTTGGCTCCGCCCAATTTGACCTAGCAATTATAGGGAGCAAAAAGAAAAACATCTGTCGAAGAGCGGAGATTAGACAAAGGGTGTTTGGTGAATGTGTTATTATTTTTTGTGGTGGCGTCGCTTTGGTTGGGAAAATGGGAAGACACGGGGAAAGTTTGAATGATCAATTTGGGTAATAAATAAATATGATATAACAGATATGGAAATAACATTTATTTTTGTGATTGAATATAAAAAAGTCCAGAAGATTTTATGAATTTTCTGAAACAGTGAAAATTTTCATGTTCAAAAGTTCGAAAATGAGATGAAGATTTTGAAAAAATAAAAATAAATTTATTTTTATTTTTGAATTTTTTTCACTGTTTCAGAAAATTCATAAAGTTTTCTGAATTTTCAAGAAAATTTGATTATTTTTTCAATATCGAGTGAAAAATCTCACTGTTTCAAAAAATGTTCTATAAAAATTTGTGGTTTCATGATTTTTTGATTACCTTTTTAGTTGCATACAAGAAATTATGGTAAAATACTTTTTTTCAATATTTTTTTGTAAAAAAAGTAAACATTTTCAGATAATAAAAATGTTTTTTGTTGTTGTTGAATATTTCACTGTTTCAGAAAATTCATAAAGTTTTCTGAATTTTCAAGAAAATTTGATAACATTTTTTGATTTGGAGTGAAAAATCTCACTGTTTCAAAAATTTTCTATAAAAATTTGTGGTTTCATGATTTTTTGATCACCTTTTTTGTTGCTGCGAATCAATTCATTTGAAAAAAAAAATAAAAAAAATTCAATAAAAATACACAAGAAATATTTTTGATAATTTATCAAAATTGAAAAATTTATAGTGAAATTTGTACGTTCATTTCGACAGAATTTTTGAATTTTAATTTCATTTTTCAAAATTTCCGAAGAAATTTTGGATTTTAGAGTGAAAAGTGTAATCCATATCGATCAGAAAATATCAAAGTTCAGAAAATTTTATGAATTGTCTGAAACAGTGAAAATTTTCACTCGGAAAATAAAAATTTTATCAATTTTTTTGTTACATAAACATCTAAATCTCTTTTTTTATAATTTTTCGTGAAAAAATTAACATTTTTAAATGTTTTTTGGTGTTGAATATTTCACTGTTTCAGAAAATTCATAAAGTTTTTTGAATTTTCAAGAAAATTTGATAACATTTCTCAATTCCAAATTAAAAAAATCTCACTGTTTCAAAAATTTTCTATAAAAATTTGTGGTTTTATGATTTTTTGATCTTCTTTTTTGTTGCTGCAAAAAATATTTTTGATAATTTATCAAAATTGAAATTAATAGTGAAATTTGTACGTTCAATTCGACAGAATTTTTTGAATTTTAATTTCATTTTCAAAATTTTCGAAGAAATATTGGTTTTCAGAGTGAAAAGTATAATTGAATTTTCTGAAACAGTGAGAATTTTCACTCGGAAAATAAAAATTTTATCAATTTTTTTTGTTACATAAACATCTAAGTCTCTTTTTTTAATAATTTTTTGTAAAAAAAAAGAACATTTTATCAATGATTTTTTGTTACATATTTCACTGTTTCAGAAAATTCATAAAGTTATTCTGAATTTTCAAGAAAATTTGATTACTTTTTCGATTTAGAGTGAAAAATCTCACTGTTTCAAAAATTTTCTATAAAAATTTGTGGTTCCATTATTTCCAATTCACCAAATTGTTGAAAATTAAAAAAATCGATTTTTCTCCCAAAAATTTTCAAAATTTTTGATCTACCCCGCTAAAAATTTCTGTTTTTTTGGAAAAATTTCTAAATTGTTCTCGAATTTCTTTTTTTGGCAAATCAATTTTTTCAAGCCAATAATTCTTCAAATTTTCAGCCAAAATGCCAACAGTTCGTCATCCATCAATCGAAATGAAGTTCACCAAACTTCGAATCAAAAGTCATATATGTGATTATGCTCTCGAAGATTTGTGTGAGAAGTTGTATGCTGTGCAAAGAAAATATGAGGAAAAGAGAGCGGTGAGTGGGAAAAAATTGGAAAAAAAAAAGTTCGCCCCGAGCAAACCTCGAACTCGGGTCTCCGGATCGCCAGCGAGACACTCTACCACTTAACCAGCCATGCTTTTTTGGAACCGCCTTGAATTTCGTTGAAAAACTCGCCCGGTTTTCGAGCGGAGCGAGTGTAAACCGCAAGCTTCCGCGAAGCGGCACTATCTTCCGCGCAGCGGCAAATTATCTTAACTTTCTAGACTCCGAGCGCTTTGCGCGAGTGTAAACCGCAAGCTTCCGCGTAAGCGGCCCCGCGGATAACTAGACAAAAAAATTAAAAACGTTCGCCTCGAGCAAAACTCGAACTTGGGTCTTCTGATCGCCAGCGAGACACTCTACCACTGAACTAGCCACGCGTTTTTGGAAGAGCGTCAAATCTAGTTGAAAAACTCGCCTGTTTTCGAGCGGAGCGAGTGTAAACCGCAAGCTTCCGCGAAGCGGCACTATCTTCCGCGCAGCGGCAAAGTTACGCTAACTTTCTAGATGTGCTAAGCTCAAAGAGCTCAATTTCCACAAATTTTTCATACACAGTACCCCATTTTAAAGGAACATTATCATATTTGCATTCAAAAAATCGCAAATTTTTAAAATTACATTTCCAGAGCAACCTAAAACTCGTCAAACAATATCAAAAAGAAAAAAGACATGCTGAATCGATGAAAATCAATCTGCAAAGATACAAAGCCGGTGTCGCCGAAATAATGGTTCGAGAGCGAGAAAAACTGAAAAACGAGAAATCACGGAGACGTCACTTCGAAAAAATGGTGCTCAAAGAGCAACCCGATTTCTATTTTGACGCTGAAGAGATGAACGAGGAAACAGCGAAAAGATATGCGGCACCGGTGGATTGGAACTTTGATGAACTCAATCGTTTTCAAACTTATGGAGATGTGGATGAAGATGAGGAGGAATCTGAGGAGAAATTGGAGGAAATGAAAAGGGAAGCAAGTCATTGGAATGAGGAGAGACGAAAAGCGATTGCACGTGAGCATTTTTGAATTTTTGAGCTTCATCCATGGCTCTGAAATTAAAATTTTACGATTTACACTAACTCAACCACGCTGAAAACGCTCCTGAAGTTGAAAATTGTCAGAAATCCCTGTGAGCACTTTTGTGGAGCTCCAAAGTTATCCTAACTTTTTTTTTTGGTAAATTTAGAAATTTTGGAATTTTGAAAAATTTTTGAGCTTCACATTTGTGCCGGAAATTTTCCGGTTTTTTCAAGGATTTCTTCAATATTGCCTAAATTTTGGGAATTTTTCTCAGTTTATGAAAAAATAAAATTTTCGGAATTTTTTTCAAATTTTACGACTAAAAAATTGTAGATAAAAATAAGTTTTAATGCCAACTTTTAAGTTGCTGAAAATCGAAATTTCAGAATTTTCTGGTTCAAAAAATCCGGAAATTTTCCGGCACAGGAATGTTTGGGAAGTGTTCTAGACTCTGAAATTGAATTTTTACGATTTACACTAACTCAACCACACTGAAAACGCTCCTGAAGTTAAAAATTATAAGAAAACTCCAAGAGCATTTTTGTGAAGCTCCAAAGTTGTCCTAACTTTTTTTGGTAAATTTAGAAAGTTAGGATAACTTTGCCGCTGCGCGGAAGATAGTGCCGCTTACGCGGAAGCTTGCGGTCTACACTCGCTTCGCTCGAATCAGACCTGTGCCGGAAATTTTTCGAATTTTCCGGTTTTCCGTTCCGGAAAATGATCAATATTGCCTAAATTTTGGGAAATTTTCTCAGTTTATGATAGAAAAAATGAAATTTTCGGAATTTTTTTTTCAAATTTTACGACTAAATTACCTGTGAATAGAAAAATTGTAGATAAAAATAATGCTGAAAATCGAAACTTCAGAATTTTCTGATTCAAAAAATCCGAAAATTTTCCGATTTTCCGGCACAGGCATGTTTGGGAAATGTTTTAGGCTCTGAAATTAAATTTTTACGATTTACACTAACTCAACCACGCTGAAAACGCTCCTGAAGTTAAAAATTGTCAGAAAACTTCGTGAGCATTTTTGAGAAGCTCCAAAGTTGTCCTAACTTTTTTTGGTCAATTTAGAAAGTTAGGATAACTTTGCCGCTGCGCGGAAGCTTGCGGTCTACACTCGCTCCGCTCGAATCAGGCCTGTGCCGGAAATTTTCCGAATTTTCCGGTTTTTTCAAGTATATCTTCAATATTGCCTAAACTTTGGGAAATTTTCTCAGTTTATGATTTAAAAAAATAAAATTTTCGACATTTTTTTTCAAATTTTACGATTTTTTGAACGTAAAACGTCTCATCGAAATTTCAGAAATTGAAAAATTTTCAGAATTTTCTGGTTAAAAAATCCGAAAATTTTCCGATTTTCCGGCACAGGCCTGTTTGGGAAGTGTTCTAGACTCTGAAATTAAGTTTTTATGATTTACACTAACTCAACCACACTGAAAACGCTTCTGAAGTTGAAAATTGTCAGAAAACTCCGAGAGCATTTTTGTGGAGCTCCAAAGTTGTCCTAACTTTTTTTGGTAAATTTAGAAAGTTAGGATTCGAGCGGAGCGAGTGTAGACCGGAAGCTTCCGCGTTAGCGGCACTATCTTCCGCGCAGCGGCAAGTTATCCTAAGTTAAAAATTATAAGAAAACCCTCTGAGCATTTTTGTGGAGCTCCAATGTTGCCCTAACTTTTTGGGCACATTTAGAAAGTTAGGATAACTTGCCGCTGCGCGGAAGATAGTGCCGCTTACGCGGAAGCTTGCGGTCTACACTCGCTTCGCTCGAATCCAATTTTTTTCCAGAAGCTCGTGCTGAAATTGAAGGCAAATGTGCATTTGACGAAATGGGTAATCCAATTCCACATCGTTTCGAATTGCCAAATCAGGAACCGGAACAAGATCCAGCTGAAGTTCAGCGTATTCAACGCCTGCGTCAAAGCTTTCAAGAACAAGTTCAACAGATGCGTGCTAATGGTGAACCATATTGGCAATAATTTGAAGGTCCTTTATTTTTTCTAAAAGGTCCTAAGTTACCTTAAAGGTTCTTAACATCTTAAGAAGGGTCTTAAGCTTCTTAAAAGGTCCTTAAGTTCCTTAATTTCCTATTAACTTTCCTTAAATCTTCTAAAAACCCCAAAAATTTGCGTCTTAAAATTGAAATACCGTGTTCTTTTCTTTTCTCCCAAAAATTCTAATAAAAAATTTTTTATTCAAAGTTTTTTTGTTGATTTTTTTGACACCATCTGCTATTTTCACACCTTTTTTTGCCTTTGGGACGCGTTTTTGGGGGCGTGGCCTAAAAATGGGCGGAGCCGGGATTTTTTTGTTTTGTTTTCTTTTTGTTGTTGTTTTTTTATTTATTTGCATTCTTGTCCGAGGTTTTTCTGATTTTTTTGGAATTTATTTTTTTCACTGTTTCAAAATTAATTTTTACAATTTGTACAATTTTCAGATTTGTTAGGAATAGCAATATAAGAATTAGGATTAATTTGAAATTTCTGAATAATTAATTTTTCACTGTTTCAAAAATTGACCTTAAAAATTTTCAAAATTAACTTTTTTGATGGTAAAATTTCACTGTTTCAAAAATTAGACTTGAATTTGTTTCAAACTTTTCAAAATTAATTCTTGTACGAATCCCGCTTCAAAATTCTATCCATGTGTTTAAAATTATCTAAATTGAAATTTTTAATATTAAATTTTTTCACTGTTTCAAAAATTGAACTTAAAAATTTAGTAAAATTTTCAAAATTATTTTTTCAACGAATTTAGCTCTAGCTCAAAATTCTGAACTTTTTGAATTATCAAATTTTAATTTTTTTCAATGATTAAATTTCACTGTTTCAAAAATTAGACTTGAATTTATTTTAAACTTTTCAAAATTAATTTTTCCAGTAGACATTTTATCCTCGTTTTCAGTGTTATTAAAATTGAAATTCTGAACAATTATTTTTTCACTGTTTCAAAAATTCAATTTTTCATTGAGCTCATATTTCAATTCTTGTTTTCAGAATTATCAAATTAAAATTTCATTTTTTTTCCAGAGTTATCAAAACTTCCCAACTTCCCTAGAAAAATGCCAGTTGTTTCGAGAAGAAAAGCCGACGGCTATCGAATTTTGAAACGCGAATTTGGGATTTTGACAACAGCTACAATTTGGAAAGGGAAACGAATTGAAAAATTGATGGAAGAGGTGGCTGATTTGAAGGCGAAAGTACATCAAAGGGATGTGGTGAGTTCGGGGGGTACTGTAGGGATTTGGCGCCAAAATTTTAGATCAACATTTTTTGAAATTCTCAAATTATCTAGTACATCTGAAAAGTCTAGGGCCTCTTTTTTGAATTCGAAAATTTTCCCTCTAAAATCCACGTGGCCAATTTTTCAGGATATTCGAAGTATCTAATTTTGGAGCCAAAATCCCATGTCGCAAATTTTTGGAAAATTCTGAAATTCGAAATTTCAGGGGCCTAAAATTAAAGAACTATCAGTTTTGAAAAATTCTTGAAAAAAATTAAAATGAATTTTTTGAAACGTAAAAAATTGTGTCAAAAAAATTAACTTTTTCTAAAAAAAAAGCTTTTTTTTGAAACCAAAAAAATCCACGTGGAAAAATATTTTTTTAAAATTACTGTACCTGATAAGTTAGGGTAACTTTGCCACGCGGATAACTAGACATTTCAAAAAAAAAAAGAAAAAAAAAGTTCGCCCCGGGCAAAACTCGAACTCGGGTCTTCTGATCGCCAGCAAAACACTCTACCACTGAACCAGCCACGCTTTTTTGGAACAGCATCGAATTTCGTTGAAAAACTCGCGCGGTTTTCGAGCGAAGCGAGTGTAGACCGCAAGCTTCCGCGAAGCGGCAAAGTTACACTATCTTTCTAGATACCGAGCGCTTTGCGCGAGTGTAAACCGCAAGCTTCCGCGTAAGCGGCCCCGCGGATAACTAGACATTAAAAAAAAAGAAAAAAAAAAAGTTCGCCCCGAGCAAAAACCGAACTCTGGTCTCCTGATCGCCAGCAAAACACTCTACCACTGAACCAGCCATGCTTTTTTGGTGTAGCCTTGAATTTCGTTGAAAAAACTCGCGCGGTTTTCGAGCGGAGCGAGTGTAGACCGCAAGCTTCCGCGAAGCGGCACTATCTTCCGCGCAGCGGCAAAGTTACACTAACTTTCTAGATACCGAGTGTAGACCGCAAGCTTCAAAAGTTACCCTAACTTTCCAAAAAAAAAACCAAATTTTCAGAGTCGAGTCGGCCTCGAAATCGAAATCTGCCAACTGGAATCCGAAGTGGAGCGACTGAAATCTCTAGCCAAAGATTGCGAGTTCTATCGTGAAGCTCTTCAACAAGAAAAACACAAATCCAATTATTTCGAGGCGATGTTTCATAATTTGTATCGAGAGCGAAGAATTGAGGTGGAAGAAGATCAGGATTCTGAAGGTGAAGCTGGAGAAGATCAAGAAGAATCTGAAGATCAAGATCAAGCTTCAGATTCTGAAGGTGAAGCTGAAGAAGATCAAGACTCTACTCGAACCCTAGCCCGTGAAGATCAGCTGAATCGAGAAGATTCTGAAAGTGAAGCTGCTAGACGTCTGACACTGGAATTTCTTCACTGTCGATGCTGTTTTCAGGATCTTGATTCTGACGATGATGAAGATCAGGCTTCTGAAGGTGAAGCTGAACATGAAGATCAAGATGAATCTGATGGTGAAGAAGATCAAGAAGATCAGGAGCGTAATTCTGATGGTCAAGCTGAAGATCAACCGGATCTAGAGGATGAAAAATCTGAAAGTGAAGTAGCTCGAAATCGACGTCTACAATATGAATATCTTCGATATCGATTCAGATATCCACATCCAGATCACGCTTCTACTTCTGATGGTCGAGCTGGAGATCAAGAGGGACCATCTTCTTCGAATTTTACACGAACTCTAGGCCAGGAACATCAGATGAATCATCAGGAAATCGAAATTCTTCGGGCTCGATTCAGTGGTCGAGTAGAACAAGTTCAAGCCGAATCGGATCATGAAGATGAAGATCAAGATTCTGAAACTGGAAGTGAAGAAGATCTATCCAGCGATGAAAATTCTACAGAATCTGATTCAGAATCAGAGCCAGAAGCCGAAGAATCAGAAACCGAGCTGGAAAACTTCCAACGCTCAATTTTCAAGCGGCGAAACATCGGAAACAACGAGGGAGATCTTGTGGAAGTGACTGGAATTTCAGATCAAGATCCGAACACTTATTTGGAAGTTCCGAAGATTCGAAATGTTGATGAGGTCAAAGTGCAGAAGAAGAATAATCAGAAGCATTATTCTGATGATTTTTATTATGAGGAACTTTTTGGCGATGATGATGAAGATTATGATTCGGATAATTATGATGATAGTTACGAAGGTTATGATCCACATTGTGAGTTTTAAGCGGGGGAGTTAGAATAACTTTGTGGCTAAGCTTGTAAAGTTATCCTATCTTTCTAATGAAATTAGCGTAACTTTGCCGCTGCGCGGAAGATAGTGCCGCTTACGCGGAAGCTTGCGGTCTACACTCGCTTCGCTCGAAAACCGCGCGAGTTTTTCAACGAAATTCAAGGCGCCTCCAAAAAAGGGAGGCTGGTTCAGCGGTAGAGTGTTTTGCTAGCGATCAGAAGACCCGAGTTCGGGTTTTGCTCGGGGCGAACTTTTTTAAAAATTTTTTTTCACGATGTAAAGTTATCCGCGGGGCCGCTTACGCGGAAGCTTGCGGTTTACACTCGCGCAAAGCGCTCGGAGTCTAGAAAGTTAGGATAATTTGCCGCTGCGCGGAAGATAGTGCCGCTTACGCGGAAGCTTGCGGTCTACACTTTTTATATATATTTTTTCAGTTTATCGCGGAGACAACGAAGGACCTCTACTTCCTCCAAACTAGAAGGAAAATGTGCCAAAATTTTGAGAATCTTGGAAATTTGTTAATTTTCTTGTTTTTATCGTTGTTCCCTTCACATAGTTACCTTAAATTTGAAAATTCAGAAAATCCCAAAAATTATCATTCTACTTCAAATCTTTGTTCTCAGAAAATTCGAAAAAATCAATAAAAAAAAGATATTTTTTCTCAAGAGCTCTCATTTTCCAAATAAATCTATAAAAATCCCAAAAATTCACATTTTTTTCCTTATTTGTTCCAAGTATTTTTCATGTTTTTGTTGTTGAAAACTTTTTTGCTGAAAATAAAAAATTGCTGTTTCAAAAATTGGTTGATCAAAAAATTACAGGAAAACTTTGTTAAACATGCATTTTGGCTGAAAAAAATATGGATTTGTGATTTTCAGAATCTCTTGGGATATTTTTATTCGGATGAATTTTTTTCAATTTTTAAAATTTTACGATTTTTTGAACGTAAAACGTCTCAAATAGTTACTAAATTACCTGTGAATAAGATAATTGTAGATAAATATAAGTTTTAGTGCCAAAACTTAGGGCTGAAAATCGAAATTTCAAAAAAATTTTCCGGATTTTCCGGTTCAAAAAATCCGGAAATTTTCCGACTTTCCGTTTCCCGGGTTTTGATTTTCCGGCACAGGCCTGTTCGTGACCCAATTTTATATTACGCCAAACTTTTCTCACAAGTACATTGGGAGGCCTTTTTGAGTTTTTGAGAGCCCAGAACTTGGCTCAGAGGTCCATTGGGTAATTAAAATTTTTAGGGTGTTCTTATGACTCCAAAAGCTGTCCATAAATGCTCACGTGTATTAATGATTCTTTTTATTTTCTAGACTTTCTCAATGTTTTGAAACGTATTTTTTCTTGGATCAAAAACAATTCAATTTTGAGATTTCAGTTCCGAATTTTATATGAGAAACTTATTCCTAAAACCTTACAAGGGAACCTTTTTTACTCAACACTTCAAATCATGATGAAATTTTGTCCAAAGACAGCTTTTGGGATCATAAGAACACCCTAAAAATTTTAGTCTCCCAATGGACCTCTGAGCCAAGTTCTGGGCTCTCAAAAACCCAAAAAAGGCCTAAAAATGGTCATAAAAGTCACCATAGCTCAATTTCAAAAATTTTTTTGGGAAAAATAAAGTTTCAGATATTGATCAGCATAGTCGATTACCTAAAAGTACATCAATAAAAAAACTTTATTTCGAAAAATTTTGAAGTTTTTTTATTTTTGGGCTGAAAATTCATGAAAATTCATATGCTCATTCTTTTTTTTCAAAAATCAAAAATTTTTCTGAAAATTTGATTTATTCATGCTTTTTGAGTAAATCGACCACGCTGATCATCATCTGCTACTCAGTTTTTCACAAAAATGATCGAAAGTTGAGTTATGACGTGTTTTATGAGCCAATTTTGGCAATTTTTGAACTTTTGAGAGCCCAGAACTTGGCTCAGAGGTCCATTGGGAGACTAAAAATTTTAGGCTGTTCTTATGGTCCCAAAAGCTGTCCATGGACCAAATTTCATCATGATTTGAAGTGTTGAGTAAAAAAGGTTTCCTTGTTAAAAAAAAATTCCAAAATTTATACTGTTTCAAGAATCCACTTTCAAAAAAGTCTAGAAAAATTTTTTTTTGTTGAAAATAAATTGCTGTTTCAAAAGTTGTTTTTATTGTTTACTCATTCAAAACTAAAATTTCCACATTTTTTGAAACAGCAAATTATTTTCATAAGGTTCTCAAACTTCTGTGAATCCCATAACGATTCAGAAAATCCCATAAAATCCCAAAGTCTACTAGAAATTTTCCGAATTCACGAGCAAAGTTCAAAACAATTCCCCGCCTGACCAAAACAAAAACACCAATATTTGTTCCCACCAACACCTTCACCTGTTATTGTGCCAAAATTTCACTAAAAAATGACGCACATCGCTTTTGGGATGTTAAAAGGGGCGGAGCTAGGGAAGATCGCACTGGTTGTTGTTGTTTATTCATTCTTATTGTTTTTATTTTTATGGTTAGGTGACCAATTCTCATACAAAATCCATAATTTTCAGAGTTATCACAACTTCAACGCTTCAAAATGCCATTCGTTTCAAGAAAAGTTGCAAATGGATATAGCCATTTTAAGAGAGAATTCAAGAAAATGACGAAGAAGGTGCAAAATTTGGAGAAGAAATTGGACGAGAAACAAATGGTTAGTTGAGAATTTTAGCCTTGAATTCTGAAAAATCCTGAATTCTAGTTTTAAAATTTCTGAAACAGTGGATTTTCTCATTTTTTTTTTGAAACGTATATTTTCCTGGGTCAAAAAGTGTGAGATTTTGGTTCTGGATTTTATTCAAGTTCAAAAATTCCAGAACTTGAATTCGAGGAACTTAAGCCTAAGCTTAGTTATCCTAACTTCAAATTTTGAGCAACGCATTCGTTTGAAAACAGTTTCCTTTCCACCAACATTTTCCCCATCGGCATAAAAGAGAGATGTGGTCGAGAGGATAGCATTTTAGACTGGCGAGCATGAGACCAGGGTTCGAATCCTCCTGCCCGCGGACTTTTTTTTTTTTTTTTGAAACGTATATTTTCTTGGGTCAAAAAAAAGTCAAAAATTGCAGACAATCGAGGAACTCGAAATCGAAAAACAGCAAGAAGAGCAAAAAACCCAAATGGCAATCGATAGAATTCATCAACTCGAAACAGATATGACTTACTTTCATGGAATCGCTGAAAGAGCCAGCTTCTTTGAGTACAAATATAATCATTTGTATCATTGTGCAAGACTTGGAACTTGTTGGTTCCCTACACAATCTGGAGGAAATCAAGAAGAAGAAGAAGAATGGGAACAGGAATCTGAAGGCTTCCCAGAAGCCGAATCTGAAGGAATTCCAGAAGAAAGTTTCTACCACGAGGACGAAGGTTATACTGCAGAAGAGATGGAAGCTCTGATGCGACAACAAGGATTGATAGCGCCATTGAATTTGCCAACAGTGGAAGAAGATCGGCAGGAGACTTCGGTGGAATTTATTGAAGTCTCAGAATCCGAATCGGAGGCATCTGGGGAGAGACGTGCGAGACGGGTTCGAATTTTTCGAGATGATCGGAATGGGAATTCGGGGGCGAGAAGAAATCGGGTGGAACATTCGGGAAATAATTCTGAGGCTTCGGAATCTGGAGATCAGGAGGAAGATGAAGATCAGGAGGAAGAGGAAGATTTTGATGAACCTGAATCTGAATCTGATCTTGAAGATGGAGATGAGGAGGATGATGATAACTTCGACTGGTAACTCGAGCTTCTAGCAACAATTTTGCTAAAAATCTTCATTTTGGCAACTATAATTCTAGCTTCGCCCTAATTTTTAAAAAATCTAAAAAATCCCAAAATTTTATTTTATTTCCAGAATTTTGTATTTTTTCTCTATTTTTGTAAATAATTTTATCTAGTTTTCTAATAAATATCTGTTTTGAAAGTTTGTGTTTTTTTTTATTTCAGGAAAAATTGAAACGTATTTTTTTCAGGAAAACATTTCGCAAAGGACAAAAAAAGTTTATGAAAAATTTTCACTGTTTCAAGAAAAATATTTGAAAAAATCTTGTCAGAATCATTTTGAAGATATGTAAATTTTTACTGTTTCAAATTTATATCATTAAAAAAAATGCAGAAAATTAGGATAATCAGGTTTTCGCTACTGTATATATTTTTAAAAGCACGAATTTTTTGGATCCCAGAATTTTCTTCTTGAAAAATCTTGAAATGCTCTTTTTCTTTTGGCTAAAATCTGCATTTTCTGGAATTTTTTGGATCACAAATTTCAAAAATTTAGAAATTTCAAGCTTCCTGCAATTTTTCACTGTTTCAAATTGATCATTTTAAAAAATGCAGAAAATTAGGATAATCAGGTTTTCGGTAGTGTATTTCAGCACGAATTTTTTAGATTCCAAAACTGATTTCTGAAAAATCTTGAAATTCTCTTTTCTTTAAAGAAAATTGGCTAAAATCTGCATTTTCTGGAATTTTTTTGGGTCACAAATTTCAAAAATTTAGAAATTTCAAGCTCCCTTTAATTTTTCACTGTTTCAAATAAAATATTTGAAAAACCTTGTCAGAATTATTTTGAAGATATAAAATTTTTGAAAATTTCCACTGTTTCAAATTTATGTCATTAGAAAAAATGCAGAAAATTAGGAGGCTACTGTATTTCAGCACGAATTTTTTTGGATCCCAGAACTGATTTCTAAAAAATCTTGAAATTCTCTTTTCTTTAAATAAAATTGGCTAAAATCTGCATTTTTTGGATCACAATTTTCAAAAATCTGAAAATTTCAAGCTTCCTTTAATTTTTCACTGTTTCAAATAAAAGATTTGAAAAAATCTTGTCAGAATCATTTTGAAGATATGTAAATTTTCACTGTTTCAAATTAATCATTAGAAAAAAAATGCAGAAAATAAGATTTTGGCTGAATTTTTTGGATTCCAGAACTGATTTCTGAAAAATCTTGAAATTCTCTTTTCTTCAAATAACATTGGCTAAAATCTGCATTTTTTGGATCACAAAAAAATTTTTTTCGGATTTCTGAAATTTTTTTGGATAACACACTTTCAAAAATCTGGAAATTTCAAGCTTCCTTTAATTTTTCACTGTTTCAAATAAAAAATTTGAAAAATCTTGTCAGAATTATTTTGAAGATATGTAAATTTTCACTGTTTCAAAATTATATCATTAGAAAAAATGCAGAAAATAAGATTTTGGCTGAATTTTTTAAGATCCCAAAACTGATTTCTGAAAAATCTTGAAATCCTCTTTTCTTCAAATAACATTGGCTAAAATTTGCATTTTTTGGAATTTTTTTGGATCACAAATTTCAAGCTTCTTTTTAATTTTTCACTGTTTCAAATTTAAATCATTAGAAAAAAAAAACAAAATTCAGTATTTTCTGAAATTTTTTGGATAACAAATCAACTAAAATCTATTCAAAAATCAAAATTCATAGAAATTTTTTTCGAAAAATTTTCCCATAACAATCCTAAACACCTGCCACTTAATTATTTTCAAAGACTGTGTATTTTGCCTTTGGAAAGCGTTAGGGGGCGTGGCCAAAAAAACAAGGTGCCAAAAATGTATTGTGCATTTTATTATCCTACTTTTTGTGCTCCAATTTTGGTGGTTACCGAAAAACTAAATTATTCTCTCTGGGGAAAATGCCAATCTGCGCTCAACATTTCATCGAAGGCTACACCAGATTTCGTCGTGAAACCAAAGTCAAAGAGGAGCATATCGAAGAAATTATGAAGAAGATCAAGGAATTTGAGAAGAAAATGGAAGAAGAGGAAAATGTGAGTTTTCTGGGGAATTTTCGGGCCGCTTTGGGCTGAATTTGAAAAAAAATTGTAGAAAATTTTTACTGTTTCAAAATTTTGTTATGAAATGTTCTGATTTTTTAAATTTTCAATAGACGTTTAAATTCTTTTAAGAAAAATTGCTGTACAATTTTTCTACCTTTTTAATAAAATCCCGGTTGGGTGGTGTCTCGATGGAAGAAGCATTTTTCAATGGGGTCCCCCCTGTTCTCATTTTTTGGATGTCTAAATTTTGGACATTTCCCATTTTTGCCCCTTTTTTTCCGAAATCATACCTTCGCGAACGTCCAAAAGGATCCGATCCTGGACCTTCTGAACAAAAAACACGTGATCTAACCACTTGACCATTTCTGACACAAGAAATGACCATCAATTTGCTTAGAAATGCTCGATGAAAAATTTTGACGTGAGAAATAAAATAGTCTACCTTTTTTCAGAAAAACAACAAATTTTTCTCTGGAAGCTTAACAAATCCATCATTATCGAGAAAAATTTCAAGATTTTAGGCTTAAAATGATTGAAATTCATTTTTTGAGCATTTATTGAGCACTGTCTCACGAAAATGTTTTTTTTTTTTTTTTTTTTTTTTTTTTAATCAACTATTGTCCCGCCTGGGTGGCTAACAGCCCCTATCGAGTACTTTCAATACAAAAAATTAATCGATGACGTCATCCATGGCAAAATTAGGAAGCCTTCCTGATTTTGCCACGAATCATTTTTTGATCAAAAAATTTGAAAATTTTCAATGAATGAATTCGCGGGCCGATTTTTTTCAAAAAAATCGGCCCGAGTTTTTTTTTCAAAAAAATCGGCCCGAGTTTTTTTTTCAAAAAAATCGGCCCGAGTTTTTTTTTCCAAAAATCCGGCTCGAGTTTTTTCAAAAAAAATCGGCAATAATCACAGAAAAAAGTGAAACTGAAATAAATGAGAAGACTGTTACGCCTGGGGGCTAACAGCCCCTAGTAAAATTAAAATTGAAGTGTCTATTAAATTTTTGGAAAACATTTTTTTGTCCAAAAAATTTAACGTTTCAAAGATTTCTTATAAAATTTTCTGAATTTTTGGATTTTCAATTTGACGAGTACTGTGAGTATGTAAAAATAACTTCAAAATTTTCAAAAAAAAAATTGCTGTACAATTTTTGAAATTAGAAAAATCCTAGAATTTTTTTTCAAAAATTTTTACTGTTTCAAAATTTTCTCTTATTTTTTTTTAAATTTTCAATAAACAACCCGAATATTGTCCCAAAAAGTTCCATTAAAACTCAATTTTCAGATCGAAAATGGCCTAGAAAAACGGATAGAAGAAATCAAATCAAAATCGCAAAATTCCGTGCTTTCAATAGGAAAATTCTCACAAAAAATCAATTTTATTTCCAAAGAAATTCAACACGAAAATTATGGCGCGAATTTCTTGGAAAACACCTATAACGAATTATATCTGAACAAAAAAGAAGATCTTTTGGAAATTGTTAGAAATACATCAGATGAAAATGATTATGATCCGAGTCAAGATCTTGGAATCGAAAATTTGATGAATGAAGAAGAAGATGATGATGATGATTTGGAAGAGGAATCAGAAGATCAAGATGAAGAATCATCTGAAGAAGAAGAAGAATCAGAAGAATCAGATGAAATCGAGAAATATATTCGAGATAGGCTAAATCAAGAATTTTCTGATGATTCTAGACAGATTTTTCCGGAGCGACGATTTTTGCGAAGAGAAAATGATTTCAGATGATTTCTTGTAATTCGAGGCGAAAAATTCGAAATTTCTTTTTTTTTTTTCATTTTCTTTTAGAATATTTTGTTTCATGATGATTCATTTTTGTTGTTCTCAATATAACATAAAATATTTTTTTTATTTTCTCTCGAAAAAAATTCGCGATGATTTCGATGTTTGTAGTTAGGGTTGGTTTATTTTCGAAAGATTTTTGAAAAAAACGAAGAAAAAAATGTTTTTCTATAGAATCTTCCCTATCTTTTTCTGATTTTGGCAATTTCAACGTTGTTTATTCGATTTTGGGCAGTGGTGAGTTTAGACCGCAAGCTTGGCTAAGTTACCCTAACTTCTCGCGCTCCACCGAAATAAACACGCAACGCAGACCGCGTCGCGCCACGACACACACAAAAAATGGAATTCCCTTTTTTGTGTGTGTTGTGGCGCGACGCGGTCTGCGTTGCGTGTTTATTTCGGTGGAGCGCGTGGTACCAATGAGATTTTTGATAATAAGGTAACTTTGGCGCTTCGCTGAAGCTTGTGGATCAAATTTTCAGAATTTTTTCAAAAAAAAGTTATCCTAACTCAAAATTTTCCCTATTCAGCATTATTGGTTAAATCAAGAAGCAGTGAGAAATTCAAACAATGTTCATCTAGTGATTTCATTAATTTTCGAAATTGTTTTGGGTTTGCAAATTTTGGCGATTTTCGTGGATTTGGGATTGAAACAATATGCCACTTTTAAATATTCGGTGGTTTTGGAGGTGAGCATTTTTTTGAATTTTTCAAACCCTCCCCAAAACACTCACAAAAATCGATAGCATCTGGAGTTGGTTGAAAATCGCCAAAACATTCGTTTTCCACGTTTTCACCGAAAATCTGTAAAAATTCTCTCATTTTTCATTGAAAAACTGAAAAAAACACGAAAAAACGAAAAAAAAACAAACATGTGCGAAATACGATAAACAACAGGCAAGCGGAGTGTCGTTGTTTTTTTTGAATTTTGATGAAAAATCGCTTTTTTCCCGGAATTTTTTGATTTTAAGCAAAATTCAGCGCTCAAATTTTCAGTTTTCAGTGATTTTTGGAAATTTTCACGCTCTAAAACATGAATTTTCATTGAAAACCTGCAAAAAAACACGAAAAAACAAAAAAAAAACAAACATGTGCGAAATACGATAAACAACAGGCAAGCGGAGTGTCGTTGTTTTTTGTTGTTGGGAGTAATCGAAAATTTCAGCAAATTTCAGCTTTCTGGAGCATGAAAACCCAAGAAAACCTGAAAAAAAAACGAAAAAAAAAATAAAAAATGCGAAAAATAAATACGATAAACAACAGGCAAGCGGAGTGTCGTTGTTTTTTGTTGTTGGGAGTAATCGAAAATTTCAGCAAATTTCAGCTTTCTGGAGCATGAAAACCCAAGAAAACCTGAAAAAAAAACGAAAAAAAAAATAAAAAATGCGAAAAATAAATACGATAAACAACAGGCAAGCGGAGTCTCGTTGTTTTTTCTCGGGGAAATCGATTTTTCTCTTAGGTCACCTCCCTTTCTTGCGCCATTTTCCTCACCGGCTACATATTTTTCTATTTTGGCGAAATATTTTTCGCGTGGATCGGCGATTTTAATACGTGTAGAAGAGTTGGACTTGGCACTGAGATTGTTGTCGATGAAAATGAGGCGGCAATGGGAAATGTAACAATTACAGAGGGACCGGATTTGGAAGGTGAGTTGGGTGAAGCTTCCGCGCAACTTTTCCGCTTCCGGAAAAGCTTTCCGCGTCAAAAATCCCGCAATTTTTCCAGAAGTCTGCCATTTATATTTGCGAAATGCCATAATTCGAATGTCTGTGGACATTTTGGTGAATATAATCTACATTTTATCAAGTCTAGTGTTATTGAGATACACTTGGGATTTTATGAAGATCAAACGTCCAAGACCAGAACAAAATTGATAAATAATTTATTTTTTTTTATGATAATGATAAAAAATTTGAAAAAAACCCTGAATTCTTCAGATTCTAGAACCGTATTAACAAAATGTGATATAAAATTCCAAAAAAAAAGTTAGCCTAAGTCATAATCAGAAATCGTTGAATAAATATGATTATCGGTTTCAAGGCAAACATTCAAGACTTGCGATAACTTCTGCGGCAAACGTTGCTCCATCGATTCCGGTGAGGATTGAAGAATTTGACTTATGCGAATTCCGTTGCCTCGAACCCAGGATAACAGTTCGGAGAGAGCCAGGGAGGAGCCTTTGCAAGTGGAGACATCCTGGAAATAAATTGGGGGGATTCTGAAGTTAGCCTAAGTTTTTGGAAAATCCAGAAAGTTAGGGTCTCCAGAAAATAACCTCGAAAAAATACGTTGCAAAAAATTTATTTGAGAAAAAATTTTGCAAAATTATTTGATGACGTATTGGCTTTTGTCATATGTAAAATTTAACTAAAAACATTTTTTTAGTTACTGTAAACTCTAAAAAAATATTCAGTAAAATTTTTTTCAAAAATTTTTTTTGGGCTGAAAATTATTCCCTAGTTCTAACTGTAAATAAATTCAGTTTCCCACCAAAAATTTTGATAAACCGCAAGCTTCCGCGTAAGCGGCACAATCTTCCGCGCAGCGGCAAAGTTACCCTAAATTTATAGATCTAGGCTTACTGTGAGTAAATTTACCCTAACTTTGTTTCAAAGTTAGCCTAACTTTCTCCAGATAATCCAAAGAAGTTAGGCTAAAACTCTTCCGCTTGCGCGGAAACCTTCCGCTTCCGCATCACAACTCACATTAGCCATATTGACCATTTCAGCTCTCAATTCATCAATTCCCAGACTCGTCGAATTTTTGACTCGCTTAAAAAGATCGACTGAAAGTGGGCGGAGTTTGGCGACATCTTTGGCGAATAATAAACGAGATGATGGTGAATGTGCACCCAAAATTGGCTCGGAAAATGAGAAACAATCCATCTGCAAAACAAAATATTGATTTTTTTTGCAGTTCGGGTTACTGTAGTTTTTTGCAGTCCGGATTACTGTATCTCGAAGATTCGTGATTTTGTTTTTTGAAAACCCAGGATTTGTTGCAGTCCGGACTACTGTAGCTTGAAAAATTCTGGAATTTTTCAAGCTACCGTAACCCGAACTACTAACAATTTCTAAATTTTTCAGTTCTGGTTACTGTAATTCAAAAATCCATTTCAGAACTGCAAAAAATCGAATTTTCTTGCAGTTTGGATTACTGTAGCTCTAAGATCTTGCAGTTCGGGTTACTGTAGTTCAAATTTTTGAGAATTTTTCAAATGTTCAGTTATACAGTAATCCGAACTGCAAAAAATCGAGATTTCTTGCAGTTCGGGATACTGTAGCTCAAAAATCTCGGATCTTTACATAATTTGAGTAGAAATTCCATTGAAAATTTTTCGTGTTACAGTAATCCGAACTGCAAAAACCAGCATTTTTGCAGTTCGGAGTACTGTAGGTCAAAAATTGGACTTTTTTGAGTTACTGTACAAAATCTGAAAATTTTGGAGTCTAAATTTTTTGCAGTCCGGGATACTGTAGCTTGAAAAATGCATATTTTCAAACTACAGTAACTCAAACTACAAGATTTTTGAACTACAGTAACCCGGACTGCAAAAAATCTTGGGGTTCAGTAATTTTGCAGTTCGGATACTGTAACTTAAAGCTTCGAAAATGTGCTCCTAAAAATTTTTTTGAACTACAGTAACCCAGACTGCAAAAAATCTCAGTTTTCTTGCATTTTAGTCATGTTTGGTGTCAAAAAACTCGAAATTTTGCAAAAAATTCAAATTTTCAATAAAAAACTTACCAAAGTCTGAGCAATAGTCGACAAATTGGCATCCATTGAAACCGAATGTGGAACATCGAAAATCAATTGGGGATTTCGCACAAAATTCGCCCAAACCCTCAAAACATATCCATTGGCTTTCCATTGTTGGCAAATATTCTCTGATACCGAATTTATGGCAGCTTCTCGATCCAGAAGATCGAAAAAATGTTTGAGAATTGGCGGGAAATCGGGATTATTGAAGTAGAGGACAGATTCCAAGAAATCTTCGACATATGTTTGAACTGTTCCTTTGCTTGTTAACAATCTTGTCAGATAGACTTCCGGAATACTTTTTGGAATGTTTTGAGAGGATTTTTTGAGAGTTTGATGAGATGTTGATGGATTTGAGAGATGATAATATTTTGAAGACGAATAAATTGGGGAAACTCTGTCCAGGGAAGACCACGAAGATTGGCCAGAATCAGCGAGGGAATCTGGAATTAAATAAAAGTTATGCAGAGTCTAAGTTAGCCTAACTTCTTTGGCGAACCTAAAAAACTAGGGTAATTGCCGCTGCGCGGAAGATAGTGCCGCTTACGCGGAAGCTTGCGGTCTACACTCGCTCCGCTCGATTAAAAAACGTTAGTTTTTCAACTAAATTTGAGGCGCATTCAAAAAAGCGTGGCTGGTTCAGTGGTAGAGTGTTTTGCTGGTGATCAGAAGACGCGAGTTCGGGTTCTGCTCGGGGCAAACTTTTTTTAAAAATTTTTTTGTCTAGTTATCCGCGGAGCCGCTTACGCGGCAGCTTGCGGTTTACACTCACGCAAAGCGCTCGAGCTCTAGGCTTAGGGTTCACATAGGGTTCAAGGCGAGGCCGCTGCGCGGAAGATAGTGCCGCTTACGCGGAAGCTTGCGGTCTACACTCGCTCCGCTCGAATGCAAGCTTCCGCGTAAGAAGTTAGCCTAACTTCCTAGCTGCGCAAATTTTCAGAGACCACTTTTTTTTCAAAAAAAAAATTTGAATTTCAGAATTTCAAATAGGTTTTTGAAATTTCCAGGAGAAAATTTCTGAATATATTTTTCAGCTCAAAAATTGATTTGGACCAAAAATTGAGCATTTTCCAGTATACTTCTATTTCATTATTTTTTGTTGAAAGCACCATCTTCTAATTAGAGCTCTGCCAATTTCATAAAAATTTTGAAACGTAATTTTTTCGGTCATAGATTTTAAGGTACCCCAACTTCATTGGCTAATCTAGAAAGTTAGAGTAACTGCCGCTGCGCGGAAGATAGTGCCGCTTACGCGGAAGCTTGCGGTCTACACTCGCTCCGCTCGAATCCAAGCTTCCGCGTAAGAAGTTAGCCTAACTTCCTAGCTGCGCGAATTTTCAGCGACCATTTTTTTTCAAAAAAAAATTTTGAATTTCAGAATTTCAAATAGGCCTTTGAAATTTCCAGGAGAACATTTCTGAATAATTTTTTCAGCTCAAAATTGAGCATTTTCCAGTATACTTCTATTTCATTCTTTTATTTTTGAAATCACCATCTTCTAATCAGAGCTCTGCCAATTTCATAAAAATTTTGAAACGTAATTTTTCCGGTCATAGATTTTAAGGTTACTCTAACTTCTTTGGGATAATCTAAAAAGTTAGGATAACTTTTCCAAAAAAAATTTTCAGAGACCATTTTTTCCAAAAAAAAAAATTGAATTTCAGAAATTTTTCAAAAAAAATTTTGAAACGTAATTTTTCCGGTCATAGATTTTGAGGTTCTAGAAAGTTAGGCTAACTTTTCGCTTCTCAAAAAAGCAACTCACTTCTATAACTACTCGCTGTATACAAAGCCGGTATCAATTGCATCCATGTTCCCTGAATCACATTATAATCAGCCAAAGTTTGAAGTTTTTGTGGTCCTTTTGAAGTTCGATCGTTCAACACTTCTTGGAGTTTTACACCATTTTTCAGCTCTGAAAAATCGAAATTCAAAGAAGAAGAAGAAGAAGAAGAGGTTTGGGTTGTTAGAGGAATTCGCGTAACTTCGCGGCTGCGCGGAAAATAGTTCAATCTTCAAATTTTCGCGCCAAAAAATGCCACGTGAATTTATTAGCGCTATAAATCAAAATTTAAATTTTCAAAAAAAAAATGTTACACATCAATTTTTTGGCGCGAAATCCTTAATTTTTTAAATTTAAATTTTCTACTGTATTTTTTGGCACCAAAAAAGCAGAATTTTCAAATCTTCAAATTTTCGCGCCAAAAGTGCCCCGTGAACTTCTTAGCGCTAAAAATCAAAATTTGAATTTTCAAAAAAAAATGTTACACATCAATTTTTTGGCGCGAAATCCCGAATTTTTTTTAAATTTAAATTTCCTACTGTATTTTTTGGCGCCAAAAAAGCAGAATTTTCAAATCTTCAAATTTTCGCGCCAAAAAATTCCACGTGAATTTCTCAGCGCTAAAAATCAAAATTTGAATTTTCAAAAAAAAAATGTTACACATCAATTTTTTGGCGCGAAATCCCGAATTTTTTTAAATTTAAATTTTCTACTGTTTTTTTTTGGCACCAAAAAAGCAGAATTTTCAAATCTACAAATTTTCGCGCCAAAAAAATGCCACGTGAATTTTTTAGCGCTAAAATCTAAATTTGAATTTTCAAAACAAAAGCATGAGAAAAAATGATACACATAAATTTTTGGCGCGAAATCCCGAATTTTTTAAAATTTAATTTTCTACTGTATTTTTTGGCGCCAAAAAAGCAAAAAATTTCAAAATTCAAAATTTTCTCGTTGAAAAATGCCACGTGAACTTCTTAGCGCTAAAAATCAAAATTTGAATTTTCAAAAAAAATGTTACACATCAATTTTTTAGCGCGAAATCCATAATTTCTTGAAACTCAAGTTTCCTACTGTATTTTTTTTTTGGCGCCAAAAAATACCACGTTTTATCCGAGCGGAGCGAGTGTAAACCGCAAGCTTCCGCGTAGCGGCCACGTTAAAATAGCGTTCCTCAAAGCTTCCGCTTCCGCAAGCTTCCGCGAAGCGGCAAATGTACCCCAACTTTCTAGATTTTCCAGAAAAGCTAAATTCTAGCGCCTCGCGGAAGAAGCTTGCGGTCAACATTATTAGACCGCAAGCTTCCGCATCCCCCCCAAAAACTCACGAAGTTCAAATTGACTAATTCTAGGCCTCTGCGAATACGGTGTATCCCTATAAACCACCGCAGCCACTTTCTGCTTCAGCTGACAAATCGCATCACACGCATGAACTTCCACCTCAAAAACTTCTTCATTTTCAGTGGAGCAATCCGCAGCTGAAACCAATATAATCATAGTTGACGATTCGACAGTTTCTCTCAATAATCGACTCTCATTTATAGTATATCGTGCATCTCCAGTCACTGCATCAACTGGCCCTTTTTCTGTTTGATATTGCAATGCTTTATACAAATAATAGAATGAATTCATTTGTGGAGTGATATGTGAATATAAACAAATACTCAACCATTTTGCCAACATTTTTTCAACCACTGATTCACTGTTTCTGAACAAAAGTTCCGATTTTTTATTCTGAACTGCTCTTGCGATGTGAATTCGAAGAAGATCTAGAACTATTTCAGTGCAATATCCGAAGTTCCTCAATAATACTGAAATCAGAAGCGAAGCCAACATTGATCTTTCAGTCGCGGAAATCGAGACATCAGTTTCAGCAGCTTCGACGATGCTGAAAATAGGGAATTTTTTTCAAATTATGAAAATTTTTCGTCACATATTGATCTACAGTACCCCCCAGGTTACTGTAGATCAACATTTCGCGTCTATTTTTTCTGTACATCAACTTTTGGAGCCAAAACTTTTTTTAGCTTCAAGGATGTTGAGGTTACAGTAATCCAAACTGCAAAAACTCGACAAAATCTGAATGTTTTTTCGGGTTACTGTAGATTAAAATATTGGATTTTTCACGTACAGTACAACAAACTGCAAAAATCCATTGAAAATATGAAATTTTTGCAGTCCAGGTTACTGTAGCCACATTTTTTTGAGAATTGTTTCAAAATTTACAGTTCGGAGTACTGTAACTCAAAAAACGCCCAAATTTTTGAGCTACAGAATGAAAACTTGAAAAATTCGGAGTTCGGGTTACTGTAGCCGAATTTTTTTAAATTGTCGAGTTACCGTATTCCAAACTGCGAAAAATCAAAACTTTTTGCAGTTCGGGTTACTGTATTTAACATTTTTCGAAAATTGTCGATTTACAGTAATCCAAACTGCAAAACAGTTTCAAATTTTGCAGTCCGGGTTACTGTAGCTTGATATTCTGAATTTCTTCAAGTTACAGTAATCCGATCTGCAAAACTGTCACAAAATTCGAGTTACAGTATTCCAAACTGCAAAAAATCAAAACTTTTTGCAGTTCGGGGGTACTGTAGTCATGTTTGGTGTCAAAAAACAGAAAATTTCGCGAAAAATTCGAATATTCAGGAAAAGTCCAAGTTACTGTAGATTTGAAAAAATCAAAACCTTTTGCAGTCCGGCTTACTGTAACTGAACATTTCAATTCATTCAAGATACCGTATTCAAACCGCAAACAAAAAAATCCGAAATATTTGCAGTTCGGGCTACTGTATCTTAAAATATCTCAATTTTCCAAGTTACAGTATTCCAAACTGCAAACAATAAAAACTTTTTGCAGTTCGGGGGTACTGTAGTCATGCTTGGTGTCAAAAAACAGGAAATTTTTCAAAAAAAAAAACGTCACCAACCTAAAAATAAAATTCTTGAAACTCAACAAAGCATGAAACTGTGCCAAAGTGACGGGAAGAGTTCGTGTCAAACTCGGCGCCGAAGTCAAAGTGCTATCCGACCACAGGAGATTCTCTACAAAATGCGGGAAATGCATAAATTCCGGTGCAGTTCTTGTCGAATTCTTCGCCGGCGATAAAATGAGATTTGTCTGAAGTTCAGCAAAAGCTTGTTTACACTCTTTTCTCACATTATTCTCCAAATTTTCCATTTGCAATTGTATTTTTTTATATTCTTTTTCCTTTTCATTTCGTCTCCTTTTCCAAATTCCACACATTATTCCCAATAGCAAAATAATAAAACCCAGAAGTCCAAAAATCATCCAAGTTAACCTATGTGCATTATTTTGATTTGAATATTCGATAAGTCCCAATTCACTTCGAATTGTTCCAATAATTACAGTAACCGGTGGAAGTTCTCCAGTTATTGGTTGTCCTCTTTCATCAGTTGGTTTTGGTTGTTTTAGAGGTCCGGAGCATACGAGTTGTTTGATGTCGACTAAAGTCACGTAGCATCTTTCGGAACCGATGAAGATCTGCAAAAAAATGAGGTTAGGCTATAGGAGTTAGGCTAACTTCGCCGCTACGCGGAAGCTTGCGGTCTACACTCGCTCCGCTCGGACAAAATAATAGTGTAGACCGCAAGCTTCCGCGTTGCTGCAGTTTCCACGACATAGCAATCCACGTGGCCGCTGCGCGGAAGATAGTGCCGCTTACGCGGAAGCTTGCGGTCTACACTCGCTCCGCTCGAAAGCCCCGATAAAAATACGTTTCAGAATTTTTCCATAATTTTTTTTCGAATTTCGAAATTCGTTCGACTCGAAAATTTTTTGAAACAGTGAATTTTATTTCTGAATTTTCTCAAATTTAATATTTTTTCTGATATTTTAATTTTGAAAAAAAACTTTTAAGCTGATTTTTAGGGTTCAAAAAATGTGAAATTTTTTCTGGTTCAAATTGGAAATTCTAATAATTTTTCCTAAAATTTAGGGGACCCATAGATTCAATTATTATGAAACAGTATTATGAAAACCAAACTGAAAAAAAAATTCCCCAAAAAATTTCACAATTTTTTGAAACAGTGCATTTTTTCTGAATTTTCTCAAATATTTTTTCTGATATTTGAATATTGAAGAAAAATACACTTTCGGGTAAACTTTTGGGGTTTGTGCGAAAAAAAACCTGCTGAGATCTGCGAAAAAACTTCCCCAAAATATTTCACAATTTTTTGAAACAGTGAATTTTATTTCTGAATTTTCACAATTTAATATTTTTTCTGATATTTGAATTTTGAAAAAAAACTTTTAAGCTCATTTTTGGGGTTCAAAAAATGTGGAACTTTTTGTGGTTCAATTTGAAAATTCTATAATTTTTCTTAAAATTTAGGGGACCCATAGATTCAATAGAATTATCATGGAACGGTATGAAGCTGAACTACAAAAAAAACTTCCTCAAAATATTTCACAATTTTTTGAAACAGTGAATTTTATATCTGAATTTTCTCAAATTTAATATTTTTTCTGATACTTGAATTTTGAAAAAAAACTTTTAAGCTGATTTTTAGGGTTCAAAAAATGTGGAAGTCGAACTATAACAAAAAATTCCCCAAAATATTTCCCAATTTTTTGAAACAGTGAATTTTATTTCTGAATTTTCTCAAATTTAATATTTTTCTGATATTTGAATATTGAAAAAAAAAATTTTTAGCTGATTTTGGGGTTCAAAAAATGTGGAAATTTTTCTGGTTCAATCAGTGTTCAAAATGGAAATTCTAATAATTTTCTTAAAATTTAGGGGACCCATAAATTCAATAAAAATGTTTCAATAAAATTTCAATAAAAAAAAATATTTCACAATTTTTTGAAACAGTCAATTTTCTTTCTGAATTTTCTCAAATTTCTGAATTTTCTCAAATTTAATATTTTTTTCTGATATTTAAATTTTGAAAAAAAAGTTTTTAGCTGATTTTTAGGGTTAAAAAATTGTGAAATTTTCGTGGTATAATTTGGAAATTCTAATAATTTTCTTAAAAATTGAGGGGACTCATGAAATCAATAGAATTATTATAGAATTCAATTTATAGACAACGAACTACAAAAAAAAATTCCCCAAAAAATTTCACAATTTTTTGAAACAGTGAATTTTATTTCTGAATTTTCTCAAATTTAATATTTTTTCTGATATTTGAATTTTGAAGAAAAAAACTTTGAAGCTGGTTTTTGGAGTTCAAAAAATTTGGAATTTTCGTGGTATAATTTGAAAATTCTACAATTTTTCCTAAAATTTAGAGGTCCATAGATTCAATAGAATTATTATGGAACTGTTTTCAGACGACTCACTACAAAAAAACTTCCTCAAAGAATTTCCTCAAAATATTTCACAATTTTTTGAAACAGTGAATTTTATTTCTGAATTTTCTCAAATTTAATATTTTTTCTGATATTTGAATTTTGAAGAAAAAAGTTTTGAGCTGATTTTCGGGATTCAAAAAATGTGGAATTTTTTCTGGTTCAATTTGAAAATTCTACAATTTTTCCTAAAATTTAGGAGACCCATAAAATTCAATAAAAATGTATTATGGAACTTCAATTTGCATACGAACTGCAAAAAAAACTTCCCCAAAAAATTTCACAATTTTTTGAAACAGTGAATTTTTTATCTGAATTTTCTCAAATTTAATATTTTTTCTGATATTTGAATTTTGAGGAAAAAGTTTTGAGCTGATTTTCAGGGTTCAAAAAAGTGGAATTTTTCTGGTTTAATTTGAAAATTCTACAATTCTTCTTAAAATTTAGGAGCCCATAAATTCAATAAAAATGTTATAGAACCCCAGATTCAGAAAACGCACTACAAAAAAAAAAAATTCCTCAAAATATTTCTCAATTTTTTGAAACAGTGAGTTTTATATCTGAATTTTCTCAAATTTATTATTTTTTCTGATATTTTAATTTTGAAGAAAAACAGTTTTTAGCTGATTTTTGGGGTTCAAAAAATTTGCATTTTTGCTGGTTCAATTTGAAAAATCTAATAATTTTTCTTAAAATTTAGGAGACCTATAGATTCAATAAAAATTGTTATAGAATTCAATTTGCAAATGAACTACAAAAAAAACTTCCCCAAAATATTTCACAATTTTTTGAAACAGTCAATTTTATTTCTGAATTTTCTCAAATTTAATATTTTTTCTGATATTTGAATAAAAACACCAAAAAAATTTGAGAAATCTTTCTGGTTCAACCGGGGTTCAAAAAATCTTCACTTTTGCTGATATCTGCGAACAAAAACCTGCTGAGATCTGCGAAAAAATTTCCTCAAAATATTTCCCAATTTTTTGAAACAGTGAATTTTTTTAATTTTTCAAAAAAATTTCCCAAACCCCTACCTTAAAATCCGCAGGCTCAGCCGCCAGATTCAAATTCACTCCATCCAATATCAACGGCTGCTCTCCTTGATGATACCGTATTCCCCTAAACGGGCTCAATTGTGGATTCGGTTTCACGCTCATCTGAAGTCTCCGCCCCAAATTCTGAACACTCGTCACATTATCCATCAAAAATCCGACAGGAAGTCGCGAATAATCCGCACGCCAATTCGAATTCTCATAAACTCGCGGAGCCGCGCAATTCATCAGCGTTGAATTCAACACTTGACATTGTCGAAGTTCGGAAGCTATGGCAAACGGCGGATTGAACGAGTTGAGCAAATAGATCTTGGCAACCTGTGTCACATCTAAATTCTGCCCCTGAACTTGTAAGATCCGGCCGCCAGCCTTGAACATCTCAAGTGGATATATATTAGATATCGTAGGATCGGGTCGATATTCAAACATCTGATCCAGAATCACATTTGATTCATCAATCGATACAACAACTCTCGATGATTTTCCAACAATAATTCCAGGTGGAGTAATACAACTAATCGTAGATGTCGAATTCCTAGGCTCCAGAACTTTACACGGTAAATTCCCAATAGTTATCCGAAGTTCAGATCCAACTTCAAGATGTTGCCCATATAATGTGATCTTAGTTCCACCGGAAAGCGGTCCAAAAAGTGGATAGGCTGAGAAGATGGCAACTTTGACAAATGAATAATATTGGGTGGATTCTGCTGTGGCCATGGATACTCGGCCGACTGATACTTTTATTGGTCCGGAAGCTGTTCCTTTGTCAACACGGCATGCGATCATGTTGGAGATTTGATAGTCGATGACGTCACAGCGCGAACCGGCGATGTAGATCTGAAAAATGAAGAGGTTCAGAAATTTTTTTTAAAATTCGGCGGGACTCGCTTACTTTCCCTAATTTTCTAGCGTTGCCAAGGGTGTAAACCTGGAGTATCGTTTGAAGTTTTCTAAATGACAACGATACTCTAGTTTACACCTTCAGAAAGCTTGAAATTTTGCGAACAATTTGACTATTGATTTTTTTTTCAATTATTTTGCTGGGGAAAAAAATAGTTGGGCAAAACAATTTTTCAAAATCAGAAATTTAGATGAATAATTTTTGAAACAGTTAATTTTTTGTGAAATAGAAAATTATATATATATATATATATTGATTTTTTTGAATTCCGAAAGCTTAGTAATCATAAAACAATTTTTCAAATCACAAATTCAGATGAATAATTTTTGAAATTTTTGAAAATGGAATTTCAATAGGTAAATTTTCTAGATTCTTTCGGACCAAAAAAAATTGCGAAAAATTTAAAAATCGATTTTTTTCATTTCAAGCTACCATTGACCGAACAATTTTCAAAATCAAAAACTCAGATAAAAATTTTTTGAAACAGTTAAATTTTTGTGAAATTGAAAATTATATATTTATTGATTTTTTTTGGAATTCCGAAAGGTACTTAGATTGATCAAACAATTTTCAAAGTAAAAAATTTAGATGAATAATTTTGTTAAACTGAAATTTCAGTTTCATGAAAATTGAATAAATCAATTTTTTTAGACTTCAAGCTAATAGTTAAGCAGCAAAAATTTTTCAAAATCAGAAAATTGTATGAATAATTTTTGAAACAGTAAACTTTGGAAAAATTTAAAAAACTATTTTTTTCAATTACATATACCAGGATACCAGGAAGATGTAGAAAACAATTCTCAAAATCAAAAATTTAGATGAATAATTTTTGAAACAGTTAATTTTTGAAAAATGTGAAAATTAAATAAATCGATTTTTTCTGTCAATCCAAATAGAGAAAATTGAAAAAACAATTTTTCAAAATCAGAAATTTAGATGAATATTTTTTGAAACAGTAAATTTTCCAATGAAATTTTCAAATCATGGAATTTGGAATGGGTAAATTTTCTAGATTCTACACCTTACACTTTTAAAAAAATTGATTTGAATTTTGGACCAAGAAAATGCGAAAAATTTTAACATCGATTTTTTTCAATTCAAGCTAATAGCATTGAAGGAACAATCTTCAAAATGAAAAATTTAGATGAATAATTTTTTGAAACAGTTAATTTTTTGTGAAATTTAAAAATAAATTTTTCTGTCAATAGAGAAATTTGAAAAAAAAAACAATTTCTATAACCAGAAATTTAAATAGAAGAACAACTTCTGAAACAGTAATTTTTTTGTGAAATAAAAAATTATATAAATCGATTTTTTTGAATTCCGAAAGCTTAGGCATCAAAAATCAATTTTTCAAATCAGAAAAATTACATGAACAATTTTTGAAACAGTAGATTTTCGAAATTTTCAAATCATAATATTTTAGTAAATTTTCTAGATTTTAAATCCGCCCCAAAAAAACCTCACCTTTCCCCTCACATCCTCCACACTCATTCCCAAATCTTTTCCCCAAATTCGAATCAAAGTTCCACCTTCAACCGGCCCACTCTCAGGCTCGATTCTCAAAATTTGCGGTGGATCGCATACATGTATTTTGGTTGTTGGTGCACAATCATGTGAGCATTTCGAATTACACCATCCACAATTCAGGTTGGGGGAAAGGGATAAACAACTCGAGCAATCCGAAGCCATGTTGGAGCAGGAATATAATGAGATGTTTGTGATATCAATAATATTTCCTTGGGAACTTTTGAGAATCATCGGGACCATTAAGTCCGACGCTTTGAGTTCCGAAGATGAAGCTTCAAGTTGCAGCTCACTACACTTCACATTCAAATCCCCAATTTTCGCTTTAGAAGTCAAATTCTGCCCAGCAATTTGCAAAACACAGGAATAATTCTGCGACTTATCCAGGGTTCCCAAATTCTCTCCAGTCAATGTGATCTTCTGCTTGGATCCCAATGCAATCGGAATCGTAATTGGTCGAAGTTTCACACATTTATCAGTCGATTCGCTGGGACATTTCGAGTTTGCAGTGCATTTATGATTTGCGGGACACCATTGACAATCAAATTTCGAAGTTGAGCAAAGTGAGCAAGTTTGGAATTGGGAGCAATCAAAGATTGTGAAATTTGTTGTCACAATGTTTTTCGTTGATAGCGAGGTTTGGAGGGATAATTCGAGATTTTCAGCGTTTTCGTGGGATTTAGAAGCGCAGGTTATTCCGGAACTGGTCCAAACTGCTTTGGTGTAATGGGGGCCGAAGAGACAGCGGTAGGTCTGGAAAAAAAACTTGATTAAGTTTGGGCTTACGCCACGCGGAAGCTTCCGGAAGCTTGCGGTAATTGAGCTATAGACAATTGTGGTGACAGATCAAATTTGATGGATATGACGTGGCACTATTTTTCAAAATTTCCGAAAAATGTTCATGATTTTTTGAAATTTCCGAAAAATGTTCATGATTTTTATGAAACAGTGAATTTTTTCGGATTTTTCTTTTGAAAATTCGCTCAAACTTTTGAAACAAAAATATGGTTCTTTAACATTTTTTCATGATTCAAAATCGAGATGAGCATTTTTTGAAACAGTAGATTTTTGGGAAGGTGAGATTGAAAGGTCAAACAACTAAGAAAATTAGAAAATTAGATTAGACAATTTTGAAACAGTGAATTTTTTCCTCAAAAATGAGTTTCAAGTTTTCCTATATCAATTTTCTAGTATCCAAAATTTGCTACGTCATAACTCAAAAAAATTCCCCATCAAACTCACAAATTTTCATCACTGACATTTGAAAATACTAAAAATCAGATAAAAAATTTTAGAATTTTCTAAAAAAAAATTTCATGATTTTTATGAAACAGTGAATTTTTTCAAAAATTAAGATTCTATTTTTTTGAAATTTTGATTAAAATTTTCAGACCAAAAATTCAGCTATTCCAATATTGTTTCATAATTAGAAATTTAATTGAACATTTTTTGAAACAGTTAAATTTTTGGAGCCTGACAATACCACCCAACAATTTTCTATATTTCAAATTTAGAATAAAAAATTTTTGAAACAGTGAATTTTTTAAATTCAAAAAAGAGCTCATCCAAGCTACAAATTCGATTTTCAGGTATCAAAAATTTGCCACGTCATAACCAAAAAAAAAAGTCCTCATCAAACTCACAAATTTTTAACACTGACATTTGAAAGTACTAAAAATTAGATAACAATTTTCATAATTTTCAACATTTTCAAAAAAATTTCATGATTTTCATGAAACAGTGAATTTTTTCAAAAATCAAATGTCGAACTTTTTTTTTGAAAAATTGGTTAAAATTTTAAAGCTGAAAATTACATATAATAATTGTTCATAATTAGAAATTTAATTGAACATTTTTTGAAACAGTAAATTTTTGGGACCTGAAAACACCACCCAACAATTTTCCAGATTTTAAATTTAGATTAAAACATTTTTGAAACAGTGAATTTTTTAATATCAAAAATGAGCTGGTCTAAGCTCCAAATTCGATTTTCAGGTATCAAAAATTTGCCACGTCATAACTCAAAAAAATCCCCCATCAAACTAACAAACTTTCAACACTGACATTTGAAACTACCAAAAATTAGATAACAGTTTTCAAAATTTTTCAATAAAAAAATTCATGATTTTTATGAAACAGTGAATTTTGTCGAACTTTTCTTTTGAAGTTTCGGTTAAAATTTTGAAGCTAATGATTACAGATAATATTAGTTCATAATTAGAAATTTGATTGAACATTTTTTGAAACAGTGAAGATTTTGAAGAATGACAAAAATGTCCAACAATTTAATAAATTAGAAATTTAGATCAAAAAATTTCGAAACAGTGAATTTTTTAAATTCAAAAATGAGCTGGTCTAAGCTCCGAATTCAATTTTCTAGTATCAAAAATTTTCCCCATCAAACTCAAAAATTTCAAACATTCGAAACTACTAAAAATCAGATAACAATTTTCATAATTTAAAAAAATTTCATGATTTTTATGAAACAGTGAAATTTTTCAAAAATCAAATGTGTTGAAACTTCGGTTAAAATTTTTAAGCTCTAAATTACAGTTAATATTTGTTCATAGTTAGAAATTTAATTGAGCATTTTTTGAAACAGTGAAATTTTTTGGAGCATGCCATGTCCAACAATTTTCTAGATTTTAAAATTAGATTAGAAAATTTTGAAACAGTTAATTTTTAATTTTTTTTTCAAATGAGTTTCAAGCTTCCAGAGCTCCCATATCAATTTTCTAGTATCAAAAATTAGCCACGTCATAACTCAAAAAAAGTCCTCATCAAACTCACAAATTTTCAACACTGACATTTGAAAGTACCCAGAATCAAATACCAATTTTCAAAATTTTCAAATAATTTTCATGAATTTTATGAAACAGTGAATTTTTTCAAAAATCAAATGTCGAACTTTTTTTTTGAAAAATCGGTTAAAATTTTGAAGCTAAACGTCTCAATATAATATTTTTCTTCAATCGAAATTTAATTGAACATTTTTTGAAACAGTGAATTTTTTAATTTTTTTAAAAAATGAGTTTCAATCTTTGAGAGCTCCCATATCAATTTCCAGGTATCAAAAATTTGCCACGTCATAACTAAAAAAAATTCCCCATCAAACTCAAAAATTTTAAACACTGATATTTGAAACTTCCAAAAACAGACGAGTAATTTTCAAATAATTTTTATGTTTTTTATGAAACAGTGAAATTTTTCAAATATTGAGATTCTATTGTTTTTAAATTTTGGTTACAATTTTTGGGCTATATATAATATTTTTTCATAATTAGAAATTTAATTGAAAATTTTTTGAAACAGTGAAATTTTTGAAGAATGCCAAAAAAGCCCAACAATTAAAAAAATTAGAAATTGAGTTCAAACATTTTTGAAACAGTGAATTTTTTAAATTCAAAAAAAGAGCTTATCCAAGCTACAAATTCGATTTTCAGGTGCCAAAATTTGCCACGTCATAACTAAAAAAAAAGTCCTCATCAAACTCACAAATTTTCAACACTGACATTTGAAAATTTCCAAAACCGGGACAACTATTTTTTCGAATTTTCAAAAAAAAATTCATGATTTTTATGAAACAGTGAATTTTTTTATTGTTTGAATTTTGCTTAAAATTGTTAAGCAGAAAATTACATATAATAATTGTTCATAATTAGGAATTTAATTGAACATTTTTTGAAACAGTAAATTTTTGGAGCCTGACAATTCCACCCAACATTTTTCTAGATTTTAAATTTTGATTTAAAACATTTTTGAAACAGTGAATTTTTTAAATTCAAAAAAGAGCTTATCCAAACTACAAATCCAATTTTCAGGTAACAAAAATTTGCCACGTCATAACGAAAAAAACCCCCCATCAAACTAACAAACTTTCAACACTGACATTTGAAAATACTAAAAATCAGATAACAATTTTCATAATTTTCAACATTTTCAAAAAAATTTTCATGATTTTTATGAAACAGTGAATTTCTTCAAAAATCAAATGTCGAATTTTTTTTTTGAAACTTCGGGTAAAATTTTCAGACCAAAAATTCAGCTATTCCAATATTGCTTTATAATTAGAAATTTAATTGAACATTTTTTGAAACAGTGAAATTTTTGAAGAATGAAAAAAAACCTAACAACTAAGAAAATTAGAAATTGAGATTAAACATTTCAAAAATGAGTTTCAAGCTTTCAGAGCTCCCATAACAATTTTCAGGTATCCAAAATTTGCCACGTCATAACTCAAAAAAAGTCCTCATCAAACTCGAAAATTTTCAACACTGACATAACCAAAAATCAAATAACAGTTTTCAAAAAAAATTTCATGATTTTTTATGAAACAGTGAATTTTTTAAACAATTAGAATCTGAATTTTTTTTAAAACTTCGGTTAAAATTTTGAAGCAGTAAATTTTTGTAAAATGAAAATATGTCCAACAATTTAAAAAAAATTAGAAATTAAGATTAAACATTTTTTTGAAACAGTGAAATTTTTGAAGGATGAAAAAAACCCAACAATTAAAAAAATTAGAAATTTAGATTAGAACATTTTGAAACAGTGAGTTTTAAAAAAAATTTCAAAAATGAGTTTCAGGTTTTCAGAGCTTCTATATCAATTCTTAAATATCAAAAATTAGCCACGTCATAACTCAAAAAAACTCCCTATCAAACTCAAAAATTTTAAACACTGATATTTGAAAATACTAAAAACAGACGACTAATTTTCAAATAATTTTTATGATTTTTATGAAACAGTGAAATTTTTCAAATATTGAGATTCTATTGTTTTTAAATTTTGGTTACAATTTTTGGGCTATATATAATATTTTTTCATAATATTTAATTGAACATTTTTTGAAACAGTAGATTTTTGAAAAGTAAGAATGAACTAAAAACAATTCAATAAATTAGAACTGAGATTAAACATTTTTTAAAACAGTGAATTTTTTAATTTTTTAAAAAAATGAGTTTCAAGCTACAAATCAAACTTTCAGGTATCAAAAATTTACCACGTCATAACTAAAAAAATTTCCTATCAGACTCAAAAATTTTCAACACTGACATTTGAAAATACTAAAAATCAGATAAAAATTTTCAAAAAAAAATTTCATGATTTTTATGAAACAGTGAATTTTTTTCAAAAATCATAATTCGAATTTTTTCGAAATTTTGGTTAAAATCTGAAGCTAAACGGTATAATATTTTCTCTTCGATCGAAATTTGTTTGAACATTTTTTGAAACAGTAAATTTTTAGAGCATGACAAATATGTCGAACAATTAAAAACATTGGAAAATTAGATTAGAAAATTTTGAAACAGTGAAATTTTTAATTTTTTTCAAAAATGAGTTTCAAGTTTTCAGAGCTCTCATATCAATTTCTAGGTATCAAAAATTTTCCACGTCATAACTCAAGAATTCCCTATCAAACTCACAAATTTTCAACACTGATATTTGAAACTTTCACAAACCCGGGACAACTATTTTTTCGAATTTCAAAAAAAAATTTATGATTTTCATGAAACAGTGAATTTTTTCAAAAATAGGAATTTTTTTTTCTGAAATTTCGGTTAAAATTTTGAAGCGCAAAATATACCCTCAACATTTTTTCATCATTCAAAATCGAGATGAGAATTTTTTTGAAACAGTTAAATTTTTGGAGAATGAAAAAATTCACCCAACAATTTTCTATATTTTATATTTAGATAAAAAAAATATTCGAAACAGTGATTTTTTTAAATTCAAAAAAAAGCATATCCAAGCTACAAATTTGATTTTCAATTTTTACCACGTCATAACCAAAAAAAAATCAAAACTCACAAATCCATGTGGCGCCGGCAAATTCTCAATCTCAAAAGTCACAGGTCCAGTTGTATTCACACTCATCGCCGCCGGTTTCGGAATTCCAGAAATACTCGGGCAAATCTGCGAGACACCAACACCGCATTTCGAGCCAATTGTACAGCTCTGAGTTGGATGACACCATTGACAAAGTGGATCTGGTGAGAGCAAACATTCAGCACACGAGTTCAAATGTGAACAAGTCGAGATCTCATCAACCACAATTCCATAAGGCATTTGGGCAATGAATAAATCCTGATATCTGTGAATTGCCAGAACTTCAGCTCCAGTTCTTCGATCTCCCAAATCACGGCGACCGTATTCTTCAAGTGATTCCGAATCTCCCCATTTCAACTGAAAAATTTCAAAATTTTTGATGTAGATTTTGACCTTCTGATCACGATTCTGTGGTCGAAAATAGCAGGATTCAATTTTTAACATGAGCTATGACGTGGCAATGTTATTTCTTCCAACAAAAAACAAGGCATTGCTCATTTTAACTGGAATTTTTTCAGAAGATTTTTAACAGCAAAATATCATACATTGCTCATGTTAGTCCAATATTCTCTCATTTCTTTTGTCTTGAAAAAATAGACCAAAATTCTCAAAGTCAGGAAATATTTTTTTCATAATTCAAGAAATCAAGAAGAACATTTTTTGAAACAGTGAAATTTTTGGAAAAAAAAATTTTTGTGTGATTTTTTGGTTAATATGAGCAATGTTTTGCTCAACAGAAATTTGAATATAAATTTTTTTCAAATATTTTGGACTAACATGAGCAATATTTTTTGTTGAAAAATCTATTTGCATTTTCAGTTGAAATGAGCATTTTCTGTTCTTCATTGTGAAAAAAATGGAAATTTTCGACTAAAATGAGCAATGCTTCCTTATTCATTTTAGCCTTGTGAATTTCCAAATTTTTGCCACGTCATAGCTCAATTCAAAATTGAGTTCAGCGGCTTAAATTCTACCAGAACTCGATTTTTTCACTTGACCCCCATTTTTCGTACACACATTTTCCAAACCAAAAAAAGTGTGTCATTTATTTTCCCATCAATCAAAATTCTCCCAAAAATAAGCTTACCATAATAATCTGTGCATTTGTTGTGCCAACAAAAAGCGCTTTTTTGTCGATTGACATTAGTGATGTGATATTTGCATAGATGTCTTTGGTGGACATTTCGACGAGTTCAATCGAGCCACCAACGCCGAGTTCACAACTATCTTCATCAAGGGGAATGTGGGCTTTCTGGAGAAAAACGAATACATAAAATAAGAGTATTGGGGATTTTAGGGCTTGGAAAATTCATATGATTTTTTTGAAACAGTGAATTTTTGAAAAATGAAAACTTGGAAAATTTGTGATTTGAGTGAATTTATTAAATTAAAAATTGATATAAAATGTTTTTGAAACAGTGATTTTTTTTTAATTTTGATTATAAAAATTATAATTTTGATTGGAAAATGGATGACGATTGGTTTTTTTTGTGAATTGGACAATTTTTATGATTTTTTGAAACAGTGAATATTTGGAAGATTGATTTTTACAATCAGAAATTTTGTAATTTGAGCGAATTGTTTTAGATAATATGATAAGAAAATCACTCGATTAAATTAAGAAATTGAAATAAAATATATTTGAAACAGTAAATTTTTTGGAGCCAAAAAATATTTTAATAAGTTTTCTGAAAAAAATAAAAGAATTCTTCTATTTATTTTTTTTTTGAAACAGTGAATTTTTTTTTGGAAAATGGAAATTTTAGAGTTTTTATATTAGAAAATACTAGAAAAAACCTTAAAATTACTGTAAAATCAGGATTTTTTCAAATTTTTTTTTTGAAAAAATAGATTACGAGTTATCGTGGAAAAATCGACTGAATTGTGGTTTTTGTGAATTGAGAAATTCATATGAATTTTTTGAAACAGTGATTTTTTTCAAACCATAAAAATTCGCATAACTTCAAATCTGGTCCTTATTATTATTCTACATATTAATTTATTTATTATCTTGTATTGGCTGAAAAAACTATTCATTCTAATACGATTTCAAGATTAAATATTTTTGAAACAGTGAATTTTTTTAGAACCATAAAAATTCAATAAATCGCATAATCTCAAATCAAATTGCAAAAAAACCGACAAAAATCTACATGAATTTTTGAAACAGTAATTTATTTCAGGAATAATTTGGAACAATTTTTTAATTGTTTTTTTTTAAAATAGATTCATAGTTTTAGATATCGCTGGGTCACAAAAACATCACAAAAATGAAAACTAATGTATTTAAAAAAAATTTGAAACAGTGAATTTCTGTAGTAAACATTGAACAACTAGAACAAAAAGAATGATATTTTCTTTCAAATTTTTTCAAAAATTTTAAACTCACATTAACACATTTTGTATCCCTTCCAATATGCGACAATTTAATAGAATCCGTTCCACTTCGACATCGATCAACATTATACCAAAAAGTCAATTTGATTCTTGGCATCGAAAAGACACAAATCGATGATTTTCGAGGGTTCAGCGGGTTCGAGAATGCAGCCACCAATTTATCGCCATTTTGTACGACTGCAGTGATTTGGGGGTAATTTGTGTTGTCTTCTCCGCGACATTGAAGCTCGATTTCAGAATATGAGACGAATCTGGAAGAGAAAAAATTATTTTTCTAGTAAATTTTGATCCGCTAATCTGAATATGAGTTATGACGTGGCAAAACTATAACAAGCTTCTGAAAATTTTTCATCAAAATCTCAGGATTCATTTTCAATTCAAAATTATTTTTCAAAAATAAATTTGTAAATTTATATTGCCACGTGGATTTTGGAGCTCAAAAACCCCCCAAAAACCAAGTAGCTCGGCTCCGAACAACAACAAAAATGAGGTCATAAAAAATTATTGGTGGTAACGGAAATGTGTACATTTTTTGCTTTTATTTATGTTCTTAATGTGCAATTGATTGGTGCCGGGCTCCGCTTCTTTTTTTGCATATGACTTAGGCTGAATCTAGGCTTAGGCTTAGGATGTTTGAAAGCAGAAATTAAAAAAAAATCTAATTATTTTTGCTTAAAATTTACAGAGCAGAAGAAAATTTGAAAAATTAAAAAAAAAACGTTTTTTTTCAATTATCAAAAATCCACTGTTTCAAAAAAATAAGAAATTTATTTTGAAAATTGGATTTTCTGATCAGTCCAGAATTTGAATAACACTTATCATTAGAAAAATTTGCCACGTGTAATTTTTAATGAAAAATTCCGAAAAAAAATCCACTGTTTCAAAAAAAAAGAAGAAAATGTTTGAAAAATTAGATTTTCTGATACTTTAAAAATTCAAAACTGTATTTCTAGATGATTCTAAATCAATTTTTTTCAAAATTTTATGCCAGACCTGAATTTTCCGGCTAATTTTGTGGATTCCTAGGTCATTTTTCAATATTCAAGCTTCTCTGGCTTCTTCAGGCTGCCAAATTTGAAAAAAAATCTAATTTTCTGAAAATCAATTTTTCCCGGGATTTTTAAAAACGAATTTTTTTGGCCAACTTTTGTTTCAAATTTACAGAGCAGAAGAAAATTTCAAAAAAAAATGTTTTATTTTAATTTTTTTAATTATCAAAAAAATTCACTGTTTCAAAAAAATAATAAAATTTTTAAAAAATTGAATTTTCTGATTATCCTATCCTCAAGCGATTAGTTGAAAAAAAAAATCAGAAGTGTATTTCTAGAGGATTCTAAATCATTTTTTTCAAAATTTCAGGCCAGATCTGAATTTCCGGGCTAATTTTTGGATTCCCCTGGATTCCAGACAATTTTTAGGATCCCAGTGATAATTTTCTGGGTTTCTAGGCCATTTTTCAATATTCAAGCACAAATTGTTTCCAATCTTCAAAAAAATCCACTGTTTCAAAAAAAGAAAAACATTTTTTAAAAATTAGATTTTCTGATCATCAACAGATGAATAGTTGAAAATTCAGAACTTTATTTCTAGACGATTCTAAATCATTTTTTTTTCAAAACTTTAGGTCAGCTTTCAGATTTCTGAACTTCTAGACTAATTTTTCGCAAATCTAGGCCTTTCCTAGGCCAATTTTCAAGTTTTTTTCCCCAAAAACACTCACTTTGTATCATTTCTACAAAATCTAATCAATCTCGTCGTTGCTTGTCCATTTCTTTGTGTCATACTTCCAACAATAAAAACAAAATGCTCATAAGCAAAAGTATAGATATACTTCATCGAACTTCTCCAGGCACTTCTCAAAAACACGGCAGCTTCACCTTCCAAATCTCCAGCATTTTCAACATATAAACCAGGAAGACTTCGCATTGAAACAGCTGGGAATGGATCACGATATGGTGAATCGGCTGTGGGAGAAGCTGCGACAATTAATCGATTTGTGTCCGGGAGAATTAGAGAAACCGTGGAAGCGTTGGCGGAATTTGCAGCGACTGGAGTGGAGGAAATTGATATGAGAGAGAGTTTTGTAGAATATGTTGAACATGATCCGAGTTTGACTGATGTGCAGATTAGAAGTTGAGAATTTGGGAGAGGATGGAGGATTTTCGTGTGAACGTGGGTTAGAATTGGACGGTGATCTCTGAAAAAAATTTTCTATAAATTTTTTTCGGAAAAAATTGAATCCAAAAAATTCACTGTTTCAAAATTTCTATGAATATTTTTGGTTTTGAAAAAATTGATAATATTTCTGCCTCCTTTTTATTTCTCGAGAAAAAAGCAAAAATTTTAGAATCAAAAAAAGTTGTGCACAATTTTTTTCTGGAAAATTTCACTGTTTCAAAATTTCTATGGATATGTTTGGTTTTGAAAATGACGATGATAGCAAATTAATGATTACTCGAAAAAAAAGCGAAAATTTTAGAATAAAAAAAACGATTCACAATTTTCTTCTGTGAAATTTCACTGTTTCAAAATTTTTCTATAAATATTTTTGGTTTTGAAAATGACGATAATCTCATTCTATTATCTCCGGAGAAAAAAAAGCGAAAATTTTGCACAATTTTTTCATAGAAAAATCACTGTTTCAAAATGTTCTATAATTTTTTTGGTTTTGAAAATGACGATAATAGCAAATTAATTTTACTCGAAAAAAAAACGAAAATTTTAGAATTTAAAAAAATTTTGCACAATTTTTTTCATAGAAAAATTACGTTTCAAAATTTTTCCATAAATATTTTTGGTTTCGAAAAAGTTGATAATCTCATCGTATTTATCGAGAAAAAAAATCGAAAAGAAAAATATGCGCAATTTTCTTTTGTGAAATTTCACTGTTTCAAAATTTCTATGAATATTTTTGGTTTTGAAAAAATTGATAATATTTCTGCCTCCTTTTATTTCTCGAGAAAAAAGCGAAAAATTTTAGAATTTAAAAAAAATGCGCACAATTTTTTAAATTGAAAAATTTTACTGTTTCAAAAATGTTCTATGAATATTTTTGGTTTTGAGAAAGTTGATAATCTCATCGTATTTATGGAGAAAAAAACATCGAAAAGAAAAATATGCGCAATTTTCTTCATTGAAAATTTACGTTTCAAAATTTTTCTATAAATATTTTTGGTTTCGAAAAAGTTGATAATCTCATCGTATTTATGGAGAAAAAAAAATCGAAAAAAAATTATGCGCAATTTTCTTCTCTGAAATTGCACTGTTTCAAAATTGTTCTTTTTTTTTATTTATTTGGAAACGACGATAACATTAAGCCAATTTCGAGAAAAAAAGCGAAAAATTTAGAATTTAAAAAAAATTTTGCACAATTTTTTCATAGAAAAATTACGTTTCAAAATGATTCCATAAATTTTTTTGGTTTTTATTTATCGTTCCATCAAAAAATCCACAAAACAGAATTGTTCAAAATTGTTTTCTAAAAATGTCACTGTTTCAAAATTTTAATATATGTTTGGTTTTGAGAAAGTTGATAATAACGCATTGTAACCAACTTTGGAAAAATAAACTTTGAAAAAATTGTGCAAAATATTGGAAAATAATATTTCATTATCCTTCTTTCGTCCCCCAATTCCGGGAAAATATATGAATCCGGAAAATTTACGTTTCAAAATTATTCCATAATTTGTTTTTGTGTTGATTTATCGTTATAAAAAATCCACAAAATAGAATTGTTCAAAATTGTTTTCTAAAAATGTCTCTGTTTCAAAATTGTGCTATATTTTTTGGTTGAAAAGTTGATAACAATAATACTTTTTTTACCGAATACGCAAAAAACATTGAAAAATTGACTGTTTCAAAATTTTTGATACATTGTCATTTTTATTTCTTGAAAAAAATATTGAGAAAAATGGACTGTTTCAAAATATTTATATATTTTGAACAAGTCGATTATATTGATCTTAATATTCCTTTGAAAAAAATACCCAAAAATGATTTTTGAAAAATTTTCACTGTTTCAAAATTTCTATGTGATTTCTAATTCGCTACAAAAATTAGTACTTTTTTCAAAACATTTTGAAAAAAATTTCACTGTTTCAAAATTTCGTTATAATATTTTTGGTGTTAGAAAATCTAGTCCCATCATCTTTTACTATTCTAAAAATTAATCAAATTTCATATAAAAAAAATGTCACTGTTTCAAAATTTCTATTAAATTTTTTATTCGCTAAAAAAACTAGTAAATTATCTCACAATCAACAATTTGAGAAAAAAATTTAACTGTTTCAAAATTTATCTAAAATTTTTCATAAAACAAAATTTTTTGATCCTTGTATCTCTCACACAGACAAAAAAAACTCACTTCAAGCACGATTTTCCATCCGCATTACACCACGGTGAATCAGCCACAGGTCCAATTGTCAAATTTTCCCTAGGCGTCAAATTCTTCACACCAATCGCTTGAATTTGATCAACAGATGCGATGAAGATCTGAAAATCATACTGTATATGGGTATTACATTTACAGTACCCCGGATCATCTACAGTACTCTTCACATTATGAAAATCCAACCATTTTCCAAATTAAAAAAATGTTGAAATGGCGAAATTTTGTTGGATTTTCACGTGAGCGTGTCAAATTTTTTTTTGAATTTCAAAATTTTCCCACGATCATTTTTTCGCCCTTTTCTTCAAAATCCCATCAATCTCTCATGTTTTATGGCCACTTGACACATTTTTCCAAAAAAACGACTCACCGTATCCCCGGAGACTAACACAGTGTCAATTGGTGTACTAGTATGATGAATGTTGTTTTGGGCGGCGGCGCCAAATGCCACGTGGCATTGCCAAAATATGAATAAGAGTAGTGGAAAAATGTTCATCGCGGAGCACATTTTTCGAGCATCTCTTCGGTCTGAAAACAAATATTGTGAGGAAAGTTTTGAGAGGAAAAAAGAGGGTCAAAATGAGATAAAACAAGCATTGAAATATTGAAATTCGGGAATTTTTTTGGAAAATTTAAAAAATTGAAAATTGATAATTTTGACACAGCCAATTCTGAATTTTCAAAAATCATGAAATTTTTCCCAGAAAAATTTTACTGTTTCAAAATCTTGGTTTATATTTTCATGAACTATTTTTCTGATGGATAAATCTTATAAAAAAAATAAAATTTTCATTAAAAAAATTCACTGTTTCTAATATTTCTTTAAAAAATTTGTTGAACATTTCCAAATGATCACACTAAGAAGTTTCTAAGTTTGAAAATTCAAAAAATCATACAATTTTTCTTTTAAAAAATTACTGTTTCAAAATTTTCTTTTATATTTCCAGAAATTCACTTTCTCCGATAAATCTTATAAAAAATATGAAAATTTTCCTGAAAAAATTCACTGTTTCAAAAATTTTTGAAAAATTTGTTGAACATTTTATAATTGTTCGCAGGTGTTCAAAATTTGGATGTGAATTTTCAAAAATCATAAAAATTTTTTCTCAAAAAAAATTACTGTCTCAAAATTTTGTTTAATATTTTTAGGGTCAACTTTTTTCTGATAAAAAACACAAATAATTTTAAAAAAATCTACTGTTTCTAATATTTCTTTTAAAAATTTGTTGAACATTTCCAAATGATCACATAAAGTAATATTACCGTCAAAAATCAAAAATTTCGAATTTTCAAAATTTGATGTGAAAATTCAAAAAATCATAAAAATTTTTTCACTAAGAAAAAAATTCACTGTTTCAAAATCTTGGTTTATATTTCCAGAAATTCAATTTCTCTGATGACGTAAATATTAATGCATTATAATGGAAATTTTCATTAAAAAATCTACTGTTTCTAGAATTGTTTGAAAATTTATTTCAGATGTTTTTAAATTGTTAACAACTTCAAATTTTCAAAATTTGGCACCAAAAAATCTTCCCAACATCAAAAAAAAAATATAAAATCCCAATATCCATAAATTTCGAAATGAGAAAAGTAAAAAGAGAAGGAAATCCGGCTCAAAGAGAGGATTTCACGCATAAATCTCGATACACACACTTTTAGTTGAAATGAATAAATTATGATAATGTTCAGAAAGTGGGCGGAGCCTATTTTTGAGGGGAAAAAAAGAAGAAAAAGAAGAGGGGAAAAGACAATTAAAACATTTCGTCAAAGTTCGATGAGTATAGCGGTCAAATAAAAAAAAATGGGGAAAATATAACGGATTTTTGGAGGAGTGGTAATTGATACATTTTGTAGGCTAACTTTTTCAGAAAATTTAGAAAGTTAGGCTAACTTTGCAGCTAAAATTTCTAGGCTTCTCCTCAAAACCTAGGCTTGAAAAATTCGAGCTAAAATTAGGTTTTAAAAAAATTTTTTAGCACGTGAAAAATGGGAAAATTATCAAAAAAATTACTTTTGAATCTAAAGTTTTAGCGGAATTTTTTAGGGTTGAAAATTTCAATTTTTTAAAATTCAAAAATTTTCGCAAAATTTTTCTAAACTTCACCTAACAAAAAAATTTTTGCGAAAATTTTTGAATTTTAAAAATTGAAATTTTCAATCCTAAAAAATTCCGCTAAAACTTTAGATTCAAAAATAATTTTTTCCTTAAGGAAGCAATTTTTAACAAAAAAAATCACTTCAAATATTTTTGAGGCATTATTTTTAACAACCTTTTTTTTTGGGCCGAAACCAAAAAAAATGTGGAGAGTAGCACTCAAAAAAGTCATAAAATTAATCCCAAAAAAATGGTCGAACACAATTTTTTGTTGTCATTTTCATTTTTTTTTCTGTGTTGGGGGCTTGAAAAATGGGATTTTTCGTGGATTTCTAGCTCCAAAACTTCAATTTCAATTTTTTTTCCATATAAAATTCAAAAATGACATTCAATACTCTCTTCAAAGCGAAAAAAGCCAAAAAAAATGCGCGAAAAAAAAATTGAGAAAAAAAAACTCGTCAATTTCTGTTTGGTCAAGAACAAGAGATGATGAAAGTGACATTTTTCTGGGCAAAAAAAATTTGAGAATTTTTTTTAGTCGGCGAAATTGGGGCTAATTCTTGGAAAATTTGCCACGTGGATTTTCGGCGCCAAAAAAACTTGAATTCAAATTTTTTTTTCCGAAATGACGATGATAATAAATAAGACAAAATAAATATAAATAAATAAAAGTTGGGAGTCACAAAATCTCAATTTTACACATTTAATTTGAGGTGATTCATCATTTGGGTGTCTTCTCCAAAAGAACTACACACCTGCCATTATTATATTTATTATTAATAATGCTTATAAAGAGCATGGATTTATGGAGCCAAAAATGAGAAGAGAAGGTTAATTAAGAAAAACAGATAGATAATTGTGGGGTTGCTCAGATTAGGGAAAAAGAGTTAATGAATGAGCTGGCAAGAGAAATGAGTTATGTTATTGACAAAGAAAAAAGGCAGAAAATTTGGGACCGCAAGCTTCCGCGTACGCGGAAGTTTTCCGCGCAGAAAAAAGATTTGAAAAATTCTCGAAAAAATTAACATGAATTTTGAAACGTAGAAAAAATGGTGACAATAATTTTTGAGCAGGTGAATTTTGCTCAAAATTTACAATTTCAGGAGGCAAAAATCAAACAATTCTGAAAATTTTTCAATCTGCAAAAAATTTTTCCCAAAAAAAATTCACTGTTTCAAAAAATCAAGAAAATTAAAATGATCAGAACAGAAATATTCCTAGTGCTGATTTCCAGAGAAATTTAAAAAAAAAATAAAATAAAATTGCAGTTAAGAAAATCTGAAAACAAAATAAAATAACGTGCAATTTCGTCACAAAATTATCAACTAATTTCACGCTCCAAAAACCCTCAAACTTACCCTAACTCTCAAGATTAGCTAAAGAAGTTAGGGTAACTTCGGCTCAAAAAAATGAAAAATTAAAAAGAACAAAAAAAAACACATATTCATGTGACAAGAACCGACAAAACTGGATACAAATTCTCTCACAAAACGTGAATACATTATATTATTTCTTCTTGCAAGAGAAGAAGAGGCGAAAAATAATAATATTTCTTATTTTTTCCCTCCTCCAAGGGAAGTACACAACAAAAAAGAGCATAACATAATTATAAAATAATTGGCTTCTATTTTTTTTGTGGTGAAGGAATTTTTTTTTGTTTGAAAATTTTGAAAATGAATTTTTTGCCACGTGGATTCTGGAGGCGAATTTTCGGTTCGGGAATTTTTAAATTACAGTATTCCGGACTGCAAAAAAATCTCCAGAATATTTTGCAGTTCGGATTACTGTAGCTTGAGGATCTTGAATTTCATGAAATTAATCAACAATCTGAAATTTTTGTAGTTCGGATTCCTGTAGTTAAAAAATTGGGCTTTTACGGTATCCGAACTGCAAAAATCCCAATTTTGTGCAGTTCGGGGTTACTGTAGCAAAAAATCTGGAATTTTTGAATTACAGTACTTTAAACTGCAAAAAACCCAATTTTTTCTGCAGTTCGGGTTACTGTAGCTTCTATAACATTTAAACTACAGTATTCCAAACTGCAAAAAATCATAAGAACTCAGTTTTTTTGCAGTTTGGGTTACTGTAGCAAAAAATCTGGAATTTTTTGAATTACAGTAGTTCAAACTGCAAAAAACCCAATTTTTCTGCAGTTCGGGTTACTGTAGCTTGTATAACATTCAAACTACAGTATTCCGGACTGAAACAAACCCCAGAATATTTTGCAGTTCGGATTACTGTAGCTTGAGGATCTTGAATTTCATGAAATTGATCAACAATCTGAAATTTTTGCAGTTAGGATTACTGTAGCACAAAAATCTGGAATTTCTTGAAATTACAGACAGTAATCCAAACTACAAAAAAAGCAATGAAGCTAAGTGTCTTTGCAGTTCGGGTTACTGTAGCACAAAAATCGGGAAATTTTGAATTACAGTAACAAAACTGCAAAAAAAAGAACAATCTGAAAATTTTCGGGTACTGTAGCTCATACAGTAATCCTAGGTGTCAAAAATAGACTCGAAAAATTCGAAACTCTGCGAAAAATTCAAATTTTTTGAATTAAAACATTAGAGGGTACTGTAGATCGTGTCAGGACCCAAAAAATTCGAAAATTTCGGGTTAAAAATCCACATGACAAATTAAAACTCAAAAAAAATTGACAATTAGAGGCTAGGAATACTGTAAATCGTGTCAAGACCCAAATTTTTTCAAATAAAATCCATCGAGACCTTGAAAAAATTGTTCTAACACCTAGTAGCCAGTCATAAAACCGTAAATAAACCTGTTCTTCTTCTTCTCGAAAAAAAGGAGTCATAAACCTTGTGTTGCAACACAGAAAATCGTAAAAATTAGCATAATACTCCCCCTTCTGCTCATTTCTGCTCAAAACAATGCACACAAAAGGCATATGTATACATATAGAGAGAAAAGAAGAGAAGTACGGTAGGTTCTGTAGACTAAAGACAGCTGTTTAGATAGGTGTTGACACACATTATTTATTATAATGAATTAGTAATTACCGGGTGCAGATTGATATTTATATGAGTTTTGGTCAACTTTTTAGGGCTGAGGTGAGTTAACATGAGCAATGCTGATAAATTTCTAATTTATTTAGCAGAAAATTTCTTAACATGAGCAATCCCTCAATTTTTTTTAGGTAGAAAAATTTTCAAAAACTTTAATTTCATCTAAATTTCGCCATTTTAAGGCTATTTTTTGGTTTCGCTTAACATGAGCAATGCTGATAAAATTCTAATTTTTAGTCGAAAATTTCTTGATATGAGCAATGCTTTAAAAAATTTAATTCAAATTTTTTTTGGAAATTTTCTTTATAACAATTTTCATAAAAATTCAGGTTTTGGCAATTTTTGTGTTAACATGAGCAATTCCTGGATTTTTCGAACAGAAAA